GAACTATAATAATTTTATAGAAAGTTACTATAGAGTTAAAAAGACTAGAGATCTCCTTATAAGGAAGTATTACTAGCTATACCTTAAACTAGATATCTATAAATATATTAAAAGGTATACTGCTTACTAGTTAAATAAGATTTAATAGTATAAGCTATAGGAGATACTAGTACCTCTCTTTATACCTAATATAGTATAGTAATATTACTTCTTAGACTTTATTACTAACTTACCTAAGTTAAAAGATAACCTAAGGAATATATATAATTTAATTCTAGTATTAGTAGATAGGTTTAGTAAGTATATCTGCTACCTCTCTATAACTAAAATAATCTTATCTTAGAGAGTAGCTAAACTACTCCTTAAATAAGTATTCTTAAAATAAGGACCCTTAGATACCTTACTATTAGATTATAGCTTAGTATTTACTAGTTAATTCTAGTTAAATATATATTACTACCTTAAAATTAACTATTACCTAAGTACAGTATTCTACTCCTAGACTAATAGTTAGACTAAAAGGCTAAACTAGGAGCTTAAAATATACCTACGTATCTATATAAACTATAAGCAGGATAACTAGGTCCTATTATTACTATATACTAAATATATATATAACTCTAAAGCGTACTCTATATATAGAGAATACCCTATTAAGGTAGTATTTAGGTTAAACCTAAAAGGCTTTAATAGAATTCTAGATAAGTACTAGTTAAGGTAACCTCCTAAAGTCTAAGATAAGAATATAAAGGCGCTAGAGCTCTGCTAGTAAGTTACTAGAAAACTTACTTAATAGTAAGAAATATAGGAAGGAGTAAAGTAGAGCCTTAAGTATACCTAAAAGGGTATAATAAAATAGAATAATACTAAGTACTCTAAGAAATACTATATTAAAGGTAAGCAGGTACTTCTCTAAGTAAAAAATATTACTACTAGGTAGCCTTTAAAGAAATTTAATACTAGGTACCTTAGGCCCTTTATAATTATAAAGTGTATTAGGAAATTAGTTTATAAACTAGCACTACTACCCTCTATAAAGCGTATATATCTAGTATTTAATATATTATTACTTAAACTATAGCAGGAACTCCTTACTAAAAAAGGCTTCTAGCTAGGGCCTATATAACTTCTAAAGGATACTCTACCTAAAGATAGGTATAAGGTTAAAGGAATTATAGAATACTATAATACTACTACCTAAGAGTAGGAGTATAGAGTAAAGTAGCTAGGTTAGTCTAATAAAAATACTATCTAGAAACTACTTAAGAATCTTAATTACTGTAATAAGATCCTTTAAGACTATCTAGTAAACTTATAAGATATATCTTAGGGTACCTATAGGTTACCTAAGGGATATAGGTAGAAGGTAGAGGCCCTACTAGATTTAGAAGTTAATAATCTACTAAGGTAGAAATAAGGACGTCCTAGAAAGAACGTCTAAAAGAAAGAAAGAAAAGAAAGCTAGAGCTATAGTATAGTAATTACTTCTAAAACTAAAATTATAAACTAATATAGAATAATATAGGCCTTAGTAAAGATAGAAAATTATAATTATTATTTCTTATACTATTTAAAGAAACTAAAATATATATCTACTAAGAAAACTTTTATAGTTACCTATTAGAATACTATAGAGTTAGAACTAATACTACTAGAGTTATACTTAGCTATTAGAGAACTAAAGGAACTAGTAGTAGAAGCCTTCCTAGAAGTACTACTAGCTATCTTCTAACTAGAAGTATAAGAAGCTACTAAATAAAGATACTTCTAGGGTAATAGTAAGAATAAGATCTCCTCCTCCTTAGTATTAGAAATATTAGTGCTATAGTAGTAGAAGTACTAGTTAATATTCTTAAAAGTACTATTACGTAAGAAGTAAGCCTCTATAGGAGCATAAATAATAATATTATTAAAATAATATAGGCTAGTAGTACTAAGACCTAACTAGAATAGATTAGTAATAGGAAGATACTAAAATAATAGTAGACTAACCTTATATTACTCTAAGTTATACTAAGTAGAAACTTAATAAGCCTAACTAAAAGCTATAGTAGAGAGACTACTATTAGTAATAGTATAATACTTAGTATAATTATACTTAAGAAAACTCTTATAATAAGCCTTAGTATAGGCGTAAGTATTTACCTAGTTAGCCTATACCTAGTTATCTGTAAAGAGTATATTAGAGTTAATAGTAGATATAAAGCTAGTAAACTCTTAAGTTTTATATAAGGCGTACTTAAGGTAGTAGTTAAGGACGTTAATAGTATAATAGAACTTAGGTAGGATCTATTAGAGTTAGTAATAGATAAGGCATAAATAGAATAGAATAGAAAACTTACCTTAGTATAACCTCTAGTCTTAGTATTAGAATAACTACTATAGATACCTTAACTAGCCTTATATTTATAGTACAGCTTATTACTCTACTATAGCTTAAAAAATAATATAATAGTACTATTAAGAAGGTGCTTTTAGGAGGTAGTAGTAAAAAAGTTAATACAGCCTATATACTAAAAGTAAGTAAGGGTAGGCTAAGGGGCTATACTAGTAGAGAGCTAGTAGATCTACTTAGGCAGAAGTATATTACTAATATAGGAAGGCAGAAGTATAGTAAGTTAATAAGAAGAAGGTTATTATAGTAATATTAGAGTTATAAGGTAATACGTAGGTATTTTATACCTATCTAGTATACGCGTATAGGCCCTCTAGGACTACTGTAATACTATACTACTTTACCTTACTTTATATATACTAATAACTGTAAAAAGTTATTATAATATAAATAAATAATAAACGCTGCTTAAGATACTAGAACTATACCTAGTAGACTACTTATAGAGAGCTAATAGACTTTTATAGGAAAACTATAGTTATAAACTCTATAGAGAGTGTAATAGGTACTAATATTAAAGTAAGCGCTACCTATATAGGATAAACCTTTAAGGAGGCTACTAGTAATATACCTTATAAGAATAACGCTAGTCTATAAATAATTATATAAGTTAGCGTAAATACTAACTATAATAATAGAGTAAGTAAATAATAAATTATTATAAGTAAACTTTATATTAAGCCCTTACTTTATATAATTACGTATTATAAAGCTTCTAGAATAGGGCTAGAGAAGTAATAAAGCCTAATAAACTATCTATATAGTTAATAGGTACTTAATAAGGTAAAACTTATAAACGTAAAGTTACTAATAATAATATATAGTAAGTATAACTATACTCCTAAGAATTATAATCTAGGGATAATAGTAAATAGGACCCTCTATAGAGGCCTAGTAGTTACCTATAATAAACTAGGCTACGCTTACTAAAGTTATAAAGACTTAGTAATAAGAATATAGGCCTAGTGCAGTAGGCCCCTAGGCTAGATCTAAGGACTAGCCTAGGGAAAACTTAAATAATTTAGTACTAAATTTCTCCTAAACTATTTTCTCTTTATAGGAGGTTTTTATAGAGTTTAATTAAGGTAACTATGTAAATTAAATACCTATTTATCTACTCTAAAAATTCTAGCAGTTTAGAATAAACTATAAGAAGGAGGAGAGCTTTATTATAGGTATTTCTATCTAAGCTCCTGTTAGCCTACCTTTAGTAGACCTCTAGGCTAAGGGCGTAAGGCCCTTAGAGCTCTAGTATATAGTACTTATAAATCCCTAGAGCTTATACCCTAAGGATTTATCTAATCTCTTAATAAATACCTATTTATCCTATATCTTAATTACCTATTTACAGTGCCCTTATAAGTATATACTTAACTAATTTAGTTACTAGTTAAGCTTAGTAATATTTTAAATTAACTTACCTAAAAAACTTTACTACTATTACTTTTTTAAATTAAGCTTTATACTATTTAATAAATAAAATAATAGTACCTTATAGTTAAGTACTTATTATACTAGTACTTTTACTTTACTATTATTACGCCTATTATATACTATTTAAAAGAATTAGGTACTTTAGTATATACTATAAAAGGCTTTAAGTATAAGCTACTAGCTATTAAAGCTATTAAGTATACTTATAAAAAGTACTGCTAGTATAAGTATTAAATAATTAATATTAAAAAAAGTTCTATTTATATAAATAAGTACTAGGTAATAATTAAAGAGTATATAAAGAATATACTATTAATAAAAAAAAGATAGTAGTAAGCTAAATAATAGTATAGGCTTACTAAAATAGTTAATACTTTATACTTATAATACTTTACCTTATATAGTACTACTTATAAAAAAATATATAGTTTAAATAGTTATACTATACAGTATAATTATTTATAAGTTATATTAAATATTTATTTAAAAAGTTCTTTACCTACTTAGTATTATTCTTTATTTACTATAAGTAGTTTTATACTTACTTTAAGTTTATTATAAATATATTAATAGTAACTTAATTTATAAATATCTAAGTAAATACTAATAAGCTAAATACTACTTAACTTAAGCTTAAGTTTAAGTATAAAAAGAACTTATATATATTATACTATTAATAAAAGCTTTAAATTATTTTCTTAATTTTAGCTAATTTAAAGATTAATAAAGGCTATATACTAAATTTAAAAAAGAGTATTTTTAAAATAATAGTTAAAAAAGAAACTTAAAAAATATAGCTAGTATAAAAAACTATAATATAACTAATATAATACTTTTATATAGTAGATAGTAGCTTAAGCTTATAAAATAATTTAAATATTAATAGTATATTTAGGTAAGTTTCTAATTTTAATATATATAAAGAATTACTAAATTAGCCTATATAATTATTACCTATTTTAAAATTATAGTAAATTAATAAAAATATAGCTATTATAAAAATTTATATAAGGTTAAATATATTATTAAGTAAAATTATTAAGGTTATAATTATTGTTAAGGTAGGTAGGCTGTGCGTAGTATAGCTAAGTTCTTAAACTTTGAGCTCTAGCGAGCTGTTAGGGCCGAGTAATGGCTGAAATATCCTTTATTATTAACGCACTCTTCCCCACCCTGTTATCACTCAGCTACTCTTCCTTCAAGACTACGCCAAGTCAGAAGACAGCATCCAAAACACAGCACAAAGTCTTCCCACATTCACATACATTCAAAAGAGCATACTGAAACCAAGAGATCCATGTATTACCAAGCGTACGAGCACTAAACCGCACGACTAACATATACGTTTGAAAAGAACCCGCCCCCCTAGCAGGGCTGGCATACCATGTAACGAATAAGAAGAAGAAAAGAAGAGCCCAAAACACGATATGATACAGTACGGTACAACCAGGCACCAATACCACTACCACAACCACCACACATACCCTGCGAATCCGCCCAAAAGCAAAGCATATCCGCGAACGTGTGTCGCGAAAATCATACCACATTAGCCCATCCCATGCCATCTTGACCCACCCCTCTTGATTGAATACCTGAGGCAGCAGCCAAATCGTCACGAAAAACGCCGAAAAAGGAGTAGAAGTAGGCCCCTAGGGTATTGCCAGTCGCCCAAAAAGAGAAAAAACGATTACGAAAAGGCACAACGCGCGCAACTCAGAAGCATCGTACAGGGCAGCAGGGCTGGGGCCGTACTACCGCCCGCTCCGCGCACTGGCACTACTGCCCTCCCTCCCTACGCTGCCGGTCTTCCGCCCTCGACCCATTAATCCGCTGAGTAGGCCGTCGAGCTCTCCGCTTAGAGCACCTAGTCGCTTTTCTTCGTCGGCGAGGAAGCTCCTCATGAAGGGGTGTTCTTTGCCCACGGGCTCTACACCCGTTGTGTCGTAGATGACGACGAGCATGTCGCGGATCTCACTCCCGTCGTCGAGATAGTTTCTTAGACAAGCATCCGACCACGCGGGGAGCATCGTGCTTTCCGAGGACAGTTGAGGCGAGTTGCCCATCGAGATGGAGTTTTCGTCAATCGGGGCGAGGTGCGGCGACGCGCCTCTCGTGATGCTCGTCGAGATGGAGAGTTTGTCAGGGTGAGATTTTGTCGGACTGTCATCGGGTGTGGGTGTCGAAACAGGAGAACTAGTTTCCTGACTCGACGTATCAATGGACAGACCGGGGGGTTGCCGAGGATCTCTATCCCGCTCGCCGTCCTGGACATGGGCTTTCTCTTGATTGTCGGGATACGAAATATGAACTGGAGATTCAGAGAGACGGCCTGCGGACTCGGCGGTTTCAGTACGAGCGAGCTTGTTCTGTGCTTCTGGGTCTGCAAACGGATCACTGCTGTCGTCCGAGTCGAAGTCGTCTAATCGGACACGTTGTTTTGCTGTCTGAACTAGCACGGGCCCAACATTACTGTTCTGTTGCGGCTGGTTCGCGGAAAAGAGATTCTTCGAGCCCGCGTTATTCTGCGCCGAGCGGTGGTCAGGTGAAAGCACACGCTCGTCCACAGACGGCTTTCTGAGTGAATCTTGATCCGGCGACACCAAGCGCATAGTCGATGTTTGCTGAGTATTTTGTCCATCAGCAGGGTCATCCATCATCATGTCCGAATCCGGTGCTTCCATCGGACTATCCGTCTTCAAAATTCCCTTGGTCTTGATGGGAGAGCCGTCTCGATGCCTATGGGCTTTTTGCAGTTTGGTTTTACTAGACTGTCTTGAAGGGGTAGGTGCGACTCGCTCGGGTGATGGTCGTTCCGTGGATTCCTCTGAAGGTTTCGGTTGGGGCGAGGTCCGGTCTATTTCCTCCAGCTGCTTCTCGATATCGCTGTCGACCGAGTCCGATTTGGTCTTCTTGTCCTTGCGCTTGAACAGTCCGCTCAGCATGCCCGATTTCTTCTCTTTCTTCTTTTTATCGTCCCTGGCCTTGTCCGCAAAGCCATTCTTCTCCAAGCTTTCCAGGCTGGGCCCGCGCTCGCGAGAGCCTGTTGTAGAGGTACTTGAATCGTCGCGTAGCAAATTCGGTGTAAGCGTGATTTTCCGTGTCTCGGTGTTCTCGTCTCTGAAGAATGAGTCTGTGTTACGTAGCGTACCATTTCGGGAAACTTTAGGATCCAACGGACGGTCAGAGCCCTCGTCACTTGCTCTTTCCTTCTTCATCGAATCGGTCGAAGACCTCGAATCATCGTCTGGCCTTGGGTCTTTCTTTCCACCGCCCAGTTTCAGCGGCTGCACCTTCAGACCATCATCTTCCTCCGACTCGGCGGCCTGTTGTTGTATTTGTTTGGGTTCCGGACCGCCAAACAGTTCACCGTCACCGTCATCATCAGACGAATAGTCGTCGTAATCTGACGCTTCGACGTATGTGGGCGGTGCGAATTGCACAGTCTTGGCGTTACGTCGTCGCATGGCCTTCTTAAGCGGGTTCTTCGACGATATCGCGGTATCACCAAGCATCGTCGCAGAAAGGTCAATATTTCTGTGCTTGTTCAGGCGTGCAAGTCGTTCTGTAGGGGTTTCGATATGTTCTGCGGGTAAATAGCCTAGTCTATGCATTAGCAAAGTCCCGTATGAAGAGACTCATCACGTACCAATACTGCTATCCTTGACAACGCGTACTAGCCACCAGTAGCTATTGCTGTCGTCAAGGAGTACCATTGTGTCACCCTTCGTTGCATTTGCCTGACCTTCTACAGTCGCAACAAACGTGTGCAGGGCGTAGACGAATTCGAAGTCGATGTCCTCTGTTTCTCGTAAGCACTCGCCTCCCCAACCTGAGTCGATAAATCGGGAATCATCAGAAAAAGAGACGTCATTGGATGCATCATCGTCGGTGTGGTCCATGTCCTCGTCCCAGGAGTCTGCGTCGCTGTCAGTCGTCCAGGAATCTTCTTCGTCCTCGGTGTGCTTAGCCTGCGGAGGAGGGGTGCCATTGGTTGTTCGAGGAGCCAGTGCAACGGATGCCAAGGCTGAGTCGTCCACTGCGCTGCTGGGAGGCTTGGGCATTGGCTTCAGCATACTTTTGACCTGTTCTTCGTCGTACTCGGACAAGATTGATGCCTGCGAATCGTCGCGCATGAGCTCTAGTCGGCGCTCTACTCGCTTCAGTTCCATCGTCCTTGGGCTCGGTTCTCTGGCCGGCGGAACTATCTCATCGATCTGGCCAGTCTTGGTCGGCAGTCCATTGGCGGTCTCTGTCCCGGGATACTCACCACCATGATGCTCCAATGACTGATTGTGCTGAGAGAATGGAAATGAGATGAGAGTTGGGGATGACGGAGTAGGAGATTGGGAAATAGATTCCAAGCCGGACGGTGAGACACGAGACGGTCTCCCGGCGTCGGCGAAAGAAATGGGAAAATGAATGGGCGTTGTAGTGAAGGGGGAAGAAGAAGCGACTGTTGGCTGCAGCGGCGAAGATTGCGGAGTCAGAGACTCTCTTCGCGCGGGCCAGGTCGCGGGATAACAAGGTAAAGATGACCCACCATCGTCGATCGAGGGCGAGCTCGATATTTGATCCCTCATGTCGTCGTCCATATCGTCGTCGGTGTCGGCATCCTGCATCTCCCCATCGTCGCCTTCAAGACGTATAGCGTGCTCTTCATGGTGCTGGCCGTTGGTGGTTTGTGTCACAGCCCCCTCATCGTCAGAGCCGGGGTCCGCGCGCAGGTTGCTTCCAGCCTGACTCCACGCATTTTGTAAATTGGCCTCTTCTGTGGAGCGCTCCTGGTCGACGTGTCGCAGGGCAGCCTCTTGATGCGGTGCTGCGGGGCCGATGCCGAGGGGCGCCGGGTGCGCGGGCTGTAAGGAATGGTCTTTGGCCGTGGGCGACGATTTGGCCTGCAAGTCGTGGGTATCTGCACGCTGACATCAGCACTCGCTCCTGCCACAACATACTCACACTCGAAGTCGTACCTGCTCTAATTATTTGCGGTCGCGTCATTGTTTCTCATGTCCAGGTGCGCATCCAGTGTCCGCAGACTGTGTCGTTGTCGAGTGACGGCCAAGCACGAGAGTAGCGCAATCAGTGCCAGGGCTGGCCAGCGCAAGGCCGGGCGCTATACGATGGCAGCTCAGGGCGGTGTGTAGAGGACGGCTGCGGTAGAAGATGTTTGCGTGTATGCGTGTGGTCGTAGCGGGAATGCTCAGGTCGTGTGTGCGTGGACTGTTCGTTCTTTGGGAGAGGGAGGGCAGCTGACGGACGGGAGACAATGCGGAGTTGTCGCGGGTGTTTCACAAGCATGCACGTCGCAACAGCGCGTCCAAGGGAGCAGCAGCGTCGCGAGAGGATTATAGAAATAGGCGTGTCGTCGTCGTGGCAGTGGGCATGAACAGTCGGCGGTAGTGGCAGCGGTGTGGGTGGGTGGTATTGTGAGGTTGTGAGATTAGGTAGTAGTGTGCTTTGCTTGGGGGCTGGGGGCTGCAGTGAATTATTTGGTCTTGGATTAGCTACGCTCCTGGAACACCGCCCCCCTGCAAACATGAGACATGCTAACCTGTTCCTGGCCCATCCGTGATAATCAGGCTCGGCCCTTCTATCCATCCGTCTTAACGTCGTCTCTCCAACTGTCGCTTCACTCTCCAATTCACAATCTGCTCAGATATCGCTAGTCGTGGCACAAATGTCATCGCCATGTTGTGTGGCTTCCCCGACTTCTCCACACTCAGCCGCAGCCCTGGAACACCAAACTTGATCGACTCAGCTTCTATTGCAAGCTAGTCTCACGCAGATTATTGTCCAGATTTGTCTGGGTCTCAACTACTTATAATTCAACTTGTATCTAACATAGCAGAAAATCCTCAGCCGTCTGCATCGACTTGCAATCTTCGTCAATGCGAGAAAAGCATGCACAAATTGCACAACAAAGAAACCCATTGCCACTCCACACCAAATGACTGCCAGCGCCGACAAGCTCACCATAAACCCAGTACGAAAACATCTGTCAAATGTCGTTACAACGATTCCCACATCTTTAACGCGCGGCACCACACATAAAAAACGCCGATTGGTATCGGCCCGTTTCTCTTCCCCGTTGCGTACCAAGATTCTCCATTACCTAAACCAGACTTTCGGGAAATAAGCTCGCGCATCGACATTTCGACACCGAGTATTCCTTGCTTCGACAACCAATGCCCTGCTGTACAAATGACGATATCCCTCGCAAAGTGGAAAATTCATCGTAGAAACCTGCTCGATTGCAGCGCTAGGACTGAACTATGGAAGTTTGCACGTCTTCCTGTATTCCTGGGGTATTTCATGTTGAGAGGCAGCGCTAGACTTGTGATGAGGATTCAGTCCTGCATCGAACTCCAACCAGGCTCTTCAAGCTCTTCTTCCGTATTAGGCATCAGCTCGTCAGGCACCGGACCCATCACGATCGACGAGTTGACCGTCGCACAGACGCGGTAATCAAACCACTCCTCCATGTTCTGACCCCAAAATTGCGAATTCATGGACCGCCACTGAAGCATGAGGAGATCCTCTGGATTCCACCAGACCCTGAAGGGATGCCAAATTTCGAGCCACTGCCGTCGTTTAAAGTTAGGCATCGGGTTTACAGGCATCGTTAGTCCCACGATCGTGTATCGATTGCTGCATGAGTGTCGAACTATAAGACCTGCTAAGCCGTGCGATTTCAACCTTGGCAATACTCCTAAACGATAGTAATTCTTTATATACGTCGTTAGATACAAGTCGCCTTCATGTACTTCCTTCGGGGCATGTGTGATGACGTTCCCTTGTGAGTCGACAAGCTGAACATATGGCTCATCGGCATCGTGGATGAGGTAAAGCCGGTTGGCTTCTTTGTCCTTGCTCGACGAGCAGTTTGGGAGTAATCGTATTCCAAACCATGAGACATCTGCCTGTCGTGGCTGTTCGTGCCGTACAGATAATTCGCGATGGATAGGTTGAGACTTACGTCGATTTTCATTTGCCTCATGCATCGTAGGTTGCGTGTGGTCTAGTTCGAAAAGTAAAAGTAAGTTATAGGCACTGTAAGGAAGTGTAAACCCCTGTATCCTATCGGCATAGTGATCTTCGCGCGTATGCAATATGCGAAGAATTTCGATCGCAAGCGTGAAATTGTCCTTTTCATAATCCGGGAACGGAACAGGCTCGTTCTGCCAGTCTATCATTGCCAACAATCCATAAATCTTGTCCCGCAGATCCTGACACTGAAAGCTTAACATCGCTGGCAACGCATACTTCAGATTGCAAGGCAAAGGGTCGGATCCAGTACCTAGCAAAAGGCCCTCTTGTTCCGGGAAAGTCTGCACGAAATCCTTGAACAATGGCTCACATACGTTCCATCGTGCTACATACTTGCGAAATCCACCAGCGATGGCTAGAATTTTCTCATCAAACCTCCCGAGTACCGCATATGGATCGAAGCTCCAGATGCGGTACAAGAGTGATATCGCCAGGAAGTGGTTCAGAGGCTGACGGTCTATTCCACAACAGACTGAAATGCGACCGTGACCCGAATAGAGCTCTTGCAATATCCATACACGTGAGAAATAAGGTCGTCCCATGATGGCTATGAAGGCATTGACCAACCTTACTCGCGCTGCGGACTTCATAGTCACTAGACAATGCAGTTCAACAGACTTCTTCTTGTACAGTATTGGCCGTCCTTTCTTTGTCCAGGTTTCCAAAAATATGCTGGACTCGTGTCGCGTATGAGAATAAATTTTGGCGAAGAACTTAAATTTCCGGCGAAGAACATTCATGAGAAACTCGCTATCGTCCGCATGAGGTCCAATACATGCAAGAACGTGCGCTGCTCGTTTGTATAACTGGCCCATCATGGCGACTTGGTGGTTCTTCTCGTGATTTCCAGTTTGATCGATGCAGATGGCGTCTATCCAATAGTATAAACTGGTTTTCGATGCGTACGCTTGTCGTAAGACGTATTCACAATTCGCTCGGACTGGCATCTGCGCACCATTGATCGAAACGGTAGTTGTCGAAGTGGAATCGCCCCAAGTGTACGATATTGCCGTGTACGGAGGTGCGTCCTCAATCAGCCATGTCGTCAGCTGGCAGACAGCGTGTTCGCCCAGACCAGCCTGTTGGATTTCCAGTAATCGAAAATATGCTTTGGGATCGGGAAGAGGGTCATGTTCAAACTGGTTGATCGCAATATCCGGTTCTGAAAAAGTTGTCATCATAGAGTGGAGGGGTTGGGGAACTAAGTCTATTGCCGCAGAGGAAGGTGCGGCAAGAATGTGTTGTCTTCATAAGCGTAGACAAATCAAGAGGAGAGGTGTTCATGATTTTGCAACTAGTTCTAGGACGTGCTTGGGGTTAAATGCTGTCGCGTCTAACAAGGCTGTGCCCCAGGCTGTGCCCCAGGCTGTGGGGAGGCGCAGCCTATTTTCAGGCAAATTGTCGTCTGCAAAAATGCAGCCCTCAAGATGGCGTCGAGTCTCGAAGGCTGTTAGACTCGCTCCCAGGAGACATATGGTCGATGCAATTAGGTAGTAACATCAGAGGATTACTTGTCCACAACGTGTACTCGATTCGATGACGCTCGATGACGTAAGCGCGCCACATAGAGAAGTAGCGACACTTCGTAGCTACCTATCAAAGTGTGTTTTTACTCCTACTATCATCTTAACATGTCTATCTGGTGACACGTACAGGATAATCAGCGTCACATAAAGGGATTAAGGCGTTTGTCCTAAAAGTCGAGTTCGCATCTGCACAAGTCCTTACACACAAGCACTAAGACGCATTTGTACGGGGTGAACAGAAAATAGGCTTACTGGTCCTTTCTCTTAAGGAATACCATTTTCTTATTTACCTTGATGTGATTAGGGTCATGGAAAGTACGAATTCGGGTTTTTAGTATTGTACCACTTACCTTTTCTCCATTTAGTTGATACCATTTATAAAGATAAGCTCATCTTAACCTTCTGTATTTCAATATATTCCTTCATAGTGAGTCCTCTACGAATCACAAAATCTCTTCAACCCAACAGCAACTCTCTCTTCCCTCCTATTGCACCGTGATAATCTGCGGCCCCACACTGCTAAGCGTTGGCCCAACAGGCACAATAAGCCCAGTCGCGCCATCAAAATACAACCTGTCAACCGTAGTCTCACGGTTTGTACCATTTCCTCCTGGAATCTCAAATCGGTGGTACGCGATATACCAATCATCCGTCCCAGGCACATTGACAATAGAGCTATGTCCTGTACCAAGTATCCCCTGCGCTGTATTTTTCTGCAGGATAACGCCGCGGTACGTCCACGGCCCCGCGACGCTCTCAGACGTCGCATAACCCACGCGGTAGTTCTCAGACCTTGTGTCGTCGATGGAATATGTGAGGTGGAACAGACCGGCACGGAAGTTGACGAAGATGCCTTCGCGGAAGTTTGTCAGTCCACTGATCGCAGTGATAGTTCCATTCTTTAGGGAAACCATGTCATCCGCTAACTCTGCGTATAGAGGCGGGCTGCCATTACCCCAGAACAGGTAGTATTTCCCCGTTGTCGGGTCTCGGAATGCTGCTGAATCGATCGCCTGACCAGTTGTGACGTTCTCGTTGTTCAGGATCATAGCAGTGGGTTGTGCGGTGAAGGGACCTTCCGGCGAGTCTGCCACAGCGACGCCGATGGTTTTGCGGTTATATGTCGGATTATGGCCGCTGAAGTAGAAATAGAACTTGCGACCCCTCTCGATGATCGTTGGAGCCCAAGCGTTGCCGGATGCCCATGGGACGTTGCCATCAGTGCCGTTGAGAGTCAGTATTGGTTCGACAGATCGCGTCCATGTAACAAGATCTGGCGATTTCCAGACGTAGAATACTTGACCGCCCCATTCCGAGAAGCCATCGGTCGTCGGGTAGATGTAGTAGGTTTGGCCGAAGATGGCAATGTTTGGGTCTGCGTATAGACCTGGAAGCACGGGGCTGTCCCTTGCAAGGACGCTAGCCCTACGAGTGTTTCTTCGTCTCGTTGACACGTATGACGCTTTCAGAGAGGCGAGTTCTTTAGCAGTCACTGGAAGTACGGTGCCGTGGCGCGGGCTTGTCGGAAGCGTATACGAACTCGACACTTGCCAGTTCGGGTGCGCGATGTCAGCCGTCTCGAGCGGAATATATCCACGGCCACCATACTCATCCACAAAGAGGTAGAATTTCTCGCCGTTGACATCTCCGGTGTTTGCTTTGAAGACCGTTGGTCCCTCAACTGCACGTGTGCCTGCGTTTTTCCCGATACATGCAGCGACCTGGGCCCATGACGGAAGAGTGGCAAGAAGCGATGTTGAACGCTCCTGGATAATATCAGCGCAGCCTGTACCTGAGGCGCCTTCGTCCTTGGTAAAGCGGTAGAATGTGCCGTTCTCTTCAATGACGGTCGAATCGATGCGCGACATCCCCGCGTCCTGCCATACAACGGGATCACTGAAGGTTACAAAGTCGCGTGTCGTAACGTAGAGCATCCGGTGGTATGTTGATCCGGTATGGTTGGTGTCATTTTCAGCGTAGATCGAAGACGCCCAGAATACCAGATATGATCCAATGGTCGTATCGTAGTAGGCCTCTGGCGCCCATGTGTTGCCAGCGGTGGATGGAGAAACCTTGACATGGCGTTGTTGTGACCAAGTGTCGAGGTCGTTGGATTCCCATATCTCCAAATATAGACTGCCGGTGCGCACAGAATCACCCCAAGAAGTGCCAGATCCAATGGAAAGGTCAGTCGCTAGCAAGTAGAAGGTGTCTCCTTCAGGTGATCGAATGATGAATGGGTCACGCAGTCCTTTCGTGCCTTGTGTTGAGGTTAAAATGGGCTGGCCACCATTCAGCTGCGACCAGCTTAGTGCGTTGTTGCCTTCGCTGCCGGCCAAGTAGATCTTCTCGCCAGCTATATCGTTTCCTGTGAAGTAGAAGAATGCGTACCCTTCGAGTGGGTCGAGTATAACCGCTTGTCGTACATTGGCGGTGAACGTACGATTTCCAGTTGATCCATCATTTTCAACCGTCGCCGTGAGTGTGACTATGACATCGATAGACTCTCGGTGTACGATACCATCAGGCGATATGATAGACGGCGAGCTACTAGACCAAGTTACGTTCGAACCATCCGAGCCAGCGGGCAAGTAGAGGTTGCCACGGACGTCATCTACATTTATTATGCTGATGCTGTTGAGTGCTGCCTGAACCTCGGTGAAGTTTGATCGCGCAGCAGCAGCCAAGCACGAAGCGTAAGAGGAGACTAAAATAAGAAACGTTTGCATGATCTGAAAAGTTTGATCGAACAACCAGCGAAAGTCTCAAAAGTTGACACGCATGCTCCAGATATAAAGATCTGTGTTGTCGTCCCTAAGAGGAAACATTTCCGCCATGCTCCTCAGAGATACGGCGTGATCGGCGACTTGATCATACTAGACATGGCTTGGTGGATGAACCAACGAACAAACAAGCTCCGCAAGGACTATGAGGGCTGATGACGTAGCAGGTTCGGAGGAGAGATTTTGCGGAGCATGTGTTATTCCAAAGGTTCGACTATCAATTGCCCCGAAACTCCGGGTCGATATGAAGTACCGCGTATCCACTAAACCTCTTCTGGCATCAAAAGGCGTCCAAGACTTCCCCGCATTTCGACCCCTGACCTTCGGCCTTGGTTGTGGCGCGCTGATGCTCCTCCATTTTTATATAGTATTTCACATGAGTGCTCGGGCAATCAAATTGAACCTACGTAACGCATCCCGAATCGACTACAGCCCAGATTATAAATGCCACAATCTGGATGCGCAGGCTCATAATCCTTCGATGGATCAATTTTGTACGAGGCTGAAAGTAAATGCAGAGGCTTTCAAACTGTCCCACAGTAGGTGGAATACGTATTGCAGTGGAAATCCAGGAACCCGACAAACCAATTGAAGAGATAAAATGACATTACCGATCAAACACTTTCGCCGAACGCATCGGATGGCCTAACGTGTGCCTCTTTACTCGAGATTGGTGACGATACATGTTCCAGAATAGTTGAGACTGTATGTTGAGCAGCCCACCGAACAACGCAATGGTATTGAGCAGAGAGACCTACTGCGTATCAAGCTCAAATACAAAGCCTATCCGAAAACACACTACCTGGGATGGCGGGTGGCTACAATTTACACCCCTCAATTGCAAAATTTAGTTACCATGCCAGCTCCACCAACTCTTGAAAGCTCAACTGCCATTACGAATTACCCAGGCCACCCACAATCGCCTTCAGCTTTATACTTTGTTCTAAACCAATCTTGATATTTAAAGTACATGCTGTTTTATCACCTCTACTCCCTTCGCCTATTCTTCCCATTTTTAAGATTGGTTTTCTGACTTGTTGTTTCTTGGTCGACTCCGATCGAATGGGCGCTCGAACTCCTAGATGGGACGATCGGACGATTGAGGGAATCGCGTTTCCTTCCTTCAGCGTCTTCTTTTGGTGATATACCCCCTACTTTCAGTCGTTACACCTCCAGCAAGGCCATACAAACGAGCGCGTCGGTTATTTCGCTTTTTCGTAACTGAATGTAGATCAAAATCCAAGGGCGAAGATACCAGCCAACAACACATTAATTTTCCACCCTCCCCTCCCACCATTCCCCGCTGCAGCATCGCCCGTACGCACCGCGCTTGCCATCCCGGTAGCCGTTGGCGATGGCGTCAGTTGCGTGCTCGTAGTCCCACTCTTGGTCAAATTTCTCTGAATATCCGACCACGTCGCAAACGTCAACGGCTTGTCTCCCTCCTTCTTGACAATCGTAAACAAACTCGATGTAAACACCGTGAACATCTGCTCATCCACATTCGTCAGTTCTCCCTGTAGAAGGTAATCGCTCCTACTCTCCAGCTCTGCATCGGGTACCCATTCCGCTTCGCCGGTATCCGGTACGCGTTGTAGTGGCCGCTGGAGCACGTCTGAGAAGTCGCAACCGATAGATGATGCGTTGTACCCTCCGGGGCCGGGAGGCTCGAGAACGCAGTGACCCGTGTATGTGTATAGGCTCAGGGAGAAGTATGTCGCGTTGTTGGACTCCCATTGTATTTTCAGGGGCTCGTTGGCGACTAGTCTGGTATTGAGTGTTGGAAATGTGACGCCTGATCCGATGTGGCCGGCCGGTCCGCTGCAGTAGCAGGGTCCGTCATAGGACGTTACCATGGCGCAAGAACAGTAGATAGCCGTGGAAAGCCGTATGGGGAGGAGTTGCGCGCTCAGAAAGGTGGACGTTGAATTAGGGATTTAGGCGTCCAGCCTACACTCCACCGAGTCAGTACGCAAACCATCGATCGCTGCAACCTTATTTCCTTCGCAGGCTGCCAACCTCAACATCCCCCTCACGACAGCCGTGAATGATGCCAGCGTCTTTGTCAGCACCAGATCGAACGAGTGTTCGCATACCTGCCACCAGGCAACGACGCCTAAATGCACGTCGCCCCTGCATCGCATTTGTAAGCAGATGTCGTGCATCTTCTCGAACCGCCATCTCGCTTCCATCGTACCATCCGACGTCTGCCTGATTCTAACGCGGCAGAGCGATCGCAGGCTACGAACGCCACGTAGCACGTCCCACAAAACGCGCTGACACGCTGTCACATGCTCTCTTTCTGGCCAATCAGCGGCTCAGACATCACATCTCAGCGCCCTTCATCTGAGAATGTATGACTCCCACCCGCTCTTCTGTCCCAGTCGTTGAAAATACCTCAGAGAAACACAGATTTTTCAGCCGTCTTGAGGGGTGTGGTTGGGATCTGATTGGTGATTATGTTCAGGCATCTGTCGCATGCAGGGACAAATTCATCAATCCAATGTCATTCTACCCCCAAAGCCACCAGTGCTTGTCACAATCCGCATGTGCGACGTCTGCCTGCATATGCACGGATCAATGTCTATCCTTGATGGCGTCATTATGTATCTTGTGATGCTCAGCCCTTAACATCTCGCATCCATATGCCTAAAGTAGTCATAGTTACTTAGCTTCTCAGGCAGTGTCAGGCATCAAAAGGGCGCTTGGCGTAAGGCGTCAGGCAGAGTTGGGGGCCAAACCCAAATTGAACGTCAGATCAAGGCGCAAGCATGGGAACGAAATTTACTGCGAAGTTTTGAATTTGTTCGAGTGTTCTCGTATACATTATCATACAACAAGTCTAGTATCCATCTCTGTCATCGCCCTTGCATCGGTCTGAGTGAGCGAAGAGCTTTCTGTCCGTCTATCTATCTGTCGTGATATGCATGTTCCGGACATGCCAACATGAAGTATAAGAAATTATGTCTGCGTTCCAGCTGTGTGCTCAAAGCGAGCGCCTATTTGCCAGATACGAGAGTGGTATCGAAAAAAGTGAACAAAAGGAAAAAACATCTTGACCGCACTGTACACCGTGCAGTGCGCGAAATTGTTAAACCAATCTTGACCCATCATGCAAAATATGTTCCTCGCTCTAATGGTAAATCATTATCGTATGCGACTCACTACTAGTTGACACGCGCGAACCCCATTTCCCATAGTCATCTCCGCTGAAGCGCCATAAGTGCTCGCTCGAGCTCCCCTAAGCGTGCATCCTTCTCTTCGATCTTATATCGTAAGCGCTTAATCTCCGCACGCATATCATCGTCACCGCGATCTGAGTAGCCAGAGATGGAGCCACGTTTGCGCTTGTGGGAAAGCTCGTCCTCGTCGCGGTATTGGACCATGGGAGTGTACTGTGACTCAGAACGTTGAGGAGTCTCGACCAGTGGGGAGCTTTCGTGCGATGGGCGGCGAGGAATGACTAGGCTGTGCAAGTCTGCTGATGTACTTGTCCGACGGTGTACGCGGCGGATGTGTTCGGCAAGGTTCTCCTTCCGTGTGAAGCCGGCGCCCGAACTGCGTTTGCAATCTGTAAACGGACAGAAGAGCGAACTCTTCGTCCCACCGTGCATCTTGTGTACCTCGCGTTCGTGGCGCAAAAGACCGCCACTGTATGTGAAGCCTTGCAGTTTCTCGCAACCCTTGACGTTGCACTTGTAGGGCCGATCGTGTTTATCCATATGTTTGCTGCGGTCAAGTCAGTAATTAAACGATGAAATTGAGAGAATGTACTCACCTCCATTCGCATTTTCTATCAAACATGAGAGTGGCACAATCTTGATGTATGCAGATCATCTTGCCGTCATGGTTTTTGGGGGGCTCCTCCGCGCGCTTGTAAGAGCGATTCTTTTGCTGTGATTCAGTGTCGTCGCAATCTGGTAAAGAACTCTCCTCGGAATCATCCCGTGCAATGTTCTGAAGATCCACATCCATCGGGTCTCGCTCAAGGCGTGGAGATGGAAGTGGCGTTCGGTTGTCCAAACTGTCTGGAGTTGGGATATCAGGGTTGGAGTTTAAAGATAATTTCCGCTCATGCGTGTGGATGGGTTGGGGTGCTTGCATCGCATTAATATCCGGTCCTAATGTGTTTACCATCGTGTGTTGAGGATGTGGGAAGGTAAAGGTGATGTTGTCGTTCGGTGGCGACATGAAATTCAGATGGCCAACTTGATATATACTATCACCGAAAGACGCGAAGCCGGTGTGTGGCGCAGCAAAGCTACCGTCTCCCGTAAATTCGGTGACTGTAATGCTTGGAGTAGTATTCGTCAGGTGATGATGCGGATTCGTCCGTTGGGGCAAATGCGGTTGCCAAGACTGATCTAGGCTTAGGCCCGAATTAACTGGAGCTAACGCGAGTGGCTCGCAGAGTGGCAAGAAGGGACCGAGATCAGAATATATAGGTTGCAAGGGCAGTGACTGATCTGTACCATCGTTAGCAGGCTGAAACTAATACTTGTCAAGCGCGTTGTGAGTCAAACGCAAGGCTAAACGAACCTATGAACTGAGGTAAAGGGTTGTAGTCGGGTTGCCAGGCTTCCGTCCGAGCCTGGAACTCACGATCCACAGGTGAGTCCGAGTGTGTCTCAATGAGTCCTAGGCCAAACTCGCGGTCTAGGTGCCTAGTCAGCAAGTGAAACATCGTTGAACGTGCCAATCGACAACTCCAAGTCTGTACTTCAACAACCAATACAAGACAGCAGCAAGCATAACTTACAGTCAGATGGTGCAGGTGCAGGCAAGTTCAAGTCGAAGTCAATCTGTTGGAGTAGTCTGTCCAGCGGTACACTATCATTGCCGCCTCTGGTGTCCTCGTCGCTCGAGTACCCGTAAAACATCCAGCAGACGCCCCATAGAACAGCCAGCGATGACTTGATAGTCCACGGAAAGGATGTACTGAGCGGACGAGGCTTTTCGGCAAACTCGGTGAACCAGCTCAGGAGCTTGCGCTGCTTCTCGTTGCGCCCACCGCGTAGCAATTCCACAAGTGCCTTGCGGGCTATGACGTCGATCAACTCGGCTTCGAGTCGCAACAAAAGATGCTCATAGTTGGCAATGAAGCACTCGTCTATGCTCAGCCCGAGGTGGTGACCCTGAGCTACCAGCCATGCATCGCCATACTGCGATCGGCATTCAGAGAGTAATCTGATAGCATAGTCGATCGCGGCCAAGAGCTGAACTGCCTCGTTCAATGGGCGACCTTCGAAGATCGACAAACTGCTTTGTTTGAGAAAGAGGCCGTCATTGCCCGCAATTGCAGACAACGGACTCCCCGCAGGGCTGAGCTTGTCGTCGACAGCGCTAAGGACACTATGCCGAAAGCTTAGCACATGTAACCGAAGTTGAGGCTCTCTGTACCTACTGTTGCACCTCCCCGCCAGATGCGTTTGAGCTAGCAATATTGACCGACAACCTTAGCTGCGGCCTCAAGAGTTCCGAGCTATTCTTGCGCCGCTTAGATACGCGATTGTTGACACGTCGCGACTGCTTCGCATCGAGAATGCTCAATTGGCATATCCCAGTGGTGATCTTGGTGAGCGCTCTCAGGCCGGTAGACTTGGTGCCAAGCTGAGATGAGCAGACCGAGCCACAATGTATGCGTAGTTTGACGCGTCGACGCAGCTGCTTAACAAATTGAATCACTTTGAAAGTGAGGGAAACATTCGTGGCCTCGAATTGCTGGATCGCCATGGCTGCGCAAACCCAGGCATCAACGATGTAGAGGACAGGTATGGTGAGATACGCCCCCTTCACCCGACCCTAGGACGTATATACACAATGCCATGTTGGCGGCCGCAAGGCCAGGAACTGCCTGACGGTCAGCCTTCTCTCCAGATGGTTTCACGAGATGAGCACATTGGAGCCACTATTTCACGCCACATTGTGTTGATTGGTTGAATTTCCGACACAGCCACCTTCTCGGCAGGCTGCGATCCTCAACACCTTACCCCTCGTCCTATCATCGTCATAACACAACACCAAACCCGGTCAATCACCAAGATTCGAGAGGCGCAGCCAATCATTTCCTTATCGAGGATTTCCTCAGGCACAAACAACTGAGCACGTGCCGTGTCGGAGCCGCTCACCGCCTGGTATGATGTTGCTGCCTTCTTGGGTGGCTTTGCTCCCCTGTACTCGGCGATCTGTTCCTGCATTCTCATGGAAACCGTCTCAGGCACTTCGGAGCACGATGTACCGCTTGCACGATGGAATTTACAGCTTCAATTCTAAGGTGTTTCACCGGTCTCGAAACGACCTGGAACACTTATCGTACATCAACGTCTCGATTTCTGACAATATCAAACCATGCTCTTGTTCTAACATACGACTACAAAAATTGCAAGGCTGATGTTAGGCAGAATTTTCTACTTCAGGTGATTTGCGGCTGAGACAAAAGGCAACCGCGCATGGACGAGGTAAAAGAGCTCGCGTAGTAATCATTCTCAACGAAGACATCAGTCTGGCGTGGGGTCAAAGATAAAGTGATTGACAGTTCAAGATAATCTTGCCCACAATAGTTTGTATCAATACCAATCGCTTCGAAATTCAGCTACATTTTCGCCTTGACCGGACGTCCAGAGATGATCTTCATCACATCTCCACTGATGCTTCGATATCGCCCCCGAAAACAATTGCTGTACGTTTAATTGAAATCCCGTTCCATAGAACCATACGGTAGTCGCATTTTCAACAAGACACGCGACATCTTTGCTACTCTTTCCAAATCCAAGTCTACCCACCTATCAGTATGCGTTTCCACCTGTGTACAAGAAACAAAGTTCAGCAGCAAAACACGCATTGCATAATCCCCAACGGTAGCTGTCCAAAGACAAAGCACACCACCTTGTCTCAGTAACGCGCATAATCGAAACACACACATCAATGTTTGCAACCCCACCGAACGATCAACGCAAGGTCTGTGTTTCACCGCCAAACTATACAGCCGTGGACGAAACACCACGATCCTCGCCCATTGTAGGACGGGCACGTGTTTCATGACTCGCATGCCGTTTACCTCGGAACCAGACAACCCAACTCTAGATGTGTATGCATGATGAAGGAAGGATTATTGGGAATAAAATGATACTCTACACGATATACGCGTACAGGATGATGGCTCTTGTCCAGCCGATTGTTGACCAGACCATCAATATCAACGCCAACATGGAAATCTCGTGTACTTCTCCCCATAAGCACAAGAACAACCCTCCCTTGAGACGAAGGTATGAACGGGGAAGTTGAGCAACACCGTAGTGTGAGAATAGCACGTGACGGAATGAAGTAGCAAGTAAGGAGACGTGAGATGGTCAGTAAGGCAACGAACAACAAAGAGGAGAACTTAATTCCTACATGTACAAAAAGGGTAGTAGTAAGACCATCATGACGAGCGGCAAAAGTAGTTATAATACAGAGAGAGATCGCGACCTCATACGCCGTTATTTTCGCGCTGGCTGTGGTGTTTTTCCATTTCCTTCATTTCATATCCCGTTCCCATCCCGTCCGTCCTATTCCATCATGAATGTCGAACAATGTCAACGTCCTAATTCCTCAGTCCAAGCAAGAAGCTGCCGCCCGACTTGCCGCCCTCGCCACCCGCGCCACCTCCAGGCAGATACGAAACATTGGGGTTCCGGCTCAGCATCTGCGCGATGTCCTTCTGCGTCTCGATGCGTCTGATAAGGACGAGACCGTCTCCACTCTTAGCCACAGCCTTGCTAATCGTGTCGGCGGCCTCTGCTTCACCCTCCGCACGGATAACATTGGCCTGGCGCTCCTGCTCAGCCTTCTCCACGATGAAGCGCGCGCGCTCGGCTTCCTGCTGTGCAATCTGCTTCTCCTCGACGGCCTTGGTGAACTCCTTGCCGAAGGTCATGTGCGTGATGGACACGTCTTCTAGCGCGATGTTGAACTCGTTGGCGCGCTTGAGCAGGTCGGCGCGGATGCGGTTCGAGACTGCCTCGCGCTGTGTGATGAGCTCCGCGGCGTCGAACTGAGCGACGATGGCTTTGAGGACTTCGTTGCCGATGGAGGGGAGGACTCGCTCGTCGTAGTCGAGGCCGAGGTTCTACGTACATCAATTAGTCTATACTCTACAAGCGTGAATGCATGCAGGAGTGCGTACCTGGTAGATCTTCGGCAGCTGCTTGACCTCCGGGCGATGCAGCACGCGCAGCGTCAGCGTCACCATCTGCAGATCCTTGCTGCCCGTGGTGGTGGAGATGTTGCGCGGCCGTGTGCGCACATCATACACGATAGCGCGCTGCAGCCAGGGGACCAGGAAATGTGTGCCCTCGTTGACGACGTCCTCTTTCACGCCAGACACTCGGTCGAAGATGACGGCGCGCGTCCCGCCCTTGACGTCGTACAGCGACGACTGCAGGAAGCTGGCGGCAATGCCCGCGGGCACCAGCCAGCGGAAGAGGGAGCTGGGGATCGCGGCCATGGTGGTTGTGCGGGTTGGTGGGTGAGGCGGGGGCGTGCTGGGGGCGTTGGGGGAGCGAAAACGGAATTGTGAGGTGCTGTCATGGATCTGTAAAGTTGGTGCACGGACCTGCGGTGATGCTGCGCTGTTATTCGTCCACCCTGCCTTCTTGTCATGTTCACGTCGTCAACGGCTGCATCTTTCGAGGAGATGATATATCGGGTGTGTGTAGTCGGGAGCTTTATGAGATATCAGACGCTGTGATTTTTCAATCTCAACATATCGTCATTCAGCAGAGCGCTGCCTCATGATGAAGCTGGTTGTAGAAACAAGAACGCCAACCCCTCTAATGTATAAGCCTGGAGGCCTTTCCAACACCCTCTCCATATTCCTGCCCACTTCAACCCACCCTACTGCGCTGCCTGCCCCTGCGCCGCTTGACCCGGCTCAACAAACCCCGCATGCTCCTTGTGCGCCTTATACCAATAGCTACCCTCCTTCTTCGGCTGCAGCTCAGGCGACAACTTGTCCAAAATAACAGCAAGCAGCTTCGCCTTGCCCGCCTCATTCTCCGCATCCCTAGTCCACACAGCAACCTGCACAGCATTCCATCTTACCGAGTACGTGATGCCACAGATATCGTCGTTGAAAGCTGGTTTCCTTATTAGTCCATGTATACTCGCCAAAATCGACAAGGCACAGAAATGAGCTCACCAATCCGTTTCGTCTCCACAGCACCCTGCAACACATCCCCCACAGCAAGCAAACACATCTCGTGCCAAAACTGCTCGGCCACATCCTTCCCGATCTTAAAGTACCAAGCGCCGCCCTTCACGTTCCGCGGGTCCTCCCACACCGGCTTCACACCGACGTGGAATAGATGAATCGAATCGCGCAGCTTCAAGCTCTCCACAGGGATATTATTGAAGTGCTGGTAGAATTCCTTCACGCTGATGATCTGCTCGCCCAGTGGCTTGGGGCGCATAGCATAGCCTTCTGCCTTCACAGGGTTGTCTTTAGGCGCGCTTTGCTGCCCCTTTTCCGCCCAGAACATCCATTTGTGGCGGAACTCGGGGACGCGGACCGACTTGAAGATGGAGTTTAGCATCGCATGGCCGCGGGCGGGAGATGCGGTTGCGGCTTGTTCTTGTGGCGAAGCATCGGGGAGGTCGGACGTGTTGAGGACGGGGAAGCGGCCTGCCATTCTGGGGATCGCGAGGTCGAGGGCGTTGGTTAGGTCTGAAGTCGTGGGTTCGATAATGGGGGGCGGATTACTGAAGGGAGTGTCGCGGATGATGTGCGTGTGGACGAGATTGAGAAGTCGTCGGAGACCGGGCTTGAACTCGGCGCTCAGTGGTTGGTTTAGCGGGGGCACGGGTACGCCGTTCTTATCAGCGTAGGAGAGAGCTTCGAGGAGGGAACTCGGAAGAGAGTAAGGGAATGCTGTGACCTCTGCGACTTCGGAGGTTGGCGTGGGAAGTGAGTCACTGTAGTCGACGAGCTTATCATCATTAGCCATCTGGGCGGCAATTGCTTCGAGCAGGCCGACGAGACGAGAAGCTTCGACCATGGTGGAGATAAAATGGGGGTTAAACTATTGAAATGATGGATAGGCCAGTGTGGCAAGAAAAAAGATGCGGAATGGGTGGAAGAAAGGCTGCCAGGCCGAGTATAAAAGCGAGAAGTCCGAACTTCCATAGCATAGAAGGCTCGTTCGCGGGTAGTGCCCGACATTGGTGAAGGTGCATACTGGTGGTGACTTGGTGAAGGGAGGGGCGACGGAGGAAATGACGCAAGATGATGAGAACGAGGTGAAAATCGTGGGGATAGAGTGAAGATACGGTCGAGATATCAGACGTTGTATGTAGGATTGGGAGATCAGACATCATCTGATTGGGGCTGATGTTTTGACTGTGGTGGAAAAGGAGGGCATTGACGGAGATGTCTCGGCGGATCGAATAAGAGCCGGAATAGAGAAACAGACAGAGAACAGGAAAATGAAACGAAACGAGCAGAGTGATGTGCGGAAGCTTATACGTACAAATTCTAAACAACGCCGTCTTCAATCAAGCCCAGCGATCTTTCAGAAAACCCCCACTAAGTCAAAGTCCGAAACGAGGGGCAATCCAAACACACGAATCGAACACGGGTAGCAACAACCACACAACGACTCAAGCAGATGGAGAAAAGAAGGCCGGCAGCAAGGAACGAAGTGAAGTCAGCTTTCAGACGGCCCACACGCCAGCTCTTAAGCACACGACGACAAGTCAGCAGCCAGTCCAATCCGTTTCAAGACGCTGTTTCACTACCCCTGCTGATGACAACGAGAGGGCCAATCACGGCCCGGAAGCGCGTCTTGGCGGCCGTGATGACGGCTGCGGGCCGAGCGTGGAATTACCGTGCGGTACTGTAAGCCGTTGAACTTTGTTTGCAGCCTCCTTCTGGAAAAGATAAGGTATGAGTTAGTAGTAGGTAATTTGCCGTTGCAGCAAGTCGCTGAACCAAACAAAAACACAAACATGACGTGGCGTCGCGGCGTGATTACGCGCCAGACATTTTTTTTTCGCTACACGACAACCACGCTAGATGCTCATCCACTTTGTTGTCAAACATTTTCGTCCCCCGCAAAACACAGCTGAAGCACACACTTCCCACCACCCCACGCCCGCAATGTCTCGCAACGCCTCGCCCCACATGTCCAGTAGTCCAGGCCGCAAACCAACCACACGCTCCTCCACAAACAAGCCCGCAACCCCCACTGCGAAAAAAGCAGCCCCGCCGCCCAGCGACTCGGACGACGACAGCAGCGAGCTATCTTCCTCCAGCGAGGAGCCCAGCGACGAGAGTTCCGACGACGACTCGGACGAGGAGCTCGAGGACGCAGTGGACCAGGATGGCGTGGTGAATGTGCGGGCAAACCGGGGGAAGAAGCCTGTCATGAAGCTGAATAAGAATGAGATGGGGCCTGATATACGTGTTTTCCTCAAGGAGTTCTTGCCGCAGTTGAAGGCTGCGAATGACGAGTTGGCGGCGCAGAAGAAGGCCGGTACGCTGAAGAGCATTGATGCTATGGATGGGGTGGAGGGGGGGCAGGGCGCTGCGGAGGTGGATGAGGATAAGGATTATATTGAGATGGATCTTGGGCTTGGGGTGTTGGAGGTTAAGGATGATAGGGATGGGGATAATGACGATGAGATGGATATTGGCGAGGGGGGGAAAGAGAGGGATGTTTTGGGGAAGCTTATGGGGCGGGAGAAGACGGGGAAGCCGGCTGTTGTGCAGGAGATGGATACACAGCGCTCGTGAGGTGTTGGCATGTTGATTGCCACGACGTCGTCAGACTTGCATGATGCTACGCCATCCTCCCACCCACGGCTCAGCAAACTCCCCGCAGTCACCGCCGCGTTCCTCGAATCCCCACAACCGCTCACGCATGCCCAGCCCCGCCCTTCGCCCACGTCGCATCAGCATTCGGATGAACCCTCGGCTCCTCAATCCCCTCCCTAACCTCCCTCTTCCGCCTAAAATCGCTCCCAAACCTCGCATCCCTCTCATCCAACCTCTTCTCAAAATCCGGCATCTGCCCCGCCTCCGTATAACTCGTCATCAACTGCGGCGGCCCCAACGGCAACTTATCCCCACGATCCGTCTGCCACAAATGGTAAATCTTCCCGTACAAATGCACAACCTCCTCCATCTCCTTGTTCTCGGCCACCTCCCACGCCGCCTCAGGGACAAGCGCGGGTTTGGGCATGATCAGCATGCCGGACTTAACTTCGAAGACGTGCGAGTGCCACAGCGCCTGTTCTTCGGCGTCGAGCGTGTCGTACAGTTTGGGCGTTATCATGTACTCTTGCCGGAAGTCAATACAATACATTCTGGCCACTGACGGGGGATGGCTTACCGATCCCAATTATCCGCGCCGGCGGCGTCGGCGAGTCGTACAGAATACATTGCCGCACGTCGTCGTTCAGGTGCGCGCAGTAGTGGTTCGTCTCGACTGCGGGGCGCGTCGGGTCGTGCGCGTAGGCGTGGAAGGCGTTGAGGTGTGCGCAGATTCGCTGCACGGGCGCGAAGTTCTTATACATATATATCAATAAACCTGGACGTTGCTTGAGGGGTGTTTTGGTAACTCACCTGTACGGCTGAAGCGCCGGTTTCCAGCACTTTGTTCTTCACGCTTTCGGGCTCGCCGCATGTTTTGTTGTGCGTGGGTAGTGATTCCATCGTGGTTTTTGATTGAATTAGCTTAGAGAGTGCTATGTCGTGGGCAAAGGGAGTCGTGTGATTATATTTTCTGCAGTGTATGATGGACTGACGGACTGACGTCATTGTGACTTTTAGTCGACTAACGGAAACCCATATCGAGCGGATGGGCTCCACAAGAAATCACTTACTACGACGCATTGTGTATTACTACCGCATGTTTCACGTATGTGGGAAACTGCAGGAAATTCTTAACGTAGATCACCTTAACGTTCACCGCGTCAGACAGGAGAGGTCTTACCAAGACGCTCGTTCTCGACACTTCCTCACATCGTACAGGCCAGCACAATACGTGGAATATGCACAACCAAATTCCTCGGGGTCTTATGTACAGCGGATAATTCCCAGTTTCCCCAATCGCAGACTTGAAGGGATAAGCTCCACCCTACATCGCATCTCCACACTTTTCACAGAGAAGTGAACGCCTTGCCTGCTCTCTCTTTCCAATGTAGCGCGGGGATACCTCTCTCAACGAATTGTGAATCCTGCTGTACACAACGAGATTGAGTCTATGCAGTTATATCATCGCTCTTATTGCTACATCGTGTACAACTCTTACAGCACGTTCTCTGGGGTTGGAAATAGTGGTAATGGTATGGTATATTGCATGCAGATACGCCAGCAGGACTCAGTGGGACTTGGGGTTGGACGGCTGCAGAAGATAGCTGGGCGAGCATTTTACAGCCTACGGCAACAAGGGAAGGTTGGCTTGTTAGAATTGTTTTCAGGCTAGTGGGCTGGCGCGGGTGAAGTAAGGGGGCCTCCTTGGACGGATGGGAAGAGATGGTCGTCGAATTGAAGAACTTTGTAACATTTTCACTAGTCGCTAGGAGTGTATACGAGAACCTTCCGTACAGAACCATGCTTTGACGTACTCTCCTCATGAGTAGTTTCTCTAATCGATTAGTAGACTGGGTAACTCTTCCCATACTATAGTATCATTAGCCTCCGCGGACATAAAGGAGAAGTGGTAGAGAAAGAAGCCAATGCATCTTGAAAGTACAGCATAAGTCAAGATTAACAGAGCGCCTGGACCAAGGATCAACCTTTTGTACTGCACTACAAGCCAGCGATGTACTTACGTAAACGGCATACCTTTCTAACATAACAACAGGATACGGACTCAGAAGTTGAGGAAATGAGTTAGCGGACTACACAGGTATCGTTAATCGTAGCTACTGGAGCATCGAAGTGAATCGACGAGCCCATTGTGCATGGAATTAGACTCTTAGATTATAGGTTATTGAACGATCTCCCATATCGTCTATGCGTGACTATAGCAGCTAACTCGTTGAATCATCTGGCAATCTCGATGCCTTCGACCAGGATTGCACATGATTAATAGAGCTCTCACATCCTCAGACCTACATGTGTTATTGTCATATTCACCCGGTCAAGATGATAACCAAAATCGACTAGTGGTCTAGTGAACAAGGCCCCGACCCTCTATCGTTCGTTCATGGGCGCGAGCTCTCGCAATTTGTACATTTCGAACGCCACGACGATTCGACAGAACATTGTTCCTCCGAGGAGTTAACTAACTACCTCGATTGCGTCGAAGACCGACAGGAGGATTACACTGGACATAATGACAGTGCTAAATATGAGATGCGCCCATGCAGCGAATTTTATCATCCAGTTCATGAAGAGAGGCGGCAGCTTGGCTTGAAATGGAAGTTAGTTGGTGGAAGGTGCCTTGCGCTGATGAAGGCGCAGGGATTCGTTTCCCTAATTGCAAAACATCTCAGACTGGCAAGGACTTTTTTATCCTCGGCTGCTCTCCACTATCTCAGCAGTTCGATGGGACGATGCCCGTTCGTTGCACAGACGCAAGGTTGCAACTCTCAACGCTTGTGTGAAGACACCGAGCATAATCCAGAGCGTCAGAGAAAACGCTTGTTGTGTCTTGCAAAAGGTGCCCGTTATTATGCTGACCAAGGTAATGCAGTAAAAGCTCAAAATTTAACCTTGGGATGTGGCGATGCCTACGGCAACAAAGATCAATGTGTATTCTACAAGCGAGATCGTAACTTTGTAGCGCTCTTGGTTACAACGGCTTCATGCCAACGGTGGTGTTGGCTCGAAACCAATTCTTTTATGCGCAAACGTCACGATGGGCGACGCAATCGACACTACTAGGGCACTGTGTGGCGAGTATCGACGTATCGCCAAATCTGGGCTCGATGAATTGCATAGCTGCGGGCAGGAAACCGAGAATGACTGAGCAAATGGCCATCTCAGCGGACAGCAAGTCATCCAGCTATCCATCGCCGAAGGCGTGATTCGGTAACTCAGTGATGCGATTCAAGCGTCGTGCCTCTCTGATAAGTTTGCAAGAGAAAATCGAGGCTCAAGCTGAATAGTATGTCTAAAGAACAAACGAAATTGTCGTCGCTGCGGTACACGAGTAAGCGACTAAGCTTCGAGTTCGTGTATGGGTTGCATGTTGGTGGTGCGTGATTGATTCTCGACAATCTCTTGCCGGGTCAAATATGACCCTAATTGGTCAAGATCCGTTGTCATCCGTAAAAGAGATAACACCTGAGACGTAGATGGGCATGATGTTCGGAGAAGTAGTTGCATTTGTCAATTACCCATTATTAAAGCCGCAGAAAGCCCAACGACATGATTCTACACTCTCACGGCGAGCTGGAAGCTGGCAATAGTGTGGTGGGGGGATACGATCTAGAATAGTTCGAACAACGCAGTTTTACAGAAATCTGGGTAGTGCAAAATCTGTGGCAGCCCTTTCTCACAACGAAATACCCCTTGTCAATCGTGCAAATGTAACGTTGCAGTAGTGTTGTGGAGATGTCGCTTGTTCAGATACTGGCCTTACTTCCGGCTTTCAGCTCGACGCAAGAGTTCACATTCGTAATTGAGCTTTCCGAAGAAGCGGGTTCATACAGATCTAGGATGAAATATAGTCGAGGTTGTACACCTTGCCTACTGATGTTGCGAGCTTCCAGAAGAGACTGATCAAACTCGGGGCATTTGTGCACGTGGACTGCACTTACCTCAAAAGAGGCAGTTGAGGTTGTGATTACTCGAACTGAATGGGTCCTATGTCGATCTCATACTGATCTGTGCCAGATTTGGCAGCGGTCACATATCCATTCGTCCCAAACCGTCAGCCTTTATCGTTGCTAACCTCATTAGCCGTGGTGGAAACTCTCAGCTAGGTTCTGGTTGGCACCACATGTGTCCGGCAGATTTCCACCTGAACAGATTGGGGTTTTGTTGAGAGTATGCAGAGGGGGAGTCTCAACAGAGAAGGAGCTCGATGTCGTTAAAAGTGGTCGAGTGACAGAGGCGAGGCTTCTAAACCTAGCCGCTCGCCTAACGTTAGATCCGGCAATTTGTGGGGGCGGCCCCACCAAGCACCACGTCTTGTCTCTCAACCTCAAACAACAACAAATATTCTGCAGTAACTCGGACTTCATTATAGCAGCTATGCGTCTCTTATTAGTCATTGCCAACACATCTATCTCTGTTGCCAAGTACTTGATGTGCCCATCGCTTGGGCGGAGTGCAGCGAGCGAGCGCAGTCTCGCTAGCATACCAGTGTTTCATCAACCAGGAACGCTCCAATAGGCGGGATTATCACGATGAGATTCGAGGTCGTGTTTGAGGTAGAGATGCCGGGAGCCGGGTGTCCCCAACACCTACGATGAGGTAGAAGTATCGTATTGACCTCAAAACACCTCAATCTTGCTTATGAGTGCCTCTATAAAGACCAATGCGATCCTCCGCCCTCAAGGCAGCATCTTACGGGTCGGAAAGACAACCCAGAAAACTCTTTTCTGATCAAACGCATCGTCCTCGAGGTGCTCAAAAACATACTGGTCGTGCACACCACAATTATTCAATTCGAGGGTTATACTGCATATATCATGTCATATTATTCCGCGACATCACGTGGAGCCTGGATAAGTCGCTAACGGTATTAGATGTCGAAACTCCGGGCAGAATATATTAAATCGATGCATCGAGAATCTATCACGAGCTGTTTGCGTACATCAGTGCACCTCGCCAAGACGTCTGGCGCCAACACAATATCAGGTTAATTGGATTCTTTTCGCTGGAAGTCACTGAGCTGACCGCGACACACGTGCTTTGTTTTGTACTGAGTCGGAGCCGACTATGCTGCCAATCATATTGAATGCCGCCACAAACTGTCGAAACAGTACCTAGTGATCAACGCGGATTTTGGAGCCCTTGATAATATCCCACGTAGATTGCCTCGGGCAAGCGGTCCGTATTCTGTTGAGAGAAGCTGTTGAGAAAAAGCAGAGCAAGGACTTTGGCAGTCTTACAAGTCTATATAAAGGCGAGATACATTTGGCACATTTTATCAGCATCAGTTTCTTCACCTTCGCTTCTTTGACCAGCTCCTTCAACTGCTTTCTCATCACCAGAATGTACAGCTCCGCCCTTCTTCTCGGCGCTCTCACAGTCCTCCTGGACACCGTGTCTGCCCACGGCTACGTGAAGAATGTTGTCGTCAACGGCGTGTCGACTCCCGGCGCGGATCCCGTCTGGTTCTACTCTCCCGCCAATAGCAGGCCCCAGACCGCAGGTTGGGATGCTTTGAACCAAGATCTTGGTTTTGTAGAGCCCGCTGCGTTCGGCACCGCAGACATCAATTGCCACAAGAGCGCAACCGCAGGCAGGCTCTATGCCAGTGTCAAAGCCGGAGACACACTTCAGTTCGTGTGGAACGACTGGGCCGATAGCCACAAGGGTCCTCTCATCAACTACATTGCACCATGCAACGGTGACTGCACGACCCTGACAGCCGCCTCTCTCCGCTGGTCCAAGATCTCGCAAGCCGGTCTTACCTCAGGGACTTGGTATGCATGACACGTACATCAGTCGTAACAAAGCTAACTTCTAGCAGGGCTTCAGACGCAATGATGAAGAACAGCTTCACTGCTTCGACCGTCATCCCAAAAAACCTCAAAGCGGGCAACTACGTCATTCGCCATGAGATCATCGCCCTCCACGGTGCCCAGAGCGATAACGGTGCTCAGATGTACCCTCAATGCATCAACTTGAAGGTGTCCGGCAGTGGCACCGTCGCTCCGTCTGCTGGTATCGCCGGTACCAGCCTCTACAAGAGGACCGACGCCGGTATCTTGTACAACCTCTACAGTGGTCAGACTACTTACCCGATCCCGGGACCGGCGCTGTGGACTGCGGCAAACTAAGTCTGAGCGGTGATAGTGGGATTGTTACTTGGATGGCTTTGGTCGTTGATACTGCGCTCGCTTTATTGCTGTAAATGATCCTTTTAAACGATTGATGTATATAGCTAGTTAACGACGTACTCGATGTGATTCACAGAAGAGGAACCTAGCCTTGAATCCAATAGCGACTTGCGCAGTGTGCCTAAAGAATCTGAGTAATTACACGACGAGTGTCACTACATGCAAAGTACTCTCCCATCTTCTGAAACCCCCGGTTTAATGTAGTCGCAAATACCACATTTTGCAGTGAACACCTTTTCGTGCTGTCATGTCCTTGCGCCCATAGATTGAAGCCTCCCTGGCGTCAGCTTTCATCCAAGCACACTGTCTATCATCATGGTCTGCCGGAAGCAAAAGAATGAGAGTAGTCCACATCCGCTAGAATTTGGTTCCGTAATATTACCAATACTACCGAAAGTTGTGTGAAGCTAATCACGTGGGTAAAAAAAACTTGTATCAAAAGACATGCATATTGATGGCGAGGAGAGAAGTTTATAAAAGATCTAATTAGCATAAGAAATAAAGCTTGTCTGCCGTGTCCACGTGTTTGGTCGTGTTGAGCTAAGGTATCCAGGTCGTATGATTTGTGTACTGAATATGACCGGAATCCACCACCGCGCTGAATTTCTCTGCAATATACTGTCCAAGTACCCGGTCAACGCCAATATGAGAAAAGCCGGATAGGATATCATGTATGAAACACTTCAGCACATGATCAAGCGAGGAATTTGATCGCACTTCTTGCGCAACACTACGGTCAATGCCCGCCCGCTACCAGGCGGGGGGCCCCCAGTACCGGGCGGGCTATCCCCGCTACTAGCAATTCACTCCCCCGTACAGGGGGGTAGATAATCTTAGCAAGTGACTTTATCTCCAACCACATCTATCAACCAATGAATTCACCCTTATTCATTTAGTCTTGTGAGAGCAAAAGATTATGCCCCTCTCACCAAAAGCCATCCTACCAAACCTTAACAAAAAATTCTAAAACTATAGAAATACCTACCAAACCTCAGATTCTACCCCAACAAATAATTCTTGATAGATAAAATCTATTGTGGGCGATAGATGTGATAGGACATACAGGGGCACTGTGCCTACCCTACCTACCCTACCTACCCTACCCTACCTATTCTATCCCCCTGTTTAACACCTTTGCTGTCCTCCTTTCTATTTCCCTAATCAAGAACGGAAACAGCGTCCGTACCGAGGCATAGCCATCCCCCTGCAACCGGGGGCTTATTGACCGTAGTGAAGTCTTTATAGAAATGACAGGTAAGTCTTGCGCGTACTTTGCACGCCAAACTAATCCTTCACAGACCCAGAAGTTGTAAGTAGAGTAGCGATTATTACTTCACAGCACACCCATCCATCGCTATTTGCGAACACACCACATCCTGTGAATCTCAACCACGAATGTGTTGTGCTAGAATGCTCCCCAGTGTAACAATCCACATAGTGGAGGCCTACAGGACGTTGAAGTCTTTTCATTGTAGCTTTGGCGGGTATGGGCCAAGAAGACAAGCCATGGCTGATTGCCTATGTAAACACAGGTTGCTCGTTTTCAATCCGTCACATCCCCTCCCATCAGCCTTCTCCCAGCCGGCTGATCTAACAGGATCAACGCATGAAATGCTACCAGAAGTAGAGAGGGAAGTCAAGAAACAGAGTTACAGAGGAGAAACCGTGAGCAGGGGTGAGATTATGGACTATTATTATTACAGGAAACCTTGGTGCTTATTACAAATGTGCCTTTTTATGGCCCCCACATGAATAGCATATACATAGAAACAGACATAGCGATTGGAGACTGAGACGTAACTCATCCTATGGAATACCTTCTCGAAATCCTTCTATGCTAGGCGCTATGATGTAGCTCAACGCATGCTCTGATAATAAACTCCGCCCATGTCTCGCGAAGAGGTTTTCCCGCTGTATCGACCCATGGCCCCCAAGTGATACGGTCGTTGCACCGGATATGGCAGATATTCGCCGGTGTCGATCTCAGCAGCCATTGAAGAATTGCGGACAGCGTTTTCGTCGAATTCGGCTAGGAACTGGAAGGCTTCGGGGACGGTGAACATAATGGCCCCACGTGCCGTCGCTGAAACCTCCTTGGCCTTCTTCACCATGGCCAGTGCTCTCTCTTGAAATTCTTTGTGATGCACCTTTTGTTTGATTGGCTGTGCATTCTTCATGTTTGACATCGTACCCTTCATCTCAACTCCTCGATTTGCTGCATTGTCATGGCGAGTCTCAATCGTGCGAGGTACGTCATGGTTCTGGGGAAGGACGAACTGTTCTTCGGAGGACTTGGGCAATTTTGGGTGTATAGAAGCAATTGTCGATCCAGACGTCCTCTTTTGAACGAACAAAAGCCGTGGCTCATTTTGTGCTTGATGCTCTTGTTGTTCCCCCTCATGTACAATCAATTCCGCGCTAGGCTTTAGAACTACTTCTCTGATTTTGCTTGCCCCTCCGACCTGATAAGGCTGGAATGGGTGTCGCGAGCTGATCTTCTCGTCATATTCGACATTGGGGTCCCATCGCTTCTGATATCTGTCACTGTTTGCAGTGCTGTGATCGGCATTGGCAGTGACATGTGTAACAGACTGAGAAGCAGGTCGAGCTGGCAGTGTCGTGGTTGGAACCGAAGCCGGCTCGGTACCCTTTGGGCGCTTAGGCAAGGGCAACTGCAACTGAGATTGGTGATCAGTGTGTAGCTGTTTGGGCTCGGCGATCGACTTTCGCTTGCGTTTGGGCACCTGAATGGGGTCCTGCAGCTGCTTGCCTGAGCGAGTCTGCATTATGTCCCGGTGTTGTGGGGTCGATGTGCGATTGGAATAGGCGAAGAGGTGAAGTGAGGTGAGTGACTCGATGCTGCCCTTGAGGAACGGCGCACGGACGCTAAGCGCGCGAGGGATGGAAGGCGCGCTCGACGTCACCCACTGTCCATGGAACAGAGGAACTGGACTTCCTCAAGGTACTTCGCAAATGCTATTCCGCATTTGCAGAATGTATCGAAGACGTCGAGCCTGGCTTATTGTTTTGCTTAAGCAGTGGTCAACCTTGCAGCTTACCCTCTCTCCCCGTTCTCTGATTGAAATCCACTAGCGCGGCTCTCAGGCCCTCCCAGCCGAGCTGCTTACGATATAGCATGCCCTCTAAAGTCCTGAGATAATCCTCGGGGACTTGGTCAAGTCTCTTGCCAAGCCAACGGCCCTTGGGTAATTGATAGTCTTCCCAACGATCATCTGTTGCTGCGCGTGGTGCCAGAAACTGTGGTGGCGGTTGTTTGTACTCTTCGAATTGCGGTGGATCGTCAACTATGGTACTTCGGCGGCCGGGTCTGTAGTAGTCGAATGCTTCCTTGAGCCCTTTGTGACGGCCGTCGAAGACCATGGCTTGGCCGCCTATTGTGCGCAAGTAGTTCTCGGGCGCTTCGAGGAAAGTCTTGCCTCGATGCGTACCAAAATCGAATTTGTAGTCATGCGCGGGATGGTAGGGTACTTGTGCGGGGTTTCTTACACTCTTTGGTGCCGTGTTGGCGGGCTTTCGACGGGGTGGTGGTACAGGTGCTTGTGAAGTATTTGATGAAGTCTTCGACAGGGCAATCTTAGGGTTGGCAGTCTCTGGTTGAATGGTCGTATCCGATCTGCTAAAGGCAAGACGTGAATACGGTTCCAAACCCACGGCGTTCGTGACTTGCACTGTCTCGATCTGAACTTGCGTCGCCATCTTGTCTTTAGGGACAACCCTCTCACCTTTACCTCCAAACCTTCCCACTCCCCTGCCCAACAGCGGAAACCCCGCCAGCCACAACTCCCTATAGATACCCACGGCCTCTCCCTCCGTGAACATGACCTCTCTCGTCCCCACTTTTCCCCGGTACTCCTGCACATTGATCATCATATCCCCGTCGTCATCGTCATCCTCGTCCATCTCGTCCGTATCGTCATCATCGCTCACCTCCCCATCCTCGACCACGTCGTCTAGCGCAATGGGATCATACTGGCTCCCTCGCGCATGCCCACGCCCAGGCAGCACTCCAAAGTTGTTTCCGCGATTCGACGCGGCCACAAAATCCTCCTGCTCACGTTTGTTCTGCGCGCGGCGCGCGTTGTGGATGGCTTTTTGGCGGGCTTTGTGACGAATGGGTGGCGGCGCGGCGGATTTTGCTTTTGCTTTCGGTTTGGGATTGGGGTTTCGGTGCGCGGCGACGGCGCGACGGCGTTGACAGGGGCGTGGCATCGCAGGCACCGTCGTTGGCGTGGGACTCGAGAACCTGTGACTGGAGACGCGGTGTTGATTTGTGCGGAATTCGGGGCGGAAGTCGGATGCGGGATCGGGCCGCGGGACCGTGCGCAGCTCCAACGTCAACGTTTGTTGACGCTTACACTTATGCATCCGCTTTCACCCTTGAACTGGAATCCTACAGCCTGTATTGGAAAGCCGATCGGGCTATCAAGCTAGCAGGCACGTGTGAATTAAGATATGGGCCAACACATACTGTGGAGATCTCCGGACAGTTCGATCATGTGAACGGCCAAAGTTTGCAAATTCTGGCAGTTAGATTTCGTGTTAGCAAGAGCTGTGGGTAGGAGCATTCATCTGGCACGTACTCTTGATGATCATTTGTTGGCATTTTTCCTTGTGCTTCTACCTCGATCCTGCAACGACCTTTCTTCTTCTCGTCGTTATTGTTGCTCATCTGCTTCTCGACGCTAAGATTCTGAGACTCGATCAAGTTCTTATTCTCGCCAACCTGGTTGGGTCCGTTCTTTCTTCGTCCGTGAATAGCCTTGACTCATGTAGCCTGAGGCGGTGGTGCGAAGTTCCAGGCCTCCTCGAACCATGGTCTGATACACGACTTCTGGTTGACAACGTGTTGGTCATGGACCCATTTCGAGGGTGCATTGGACAAAAAGGAACCCTTGCCCCTTCCGAAGCAGACCCAGAAGTTCTCGGGCGGAAGAAGCCGGCCACTCGGCAGCACAAGATCTGGGTTCCTCACTTCGAAGTTTCCAATAGCCTCTGCAACTTCCGGATCACAGTTCTTGTGACCCTTGGTAATCACACCAGAGCTGTGTAGATAGTAGAGGTAATCGTGGTCCTTTTGAAACATGACACGCAACGCATCGTCCACGTTCATTCGGGTGTATTTGCCTGTCTTGAACTTATACGCTTTGGAAATCATGGGTACTTGGACGTTTCCGTAATTTCCGGTGTAAAGTGGTAGCTTTGGTCGTGATTCAGAAGGGGTTGCACATGCCTTAGAAGACGGCTCAGAGGCTTTGCGAAACGAGGATGACGAACGAAAGGGTGGCGAGGAAGGCGGAGATGACGACCGGGACTGAGAGGATGATTGGTTCGATCTTTTGATCGAAGCAACCGACGATGAGGAGCCAAAGTGTAGTGATGACGAGATGGACTTCTCGAATTTAGGGCTGCTTGATCCTGCAAGCGAGTTTACATTCACTCGAGCTTTCTTTAGAGAAGGCTGAGAATCTTCATCATCGGAAACACCAGAAACGTCTCGTGGAGGTGTTCTCAATTCGGGATCGTAGTGGAGAGTAGGTAATGAATCGTCGGTGTTATCGGTTATATGCATCGTCTGTTGGTATTTCTGCGCGGTTTTCCGTGGTACAGACTTAGTGTTATCGACAAAGCTTTGAATAGCCTGTTTGGTTCTAAAATCCGTTGCCTCTCCGCGGTCAAGATCTCGTTGAGCACGAACGAGAGCTTGTTTGTACAGCTCGACCTGCGCTTTAGTCAAAGACATCGAGTGTGCTAGAATGATTGAATGGTGCTTGTTTGTGAGAAGCAATGTGCAGTTGAAACCCTGTGAAAAAACGGTGGGTTTGGCTCAGAACGGATGATATCAAGAGGAAGTGAGTGTCATCCGGAGTCTCGACACACAGTCATTTTTGTATTTCTAATGCGGCGCTTCCAGCCTCCAAGATCACAAATCTCAACTCTGACCATCCCTAATCTACAAGATCAATTTGACGACGCTCTCGCAGCGCTCGCAAGGTCACTCGCTTAGAATTGAACTATTCCTATAACGACTATTTTCCGCAATTGCATCGAGAACGCCCCCGAGATCACATCCGAGCAAATTACGACACGATGATCTGAAATCTGTTAATCTTATACCCTTGTAAGCGATCATCCTGGTGACGCGCGCCCTATATTTCGCGTATCCACATACGTGTAATGCATTCGAGCTAACGGCTGCGGAAGAGGTAGACTTTGATTAAAGTCCACCATGGGAAGGACTTTGGCAATATCCGAACTAACTTAGTCTCTGTTCACCGTGTCATGCCGCTGTCGACAAGGATGAGGCAACTTTAGACTAAATTTCAAGGACTATAGAAAATGGTTTCAGAAATAGATAATGCTGCGAATCTACGACATTAGCTGGACATCGATATGAAGATCAAAACAGACGGTTTAACTGTCCTGATATTGGTTTATCTTCAACCGCCGATCCTGTTGTTGCCGAACCAGCATACCGGTAGGCTCAGAGTTGTGGTGAGAGCATCTCATAACGCGCCGAAGCCACGTAGACCTTTCGGGTCAAGCCGTAGCGCATCGAAACCTCACATGACTTGGATTTTTGCACTTCTTGTTTTTGATGGTAGATTCTGTCAAATTATCAGGTCAATTGTCCATCACATCTAGACTCTCTATGACTAACGAACATAACAACACAAAGACCGTTCGATATCGGAAGGCAGCACAGAAAAAGCAAGGGTGGAATAGTAAATGTAAATTTTTAGATTGAATTTGAGATGAAAACAACTTCAGACAAAATCAAACCCCCCATGTACGAACTGCCAAACCCGCAATCACCAATCCCTGCAATCAAACTCATCCTACACTTAATTACTCAAGTTGATATGCCGAAAGCTTCCAGAATGACTCGAGTTGCAAACAGATGGCATCTCTCAGCGCGAGTCCTCGGTATCCCAACCAGCTTCGTCACCAGAAAGTTTATACGCATCTATGCTGAACTGCATTGGATCGTTGTTCTTGCTTTTCTTGGTTACTGCAGGCCGACGTATGCGTGTCCCCTTTGGTCCTGCGTTAATTTTGGGATCCCAAGGTGTGAACTTGAACATGGCAGCTCCATCCGACGTGGAAGAACTACCCGCCTGAGACTCCGGTGGATTTGTATGCAGACCAAACTGTGAAGAGTTCAGACTTCCTCTCATCGAAGAGTTGAACGAAAAAGATGGGATTTGGTGAGAAACCGAAGGAGTCTCCGCTGAGACAGCCACTGAATCCACAGGCGAGGATGTTGACAGTTGCATGGACAAAGTTCTAGCTTCCGAAGGCGGATTCGGTCGTTCGTTCGAACTACCCGGAATCGGATGTTGCCTCCTAGTCATTCCGCTTGAAACCGGAAGAGTCTCCTCCCTAGTGGGACTCTCGATTCGAACTCTCTTCTTACTCTTCGGTACCGGCTTGGACGGTTTGGCCGGGCTAGGATGGTTACACGATTGTTGAAATTCGCATGCTTGTTTCTTCCCCTGAGCCCACGAAGGTCCTTTCTCGCGGTGGTACTCGCAGTCCGCACGCATATCGAGAACAGCCTTGTTTTGACATACAGGATCAAACGTAGCATGTGAATTTCCGCAGTTGATGCATTTTCGGGGTTTTTTGCATCCCGGAGCTTTGTGATCAAATCCAGCACAGATCATGCAGCACGTTCGATTCTTGCACCGGTTTTGTAAGTGGCCAGGCTTGCCGCACCGGAAGCAGAACTTCGGTGTTGAGCGTCTATCGAATGGTCTACGGTATTGTGTCAGTTTTGTTTCTGAGATCTCGAAAGAACGTGGAACTCACTCAGCCCAACCAACATGTCCGCTTAGGTAAATAGGTCCTCGGCAGAGCTTCTCGGCGTCACCTCGTGTTCCAAGCTCCAAAATGAGTAACTTGTACGTCCAACGAGCTTTGGAAATAGTCACACCGTTCGAACTATTCCATTCCTTTACAGGGAGTGCCATAAACGCGGGGTCGTTTTTGTCCTCTTCGAACCCAAACGCACGAACGCAGTACGTATCATGAAAGGTACGACACTCTGGATCGAGACTGAGGATCCTGCCAATACGATACGACTTCTCAAGAATCTCCTGCCCAGCTTCGGCGGTATTAACGAAGAGACCGAGCTTGTCTTCCCATATTTTACAACCTCGGATTTGATTGAACGGGCTTTCGGCTCTCCGAAACTTCTCCACAATCCCACTGTTCTTGAGATTTTTGAGCAAGTCAACATCGTTGGAAGTATAAAGTGAATACCGGATCATATGCGGTCGAGGTCTGCTGGGTATCGGATTACCCTGGGTCTCAAGTCTTGTCAAGACCTTGTTGAGGTTTTTCTCTATGGTCTCAAGTCGACTATGGGGCTCGTGGTTTGGTGAAATCTGTGCATCTTGCCCGATGGCAGCGCGCAACGCGTTGAGATATTTCTCGGGAACACTCCCATGCAGAGATCGAAGCACAGCTTCGGCATGAGAGGAAGAGGAAACCGGATGGTCCATAACTTGATTACAACAACAACAGATGATAGTATTGAGTGATGAAAGATGCAGATATTTGGGTAGCAAAGTGAAGTAGTCCGCGTTTTGATTTCATTCTATATATGCGTATCATAGCAACAGGAGAGCAGGTACGCGAGGTCATCTCTACAAGGATTCAGATGTGAGACACACCGCCGGTTGAAGAAAGAAGGTCGATGCCAAAATTTACTTAATCAACGTTTATCGTGATCCTTGACTTGATACGAAGAGACTTGAATGGTTAGTCTCTTGCGCCCTTGTAATCTGTGGCAGATTACGTGTGTCAATATTTCAAAGTTTAGTAATATACACTAATGAATCGAGTAGTGGTGTTGTTACAGAAGGTGGCCGAGATTGATACCCCAGTCTTGTGCTCAACATATCAACGGCTACAGAGATGAGTCATGACTCTCCTGTTGTTGGGAGCTGGACGCGTACACAAGCTAACGCATGTGCCTACCCGATGTGACAGCTTCACTACGGTCAATGAGTCCCCTGTTGCAGGGGGATAGCTATCACCCGGTACAGACGCTGTTTCCGTTCTTGTTCAGGGGAATAGAAAGCTTGAATGCTGCCTTCCAATTAGTCTATATAATCATATATCCTCTCATACAAATTGGCTAGCTACGCCATGCCCTACCATGCCTGCCCACCGTGCCTACCCCCTGGTACGGGGAGGCGTACTTCCCTGTACTGGGGCCCCCCCGCCCGGTACAGGGGCTCATTGACCGTAGTGATTGAGCTCGCCGTACTGTGGTACCCGACATGAGTAGTGTACAGTGGAGACTGTGCGTATTGGCTTACAAGGTTACAGACACGGACCAGTACAGGCCTTGCAGCTAGTCGAAGAACTCGCGCTTCTGCTCCCGCCGTAATTTTACTGTTGACGAGCATGGAGACCACTGTCCCACTGTACACTACTCATGTCGGGTACCACAGTACGTGCGGACCAAGCGGCGTCAAAGCCGATGGAACAGGCAGGGAAACAACGATGATCTTTTGATCTTTCTTTAGGATGCTTGCAATCTTATCGAAGGGTTGATGTTCTGTTATTTCGGCCCGACTTATCAGAAGACTCTCACGAACTTATGCATCACATCTACTTGGTATTTTGGTCGATAACATCACAGGGGAGAGTTATTGACCGAAAGTTCGTTCCCGAGTCCATCTGATTGCTGGATGTATTCTCCTCAAACAGGATATACTTAGGCAGTCTATGGGCAGGAGATTTCCCTTTATTTGTCATATTACTGTGACAAAACAAGATAGTGATTTGGGTTTATCGTGGTGATGTCTTTCTCGGAAGTAATTTCCGCTTGCCGAAGAAACCGAGCGGTCCAGAACTGGAACGCAAGAAGTGTGCGGTAATCGAATCAGTGAGCAAGTGTGAAGGTGGTCTGTGGGACCGCTACACGAGGATAGACTGTGGATACATTGCAACGATTTTATTAGTGGACAGACTGGTGCTATACCAGAGTCTTGACATACTGTGTATATAATTCTCCCTAGCCCTCATCGACCTCCTCCACACTCGCATAACCTGTACATTTCGAATGGTCAGGTCTTTCCGCCAATCGTTCTTTTCCAACTTTTGACACAAAATATGGCAGGTTTGGGTCTTTGTGCTGGAGTGAACCAGGAAACAGAGGTAAAATTCCCTGAACACTCAACTTACCACAGACCTATGTTGACATAGACCTACCAGACCTCTTCATCGCGGAAGCGCCGGTATCCCGGGGTGACCTCCCGCACGTACGGGAGAAAACGACAAAAGGACGACAATGATGTTGTTAAGATTATCTCAGTGAACATGAAATGTTCAGTGAAGCGACTGGGCTACTTGAAGGCTCACCTTGCTTTAAACAGTCCACACATGGTTTGCGTGCAAGATCCGCCGCCGCAAATTCAGTATCAAACTATTCCGGGATACAACATGTACTGCTACAGGAAAAACAACCTCAGCGAGGCGCAGGAGCTCAGAATGCGCGATCACGAAAAGAAAACTCTCACAATAAGCGACAGGCGAAAGGAACCCAGAGACGAGAACGTGGAAGGTCATCGAGACAAAACACCAACCATGTCGCATTGCACGCCGCAAGTCGGAGGGCTCAAGAACAAACCCTTGAATCACGAGTTGATTGACAAGATGGAGATGGACCGAGTTGCCTTCTTCGTGCGTGAGGACATTTCGAAGCGTGACTGGCCCGTCACACGTCATGAAGGTCCCAATGCTCGTCTTGTGGTCACCCTCACACTCAAGACGCAATGCGGTACCTTTTTCATCCATAACGCCTACAATCACTTGGACCACATCGATCTAACCACTCTCGAGAACGACTGCATGAGTTCGGATGCCGATATTCTTATTGGGGATATGAACCTCCATCACCAAGATTGGGGTGGCCCTGGCACGAAGACAATAACTGCTCGAGGCCGGAAACTGGCGGCGAGTATCAAGAAAAGCATGGACATATGTTTGAAGAGAGGTACCATCACGTACTCTCGGGGACTTCAAGCTGACGGCAAGCACAACACGACCATCGACATGGTACTAGTCAGTCAGTGTATTCGGTCACGTATCTATGCATGTAAATCCCTCGCTGCTCGAGGATTTGAGACCGACCACCGTATAATCTCTTTCAAACTAGAGGCCACTCCCAACCGCGATGCTACCACTCGCTACCGCTGGAAGCGCGTTGACAAAGAAAAATTCCAAAAGCGCCTGGCCGAGGAGTTCGAGTCTCTTGAAAAACCGTCTCACGTGGACATAGCCCAGTTTTTGGATCAGATCAAACAAAGATTGCTCACTGTCAGAGATGATTGTGTCCCCGTCTCTCGCAGTATGCGGAAAGCGAGCACTTACGTCACACCATTTATCCAAAAGAGCATGTGCGCTGAGCAACGTGCTTTTAAAGACTTCGAACGTATTCCCAGTCACCGGACACGACGATATTTTCAAGAACGCAGAGCAGCTACAGACCGCACTATTAGTGATGAAAGTCGCAAGACCTATCGTCTTACTGTTGCTACCTCCACTTTGAAGAGACCCCGTAGCGTGTACATGTGGGCTCGCAGTGCGCGACGTTGGTCTCAGCCTAAAGACTCTGCTCACATGCCCAGTTTCAAAGTTGGAGAAAATGTGTACGACACTGGCGAATCAAAAGCAGATTGCTTTGCCAGATCGGTATGGCCCAAGGTTGAGAAGGTGACGAGTCAAGCAAAAGGAAGTTCAGCTGCGCTGCCGGACCTGGATCTCGCACGTCAGCAGCACGTTTCTTCTCAAACGATTGATCAAAACGAAGTTCTTCAAATACTGAGCACGCTGCCCAGCGGCAGGGCAACGGGCTCAGACGGCATTGCGAACGAGCTTCTCAAGTTAGCGAGACATATTCTCGCACCATACTTGACGCATCTCTTCCAAGCGTGTTTTGACCAAGGACAACATCCAGCTGCATTCAAGGATGCAATCACGTTTGTTTTGCGCAAGCCGCAGAAGAAAGATTATTCCAATCCCAAATCATATCGTCCGATCGCAGTGCTGTCTAACCTTGGAAAGGCTTTTGAGAAGATCATATGCAAGCGTTTGAAAGATCTCGCTTTGGAGCATGAGCTGCTTCCCAAGTGCCAATTTGGGGCGCCTGGACGTGATACTACGAAAGCACTTCAGTACTTACTGAATCCTGTGTACTGGGGCTGGTGCCTTGGCGTACCACGAGTATCGACTCTGATGAGCCTTGACATTACAGGCGCTTTCGACCGTATCGATCGGGAGAAGCTCCTCCAAACCCTGGTCGACAAAGGCATTCCTGACTGGCTCATCCGGTTGGTAGCGTCATTTCTTTCAGAACGACGTACTGCGCTTGATCTATCCGGATTCCGCTCGGAGCCCTATTGGATAAATGTGGGTATTCCCCAGGGCAGTCCGCTCTCCCCGATCCTTTTCCTTTTCTTTGCCTCACCAATCCTGGATCTCTTTCCAGAACATGATGAAGGATCCAACGCTTCCATCAATGCACTTGCATACGTCGATGACCTCTATGTTATCGTAACAGCGGCGTCTTACGCAAACAACAACCGTACCTTGGTTGTGTTGCATGAGAAATTGATGGAGTGGGCTGTCCCTAACGAAGTCGAGTTTTCGCCTCACAAGTATAATGTGATGCATTTCAGAACGCGCAATGGAAGATATCCCAAAAACGGAGAACCGGTTTGTGATCTGCTGCCCAATATACCTGGTCTTGTTGGGAATCCGGATGTCCTAGTGAAGGATTCCCTACGTGTTCTAGGTGTATTAGTAGATCCCGCGTTGAAATGGGGCCCCCACGTCTCAAAGGTATATTTTTCTATGGACTAGTCGCCGTTGTGCTAACTTTTCTACCAGATTGCAAAGACCGTCCAGCAAAAGATGCGAGCCCTGTCGCGCATACATGGTGCAACATGGGGACCAAGTCTTCACGAAATGCTCAAGCTCTACCGATCGAGTATTCTACCCACCATTACCTATGCCTGCGGAGCATGGTTCATTGTTTGTCAAGATCTTAACTCTCGGTTGACTCTCAACCAAGAAGTGATGAAGTCACTGAACAGCATTCAATATCAAAGTCTCCTTCAGATATCCGGAGCAATGAAGGGTACTTCTGCAGATGTTCTGCACAAAGAGCTCCACATTGATACAATTGCTGTTACGCTCCAAAGGTTCGCTGTTTCCCAGCGGGCAAAGACATTTTGTAGCAAGGAAGGTGAAGAAATGCGGCGTATCAGACAAACACGTCCAAAAGGGACTAAGCAGTCACCTCTCGACAAACATCCCTACGAGGTCTTAGAGCAGATTGCGAAAGCATACGACGAAGGTGCCCGTGTTCATCTATTCGAAAACGACCCTGGAGGAGCGGCAGAAACATGGGCAGATCCAAAAGGTCGCCAGCGAGCTATCAATCGATATGCCAAAGCTCAAGCCACGCTCCAAAGTACGGCATACTGGGATGATTATCGACTCCGCCGTCTTCATCAACGCCAGCCCCCCGCGCCAGCCCTTCTGAAGGACTTTTATCACGAATGGGGTCCTCGCAGTCTCAAGCTTCACAAGGGCCTCTCCAGAGCTCAGAGTACTATGTTGTTGCACATGCGTACAGACAAGATCGGGCTCAATGCCTTTCTCGCCACCATTCAGTGTGCCCTAACAGACAGGTGTCCTTGTGGTCATTCAGCACACACAGTAAAGCATCTCTTCTTCAGTTGTTCTCTCCTCGCCAAGCAACGCCGGGATTTGATCAATTCTGTTCATCACACCCAGTTGAACTTACTGCTCACTGTCAACGCACCAATCGCGACGGAATGGGCAATCTGTCACTTTCATATTGATCAGTTCGAGGCAATCAAGAAAGACTATCAATTCTATCATCCAAAACAACATCCCCATGGATCCCTGGAGGACGGGGATTAATGTGTTACGTCACCATTGTGTTTGTACGTTTTGCGTTGATTGGAGCTATTGCGACACAGCTAATTGCGGTTATCAGTTGTGCACGCGTTTCGATTGTTCATCAGTCTTCATTGTACGTGTCTGTTCAACCTCCAATTTGTGAAATTGTTTCTCATGTTGGTTTTGACGTAGGTTTACACTGACTACAGCAGCCAAAGTTCGACCCGGTCGCAAGTAGGTAATTCCACAGATTTTATTTATGAGTCTTACTGATTTTAGACTTTCCATGTTATCAGCCCTCCGCTTCCCATCGCCATCGCCATCGCCATCACCGTCGCCGTCGCCATCGCTGCCACTTGTGAGTCTCTGCCATCTTAACGAGTGATCCGTATTCGTACTGTCTTCTCTCTGTTATATCTGACTCTCTCTCTCTCTGAACTGACAACCCAGCGAAATCAGCTAGCTTCGTCCTCATTCCATATCAATCGTGTAAGGCGCGTATACCTCATCACGTAGTATAAGGTCGCTAAATTTGGCAGACAGCCCTGCAGTGAGGTATCGCACCTCCTGGATCGCTACCATGATTCTCTTTTTCCAGGCAGTGTACCTGTAAGTCCAAAAGGTGGTTTCTGAGAACATTGAGCTAATATCAAGAAGGGGATCCATGAAAGCTCGCTCGAAGCGGCTCTCATCCTTAGTCAGAGCAGCGTTGTTGCGCTGCTTGGTGGCAAGCTTGTCAAGTCGGAAGAGCTGGGCGTCAAAGAAAGCCCTGTCAGTCTCATAGACTTGTGTAAGGAGGAGCTGAACTCCAACCTTGTAGAGCTGTAAGTTATTCTGCAGTCAGAAAGAATCGCTCTTAACTATGCTAGGCACCCCAAGTCTCTTGTCAAGCTCAAGGCGCCGCAAGACATCTTCATCTCCTGGGTAGAAGGTATCACTGTCGCGCCAAGTAATACCCTCCATTTCCTCCCACCACCTGACTGGGTCCTTGGAGATCTCACTGGAGATATCCAGAGCAGTAATAACCCTCCCTATCTCTCTAACAAGCTAAGGTGTTTCTAATATTTCTAAGCTGCACTGGTACTGGGAATTGCTTGCCTCGATCCTTTGCTCATTGGCTTGCTGCAAGACGCAGCGTGGGAACAGTGCGTATTCTGGGAACTATCTGATTTCGCCAAACGAACCACCACTGATAACTTCTAGCCTGGGCTGCGCTGATGGGGTCGTGTTGTCGGTTGGCCATGATTACAGTTGTGAAGAAAGATGAGATGGATGGATGAAGGTTTGTAAACAGCCCTAGCTGCTCAATGACATGAGTAATGTTCTAACGTTTAGGTTTCGACTCCTGAGGTGCAAAGGATATTTATGTGCTGGCTCGTCCACATGGTATGACAATTTCTCTCCAAACGCTACACAAGGCTCTAACTAACCTTTACAGAACCGTCGTTGCCTGCACCCCCACCGAAGCTGCCCTGGTTATGTGTTCAGGATTACTGGTCGATTGGTGCACGATTTCATCTCCTGAACCTTCACTCCACTTTACTAATTCATTTTAGAAGAGTTTTCACGACCCAGCCATGGTTCACGATACAATCCAGGGTTCACGACCGAACCAAACTTCAACCAGTGAGCAGTCCCTATCCCTCCATGGGAGCGTTGCAATGGCTAACCACACTCTGTAGACGGCTGCCTGGGCTCTCGAATGTACGCCATTGTAAACTCATAAATGTATTTTTCTGCTGACGATTTGTAGACGCGTCCGCATCGGTACATTGAGCAGCTAGTCGTCAAGAGACGGTATGTAGGTAACCACTATGTAAATGTAAACCACCAGCTAACTGTATTTTATTAGGCTGATCAGCTCTCTGTTACCTTTACTGTGTACTCCTACTGATGTTTACTGTGCAAAAAGGGGCTGGGTATTAGCTTCTACACTGAGTTACTATATTAAATTCTTACTGTGTTGCGTCTATCTGCCTGTACTACAAGCATGAATACGCTATAAACCTAAAATAATAAAATGCGATACCCCGCAACACTTTGGCTCCATTTGGTGTGGCTTACTGATATATTCAAGAGTCGACTCTTCCATGTCGCGGGGTAGAGTGATGTTCCCACGACGGGCATGTCGCTTAGCCAATGATACACCTTGGATAGCCGAACAAAGAAACAAAGAACACGTGCCTTGGCGTCTACCTAATTATGGTTTGTGCTATAAATTTCCATCTGTACCGCCCAAATCATTGTCGACATCCATCACCTTTTTCTCAACTATGGCTTCGGCGTACGGCTTCTTCAAGCTACCTCGTGAGCTGCGCGATGCAATCTACGGCTTCTACTTCACGACCGAAGATGGTTACCACCTCAATCTGGACTCCGGGAAGCTCACTGTCTCGAATCGACAGCCTATCGACTTATCTCTCCGGCTTGTTTGCCGAATCATCACGCAGGAGACGATTGGTGTTCCTTTCAACATGAACACAATCAATTTCACTACCGTGGATTCCGACAAACTACCTAAAGACAGCCAAAACATTCACGACTTTGTCCACGCGTTACACACACTCAAAGCCATAGCATTGACACTCGCAAAGTCGCTCATCACTCCCAACATTTTGAGAGACTTGCTGATCAAACACCATCAATATGAAACAATTATGCAAGAGATGATGGCCGCCGGAGACGACTCTGGTCTCTTGCGATATTATCGTGGAGATGTTCCATCCCATTATCGACGATTCATTGCGGATTCTCTGGATACTCTTGCGCGACAGCCAAATTTTGTACAGGTAGTCGCCACAAAGACACCATCCTATGACCGTTGCATAAGACCGTTATCTGATATCCTGGAAGTTCTATCCGTACGATCCTACGAGCCTTGGAGTATACCAACCGACCAGATCGTTCTCAGGCGGCCACAATCGTTATACTCATTCGCTTGTTACGCCCTCGTTAATCGTCGTAGTATTTCCAACAATCGCTTCTCAGCTGCCGCCGTAGCCATTAGATATCTGGAAAGTCTTTCCACAGAGACCCGTCTACAAATCAAGCGCATTAATCTACACGAGGACCGTATTTCGCTCGCCTTTCCGGAATGTCACATGCAGGGGCTGATTCCGTTTTGCAATGAGAATCCACGTCTTCATATCCACAGACAAGTCAGCGTCTGGAAGAATGTTCTTCCCGCCGGCAGTACTACTTACAGCACCAACTACTTCACCACAGAGGAGGATGAATGGTATGATCCAGACTCTGTCAGGCTTCATGCCGGGGAAATATCCAATGCTGTAAAGCCCTGGATTGCAGAGGCTCTTGCACTTCCAACCCTTGGAATGCGTTCATCTTCGTTTTCCTTCACTTTCGACTGCGATGCGGCCTCAAATTGTACCACAAAGGTGTTTGAGGTAATGCTACAAGACGCAGCCTGGCATATGGCTATGGAAAAAGCATATCGCCGCGATCTTGCCAGAGGTATCACTCCTAACTCATACGTCTGTGAACAGGTAAAGCTCTCCTGTCGAGGTTTCCTCCAACAAGCCCTCAGAGATATCAAGAACAAAAGGTCTATCATTCAATGCAACTTCCCTCTTGGCGACGTTCTGGACCCCGATACTCTGCTGGACGACGACCAAAGCTGGTCCCAGTCAAGATGGGAGCAGCATTGTGTTGACTATAAAAGGCTGGTCTTAGCATCGCAACCACCGTTGCCAAGTTGGTACGACATTCGCCGTCTGGAACTTGATGTGGATGAGAAGGTGTTAACCGGAAATGAACAGGCTGAGTGGGATCTCAGTGACCAAGCTGTATGGCAACAAAAGGGATTGGGCCCGTACTAGGTTTATATTCCTTGAAAAGGCCAGAAGTGTTACGATATGTCTGAGTGCTTTTCCAGGTTATTATGTCTCACACTTGGTAGATGGTTGCCAAGGTTATGGATTTGCGTACTGGATTTGCTTGGGCTATAGGATATATGGCATGAGACCAAATGGAGGTTTTGCACGTAGTTGGACAATAATCAAAAGTTTTATCTTATATCAGTTTCGGACATACTACCCCATCACGTGGCTTGCTCTGAACCAATGGGGTTGCCCGGTACAAACCCCAGATTAGCCAATGACTGTCGATCCTCTTAGGGCAAGTCGCGCCGTGGCATAGTAGTTCTGAAATTGCCCCTTTGAGTCAGCCTCCAATCTATGTGCAACTTGGAGATGCAACGCGAAAGAGTCCTACAGGAGTCCTTGTATGCCAATCAGAGTTCCTTGCATATCTAACCACGTAATAGCCGAACTCGAATCGAGCAAGAAAGAAGAGAAGAACAAGAAAACTAAACTTTTAGAACTAATTCTTCGCGTATTCATGGACTCTAAAGCAACAGAAACTTGCGAGATAGTCAAAGTCTCATGTTATATCTACCTCTTGATACTCTAGACGATGTTACATGGTTACAACCTCTCAGAGTATCGTTTCAGCGTCATCAATATCTACATGATGTTAAATCAACCTTAGATGAACATATAGACGTGGTGTGATCTTATCTAGACACTTTTAACGTTTTTCATCGATCGTGTTGCACAATAAATGCTTTATGCGTGTCATGTAAGTGCGTGTTCAAAATCTCGGTAGATGTTGGAAAAGGGTAAGATGGGACCAACGGCAGAAGACGATCAAGACAGGATGCTGGGGAGAGTGACGAGGCTTTTATTGAAGTCTCCTCTGTGGTCCATCCGGGATTCCAAGTAGATACTGCGATGCCCTTCTTTGAGCTGCAAGAAATCCAAGACTCACCTTGAAAGATGCATATCCCAACGAACACCAGCCTATGTGTAGGGCTTGTAGCGATGTTGTAAGGCAGAGTCGAATGAAGTGAGGGGGCGATGGTGTATTAATGTGAAGCTTCCAGCGCTGCATCAAAGCTAAATTAGAGAAAGCGGAGTAGCCATGGTTCGTTTGGCTAGAGCCTATGTGTGAAGGCGGCGAAGTGAGGTCAAATGAGGCAGCTATCACGGCATTAGTTGATATGATATCATGATGAGCGAAAAAAAGATATTTGTTGGTCGATCATTTTAAAGTATTACCGTCTACTCGCTTATTGCGTTTCACCACTACCTTAATTATTTAGCGCATGATAAAAGAGCGCCATTTTCTCTTAGATTACCTCTATTACGCCTCCAATAATCAGCATCCATCGTACAATTGACGCGCACAGCACTGGATCCTTGACATCATCATGTACCTCTCGGGCCGCACTGACAATACACTATCCCTTTGCCTTCAATAGAGACGCGTGGATGGTCATAACTGGCTTCAACCTATCGGGAAATCCACCCTTCATGATCGTCATCGAACTTTCCATAGACAATGAACAATCGATCACGATGAAAAAGTCACGAACGGAATTCTCGGTCTTCCCGTTCGACTTCCACAGCCTCGGGCACTTGATACACTGCGTGGATGCCGAAACAGAAGATCTTCATCTGGCTTTCCCTGAGGACGCTGGTTTTGTGGAGATCAAAGCTGGTCAGCCCTAGCATTCCGAGTTCACGCTGGAAAAGAATCGTTTTCCAGAAAATGACGGTTGTCTGAACTCTCTTGGGTCTGGTAGGACATGCAAGGCTCGGGTTGCTATGGAGCGTCGTAAGGGATTTCGGACCTGGATATTCGGGGCAGAAGAATGACCTGAGTAGAAGGGTCAAGGAAAACAAACGATGATGGGAAATTGCTCAGATGAAGATGGGCTTTTTACCTATCGAGTCGGAAAGTGCGCCCGCGACATTCAAAGTTATGGAGTAGGCAGACGTGAATGATATGATAGTAGCAATTGAGTTCATGCTGTTTACACTCTAACCATGATTCCCTTAAGCTACTTCTTATAGACTACGTGCATCAACTCTCAACTTTACAACAAGCTATATCCCGTAAATTCTTTCAACCGGCTTGCTAGTTTCATCTGTCAAACAAGTCCCGGGCCGGTTCTTGATGTCATCCTTAATGTTCTTGGGAACTTCAGTAAACATCGCTTAACGTATATCAGCCAACTTAAATAGGCACGAGAAGAATGACAGCTGATAGCTATCAACCAACACCACAAACCGCGCTTCCTATCTCCCTACAGCGCTCAATTCTGCGCCGCTGCGAATCACAAACTCAACCCGAACATCGACCCTACAGCGCATGCACAAAAAGAATGCCCTCCAACTCTCATTCTTACGCAAGACACACTAACCAACCAAGCGTGTTCCCCTACCTCCCGATGCCGTCACCCCACTACATCCCCTTGGCCAGCCCTCCAAGCCAAACCCCCACCGCCCACGCCCCCGGATCAGGCACCTTCCGCCTCCCCTCTCCCATCTCCTCCCCAACATACGTCGCTCTCCCAAACCGCGGCACCATCTCACTAGTCTCCTGCGCCTTCTGCTGCGCCACTTCCACCGCCGTGCCAAGCTCCCCCGTCTCGCCCAACCGCGTCACAAACGGGATCAACACATCCATAACCGTGCGATCCCCCTCCCTAGCCGCAGTGTAGTTCTTCAAGCCCTCCAGCGCGGTTGCAGCAGCGCGCGCTATGATCTGTATATCGAGCGGTTGGGGTGACGGGGGGAGAAGCGCAGCGGATAGCGCGTTCGTGAAGGCTGTGGCGAGAATGGATAGGATGGCTCCGAGGGACCCGCCTACGTCTTCGACGTTCTCGGCGATGCTTTCTAGGAGCGCGAGGAGTGGTGGCGGATTACGTTCCACGGAGGAGATGTTGGCGAGGATGGCTTTGCACACCCCGGCGACGGCTTCGCCGCAGTCGCCGTCTCCCATTAGCATGTCGTACTGCGTGATTGTTTGCTCAGCGGCGAGGGCAGCGTCGCATGCGGAGCGGAGTGCTGGGATGAGGAATGCGGGGGTAGGGGGGCCAGGATCCTTGCTCGACGATTCCTGTGCGGAGGTTTGCGCTTTGGCTTTCAAATCTGCGGTCTCTTTGCTCGTCTCATAGGCTTGGTAGCCGTTTTTGGGCCATGCGGGCGCGGAGGTAGGCGCATCTAGGAGTTCGATTACGGCATCGTCTTTCAAAGACATTGCTTTTGCCATGCCGGACATGTTTCCCAGTGTGATGCTGAAGCCTTGGCCGTTGAGGGAGCCTTCCATGATGCCGGCGTAGATGCGCGAGGGCACGATTTTCCAGTCTTTCTTGAGAACTTGCAGAGTGACGTTTACCATGGCGTCGAACTCGAGGCCGGATAAGCCGCCGAAGTTGTTGGCTAGTAGGACGACATTGTCGTCGGTTGAGAAGGGGACGAAGGCGCGGTCTGTGTCTGATGGGTCGAGGAGGTAACGCAACATTTCTGCTACAATCTCTTCGGGTGATGGCATAGGAGATATGGTTCGCAGGCCCTTGTCGTCGTTAGAACTGTATCATTCGACATTGCGATGAAAAGAGTGAGATGAGGACTTACCGGCTCATTATGAATACCCATTCCCAGCACACACGCATCCTCTGCAACAGTTTCGAAAGCCTCTCGCCCCGGAACATGGCAATGGTCCAAACTCGTCCCAATAGTAACCAACTGCTCATTCCCCAGTTCCCCAATCTTTCTGCACCGCTCAAACGACCATCCATTCTGCGACGCAGCCCCAATAAGCTTAATAACTACATCCAATCAGCACTTTCAGCCCCACATGCAGCACCACACAAACTCACCAAGCAAATTCCCCGCCAACCCCCTCCGCCCAACCTTCCCGCTCTTCTCCCTCCCAAGCGCAACATCCTCCGCCATACAAACAACCTCCACTTTCCCCCCCTCCCTCGCCGCCTTCTCCCTCGCCAGTCCAAAATGCAGCATATCCCCCGTGTAATTCGTAATGCACAGGATTGTACCCTCGTTACTCGGCACGCTCTTGATCCCCGCCATGACCTGCTTTGTACTCGGACTGGCGAAGATGTCACCGCATACGGCGGCGGACAGCATGCCGTCGCCGACGAAGCCAGCCCATGCGGGCTCGTGGCCGGAGCCGCCGCCGCTGATGATGGATACTTGGGAGGCGGGGTGCGCGGTGTTGTAGAGGACGCGGTTGGGGGTGTCGAGGGCGAGGGAGGGGTTGCGGTGCGCGAGCGAGGAGAGCATGTGTACTACTATGCCGTCGGGCGTGGGGAAGAAGTGTTTGCGGGACATGGTGGGTGGTTAGATTGGGGTATGGTCTAGTTGTACAAGGTTTTGCTATATGTTTGTTCGAGTATTGTTAAATTTTAATTATCTGTAGAGCGTTAATAGCACGATCTGAAATAGTGAGCAACGCGCAAGTTGTTTGCTCAAGTGTACGTAAACAAAATCCACTCACCAAAAGATCAATTAATTCCTACGAGACAGGCACACCGCATCAGCCCAAAAAACAAGATACAAAAGCCCTCAAAGTGCAGTCAACCATCAGCTCGCGCGGCCATCCTCCCTTTATAAATCTCCCCGCAATCCCCGCCTCGACTACCGTTGCCCCGCATCTGTCACCCGACACGACGTTTAACCATAAGCCCGGTCATGCAAGGCGCGTGTCATCCTAGTCCGTCGCGTTGGACAGCAGGTAAGTTGTAGTCTAGGGGTACCGGATGGAGGCAAGTCGACTTGTCGTCGTGGTAGTTTGCGCCGGGTCGTCCGGATCGGGAAATGCCGGGGAACGCGCCGAAGGTCATATCGGCGCCGATTCCGAACCAATGGAAATTTGGCATGGAATGGGACGCTAGTGGTATTGTAGATGTGAGCTTGGAGCGTACACGTGGAAGCATTGGGAAAGTAGCCCTAAATATGGCCAGTGTTCTGTGGCACCTAAGGTTGAATTTTCTCACTTGAAGTCTTTGCTTGCGATGATCTTGCTTCTTTTTATCAACAACGTTGTCGAGGCCGTGCACATCCACGTCGCATATTGCCCAGAGATTGAGCTACCAAACCAGAGTGATGCTACAACATGATAATTCCCAACCAAAGATCAAAAGTACTTAATCGAACTTGATCTGCTTCCCCTTCAACATAGTCCCACCAATCAGCTTACCAACGACATACCCAGCGTACGCTCCCGTGACAATAGTCACAGGCCACTTCTGCCACTCGCGGTCCCTGTTCTGGATTAGCACGTCTCCCAGCCCCGTATCAGAAGAAACCACTCACCAATCCAAGGGAATTGGCACAGCCCCCAACCAAGCGCCAAGAAGCGTGCCGACTAGCCCCCCGTATACCTCATCCACAGGCAGTAACCCCGCAACGATGCATCGCCATGTCTCTCCGTTCACACCATGGACGTAGACTAGTGGCAGCGTGCTGAGCAGCGCGATGTGCGCACCAGCGAGTAGTGTGTGCGCGTGGTGCGTTGTAGCGGGGGCACCGAAGAGGACGAGGAGAGCGGTGAGGAGCGGGGCGGAAGCGATGGCCGTCAAGGCGAGAGAAAGGAATGCGGGCTGTTCATCAACATGCGTTAGCTCATCCATATAGACACAGAGATGACAGAGAGGAATATGAAAGAATCCAACATACAACAATCTTCCCTCCCAACCCAGACTCAGTCTTGGCCCCTGCAGCGCGCTTCTTGTCCCCTGCCTTCTTCTTCTCCGTCTGCACCGCTCCGCTCGTGGGTGGGAGACAGACCGCCACATACAGGATCTGCAGCACGGCGAGGGGTGCGAGGGTGCTCAGAAGCGCGGGGACGGGATCTGCGACGATGTCCTGAAATTTGTACGCGTACATGGAAAGCACCAGAAGCGGGTGAATGTGGGTATACAAGCGTGCCGTGTCATTTTTCAGTGTCTCGATAGGCAGCGCGGTGGGGGCCTGGGGTGCCGCCGTGTTGGGGGTTGTGCTGGCCATCTTTGAAAGTTGCGGGGCGAACGCAGTGCGTGCTATTGAGACGGTTCTGTTTCTCTGAGCTGATGAACCGGGTGCTAATGAGCGTAATTGGCTCTTGGCCGAGCCTGTTTGGGTACCGATGTTGTCGTGTGTGCGCGTCGAAGTTGTGGACGACAGAGTTTCGAGGTTCGTGATTCGAGATACGAGATACGACATTGTCCGTGCACGCGACTACGAACTCCTTCACAGAATCAGAATTTCAAGACTCATGTCATCATCAAATGTCTTTGATTGAATTCTGTGCTCATCTATGAGCATTCTGTTCTCGCCACACATGCCCATTCGGCTCGCTCGAGTCAGCTGCACCATTCCTATTGCTCCAGCTTGACCTCGCCCTCTTGCCCGCCCTTCTTCGGCACCAAGTTCCTCAGCGACAAATCATACACAACATCTTCCACATCCTTGACCCTGTACTTGAGCCCATCGCTGCGGCGACGCAAACTGTCGTTCTTGAGGTTGAGAATCTGAAATCCCGCAAACAGATCCTTGACGAACTGGTTGATGAGCAGGGGACGCTCGTAGTCGCCAAGCGTGACTGCGTTACGAGCGAGACGTGTCTGTGACAGTCATTAGCATGTTGTGAATGACGTGGTTGAATATGATGACTTACTAGCTCCTCGACGAGCGAGATGAGCGACTGCAGGTACTCTTCGAGCGTGAGATGGAACTCGTCGCGTTCCTTGAGGTTGACAGGAACTATGTAGTGTCAGTACTGCGTAAATACCGTCCAACAAAAGGCATACTGTTCAGAATCTCGCCCAGCTCTTCAATCGTCAAAAGCCGTCCACACTTTGGCTCACCACCCTCGTGCTTGTAGCCACCCAGCCAGCCCCAGAACAACAAACCTTCTATCTGCGAATATGTCAGCGCCATGTATAAATATTAAGCGTGAACAAGCAAGACATACCGCGCCCTGCATTTGTCGGGACCACATGTTGTTGAACTTGTAGTAGGGTAGCTTAGACGCAGCCTGGGAGAGCTTCGAGACTGTTTCCACGACATTCTTGATAGGTTCCTCGGCAGCTTTCAGGACGTCGTCGACTGTTCACTTGATCAATATCGCTATTAGATAGCAGGTTGGCGGCGACTCACGATTAGCGACAGGCGTCGAATGCGCCCTCGACAGCACAAACGACACATTGCGGTCTAGTTCAGGTCAGCAAATGTCATCATACGCTTCTCTAACACTCACTGTGCTTCTCAAGCGCGGAAATGATGTCTTTGAGTTCCTGTCGCGTCATGAGTACGTTGTCACGTGTAAACCTGCGGGGAGCGTTCTCACATCGCGGACAGCCGAGTCTTCGTCGATGCGCGACTGCAGGCTCTGGAAGATTGCTGGGTCGACAATGCCTGATGGTCCTGCCATTTTTGGGGATTTTGTGTGCTTGTGTTAGTGCGGGGCGGTGGGCAGCGGGTTGGAAGTGCTGAGATGCGCGTTTCGTTGATGTTGGATGGGCAAACACGACGGTGAAAATTCAAGCGCGCATACGACGCGACGTCACGACACACGATTTGGGAATCAATGTCGCACTTTGAATATTACAGACTAATAGCATGGTGTCTATCCAGACGAATTGACATTTGTAGCACTCGCCATCGCGTTCCAATCACTTCGTACTGAGCGTTGTCATGGTAAGGGTACGTGTCCCTAAACAGTCTAGCGTCAAAGTTGACCTGTCAAAAAATGGTTTGCTGCTTTCGCAAATGAAAACTTACAAGCACGCTCAAAAAATTGAGGAAATGCTCAACTAACAACATGAAGCACACATCAAATCATGTACCTCACTGTTGGTGAATCCATCGAATAACGTTGGCGCTATAAGTTTAGTGTCTTGGTCAAATTATCATGTACACCTCCAGTCTGAGAGACTCAGCAGCATTTTATATCTCGAATACGGTCTGACGCCCACTCCCAGAATGCCTGGAAAGATATCCGTACCATCTGGCGGATAAAAGTCATCGAAGTGGCTGCCATGTATGCTTTGAAGACTTTCTGTAGGACTGTTATAGATAGTTCAAAGAATTTCTCGCCGGCATATTTGAGGCTCCCGAATAAATAAATGTGGATCCCTCAGAGCAGCTTTTCTTCTAAAATCAGAATAGCGAATCGGTCAAGTCTACTACGACCAGTCTTTGACTTGACACATGTAAAGCTGACACAGGAAAAGAAACCCTTGCAGCCATTGCCGTACCTACATTAAGGATAGCGTCGCATCGAATCATGAGAGCGAGCATCCATCATCGACTTTACATCCACAAAGCACTCTCTTTTGCGAAAGCGAGTTAGATCGGGCCAATCCATGCGTTCAGTAGAATAGCTGTCCAGTCGGCATACTGACCGTAAGGGGCAGCCTCGATATCCGCAGTCATGCATATGTATGAAGGGTGACGGAGCAAGGAGGTTATGTCTTCTGTTTTAGTGAAATCTACCCAAACTTTGGAACTGATGGATGGCCAGCCGCCTTCGGGTCGCTCAGTAACGATCGACTCGTCTATATACATGTTAGAGAAGAAGCGGTGAGAGTCACGGAGAGCCGCGACTGTCACATTGCGCGAGTAGCGAATCTCATGTAGTTCAAGCGTCGTTAGGTTTGAAAAAGACGAGATGGTGTGGGAACTTGAATGGCAGCGCAAGCTATGCGGTGATCGATACTGCGTGTGTACGGAGAACTGTGGTGGTTGGGCCCACAGTATGAAAACTGCCACCGGTATCGTAGCTTCGCGTGAGGCGAACTGACCACCATTTAAGATGTGCGGTCTAGCGTGATAGCTAGCGTGACAGTTGTACAGTGGGTTCTGCGTTATAACGATACCTATTAGGACAAGATAAATATTGTTACCGCGCCTGTATTATTACAGAGCAGAATTCCTTAGCACGTTACGTAGTTCTAAAAAAACAGTATATAGCTAGTAAAAACAGTATATTTATAAATTATCTAAAGTAATTACAAATACCTTACTATTCCTATATAGCAGCGCATTCTACTATTAACCTCTACCTAATACAGCCTCTTAGCGCCTAGAGTACGCTTATATAAGCGTTCTATATATCCTTATTACTGCCCTTATACTGTAGGAGCTACTTAATAAGCTTATAACTCTATTTATATATAAATAGACGTGCTAGGGAGGTATCCTCCTTATCCTTATTATCCTTTAGCAGGTATAGCTCTACTACGTAATTAATAATTTTAGCTAGCTTAATATTAATATAGCACTTATCTACTAGGTTAATAAACTTATTTATAAGGTAATTAAGGCTTATAGCAGAGTATACGTTTTATTAGCGTATAAGCTCTATAAAAAGCTCTTTAACGTTCTTATAATTATAAGGAGAAGGGAACTAAGGACTGTAATATATATTACAGTAAGTACTACTACGCTAGTAATTAGTAATAGTCTAAGGCAGAATACCTTCCTATACTATTACTGTCTATTAAATAGTATAGAGTAGGTTTATTACTTTAATAGTATTATACCTATCTAGGCTCTTCTGCATAAAGAATTTAAGCTAGGGAGCCCTCTATTTATACTTAAAGTTCTAGATAATGCCTTAATTATATAGTTAATAGTGTAAGGTAATATTTAGTAGTAGAAAAATAACTTTATAGGTTATAAGTTAGTATAAAAACTTAGAGTTAAGTATAGAAATAGAGGGGTAATCTATTAGTATTATAGAGTAGGTAATTTTTAATATTCCTAGACCCTAAATATTTAGGCTAACTAGAGGCTGTAGATTTATTAAGTAACCTAAGCCTTACTTAATTAGGTCTACGTCTTACCTAATTAAGACAGTTTATAGACGTTAGTAGAAGTTTATTAAAACGCTAACATACAGTATATTTATAAACTTAGGTAAATCTTAAGCTTAGATTTAGCCTATCTACAATACTAACAGCTTACCTATATATACCTTATATAGCGTAATTACTTACGTATTCTCTTCTCTACACTTATATACGCTAAGAAGCTATCTAGGATTAATAGTACCTTTCTCCTAGCTATCCTAGCGTTAAAATCCTATAAAAACTCTACTATTAGCTTCCTAGTTATCTAGGCTTTTTTATTGCTACAATAGGTATAATAGAGGCCTTATATAAAGGAGTTACCCTTACTACTAAGTACTTAAGGGTGTCTTAATTTACTAATAATAATAGAAGGAAGCTTATAGCTACTATTAGCGTTATAGGTAAGTCTAATTATAACCTACTCCTTATACTTTTTTATACTAGATTAGGGTCCTATTACTAATATCTACTCTAGTACCTAATACTAGAAAAGCCCTATTTTATCTATATTATAAGTGTTGTAGGCAGCGTACTTAGAACAGATACTGTATACCTCTATTATTACTAACTCTAAGCTTACTAATAGGTTAGCTAATATAGCCTTACTATATTATTTAATAAGCTTTATATTATAGCGCTTCTTAAAGCTGTTAATAAAGTCCTTATAGAATAACAGTATTAGTTAATCTATATAGTATAGCAGCTTTACCTATAGCTTAATTGCTGCCTGCTTAAGTAGTACGCTAGTAATAGGGATATATATAGCTTTAAGCCTTATATACTATTTAAATAAGGTGTTATTAAGGTTAGGCTATATAGTATAAGTCTTCTTTTTAAACTGCTTATCCTTTACTCCCTATCTTATATTCTTAATATATATAAAGTAGCTTAACAGCACCTTACTAATTATTAATTATTAAATAGTATAGCTAAACTAACGTAAAGCCTAGTTAGCTATTATTAACTATTTAGCCCTAAGGTACTCTTTAGTATATTGCTAAATTACTAAGCGTTGCTTATTATTAAGGGCGTATTAACAGCAACAATTAAGCTTAGTATTAGGAGGTATAGGCTAATAAATTATTAGTAAATAGTTAGTAATTATATAGGATAAATGCTACCTTCTTAGCCTATAATTACGCTCTATGTAACAGCTCTAAAACAGGTAGTTAGGTAACAGCTAGGAGTAAATTTTAGCTACTAGAGGCTCTAGCTAGGTATCTAAACTCCTTTAGGACGGCGGCCTTATAACAATGTTAGCTAATTATAATATTAACTAGCTGCTATTGTTACGTACGCAAAAAAACGCCTAGGGTGTAATACTTAATTATTATAATACAGGAAATTGTTACACGGCAGGCATTGTTATAACGCAGAACCCACTGTACGATATAGTATAAGGATTATGTTTCGACGCTAGCATATATTGCAAGAAGCTTAAATCAACATTACAGTTAGATAACTGTGGCTGTCTTGAATCCGACTGGAGTGAGGAAAAATAATTTCATAACTAACTAGTGCTCTTCAGCTGTGTATGCGCTACCGTAACCTCATTAGTATTTTTGTGTGCGTAAACCTTATTCGAGTTGTGTGTAGTCAAAGTTGTAGATATGGTTAGTGATTAATCCTATGTTAATTGTGTCAAACCGCCGACGTTTAGCCGCATCACCGGGGCTCAGCCGCTACGCGAGGTCACGGGATTTCTTAGCGTCCTTAGATCCATCGTCTATATAACAGACAGCTCCCCCGTCCCCTCTACTGCTCTTTAGCTCTGTCAGTCTCTCCCACCACCCCCCCAAACTCGCCGAAAGCCTGCTAACGATCTCTCAGCTTTGCCTTTTGGCTTAGATCAAGTGTAGTATCTGTTCTTTTTAGTTTAATCGCTAAAATGACACTAAGGTGTCTTTTATGATTATCCTTATTTTTGTTACTCGCTGGTGTCTCCCTGAGCTTGCTCATAGTCACTGGCACAGTGTCGCTCGTATTACACTACCTCGAGCTGACGCGACCCTTTTTCATTGAGTTGTTTGGCATGCCAGACGCTTGAGGAAGAAGCTTCAATTGACACATGTGACCATTTCTAACTGACTTGCGCTGCCTGACACTGTTTCTCCTTTCCTTCAAAAACCCTGATCTCGGATTTGTTGCTGCATGCTATATCTGGTTGCTGCGCTTGTGTGCATACCAGCACGCGGCTCACTTCTTCGCAATGACAGGTTGAAGCGAGCCTAGCCCGTCTGGTTCTTGGGCACACGTATAGACGTTAAGGTTCGTACTGAGAGGCAAGGTAAGACAGGGCGTTGCGTTCATCATATTCAAAAGTAGCAAAATCACCACGACACCGTCCACAGAAAGGTATGTTAGGCATATACAACCAGCGAACAAGGCTAAACTTCACACTTAAAGTTACTGTGTAGTTGTCCAGCTTTTGTGAGAATTCATTGCTGAGTTGGTTTCTAATGGTGCTAGCGTTAGCAAGCACGGTTGCTTGAGTTTCATCGTGATGGGCGGTAGGGCATTGAAAATGCTAACAATTTTGCCAGCCTATTTCCAACTTCGTCTGCGTCTATGTGGGAGGATAACAGGTTGTCCGCATCCTCATTCTCATTGGAATCACCACTGGAGATCACCGTACTCCAACTCTGGTCCGCACTTCTTGGGAGGTTGTTGATATTGCTTGCCACACGTACCGGGTAAACATGAGCTGCGTCGTATGTTCCCCTAGGCCCTAGTACGGACAAAATCGGCGCTCTCCATTTCTGACAAAGTGACGTAGGCGTAGCAGGCAACCATGGACCGTATGAGTTGTGGGCAGGTGGCAACAATTCGTCTTCATTCCTCGACCTAAGTCCGCTCTTCACACTTATACCAAGTTCTGGCAATCGATCTTAGCAGCTATATTCATTATTATAGCGACATGTCAGATCCAGAAGACCTGCCATCAGGCTCAGACAAAGTGTCCGATTCATCCGACGACGTGTCTGATTCATCAGACGATGAATTCGCCCAGATCAGGGCTTATGCCACAAGTGACGTCGATCTGGATGCTATACTGAAGCTCCTCCATCCAATAAACGGCGATGATGATTTCAGCGTCGTGGCTTTACGCGGTTATGCGGCACAGCAGGTTTGTCAGCGCCATCGCGACGACGCCGACTCCACAGATGACATGCATTCAAAGCTCTTTCTCATCTTCGACCGCGACAATCCACAGCAACAGGGCGTCTTGCTTGTCAATCTCAAACCATATCACAAGTACCCAGATGCTGTTAGACAACTACCTGAGCACGCAACCAACTGCATTGCTTCGCTGAACATCGTGAACACCGAGTGGCACGAAGTGCGCGGATCCTCGGACGATACCAAGACTGAGTTTTGGCCGGCGAATTGGTTCGCCTTGTACAATCTTCTCTCAAAGGGACATGAGGAGGATTTTTCTACTGTCGTAAAATCGATGAACGACGGCGTGCAATACATAGGAAGTGACGCGGAAGGGGAAGAACCTAAAGGAGGGGCAAGAAAGTTTCATCGAGCAATTGGCCAAAGCAAGCAAGATCTTGCACAGACGATAGCGCAACATTCAACGTACGCGCGCGATCACGGTGTTGATGCCGAGAGATTTGCAGTGGTCGACAAGGAGGAGGGCATACTCTTTATTCAGATCCAAACACAGTATGATTCCTTTCGCTGCAAGCTTCCAGTTGCTGGAGAGCTTCTCAACTGGATCTACATCGGTTTTATGACTTGGGAAGATGCTAAAGCTTTCGCGAGCCTTGAGCGACCTGCTGCCACCTAACAAAACCAGAGTAATGAGAAGGCTTCCGGTCAAATGAAAAAGCAGGAAGTAGCTTGGGTTCTGTGTGGCTCCTACAAACCGCAAAACTACATGATTAGGATTTGCAAATGTGCCCACCTGGCGTATACTGCTCGGAATCTAAGTATGAGATTCCTATACCCAATTCAGTTGTAGTTACCAAGCTGTTGCATGGTTTCGCTGCACGTTGATTCCTCTATAAGAGTTGATACGAATGATTAGAAGGAAAACGGCCACGTCTGATAGAGGTATCGCAACAATGGTAACAAAGAGCAATATCATGAAGCTCTCCAATTGTGACTCGCGACAATGTCAACATTGTTGCGATTGATTCGAGCCTTCGAGTGCTATTCTAACCTCATCTGTTGCATTCTATAACGGCCGGTGAGAAAATCCATCGCTGAAAAAGAGATCTATCGGAAACTGACCCTATACAAGTCGTCGTGATACTGCCTAAACAGACCATCATGGGAGTGTCCATTGCGTAGCAACACCAGGATGTCCTCATCGAGTCTTCGTCGCATCTCCTCTATCGCCGCACGCGCCCAATCACTTCCAAATACAAACCCCCCAAAGCCTCTCTCTCACTCTCACATGCCCTCATCCACACTGTTCCACACCGCCTTCGGGAACCTCAGCGTAAGCTTCTGCGCCTTGCCTTGATCCGTCTTTCGCTTCTTCACCACCCTATCAGTCTCACTTGCCTTCTTCTTCATCCCGCCTTTGGCTCCCACAGGACTCTTCGCCTTCAAGTTCAGCTTCAGCTTCAACTTTAACGGCGTCGCTAGGCTCTGGCCCCGGAACTGGAACTGCAGGAACTCTACTTCGTCGCAGAACCATGCGAAACTCTGCACAAAGCTGTCCTCTCGCGTGATACCGACTTGACGGCCTTCGACCAACACGTTATCGCCGTAGAGGAGTTGCGTAGCCCAGGCGCCGACGTCGCCGTCACCGTCAGAGTTGTCTTCGATGTCTTCAGTAGACGTGGCGTTGGCGGTCCACTTTATCTTGACCTTCAGCTTGGAGATGTCAATATCGATGCCCTTGTCGTCATTGCACTTCTTGTCGGAGTCTTGCAGTGCCTGAGAAACCTTTTCACCGAAGGTCGAGTCGGCGTTGTAGCTTTCCCGTCGGACTCGCGGAGCGATGGCGTAGAGAAAGAGTGGGCGACAGAGAAGAATACAAAGACCATCTACGCGGTGTGAGGTATATCTCATGAAGGTTAGGTCGCGCATGCTTACCGAGAAGTCCCTCTTGATCGTACTTCGGAAGTCCACCAGGCAATCCGTTCAGTGCATTGCGGAAGTGGGTGCGAAGCAAGGTACCGGACGGTTCGTTCATTGTTACAGATGTTCGTGTTCCTTTGGTTGATATCGCGTTGCAGTGTCTTGGTTGGAAAGCGAGAGTGGGTAGTCAAATTCCACGATTGCACTGGGACTAATCGCCGGTTGAACGACCTGTGAACAGTTGTGGTGGGCTGATGATCCTCCAAATGAGGGATAAAGTTAGCGAGCGTGGTTTGCTACCCTCCCGCATCGAGGGCACGGTTAGAGGGAATGACTGACTTCGAAACGTCATCCTATGCTGCCGAGCGTTGATCCCTCACTCACCTCTCGTGCCGTCACACGGCAACGTCCGATCACGTCCTGGCTTTGAGGCGGTCACTATCAGGGTCGTGATGGAGGCTCCCAGTCAGTCGAGACCTAAGGTGCAGCAGCATCTCGTCACATGGTGAGAACTACATGAAAGCTTTGCATGGAAGTTGTGCATCTTGCATGCTACTGGTATGCGCCTGGTTTACGTGATTTCTAGAATTTGCCAACAAGAATGTAGCTTAATGCCCAATACTTTGTCATGCTGAGAGGGAAGGCATTGTGATACATACGTCGAGGTCCGGCTCACTGCGCCCCCAACATTGTAGTAACTTACCGCCGGCCTCATCTACCTTATCAAACAACAATGTCGGCTTTGTAGAATGGCCTGCTGTGCTTGTCACATCTCTTGCGCGATCCTATCACCCAAAAGGACGATGCACCACAAGATTTGGATGGGAGGCGGAGTGATATGATATTCCAGCCTATGGCTGTGCTTCTTCGTCCCTTCGAACCCAGATATTCCATAAAAACCCCCCCAGATACAATGACAGGATGGGCCACTCCTCTTTTGATCATCCAATGAAATAACAGACCATTCATCGCCCAGTCAATTCTTCGGAAGTCTGTTCCCTCGAGACCTCCGATCAATCTCTACCTAACACAAGCTTACTTACATCTATCTTCGCTAACTGTGCGTCTCCTGCCATATCTCCACTCAAGGTTCATTCTTCGTAATATTCAACAAAAGCTAAAGGTCTTGCAGGAATGGGCAACGCGTGACATCAAAGCCGAAAGGCTACGAGTGATTTTGCCTTTACGACATATTTGGTAGGACAGTGGGCTCGCAGTATTACAACAAACTTGATAAGTGATCGGCATGATGTCTGAAGTGAGGGGGTAAAGTTGGCGTCAAAGTTGGATCTGTCTCTGGAATCACTAACCTGTCTTTGAGCTAGGTTTGGATTTCGATTTTGTTTAGAAATTGTCACCTCGATTATTCCTCAGCTGAGTCATTATCTAGGGCGTGGACATGAGAGCGATGGATCGGATCGTATTTGATTTGGTGAAGAAGGGCGAAGCCGGAGATTCTTGGAATGCGCAAGAGGAGCGTCCTCATGGTGAGTCAGTTCTGGCGTATCAAAAGTTCCGCCCAGTTATTTGGAAGTGATGGTAGAGGCTGCAAAACTGCTTCATATCACAAATGCATCTGATTACAACCAAAGTGAACGGAGGGGTATGGCTCATTCAAGATTGGTAAACGATAGCGGGCATTCACGATGAGAGTTCACGTGAGCTTCACCTTCACTCCAAAGAGTGTAGCTTCTGCGGGTAGTACTTAACCATGCGTAACAGTCTAAACGGACTTAATAAGTTGATCGATCAATCACAGGATCAATCCGCTGTTTCTCATTCGATCACATGGTGGGAGACAACCACTTACTCCGCGCGCCCCACGCACTCGCGCTAACCTATTCTGCCCTCTTTCACTTTGGAAATTTCTGATCAGGCAGCAACGCAAATGGAGCAAATCCATGAACGAGTGGGAGCAATTAACTTTAGTCTTATCGTTTCATCTCCTAATACTTCCATCCTGGGCAATTACTCACTACAAGTGACAATGCCATACTATACACAAGCCAAAAATAACACTTACCTAGGGTAGGAGATAAGTCAAGCTGACTGGATTCAAGTTATTCTATGGAATGACATGGTCAGTGAAGTGGACACGCCGAAGGCCAAGGTGCTAGTTGCCGGCGGTTCTATCGTTCACGAATACACCACTTCGATTGCGGATTCCACGTATGTGCAAAGATTGTCCAGCTATGATACCATACTGAGGTTTCTAGCTCAAGATCCCGGACAACCGTGACCATGCACTGAGTATGGAGGCGCTGCGCATGGGAAACTCGATCGACTTGACGTCTTTCGAAGACGTTACCGAGAAATATGCAAGGGAGCGCGAAAGCACACCGAAAGAAGGAGGATGTAGAAAATTTGGAGGTACATGATTGACAGCCTTACGAGATGCTCACTAAATAGCTACTGTGATAGAGAGAGGAGAATCAAGGCAGGGATCGAGGACAGACTTTGCGCTGTCCTCGAGTAATGATAATGCGATGACAAATACTAATATTTTAACACCATCGTGTGATTCTTCATTACCAGAATTTCGGACCTGGCATTGTGGACGAAGGATGTGGCAGTAATTGTGCACTACGTTAACCAGAGGCAATAAGTCAAGAATCGAAGTCGCAAACCCCAACTCGGGATCATACAACTGGACTTAGCCCAATCTAACGCCTCTTTTTAGTCCTTCGTATGCTCCTCGTAATGGCCTCAAGAACGATATGGACATGCTATCATTTTTCCAAGCAAACACGTCTTGATGCCCACCCATCCCCTCTCACCCCTTCCCCGCTCACTATCTCCCCTCATCGCTACTGCCCCCTCTCCATTCCCCTCCAAACCTCCTCACACATCTGCCTAAAACCCCGCTCCAACATCCCCATCAGGACATCGTCGAACAATGGATCCGCCCCATCCCTCTCCTTCGCAACCCCCGAGAGCATGATCTGCACGTCTCCCCCGCCAGGCGGGATAACCACTAGCGCCAGGTAGTGCATCCTGCCCGCGTGGCAGATGCGCATCATGATCTCTTCATAGCTGCTGAGGGGTATGCGGATGAGGTGCATAGCGATGCGGGTTGTGAAGCGTGTTACGTCGGTGGGGGGCCAGTCGGCGAGGCGGGGGTGGAGGAGGGTATACAGGTGAAGGGCTATGCCAGCTTGAGTTATGTGGTTTGGATCGGATGATTGAGGTGGGTAGAGCGGTGTGGTATATGCCCGCGGATTGTATGCTGCAGACGCAGATGTAGGCAGAGGTGAATGTGCGGGGAAATTCTGGTCTGCGTACATTGGTGGACGAAGGTTGTGCTGTGCCGAGGATCTGTCTCGCGGTGGCTGTCGGGCAGGCGACAGGCTGTATGATGACCGCATTGGCGTAAGGATAGATTGCGCAGTCGGAGGTGTTGCGGTGGGAAATACTGGCGATTGACCATGTGACGGCTCATAACTCGCTGGCCTGTGCGTAGCGGTAAGCGACTGCGCAGCGTACTCCGGAGGTGCTGGAACTGTACTGTACTGCCAGTCTGGACTCGCAGCCACCGGACGTACTCGATACTGCGATGCATCACTATATATTGCCTCTGGCTGCGGGCAAACAGAAGGTGTAGATGATGCAGGACCCAGGAGTTCCTGCATTTTCAACGTGGTAGAACCAGTGCTTTGCACATAGTCTTGGTCCAAAGCCGAGCGCGGTTGCTGAGACATGGTGCTCGCGGATGCCGTTGTACAGAAGAACTGATCAACAAAGCCTCGAAGGCTGCAGCTTAGTTGAGTTTTAGTGATGTGTCAAACAACGCTTAAGTTGTGAAGAAGGAGACAAATATATATTGATAGAGGATTGAAGGAAAATGGATGGCCATCGTGAAACAACGTCGCACCTAAGCGTGAACGTGGGTCTGCCCGGCGTGGAGAAGGATCGGCGGTGAAGCGATATAATGGATAGACCTTGGAGAAAATAATCTCTGCCATGTCCTAGGCATGCAACTGTTATGAGACTCTGATTGTGAGACGACTCTAGCAAGTTGTCTTGAGAAGTTACTTCTTCACATATGACACGGTAGTAGGTGTCTGTCGTACTATTTACCCTGTGTCATCGCTAAGTTGACTCTTGTTTAGAACATGGAAAACATGTATATGGAAGCGAGTGTGAAAGAAGACGGTGATATTATTTAATGAGATTGTGAATCGGGAAATGGGTAGAACAAGAGAGTGGTTATACAAGGATAGGACAAGAGAAGATGATTGACGCTTGCTGGGAGTCTAGTAGGGAGATGAACGTGTGATATAAAGGTGATGGGAAGATCAATCGAGAACTCAGAGAACCTACGAAAAGTGTTGAGATGGATTATGAAATGACGAGAAAATGACGTTAGAAGAATTGGAAGTCTAAGGAAAAGAGGGTAGGAAAAGTACCTGAACAAACCAGAAAGCAATACAGAGCTCATAAACCTGCCTCACAGAGCCTCCCACCACCCCACCGTTATCCTCTCCATCTGCTCTTCTCTCCTCTCAAGCTCGCCCTCCTCTTCCCTTTGCCTCTTGTACTCCTCCATATATGTCTTTCCCGTGTTCAACACAGTATCAACAAAGCTCTCCAACGCCTCGCCAAATGTTTCCCTGCAACCACCCCTCAATACCACGCCGTCGTGCTCACACCCGATCGCCATGATTCCCACAAACAATCTATCGTTGACTTGTCCACATCGGATTTGCAAATTTGAACTAGGGACCGTATCATCCACTCCAACAAGACCTTGACACGCTTTATTTTGCGTATAGATTGATAGTACGCCTGAAAAGATTGGTGATTAGCATGACACATGGAAGACGAGGAACGAGCAGGGCATACGAGAAAGGAACCGAGTTTCCATGACCGAGCGAGCGATTGACTGGGTGTTGAGCAGATGTGTAATGCGATATTGGTGTTGGAGGAAAGATGTGGCGACACGCTGGTCGATCCAGGCGATCAAGAGCGCATATTCAGTGTCATCTGGTGGCGCGTGTGTCATCCGGGTCAAAGATAGAGCCAATAGAACAGTATGTGATGGGCTTCCAGTGATGAGTGATTGTCTCTAGTCCAGATGGTAGTTAGCAAGCAAGCCCGGGGCGAATTGATAATGAAGCAAGCAGCTTGCTCGGTATGGACATGTGGATAGAACGTATTGTTGGTCGGCACTGATCAAAAGACAATAGATTCATAGCAGGCAAATCCTGCGTCCCCTTATAACTCAAGGCTGCCGCGTTCTATCTGCTGTCGTGATTCACAATAACATGTGATGCGACCTTTCACATTGTCGACGTCCTCACGTGGCAGCCTTGGCACAGACTTGACCGTTGAGGGCAGAAACAAAAATCCAAGTACTGGTAGACACCTCGATGATGAATACGAATAGCAGAGATGATAACACCTAGTCCAACATGCAAGAAATACAAGTGTAGGAGCAGGCGGCAAGTCGATGACAATGCGGTTGTGGTGTTGAGGCGTAAGTGGTGGGTCGAAAAGCCGGACCTGCAGGTGGCGTTGCTTAGTTGCCTATACTTAGCGCGGCACTAGTCAGAAACCCTTGTAGGCACAACATTTTCTCCCTGACAACCACTGCACTCCACGCCCTGGACCCACTCACGTTGCTGCACGACTCGCGCCTCCCTACCGTTGTTTTCGGGGAACCACACTCGCTACGCAATCGCTCTTTCTTCACACATCGGGACGCTCTTTCCCTGTCGCGCCCCCAGCCCTCGCCGGGCCTATTCTCGACATTCAGAGCTCTGCACCCATCCCCTCTCTGAACGACGACACCCTTCATAAATCGCAAACATGGCCTTTGGCGACTTCCAGGATATTTGCGAAAAGGCCGCGTTGCCGTTATGCGCCCTCGTAGGACACCAGGAGATTAATGGTGGCGTCGGCATCCAAACGACGTGTTATGCGCGATCGATCGAGGTTGGCAACACGCTCATCTTCCAGGTCGCGAACGACTTCATACACATCCTCGCCATGGCCATGGCCGTCATTATGATCATACACGTGCGCTCCAAGTTTACCGCTGTCGGTACGTTGGCGCATTCGACCCGGCGTCGACACACACTGACAACGCGACAGGTCGCAAGGAAATTACATCTTTCTTCTACATCTACCTCCTCCTGACTATCATATCACTCATCCTCGACGCCGGTGTCGCTGCTCCCGCTTCCGCCGCATATCCATATCTCGCCGCTGCGCAAAATGGTCTCGTATCTGCGCTCTGCACCTGTCTCATGATCAACGGCTTCGTTGGTTTCCAGCTATACGAAGACGGAACATTTCTCTCAATTTGGTTGATACGGATCGCCTCCCTGGTCATGTTCCTGATTGGTGGCGCCATTTCTCTGCTCACGTTCAAGAACTGGGGTCTGAGTTCCCAGAACCCTATTGGAATTTTCGTTGTCACGTACATTGTCAACGCGATTCTCCTCTTTGTATACGTCGTCAGTCAGATTATGCTTGTCTTGGGAACACTCGAAGACCGCTGGCCGCTTGGCGACATCGCGTTCGGCATCTTCTTCTTCACCATCGGACAGATCATTCTTTACGTCTTCAGCGACACCATTTGCGACAGCGTCTCACACTACATGGACGGCCTTATTTTTGCCACCCTTTGCAACTTGCTGGGAGTGATGATGGTGTACAAGGTTAGTCCGCCCCACTCCCCCAGACGCTTGGCAGCCGCTAACGCTTCTAAAAATAGTACTGGGATTCCATCACCCGTGAAGACCTTGAGTTTTCCGTCGGCGTCAAGCAGCACACTTGGGAAGTCAAGGAACTTTTGCCTGAGCAAGACAAGCGCGGTACCATTTACCAAGATTCCGAGTATGCGCCGTCCATGTACCAGCAACCGTACGGCACACGACTGTCGCATTACTCCGTCGGCCGCTGATTTCTGCACTGTGATGCTTGCTTCGCGGTTTTTACGACTTGAATCCTACTTAGATCTTATTGTTTTTATGAAAGGGTGTCCTCGGCGTAGGACATGTAACTTATTCGTGTACAGGATGATACGGACCTTATTTGGTCATTGTTTCGGCGCATCAGGTTTGAGCGTCTAGGGTCGGAATATTGTTGGATAACGTGGTTCAGACTTAGTTGTTGTAAGAACACATATAGTAATATCAGATATCTTTCTCTACCCGGCGACCCGGGCCTCCTGGTAAGTGCACCATAAAATATACGTATGCCTTGGATGGACAAGATGCGTTCATTGACAGTATTTACCAACCTGATATGTAACACGTGTTGCCGGCCTATATCCCGACCTCGGATTTTGGCGTCCGTTCTTCTCGCGCATTGCCGTCCTGTGTCCCGGACTGGACTTTTCACGCCGTTTCGTTAGGTGCACTGGTTTGAGTTCGCATGTTCTTGCATGACGCTAGCGGATGCTCCCCGCATCCTCAAAACTTCTAGCCGAGACATGTCCGTGGACTTCGGGACCGCTCCAGTACTAGGACATATATCTTCGCAACTTTAGTCCCGAGTATTTGGAGTATGCCAACACCTATCCAATATTGATCATACCTACGTCATCTTCTTTTGCACATTGTATTGTCGAGCCATACAAACAAACAAGATATTGTCATCTTTGAAGCAAATTAACCAACTTCTGACACATTCTTCCTAAAGACTATCTCATTCTACTTCATTCCTTCTTGCACGATGCTCAAAACAGACGTCCTCATTGTAGGGTCAGGCTCCGCAGGCATCTTCGCCGCGACCTGGCTCGCCATCTACAATATCCCCTTCACGATCCTCGAGCGGCGCTCCGGACCCCTGGAGATCGGGCAAGCAGACGGCGTGCAAGTCCGTACTGTGGAGATCTACGAATCCTTCGGTCTATCAGAGGACCTGCTCCGCGAGGCCTACCACATTCTCGAAGTGTGTTTCTGGGGGCCTGGGGAAGGAGGGAGCGGCATTTCGAGGAAGAGCAGGACGCTGGATACGGAGAAAGGAATGAGTCATTTGCCGCATGTGATTCTCAATCAGGCGAGGATGAATGGACTAATGCTAGGGAAGATGGAGAAGGTATTGGAAGAGAAGAAGGGAACGGGGGGGATTCAGTATGGATGGACGGTCGAAGGGGTAGTTGTTGATGAAACCAAAAATAATGATTCCGATGCGCATTGCGTCAAGGTCACGGCGGAGAAAGATGGCAAAAACGAGGTTTGGGAGGCGAAGTACGTTTTGGTAAGCTCACTTACCCTTCCCTCTCCACGACAAGGTCGAACGCGAACACTGATGTCTTTCTAGGGTTGCGACGGCGCACACTCCACTATCCGCCACGCTCTCGGCTACAACATGATTGGCGACACATCAGACACTGTCTGGGGCGTCATGGATATTTACCCGCTAACCAACTTCCCTGATATCCGCCGGAAATGCACCATCCACTCCTCCGCAGGCAACCTGCTCATCATCCCCCGCGAAGGCGGCGAATTGGTCCGATTCTACATCCAGCTTCCCGCAGGATCGCATCCCAAAGACGTCAAACTCGAGGACCTGCAAGATACAGCGCGCAGGATCTTCGCGCCGTATAGTATGGACTTTGCGGGCACCTTCTGGTGGAGCGCATACAGTATCGGTCAGCGGCTCGCTGAGGCTTTTCACAAAGATGGTCGTGTCTTTCTCACCGGCGATGCGTGTCATACACACTCTCCCAAGGCGGGGCAAGGGTTTGTTACTTCTCCCATCCTTCGAGTATGCAATGTGAGATCCAACACAAAGCTGACGGAACGCAAGGATGAACGTCTCCCTACAAGACGGATACAACATTGGCTGGAAATTGGGCTCTATCCTTTCCGGCGTATCCCCGCCCTCCATCCTCGCTACGTACGTCGAGGAGCGCAGCAAAACAGCCGCCGATCTGATCACCTTCGACAAAGAGTTCTCGAGCATGTTCAGCCGCAAGGAGGAGGTCGAAGGCGAATTTGCGGAGTATTTCCGCAAGAGCGGGAGGTACACAGCGGGTTTTACGGCACAGTACCAAGATAGTCCCATCACAGACTCGATGCACAGCACCCCGCGCGTTGCGAAAGGCGTCACAGTTGGCATGCGCTTCCCGTCTGCGCAAGTGATTCGGTTCTGCGATTGTAAGGCGGTGCAGCTGCAAAGCACACTGCGGAGCGACGGGCGGTGGCGTGTAGTCGTTTTCGCTGGTGATATTAGCAATGTAGGGCAAAAGAAGAAACTGGATAAGGTACGCAAAGCTCCCTCAGGGCTCAACACTTAAACTAACATCCGCCAGCTCGCCTCATCCCTCGCCTCTTTGACCCAGCGCTTTACTCGCCCCAAATCTAGCGCTGACAGCGTCATTGAGCCACTCCTCGTGCTCAGCACTCCCTTTCGAGACATCGAACAAGAGCACATCCATGACTACTTCTGGCCTGCGACCGGCAAATGGGGAATTCGCGATCTGCATAAAACATATACTGATGATGAGCATTACAACTCTGGACGTGGACATGCGTATGAGAAATACGGTGTCGATGCGAGCGTGGGTGCGGTGGTCCTGGTTAGGCCAGATCAGTATGTTGCGATGGTCACGGGGATGGATGGCATTGGGGAGATTCAGAGATTCTTTGAGGGGTGTTTGATTCAACAAAGACAAGAAGGACATGATGGGACCAAGGAATGAAGATAGGCAGAGCTCGTGATGAGAAGTAGCCGCCATCGTCGGCGGGGAACGCGCACGTGACCTTTCCATCACCTTACTACAAAAACATCTTGTCCCCCTCGCAGTTTGACCGATCACTAAAAGCTTTTCTTCTCTTGTTACACAAAATACCAGATACCCCCCAACATGGGGCTTTTCTGTTTCTGTCCAAAAAACGACATTCCTTGAGACAATGGCTGAGTGTCTTTCTCAAAATCTTGCTATGATGAATACATGTCTGCGCTTTCTCGGCACGCCATAAACACATCATTTTTTCGTCGAAACACAGACATGCGCGTTACATCAGATGTTCTTCTTGCTCTTCTCCGACAAAAATACACAATCAGTGTCACATGAACGACGTCTCCAGCCAATCAAAAATCCATGCATGATCCGGTCATGAGATCTTTGTCTTGGGGCCTTTCAACCCAGGGTATGCATCTCTCATGGGGACAGCTTGTTGCTTTAGCAGGTCATGGATTGGCCGGCCCTTCTGTTACATTGCAATCTGCAAGTGTGACACGCAACGACTTCGAAATGTTGGACATGTGTCTTAACCTTCCCATATCAACATCATGGGAGTTTTTGAAAAGTGTGCCTTGCTTTTGTATGCGGTGAAATTCTGCTTGTTTGCAGCCCATGGTTTCTCGGGATCGGGTTAGCCATTTAAATTTCAAATCTCCTATCGATGTTTTCAATGATATTCGTAGCTGGAGACTTGAACTGTCGAGAACGCATAGTTCCAACTGCAAACGCAACGAGAGAATACCCTATGGCTGCGTATTTCTTGTGCAACAAAACATGCGTTGAATTTGGAAGCTAGAAAGGACTATGACAACTACTACGAGTGCGCTGAAAATATGATAATATGCTACGATGACATGTATGCTACAGAACCAGGGTATTTGCACCAAAAAACGAGCAAATCGCCAATGATGAGACGGTGTGCCCAGGTCGTTTAAATAAACTTCTTTCGTTCTCGTGTTTTCCCAACCACACAACCTCAAAGTTTGTGGTGGATGCATCCAAAATTTCCCACGCTCAATAGTATGTGCTGGCCTATCTATACAAAACTATCGTGATCCTCCGCCATGAGCGGAGACCCTGAACTTGCTGTATACCCTATGCCTTCTCTATTCTCATAATTCTATCTTGAATGGGTTTCTTGTCGATGCATTTAGAAGCTTCCTACATCAGTTTCGTGCTCTCTGCCTGATGACTAGGATTGCTGCTCATAACCTGTTATGAGCATGTGTCTCTAGCTGTTAAACTCAATCTGCTCTACATTGTACGAGATTCTACAATGCATCGACTACGCACAAATCTCGTCAAGTGCGCGGGATCTTCTAGGTCTCCATAGCATGGAGGCGCATGTGGCTTAACGCTATAAAATTACTCTTCTGTTTCTCTTAAGATCCAATTTTTATCGTCTCAATTTCTCATCCGAAATGAGTGAGAGCTTTACATGATCTTACCATGCCACCCAAAGCATGTAAAGAAAGACTTGGGTTATTTTATGCGAAAGTACGTTTAGTCTAGGTTCGACAAGGGCGCCTGTACAAGACATAGAAGGGTTCGCGCGCGGGAAGGGCACTCGCCTTAAGCAACAGAGATCATCCCTTTCAGAGAGCTAAAAAATACTTGTTACGAACCTATGTGCTGTACGATCCTCTCGTAAACCAAACACCAGTTCAACTAACGAAAAACAATAAATCCAACAAAGACAAAAACTTTGTACCAGATATTTTAAAACCGAAACAGCTCATAGTCATGAGTAACTTGTCAAAATTGAATAGCGACTTCTGTATGATTGTTTGTTTCAATTGTAACTAAGCATTGACCGTGTCGACGTATCAAAGGCTAAAGAAACTACCATATATGTGCCTTGCGTTCGATCATTTGCAACTTACTCCCTCATAAAGTCGGATGAAATGCAATACATATCAACAGAAAGTTACAAAAACCTAGGTTTCCGTGCCCCGCGTCGCTACTAAAAATATGGCAAAACATGTTGTGATGTGGGTGTGAAATTTTCGGTGTAACGCCCGAAAAGTCACGACGCGGTCCGAATTTGGGTGAAGTCGCTGGTGTAGAAGGAGTTCATAAGAAACGAAACCATATTCGCACAGAGAGCTGCAGAACTACCCGGAAGTCTCAGGATTAGTGAGGGTTTCAAGGTATTATTCTAGCATCGCCCCTCTTGAAATACTGAGTAACAAGGTGAAACGAAATCTTGCAACAGCTCGACAACTACATGCAGAGTTTGTGTTGAATCTGTGCAGCTGATGCATTGCATGTATACGCCTCAGCAACTTGGCCTGTGGGACTTGACCATGTAGGTCAGTTGTAATGTTTGGAGTGGAAGGATGTTCCTCAATACCAAGTATTTTGACCTATCGAGAATGTCCTTTTCTTGTCAAACCCGTTACTCGTTGGGCAATTTCAAATTGAAACTCGTGATTAATCATGCTGCAATCGCTCATTACTTTGCGAATCATATCAACTGATCGTGTTTGTGAACGACTGATAAAGAGTAAGAGTCCGGGATAGAAGGTATACTTTTGTGAAGTACAAGGTTTCCATGTGAGTCTACCAAAGATCTTTCATTATTCGTACTCGTCTTAGGAACTATGATTATGTGCGTACGGCTATGAACATCATGTCTGTGAAACTCGTCGTTCCTGGAGTAGTACTGTTACTTCCTATGCGTAGATGTAGCAGAACGGTCCACCAAGCGTAGTCATGGCATCAGCCACTGTGATGTTGGGGAAGGCGTCTTCCAGCATTGATCCTAAGCTCAGAGTATCTTCCAGAGTACCGTTGCGGGTGGGAGGAATATTCAAGAAGGTCATAGTCCCCGCAATCGCGTTGCGCCTGTTCTTGAGGTCTTGGTTCTGCCAGATCCACCAGACGCGATCAATCATTGCGTGGTGGAAAAAGAACGCAGGGTCAGCCGGAGAGTTGTAGAAGTCTGAGCCAGTATCACCACCAATGGTATAGTGACCACCACTGTGGACACCCTGGTATCCAGCGGGGAAATCACCCTGCATCCTGTTCTGGAACGACAAAACGTCCTTGTTGTCCCTGATAAGTGCCGTTACAATTTCATCCCGGCATGCAAAGGCGGCTTGTTTATTCAAGTCGCGGCTGAGACATCTAGGATTCCAGCCAAGACCATCAGCTTGCGGGTTTGGCTTGATGCCCTTGGCCTTCGTTTGGATAGGTCCTATGTTGACAGTCCAGCTGTTACTATTAGCATTTGCTGCCCATGTGCCATAGGGAGCATGGATTCGTTTGTTCAGGAGCGACTTACTTTGCCAGTGGTCCGGACACACAGCCGCCGCCGCTGCCAGGTGCGAGCTTGATGTTACACCTTGCTTCGTTGGGAACGCATGTAAAGTTTTTCCCAGGGACAAAGGCTCCACCATCTGACATGCTTGTTTCACTGCCATCGAACAACGGTGACTTTGCAGGGTCGTCAGACCACCATGCCCAATTGTAGTAAGGTAGATGTCCTTTGTAACCACACTCATTGCGTAGCAGTTGCTCGTAGGCCCAGATATAGTAACGATGCCAGGAGAGAAAATTGAACTAGTGAATGTCAGTTTACGTCAGTTATCACTTGAGTTCTCGCGAGTTCCTCGAGAATGGTTCAGGTGGCTAAATCGCATCTCCGTATCTTCAGCATTCCGAACTCTGCGAGTCAGAAGGCTGAAAAGATGGGGTTCAGGTAGACGCACATTTCCATGGACCCAGTTAGTCTGAAGGACATGAGTTACGACGAAATCATCGTAACGACTTTTAGCCCCCGATGCAATGGCGGCTGGGGTCAGAGCAGGCTTCTGGTGGAGACACTTGACGGCGTCAATATAGTTGAACTTTTCAGATTTTGTGAGACGAGACCTAGTGAGTTGTCAGTTCAATAAACGTTATAACATGGTCGATGGAGGGCGGACCATTCTCGTCGTACAGAGACATTTTTCAGCGTACACTTCTCGTTAGGATAGCCATTTTGGGCCACGTCGAGACCTAAGTTGACTACTCCGATCGCAGCCAGTTGGTCATGCTCCATGAACTTGAAAGTGGCACCAGCGCTGCCTATGAGTGCGGCCGCTGCTACACCAGAAAAACGCATTTCGAGGTGGGGAAGGATGTCAGATTGCTGATCGGAGCGCAGATCGGACGATAGAGTCCCGTCAAGTTGTGAACACAAAGAGATGGATTATCCTGTCTTCTTATCGATTTGACCCTGAGGGGCTCCTATATATTTAGTACCCGCAACCCATTCGCGGCTGTCATAAGCAGCGCTTGTGACGAGGAGAACACCGTGCTCGAGACCTGCATGTCTACGGGGTGGCGTTCAAGAGAAACGAAGGAACAACAGTGAAACAGTGGATCCCGAGACGCGCTAGACTGATCATTGCACAATAATATTGGTCTGGATGGTGTTTACACTTCTTGGAAAAACGCACAATTCGGTTTCCTGGAAGAGTTTCTAAGTTTCAAATTCAAAGATGGGGAAGGTATCTTTGCTTCGAAGATATCAAAGGCCTATGCAACAAAACAAAGTTGAGTCTACTGGCTTGATCATGAACCCTCCAGCTGAGGATCTTGTTAGGAGAAAAAACAGGCCAGCCTCAATTAGATCTCCAAAGATCTGGATCGTGCCATGAGGATTGTGGCCCGCATAACGCGAAGGCATTATTGGCGCGACATTGTTTTCCAGAACCAGGATCTACTGTGCCGCAATAACGTGTAAGGGTACGCAGGATGCAAAGTTTGATAAGGTGCACGGATAAGTGAATTATGCTTGTCACATCGTTTTTAAGACAATTATGCCAACAGCTGGGAAACCGTGGCTGGCAGCGAGTTCATTTCGAGATGGAGACAGATATCGGACCTTGCACTTAATGTTGTGGCATATCTTGGTGTCGTGGCGGACGCCACCGATCAACTCGAACGAAATAGAAACGCTCGGAACATTTGGCGCCGAAGGATTTGGGTTCGCTGTTCATTTGACAAGGATGCACAACCGGAGTGGACAAAGGATTCTGATAGTTGCTGCGATCCTTGAATGCGAGATGTTGAGAGCAAACAGGAACTGTGTCGCGATTGTAGCGCTAAATCCTACGCATACTGTGATGTCAGGCAAAGGATTCCGATTGTATTTTCTTTGTTTGCCCATTCAAAAATAGACGAGCGTAAGCCACAGTGGCTCAGTCACTGTGCCACAGCTATCGTTAGCTTCTATACTTGGGTGGTCATAACAAAAAAATACGATCGGAGTAGTGTACATGGTTAAAGCACCGCCGGGGTACTACCGAGCTGCTTAGCAACACGGGAAGAGACCCGCACAGAATACAGTTAGCTCAGATGCTTGTCTTGGTCTGTGTTGCTACCCCTGTAAGCCACTACGCTACTGTCTCCACTGTACACTACGTTTGCTCGACTCCACAGCACTAATATCGGGATAGAAGATCGGCGTTGGCCGTTGAAGTTGCGGGTAGTATAGCGAAAAACGGAACGCTAAATTGAGTGCATCGCACGGTATCCGTATTTGGTTAGTGCTTCCCCAGTCCTTATTCATGCTCTGGACGTTGACCTTAGCTACATAGTACACTGTTTCCTGTTTTTACGAATATGGGAAAAGTCAGGAACGAGAATTCCAACCATTCTCATTCTTCGAAAAGGTTATCTGACACTCTTTCCCATCCCGTGCCAACCACGCCACGAATATGCATGATATCTCCATTTTTTGCCATCAGGTGGATACCTCATGGAGTCCTTGGTCCCCGCTTTGCAACTAACGGCGTACCGCGCCGTCGGGATCAGGGCAGAGCGGGCTCTGGATTTGTCATAATTGTTCAGGCCAGGTTTCAACACGGGCCCGATATGCACATACCCAGTACACACATAAGATGAATCTAGGAGAAATGGAATGATAATGATCAAGACATCGGCGATCTTTGTTTGTCCTTTCGGTGGGACAAACATGCGACCACAAAAGCTCGAGTCCTGATATGAGAGTTCTAGATAGTACAAGGTTGAGCATGTCAGGAATAAACTGTCCATCGTGTTACATGAAGTTGCAACTCTGGCTGATTCAGTCTTTGACTGCATAACTCTGAAAAACATCCTGGAGGAATTCGACTGCCCGGAATGCTAGACTCAACACTGGAAACCTGGTCCACCTATCAAGGTCGTTGACCACAACATTATGAAATGGGATGAAATTCGAGTGATCCTAAAGCACAAACTTTGATGAAGAATCCTCGCTTCATCTTGGCAAGCATCTCCGTCCCGTGCTGTGCCGCATCGAGGACATGGAAAGATAATGGACCTCATTACCAACTTCACTGCAGGCTGTAGGCGCCAGCGCATGTCTGCCCGTCCCACGTCTCCTATATCCTTTTTGACAACTGATGTCCTCCCCTCTTCGTCAAGATGGCTTCTATTGCTGCAGGCGTACCAGATCTGTCCAATATTACCCCCGAATACATCGCCTATACCAACGCCCCAACCCTTCTGGCACAGACTGGCGCATTATATGCCGCTGTTGCTGTTGTCGTATTGTTACGATGCTACGTCCGAATTTGGATGCTTCAATCGTTTGGAAAAGACGATTGGGCTATATTATTCGCCTTTGTATTTGCCACCGCAACATACATCATATATGTTATACAAACAACAGTAGGCATCGGGAGGCATCTTGTGGTTATTCAAATGGACAAGGACAGATATCGTGAGTTTCTGAGACTCCGTCAAACTCAGTCGATACTGGTTGCAATTGGAGTAGCATTGATCAAGGTCTCTGTCGCCTGTTTCCTGCTACGACTTGTGACAAAGAAAGCGTATGCGTGGTTCTTGCATGGCTTGAATATCTTCATGACGCTCTTTACTGCTGCATGTGTTGGAACACTAGGTATTATCCTTCCTGCATTGTATTGTCTGGAGTTGTGCTAACATCGTTGAAGTAAGTCAATGTTTACATTTGGGTTCAAGGATCAAAGCTGTCCACTAGAAACTCTTACACCTGGACGGAATTCGCTCGAACACACAAGAGGCAGCCTTTCAAACTCCATATCGTTCTTTGAAACCTCACTAACCATGCCACTGTTAACAGCTCTTTCAATGCATACCTGTGGCAGCTGCTTGGGACTTACGGCTTCGTCCGCCGCCATTGGGATCTGGGACTGCAAAATGCTTCAACTCACAAACCTTCACTGCTATTGGACTTATGAACACTAGTAAGGCAATCCGCTGTTGAATGAGTGGCTGACATATATTAATCAAGTATAGTTGTTACAATCGCAACAGATTTCCTACTGGCTCTGTTGCCAATTCCGCTAATCTGGAACCTGCAACTGAACATCCGCACTAGAGTCTCGCTTATCCTTGTTCTAGCCCTTGGACTGTTTGCTGGCATTGCTTGTGTTATCAAGTCAAAGAAGCAAGCGAAATTCTTCGACAACCCCGATCCATATGTATACGACACCTTCACCATGTGGAGATTCATCGAATTCGATGTAGGGATCATAGCTGCCTCATTACCGGCACTTAAGCCCCTATTCAGCCAGTTTCTCAACGCCAGCCGAAGTTTGACAAGTGCACAGATAAAGACATCTAGTTTCCACCAGAATCCGAATACGCTTGGCTATCACAAACAAACGGAACACTCAGACAAAGGCATCATGCTAAAAGAATACAACACTAGACCCAATAACTCCGTCAGGGTCTCTTGTCAGTCAATGGGCGGAGCAAACAACAAAATGTGGAACATGGGAAGGTCGACGGATAGTGACGAAAGCATCTTGCCGCTGCATGGTGTCATGAACACCCCAAACGCTATTGTGGTCAGAAGAGACGTACACGTCGATTGAAGGAGTGTGATTAGGTTTCATCGTCATCGATGAGTATGACTGAGTAGTTCGGCACAGCATGTAGAAGCCGGTGTCTTCACTCTCTTCCAATCTTACTAGCCGTTCTGTCTCACAATTCTCACGGGGACACTAGCCGCCGAGGCTTGCAGGCGACTTTGGTTACAACCGTGCAGAGGGGGTTCGCAAGGGTCAGGGGGGGGGGAGTCGGGGGGTACCAGGAGTCAGCAATATGTCGTGTCTTCGTTCCGCCAATCTTTCCTAGCTAGCCAGGAAGGGCTGGTTTGAAAACGATAGGTATCCCGTAGTTGGTATATACAAGGGCTCTTGTAGTAGGAATCTGGGGGTACCTCGGTATCTGCCACACCTCAACTACGTGGCTTTGGGCCTCTGCAATTGCTTATGAATGAACCAACCAACCAACCATCTCACCATATTGTGCTCTGTTGCTGTACTTTCCTCTGCGGAGCTCAACGAGTTTTAATACATGAAACAAATAGAAGAACAGATGGTGCAAACAGAAGGCACCTGATTGAGGGTCTCTGCAATGTTCACTTACCATACCCATGGTTAGTCGAACTACTCGGAACTAAGCTGCGGTGGATCTTGAAATAGCTTCCCAAATACGTGGAGAAAACCATGGAACTTTTATGCCTTGATCATCAGTATATATCTACCATTTCTTTGTGTTTGTGGCGTTCGAACCTGTAACCGAGAGTCATTTTTTTGCCGAAACGAACGTAGTTCAATTCCGGGTACTTGGACTCAAAATTCACTACGTTACACACGATCATCATGGTCATTGATTCTCAACAATCTCACTGACCTTTGCTTGTGGAGTGTACTTCATGTATGTCCGATCCGCGTGATGGCTCGCAAGTTAAGGACAGCAAGCTCCGATTATGGAAAACCCAGGCCGACCACCAAGAGCACTTAAATTTCCCACTTCCACGTGCAGATACAATACCTGTCGGCAAGTCTTACACCGACACACTCAACGATTTAGTCATGAACCTCATGAACATCGAGACCACCTTCAGTAGGCTCAGCATCTCCACACACCCTATGATGTATGGCACTAACTTTGTATTCTTCTAGACAATCTATGCTGCCTTGTCCGCAGCAAATACGCTGATAGCATTGTTATGAGTCAGCTCTTCACCATCAACTTGGTACTCCTGAGATTTACAGATGGAAACTTCTGCTTGCGCTTTGAGTTCTTGCAAAAGTCAATCATGGGTATAGAAAGAGCTAGGCGGGAAGATGCGCTTGAGGGACTGAGGGGAGTTCTTGAAGATAGGACTTTGGACATGCGAGGTTTGAGGTATCATGGAGTAGAAAGTTTTGAGAAATTTTCGGCGAAATCTATACGCGTATTTTGCGCGAATACGAAAGTGAAAATTGTCTCGTAACTATCGTTCTCTATAGTAGTGGTAGTTAGTACGTACACAGTGTCTACGCGAAATAAAGATTTTGTCTTGGCCCCTCCAGCCACGATAGTTTACTGCTGAGATATGCACAAACTTCTACTGGTATAGGCAACTTGTATACGCCAATCTACCCTACACTACACTCACTTCGGGTTGGAACCAACAGCAACAATCATTGGATGCTGGGTCAGACCGAGTTCCTTCTGGAAAGAATCTCGTGAAAACCCACTCTTTGCTCGTCGACGAACCGGATTGCTGGATACGAGGCTCACTTACGAACCCTTTCAGGACCCTTTCTCGCCATAAAAAGTGCCGTAAACTTGCAAAGCACCTTCAATACTTTGTATCAGACCGAAGAACAAGGTGAAACCCAGGACCACAATCGCAATCCAAAATGTATACCACTGCACTCCATTACGGCGATCATGCCACCATTGCGACAATGTTCGTGGTGTGGCTTCGTCGAAGACTTGCTTCAATACAACTATACGATCATGCCAATAAACGAAAGTCTCAATTTGTCGATCGTCAGTCTTGAGATGCCCACAGAGCATGAGTTGAGGATCGAGAGTAAAAGGTGTGGGCAATGAGCGGTACCATTTTCGCACAGCAGGGTCTGATTGGGGAAATAGTAGTGCAAGGGTACGGAGAGTCTCTTCAATGAGACCTTTTGGCAAGATGGTACTGGGACAGTCAGCTTCTGCAGTTCGTCATTACGAATCTTTAAAGTGTACCTCTGTGATTGATGCTTCAAAAACGACGCATGATGGAAAATGTACAGTTTCGTATCATCATCTGTCAGACGTAGATGATCAAGCAGGTTCGTTGTAGGCACGATTTCGACTCCAGCTATCCGACCCAAGTTCAAAGCATTGAACACACGGTGTAGCTTGACGCTCTCGTGACCGAGTACTGGTGCGGATCCGAAGAATGACGCGACGCAGTCTCCTAGCGATCCAGTACTCCATGCGATTTGCTGTCTACCACTAAAACCATACTCGATGCTGTCGAAGTCGACCATGAGCAACAAATTCGCGGCAAGATCAATAGCACGGTCTACAAGCTCATCTTCATTGTCGTGAGCTTTTGTCAGCTTCAGACGCAACACACCCCGGATTATGTCGCGTGACCGTCCCTCTTGGAGTAGATGCGCAAGATCCACGATGTCCTCGTGTGTTCGAGCAAGTACATGCCGCCCACCATCGTACAGCGCATGCTCGCAAGATCTATGATAAAAAGCCCAGTATGCTTCAAAGGTATGAGAATTACGGACTTGATGGCCTTGGATGGAAATCGGGCCCCAGAGAGCGTCGAGTATGATGATCTTCGTTGGTGCGTCGAGCGGGTCAAGGAGCGGCGAAGCAGCACGAGCCATGACGTTGATTTTGAGCAAAGGCAGGATATTGTAACAACCTGAAGACTACACGCAGGAACCAAATATAACTTGCGCGCCAGGAATAATACTGGTATGCGCCTGCCTTGCCTGATATGTAGCCTCAAATCTTGGAGTCTGGTTACGTTATCTTGCTGAAAAGGACGTCGCTTGATACATGGGTTTTCGACTAACCGAAAATTGGGTGCTCTATGACCTCACTACCCCAGATTTCACCTCAACCTGTGGACTTCGAATCAGCACGAAGAAGGACCTATGGTAGTATCTCGTGCGCACTATAAGCAGTGGTTGTAAGCCCTGTTGTTGATAGACGCGACGCGCTGCAACTCACACAGCCCCAGCCTCAGCCTCAGCCGCACGCACGCTGCATGTTGGGCGTGGCTTGGCCACTTCCCATATCGTCACCATGCTGCCATCCTCTTTCTACTCTTTTGCATTCGATCGAGAAACGCCTTAATGCCTGAATGTCGACAACAGCTACGCTCATAAGAAAAACGCCGGAAATGAAGGCTCTAACGAATATTCGGCGCAGCAGAACATTGCGCGGGGTCAAACTAAGAGCACCTCCAACCAATCAATGTTGGCCAAACCCACGACTTTCCGTCGGCCGCTTCATTGCAACGATTGGGAATCAGAAGTGCTGGGAGGCTGTTGGACCAGCGCGTACCGCGTTTCTCGGCCTCGGTCAAAGCATCAAGCAGTACCTTGATACCTACAGCGAACCAACGCCTACATGGGTCACGTGGTCAATGTACATGGTTGGGACGTTGCAGGAAACAGCCGTACCTACCATAATCTTCTGTTGCGAAAGCGAAGCCCACCGCAAAGCGATCAGAAACACGGTTAGAGAAAGTCATCTACTGGAAGGATATCCTGGCATCGCGTTGAAGCATCTTCCCAGAGCTCCCGACTACAACCAATTGGTTCAGCTAGCAACACATCCTGAAAGCGATGGGGCTAGAGACGACGATGTTCCGACAGCTCGTGCTTGCGTCTTCAGTACTTCGAACCGCCCTAACCTTGGCAGTCCACTTTTTATCCGGACAAGTGATAATGCACCTTCCATCCGGAAAGTCACTGCTGGTGGAATCATTTGTATCAATGGTAGAGACTGCCTTATGACCGCTGCCCATGCGTTCGTCGACGAGCCGCTGGAGTCTCCTAGTGCCAAACAACAAGATGCAGAGCTCTGCTTCTCCGACAGTGAGGATGACATTGATGCAACAAGCCAGGCAAGCTATAGCTCAGGCCATTCTAATTTGGAAGACAATTGTCAGTACTCACTACCTCATGCGAGTACATCATCCAGCGTCAGTACCTTCTTGGAGCACAACGCATGCGATCCAGTCTTATCGTCTGATCACAATTCTGGGATCGATACTGGATGCTCGTGTCCAACTACTGAGAATCCTGCTGAGTTTGACTCGAAGCAGTTACCACAAGACGCTTCGCTCGTTGGCAGCTTGCTTTTCTCATCACTCTGTTCGAGCTCAAAACCGGAGCTTGATTATGCCCTTGTCCAGCTGAGCGATAGCTCGACATGCGACTCCAAGCTTCATCACTTGATTTCGTCGAGCCTTCTAAGCTTTCCGGGTCATACCAAACGTGATGACCTCACAAGTTCAACGCAAACATCAGTCGTCGCACACACTGCGTCTGCAGGCATGATTCGCGGTCACACGAGCTTCACACCCACCTTCATGCGGACACCCAATGCGGAGAAGTATCAAGAAGTGTATCATGCTCAGTTCGATAGATCTCTTGCGTATGGAGATAGCGGCTCTTGGATATACGACGCCACATCTGGATTACTACACGGCCACATCGTTTTGGGTTCCCCTGTGAAAGGGGTGGCATTCTTTGTACCTTCATATCAGGTCTTCAGCGACATTGAACGATGTTCTCATCTCATTGAGCAACAGCTCGAGCAGGCCTCTAGACTTCCTTCCGGTTCTTTAGGACCAATAGCTTTAGAAGAGGCAAATCTTGTTGCCTTGTCAGGATCTACATCTGCAAATCCAATTGTCAGAGAGCACAACATGAGTGAAAACGATTATACCAAATTAGAAACGGGTACATATATGCCCAGACCTGCTTTCGAGTCGGTTGAACGCAGCACGAATTCATTGCCGCCTCCGCCTGGGGACAATGATGCTACATCCGTTCCATGGGTGTATCGTGAGCTTGATCCACATGACGGCAATTGCTATAGGAGCGTAGCCGAGAGTGGTACTGCTGGTGCAGCTCATGTTCCATCGAGTTCTTCATCGGATCCGGTTCAAGTAGAACGATGCACAACGGACAGTGGCTCACTGCCTAATGTGACGGCGCTCGATGACACTATTGCAAACAGCCTCTCGTTGGAATTCCGCAAACTGCTTTCCACGAATCGCTTGAACCACCTCAGATCCCTGAGACAGGCAAGGTCTGGTACAGTCATCTCACATGATAATGTTGCCCAGACGGCTGCGCAGGTTCCAGAGAGCGATGGCAACGGTCCTCCACCTTATTTTGGCTTACGCAATATCCCGCTTATTCCAATGCAGCCTCGCTTCGGAAGTTCTCTCAGATTCGAGAAATTGTTGGAATCGATGTCGAACATACCCTTGCGATGGGAGAACTCCGGGCTGCTAGATGATGCTCTACGAGTAATACCTTTGGAAAGCATTTATCGAGCAGCTGAAGATGAGTCACAGATATTACAGGCAGAGGCTGAAAGCTTAGATTCGAATAAGAAGGCGGCCTGGGGCTATCAAGACTGTGTGGTTCGAGCACTGTGTCGATGGTTCAAACGCTCATTTTTTGCCTGGGTCAATAATCCTATCTGTACCATCTGTAATAACCCTACAGTGGCAGTCGGTATGATCCAACCGACACCAGAAGAGTCGGCTCGAAGTGCAAATCAAGTCGAGCTTTATCGATGTTCAACGGGGAGTTGTGGTAATCATGAACGATTCCAGCGGTATAGCGATGCGTTTGTCCTGTTAGAAACACGCCGTGGGAGAGTGGGAGAGTGGGCTAATTGTTTTGGTATGCTTTGTCGGGCGGTTGGCAGCCGAGTGCGGTGGGTTTGGAACTCAGAGGATCATGTATGGATTGAGGTATATTCAGTGCACCGAAAGCGATGGGTTCATGTGGATCCATGCGAAGAGGCTTGGGACCGACCGCGTCTTTATACTGAAGGTGAGCAATCTGCTTTTTTGTTCAACAAGTCCGTGTTAACATCAAATCCTAGGTTGGGGAAACTGGCTCTCTTATTGCATAGCGTTCTCAGTCGACGGCGTAACAGATGTGACTGCTCGCTATGTCCGCGACTCAAAATATGTAGGCCCTCGAAATCGCTGCTCTGAAGCAGAACTTCTATACATACTGGAGAAACTGCAAAACTTGCGGCGCCAGAAAATGAGTATATCGGATAAGTTTCGGTTGAAAGGAGAGGATACGAGAGAGCTTATGGAATTCCAAAGCAGCATGATCGAGTCACACGTTACCCACCTCAACAATTTCCGTTTCGAGCAGCTCAACGACGGCACTTTGGGTATCTATGATGAGGTAGAAAGATTCAAGGCCGGAAGATCTCGAGAGGTTAGGGTTAGACAATCTGGCGACAACAGTGAGTGATGCGAGTCCATTCCAAACTTCCCACCCTGACTAGACGCAGACGTCCCAAGGCATGTTCACTAGACTTTAGAGTTCAAGGTGATAGAGCTGGCGACAATCCATAGCCATCGCATCGTGAGAGATTGTAGTTCATACCTATGATAGGCGATGCGAATGGTACAGCGGCATGTTCGCTTGATTGTGACCTTGTCCCATCTAGTGAGAGAGCATATAGCGAAGCGATCTTCTTCAATTCTAGAACAGGGCTCTTTTTATCGAAGGTCCCTGGCCAAGCTTTCCTGCATCTCTGTATGTATACTAGAGACAACGCGTATTGTGATTCCACGTTTGTCTCCATGATCATGATGGCGCACTGAACGAAAATGGGCATTTGGAGGAATTGTTTTTGTATAAGACGAGTTTTCAAGACACCTGCTTTGCGGACAACGACATCAAGGGCTAAGGAATGCAAGCCGTTTGACATTCCAAACAGTACGGGTAATGAGGACAAATATGGTAAGGGTATGGTGTCCTTGAAAATGACGTCAAAGGTAGGCGGTGCGAAGTGGCGATATCAACATCAGCAGTAAGTCAACGACAACAACAGGTTCATCGCTATTGTAACCAATCTCTACCATACTATCCTTGTACGCGTCAAAAAGTATTTCCAATCGCCGCGGACCTCGAATGACTACTCTCGCTACTCGCCTAAAAGCCTCAATGCGACATGTGTTGATGTCACTTACACGTACACACAATTTCCAACGTATCATGTCCACACACTTATGCCAGGCACAGTTTCCCCAGATTTTTTAACCCCAGCATCTCGGTCATCTCAAAGCCATGCGATTGTCATGCACGGCACGATTTAGCCGCGCCACGTCAGATGGCACTGTGTGATTGGGACGGCATTTCCTGCCTTGGAAAGGCGTGAGAGACTCTACAGGCTCACAATCTTGCGGTTGGATGTTGGAGAACTAATCTGAGCAAGTGTTGATGTCACGACAATGTGATGGAAAGAACCTTGCAACTCTCTGTCATTGATGGTGTACGCAAAATGCATACAAAAACTAGACTCCCTCAATAGAATTACTCGCCTTGATCTTTGTCAAACTTCTCTCGACTATACCCTAGTTCAACAACTCCATACCGAAAACTGCTATTCACGATGCTTCAGCGAACCATCCTCCCAATCATGGGCTTCTTGGCCCTAGCCTCTGCACAGGAGGTGCAAGTCCAAGAAGCACCTCCTCCCCCACCCCAGCTTCTCAATTCAACGAAATCCGGTGTCCTTCCGCAACTTCCCACTCAAACACCCTTCACTGGGATTCCCACACTCCAGGGAGCCATCATTTCACCAGTACCTCCCCAGCCAGGCTACACAGGCCTCTTGGGCACTGCAACTGCAGTCTCCAACCAGCCCACAGCAACATACCGTGCCTCACTCCCAGACAGCATGTTCGATCCGCTCGTGGGCACCATGGTCCAGGGAACCATTGAGGCCGTCGGGCAAGCTGACGGCGTGCACTTCACCGTCAACATAACCAACCTTCCCGACCAAGCCGCGTATGGTCCATTCAACTGGCACATCCACACTATGGCTGTACCGGCAAACGGAAACTGCACAGCTACGCTCTCACACTTGGATCCCACGAACCGTGGCGAGTACATCATGTGCGACGCCTCTGCGCCAGAAACCTGCCAAGTGGGCGACCTCGCGGGGAAACATGGTGGCAAGATTGCCACGCCCAACACCTTCTACACGGAGTTCGTGGATGCGTATTTGAGCACTGAGGCGGGGACCCCAGGATTCTTTGGCGGCCTGGGGTTTGTGCTGCACTCGGCTAACACGACGAGGATTACTTGTGCAAATTTTGAGATGGTCGAGAGCGGGAATGCGACGTCAGGAAACGCGACTGCGACTAGTACCGCGACGATGCCAGAGTACACTGGCGCAGCGGGTAAGCTTGGTGCGGGTGTCGGAGCGGTTGTTGTTGGATTGGTTGCTGCGCTGTTGTAGAGTACTAAGTGTGTTGCACTACTGCGTAGTTCCAATGTAATAATTTGTAATTCATTCACTTTGAATAATCTCTACAAACTTTTCCAGATCATGTCGTATCTGTAGCGCCGACACAGTCATTCCTTGGTGAGCCCGCAAAGATCTCTGAACATCACGTCCCATCCGAACACTGAATCACCTTTCTCGTGTTGCCATTTCCATGGTGTCCAAACTTACTTAGTATGTGCTCTTCATTACCTCTTGAGAAGATATACAGACATCCCTTCGACATAGTCATGCGTAACCATAGCGGCGACATCGTAGAACCCATCCATCAGATTTGCTAGATTACGTTTGTCTCCTTCCATAATGATCTTCTCATCATTGACTAAAATCATGCGATACTTGTCGCCCGCCTGCTTCTCCACGACCAGATACAGTTGATGCATGAGCAGATTATAACCGAAGAACCCGGTCTGCGCGGCAAGGAAGGAAAGATTACCTTGGTCTAACGTCAGTGTGAAACAACGTGAGTGTGGGCTTGTCATACTGGCAAGCTGCGAGATCTTTTCATCGGAGGAGGTTTTGTCAACCTCTCGAATAAAGGCTTTCAACCAGGCAAGGCGCTCCGAGGAGTTGTTGTAGATCGGGTGTGCGGGTTCACGTACTCCTGTGATCCTTTAGTCGAGACTGGATGCAAGTCATGGGGTAAACATACTAGGTGGGGGCATGCCGCAATCTTGAAACAACCATGCGGATCCTAGGACGAGAAAACATGTTCCTATGACAAGCGCAGTGACAAGGAGCTTGTCTTGGAAGCTTAGATGGTAGTTTTGAGGCTTGTTCATATCTACGTCTTGGGGAAGCAATGAGCGATCTTGTGTGCAAGTTGAGGCTGCTCGTAGTGAGAGGAAGGCGAGCGCGGATAGCAGTCGCGAGTTGCGTCATTGGAATAACGGAGTCTGAATCAAAAGCAGCAATCGCTTGACTTGATAGATAAAGCAGTGGTTCTTGATGGATGGTCCGACTAAAAACAGATCTCTGCATATTGCCAAGAACGGCTACGACAGGTTTACAGTACTGAATTCTGCTTCTGGGATAGTTTGAGCGTGCAAGAGCAAGTACTCCACTTATCGTTTCATCCAACTCTGCAGTGCGGAGAGTGTTGTTTACTGGTTTGGCTGTGCTGCGCACGAAATCAATCAACGCAAACACACGTTGGGAATAAAGACCAAACACTCTTTGCCCAGTCAGCATCGTCATAAACGGCAACTACAAACCATTTCTATGAGTCTGACCCGTTGCTCACACATTGTTCGGAGAAAGCGATCGGGAGAATATCAGTAGAGGAACAGAAACAACAGCAGAAAGGTGAGGAAAGAAGCATGCAAGGGACTACATAAATATAGATAAACACTGCATCAGATCAATGCAAGAATGGACGAGATAGAGTCATTAACAGTCAAGCCCGCCATCACACAGCCTCTGTCCCCACCACAACCTCATCCTTTCCTTTCTCCTTCGACCCCTTACCCCACCCCTTATGCAGCAAGCTGGAACACTCCTTCCCACATTGGCCTTGTCCAAAAGGATCCGCCTCACAAACCCACCACCTCGGACCCATACCTAGTTCCTTCCCACACCCTCTCCCCGCGCACCTCGTCCACTTCTCACCGTCTTTATTTCTGCCCTCCATAACCAGGCGTTTCGTTTCCTTTTCCATTCTATCCCTCAGCTCCTCGCTTGTAAATGCGTGGCAGTCCATACACACTGCTCTCACGTATTTGGGAATGCGGGATTGCCTGGCTTGGTAGTAGCTACTGCCGTTTACCATACGGAGGAAGATATTTGGATGCGCAGGGGCAGGTGCGCACTGACAGTAGGGATTCTTGTCGAATCGACCTGGAGTTTGCGTTCTGTAGCAACGGGTGCAGAATGGACGGCAGTTTTGGAGATGGTGGTAGAGGGTTGTGAGTGCAACTAGGGGGTATTGTTGGCAGCCCTATCGTGGGCTCGGTTAGCTGATGCGTGAGAAGTTGTGCTTGGTGAAAACTTACGATACATGTTTGGTTTGGACAGGACCAACATTTCGTCTTCTCCCCGTCGTTGCAGGTATATGTTCGAAATATATTAAGACGTCGATCGTAGTCGTTGGTAGGTAGAACTCGCGCTCTGATGCTCTTCGAGACGCGACTCAGGTTCATCATGTCGCGGTAGTGTAGGTTTTCCGAGACCAGTATCAACATGTCATATATACCCAAGAAGTCTGCGAGTGGCGATGGCACTCCCTCGGTGTCCTGGTAACGGCCACTAGAGTTTTTCGGGTCTCCAAACTTTCTTTTGAGTGCGGTCATCTGCATCTCGGACTTCTGTTCCAGTCCTAGTCCGGTCTTCAGAACAGAACGCCTTGCGAAGCGTACCCTTGATCTCACAGAGAATGGTAAACACCGGAACAGGCACTGGAGGATCATGTAGAGCAAGCCAATGATAAGGATACCGGTGAACCGCAATAACCACATACACTGGTTCCCGAGCGAGATGAACAGTCGCTTGTATGCGTCTAGTAACGTCATACCTTGACCTTTGAGTTTTCGCATGGCACGGTGGAAGGTTAGAATGTTCACGGCTGCCGCGAGAACGTAGAAACCTCTGTTCATGTCAGTACGCGTAAAGACCTAGTAGCATAGAATAGACAAGGATCTTACGTCACAGCCGCCCCAAATACCCATTCTTCGAAGAAATCTTCACACATACTTTGTGCACTTGTCGTCGTATCGTTAAGCCTTGCTGCAGCTTCGAAGAAGCTTTCATTTGCACCAGGCGGCCGTTGCAGGTTATGTACATTAGAGCATTGTCTTTTACTCTTCGGCGAAAGGTTTATTTGATAGGACGACAACACTATGAGATAGCCGGCAATGACCGTGTCTCCAACCGCGAAGGGTAGATTGAGTGGCGGTAGGAACCAGAAGGTAGGTATACTGACAAGCAGCGACCGTTAGCGAAACTTCCTAGCTATACATACGAAGACACCAGGACGTTCAGAGAGTGTTAGATTGAGGCAGTCCGAAGTGTTTAGATGATTTTGCAAAGTGTTGGAGGTCACTGAGACTGTATGTCCACGCTTTGCTGTGCTCGATTATTGGCTTACCACACTGCTACATTCCAAAACAAAGCCACACGACCCTGAACACTTGTTAGCTCCGGACAAGTACTGGAAGGCGGTTATTGCGGGGAGAAGGCTGCCAGCTCCTAATCACAACCTGCGAACCTAACTTGAAACGTGCTATCGTACCCCCAGTTCAGCCAGCTTCTCCACCGATACGACGGTTCGACTGTAGATACCATCATAGAGCTCGGCATTGCGTTTGATTATATTCCAATGCTTGTTTGCGAAAAACCAGTAAAACAAGAGTGCAATGATGGCGCCAAATCGGACGATACCAATGAGCACTGTAGGCCAGTGTGAAACTACGAACTTATAAGAGTCCGACGGCTTAAGGACCCTTAAAGGATATAAGTACCTCTGCCAGGATTTGGTACCATGGTTTGTTTACAACCGCACGTTTCTCGCGCTGAAGCAGTCGGTGGAAGACGTGCTTTGGAGTGAGGCACACGGCTAATGTGGTCGGATAGTCAAGTTGATTGTTGAAGAAGACGCACTATGATATGGAGAGGGGAGATTGTGAGAAATGGAAGGGGGAAGCTTTGTTCTAGTATCGAGCGAGAGCAGGCTGAGCAAAACTTCAGCAAAGATGGCGACAGGACTGAGGATCCCCGATTCTCATGTGCTCACTGCGCCACGATAGAGATTCAACGAGGGCGCGATCAGCCTTGTGAGGCTGCCTACATCACCCCACGCATTTCCGGTGAGAAGGCTGCACGTCGTATCGACTCGGGAGCTTGCTCGTGTTTCTCTTTCATAAAGATACAGCAGGCTAGGATGCCGTTTTCAGTAGTGAGAATCTATCGCTGGCTATTGGACCGCTGGTAGGCGAGAATGCATGACGTCACTTCAAGCAATTGACATGGAACGCTATCCCTGACACATGCGGACGCAACCGTTGCCCGTCGCAATTGAGCTAATGTCATTGCAATGAGAGTTGAATCTGGATGTACCTGGCACATTGGCATGAAAGCCATGGAAGCGTAGTCGAGGAACGATGAGTTGTCGATGCCAAGGCCCTACATGGGAGCCATGTGGAGATGTGGAGCCCATCTCCCCTAGCAACCGCCGCTGATACTGTTATCTAAACAGCCGCACGCCCAAGTTGGGAAAGCTCCCCAGCGTCATATCCCACGATCCACACAGGCTCTCAAAATAAGCTCTTCTCCGCAACTGTCGACTCCTTAGCTGCATACTCTTCCGTCTCACCGTGCCGCTTCCTGCACTTCGACTCAACTCCATCTCCATTCGATACACCTTGCGCGTCAACATTCACCATTTGCAATTACATATTGCTAGCTGAGCATACAGTACGCCACCGCGATCACATTCCAACGCCACACGAGATGGAGGCGTTACTCTCTCACGCCTTTGACAACATCGCGTCAAAGGACACGCAGAAGATACGCAAGGGGCTCCGTCAGATCGAGGGCATGCTCGCGCAGATATGTCTCTCGAGCGGCAAGTCGAAACCATCAACACCAGGTCATCGTCGGAACGCATCTGCCATCAACCTAGGCGAGCAACAGCAGTCAACACCGAAGAAGCTGGGACAACTAGGCGAGGATCCAGCTTTCAGGGAGTTCTTCAGGTTGCAGGAGGGCTTCGAGTGGAATGGTAAGCATTCCGTCAGGAGTATGCTGCAAAGCACAAGCTGACGTGTATCACAGTCTCCACGCGCGTAGCCGACTGTCTCGATCGATTGCTTGGTATGGGGAGCAGTAAGGGTATATATACCACTGGAACCAAGTGCGCCAAAGCTAACAACCACATGCAGACGGCCAGAATGACATTCTTATCCTCTCATCGCTATCGAACCTACAAGGCCTGCTTCTACTGCACCCGCCATCGCGCATCATATTTGGCCGCGAAGTCTACATGAACGTCCTCCTCGATCTCCTCGATCCCTACAATTGCCCGGCCATCCAGTCGCAAGCTCTTCTGGTCCTCGTCACTGCACTTCTCGCGACACCACAGAACACACGCACATTCGAGCATATGGACGGCCTGCTCACAGTAACGAGCTTGTTCAAGGACGAAGAGACAACACAGAGCGTGAAAGTCAAGCTACTAGAATTCCTGTACTTCTACCTCATGCCAGAATCACCAGTTGTAGGTCACCGGAGTCCAAGCAAGTTGGCAAATGCCTTCGAGCGGCGGAACAGCACTGCCAACGGCGAGGATGGTGGAGGTGCGAACAAGAAGAACACTCGCACGCAAGAAGAAAAGCAGTATATGCTAGGAAAATACCTAAACAACGTCGACGCCCTGGTCGAGGATCTACAAGAAAGCGCCCCGTTCACGAGCGTTGCGTGTTGAGATCGGATCAAACAGGCTCCAGGGCAACCAAAAAACAACACCCACTGGTTTGGTGACCTACCTTCCTCATTTCATATGTTCACTGTATATTTTCATTTTGTTCATTGCGCTGATTGTGCTAGCTTTCAACTTTCTTTGGTTCTACAGCGAGGCGTTGGGGTCACAGCATCCTCCCATTAGCGGGTAATCACACTGTTTCGAGCGTGCATAGCTGGCGTTGGTCTTCCAGGTTTTCCCTTGCGGCGTTTGTTACCTGGCAATGCTAGCTGGATGGCGCATTCATTGCAGTTTGATTTTTACTTTGTATCATTGCGGGTGGCTTGATGGTGAAGCGCCGAGTGTTTGCTTATCTGGATAAGCCAATGTACTAATGCTCAGGATAGGTCCAGGAACCTTAGCATAATCTATTATTTCCAGCATGATTCTGAGCGTCTTGGCTGCGTGAGTGAGTGATAACGTATCAAGAGAGCAGGGGTATATCTGTGAGGGGCTCGACGAATAGAAGACGACTGTTGCGATGATCAATAACCTGATTCGCAGTTCAGGGTACTCTAAAACCCAAGGTATTTGGATTCTGCCAACAAACACATGTTGGGCCAACGTCAGCAGCCATCGGGGCTTGGCTACAAAAGATCAGCCATGCTTATGCTGCATTCTATTCGAGAAAGCCGCACGCATCGCTTGCAGGCAAAGCTCTCACGCCATTCATGACAAGATCCATGGATTGATGTATGCGGGACGGAGCCTTACGGACCCCGTTGAATCCGATTGCCGAGTCTGACAAACAGGCCTGTGCGGAAGCTGGCGGACGCCAAACCCCACTGGAAGATCTGAAGCAAGGGTCACACACCCTGCTTTACGACACGACCTGTATCCCGCAGCAGACGTCGAATGGGATCGCCAGTGCAGACGCAGTCAGACAACAAAGCAACGTCTTCCAGTCATCTACCGCCCGTATCTTAGTCTTTTTGCCGTCGTGGTGATGCGAACAAGGTTATCCACGACTACACTATGACGCAACGAAAAAACAACCACGCGACCACGCGACCAGTGGTGACTCGCTCTCGCTTCGACAAATAACATCACACCAAGCAGTTTCGTCCGTCTGCCGGACTGCCGGGCACCTGCTTGTTCGCGCCCTGTTGGACGTCCGCTGACTGTGCCTGGCGGTGGCGCTACTTTTGCTTGATTATGAACAAAAGTTTCCTTGTCTTGCGTGCTTTTCTTCCTGTTCTCCTGTCCTCTTCTGCTTGTCATCGCTACAATACCCTTTCGACTTACAGTTTCTAGTTTGCTCGAGGACGTCGGCTCTCTGTGTGTCTATTTGTGCGCGTCATACCGTTGATTCGTCAGGCTGACAGCTACCCTGGTCCCATTACCTTTCCGCGTACTACCCTACAACATCTGTACGAGGCCCAAGGAATTTGTACGGCGGTGCAAACTTGTCTTTTTGTAGCCAACCTCGCATCGTCTCCGTTCTGTACACCCTTTCATCGTACTACCGCGTTCGACTCTTCAAGTTGTCGTCATGGGCTTGGGCGCTGCGATAGAGCCGCTTGTGGTGGCTACATTACTCTTCGGAGGCACATGGGTGAATCGAAACACAGAGTACCGACTGTTTGGCCGTCAAAGAGGCCATGCGTCTTCTCCACGTTCCTCATCGCCAGGTTCCTCTGATTCGGGGCGTTCATCTCCTTCGTCGAGTTCGAGCGCGTCACTACTAAGCAACGTCGACGATGTACCAAAATGGCGGAAACGCGAAATACGGTTCCTGGGACAGAGGAAAGAAGTCGTGTCGCCGAACACGAAAAGATTCCAAGACTATTTCCTGAGTAGGCTGTTGCAGAAATTCCCGTTCTTTGTGGAAGCTTGGTATTGGTTCTTGATATACTGGGTACGCAAGACTACAGCCCCATATCTACCTCCACTCAACGACGCGGTCACTGACAATACAACAGGTCTACCAACTAGGTCGTGCATTCACCGCCGTAACAATGGTTGAAGGCACCGTCAACGTCGCGCGCCGCCACGCCCTCCAACTCATCCACCTCGAACAACGCCTGCACATCTTCCACGAGCTGTCCGTACAACACTGGTTCCTCCAGCACCCCACACTGCTCCACTGGACAAATCGCGTCTACTCCTTCATCCACATCCCCGGCACCATCCTCTTCCTCATCGTCCTCTTCTACTACACCACAACACCGACCCGCATCGACCTGCCCCTACACAACCGCGAAACATCCAGCCCGCCCGCCGGCCCAAAACTCTACGCCGCCCGCCGCCGCACAATGGCCGTCTGCAACCTCCTCGCCTTCATCGTCTTCACGCTCTGGCCCTGCATGCCCCCGCGCCTCCTCTCAGACCGCGACGTCCCCGGCGCCGTCGGAAAAGAAGCGCGCAGCTACGGCTTCGTGGACACAGTACATGGCGCAGAAGGCGAAAGTAGCGTCTGGACGCAGAATAGATTCTGCAACCAGTACGCCGCCATGCCGTCCCTGCACTTCGGCTACTCCCTCCTCATCGGCTTGACAATATGCTCCATCCCGCTCGCGCCACAGCACCAGCGCTCCCGCAGCGTATTCGTGACGCGCAGTTTGCGCCTGAGGATCCCGAGTGCGAGGCGCATGGCGTGTTTGGCTGTCGGCATTGCGTATCCGACTATCATTTTGATTGCGATTGTAGCCACGGCTAATCACTTCCTGCTCGATGCTGTGGCTGGGGCGGTGGTGTGCGGGCTCGCTTGGACGGGGAATAAGGTGCTGTTGAATCTTCTGCCGCTGGAGGATTACTTTATGTGGCTGGTGCGCATTCATAAACCTGAGCGTAGGGCTGTGCTGGGTGAGGACGGGGAGGGGGAAGATGGATTTACGCGGGAGGTTATGGGGAAGGGCGTTGTTGTTGATTAGGTTGTTTGTTTAGGGGGAGTGATGGTCGAGGCATTTGGGGCGGTGGTGGAGGTTGAGCGATACCCTTTTTCTTCTGTCTTTTTAGCTGTAGGCTTGTTTGTAGTGAGTATGCAATATATTCATGTTGTTCATGGGGAGTGTTTTCTTGATGGTGGTGAACATGTTGATAGTGTGAGTGAATTTCATATTGAGGCCATACCATCCATACCTATTGGTATGGTTTCACCTCACTGCTACATGTTGTGTATCGCAAGGACCATGTATCGCCCACTTCTGCAATCTTGAGCATGAAGTCCATACAGCATTCATCGAGATGCATTCCATCTGCATATCCTCCGATACGATACGATACCACCACAGGCATCACCACATATCGAAACAAGGATGATGCAGATATCGACAACACTTAAGTCGCCTCATCCAAAATGAACGAGCAGTTCATTTCCTTCATCTACACTTGTCAGCCACAATCCACAAAACTCAAGGAGCAAACTCACCCTCACAGCCGGGCCCTGCGCACAATCAACAGGTGGCCTCGACCACTGGCCCGCTCTGCACTCCCCACACTGTGTCCACGGGCTCTCGCTATTCCAGCGGCAGCCCTTGTAGTAGAACTCCACCTTGGACTGCTGGATGTTGAATCTCGCCTCCAGGGGGGCGTGTCCGGCGCCTGTGATGGGGATGGCGAGGTAGATGTTGGTGTGCAGCTAGACGAAGTATCCGCCGCTGCCGCTGATGAGCACGCCGGTTGCGCTCCAGTGGTGGGCGGTGTTGCAGGCTTCTGATATGCGGAAGTAGAAGGTTAGGATGGATGATGCGGGGGTTGTTTGGGTGAGGGTGATGTTGGGGCCGGTGGGGGTGTTGGGGGTAGAGGGGAGGGTGAAGGGTCGGAGTCCAGGAGTTGTCTGTATGAGTTCGATTTCGGACTCAGGGAGCTGGCGAGCGGCGATGGACTGAACGATGGGCTCGAGACTGGATTCAGTGGCTGCCTGCTCACCCTTGACGCCTAGGATGAACGAGCAGTCCATGTTCTTAGTCTGCACCAACATGTCAGCATCTCCCCTCGATATACTCACAACAATAACATAAACTTACCCTCGACGCTCCCCCACCCGCGCAATTCAACGCCCCACCAGACCACAACCCGGCCCTACACTCCCCACAACTCTTCCACGTCTCATCGTCAAACCACACGCAGCCCCGATACTCGAACCGCACCTTCGACGCGCCATACTCAAACGGGCCGATGTTGAGCGGCGGGAACCCTCCGACCCCGTGAGCGATGGCGTTGATCTGGCCCGGGGGCAGGGCGAAGTTGGCAACGGGCCCGTTGCTGTACTGACCGCGTGCCTTGCGGGCGCCGTTCTCGCAGTACTCGGTTAGCTGGAGGTGGAAGGGGAGGATGGAGGTTTCGGCTGCGGGGGCGTTGGATGCGGGGGCTGGGATGAGGACGGTGGGGGAGAGGACGACGGTTTTGGTGGGCTTGAGGGCGAGGTCGGGGGTGTCGGGGAGGGCGACGGCTGCTGCCAGAGTGGCGAGAGAGAGGAGGGAGAGGAGCTTCATGGTGGTTGTGTTGTTGAGGCTTGTGGTGGTGAGTGGATATATGTCACTGACTGATCAGTGGTGCGGGATGAGTGAGACTGGCAGAGTGACACAAGAGGGCTTTATGTATGACTTTCGAGTTCAGACCGCCGAGGAGTATCGTGAGAGAGCAAACGCAGGGAGGGGTACGAGGTATATGTGCGGCAAACGGTCAAACGATGTGGCCGATGGTGAAGGTGGATTTTCTAAGAGAAGGAAGGAGCACGGACGGGTCCACGACAAACGGGCAGGAGCGAGGTCGGTCAATCCCATGATAGGAAGATTAGACAGTGCTTTGCTCGAGACTGGATTGGTGTGATCTCGAGCTCGATGTAAGTATCTGGCTGCACAATCACACCCTACCTTATGACCACTCAAAATCCTCACACCCGCTCATTTACAGAAGCCTGTACACTCTTACTCGTCAAGACTTGTTCGTAAGATAAAAGTGACCCCACAGATCATGATTTAGGAAAAGACTTTCCATTCCCCTTGCTTTTCCTTTCCTTTCCTCTCCTTCCATATAAATAACCACTCCAACCCAATCAACCCACCCAACGCCCCAAGCCATGTACAAACTCCCCAAAAGCCCAGACGCCAAGGTACTCCATACCACACACCACCTCACCTCGCCTTCCTCGCAACATCCTCCAAGAACCCCAGCAGGAAACTCTTATCCACCGGACTCCTCCCGTCAACACTCTGCTTGGCTTGCGCTGACAGTCCGCCCATACCAAGATTCGCACCTTCCGCCACGGGCGGAATAACGATACTGGGCATGGACACAGACTCGCCGATACTGGAGATCCTGCTCCTGGATGCAAAGTCCCCGGGGCTAGCAGCCTGGCTTTCCTTCTCGGGGAGCGGACTGACGGGGCTGACGATGCCGGGCAAGGTGGGGTTTGATGTAGGAGCGGGAGTACGTGCGGTCGGTATGGAAGGGACCGGGCTGGGTGATGGCTTGCCGAAGAGAGCAAGGAGAGTGGACTTTTGGTCGACGGGGGTGTTGGAAGAAGGTGGAGGGGCGGGAGAGTGGGTGGGTGGTGGTTGTGGTAGCGACTGCGGCTGCGGGGATGGTGCCTTGAACATGTCGAGAAGGCCTTGTGCGTGGGCAGTTTGCTGCTGAGGACGCTTCAGGATTTGTGGCTTGAACGCGGTAACCGTGGGCGTAGGTGCCTTTAGTGAGCCTTGCGGGGTGCCGTTGCGCGAGGTGACAGTAGGACCTGAAGGACGTCGCGACCCTGGACCAGTGGCTTCACGTTTGAGAATCTGCTGGGGAACGAAGGGCTTCTGTGCGACCTGTGCGACTGGTGATGGCCCACTTGAGCTATTGTGTGGATGTACATTGCGTTTGATGGTCTTAAAATCAGGAGCATTGACAGGCCCACTGACAGTAGCTGAAGTGATACTAGGACTTCTAGCTTTTGGCTGAACACCAAAAGCTCCGAGAAGATTAGCTTGGTGTGCCGTGGGAGCTTGGGGTACGGGTTTCGCGCTAACGTATCCGGGGGTCCTAGGGTACGCAGAGAGCTCGGCTGGTTCCGGAGATACCATGGGCGAGGCGTCTTGGAACAGGGTCAACAATGAGTTCTGATGAGTGGTCCTTGCCCTTGGCTGCGCAGGCGGGACGCTAGTACTGAGAGCGGGTGATTGATATTGAGGCGGGCTTGCCGCATACGGTGGTGATACGAGGTTGTGTGGTGGATATTGGGGCAGGGGCTGTTGCATCCTAGGTGTAGTTTGCGGGACCTGCTGTATAAGGGGAACCGCCGGCTGATCGTCATTGGGTCTGAATGAGTTCAGCAGGCTAAGAGCGTGTGAGTTGAGCTTTGGCGTTGGCAGGCCAGATGCGGGTGGTATGCTAGGCCGCCCGTGCCCAGCAGCAAAATGAGAGTCGGCATCACCGTTCGGCTGGAATGATCGGGGATGTTGGTGATTGAACGCTTGCTGCATGGTCGGTGGATGGTTCGTGAAGGCAGGGTGGTGCTGTTGGTGAGGAGGTTGTGGTGGTGGCATGAATTGACGTGCCATGTGCTCAGGCATGCCATTGTACGGTTGCTGAGGTGGAGGTCCATGAAATGAGGGTCCTTGGTTCGGCGAGAAAGAGAACGGCGGGGGAGGCGGCATATTGGCGAACTGAGGCTGACGTGGTTGGTGCTGGCCGTGTGGGCTTTGAGGCTGCGTTGGCGGCGACATGATTTGTTCGAATGGTGTCCGTGGTCCCATGGCCATCTGCGGGCCTCCATGCTGTTGTTTCCCCTGTAGAATGGCCAAGAGCGGATTCACCTGTGGTGCTTGTTGGGTGGGTGAGCCCACACTCAAAAGCCTCTTGAGCGCCTCCGCAGGGTCGACTTGAGATGGAGTAGATACTTCGGGTAGTGTGTCGCTTGAACGATGGCCGAGTTGAGCAATAAGACCAGCGAGGTTGTCGACCTGTGGAGCCTCCTGGCGATAGGCGACCTCGTCAGCTGGGGTCTCGTACAGCTCAGCCTGGGGATCCTCGGGGTCTGATAGAACATCATATGCAGCTGGCGGCAGAGGTGCGCCAGCTGGAGGCCTCTGCCTGTCTGTCTTCTGTTGCTGCTTGATCCACGACCTCAGGGGCCCCAGGAACGGCGCTACCATGTAGAAGCTGCTCTCCTTGATTAGATCTTGCCCAGGTACCTGCTGCTGGAGCTGGTTCTTTCGCCGTAAAGTGGGCAGATCCGTCAGCTTATACCAGTCAATCTTCGAAATCTCCTTCCTTGTTCGTGGTTCGAAATACGTGTCCATGGGTACCCCGCGGAAGACATACAGCATCATGCTCTGCTCACGCATCGTGACGGTAATCTTCTTCATCTGCTCGTCTGGCAAGACCAAGTCCGCCTCTCTCAGGTCGTAGCCTGTCTCCTCGTACGCCTCTCGCACTGCACAGTCCAGATCGCTTTCCTGGTTGTTGATCTTGCCCCTGGGAAAGCTCCACTTGGCGCCCTTCTTCCATCCCTTGACCAGCACCGCATGCGACATTTCCTGGTTCAGCATAATCACACCACGCACAGGCACACGTGTCTTGTATGCCAGAAACTGCTCATACGCCTGTTGGTGAAGCTCCTCCGAGTAGGCAGAGAAAAGCGGGCAGTGCTGGAACATGAGCTGCGAGAACCGGCGCAGGTGCATCGACGGCAGGCGGTGGGGGTCCAGCGGACGGATGAAGTCTTCGTAGAACCATTGCGCCTCCTCGATCTGGAAACATATTCGCTCGACCGACTGCAGCTCTTCGTTGGGCAGGTTGACGATGAATCGCACGCACAAGTCGTCCAGCCAGTCAACCAGTGTCATCTTTGTTGTTGTCATGTTGGCCAGTGTCGTGCAGCATGCCGTGGGCACCTGGTGAGAGCTGGGTCGAGGTGTCTGCGCAGCCTTCGCGTCGTCTTGGGCTCTGGGCGATGAACGGGCGGGGAGGCAGTCGCGCGCCTATCACGTCGGGTGCGCGGCGGCGATGGCGAGGGTCTAGAATACGGCCGTCGGCGGCAGTCGTGTGCACAGCCGCGCAGAGAATGGTGAAGAAAGTCGACACGTGTTCGCGTGGTCACGGCGGGCGCTGTCTCTCGGTCGTGGAGCTCTCTCGCACTCACACGGTGGGGCTGGGCTTCGGCAGGCGCGATCGACACTGTGGCGGCCGTGGCTGTGCAGCCCAACGCAGAGACTGGGCCCACGAAGCTCCATCATGCATGACGTCTAGCTCTCCAACCTCCAGAGAATCAGGGCAATCTTCACCGCTGCAAAATGCTTTAATATCAAGTCGCGCCTTCTTCATTTCTGCTCATCATCTCATCTGTTCGCCATCCGAGCAGTTTCTCGTCTTTACGCCAGCGCACTCGTCCTCTATTTCAAGCGGCGTCGCGCCCGTTTCGGAATTCCAGCAGTCGAGAGCCGCCCACCAACCACACGCCCAGACGCCTACTGAGACAGCCGCAGCGCCGCATTTTCCTGGACTGCTTGTCTGAGTACAGTCGCATATAAGGTCTTTGTCCAAGGCTTTGTTGTGACCACATCCTCAATTGTTCTCAATACTTCGCGTCGCAACTCAATTCACATTCACACCATCACACCGCAATCATGACGCAACTCGTCGCCAAGTACGCGATGAAGAAGGTGCTGGGCAAGGAGATGGAAAAGTACAAGGGCAAGGGACCCTCAGGCCCATACGTAAGTCTCGAGCCATTGGCCTTGTAATACAGCTTCTGACCACCAAACAGGACCCCTATTATGAGGAGATCCCACACCCTAGGAAGCCGGGCAAGACAAAGAAAGTCAAGAAGGAGATCCCAGCCTACATCCCTCCCCACGATGCCGACGTCCTCGCAAAAGCCCGCAAGACAGCATACCGTCTTGATTACGCCCTCTTCAGTTTCGCAGGCCTCCGATTCGGTTGGTCTTCAGTCATCGGTCTTGTCCCCGCCGCCGGCGACGTAGCAGATGCGGCGCTCTCTCTCAACCTGATTAGAGGCATGTGCAAAGTTGAAGGCGGACTCCCCCAAATGGTTATGATGTGGATGGCGATCAACTTGATCATTGATTTCCTTGTCGGCCTGGTACCATTCATCGGTGACCTCGCAGACGCGGCTGTCAAGTGCAACGGCAAGAATGTACGCCTGCTCGAAGAACATCTGGATGCAAAATATAAGCCGAAAGAGGTCAGAGATATAGAAAGCCGCATGTCCCCGGAGAGCCGACCGCGCCCTGCTTCCGTGTACGTGGACCTCAATGACAGCCCTGGCGACGAACGAAACGACCCTTTCAACAACCGCAACGACCACGTTCGTCAGCCTACACGAGCCTACTCCGGACGCCGGGATAGGGTCCCGGATGAGGAGATGGGAGTACCCCGACACGAGGCACAACGCTCGCACAAAAACGATAGGTCTCGTCGCGACAATAGGCGCTAGGCGCTGCATAGTTTGTTTTCATATGTTTTTATGTCATCTTGATACCATCAGCGTTGTTTATCTACTAGCGCCATCGGCAAATTTCTCATTCTTGCCACCTTGTATGCTGCTTCCTATCTGAAGTCAGCGCAATTTCATCTTTCATGTCTGATCATATATCCCCGTTACGTTACGCTTAGTTGAACATATCATCTGGCAAATACACCCATTGTAATGACTTGTATTCTTGCACACGGTGCTGACTTTTGGATTTTAATACTGGTAATTTTTCATTTCTTCAATCTATTCTTCACAACACATGTCTACCACTCATGTCAGATCCAGAAACTTGTAACCCACTAAACAATCTAACCATGACAAAACATTCATTATCCACACACACACACGTAAAAGTCATCAATCAATCAATAAACACTACTCCCCCCCCCTCCCTTTCTATCACCCAACATGCGGCACCCACTCCATCCACTCAACCGTAACATAAACCGCGCCCTCCACACTCCTCAACGCCGCAAAGCTCTCCCCCAGCACAAAAACCCTCGCGCCCACAAACCCCACCCAGCAAACCATCACCAAAAGCACCAGCCCATAAAGCAAGACCAACAGCGCAGTCCTAACCGGCCAAACCACGCAGCGCACCCACTTCCAGCGCCTCGCCTCGATCCACAGCCGCAGGCCATCCTCCGCCGCCATGCCCACCATCAGGGCTAGACTGCTCAGTGGCGCGCCGACCATGATGAGCCCTGAGGTGCGCCACGTCCATTGCTCCGCTGGGGTGGCGAAGCGGAAGGCCCATGCTGTGAGGTGGAGGGCGCCGTAGAGGGTCGCCATGGCGGAGTAGGTTTTTAGCATGGAGATGTGGTGGGGCGTCATGAGCGAGGGGGAGTCCATGGAGTGGTTGCTGCCGTCGATGAGGAGGTTGCTGCGCGCGGGGACTAGGTAGCGGGTTGGGAGGGTGAGGGATATGGATGGCAGCGGTGATTCAGATGTGGATGTAGATGTTGATTCGGGGATGGGGGTAGCGATGTTTGTTTCGAAGGGGAAGTGGATGGAGCGGGAGGCGAGGGAGGCGAGGCCGTTGGTGGCTAGATCGAGGTGCTGGGTTTGCGAGGGCGTTGCGGGGACGCCGGAGGGACTGCGCGGTGCGGGTGCGGGTTTGCGTTTCCGCGTCGAGGCGTCGAGCTCCATGAAGGCTGATATAGCGTGGGAGTATCGTTTCGAAGACGATGTGTTGAGTAGGTTCTCGTGTGCGGATTGGACGTGGGCGAGTGTGAGGATGGGCGGGTGGTCTTGTTGCAGCGGGCAGCGCATTGCTTCGCCTGTCATGTTCTTCATCGGCTATGTCTGTTAAAAAATGTCTTTCTACAGTCGCAGCGGGGGGGAGGGGAACTTACGCCTTGGATCCCCAACGCCCAGAATGCGCCCCATTCCGCGACCCTCTCGTCCTCGCACAAAATCGGACTCCCCACATCATACGGCTTCCTCAACCACACCACGTACATGGCAAATGCACACAACACGTGTGTCAGCACGTGCACCTCAAGCAGTGTAAGTGGCAGCTTTTGCGCCACGCGGGCAAGGCACTGGACGAGAAACCAGCCTGCTTGGATGCACACGAGGGCCTTTGCGATGGCGTCGGATTTCGACTTATCGGTGACGGCTTCGGGGGTTGCGCGGGGGAGGAGACCGTGGTTGGCGAGGAAAGTCAGGGCTGGAGGCGTGAAGGTCAGGTATGGGGTTTTGGGAAGATAGGGGGTGGGCAGTGCGAAGCCGCCGGAGAGGGCGAAGAAGGATTGTTCTAGTGTCCATGTTGGAGGGTCAGGGGGCGGGTCGCTGGGTTTGGGTTGTCTTCGGAATAGTTGTGTGAAAGTTGTGTGTTTTTTTGTTTTCGCTGTGGGCTTTTGGTCGACTTTTGTTGGTGTTGGGGTGGGTGGGTGCTGGGTGTTTACTGATGGTGTGCTGTCGTGGGATTGTCTGCTGTCGTGGGATTGTCTGCTGTCGTGGGATTGTCTGCTGTCGTGGGATTGTCTGCTGTCGTGGGATGTGCGTGGGGCGCTTTCATCGTCTTCAGAAGGAGGTGTCTGCTCGTCCACTATGACTTTGCACACTGCACACTTCTCCTCTTCTTCTTCCACGATACCCACCCCGTCAAAGGCGCGCTTTCCCAACCCATTGACCGTGTCACGAAGCTTTTTGGCAGCCCACCACTGCTCCCAAGCACAGAACAAAACTACTTCGGGCAAAAATACTGCAACACACATCCACATCAGCCGATGGCTAATCTTCTTCCATTCAGACTGCGTCGCCTGCACATTCGGATGGTATGCTGTCCAGGCGCATAGCGAGAGCGTGGTGAGACACGAGAGTAGGATGTCGAATGTGCCTCGAATCTGGGGTGCTTCGGTCCATCCTACGAGTTCAGTGGGCGAGGAAGAGAGCTTGTCGTATTGGGAAGTGGTTGAGTTGCAGGTTGTTATGGGCGCTGCTGATGTAGGAACGAAGAGATAGAAATACGATAGAAGAATAAACATTGCATATGGACGGTCGTCTCAACATGGTTGAGACGCTGGATAGCTATAAGAGACACTGACTTGAGGCGTTTAGGCAGCATGTTGCTGCGCTTCGTTGCTGCGCCGCTTCATGGTAACCGCTGTACGACTGGGTGGTGTCGCAGAAGTGACCAGGGCGCTTAGCGATAGGTGAGGGCGAAGCGACATGAACATTGCTTCTATGCGTTGTACGAGAGAATGTGTGAGTTCAACAGAAAAAGGACGAGAAACGAGTGAGTAAAAAACAGTTATTACTCCATGCAACCGTTATTTGTGTTGAACATTATGTAATGCCCCAGCCATCCCGATTACCTTGGGCATATAGTTCGGCGGTATGCCTCGATTGCTTGTTTAACCAACCGTCTCAATCATCGAATTATCGCTCTTCTGATGCTCTGTTCAATAGTTTGTACCTTGTGAGGATATATAAGTTATAGTGACGTGAGTACTCAGCAAAGATGGTCTTCGAACGATCGGTCTTCGACTGACAGAATCCTGACATGACCTCTGCTTCCTAAGGAATAGTTGACGTTCTGTTGGTGTTGTCAGCCTCTAATGATTGCTATCGGACCGTTGAGAGTCAGGAGTCTAAGAAGTTCTTGCGTATGTCTTGGCGTGGGTAGAAGGTGAGGCGTGCTGAGATAAGCACAACGTCCAAACTAGTGGCTGTTGCCGGCCTACTTTTACCCAATCTTCCTGGCAACAGATCATACGTCAAATTGAAGATTCGGGACAGGCCTCGGAGAATCCATCAGTTGCCCGGCTTTTCCGCAAAGGGCAGGAACCCGCGTTTTCCAGCGCTTCTTCTCCCATCTGCTCCGATTCGGCCAGAAGATATCTAGCGCACAGCCCGGGGCGTGATAGACCGGCGGAATAATTTATGTTTGTTGTTGTCATGTCTTGAATGCTAGATGGGCTTTGTCAATGGCGAGTGCAAGCTGCTGGTACACAGCATCGGACTCGTTGTCGGCTTCGGCGAATGAAGGCCACGCAGAACGGGGCAAAGAAGTGGGAAAGAAAAGTTTAGTCACGGACGTGCCAGTGCTCGGAGAGACTTGCCCATGCGCGTGGAGAATGGCCGCTGGCAGGATGTGAGGCGTTGGCGTGTCGCACCCACTGGTTGATGTAATGGCACCCCACCACTATCACGGTGAAGTAGGCACTGCGGGTATCATCCATGCAACACTAACAGCGACGGCTACAAAACCCTACCCATCCCAACAATCGCGTCTCTCCTCTCCCTTACTCTTCCCATCCCAAATCGCCCATCATGCCGTACGGAAAGGTCGACGAGCTCGCCATCAACACCATCCGCACCCTCGCGGTACGTCACACCCACCTGCCCCGCCATCACCAAACAGCTACCCCGCTATCGCAGTTTTTTCCCAACATCATGTCAAAGTCGCCGCATGACGTGTGTGTAGTGTCAATTGCTGATAGTCTATGTTTTGCAGGTCGATGCCACATTCCAGGCCAACTCTGGCCACCCGGGCGCCCCTATGGGCATGGCCCCGGTGGCCCACGTCCTGTTCAACAAGTTCATGACGTTCAACCCCAAGAACCCCGAATGGGTCAACCGCGACCGCTTTGTCCTCTCGTACGTACTTCCCGCGACGTTTCTGTGACGTGGGCTGGCAGTCGCGTCATTGGCATGGCTCAACGCGAACCACGGGTCACAGTAGGCCGGGACGGAGCTAGGAGCCTTTTCCGCGGGGCATCTGAACGCGGGTCCGCTTATCTATGCGAAGTTCCAAAGCCAGACTCTGGGCTTTTGTGGATTCGTTGAGCCATTCCAATCGTCTGCCATTTGTGAATTGGCGAGACGAAAGTGCTGACTGAGCGCATAGCAACGGTCACGGGTGCATGCTTCAATATGCTCTGCTCCACCTCTTCGGCTACGAGATCAGCATTGACGACCTGAAGAACTTCCGTGTAAGCAACTCCCCCACGTCTCCCCCACCAGCCACTCATTCCTCCCCAGCAAATCGACAGCATCACCCCAGGTCACCCCGAGTCCCATGACACACCCGGTATCGAGGTGACGACTGGTCCCCTCGGCCAGGGTTTCGCCAATGCCGTCGGTATGGCCATTGCCGAGAGGCACACTGCGGCCGTCTTCAACAAGCCCGGCTTCGATCTGATCAAGAACTACACATACGCCTTCTTCGGTGATGGCTGCTCCATGGAGGGTATTGCCAGCGAGGCTGCCTCCATGGCCGGCCACTTGAAGCTCGGCAACCTCATCATGGTCTATGACGACAACCACATCTCCATCGGTAAGTGTCGAATGCAACGCCATGAAGGTCCACCAAACTGACATCATCACAGACGGTGACACCAAGTGCGCCTTCACTGAGGACGTCATGAAGCGCTTCGAGGCCTACGGCTGGCACACACAGCACGTCGAGAACGGCGACTCGGACCTCGAGAGCATCGAGGCCGCCATCGCCAAGGCCAGGGAGGTCACGGACAAGCCCTCGGTCATCAAGCTCACCACCACCATCGGTTTCGGCTCCAAGCTCCAGGGTACCGGTGGCGTGCACGGCAACCCCCTGAAGGAGGACGACATGAAGGCGGTCAAGGCCAAGTTTGGCTTCGACCCCGAGAAGATGTTCGTCGTTCCCCAGGAGGTCTACGACATGTACCACAAGCACGCCGCCGAGGGCGCTGCTGCTGAGCAGGAGTGGAACAAGCTGTTCGAGAAGTACGGCGAGGAGCACAAGGACCTTCAGGCCGACCTCAAGCGCCGATTGACCCGCGACCTCCCCGAGGGCTGGGTCAAGAGCCTGCCCACATACAAGCCCTCCGACCCCGCCATTGCCTCCCGAAAGCTCTCCGAGAGTGTTCTCGAGGCCATCCACAGCGTCATCCCCGAGCTTATGTCCGGGTCTGCCGATCTGACTGGCTCCAACAACACCCGGTGGAAGAAGGCTGTCGACTTCCAGCCCGCGGAGTACGGCATCGGTGACTACTCTGGCCGTTATATGCGATTCGGTGTCCGTGAGCACGCCATGGCTGCTGTCATGAACGGAATGTGCGCGTACGGTACCGTCATCCCCGCCGGTGGTACTTTCCTCAACTTCGTCTCGTACGCCGCCGGTGCCGTCCGTCTGTCCTCCCTCGCACACCAGCGCGTCATCTACGTGGCGACACACGACTCCATTGGTCTTGGAGAAGACGGCGCCACCCACCAGCCTATCGAGACGCTTGCCCACTTCCGCGCTCTGCCCAACATGATGGTCTGGCGCCCCGCTGACGGAAACGAGACATCAGCCGCGTACTACATGGCTCTCACTTCCAAGACGACTCCCTCCCTCCTTGCTCTTACTCGCCAGAACCTGCCCCAGCTCGAGGGCTCGACAATCGAGAAGGCCATCAAGGGTGGTTACGTCGCTCTCGAGAAGGAGGGTGCCGACGTCACTCTCGTCTCCACCGGTTCCGAGGTGTCTCTCTGCCTCGAGGCCGTCAAGACGCTCAAGGACCAGGGCCTCACCGCCCGTGTCGTCTCGCTGCCTTGCGTCGAGGTCTTCGACGCCCAGGACAAGGAGTACAAGCTCTCCGTCATCCCCGACGGTATCCCCACAATGAGCGTCGAGGTCATGTCCACACTCGGGTGGGAGAAGTACTCGCACGAGCAGTTCGGCCTCAACCGCTTCGGCGCTTCCGGCCCATACAAGGACGTCTACGCCAAGTTCGAGTTCACCCCCGAGGGCATCGCCAAGCGCGCAAAGGCTACAGTCGACTTCTACAAGGACGTCAAGCCCCTCCGCAGCCCGCTTAACCGCGCTTTCCAGCAGCTGATCTAAGCGTGTGTGTGTGGGTTGTGTGAGGTTTTCGTAGGTTGAGAGAAGGATATGGAACTTATGATTATGAAATGAGGCTGGGGTTTTTGGGCTTCGACAACTAGTTTATGACGGAAAAGAATATCCGCATAGAATTTTATTCCCTGTTTTGAATTGTTGCTCCGCTATGTCTCTGTCGTGATATGAGTAGATAAGTACAGTACAGTATGCTCTTGATGTGCTCTTGTGAAATTGAAATGCGTCCTGTTGTTACTGCCAGTATGTGTATGTACACGTGTATGTATGTATACATGGCCGCCCCAAGTACTTCACTTGGTGCCTTGGTCATTCCGTCATTTGCATCGATTCATCAAGTCAAGCCAAGCCAAGTCAAATCAAGTCAAGTCAACAAGTAAATACAGAAATTGAGATGTAGTGAAGTAAGTCCATCTCCCAGACTGTGTGGGCATTCATCATATCGTGATATATCGTGATATTGTACAAGAACCTATCTTCTGCTCTGTTCTGTTCTGTTCTGCTCGTCATTCTCTCCCCTCTCCTGATCCATATTCTTCTTCATTCGCGATCTGTTCGTCGATATAAATATCGGTATCCATCTCCATACTCATACTCATCTCCAGCACACAAAGAAAAGTTGTATATACGATCCGCCCAGCCGGGCAAGAAGAAACAAAAGAAAAACAAACGAAAAGCACTACTTGGCCACCTCCTCACAAGCGGGTATGGGTATGGGTATCTCAAACGCGCCAGCCAAACAAACCAAACCAAACAAATCCAAACTCAAACATCTCAAACCCCCCACCCAACACTAATCATCAAATCATCCCCCTTCCGCGTCGGCGTCAACCGCGGAACCCACACCGGACTCCCCACCTCCTCCCTCACACCCCCATCCCCATCCCTATGCGTATTCCGAATCTTCAGCCCCTCCCTCTCAGCGCCCCACACTCCCCGGCGGACATTCAGCGGTTTAACAACCGTCCCGCGTTCGCGCTCGATAGGACTACTCGGCCACGCGACGCTCTGGGGACGTGTACGGTTGTACTGTCGCGGCGAGGAGGGCGTGTGCGTTTCGCTTGAGGAGCGGGTGTGTTTTCTGTGCGGGTGCGGTTGTTGCGTCTGGAGGTGGAGGTGGAGGGTTTGTTTCTGTGCGCGGCGGCGGGGAGAAGCGAGGTCGTTGTTTCTTGTTCTGTTTGCGCTTCCTAGCATCGTCGTCGTTGGGGTTGTTGTTGTCTTTGGGCTGCGGGGCACGCATTGATTGCTTGCGCGTGGAACTTTTGGGTAGCGGAGTTTTGCGAGGGGGCTGCCTAGTTCGGGGACGGGGGGTAGGGTTGTGTTTTTACTGGGTTTGTTCGTGTTTTTAGTGATGTTGTTGATATTGCTGTTGTCGTCTGAAGAGGAGAGTTGCTTGTCGTCGTCTTCGTCTTCGGGCGTGGGGTCGTCGCGATCAGCGGATTCGAAGCTCGTTTGGCTGGAGAGGGAGTCGCGGAGGCGGGCTGTCGAGGCGTGGGACGAGACGGTGCTCATTGATTTCTTGGCTTTGATTTGTACGGTTCGGGGCGAGAGTTTGGGTTTTGTGAATTGTGCGGGGGAGGCGTGCGGTGGGGAGGGGGAGGGGGCTGAGAAGTAGTAGTCGGGGATGTCACCGGGGGTGCCGGAAACGGGTGTGTTTGTGGATGGGGTTGAGGTTTGGATGGTTGACGAGGAGGAGTGTGTTTCCATGGGTGGGGCTAGGCGGATCTGCGGCGTTGGACGGGGTGCTGGGGAGCCGTTTGAGGGGTTGATTCTGGCGGTTACATTTCGCGGCTGGGGTCTTTCATGTCGAATGGGAAGGTCGAGGAAGAGTTCGGAGCCCCGGGATGCCTTGCGCCTGTGCGTGTTCAACTGAGGTGCTGGGGTGGTTGTGTTCAGCTTCGACAACGGTCGCGAAGGCTGGAGTCTCCGAATTGGTGGAATGGGAATTGGCGGTGTTGGCAGCAATGTAGAAGACCTACGGCGTGCCATGACCTCATCCTCTTCAAACACAGTGTTCTGAGTCATAGTACTTGAAGGCCGAGATGGGATAACACGCTCAGTTTGTATGCTTTTCGGTCTTTGCTGTCTCGCGGCCGCCTTTGGCTGAGGAGCTGCGGGTTTCCCGTCCATTTCCGCACTTATGGCAAGTCCAATCTGGTCAAGTGGCAACGACGAATCAGATGAGTTGGGAGAGGTGCCAACTCCTAGGCGCTGCACTGGACGAACCGACATCCCATTCGCCGGGCGACCATTAAACGGACTTCCATCTGATCGCGTGGTCTGGCCTGCTGTATGCGCAGCCGGAGGAGGTAGCAATGAGAATTGCTTCGGAGGCTCTGGCACACTTCCCAAAGGAACATAGTGCGAAAAACGCGTAGAACTTCTCTTTTCTGAATGACCTTGGCTCTTCTCGTCACTAAGCTGCTCATACTTCCGTTCTCGTCGTCTTCGCAGACAGACGCTCAGTGCCATAAGCCCAACGGCGAACACGAAAGCAGCTACCCCAGCTACAGACAGCCCAGCAATCTGCGCAGGTGTCATCTTGCGAGACTCTTCGACAGTGACTGCCGTGGGGGCAGCTGTTGAAGACGTCGTAGATGTAGCCGAGGGAGTGAGCGAGATCGAGTCCACAACGACAGGTTGTTGAGATGAGGATGTTTGCGTTTGGAGTGTCGTTGGCGCTATCGAAGTGATTGCAGGTGTAATAGCTGATCCCGACGATGACCTGGTCGTGGAAGGGGACATTGTCTTGGTCGAGGATGTGCTACCAACAACAATTGTAAAGGCAGTCTTGGTCGGTAGAACGGCATCCTCCCTACCCAAGCAGATGTTGTATGATGATGCTTCATCTTGCTTGTCCGATGCGCAATACTTAAAAACACAGCTGAAAGCCACCTCGCCTAGTGTCTCACCGCTGCTACTATAATGAGAGCAAAGGCATCCGATGTTGCCTGGGACAGTACATGCTATAGGAAAATTGTCGGCCAGCGACTTTTGAAGGCAGGACTGCGCGCACGCAGGAACGATCTGTTGGAGCGCATCCGGAAGAGATCTTTGTGCAAAGGGTGCAGTTGTAGGCGACGATGCCGCTATTAGGGTACTTGTCATGAAGCACAGACTTAAGAAATGACTAAGAAACATAGTTATACAGTATCTGTACAAGCCGTTAGCTACATCTTCAGTACGTCTGTCATGGAGCAGAGTGGACTCACTAGAAAATCTAGACATGAAGAATTGTACAAGAAAAACACTGAACCAGCAGCGGAACAAAAAAAGGAAATTGAAGGAGAACGTTCAAGGAAATTCGTCACGCAACACTCGTCTCATGAAGTTTGATGAAGCACCCAAGAGCATTCGGTGGGGGATAATAGGTTGACAATATGTATTGCTACCTCTCCCAAGCGCCGTGTCAGACATGTACATTGACAACCGCCGAGGCGTCATTCTAGCGGGTTCTCGAAATCATCGACATCGATTGTAAGCGCTCGGGACAAACCTCGACGTTTGTGCATCACGTATTTGTCGGTTGCATGTTGTTGTGGTGCAGACGTGCTATTTTCGGCGACTGCGGTGTTGGGGTTCGTCGACTAAGCGCCGAGCCTGTGTTCGCTTGCCATAACGGGCCTGTAAACGGTAGCCTTTACCACAATCGACTCTTGGCCTACGTGATCACAGCGGCAATGAGTTGTCTCCGCATGCACTATCGATGCATATACAGTATACAGTAGTTCATGAGTAATGCATATAGTAGTAAACTCTCCCCAAAAGTTGTGCTGTACAGACCCGACAGTGCGTTCTGCGTCATTGATGCAGTGTTCAGCCCGACTTCCCAACAGACGCATACCAACTCTGAAGGTGGCACGGCATACGAAAATAGGACGGCACAAGTGGAAACTCTGTTCGCAGGGCAAGGTGCAGGATCCCAGCGCTACCAGGACAAGTTGTGAGTTGTCGTTTGATGCGTTTACCTTTATCGCAGCGACTGCTGAAGGAGGCGTGGATGTCGCTGCGAGTATACTGCTTACTTTCTGGGGGAGGCGCGACATACCAGAGTGGACAAAAGGCGCGAAACTTACGTGGACAGAAACAGCAAGGCAGACATGTTGCTGTAGCAAGAGTGAGAGACAAAAGACATGGCGAAACGGACCGATCTTCTTGAGCTTGTAAGACTTGCCGCACCTCTACGCAGAAGCGCTCAAGAAGCTGCAGTGCAAGCGTGAAGTATGTCCGGAGCCATGGTTCCGGTCTGCCTGCTCAAGATGACAGTCTTAGCACTGTGCCGCTGATGGATGTTTGTACCTTCACGTAGGGCGCATCTCATGGTCGGTGAAATAACAACATACTACAGGGGAATTGGTTGAAACGGACGCGGTCGTCAACTAGATTCCAAATCGTGTATGATGTGGTACTTTGGTCTTGGCTCGTCTGAATCAACAAACTTTCACGCGGGATCTTGTCCTGCCATCACTGGATACTAGTAACGGTCCGAGGAAGACGCGCAAATTCATAGTGGTGTTTACGGGCAGGGTGTGGATTTGGATGTATGTCCTCTTCACCATCCACCGGCTGGATGAATGTCTCAAGTGTTGTCGCTCAAATCGGAGGTGATGGCTGTGTGCAGGAGGTATAAGAATGCCGTAATGATGGACGATCCGATCGCAGAAGTACCTACTCAACCAGCTCCTGAATCGTACTATTAGCAGGCCCCTTGGGGTACGAGTAAGTGGACGTGATAACGAGTCGATGGATGTCGGCCGGGTATTAGTCGGAAATCGAGCATGAGGTCTACTTTGCCTCAGAGAAGGGGGAAAAGGAGGACTTTTAGCTGACGTAGATGCGTGATTGGCCAGAAAAGAACGTCGAGTTGCAAGGATGAAGAAACGATGCAACGGAGGTTTAGTGGTCGAGGCTATGCCCGTTGAGGTAAGATAGCGTCAGCCGCGGCTGGTCCGTGAACGAGTGGCTGACAAGGTTGGTCGCCATGCTCTGCAGCACGGAAACATTTTTTGTGTGCGCCACCGAGTGCTGGCAAACGTGCAACAGCAGCAGCAGAAACAAGGCTGCCCGTGGTGTACTCACGAGATGTGTAGGGATTCAGGGTAGGTGTGGGTTGCGCATTGATTGTGGCAGCTCAAAGCAAAGTAGGTTTCAAATTTCGGTAATGCATATTCCGCGGCGGCCCCCGTCGTGAAGAGGCTAGCTTGGCCACTGGATGGGTCCTTAATCTTCCGCAGGGCTTCTAGAAGAGCAGCTAGAGTGGTGAGCGACACGGGACTTGCTTACTAGTGGGCGGTGCTAGACAAAGCCTTTGTGTCGAACAGGTGCTACATGGCGAAAGCAGGCCGGTCGGGTGCAAGGAAGCGGCTGAAAGCATGGTACCTGGCTGCCGTGGTGTCGCTGCCCAGGGCCAATTGCTGGCCAGAAGTTGCGGTGAGAACGCCCAGGTGTGCGGGCGAACTGGCGGGCTCCGTGGGAAACCCACTGATGTGAAGTGTTCCTGCGCCGGGCCAGCACCAGCACCAGCACCACCATGGCCGTAAGATTGCAGTCTGAATATAGATCACGCGTGCAGTGTGGACGAGGACGAGGACACCGACGAGGACGAGGAAGATCGCAATAGACGGCCTACTCGCACACGCACCACGACCCAGTCAGCAAGTCAGTCGTCGCAGTGGGTCGTATAGACAGGCCGGGTGTGTGGAGGTGCTACAACCCTCTAGCCCGACTGCGAGCGACGCCTTCCTCTCGCGCCGCGCTCTTTGGGACAAGCGCGGCCCTCGCCGTCTCCCCTTTTGCGGCGACCACGTCAAAAGTCTCCTGCCTCCCCCATCTTGCGTGCTTTGCTTCCTTTTGTTGCTCGTGCCGGCCTTCAGATCACCGCCACTCCTGACGCTGCCGTGCTCTCCGCCTGCTGCACTGCCTGCCGTTCGCTGCGACGCAAGAGGATCCGCCTTGACAGCCCCTAGCCGCATCCACCGAGCCAGCCAACCTTGCCCTTGTCCTGAGACTCCCGGGGACCGAAGCGAGCCTCTTTCACTCGCCAACCTTCCCTTCACACCTGCAGTCTCCGTCCTTTGTCCTCCATCGCCTCCACTCTAGCCAGCGGGCACCCTCTTCCTGCAGTGCCTCTGTCGTAGTATTATAATAGCAGGTGAGCGCCTCTCCTGTCGCATTGCACCTCGGTCGCGCCTTCCCCCAGCAGCCGCCTGCATCACCTCCATCTCCCGCAACACGAGACCCAGCCCGCCCATTGTCGCATCTGTAATTGGCTCGGGACCCGCTATTGACACATCCTCCCAGATCCGTCCGCTGCCCTGGCCCGTCGCTCGTCGAAACACTGCTGCGTGCCTTTACCCTAATACACCCGCCCACAGCACCCGCACCACCGCCGCCATCATGGGTTGCGGAATGAGCACAGAGGAGAAGGAGGGCAAGCAGAGAAACGAGGAGATTGAGAACCAGCTCAAGCGCGACAAAATGATGCAGCGCAACGAGATCAAGATGCTGCTCCTGGGTTAGTCACCACGTCGAGCCTGACCCCCCAGAACACAGTCTGACCCCAGCAGGTGCCGGTGAATCGGGCAAGTCGACGATTCTCAAGCAGATGAAGCTGATCCACGAGGGCGGCTACTCGCGCGACGAGCGGGAGTCGTTCAAGGAGATCATCTTCAGCAACACGGTGCAGTCGATGCGCGTCATCCTCGAGGCCATGGAGTCGCTCGAGCTGCCTCTCGACGACCAGCGCGCCGAGTACCACGTCCAGACCATCTTCATGCAGCCAGCCCAGATCGAGGGCGACAGCCTGCCCCCGGAGGTTGGCAACGCCATCTCGGTCCTCTGGAAAGACGCTGGCGTGCAGCAGTGCTTCCAGCGCTCGCGCGAGTACCAGCTGAACGATTCGGCGAAATAGTGAGTCCCTCTCCTGCACCACGCACCTCCCCGTCCTGACCATGACAGCTACTTCGACTCGATTGACCGCATTGCCGCCCCCGACTATATCCCCAACGACCAGGACGTGCTCCGATCGCGAGTCAAGACGACAGGTATCACAGAGACCACCTTCATCATCGGCGATCTCACCTACCGCATGTTCGACGTCGGTGGCCAGCGATCCGAGCGAAAGAAGTGGATACACTGCTTCGAGAATGTTACGACAATTCTCTTCCTCGTCGCCATCTCAGAGTACGATCAACTGCTCTTCGAAGATGAAACCGTCAACCGCATGCAAGAAGCGCTCACACTATTCGACTCCATCTGCAACTCGCGGTGGTTTGTCAAGACATCCATTATTCTTTTCCTGAATAAGATCGACAGGTTCAAGGAGAAGCTGCCTGTCAGCCCCATGAAGAACTACTTCCCAGACTACGAGGGTATGTGCATTCACGGCATCATATCAACATCAGCTAACAAACAACTACAGGTGGCCCAGACTACGCTGCGGCGTGCGACTACATCCTAAACCGATTCGTGTCGCTCAACCAGCACGAGACAAAGCAGATCTACACCCATTTCACCTGCGCCACAGACACCATGCAAATTCGATTCGTCATGGCTGCAGTAAACGGTATGTCATATCCTTAATTCATCACTTGATCTCAAGCTAACGTCGCCCAGATATCATCATCCAAGAAAACCTCCGGTTGTGCGGTCTGATATAATCCAACGAGTAACGGAAACCACAAAGATCTTCACACTTGATTTCGAGTCACGGGTTGCATGTCTTTGACGACGGGCATCACATCATGTCATTCACAGGCGTTATCGCCGTCCTTTATGCTGCACACCTTGTCCAGTACTCCAGCTTCTGTCGTTCCCGAATGGCTTGCCCAGGCCCAAATCGCTCTTCCTTTGATACCCTGCGGGCGGGCTAGGGTGCCACCACACCAGCGAAGTGGTTCTTATTTTCATCTTGCTGTGTTTTTGCTTTTCTCTACTATATTGGAAAGGAGAGAGAGAGAGGAAGTTATTTTGGGTGTTTTTGAAGCTTTTTGTGCCCGCTCTCTGCTAAAAAAACGAAAGCGTCTGCAGGTGTCGTCTCCCCCCTCTTCCTCAAACTCTGTACTGGACTGGGGGTTGTAAAGCTTTTTCTTAATACTGGTTCTCGTACCTATCTATCTATCTGCCGACCCACCTACCTACCTTACCTACACTCCTCTTGTGCGCACGCCTGGCGTGGTTATATATCTCCTTAGTATTCCCTTTTCCTTTTTTGGTCGTAGAGTCGGTCAGTCAGTCGTTCAAAGTGCTACACTGCGCTGTGTGTGTGTGTGTGTTATATGTAGTGAAATGAAATCTTGTCACTGTAATTTATATTGAATGAATTGAAATACACTCCTTAGGTACTATTTACTTTTTATGATGATACCTCTTAATTATGACTGCTAACTATGATGTGACTGCGCGTGGATATGGGTCGTGTATGTATGTGTATGTGTGTGTGGCGTTGCACCTTGATCGTCACTCATCACTTACTTAGTGTCCGTTATTTACTAACTATCACTTTCCCGGACAACTACTCGTCTATTGCTGATTGGATCGGAATGGAATGGACTTGATCAGTTTGATGGTTGTCAGCTAATAAGATGTGATGTGATGTGATGTGATTAACAAGGCGTCCCCTCCCCTCCACCACTCATCATCGTCTACACACATCCTACCATCCAACCCTCCAACCCTCGCTACTCTGCTCCCCAGTCAGCATGTCTATATTCCACCTCAAACCTTCGTGCTATCCAAATAATCGCTAGTTTGTAAGTGTATTGCTGGACTGGATTGTTGTGTGTGGGTTACATGCAGTGAGATGGGCACTACTTATACTCATACTCATACTTACTTACGCTGCGAGGTGTTTGTGTTTATGTTTATGTGGATGGAAGTTTGATAGTGGAAACGGAGTGTGGCTTTGGGTTCGTGGAGCTGCTTCTTTTATCTAACTACCTTTTTTTCATGTTGGGTTTGGGTTTGTTGGGTTGGGTTGGGTGTGTTTTACTCTACTTCCGCTATTACGACTATTCAGTTCATCGTGATATATGTTTGTTAAAACGTAAAATATACTTGTATGGCTACTATGTTACGTAACTGCTGCATCGTCTTTGAGATAACTTACTTTCCTTCCATCAACCCCACAATCAACCCAAACGAAACCAATCACCCCAAATCACCCCAAATCAGCCATCCCACCTCGCCTCCCTTTATTCTTTCCCAATCCACATCAGCATCAGCATCAGCAGAGAAACCCTCTTACCCCCAGCAACCACGCTGAGACTTCGCCGCTGTCCACACCACAATAGCCGGAATACATTCACGTCGTCTTCGTAGGAGTAACATCCTCCCATATCCGTCTCCCCCCTGATCCAGTGTATACATTTGCATATACGGATGGAATTTCATCATCGTCTCATATCTGGAGCTGGAGCTTAGGCCTACGTGTGCGATAGTCTGGGGCTCGTGAAATAGTCTGGGGCGTGCGAGTATCGGGGAAGGGAGGTAGAGGTGGAGATTGGAGTAAAGATACGAACGAGATTGAACTAAATGACGAACCGACTTTCTTCTACTCGATTGTTTCAAATCTCCAACAAACCTCGCTATCGCTATCAGTACTAGGGGATATATCGTTTGCCATACGTGGAAGTACGTGATGTAGGGGGTAGTATCTAATAACGGGGTTGCACTACGTTATGTGTGTATTATACAACAAATGCAAGTTTAACGCGTTGAGTTGTGTTACATCGCCACACCCCAGCGTGATTTGCCACGCGTACTATTTATGTATAATTTGTATTTTGTTCCTAGGCGTAGCGTAGCACATCTCACCCATCTATCCATCCACCGTGTAACAACAAGTAAAAAGACCGCATCACCATCTCGCGTTGTAATCTGCATACGCTTCACATGCTAGCGATTGATAGAGAGTATGTGGATCATCGTTTCGAAGTAAATAGTTAGACAGACAAATCTAGACACATCCACAAAAACGACGTAAAACATCGAAAAGACTGTAATGTAAGAAAGTCGTCTGGAGAAAAAAACAAGATAGGTAGTTATGCAGCAATTCAATAAAAAACCAACGCAGCCATGTCATTTCATCTCATCAGCGGTCCAGAAACCCAGCCTATCAATCACCAAACACCATACACCATACACCATACCATATCTCCCAAAACCACCCTCAAAACTCCCGACACATGCACAACCACCCCCTCTCAACCTCCCGCAAACAAAGAAAAAACCCCTACACATCACACTACACCTCCCCCCCCAAAACCCCCGCCAACCCCCTCAACACATCCCCCACCCCAATCCCCTGCGCGCCCACCCTCTCCCGCGCCCCCCTCTCCCTCTCCTCCAACCTCCTCGTCGCAGTCCCCAGCACACGATCCGCGACGCGCTCAGCCGTGAGGCGGTACTGGTCGATAGCATGGACGCCGTGAGCGAAGAGGTCGATTGCGGGTTCGAGGGAGGCTGTGAGGGAGGCGAGGTGGGCTGAGAGGGCGGAGGGGTGGGAGTAAGTGAATGTTGTTGAGGGGGGAGGGGGGTGGGACTGTGATTGTGGATGTGGTTGGGGGGATAGGGCGGCGAGGATGGATTGCTGGGAGGGGTCGAGGAGGGAGGGGGATATTGTTTGGGTTGTTGTGGGGTGTGAGGGTTGGGAGTGGTCTTGTGGGGAGGCGAGGGTTTGCCAGGCTGTGTGTTCTTGTTCGAGGCTGGTGGGTTTTGTTAGTAAGGCGGTGCTTGTTAGGACGAGATGAGGACATACCGTTTGATTTCTTCTTCTAGCTCCTGCAGTGTCGCCATGTTCTTCTCGTTTTGCGGGTTCGGCTTCGTAACGGCCGGTGGGGGCGCAACATCTTCCTACACGGTATTAGCATCTTTCTCCTAATATCGAGAAGCGCACAACGTACCCTGCTAAACCAATCCGACAGCTCTGTTTTGCTTGCAAAGTCGTCGATGAGCTCTTGCTGGATTGCTCGCGCTACAACACACATCAGCTATTACCCCCCGTTCCAGACACGACAGAACTCACCAGCCATAATAGCATTCGCGTTCTTGACATCTCCCGACGGTTTCTCCGGCAATGCGCGTGTCCCGCACCACGTGAGAAGCTGCTTCATCCGCCGGGGCTCAGGCAGGCTCTGCTCAATGTATTTGTAAAAGTCGCGGACCTCGATCTCCGAGTGTGGCAGAGCTGCAAAATAGTCAGCAAGCGAGGTCGATGCGAAGAGTAGCCGTGCAGACTCACCATTCGACGTGCCGCTATCAATCAGCGAACTCGCTCTCCTGCCCCGCAAACCCGTGCTACTCCGTCGATGTCCATCTTTGCCGCCCTTGCGCATCTCCTTGTTCCTCGTAATCACAGGCGTGTCGGCAAAAGGCAGCATGATCCTCTGCGCGTTGGGGTCGCGTTTCGTCGCAACTTGCGTTCCATGCTGGGGCGTCTGCACGCCCGAAAACGCGCTCTTCTCCTCTGGCGCTGGAGTAATCTGCTTCTTCTCTCTCGCTTTCTCCACGGGTGCGCTTTTCTTGGTGCGCTTTGGCGCGAGGGGCTGTGTGACTTTCGGGCGGACTTCCAGCTGTTCTCTGTCGCCGGAAATACGGGCTGAGCGGCGGCGCTTCTGCGAGTCAGCGGAGTCTGGCTCCACAACAGCCAGCGTGTCCTTCTTTCGGCGCGCGGAGGGCTTGGCGGGCAGTGGAAGTGCAGCCGGGGCGCGTGGTTCCTCAGGTATAGGTTCCGGGGCTGTGAGCGATATCTGCGTCTTGGTTGTGCGCTTGGATGTGCGGCGCGAGAACTGAAAGCCGTCGTCATTCTCGTCATACGCAGCCGTCTTCGCCGCCTTCTTTGCCACGGCCGAGGCCTTCGCGGCAGCACCCCTCTTAGCCGTCCCGGGCCCTTCCACCTTTGCCCGCTTCGACACGACTACATCCTCCTCGTCAAAAGCCTGCCTCACGCTTCTCCGTCGCGTCGTCGGCCTGTTGGCGGCCATGGGAAGCGATTCGAGCGGGGAGCGCGCGAAGATGGTGGTCATGGATTCGGTTTCGGTGATGCGAGGTGTTCGATTTTGCGTGGATCTGGTCAGCGCGCGTGCATGGGGCGCGCCGCGAGCGATAGCGAGCAGGCGAGCAGGCGTGTGAGCGAGCAGGTGGCCAAGTATGTGAGCGAGCAAGTAGGCAGGCGTGTGCAAGAGAGCAAGCGTGTATGAGTGATATCGAGCCGGTGAGTCGCGCACGCCAAACACGTCCAGTCCAGTCCAATTCAGTCCAGCACAGGTGGTCAAAGCGCCTCGTAAAAGTATATATCCCAGGATTCCGTGAATGTGTGCGTAAAGATTGGGGGGCGGTGATGCGAATATCTCGAGGTGCGCGCGTTTGTACGGGGGGGGGGATGGAGCGCAGGAGCAGGGAAGCGGTGGGTGCTGATGGCGTTTCAATGCCTGGCGTGCGTGTGCGTGTGCGAGGGGAAAGTGTAAACAAAGCCAAGCCAAGCCTAGGCAAGCGCCCCCGTACATACATGCATGGGTGGGTTCCACGTGACTTCGAGAGACAGAGAGGGGATCCACTTCCAACTTCTGCACGAGTAACACACGTTGCACGACAGATAGAGAATCTCCATCTAGTTGGGTGAAAAATAGACGGGATTTAAATTTAAATGGTCAGCAAGTCGCATTTGTTAACATAGCAAAACACTACCCAAAGTAATCGCGAAAAGTCATCCAAACAAAACTAGGTGGTAGAACAGCAAATTCATACAAATCCAACCTCCAAGCCACGATGAAAAAAAGTTAAACGATATGTATATATGTACGATATGCTATCTATTACTTTCTTTCTCTCTATCCCATCTCACACCCGCACGCCCTACATGCCCGCCCCAGGCACCGGCCCCATAACACCCTCAGGCGCCAAACTACCCTCAATACGCCGCTTAGCATCCTGTTTCTCCTCCATCGTGGGATCAGATTTACGCATATCAGGCGCGTGCGGGGCGCGATTAGGACTATGGCCAATGGACATGCCGACTCGGACCTGAAAGACCCATATTAGCAGTGAAAAAAACACGGTTTTAGTAGAGGGGGGGAAGACATACCAGAGTCTCCAACGCGGAGCGCGAGTTATCAACTAAATCGTCGTCGTACTTCATCACGCCGGGTTCGAATAGGAGCAGCAAAGTGCTGCCGCCGAATTTGAAGTAGCCCAACTCTTCTGCGCGGCCCACACGGTCGCCCTTGTTGCGCGTGATGACTGTGCTTCCGACCATCATCGCGCCGATGCAGATCACCATGACGCGACCGTGGGCTACAGAGTCGATGGGACAGACGACGCGGATGTTTTCGCCGTAGACGTCGAGGGCCGAGCGGATGGCCATTGGGTTGACTGTGTAGTACTCGCCGTCGATCGTCTTGGGCTCGTCAAGTATACCGTCGACTGGGATGTGGAAGCGGTGGTAGTCCTGGGGTGCGAGTCGGAAGATGCCCAGCGAACCGCCATGGTAGCGCTGTGCGTCCTGGGGGTATGCGTCGCCTAGCAAGCGTTCGACGGTAAACTCGCGGCCCTTGACCCAGATGGCTTGGGCGGCGTCTAGTGTGTTGAAGACAACAGATCGACAGTCGGCGGGGGAGACGATGACTCTGGGGTCCTCGGGCGCGGAACATGGGCGCGCATCTGGCTTCAGGGCTCTGTAGAAGAATTCGTTGAAGTTTTTGAATTGCTCAGTCGATAGCAGCACTTCGGTCATGTCGAGTTGGTGGAAAGCGACGAAGCCTGCAATCTCCGCAGCCGAAGCAGGATCGTCGTACTTCTTCCCCTGCTTGAAGCTGAGAGACTTCAACAGCTTGCGAACTGTGAAGTATTAGTATATGCTGAGAAAGAATTGGGCTTCAATACTCACTCCGCTTCTTCTCCATATTGTTACTCTTAAGACCCTTGTACAGCAGCCTAATACCCAGTCGAACATACACGCTCATACGCTCCTCGTTAATCTGACCAGTGATGCGGTCCTGCACGAGAATATTGGCAGAGTTGGCACCCAACTTATACCCACCGTACGAGATCTTAGTGATGACCTTGGAGTACCACTTCCGCTGAGCCTGACTCGAGGTAACGAACCCAGCCATAACGATGTTGTTGACCTGCCTCCAGTCCTGGCTGGCGCAAGTCGCAATGTGGGTGATGATGTTGGCGTCCGATCTCTTGTTCAGCTTGGGCTGGTGACAGATGGGGCACTCGCGAATCTCAATGACATGCTCTTCGCCTTTGTCATCGGCAAGATCATCGCCTTGGAGGGCTTCGCCTTCCTCGCCCCCTCGGCCCAATGTGTTGGTCTCCAACGCCGGGATCGAACTGGTAGATGCGTTTTTGTTGATCGACATGAGGGACCCGGTCTCCGACGAAGGAGTGCTGATGCCTCTCGCTGTTTGATGCCCCTCGGTAATCTGCAGTTGGTCCTCAAGACATATGACTGTTTCGTCAAAAGTGAGCAGCTCGTCGCCATTGTGGTCGGCAGCAAATCGCTCGAAAAAGCTGTCGATGGTCGCTTCATGGAGGGTGGAACCCAGCGTATCCAGCATAGTGGTCAGCTCCACCTTGTCAATCAACCCACTGTCGTCGGCATCGTACTGCTTGAGCATGGCTCTCCAGAACTGTTGTCGCAGAGCCCTGTATGGAAGGTATTTGGCCCGAATGTAGAGCGTCGGGTTGTGTTTGTCCTCCCACCTGTCCTTGTTCTTCATCTCCAACGGGAGAGTGTACATTTTCAAATCCTCGTCGTCGACTGCTGATGGGTTGATGTTGACGGCCGGGGTGAGATTGCCTTGCGGGTCCGTCATGGGCTGGGGAGCGCTCGTCGGCGGAAGAGACAGAGATGTAGTAGATTCTCTGGCAGACAGCGAGCCCGACGAGGTCTCTTTTTTCAACGACGGCCGACCTAGTCGCGACAGACTGTGGGAGGACGACGAACGGGATATGGGAAGACGAAAGCGAGATTTCTTAGTATCCTGCTCATTAATGCCCGGCGAGTCGGAAGGCTCGGGGAGTCTGTAGATGCCCGTGTCTGGGTCTGCCTGTGGCGCGACAGACACAGCCTTTTCGAGGGGGAAATTGACTGTGCCGACATAGTCGTTTCCGGAGAACTTGTCCTTGTCGATGACGGTGAAGCTGACGGAGTAGTTGACTTCGTGGCGCATGACCTGGAAGACGAGCTTCTCTTCGAAGACGGGGTTGAGGTTGTGGTTGACGGTCTTGGTGCGGTACGTCTTCTTGCCGAGAGAGGTGACGACGAAGGGATCCATGTCGAACGAGGTCCTCGTCACTGCGTAGGGGGTGAGCGTGTGTGGCAGGGAGGCGCTGGAGGAACTCACTGTTGCGCTCGGGCGGCAGATCCGTGACCTTCTGGATCTCGAGGAACAGGACGCCGGCCACGTCGCCCTTGTCCGAGTACTCGTAGGCGCTCAGCTGCTTGGCCTTTTTCTTCATCTTGGCCAGGCGCAGCTTCTTGCGGCGGCGCTCCCGCTTCTCCGCGCGCTTCGATTCGTCCTGGGCCTCGTCGGAGCTGTCCTCCTCGTCGAGGTCGGTGAGGTTGCTGTCGCCGCGCATCAGGTAGCCCTCCTCGTCCTCGTCGGGGCTGGACGTCTGGCCGGCGATGGCGAGGAACTTGGACACGACCTGCTCGGGCGTGGCCGACGGGCTGCTCGTGTCGACGAGCGAGAACTGGATCTGGATCTCGCCCGTGACGACCGACTTCTTCTTGCCCGAGCGCTTCGACTCGAGCGGGAACCAGCGCGGCTCCAGCGAGGGGTGGGCCGTCTGGAAGAGGTCCTCGAGGATGACGTCGAACTCGCCCATGTAGTCCTTGCCGAAGCGGTCCTTGTCCCAGCAGACGACCTCGAGCAGCAGGCTCTGCTCGCCCACGACGGGCAGCTCGAGCACCGTGTTCCATTCCGGGTTCAGCGACTTGTTGATGGTGGGCGTGGCCTGCTTGGCGTCGCCGCACGAGAGGACGAGGTACTGCGGCGCGGCGTGTCAGTGCCCGTCTGGCGCTTACATATTGCCGTCCAAAGACACGCTCGATGTACGGGGGGTGTAGACAAGAACTCACCGGGTCAGAGGTGCCGCTGCGGTCCTTTGCCGCGAGGTCGCGGCCCTGCAGCGCGTGTTAGCTGGAGCCGTGGGCGGCGGCGGGGTGGACGGCGCGGGCGCACCTGGATGACATTGGCCCTCAGGACCAGGCCTTTTGCTTGCTCTGCCATTGCGCGCCGGAGGCTGCCGTGGCTGCTTCTGCTGTGGAGCGGTGCGGTGGTGCGCGGCTGCGAGGCGGCGCCGGTCGTGGTGGGGGAGTGGTGGTGGTGCTTGAGGCGGGTGGGGAGCGCGAGCTTGGAGCTGAAGGTCGGTCGCTTGCGGAGATCCATACTGGCCACTGGCACTGCCCGGGGGGCCAAGAGTGCTTGTTGTCCAAACGCCGGGAGCTGCGGCAATAGCGTGGCCTCACTGCATGCACCCGTTGGAAGAATGCCGCCAGACAGAGACGCTGCGCGGGTGCCGGGGTCTGGGTACGCTCGTGTCTATAAAGAGAGCCGGCGGCGCATTCAGGAGGCAGGAGTCAGCCTCGGCGGGAGATTCAGCACAGCACAAAGCTTCCACCACCGGCTGCCATCACCACGCCCCATCCTCATCCACTGTTCTCAACGTCGAAAATCCCGCACTCCCAGCCGCCCGCCCGTCCGCCGGTACACAGCAGCCAGCTCCAACAATCAGGGTCCAACCCTCAACCCCGCGCCTGTCTTACTGCTTCGAGACCCCGTCAACTGCCATGCTCGAGCCTAGAGCCACGCGTGAACCGACTATCCAGCTCGTCTAGCCCTTTGCATCGCCCTTTGCTGCACTCAACCACCACCTTCCATCTTCAGAGCTGGACAACTAACACCAAGACACCAAGGCGTCCAGCCTGAGCCGTACCTATCCTCGCCAATCGACGCTGATGGTAAGCACTGAAGCTGAGACGCGACTCGCATAGCATACAGCCACCGCCATGAAACACCACCTTCAGCTATGACGACACACCAGACACAAACTGTGAACCTAATCTTGAAATCGACGCATTCACTCACTCTTTTCTCATCTTGGAAGTAACCACTAACACAACTCACATTACAACACCGTTGACGTCATACCATCCCACCGCCATGTAAATGTTGAAGTGGGTATGATCCAATCAACGCGCTGCAGGAGTGGTCGATCACTTTCGCATGTTTAACAGCCTCAATTCTTCACGCACCACACCCCCAGCCGGCCCACTTCGTCCTCCAACTTGACTGCAAACCCCATCGTCACCCGCAGCAGGAGAAGCCTCTGCTCCAGATACCGCAACACATCAACACTAGTCGCGACGAGTTGCTCCGGCGTGCGACCGAGGAGCTGTGTCCACGCCTGATCAGACAAGATGAGTTTTCCGCTGGCAATCTGGCCAGTTTCGTCAATGACAGGGCCGAGCTAGATGGCGTGGTTGGTACTTTGATATGGAAAGGTAATTAAAAGAGGGGCTTACAATTCGCGGATTGACGCGCAGGTCAATCTCCTTGTCGCACTGCTTGCACTGCACCTTCAGTGTATTGGCAAACACCGGAATCCCACAGCACTCGTTGGACAGGAGCATGTTCCGCTTGAACGGCACCACAATGTTGAGCTCGGTGATGATGACGGATATATATCCTACCAGTCTTTCCCGTGGATTTGCCCGTGCGAAGTCGTCCACCTCCGCCAGTCTGAACAGAGCGCGGACCGGCGCGGTCTCGTAGTCACTAACATCGACGTCTGGAAATGGGGGGTTGACGTGTTCTTTCTTTGTGAGACGCTGCGCGAGGGCACGTAGACGGCGCGCATCGCCGAGCTCGGGGTCGATGTCTACACGTGAGTTGCCGTTCAGGGTCAACTTGGCGGTTTTGTCGATGCGCCATCCCGGGTTGGAGATGAGGAGGACGGTCTTGGAGGGTTGGAAGGTGGAGGCTGAGTCGCAGAGGGGGGCGTAGAGTGTCAATTGGGCGTCAGCCGTGTCGTCGAAGATGCCGAGCGAGATCAGTTCACTGGTAGTCGAGTTCCTATTGATATCTGCATTATCACGTTAGTGCATGAAGAAGTGAGAATTAGCAAGCAACACGCACACCTCTTTTTCGCCCCAATGCTCTTAACACAAACCATCAGCTTCGGATCATCGACATCATACCCCCCATCAGCAAAGCTCCTAAGTGTCATCAACCCCGGCAACGTCTTCGAATCCCCACAACCAAACGGCCGTCTAAACTGCGTCCCATCATCACTATTCTCATGCGTCATGAACCAGCAATGCCTCTCCCCCTCCGGGAAAATCGACGTAAACAACGGCGCAGTATTAGGCGCCAACGAATTGTGCTCCGCGCTATTCGACACATGCACCGTCCACAGCGAGACGAGCTGGCCCAACCTTACCTTATACACTGTATTCGCGTACCACAGCCGCACGGTGAGCACGCCCGTGTCGTCCGCGAGCATGATCTTGATGTAGCCTTGGGCTGCTTTGTGGCGCTTGCTGGGCTTCGCCATCTCGTAGAAGTTTACTACGCGGCCTGTGAGGGTGCGGTTGCCGGGGCCGGGCTGCAGGTCGCCGAGGCTGATTTCTTCGTAGTCGAGTGTGGGCTGGGGGGTGTCAGTTTTGGTATGCGTGATTGTTCTTGTTGAGCGTCTTACGATCCATGTGGTTGATTGCGAGGGTCCGGATGGTTGCAGCGCTGACTGCACTTCTTCTGCTGTGAAGCCGTCGCTATTCTTGGTCGGCGAGGACGAGAAGAACGACTGGATTGAGGACGCTGGCATGGTTTGTGCGTGTGTTGGTGAGGTGAGTTGGAGTGGAGGTGAGGTTTGGGTCGAGGTGGAAGGAGCGTGCCTGCTTCTTGAGGAAGGCACGCCAATCCTGGCAAGAACATTATCATAACATCTTGACAAAGCTTTGCTCTTTGACCGAAATGATTGTGTTGCAGGTAGATGTATCATTTTCAAGTTGCGTTCGCCAGCACTTTGTGTACCTAAACTTCTCCCATCAGCATGCTGACAGTGAGAGACAGACAAGAAGAACGCAAGAGAATGATCTCAATTCACAAGATGATAATAAACCAGTTCCAATGTCAATCTTTCATTTTGCATTCCAGTAATGAGTGTATGTAGTTGGTCAAATCAAGTTCGCAAACCTAGTGTGTCCTGCCCTATGCATCTCCTCCAAGATGTTGACTTTGAGTTGAATCAAAGTAATGATCGCCCAGACCAGATTGTAAAAGATCTAGAAGAGCTTGTGCTCCAAGGTCATGTCGTTCTCCGGCTCAAGGCCGACGCAAGCTCTGAAGATGTTGGTGAGAGCAGCACGCTGTTTGGCGAGAGCGTTGACAACAGGAGTTCCACGCGGGGTAAGAGGAGCCTGATACATGTCAGTTACATCACGTCAATCCTTATAGATGGTAGGACATACCTTGAGCATGTAGCTGAGGACGCTCAGCACGCTGTGGAAGCCAGAGTATTTGGAGTCGGTAGTCTCAGCATTGTGCGCCTTCCACTGAACACGAGTCATCATCTCAGTGACAAGGACAAGGTCAATGATCAGCGGCGCGGCTAGAAGAGAGTCCTCGCAGACGTTGAACAAGCTGATCGTCTGATGGCCGTCCAGGAAGATCTCCGCGTAATACTCATCAAGAGCGCGCTTGTCGTCTCCGACAGCGGGCATGTACTTGATCACGACGCAGTGGTCGGGGTGCTCGCCGTCCTTGTACAGAACATTGTTGGCGGCAACCATGTCGTCGACCACGTTGGACTTGGAAATCTCCTTGGAACGGAACTGTTTCTGAGAACTGAGGTTCATGCCGTCGTTGTTGCCGAGATGGTTGTAGCTGGCAATTGAGGTGAGCTTGATACCGGCGTTGATCATGAAATCGACCAGAGCTGACTTCATCTTGGTCTGACCAGATTTGAAGTCATCGCCACCGATGAAAGCATTGTGCTTCTCAGCAAGTTCGATAGCACCAGGAACAAACGTGTTTTGGGGAGAGCCGTTGATGAACGGAACACCTTCGAGGATGGATGCAACAGCGAAGACGGTGGAGGGAGCAACCTCTTCGTGACCGTTCTCGATAGCCTTGAGAAGGTTGTCGGCGGTGTCGTTGATGCCCTCAAGAAGATCGGCGTAGCGCTCCGTGTTGGCGGTCCATTGTACAATAACCTTGTCGAGCCCGTTGTCGGCCTTGAAGTCGCTGATAAAAAAGTAAGTAACCAATGCAACTAACAGTTGAGGATCGTCACTCACCGAATGTCCTTACGGATCTGCTCGACATGCGCCATGGAGGCTTTAGTCCCTGGGAGAACGTTGTCGGCACGTTCCTCTTGATTAGCGGCAATGAAGTCGGGGTAGTAGATGCTGGGCAGAGGCTTCATCGTGCTCATCTCCTTACGGACTAGAGACTTCAAGGACGGCGAGAGGACTTTGGCGCGATCCATGGCATCAGCAAGGTTCATGCCACTGATGTCCCAACCACCAACGACGAGGTCGTTAGGGTGAACCATAGGCAAAAGGTCATGGAAGGGGACGTGAATCTCCTTGCCGGTCTTGCTGTCTACGCCGAGCTTGGTGGTCGAGCTCATGATGACAGAGCCATAGTAGTTGGCACCGCGCTTTCCTTCTTTGGTCTCCCAAACGAGATTGCGTTTGTTGGCGATGATACCTGCGGTCACGGTGGTTCCGTTGTTGCCTCCCAGACCGACAAGCATAACCCCAACCTTGGGGACTTTGCGGGTGACCTTGAAGTCATAGAGCGTTTCCTTAGGAATGGCTACATACTTACCGTCGGCGTTCTGGGTAACGTCCGTGGTCCGGTAAGTGTACTTGCTTTTGATGGTGTCTTCGGTGTACTCGACATTGGGAGAGTTGACGACAAAGAGATCCTTGGCGGGAGCCGTCTGAATTCCAAACCCATTCGCGTGGCCGACATTGTCTTCTGCGTGAGGTGCCATGATGATTGCTTAAGAAGTTCTTGTTGGCTTGATAGCAGAAAGAACTTAGTTGCGGAAGTCTAAATCCGACGCTGCTCCAGAAGGAGAAGTACGTCGGCCGGCGAATGGGTTGTGGACGCTGGGAAGCATTAGTGAAGGCACGCGGATAGTACAGAGAAGAGCGCGCTCCTATGAGTGGCTTGAGTGGGTACGTACGAGCTGAGGAGATTGGAAAACGTCTTGACTACTGGGCAATGGCCCGGGTGAGTATGTTGTGGTAGATGAGAGGAGGGTGTTGTAAGTGTTGCTGTAGAGGGCGGCTTTTACTTGAGACTGTGTGTGGTGAAGTTTAGAGAGGGTGAGAGACGGTGATATATACCCCTCAAATCGAAACTAGCGTGCACATATTCACCTCGCTCTTACCTGCAGTCTGCTGCCGAACAACGTGTACTCGAGTATCCCGTGAGGGAAAGCCGACCAATGGGAAGGGTTGGCCGCCTAAGCAGAGAGCCTTGCGATTGGCAACATATCACGGTACTCCCACCGCTTCTTTCTCGACAACTCCACTTTTTGAGTTAAATATGCAGCTGTAGGCCGCTGCAAGCTGATCAGGCCAATGGTTCGAGGAAACGTGCCTCCGGTGGTCCGCCGCGTCTGCGCCTACTACTCATCCATCATAACCTGCAGCACACTGAACCACAGTTGAGATTGTGAAGATGTAGAGACGGACGAGAACACGCCAGGTAATGGAAACTGCCAGAAACGACATGAGGGAGGGTTGCAGTTCCCCGGTTGTCCCTGCATGGTCCGAGGCTACCCAGATGCAGGCACGCTTACGCTAGAGAGGAGGAGCTACATGGTTAACGGCATGTCGCGTCTACATTCTGCAATGCACTTTATATTGACTGTTCACATCGAACATGCGGTCAAGGACGGTCGACAACTGGCGTCAGTCGGCCGCGGAGATTCTCCAAGTTACTGTTATTTGGAAGCACTGGTTGTTGTCATCACGCCAGTGTGGTAATACTCTCTAGAGACGTCTCCAATATCGAAATGGTGGACATGAGGCACATGAGAACTTCGAACAGGAATGGTGAAGGGAGGAGGGCTCATTGCCCTTGCAAAAGACACCGACCGGCACATTCCACAGCGTGCTCGCGTCTGTACCGTGGTCTGTTAGTTTTCGACTTTGTCGATCTTGAGATTGGGTCTCGTAGTCTCATACCGAGCAGCCAGTCATGGACAGCCAATCTCATGGCTACGCTCTGTTAGGATGTGCGCAACTTCGAAAACACAGGATTCCGCATCAAGACACGGCTGGAATTCTATCGCATACACACCACGATGTTCTGAACAAAGAATATTGCGAAGACGCTTGCTGTCTTGCCAAGACGATGCGCGCCTTGGAAACAGCAGGGTCTGGCATGACGCGAAACCCCAGACCTCTGTCACAGTAGCCGTTACGCTGTGCATTCAGAGGGTAATGATCGTCGACAGGAACCTGTTCTCAGGCGATCACGACTGCGTACCACGCATGGTATTCCTGGAGTAACTATCTGGCCTAACGACATTGACGTTAACAGCACGGTCGTTGCCATTGATTAATGGTTCTCACGCATGGTCGGTCTGCGAACAAAGCCTCCAGCTGCAATCGAGTCTGCATGACCTACCTAGCGCGCGCCGCCCCAAGGTTCAATTTCCCTGACTCTGAACACCCAGATTGCCTCATCGCCTCATCCAACCTGATCACTCGCATTTTTTCTGTTCTGGTGGTGGCCATATCGTCATCAGCGCTTGCGACATCCACGAGACAGTTCGGCGGACGATTGTTTCATGGAAGCTTGACAGGTTGCATGTTGCAACCGGCTGCACCGACTGGAACATTCAACCTGCGCACCCGCCGCCCCATTCAATAGTCTACCCAATCACAACTCTCGCCCTGTCACCTGCGGGCGCCACGATCTAGGGGTGCGGGTTACGTGCATGCAAAAACAATGAATCTCGCGTGCCCTTGGTTGCTTCTGGCACCGTCGTCTTTGATTGCACTCGGCTCCAGTCTCCATCAGGAGCTCTGTTTGGTCGACCTTCGTCATCTTGTCTTCTTTCTACGACACCCATAGTATCGCACGCGGGTCAAACAATATCTCAAAACGGAACATGTCGGAAATAGAGTCCGAGCATCGCTAGCTAGTATCCCGTTGCGGTACCTAGGGCCTCAGATCAGGGCCCTTTTGGCACCATTCCCGCATCAACCCCTTGGTCGAACAAGCCCCACCGTCTTCTAGTCCATTGGACGTGCAAGGATTGCCCTCGGCGAACGCGCCTGTCCTCGAGACCAAATCTACTCCAACTTAGCTTCCCACTCCACGACACCAGCTCCGGAACTTCACCTTACGATACACTGGACCTGACGAACCTCCTCCTCCTCTTTGCCTGAGTGCAAGCTTGCTGGCCTGGAAGCCACAGTCAACCTTGTCAAAATGAGCCTTTTACCAACCATAAAGTGCTCCTCATGTGGAGTTGATATCGACATATTGGAGCTGGCCGACCATGTCTGTGCTCCGGCAGCTCCCTCGAGTGAGTACAAACTACACGCTCAGTAACAGTACAGCCAACTAACTCTAGCTTTAGCAACTTCAACAATTATAGGGCCTTCACCGCCGCCAGCCCCCGACTCACTGACGTCGCCGAAGCTCGATCGTGCTGCAACTTTTGGAGGCGCGTCTTTCAGCAACAGGCCAGTGGAACGGTCACCATCGGGGCGTATGCCTCCGCCTTCTCGAATCGACTCTCGCGCAGCTAGTAAGATACACACAGGCAGCACTTCAGGGCTCTATACTAAATCTTGCAGACAAACCATTCCGTCCTTTGAGTCCGTCGCCGACGAGTAGCTACAGCGATCCGCGGAGCTTGTCGCCTGCACCACAGAGACCGCCGTTCTCGATGAACAGAAGCGCGACGAACCCGATGCCACAACCTACGGCACACCGGTCCCCCAACCTCCTCTCCAACTTGGACAGTGCCTTCCCTGTTTTCCCTGTCAATCGAAGCGCGACTCCCCCGACGCAGGATAGGTTGGACCCCATGTACAACCAGCGTTATGCCGCGCCTAGTCCCTTGTTTGCCCCGCTCAGTCCCCGAACGAACGGTGGAGAGAATGTAACGAGACGAATGGACAACATTTTACCTGGGCCATTTGATGGAAGAGACGAACGCAGACCCAACACCCCTGCATCTAGGTCGGCTACACCGTCGGGGCACAGAAGAACCGAGACGCAAAGTAGCATAGCGGATAAGGGGAGCATGCACAAGCAACGGACATCTCAGGGGTCGAATGCGTCGCGAGGCTCTGCATATTCAAATCGCAGCCTCAACCAAGCCAATGCTGCGCCTGCCACATCGCCTTCCTTCAAGGAAGAACAGACCGATGGCATCGACGAGTTTCTCGAAAGCTTACAGCAAGATACTCTGACGAGACCAGGACAATTGAACCTAGAAAACAGGTCGAGGACCTATCCGGCGCCACAAGAAAACAGACAACGAAGAGAGCCTCCGCCCCGGCCAAGAAGACCTTCCACCAAGGATCTTCCCCCGCAGAATATCGCCGATTTCATGCCTCGTGCAAACAACATGCTTCCTCCGGCTGCGCTCAGCCGTAGTGGCTCAGACTCCGCTGCCCGACAGAATTCTGCTCAGCCTCTAGCCCTCCAGTCGTCCACTGCCAGAAGCGATGCACCATTAAACCCACTGCAAACTCCTTCAGATTCCGGTCTTTCCGATGATTCTTATGCCAGTTCGGGCTTTAGAAGCGGGGCAAGCTCTCGATCAAGTGGTCCAGGATCTGAAGGAAGTCATTCTCGAGAAGTCTCAAAGATCAGCCGACCCGATGAAATTGTGGAGCAGAGGGTTGGACGAACTGCCAGTCCTGTGTCTCGTGCAGAGACGCGCCCGGCTCCTCCACAGGCGCAGGATCGTCCAGAGCCTAGGAGCTATGTGATTCCTCGGTCGTTGTCACCAGGATACCCGCCAGCAACGGCTCCGGATCATCTTAACTATCCAGAATCTCCTATGGACCCGGCCATCATGATGGGAGGCACGTTCAACAGGCAGCCCCGTAGACCATCTCCATCTCCATCACGAGATCCTGCTCTGAACCTTGGGCAGACCCCACCAAAGCGCGTGTCTGATCCAGAGCCACGGCAGCAAGAAACTCGTCGTGGGACGCCTCCGAGCAAGGGTAATTGCCGGGGATGTTCCGAACCTATTGTTGGGAAATCCGTGAAAGACTCTTCGGGTCGTCTCACTGGACGCTACCACAAGCAATGTTTCGCGTGCAGGGCCTGCGGCGATCCGTTTCCCACAGCAGAGTTTTATGTCTTCAACAACGCGCCTTACTGCGAACACCATTATCACGAGCTCAACGGGTCGCTCTGCCGAGCCTGCAACCGCGGCATCGAAGGCCAATACCTTGAGACAGACTCGCGACAAAAGTTTCATCCAAGGTGCTTCACATGCGCAACATGCCGAGTCGTTCTACGCGACGATTACTTCGAGGTCGGCGGCCGAAAGTATTGTGGACGCCATGCGCAACACGCGGCCGCCCCACCCCAGAACTATCTTGGCCCTGGAGGCTTCCGACCGCGGAACGTCCAGAAACGTCGGACGCGTCTTATGATGATGGCTTGAGCTACTGTCGTTGCTCACGTCTTGCTGTCATGTATTTGTGTTTCTTCTTATTATTCGACTTTCCTTTGTCACGCCAATTAGCGAACTGGATGCCTAGCACCTGCATGATCTTCGACCACCTTTTACATTGTGTACTACGTCCAGCTCAGAGTTCAATTCTACACACGGTTTCATCGTTCTGCTATACCCTTACCTTCGTTACCTTCTTGTAATTGCCTTCTTTGGATGGATTTGCGTTGTCATCTCTTTGCTATGATAGCATTTGGATATCTGGATATACCCCCTTGATCATTCTTAGATGGCAAATCTTTACCTTTGCAGCGGAAGCGCAATTTCCTTTGTATCGACGAGTTCCGACATGATGTCCTGAAGCCTATATAACTTACTTAATGTCTACTGTTCTATCTTGTATGATTACCAATTGAAGTCCATTTTCTACTTCACATTCGTTCGTTGACAACATCTGCTGTGATGCGTTGTTGCCGTGATGCTTGTTACCATTTTCTCCTGCAGAGTTGCGTTTAAATGTCTGCGTGGTGAAGCGCATGGTATTACCGATAAATACAGCCGTCACTCATCAGTAAACCCAGAGCCATCCACATCCTGCCGAATCAGTCACTTGACTCCATCACCAATGTTTGCCAATCATGGTAGCCCTGTCCATACCTCATCTCCATCACAATTATCCCACTCCAGGAACGTCTGCGCATTCAGATATCAAACGTACATATTCGCTGCACAACCTTTACAACCCCCTCTTCTGCTACAATCAAGATGTTTGTCCACTCCTACAAACATGCTCAATCTTCACGCCCGAACACCATATCCGGCATTGAAGTACGCAAGGAGTATATAACTCGTTCTCATTGCTACTCTTCTCTGTATCGATCATTACAGTATCTACTTTCGCAGCTACTACAACACCCTAACAAGCACCATTACCACCACTGCTACAAAATCACATCCCCTGCGAAAGAAGCAATACAACAAGACGACCTACACTCAAGACAAAATCAGCACAACAACCGCACGTCCCCACGAGATGTCAACAGCCATATCCGGTCCCCACACAGCAAGTCTCCATACAACATACCACGCTCAAACCATACTGACAAATCCAAGCCTCCCCTCCCCTCGCCCCCCTGCCCTTCTCAGCGCAGTCTGACGGGTAGCGAAACCCCAGTACGTACCCCCAGGACACGTTCGCGGTATACACTGTACTAACAATACATCGAGCCTCCTTCCCCACCCCCACCCTCACCGAGCCGTTACGCGCTCTCGGACATTCATCTTTGTTCGCCACCGTCCGAGACTCCTTCTCGCTCGCTTACCCCCGAGGTTCCTATTCCGGATCCGTACATAAACGGTATCCTGGGTGCGGCACGGGACCCTAAGCCGCCTGTGAGTTTATCGTGAATGCTTAGAAACGAAAGACTGACTGTGCATGTGAAGCGTCCTCCTCCTGCGCCGCCGTCTTCGCCGAGTCGGTACGGTCTTTCAGTGTACCAGGCTGGTCAGTATGTGATTGGAATCCCTGATGCGGCACGGGACCCTAAACCTGATGTGAGTCTGTCGTAGAAATGTGTTGTTGTGATGGGAAACGCGAGGCTGACTGTTGGTGTGAAGCGTCCTCCTCCTCCGCCTGCGCCTCCGTCTTCGCCTAGTCGGTATGGTGTTGCTTGTGCTTGAGAGGAGTGGTAAATGTGACTGGATGGGTGAGATAGAGGGCAGAGAAATGATTGAAGATGGCTGAGATGATAGGAAATGGGAGTGAGCAAGATGATGGTTTTGACAACTATGAGATACCCTGGTGGATTTGATAGCTCTAAACAAAAGGTGTCGAAAACTGTGGAGTCTACACTTTTCTACGTGATGAATGACTTGACTGGGTGTATTATTTGCAAGACCACCTCTTCGTGTGTGACTGAAAAGAATGAGAGATGAAGTTTGGTGGGGGTTCATGTTAGCTATGACGTTGGGCTCCAAAACGGCAGTCTTAGGCGAGTTGTGGACCTCCGAGCGGCATCTTTACTTTTGCGAAGGCACCAAGCGGCCACTTCTGCGCATTGCCAGCATACAATCATGTCTCAACATAGCAAGGATGACATATCCCGAATTGGCCGTCAGCAACGACGACCACCACCAACACCCTACCGCAGCATCTTTACTGTCCCCGAACCGATAAAACAGCTCTTCGATAGATTCCCGCTGTTAACATATCCTGCGAACGAGCTCCCACAACGCGCCCCCCAAAACCGCAATGCGCATATCCTACATGTCTTCACCACAGATAGAGAGGCACTGAAGGGCGCACCATCTTTCAATCCGGCGTGCTTGAAGTGGCAGGTGAGGGTTCTGCGGCAACACATCATGACGATACTAATCGCTTTGCAGGCCTACTTGAAATTCTCCCATGTCGACTTCCAAATCGCATCAGCGAACAACCATGCGTCACCGAGCGGCGCCCTCCCCTTTCTACTTCCCGCCTCCTCAGATCCATTGAAGCCCACACAAGCGGTGCCGTCAGGAAAGCTGCAGCGATGGGCCATGAACAACAGCTCCAGATCCATAGAAGAACCCTCCGATGTGCAATATGAAGCATACCTGTCCCTGCTGGACCACCGGATACGAAGAGCCTGGGTATGTCCAATTACCGTGACGATGAGCTATAATTGACAATACACAGCTCTACAGTGTCTACCTCTCCCACAACTCGACCTCCATCGCCGAACCCTTGTACATACTCCCCACCTCAACCAATCCCTTCGTCCGCCTCACAATCGCGCGAGACCTGCGCCTCGCTGCCGAGAACGAGCTCCTCAAGTTTTCCACCGTCGTGAACGCAGAAACACTACACAATCAGGCAGAAGAAGCATTTGCAGCGCTTGAGACGCTGCTTGGCGACAATAGGTGGTTTTTCGGCGCATCGGGGCCTGGGTTGTTTGACGCCAGCGTCTTTGCGTACACGCATTTGCTGCTCGACGCGAAACTCGGCAAGGGCTGGGTGGACACGCGTCTACGCGATGCGCTGATCTCGCGGAAGCATTTGGTCCGGCATCGGAATCGGGTACTTGCCAAGTACTTTTCGTCTTCTTAGCTTGGAGCTACTCGAAGTCGTCACCTTTAAGATACCCAGAAACATAACATTGCAAGAAACTTTCTGCCATGATATTACAACATGATTTTTTGAATTTGGTGTTGTGTATGGAGTGCAGGCTTTAGATGATCGTTGACACGTTCTTCTACACATGGCACTCCTCACTTGGTGTGGTGGTGGCGAACGCAGGCTACTCCACTTAGTTGCAGTCAGCCAATGATGCATCTGTGAGTCATGTAGGACACTGGACTACATATTTCCTAAACAGGAAATGTGGAACCAATGCAGGGCGTGGAGTACCAATACATAAATCCGCGTTAGGCTCCTACTTCAACTGTACTTCCACACCTCAAGTACCTTCTTCATTGCCCGCTTTCAGTCTCCAACCTTTTGAACCGTTTGGCCGTGTACAAGTTTCTGATACGTCACTGAATTTGAGCTCTTTTGGTCAACGATCTTCGATACATCTTTGTCTAGGAAAGCTCTCAACCTACACCATCTGAATTTGAGTCAAGAAAAAGACGACCGTTGAAATGACACAACCCACATCCGTTGACAAGACCTTCGACACCTCTCTGGTCGACCTGAACCCGTCATTTTCGACTACAGAATCCGATCCCTCAAACATCGGCACCGCAAACCCAAACATGAAGACCCCCATACTTCAACAGGCACCCCTCGCGCAGGAGCAAACCCAAGATGCCCCCAAGCAGTCACAGCCCAAGCAAGTCCAGCACATCCCAACCCAAGACGCATACGACCAATGGGCCTCCGTATACGACACAGACGGCAACATGCTCCAATCCATCGACGACGCCGAACTCACGACTCTACTCCCCGCCTTCCTCGCCCAAGTCCCAAGCACATCACCCACCGCAGCCCTCTCACTCCTCGATCTCGGCTGCGGAACAGGCCGCAACACAACACGCCTAATCGCCCACCCCTGGCCCGCAACCCACCGCATCGCAATCACAGGCCTCGACTTCTCCGCCGCCATGCTCGACATCGCGCGCCAGAAGCTCAATCCCCTGCTCGCTGATAATAGGAACACGACCCTCGACCTCAAGCATTGTGATCCTTTCGCCGACCTCCCCCCTATTAAGCCCGTCAACGCACTCATCTCCACCCTCGTCCTCGAACACGTCGCCCTGGAGCCTTTCTTCCAAACAGCGCACACCCTGCTCCTACCCGGCGGCCTCGCGCTCATCACGAATATGCACGCCGACATGGGCGCTGTGTCCCAGGCTGGATTCGTTAATGAGCAGGGCGTTAAGGTCAGGGGAACGAGTTTCGCGCATACGGTGCAGGAGACGGTTGATGAGGCAAGGAAGTGTGGGTTTGAGGTTTTGAGTGTGAGGGAGAGGGAGGTTGGGAGGGGGGATGTGGAGAGTGGGGTTGTGGGAAACAGGGGGAATAAGTGGATTGGTGTGAGGGTTTGGTTTGGGGTTGTGCTTCGGAGGGGAGCGTGAAGGGGGGTGGTTGGAGATGTGAGAGACGAGAATTCTCGGTGTCGTAAGGAGGTGGTTGATCAAAGCAAAGAGCGTGACTTGAGAAACATAAGACAATATAGTTGGAAGATTTTTTATGTCCGTTTCCCCTTGCACGAGGGCGATGCTACAGGATCCCCGTTGCTCCTGTATGTTCAAAGCGTAGACACAGTAGAAATGTACTTTTAAATTCTTGATAGACGTTATCGATTTCACGCCACGTACGTGATCCAATAGCACAATGCCAACCCGCGTACCTCCAATCTGACCATGTGTATTCCCATCGGATCGGACTGTACCCCACGTACCCTTGCCTCTACAAACACCAGGTTTTGCACAACTCTGCGAGAGGCTTGACTAGGGTTCATGTAAATCATGGGCTGTAGGCGTACTCCACGGCCCCGAACACGCACTGATAGTACCACAACGGTCAACTTGCTCGTGACAATCGTAGCCCGGTACCCGTCGCCTAGGCTAGGCTTTTCGAGCAACCCTACTGGACCCCAACGTGGCAGACACAGCCAGGGTCCCGCCAGAGAGCTACCTGCGAGTTACCGCCGCTGCGTCCCACAGAGATGTTGCCGTGGATTTGCAGCGGGAGCCAAGCGGCGCGAGGGTTGTGGCGCAGCTAGTAGGACAGCGGTAGAGGCGGCCTATGGGGAGGCGAATCGAGATATACGAGTAAACTCTGACCTCAATAGCGAGTCTCATCATGTTCATGATATGCGCTGGCGGCTAGGTATGTTCGCTTTTGTTCTTGAGTCCTCGTATTTGAACGCATGCAAAAGGGAAAGAGACATGGCCGTTTCCACCTTCTCCTCTTTCCCACCTGCAGTTGACTCATCGCGGGTATGGACAGACTGGTTGAGGATCCTATGAAGATCATGTCCGTAGTTTGTGTATTGCGAATGGCCTATCATGGCTCCTGCTCGTCCATCGCTTCCAGTCTCGTACGCACCATGCCTGGGTTAGACCGTCCATGTTCATCGGTCCAGCAACGCAGTACTTCTTCGCGCATGATCCTACGTGGCGCTCTCTTTCCTGTGAAGAGTTCGAACTGAGCAAAGCCCTGCTCGGGTAGAAGATCCAGACCATCCATGCATATCCACGATGACGATGCTTCTTCGCGAACTTGCCTCATCAAGGGGGTGTCCAGTGTTCGGTAGGCTAGTTCAATCACAACACCCCCGGTAGGAGACTGCATCCAGCGTGTGGGGAGTTTGAATTGAGGGGACGGAGCGTCACCTACAGGGTGTGTAGGTATGCATGACACAATAACAGTGGGTGCGTAAAGGTCGCTCGGCCAGGGGTCGTCTCGAGTTTTGAGAATTTGGAATGTTGGCTTAGATCCAAGGACGAAAGACGGGAAGAGTTTGACAGCCGAGGGACTTGAAGCCACCTGGGCAAAGTATGTGACGAGCTTTTTGGCGTTTTCGAGCGTTCGGTTGAATACGACAATGTTCTTTATGCCAAGCTGCAGCATAGCATATATAGCCGCTCTGGCCATACCTCCTGACCCAATAACAAGTCCAGACGTAGTCGTGGGCCGGATTGCATTGGCCGGAGAGAGACCCCGTCGGATACAAGACCGGATCCCTATCCAGTCAGTGTTATCTCCGTACAGTGCCTTGACTGGTCCAGATTGGTTGCGTTCTTGGAATAATTCGACATTGTCGGCATCAGGAATACTGCCATCATCGTTGAGATGGCGGACGGGTATCAGGGTATTGATTGCCCCAATTGCCCGGGCGTGCCGACTTATCGAGTGTGCGAGGGAGATGGCATCGATCTTGAAAGGTTGACTGATCGCAGCCCCACCGAAATTTGGCCTGCGCAAGAGTTCTCGTAGGCTACTATCGAAAGCTGTGAGTTGGAGACGGTCAAAATGATGTGGCATACCGCATATCTTATATGCTGCGTTGTGCATTACAGGAGATAAGCTGTATCCGACGCTGGCCCCGACAATGCAAAATTCCATCGGATCGTAGGTAAATGAAGCATATAAGATATGCGTAGCCTCCTGAGCAGTAAGCCAGGAAGTCTCGGGATTGTTTTGCGTCTTTGCTTCAAATTTGGCATCGTTTCTCAAAGTTTCTGGAATAACGGGAGTGAGGACCTTATTGAAGCATGCTGAGCGACGCCCCGCACGCCCAGTATTGTAACAAATCATTGGAATCTTCCTAAACTTTGCATCGATGGTGTTTCTGAAACTCTGGATTGCGGCGTTGTCGTCCATAAAATTCGCGGGGCGCGTAAAGCGTACCATGCTGCAGCCTAGACGCATTGCCGACTCGTACTTCTCGAGCCAGAACGCATCATACCAACCCATGGCTGCATGAAGATGGCCGATGATCTTGGTTGAACCCCGGGAAGAAACAATGGCGCGTATCAGCTCTTCGTCCAGATTCAAATCAATGGTTGCAAACTCGGGTGCCATACGGAGACCATGCCAGAGATTGGCAAGGTAAGATGTTGCAGAGTAGCTCGGGCTCGTCGAAGTAGGCATGACGTGATATATGATTGGAATCAGCGTACTTCTCCGGACCTTGTATATGTTTTTGCTGATATCTTCTGCCTGCTCACTTGTGAGTTGCACCGGATCAACGACTATCTCGAATGCGTCACAGCCAAATTCGAGCTCTTCAATATCGACACCCCCATGATTGAGGTCTGAGAGTAGCACCTGCACGGCGCATGTGTAGTTTCTCAACTCGACTGCGACATACGAGAGCGGAAGATGAACAGGATCCAATGGAGGGGTCACGCGTTTGACCTTGCCATATGTGTTCTTGGGAGACAGGACTAGAGACAAGAATTTGAGGAACGTTCTTTCTGCTCTTTTCAAAGTCAGAAAAGCTGGGACGGATGGTTGATTTGCAGGCGCAATAGAAAGGTGAGGCGCATTCGTTTCGGATATGTTGTAGAATTCGTAGTTGGAGCACCGCCGGAAGACCAAGGTACTAAGAGCTAGCATATCATGGAGTTTTGGATCTTCAACAGTATCAAGATACAGATGCACACTGCGGAGGTCTCGCATGATGTGTATCACTGGATGCGTCATTGCAAAGTCGCGCAAGAGGCTCTGGCTCTTCATATCCAGAGGATAGCCTCCGTTACAGACAATGATCGCGCCCTTGTTGTAGGTCTGGAGAGCATTGCGCAGAATTTCCTCCTGCCGAAGACTCCGGTTCGAGGGACCAAACTGTTTTCGATATGCTGCCGTTGAGAAGCCGGTCGTATTGTAAAAGAGATTCTCGATATCGACAACCCTTCTTCGACAAGCAACCGAAGCCATCATAGCTAATGTTGCCTTGCCCGTCCCGTGCATCCCAACAAGAACGATCGAGGCACTAGAATCGAATATGCGGCGGCGTTCATATGGTGAGGCCAGAGCGACGGGCGCGGGTGTCGAACTCGCCGAACTTGGTAAACTTGGTTGTCTCGAACCATGGATCGCCGTTCCCTCCTCACTCATAGCAGCGAATGTCCGTTTCGTACCCATTGCAATAGATGCCATGGCAGACATGATTTCCTAGACTCGGTCGTACTCGGTTTGCAGCCAGCGAAGGCAGACAGTATAGACTAGAGTAACGATGTTGGCTGTTGGTGTGTCACGTGAGAGTGTCGAAGTGGCGCCTTCCCCGCGGGATAAAACTTTATCCTGACCCACTTCCCCAGACGCTCCAACGTTCCAGCCTCTTGGCTTCTCGGGTCGGACCAACGTATCCAGCGCTCACGATTCGGTCAACTACATCCGTCAGTCACGCTCGTTGAAATGAGGTTATGGTCCTCTTGCATCAAAGCGTAGCAATACCCATGCATTCTCAAAGCCAGGGAAAACGCCGGGCGGCTACGCTGGATGTTCCAGTCAAGCGTTTTCGCGTTTCCAGGGCATGCGATCAGTGCCGTACTGCACGCGAGAAGTGCGATGGAAACCAGCCGACATGTTCGCCTTGTTTCGACTTGAAACGAGGGTGTACGTACACCTCAAACCCCAGAAAAAGAGGCTTGCAACCTGGCTACATACGAAGTCTTGAAATGACTCTGGCATTCGTTTTCCAGCAAGACACTGAAATTGAAGCCTTGGTGAATAAGCAGTTGGCCCAAGAAAATACGATTCTGCTTTCCAAGGGCACCAAGGAGTCAAACCGCCTACACAAGAGCTGGAGAAGGAGCAAGTTCTGCAGAGACATCACCAAGGTATTAGCTGGAGAACACATTGGTATTGGGGATGACACAATACCGAGTTCCGACGAGGAAAGCGAAGTTGATGCAGAGGATGCAAGTCTTCTCAATACAACGCCCATGGATCAGTTACAAGAGAAGGTGAGTTGTTTCTAGAAAGAAGCCAAAAATATTCTAATGATATCCCCTAGCAGATGCCTTGGACCAGTGACATGAGTCTAATTCCACGACACCTGGCTGCTCCATCTGTACCTGACCGCCACCATCCAATTACGCAACAGCCCGTGCCATTTCTTGGACTTACGCCGTTACCTGTCGACTTCTGGATGCTTCTCGAAACTTATTCCACGTATACACAGTCTTGGCTACCCATCTGCGAAAAGCTCGATGTTCTGAAGCTATCGTACTCTTACCCAGAGGAAGGTCTTGCTCTGTCCCAAGATATGCCTGACTCGGGATGTCATGCCGAAATGTGGAGCATCTTTGCGGTTGGGTGTATTCAAGACTCATCCTTCGTCATGGGGAGTCGGGAACCCCAGCATCTGATGACCCCTAAGAAGCTCTATGAGATCTCTAGACAGCTAATTCCCCACGAAATAGGAAACTTTGACCTGAACCATGTCAAAGCGCTTCTCAACCTGGCAGTATTTAATATCAGCAGGTCGCTTTTAAAGGCTGCTTGGCTTCTGGTTGGCACCGCTTCGAGAATTTTTTTTACACTTAACGAGTCGCCTGAGATTGCTAGCCCTCGTCGAAAAAATATCTTAGCAAGCTGTTTCTTGCTGGACAACCTCCTTGCTCTACACTTACAACGACGACCGTATCTAGACAAATCTGACCTTGCATGGGCAGGCAAGATAGAAGAGGATGGCTTGGAAGAATGGCAGCCTTGGAATGGGAATCTTAACCTGGGAACAACATACCAATCAAGACTACCAACATTGGCCCTGAGTAGCTTCAACAACCTCCTGGAAGTAGTCGACATTCTTGTAAGCACCGCACGGCAACCGACTGCGAGAAACTTTCTTCATGAGATGATTGGGCGGCTTGAAGCATGGAAATCCTCACTGCCTCCAAAACTCCATTACGTACGGTCTGACTCTCCATCGACTCCGTTGACGCCGCCTGCAGTGGTACTACAATTGACATATTTCGCTACTGCCTTTGCGCTGGTTCCATCTCAGGCCTGGCTCCAGCGGGTACTGGAATTATTGGAAACACTCCGGGGCCAGCTCGGATTCGCAAAGTTGCCATCCATAGTCATTTGTCTGTTGGAGAGCATCAAGCGAAGCAGTACCAACTTGAACTTAGATCAGGTAACACGAATCCGCATGCACAGCTTGTTCGCAGATTTTGATCAGGCATGCTCTATTACTTCGGGCGAGGCCTTCCTGGATACGCAAAGCATGCCGAGCGTCCTCGCAGGCACGTCTCCAAGTGTCATTCAGATGAGAAATCCTGATGCGATCCATGCATCTCCTCGCCCCTTTTCTTCTCAGAACGGCGATTCGATTTCAGAGCAATACCAGCCGCCAACCGGCTCTTCAGCACTCCTTGACGACCTGCTACCAGATATGAATCATAATCGACAACAACACACCCTGCAGTCTCTCAACCCTCGTCCGTTTAGCAATGCAATGGATTCTTCAGCGTTTGAGCCCCCGACATTCGATATCCATGATCCTTACAATGCTTTCGTGCCAGGCGACCTAGAAAGCTTTTTTGATGAACTTGCCTCTTTGCATGGAGCCAAAAAGCTACAAAATCAGACACAATTTATGCAGAATCTTGGCTACTCCTCAGAAGTTAGCATGGCCGACCTGCTAGCGGCTGATCCGGGTCAACTTATGCCATTGCCTTCGAATCTTGGCCCAGAAAACAACATTGAATCTCCTCACTTCTCATTAGACGGTGCTTATGATGCTGGATGAGCGGGGCGGTACGATATCAAAAAGACTCGGAGCATAAAATAGAAAAAGTATGTCTCCGGGAATTGCGCGTCTTTTGACGCAGCTGATATATTCAGGGCTCATGCCTTTGTTTTGAGCTCATATACTTTAATGAACGATACGATATGATTAGACGGACACATCGCGGCGTCATGAAACATCCCGCCCCTACACTCTACAAGCGTGCTACCTCATCAACGCCTCCGCTACTCAACTTAGCCTGGCCGGATTTTGCTCGTTCACGAACCAGGCCATTGTCAAGCTGCAAATCAAAGAGCATCTTCTCCCACGCAATCGCAGCCCGCTCAGCCAACTCTTCTACGACACTTTCGTCTTTTTTGTTCATAACACGATTGAACAGTTCCATGCTGACCCACCCATCGTACCCGATGTCCTTGATAATAGCATGAGCGACATCTTTAACAGGCAAATACGCGCCATGATCTTTCTCGCCGTAGAATAGCCTGCAGTTCCTGCTCCATGACATGCGAGCCGGTTGCTCGGAATCGTAAAACGCGTGGCCAGGTGCCAGAGGGTGTTCCAGACGTTCAGCGTCGACGATCTGAATAAAGAAAATCTTCTCTCTATGTGGTTTGATTTGTTGGACGAGTCGTTGTATGGACTCGCGAACTTCTTGCTCAGCCCCTTCATTCATTCCCGTTTCGGAAGTAGGATCCGCATATATCCTGCCGAGGATGTTGAAGCTGTCGAGGCAGATGCCAAAATTTGTCCGGTCAACACGTTGAATGATATCCCAGCAGGCCTCCCATTTGTCCACGTATGTTCCCCAGCATAGGCTTTCGTATGCGAACCGGATGACAGGTGTTTGTTGAAGCCCGAGGTCTGCGATCTCTTGGAGGTCGCTGACTATTAAATTAACATCCGAAGATATCTTATCGCGCGGCAGGAATGATGAGGGCACTTGTACGATATCGGTTCGTAATACATGCGCCAACTCCATCCATAGTTTCATCTCCTGTATCCGTTCGCTGTGCTTTTGTCTGTCCAGCAATCCCTCATAGTGCATGAAAGGCTGCAGGCATATGATTTCGAGCTTGAGAGACGAGCACAAATCGCGAATAGAGGCTGCGGCTGCCAGCAGATCCGAAGCAGACTGAGATTTGGCGTAGTCGGCCAGATCTTCGTAGAAAAGTTCGATGCCTTCCAGACCATGTTTTGCGGCCATGGATAGCTTGTGTTCGAGACTATGGCCGGCGTAGCATCGCCCTAGCGACATAGAGGAGATTCCTGGACGACACGGCATGTTTGTGAAGTTGGTAGTGTGTAGCAAATGTGTTTAAGGGACAATGGAGATGACTTAGAAACAATTCTAGAGTATGGGGAGCAGAAAGGCGGCTTGATTCATCGGCGTGTTTAAGGACAACTGGAGTATATAATGCTTTTCGAGATACCACGCCATAACGTGACTTACACTAGACTAATAGAACTACCCGGCAAGCACTTCGTTGGCTTTCATCACTTCTCATTGGTTGAGGATAAGTCACGTTGTTGTATCTCTTTGTAAAAAGCACCCATATCTACATAAAAACTTGTACTTCCAGCTTCAATAGGAAAGGACGTTCTGTTCTACATGCTATTAAAGTTTTGTTCATTGATTACTCGCCTACATCTGCCTCTTGATAGTGTGGAATAACTCAGGAAAACGGTATTTTGCCTTCGTCAGCCGTGCTGTGCCGTCACAAGCAGTAAGAGGATCATGTCGTTGGTGGTGGACCTGAGAAGGCTAACAGGGCGGATAAGAACTCATACCCGAACTCGGCCTCACTTCGGGAGTAATCGCCACTTTATCCAAAACAACATCGCGACCAGATCGCTCAGTGGCAAGGGGTCCTGTCAGCCCGCCAACTGGATACCGACGAGTTCGTAGCTAGTTTTCCTTTCGTTACTCAATGTACCACTTACCGATACTCTGGGGACATCGAGCTCTAGCATGGGTCTCCGCGTGGTCCCCGACAGAATGACGTATTTCACTCATCATAAGTTGTCGTGTGGAGTGGTGTCCGCGGATTGGGAATCCTTCTTGCATGAACGAATGAAACATCCTGGGCTTGCTGTTCCCCCACAATTTGGGCCAATTCATGCAGGCCTTAGCGTGCTGGGCGCGTACAGGCTACTGCAGAACCCCAAAGGTTAAGCGATTCGCCCCTTGAGGCTACTGCTAAAGACACTCACGGATTGGTTAGAACCGACTTGATCAGCAGTCTCGACGGATTGCAGATTCGCACGTTACGTGGAGAGGCTTAAGCCTAGGATGCGTACCACAGTATCTGATTTGATCGATGTGAGCAACATCATGCTGATCTTATCGAGGTAATTACGCCCTCGATTTGTCTGTCCTGCTGATCTGAACGTCATGAAGTGAAGTCATTTCCGTGAGTTCGTCATCCACGTCACTTAACTTCGTGGTTAGTTTGTCGATAGCTTGGGAACGAGTCTTGAATTGAGAATTTGTTCATTGATCGATACTGAGTAGAACGTGACTATCATGAAACATTGCGAACATTACTGGGATATACATAATCGCACCCGACTCTCACAGTTTCCGATTTAAACTGGTAGATCGAGACGAGCCTTGCGGCCATTCCTGATGCTCACCAAAGTCTAGACCATCTCGCTGTGCTCGTTCTTCGCCTTCTCTTCCCTCAAGGCGTAATGCACGTGCTCCTCCTCGCCTAGCCTCTGAAGCATTATCTTGTGTGCCTTGTGCGCAGGCTTGATCTCAAACAACTCATCCATCTTCTCGAGAGGGATGCCCTTTGTCTCTGGGATGAGGAAGTAGACGTAGGGGATCGAGAGAATCATAAGGCTTGCAAAGAACATGTACACGCCGTAGCTCATCTTGAGGAACATCTGGGGTGTGAACCTAGAGATCAAAAAGTTCCAGAACCAGTTATTTGCGGCTGCGAAAGCTTGACCTGCAGGAATAGATTAGCACATAGCTCGTTGGATTATATGAGGTGGAAAGACTTACCCAAAGAGCGCGTAGCCGGCGAGTAAATTTCAGAGTTGATAACCCATGGTGTACCGTTCCAGGATGGCGTGTAGAAGGCAGTCCAGAGGTAGAAGAAGAAGACTGCTGAGATTCCGCCTGAAGAAAGCTTGCCGCTGGTGTTTACGTGGTGCGTTGGGTCCGCAATCTTGATGTAGGCGGCGATGTACCACATGCAGAGCGATCCTCCTGCTGCGCCAAACATGAGGAGCTTAGTTCGGCCAAGGCGATCAATCAACCAGAAAAGCCAGACAAAGGTAAGAACAGTCTTGACGACGCCAAAAATTCCAGTGGTCAAGAATCCAGTGTTAGTTCCTGTAATACCAAGGCTCTTGAAAACAGTTGGCGAGTAGTAGTTGATGGCGTTAATACCAGAACCATTTTGCCACAAGAACAAGCCGCCACCCAAGAGGAAGCGGTAAAGCACCTTTGAATCTTTGAGCGCTGCGAATGGTTTCCAGAAACCTGCGCCAACGTGAACCCGGTCGTGCTCGATTTGCGCATCGATGGCCTCGACTTCTTCGAGAATATATGGGTCGTCGCGTGGGAGGTTGCGGATCCAGCAGAGATCCTTCATGGCCTGCTCGCGATGTCCCTTGCTGAAGCTCCAGCGGGGCGACTCTCTCATCCAGAGTGCGCCAATCAACAGGCAACCGGCAGGGACCAATTGAACAGCAAATGGGATGGTCCATTGCCTGCGGGATGGTGCCATAGTCTCTTGAAGGCCGTAGTTGATCCAGCTGTGTCTGTTAGTACAAACAATGAAGATGGCGAGTGGTTGCCATTGACTTACAATCCAACAAGTCCGCCCATTTGCCAGCCAAGCTCGTAGATTCCGACCAAGCGCCCTCGCACGGCAGGCGGCGACAGCTCAGAAATGTAGATGGGTACCATGTTTGAGCATCCACCGACTCCAAGACCTGCCAACACTCGCCCACCGATCATCAGACCAAGGCCCCGCTGGCCATCAGCACCAAGCATCATACCGGCACCCAACATGAACTAGATGTGGTGTCAGTATGTATTTCGTGTGCAACCTGTTTCTCAATATTACTTACTACAAGCACCCAGAGCAGGAGAGACTTCCTTCGGCCAATGTAGTAGCTGGATGCGTACGCTCCAAGGGCGCCAAAGAAAGCACCAGCTTGGTATACCGAGACGATGTTGGCCTTTGTAAGGGCGAGATGGCTTGCGCTCATTTTAGCGAAGCCGAACTCCGCAACAAACGAGGGAAGCGCCAGAGTCGTTCCAATGAAGGCCGAATCGTAACCGATCATGCAGGCGGCCCATGATGCGACTGAGGCTGCTGTGTAGACGCGCCAGTTGTAGACGGCCTTGGGCGTTGGCCGATCTTCGATGATGGTGAGCATACCCATCTTGAGGTTGGTTAGCAGCTGTGCCTGCTGCTTCCGAGGAACCAAGATAAGTTGATGACAAGGATAGGACCGGTGACCCAGGGAGAGTGTGGTTCGGAACGATCGAAGGAATGGGAAGGGGAGTCAAATTGGATATATATATTCCACCCCAACAAGCGGCTTGGAACTATTGTCATGCGGAGGTGTGGAGAAATACGCCAACCCCATGGAGGCGCATGGAGGCGCGTGCAGGCTCAATTGGAACGCTTGCCCCGGAAAAGCTGCTTCGCACATGGTGGAAAACTCGGATGTTGCGCGTTGGTGTGGGGAAGCGATTGCGGAGGAAAACCCCAGATTGCATCCACCAGCCTGGCTCCTCGCATTGCTTAAGCCTGATGAGGAAGTTTTCCATTTATCCAGCGACCCACGCTAAAGTGGATGTCCGAAAAACCGGAATCGCATTCTTGCACGAGGGCGATCGCAGTCCAGGCGCGTCTCGCCGATTGGACTAAGATGGACCACGGCCTAACCCCGAAGAGTTCTGACTCGCGGCCTTCGGGCCTTCGTGACTCTCAACAAGACCTTTTCCACCTTCCCGACGTTTGGATTTGGCATGGGGTAGATGCTGACCGTTGTAATGAGTGGGTTTCCTTTGACAGATACGATGTAGCACGACGGTGATCAGAAACCTTGCAGTCTGTATCCACAATTCGAATCTTGAACATATGAGCGCAAAGGCCACTTGGGTAACCAACCCTCCTGACACCTCTTACTCGCAACAAACACACAAAAGTCAACCATCACAATGTCGACCGAATTCACATTACCAGAGGTATCGCAAGTCGAGCGCCATGGCTATCTCTTTGGCCATCCCATTGCTCACTCCATGTCCCCTTTACTACACCAGACTGTATACAACAACTTGGGGTTGAAATGGTCACAATTCCCTCTAGACTCAACAGACATGAACCTTTTTCTTCAACTAATCAAACACCCACAGTTCTATGGTAGGTGTATCCTGACGCGCGAACAAGACGCCAGATCTAGACCCTCGGCTTACAGAAACGCAGGAGCTGCTGTGACCATGCCTCACAAGGTCGCAATTTCCCAGCACCTTGACGGCCTCACACCAGAAGGTGCAGCAGTAGGCGCTGTGAATACAATTTTCTTGAAAGAAGATGTAACTGGAAAGAGGTTGTTCATGGGGACAAACACAGACGTGATCGGAATCAGAGACTCCTTCGCGTACAACGCTAACCCAGAGAGTTACCACAATCGCCCTGCACTAGTGGTTGGCGGAGGTTGGTAAACCCATGTCTGCTGCATATGTGTCATGACTAATTTACCTTCTAATATAGGCGGTGCAGCAAGGAGTGCGGTTTATGCGCTAAGAACATGGATGAAAGCCACAGATATATACCTCGTAAGCTTGCTTAAACCATGTGTAGGTGCTTGGTATCAACACTGACCTTTCACGCTAGGTTAATCGGGATGCGGCTGAGGTTCGCGCTGTCATTGAATATTGCGCAACTCAAGGCTACGGTGACGGGTTAATTCACGTCGCAACAGTGGCACAGGCAGAGAAGTTGGAAGGTGTAGGGGCCATCGTGTCTTGCGTACCAGATTTCGCGCCAGTAACAGAGCCAGAGATGGAGGCAAGGAAGATCCTCGAATGTTTCCTGCTGCAGAAGTCCCATAAGGGCCACATCTTGGAGATGGCATATCATCCAAGCCCCTGGACAGCGATCGCTGAGATCAGTAATAATGCTGGCTGGAAGGTTATTCTTGGAACCGAGGCGATGATCTACCAAGGGCTAGAGCAGGATAGGTATTGGACTGGGAAAGAGGTGCATCAACTACCAGTGGAGCAGGTACAAAAAACAATCGCTGCAAAATTGAGCGACGCTAGACTGTAAATAACATAGAATGTCAAAAACAGATTGACGAGGCGTAAAGCCAAAATCTACGTTGAATGGTTGTCACGTTTCATGTGAATCTTTCGGTACTTCGAGTCGTAGATTTATAGCGTACAAAGTATCCTAGACAGATGTGCGAGATTGCTTTCTTGCCAGCGTCTGAGATCAACTTGAACGCGTAGTCGAAACAGGAATCGCATTTCGCTATGCTCCAGGTCTTGAGTAATCTAAGTGACGTACCCGTCGCCATACCTCTCGCACTGTCCTCTCCTGGCCTTGTCGTCCTGTTTCATTCGGTGATGGTCCTGCAGGTCTACGACGCAGGGCAGTTAGTACATCTGGCTTGACCCACCCACGTGGCGTTTTCACTTACCGGATAGCCAAATACAGTCGACTCCCCAACCGAACCTCCTCTATCGGCGCCGTGGCGTGGTCCTCGGGCGGATTTGCCGTCGTGATTAGCCCACCAGCTTCCTGCAGAATCGCGATCCCAGCTGCAACATCCCTATTTACCCGTCAGTAACCAACACAGAAGATCAAGACAAGACTCTCATACCACTCCCAGCAGCCACCTTCCCACCAGATATCAAAGGCTCCCATAGCGATATAAGCCAGATCCAAGGTTGCACTTCCTAAGCTCCTCATTCCATGTACCATCCCGCCCTTTCCGTTTCTTCCACCAATTTCAGTAGCCATGTTCACGAAACTCTCAATCTTCCTGTGCAAATTGCCATCCGGGGTGTCTCTTCGATCCTTACCCCACTCGCAAGAAAATATGCAGCCACTGGGGGCGTTTGCAGGCATAGGTGGTACAGGTGTTCGTACGAGGGGAAGCCGTTGCGTTTCATTGAGGAAGGCACCGCGACCAGCGCATGATGAGAAGAACTGGCCAACAAAAGGCGCGTTGATGACGCCAATCAAAGGCTTTCCCTTGTGAATAAATGCAATCGAAACGCAGAACATGGGGAATAGATGGATGTAGTTCACCGTCCCTGAGGAGAATTAGCAAAAGCATTGAGTTGATTATGGGCAAAACTTACCGTCGAGGGGGTCGACACACCATGTCATGCTATCATCGATCAGATAGTCTCGTGATGCCCCCTTGCTGTAGGCTTCTTCGCCAACAAATCTACAACTGATCAGAGGTGTCACTTGCGAGACGAATAACTTACTTGTGCGAGGGGTATTTCTGCAATATCTGGGTCTTGATGAACGATTCGAGATCTGAAAACTGTCAACATACTGTTCATATATGCTTCATGGAAAGTGGCCGCAAGAGAAGATGGAGGATGTTCCCGGCTGCAATGTCTTCTCGGATCAAACGAAATACGGTGATCTTGAATCCACCATATGGTATTGACCAGGGGGACAGCTTTATGCCAAGGGAAGGTCTCCAGACGTATTCTCTGGTCCTACTAGAAACGTAAAGACACTGCCCTTCTCACCTACCTTCGTCTGTTTGAGTTACCAGATCAACCGCATTCTCCTTTTGTACATGTGCCTGCTCTTCTTGTACCCCACTTCCACCGCTCATCCTCAACTGCGCTGCGTCCTTGAGCATCGTCCCCGCTCGCTTGCCCAGCTCAACGGCAAACGCGTAAATCTCATTCAATTCATCCTTAGAAAGGTCGTTCATCATGTGTTTGCGGACGTTTGCAAGCTATGTGTTGGGACAAGTTGTGCTGCCGATTTGACAAGCGCGTCGGTGATGGGCTGACTGCGTTGCGAAGCCCGTTCAGAGCCGGCGATAGGAGTTTACGGGTAGTCGCGGAAATGGCCCGGAGCTAAGCTTGGGAGCTATGCATAGCTTGCCAAATGTCAGTTTCCACTCTCTCGCATCTGGGGCCTTGGATGCAGTGCTCAAGCCGATCATGTTGGTAGGGCTAAGTGCTTTTCCGAAATATCGGTACGAGATTTGGTAATGTGTAAGGTTTGACATGATAATATTCCTTCTACGACTGCCACCAAACCAGCGTTGACCATCTATCAATTTATCATCACCCCTCCAACACCGTTACCCCTCCTCAAATCCACGCAATGGCCGAATCCATCCTCCTCATCAACGGTCCAAACCTCAATCTGCTCGGAACGCGAGAACCTTCCATTTACGGGAGTACCACTCTTCCTCAAGTCGTCGACACAGCGTCAGAGCAATGCGCTCGCCACTCCATTACTTTCGCTCACATCCAATCGAACCACGAAGGCGTTTTACTCGACCGCATACACGAAGCACGAGGCAAAGTTGATGCCATAGTCATCAATCCGGGTGCATTCACGCATACTAGTGTCGCGCTGAGGGACGCCTTGGTGGGCGTGGACATACCGTTTATCGAGGTGCATATCAGCAATGTTCACAAGCGGGAGCCGTTTCGACATCACAGTTATTTGAGCGATAAGGCTGAAGCGGTCATTTGCGGGTTGGGGACATTTGGGTACGAGGCGGCGATTGATTATGCCAGGAGGTATATCAAACCGAACAAAAAAGCGAGCTCGTAGAAGAAAAGAAAAAGAACTAGTAGCCACAACTACGTAAATATAAGCTAGAGTTGTTGAAACACCCAATTATACAATAACAGCTATACGCCAGCAATTGCCCGCCTAGAGACTAGTATGTTGCTGGGTGAACATCCTCTGAGGACTCGTATATATATCTAATTTGAACGTAAAGCAACGCGACATGACATCCTGTTCACAAAAACGCAGCCGCAGCAGCCGCAGCCATGATCCCAAACTTTGCATCTAGGAATGCCGTCGCAGTCGGCATTGCCGCCCCCGTCGAGCTCGCTGCTGTAGACGTAGCCCCTCTAGCGATGACTGATCTGATGATGCTGAACTGATCATCCACCTGCCGTTCCTTGAACGCCCTCGCCCCCGATGGGAGTGCGGTGTACCAGACAGGGCGCGAATAAAACGTTGTTGTTTCCTCGAGATCGGTTACCACGGCAGGTATAGAGTAATTCGTTGCGGTGGAGACAAAAGCGGCGATCTCAGAGGCGGCTGAGGTCAAGGAGGATTGGTACGCTGAGCCTAGGGAGGAGGTGTGACGGCGTTGGGCGAGGAGGGCGTTGAGACCGACACTTGTTGTCCAGCTTGCTGCCTATGGGACATGTCAGCAGTCTGTAGCGTGCGTGAAAGAGGGGAGAGAGCCTACATCTGAAGGGTTGCTGAAGCTGGGTATGGCCGAAGTGGGAATCGGTGGGGCCGTGTACACCATGAAATCTGCTTGTGCGACGTGAACTGTAGTCGCAATGACGAGCAGCAGAATACTCCAGATTGAGTACATGATCACGATAGAAGTTGAAAAGCAGTGTCAACGAAAACAACGAGGATGTGCCGTGTTAGAGGTGAACTGCGCAAGACAGGGGCAATGCGATACGATGAGAGACTAGGTATCAGCCCATTGGTGACAGCGCCGAGAGACACTCAGCTTTTATCGATTATCAGCGATCCACAATCTCTTCTTACCGTGCTGAACATGGTCACAGCTCACTATTTCGTCCGTCTGCAGTTACTGGTGGTGTTGAGTCGAGGAAGGAGTGCCCGTGCACGATGTGTAAGCGGCAGGCAAACTCAAGAATCCACGACTGACTCGTATGAACCTAACTTACACAACCATTGACAATATCTCTTGACGCTTAGTAGAAAATATACTCAACGATCTATGAACTGCCCATTGTGCTGTTTTGCTTATACATCGCCTTTGTTCCTTATGAAGTTTGGTGAAGCGTTCTCGAACAGGACGTTTTCACCTTTAGTCCAAACATTGTACGACTATGACCTTTCCCTATCTTTAAGTAGAAGGACTCTCTTCCGTCGCAATACAAATTGAATTTGACATTATAATCACCGCCATAACTCAAGCACATCTACTGTCAGTAGCACCCTGTTCAGAATTCAACTTTCCTGCCCGCGTTACTCAATACCAATATGCGCAGAACAGAAGGCGAGCGGTTGGCTCCTGCCCTCATAGCTCCTACTTACCACATCCTCGTAGAATCCAGCTTACCCACCAAGGTATGCGCAATGGACAGTGACCAAGGGCAGCCCCCACGTCGAAAGCATCGCTCCCCAAGAGTTGCAATCTCTGACTGGGTTGACGATCTTGTCACGATCCCATCCCTGTGGGGCGTAGAACTGCAACGAATCTGGGAAGAACATGCAAAAAGAATTCAAGATGACGCCAAGCAAATGGGAGGGCGAGTGCCTGGTCAGAAAGAAGCGTATGCTATGGCTCATCTGATCACGCTTGCACACAGCATCATTGATGTCTGTGTCTCAAAAGAGGTGTTTCAAGTCCAATATGAGAAGAACTTTGACATTGTTTCTAAACAAACAACTACAGGCGTCGAAGCTTCGCTCTATGTAAAGGGGGAAGAACATGCTGTCGCACAAGGTACCGGAGAACACCATTTCGAGGCCTTGTGGGCACTTCGAGAGGAGGTGGGAATCAAAGAGTCAATCCGACGCATAGGAATCTAGAGAAAAGGCGAGCAAGAAACCCTCCAGGACACAAGAAAGAGGGAAAGATGCGGAAACACAAAGAGAATACAAACAAGGTTGGGGGCCTAGTTAGATAAGAAAGTGGTAGGACCATGCGATTGTGTTTATGATTCATGCACCTAAAGGCGCTATATCAACGAAGTCGGTCTTTACTTTCGTCTCTTGGAGTTAGTTTCTTCCATCGTACTGTATGTCTCAATCAAGGACGAATTTCCTTGTTCTCCATTCACAGTTTCAGGTCTGGTCACTATTTCATAGTAAAATATAGTAGTAGTCACATTGTCACGATGGGGAACTATATACCAAGCTTGTGCTCGCTGTGAGGATACATAATGTGCGGCATTTTGTTACTCATACTGTATCGCTTTCTCCAGCACTAGCCTGTTAGTTGTTCGCGAAAAGTGAAAAGATAACGCATTCTCGTCTCGACTCCAACAATTCCAGAGTGAAGCCTAGATACGCTACAGCCAAGTCTAGCTGAAAAATTCTATAAAGATGCCATCCGCGTCTCGAGCCTTGTCAAGTTGGTAAATGATTCTTCTCGTTCTTATCCTTGTCTTTATCTCTACTTTGCCTCAAGTAATCGAGGACGTGCGTGTGTTGCGAATCTGGTGATATCTGTACTTTCGGCTCTTCACGACAGGAACATCGCTATCACTACTGTCTTCTTGCACTCGAGGTGGACCTTGGTTGCGTTTTCGTGGTACCTTCGTCGCGATAAATTTTGTAGGCTGCGTGACTGGAGTATCAGCTACTGGTTCCGAATTGTCTTCGCCGTTGCTGATCTTCTCGATGTAAGAGCCAGAGGGTGCCAGTGGGAGGTTTCGAGTGATTTGAGTAGTTTGACTCATCCGCGAAGTTGTACGTGCTTGGGCCTTTCTGGTTGCGCTTCGCCCTTCGTTGCGAGTCACACGCCTGTCGCATTCGCGATCATCACTGTCACTTAGTGATACAGGAGAAACCAGTCCTTTACGAGTATTTCCCCAACTCCTTGGGCTTCTTCTTGCGGCTCTTTGCAGCAGCGGAGGTGAAGGTGCGTAGTCATGATCGTTGTGTTCTGTTGGTGCCCACTCGATAAGATCTTCTCTGTCTTTCTCCTTGGCCATCGTTTCTGATCCATCACTGCCTCCAGTGCTAATTTCCCTGTCGATCTTGCCAAAGTTGTTATAGTCATCGCCATTCTCCTCTTCGGTGTCATCGTCGAAATCACACATGCTCAACCCTAGCTCCTGCCTTCTCAATCCACCAGCTAACTTCTGATCAATCTCAATCTGCCTCTTAGTCTTGCCGGTTCGATTTTGCGCCGCTGTCGCCAAGCGCTTCATGATCTCAACTGCCTTCTTGACATCTTCAGCATCAGCATGAGGGCCAGCCCGAGACTTGATGGCCGCGGCGGACCTCCCGACCCACCAGTGTGGATCATGGATGCGACTCACAGCTGCGGAGCCTTCGGGTACCCAGTCTGGTCGTGGAACGCCTAACTCATAGCACTCGTACGTGGCCGATGTGTAGATTTGAGTTGCGTAGCCAAGTCTGTGAGCCCGGCGGAGGAGTTCAACGGCTTTGCTGGTTTGTGGAGGGGCGGGCGAAGTTACATCCAGTTTGAAGCGTGTGGTCTGCATTACTTTCTTTTCGTCGTGTATTCTCTCACGCGTGTAATCGATTCCAGATTCAATGCGCACAATTAGCGGATCGTATGTTTCTCCGTCTGGCTCTTCTTGCGCAGCCATGGGCGATGTAAAAGCCTTTTGAACTTGTGATTCTGCACTGTTTTCTCTCACTTGAGGCATATTTTCGTCAGACTCGTCACTTGCACTCAACCTTGGGTCAGAGGCGTATTGATGATGTGAGTGGAGTGGATATAGGCTTGGTGGTGATATATCTCGAGGACTTGATATTTGAGCAGTGGGATTTTGTTGAGGAACTGCAGATTGTGGTGGTCTTTGCGGTTTGCCTCGGTGAACGGCTTGTTTATCATCCTCGCTATCTGTCGGTTGTCGCCTTGAGGGAAAGGTGGAAGCAAACCCGCTAGCTTTGCGCTTTAGTGCCATGATAGTGTTAGTCCGTCTAAGAGAGCCTCGAGAGTGGAGATGTGTTGTTGATATGGAGTAGGGAGCGAGGATCTTCGTATGTGGAGAAGCTGTTCGAGGAGACGATAGGATATCTTCACAATGAGTCAAAGACAGACTGCTATGAAGTCAGAGAACACATTACAAGAACGAGAAAAGAGCAATGCGTCATTGTTGTGGATCATTGGACTCTTTGTTTGAATCAAAATGAAAGGAGACGATTACTAAAATCGAAACCTACGGTAGAGGTCGAAACATATAGTGATCAATATAAATACTAACTTTTGGTCGTTTATAAAAGTTGTACCATAGTACCGAACTAAATATGTAACGAAGTTCATCGCCATAGGCGGAAGTCTGCTGCCATGCGTGACATTGGTGTCCGAGTGTCCTTGATTCATGTCTCATTACAACTATGAGTTCCTATGTTTTCAAGATCTCCAGACTGTCTTTTATTGGCGCAGGGCCTCATAGTAGGGATTTATGCTGGAGCAAAGCTGTTAGCGTATCAAAAAGACGAGAAGTTGGATCACAGGTACAAGCGGCATACCACTACACACATATAAAAAATTGGGTCCTAGCACCCAGAATAGATATGCTCCAGATTGCATAGTAGGTGTGTGTTTTTCTTTCTAGCTAGAAGCCATGCATTGCATGTGGCTACACATGTCGGCTCGATATATACCCTCACCTAACCCATATCGTGCGCATCGGACGCCCGGTAGATACCACATACATAAATGCCCAGAGAACGATGTATCTGTGTGTTCGTATGAACTCAAGGCACTACGTTGGTTCCCGAGTACAACTGCCGTACTTGCCCAGATTCTCTAGCAGCACCGCACAACGATAGCTTGTGTACCAAAACGTCGACAACCATACGAATATGCAAAGATACCAGAATTGCATCCTTATTGCATAGCGCAGTCGTTGCGACCCATACTCTCCAGAGCAGAAGCTTGCTCGGAATTGTCATCCCATATGCTCTGCTCGTCAATCTCACCCGCGTTCAGGGCGACCCAACAGATCAACCTACCCTTGGCCAAAGGATGGTTGGTCCTCTTGCGGAACTTCTCGACATGCTTCTGTAGGACTTCCGGGCACACCTCTCCGATACGTGCGGTACGAGGACCGGGTGAAGCTTTGTTTGGGTGCGGTTTCATAGTCATGACGATGGCGACAGCAGGTTTGATTTTGTCTTCGTAGGGGATGGGGCCTGTATGACCAAGCTTGCGCATAACCCAGTGTTCAGAAGCAACTTCAGGCGTTAGATATTCTTGCATGTCAGGGATGTCGAGAGGCTCTTTGGGTAAAGCGGCGAGGAGGAGGTTGAGACGCTTCTCGCGGGCCCTCTTGCTCAAACCTCGCCATTCTTTCGCGACTTGGTGTCCGTCTTTGGCAAGCTGCTGGGGACTCGTCTTGTAGGCTGTAGCAAAGGCTCCTCCTGCTTTGACGGCATGACCAAGACCCAACTGCGCGACACCGAGGATGTTGTAGAACCGAGCAATGATTGCATGGGGCACGACGATCTCTCCCCTCTTGTTGGATTTGATGGCATCCTCTATGTGAGTTGTCATGTTCGGAACAGCCTCGTAGCCCCGCTTGCCCATGACTTTCATAGCCATATCTGTAAGCATGAGCAACGCGATGTCAGTCCACATGGTGCAGTGAACTCGAAGCAAAGCCTCATGAACTTTGTGGTCGACATTCATCATCATAGTATTCTGATCCCACGCTTGCTTGTCGAAGTTGCGCGCGTCGTCGTACTTGGCGAGTGCCATATCTGCGTTGCCGATTCGCCATGCGAAGTCACCCATGCGTTTGATAGAGAGTGTGAGGTCGTGAAGCTCCCAAGCGCCACCACGAAGCCAGGAAACCTTCTGGGTCATGGCTTCTTTAATGCGCGCCTCGAGGGCAGGATTGAACGCACCGGTCATTGTCACCTTTTGGACCATGGCGCCACCACGGACGCACGCAAAGGGCAGTAGTAGCTTCTCTTGCTCCACTAGTGTCGGTGCAGAAGAACGCAGAGGTGGCTGACGCAGCTTGAAGTCGAAATGGAAGCTCATAAAGTTGGCGAAGTCGAGGATACGGAGAAGACGAGTGAACTTTGCCATATCATCCAGTACGAGCAAGAAGGACTGCGACTTTTGAGTATGCAAGTGCTGACGCACATTGTCCGATGTGATAGTGATCTCGGCGATGTGGTGAACGCACGAGTTCCCGAGCTTGAAGAAAGGAACTTCGTGATTGGTCACTGGAGGTGCAATTACAGTCAGTCAATGTCTGACTTGTGTACTCCTTGTGATGGGAATTTGCTTACATGCCGTCTGAGCCTGATCAAAAAACCAATTGACCTTGACGAAGCCGTTATGGACGTACAGCACGTTCATGGCATCTTTGTTGATAGCATTGTTGAGTCGCAGCACACTCAACTCAAAAGCATAGTCCTCGACGAGCGATTTGTTCGGCAGCTGTCGCACACGTTCGGTGATGAGTAGGTGCCCAAGGATCTTACGGCGGATGGCCTGAGGCAATCGCTCAAAGCGGGACATGGTGAGCGAAATAAGAGGCACGAAGATGGTGGAGACCAGCGATAAAGAATCTCTGAACCTGGACTTGGAGGCGTTGGCACTGGCAGTGTTGTACTTGTTGGGTTGTGTCGCACTTCTGCAGATGTCCGGAGTCGCTGTGGGAACAGCGAGTTGGCGAAGGGTAGACAGGTGGTGAAGTAATAGAAATCAGGTGAAGTGAGCAATTGCCATAAACATCGTCGTCAAATTCTATCTCCGACTTTTGGGAAGGCGCACGGGTCGCGTCGACACGTCGCCACGTGAGCACTCATTTCAATCCAAGTGGCATATGACGGCTCCAAGAAACGATTGTAATGAACACTCATGAACAGAAATTCTTTGAAAACATGGCAAGTGTGTTCAGATGTTTGAAAGTTTGAGAGTTGGGACGGGGAAGCTGGAATACAAATGCAACAGCAAGAGTCTATGAAAAACAAGTCTTGCTTGACTTGAAAGCATGCTCGATCGTGTCGCAAGACGCTGTCAATCTCTGATAGCAGGATAACACTGCTAGAAAGGGCAGCGGACCAGAAGATGGTTCAACTTGACCACAAGCAGTCACAGCGTTCTCACTGATATCTCACTATTTACAGCATAGTCTGAGTGATGATATCCTGAAAGAGAACCTGTGGATTTATAGTGAGGATGTCAAATCGCTGAAGAGTGGCAGAACTGGGGTGGATTGGAAGTCCAAATTAGAAACCGAGATATTGCATCAGCTCGCTTGCACAACGCCGACTTCGTTCGGGCGATGTTCGTCTTGTGGATTGATTTTAACTTTACGTGGAAGCACAGGCCAGGCACTAATTTAGTTCTTCCGCCACTATCTGAATCGGCCCCCCACCATCTCACACTCTTCTGCCCAAGGCATACTTTCCGTAATTTCTTCACTTCTCTTAACGCATATCTGCACGCTGCTTCTTCAGGTGTTGGACGCGTCACTGCCGCCTCCATCAATATTCTGTCAAGTTTGTCAAGACTTTACTGGGGTTTTCTGGCCCCAATCGACATAGACGCCTCGCAGCCCAAACTTGGCGCATGAGCTGAAGCTGAGGCTGAACATAGGCGCATAAGTAAGATGTGGGAGATGTGATATTAACTGGAGGGGCCTAGGCCGCGCTCCCCATTCTATTGGATACGAGTAGACCATGTACGCCGGTCAAGAAGCTGTTGTGTCTCACGCCGTAAGCCATGCACGGCTGGTCAGGTTCAAACCACACCCATCTACCGTAAAAGTTTGCACAATCCGATATTAGCTAGACAGGGGTTATAGCGAAGCGAGTCGACCTGCAAGTGGTGGAATAAGCACAGCCACTCAGCCACTTTAAATGCCCAATCGCCAGAGGACTCGCTTCGGCTCATCCCCTGTCTAGCTAATAACGGATTGTGCAAACTTTTACGGTATGTTGTGGACATAACATGCAGCCTTATCACCTCTCCTGTAGACCGGGAGATGCGGTTCTAGGCTCTAGTGCCCCCGGATGTGAGCTAGAAGTACGACTGAACTATCCAAGCCACCAGCTCCAGATCGTGGTTGAATCAGCCAGCCACATTACGCTAGACAGCGTTGCATATCGTAGCTATTATATCTACCACTCGTCCAGTTTTGGGTACCTATATCGCGTTTCAGCAACTTCATCATGTCATCCAACGTCGTCTATACTGGTGTATGGGATGACTATGAACGCGGACCAGTACTCAGCAGAGTGCTGACTATGGAATACCGTACTGGTACCTACCTTATTACATTACTTGCTATCCTTGTCACTTTCGCCGCAAATCGAAGCTGGAAAATCTGGCGCCTCGTCCTCCACACCGCACTACGATACCAAGCCGAGCATGAATATCTCATCCGACAAAAGCGATCCGTCCTTACAAATGCGGAGACAACAGGCGGAGCACTGTTGGCGTACTACGAGATTGCAATGCTCAGAGGATCCTGGAAAGGCTTGCCTGTACGCATCAAACTCATCGCGGCATGCCTGATCTTGTTTGCCCTTGTACATTGGGTTGGCTTCATTGCACTCGGTATCCTTACTACCCAGGTCAACCTTGGCAGTATTGTTCGCTCCCTGAAGACGGACAGTTGCGGCTTCTGGTTCGCTCGAGACGATCTGGACGAGAAAGTCTGGTACAATGATCCTGCCGGTATGCTGACTGTCAACGCCTCCCTTGCAGCCGAAAACTATGTTCAGAACTGCTATGTGAAAGGGTCGACCAGCATTTCAGATTGCAAAATATTTCTGAGCCGCTCGATCAACCATACAACCCAGAGCGTTCCCTGTCCATTTCAAGATTCGTCCATGTGCATTACTCCCAACGGCGATGCCCTGTCGATGGAATCAAAAGATATATCGTTGTCAGGACTAGGCATCAACTGGAAGTATGCCAAAGACATCTCCTTTCGGCGACGCAGTGTATGTGCTCCAATCGCTGCTGAGAGATTTATCTACAGCAACGAATCGAGCCAGGCCTTGCTCGAGGATACTCTGGAAATAGAAGACGAATCCATAGGATTACGAGCCTATTCCTTCCAGAGCTTCGTGGCAACAGGGGATAATTACACACGAATGTATCGAACTGACGATGCGGGAGACTTCGACCTCACTATTGCTTACGTTTGGAAGGAGAGCGACTATCAACTCCATGAACCACTAAGACCAACCGATCAGGTCTCAGAAACTACCATCGTCTCACTTCGCGGACGCGCTGTGAGTTTCTCAGAGCCATCAGACGATCCTTTCTTTTATGCGCACGAAAACTTCAGCACACCGATAGACATCGACGTAGACGGCTTATACTATATGAATAATGATTTCAAACTAAGTCGACAACTCAATGCTATTGCTTGTCAAGACACAGCGAAGGCGTGTAGCAAAATCACAGGTCTCTGTACCGACTGGATAGCACCTGGAGACATGATAAACGATGACATCCAGAAACAAATGCTTGGCAATAATATGGATGATCGATCTCTTATGGCTTACCACACTGTAGCCTGGCCGCTGGCAATCTCAACTACTCTGAATCAGGTTGTCCAGAATCGTGGAGCCTCAATCTTTCGAGCAACTCAGAATCTTGGATACGGTCGGCTGTACTCTATTTCGTCCGAACAGTGGAAAATCGAAGTTGAACATTGGTTCCTAGTTGGTATGGGGCTTCTACAAATGGCGCCACACCGTATGGTATCAACTCCAGAACTCGACACAAGCAAAGTGCAGAACGCATATCCGGAGCTTGGCGATGCTTGCACGATGGTCAAATTCAGATCCCCAGGACATGTCACCGTAAGCATGTTTGGCATGATGTTCATTATCGTTGGTGCATTTGTCTTGACTATAGTGAGCTATCTGGATATCCTGATGGGCTGGATATTGCCTACTCGAGTATCCACCCTTCTGGTGCCTTGGGAACGAGACAGTTATCTTCAGCTCTTGGATAGGGTCGAGCAACACCACGGTAAGTGCACAATGACTCGAAAGGCGAGTTTCCTTACTGATCAGTATACTCAGGAACGGCTTCATCTCGTAACATCGAAACGGCCGGTCATGCAGCCCCAGACCACATCGCCGCAGACAGCGAGAAAGGTCAAACTTACGTGTCGAATCGCGAAACCCCCGGTCTCTAACTTTTTCAAACCCTTGCTTGGCTGATGCTGGTCTGTCATTTGCGCACTTATACCTAGCATTCGTAGTTTCTATACAATATCTTATGTCGCAGCCTCGTAGTTTTCTCTCTACTTTTCCACTGTATCTGTTTGTCGCAAGGCGCGGATTTGAACAATATCAAGTATCTACACTACTAATCATGATATCGTCTTGGCTCAATCATCTCATACGAAATCGAACTTTCTGTCACACGAGCGTTTCTGGAGTGTTGATGATATTGTTTACGTGAGGTTATTGTACTCAACGTTCTCGTTCCGGCCAAACTCAGGTAGGAAACCAGCATCACTCCACTTCTCAATCAACCTAACATCTCAATGGAGACTTGGTACCCTTTCTTGCCGACTAAACTTCAGCCGCAACCCCTGTATTATGTGGTCATTACTCCAAATGCACTACTCGCGCATGGTCCCGCCATCCCGCAACTATCGCTAGTCTACCGTAAAAGTTTGCACAATCCGATATTAGCTAGACAGGGGTTATAGCGAAGCGAGTCGACCTGCAAGTGGTGGAATAAGCACAGCCACTCAGCCACTTCAAATGCCCAATCGCTAGAGGACTCGCTTCGGCTTATCCCCTGTCTAGCTAATAACGGATTGTGCAAACTTTTACGGTAACCTCCACGTTGGATCAACAGGCGGATCGTGCACGACTCATAATCCTACGTACTAGCTAGCGCTAGGCCAGATGTCCAAAGGCAAGCTGAACCTCGCGCTTGTTTGATTGCTTCTTCAACAAGCGAATATCCGGACTTGGAGAACATGTTCCAGGAAGCCAAAGGCCCGTTGTTCCCATATACCAACTGAACTTTATTGTTGGTGTTTGTATGGCTGCAAAGTCAGTTCGCAACTCCGCCTGTAGGCAGGATTAGTATAAATTTTGAACATGTTTGGAAATTACTGTTGTTATTAGTCTGTCCGTCTAGTCTTTTTAATTTGTCGTATTGCATGTATTCACAAAATTGATACTGTCGTAACGATTTCGAGCTAGGATAGCTGTCCGATGCTTCTAGATGTTGATCTTGGGATGCATATGAGCATCCTGGAAAGTAGAGGTCGGACAATGTTGACATGTATTAACAATGATCAAAATGTATCCAAGTGACAAACGTAACTAGAAGAGAAGGTCTACATCTACATGCCAAGACGAGGACGGAACATGATCATTGGAGATTTGAAAAGCTTCCATCACTAACTGACATCACAATCATAATCTCGAGTATGTCAACGTATCATGGTTAGATATTAGAGGTTTGCGATCAGGTTGATATTTGATAGAAGCCTGGTGACAAACAACTAAACTACTTGGGGAACACACACAAATCGTTACGGGGACAAATTTCAACGTATCGCTGTCTTAAGTATTTGAATTGCCTAATCTCCTGGACCAGGACTTAAATATATGCTCATTGTAATTTATCATTAGCTGTCTAGCAGCAAAAGACATCTCACTAAGACAGTCACCGCCAACACGGCCATGAGCTCCTCCGTGACAAGACTTGTGAAGGTCTATAGCGCTGCAGCACTGCTCTCAGCCACCTCCTGTGCCCTATCACCAGATCCACCTCCAAAAGCCAGAATAGATCTTCCAGACTCTGCACACACACATCGACCCTCATCCCATCGCGACGACACTCTCACATCGTCTTACTAATACCATCGCCATCTTTGTCGTTCTACTGAGCCTTCCTCTGCGCACAGAAATCCGTCAGAGTAGTATTCGTCTCCATCTCCTTCAGCTTGGTCTCCGCTTTGGCAAGCTTTTCCTCAAGCCTCGTCTCATTCACCCCTTTCTTGGTAGCAAGCTCATCCAGAATTGTTTGGTTGCCCGCCAGCGCAACGAGACTCGTAAGACGCTGTAGTTGATTGCACTGTTTGACGTCCTTCTGGTGCGCACTTACGGCGTTGCATTCAGCGACAAGGGTCGAGTTAGATTCCAGGGATTGCAGAGTGATTGTGGCATTTGCGGCTTTGGCTTGGAGTTTGGTGACATCGGCGGTGGTCATTCTTCCTTGGGCGACTAGCTGGTCGATCTTGGTTTGGTTGGAAGCGAGAGAGGTGAGCTTGGTAAGCTTGCTGATTTTGTTGCATTGTTTCTTGAGGGCGCGTCCGGTGGAGGCGGTGCTATTGTTGTTGTTGCCGTGTTTGCGCGGATAGAGGAGGGTAGGGAGATTCGAGTTGGGGCTGGGGAAAGCGTACGAGGTTGTGGCGAAAGCGAAGAGGAGGGCGAGGAGGACGCTGATAGAACGCATGTTGATGATTGAATGCTTGGTAGTTTGATAAAAATAGATATGGTGAAAGAGTGTGTGAAAGAAGTGAATCGGGCCTGCCGAGAGTTGCGAAGTAGTTCTAGAGAGAGAGAGAGAAGTTGTTAGAGAGTGTTGTACTTTCTCATATGAACAGCAATTGGCAGCATCTAAATACAAAATGCACGGTCACTTCTTTCTTTCTGCATCTACACGGCTTTGCCGTAGATGAAACTTGACAGAGATTGATTATCCATGCTCCCCAGAAATCAGCAAGTCCTGAGGCAGCAGGCAGGCCAAAAAGAATATGCCGCGCTGACGACGGAATCTGAAGCAGAAGTACACATTGTGTCAGCGCGACGATCAATCACCAAAAAGACGGTGACAGCCAATAAGGCATTTATGGCGCGACACAGTGAGCGCTGTCAGTGTCTCGGATGTCGTTCGTATCATGCCGAGCTAAGCTTTTGCTATGTGGCCAAGTTTGTGATGCGTTTCAGCCCTGTACTCGGAACAGGACCCTAGCTACCTCTTCTTCACATCCACCATGTTCTTCGCCCTTTACCTCGTTTTGGACATGGGGAATGGTAAGCGCCTGTGCATTCGCATGCATATTTCCTCATAATCCTGCTCGTTCTCCTCCGTGACAATGCCATGTCTGATGAAGAAGTCAATCATCACTACCGCCGAATTCACCTTGAACTCCCCACTCCTCAACGCCTTTTCCACCTCTTCAATATCCATCAAATAAAACTCCTTGACCTCATCATCTTTTGGTATAGGTACCATGTTCGTGGCAAGTTCCAAATCGTACACGTACAGCATATCTGGGATCACTAAATCCTTCTCCGCGAAAAAAGAGTGATCAGTGGAGTGCATATACGTCAATACTCCAGTAGCCTTCACATCACGTCTCACTACCACTTCGCTCAAAGAAGCTTCTTCATCCGCCTCATGCACGATCGTTGAAAACGGGTTTTCGTCGGCGCGCACACCGCCCGCGACGGTACTATCTAGCATCCCCGGGTAAGTTTTCAAGTTAGCACTGCGGCGTGGGACCCAGATCTTCATTCCATCTGGCGTATGTGTGTACGCGGTAAGATGCGCGCCTCGACCTATGGTTCCGAAGAGCGGCGCAGCGAATCGCTCGATGGAGACGGGGCACACGGCACCGGGAACGCGATACATTTCGCTGTGTCTCCCTGCCAAAACCTCGAATGTGTTCTTTTCTATGATAACGTCGATGAGGTCTTGCAAGGCTGAGTTACATGCTCGTGACATGTCATCGTTGGCGAGCGCTCGGAGGGTTACTGTGCGTGTTTGATGGTCGACGAGGAAAGACGGCGTCCAAGGCATTTTCGAGACAACAAGGGGGTGCATGTAGCCATGTGGAAGGTCATCGTGAGGCAGATGGAAGGTGTAGTATGTGGACTGGGATTGAAAATCGTAGGAAAAGCTGGGGTGTTAGGTAAGTGAATGAGAGAAAGACTGTGGGAACAAACTTGTCGTTTGCGGAGACAAGCTCCAGGTATGATCTCAGCTGTGGAGACATTTCTGGTTGTTTTGATTGACGTTTTGAAGGAACCGAAGAAGCCGTGGAACACGACCACAGATCGGAAATCGCTGATTACGTCATGGGTCCACTACCTCTGCCTTGGGCTCGCATTCCACCTCTCTAAGTGACGGTGCACTTTCAGTGGCTGCACATCGATGTAGATGTCCGTGAGTTATCGCTAGGTCGATGAACGATTGTCACGCGTCTTGAGTCCTTAATCCTGTCTCAACACTCTTTATCCCTATGAGTCCAGAGTGATTATGCTGTGACTTCTCCCAGGCTCTTGATATCACATCATCCTCTTCACTCGCTCATCGAGGCATCCCGTTCCCTGCTCCCCCACCTCCAACAGGCCCTTCTCCTCCACCCGTTGTCCTGACCCCCGCTGTCCTAGCACCCGGCTGCCTCTGCAGCGCCAACCTCACAGGTTCATTGTTACTGCTCTGCGCTAATGTTCTTGCCGCTGTACCTCCCACACCCACACTCCCTGTACCGTTACCACCCTCTCCAGGCCCCCGTCTCAAAAGCTCCTCCAGCCCTAGATCGCGCCACGTAGGCTCCTTCCTGCCCTGGGTCGCGCGCTGGATGCCGAATGCGGCGTGTTGGTCGGGTACCACGTCGTCTTCGTCTTCGGGATTCACAGGCTGCAGGTGGTGAGGGATGTATATGTCTTCTGGCGCGAGATGCGAGTTCGTTGGGTTTGTGAAGGATTCGAGGAGGTCGGCGTGGTGCGAATGGTGCATATGCAGGTACGTCGCCGAGGAATCGCGTGTCTGGACATGTTAGGCAGGTGGGCAGAGTGAAGTATCGTGTGGGGCGCACCATTGTGGACGTTGTTTGCAATTTAATGTGAGACGAGTGTGAGGGTAGTCACAACGTCGACGCGTTTGTTCTTCGTTTATGGGAGCTGAGATGTCGTGATATTAGGAGAAAGCGAGTAGAATGGTATGTCACGCGTTGGAGTGATGTCGATGAGAATAGCACGCAAAATGTGGTGGGTGGTCTATTGTCATGATGCAGGTCCACACTGAGACGCGGAATTGCACCGCAGAGTACCCGCGTGAGCACGCTATCTCACGTTTGTCACCAACATCATTTCTTCCTTTTGTCTGCCTGTTCCTTAATTTTGGTCTGGTCTGTTCAATAAGCTTCATTCTGGACATTCGTTGATCACGTTCTCTCTTCCGGAGACATGGTATTTGCAATGTGCGACACCACGATCCTGTTTCGGTGGCGTTTGCAGACATCTGCGGACATCACCACTACGATCCAGCGATGGTCTTCCAGACATTTTGGTAGAATGAGTATCGTATGGGAAAACCATATGAGTTGACGTTATATGATACTGATTATAGAACTATACAAGTCTCGCGCGTTTCTTTCTGCAAAAATGAACCCTTCTCGTTTGTCTATCTAGTAACATAGCCAAAATCTAGGGCGAGGTCACACTCACATCGAGAGCTGAGAATATGTCTGTCAGTTTCGATGGACCCAAAGAGCGATATCTCTTCGCGAGTCAACTACATTCAGAGCCGAGGCAAGGTCACAAGGACGCTTGATTGATTTCCTTGCATCGCATACCAAAAGTTTATATTGTTCACTGCCATCGATATCGATATCAAACATCATCTGTCTTGTTCTGCATACATATCTTGGTCATCATATTCTGGCGCTATGCTGTTGAAGTGGCCAGTGACAGCCCCGCAGCACCCCGCTTTAGGATTGCATATCAACCAGCTTTCTGACATCTTACTCAAACCTCATTTCTATCCTCACTCATCTCTACCAAAGAAATCCTACCACTCTATCACAATGGTCGATGGACGTTGCAACTGCGGAGGCATCAAGGTCTCCATCGCCCAATTGCCTGAACAATCAGCAATCTGCTACTGGTACAGCAATTTCCAATCAAAGCAAAGCCTTCAAACGTACTGACGACGGAAGCTTCAACTGCCGCCGCACAGGGTCTGGTGTAGGCTCCATCGTCTACATTCTTGACAAGAAAGACATTACTGTCAACGACCCAAACAACCTCATCAAGAATTACAAGGACAGCGATACAAAGAGCGGGAGCACGATTACGCGTCAATTCTGCGGCGACTGTGGATGGTAAGATGGTCAGAGTTGTCCTAGGAGTAGACAAAGTACTGATGCTGTACAAGTGCGATAATGTCAGTTCTTGCGGGCGATTCAGGAAAAGTCGCTCTCAAGGGTGGGCTTTTTGAGAAGATCCCCATGCCAGGATTCAAGTCTTTTGAAGAAGAGGAACCGGCATGGTTGAAGTATGTCAAGGTCGACGAAGGAAATCTATAAGCCATCGGATCGTCAATATATACACATGAGGCTGTTTGAGTACTTTCCTAGACCGTAGATCGAAAATAATGGCTTGAGGGAGATTAGTGAGTTCCTCTCAAATAGAACCGCGGGTAACCCAAGAAATGTTCACCCGAACCGTCAACTCCGCCCATCATGTGTCCTTTAGATATCGTTTCACGCGATCTGTACTACGCAGTAGGAAAGTCACACCACGTGATGACGCGTGTACCGCTAAAAGGCACTAGTGATCGACCCCTGATGTTGGCACGTCGCAACTTATCCAACTGATCATCACGACTTCATCATGGCTTCTGTTGATCAGCCCATTGTGATTGATGACGAAGTCAACGACACCCCTCTACCCTATTACCTGGCGAAGCATGTCAATCTAGGCTTCAATTCGGATGATTTAGTCGCGCTTATCAGCTCAATCGAATCGAGTCAAAAGCCACAAACATCCGCACTTCCTCACCTTCCTGCTGAACTCCTTCTACTCATTCTTGAGTATGTACCTATCGACTATGTACTGGACTGGCGACTGGTCTGCCGCGGCTTTCGCGATGCCATTGATGGTCGTGTTTTGTACCGTTATCTGCAGCGGGCTGAGTTAATCGGGACTATGGGATCAAGAGATTCTGGCCGACTTTCTAGCTTGAGTGACGAAGAGTTTGATCAGATACATCTTCTTCGCGCGCCATTCCTGCATATTGATAACACTGCTGGAGAGGAAAAACAAGAAGGCCCAGTCTGGGGTCGTGAGCATGCGGTGTTCCAGATTGGTGATAGCTGGTTCCAAGCATTCAGACAGATTGGTGGCGCTGCAGCTAAAGACGGAGATACAGTTGAAGATGCAGACACAAAATGGCTGAACTTACTGGACCGCCTGGAGCTCAGGCGGGCAGAGAAGGGCTTTGGGACGCTGAGATGGTGTCTCAAGCTAGATCACGCGGTGTTGGATATGGACTTCCCACTTGAGGTTGGAAGAAACACCTTCGATGTCGACGTACACCTGCACAAGAAAAGCGTTAGAGTCGCTTGGAAGCCAATGCTGTTCCAATTCTTGAAGACGGAAAGAGCGCTGAGGAAGTTGATGAAAGAGGAACGCGACCCGACATTCACATTTAGTCGCGACGAAGATTACCTTCGTTCGATACGACGCCAGCGTCTCCATTCATCCCTCGACCCTGAAAACAAGGTGGACCGACACATCAAGTGGTCACTCCGCCTGCTTCCACCGTTGTTCGGCAAGCCCAGTCACGACCACGCACTCGGCCTCGAGGACGTCGAGAACAAAGCCATCAATTTGTTGTTACTCCTGCGCCGGGAGGCCGCTATGAGTATACGTCAACTGGCATACCTACGCCAATTGGCCGAGGATCGCAAAAACATGGATAGCGAGTTGCAAGAGCTCGACCAAACATTCAGGGACTTCAAGAGCAACATGTCCATGCCGGGATTTGAGTTCAGCTTCTCAATGCAACCGGAGTCTGAGCAAAACATTCCTCGCAATCCCATCGCTTGGCCTGATGATTTGAGGAGTAGGATTGAGGAACGGGTCGCGAAATGGAAGTCCCAGAAGAAGGCCATTGAGCAGATGCAAGTGCTTTTGACGGCATCGAATGAGACTCTTGCGGTACCCGACGATGGCTTTGATGATTTGGATAGCGACTTTTGAAGCCATATACAAATGTCAAGTTAGCACACTGAGCATTGGAAGTAGCATAACCACTGCCCCGAAAACAAGAGGAGATCTGGAGCTTGTCGATCTACCGCCTTATGAATCATCTCCATCTTGAGCCTAGTCTGTTATCGCTAAATTTGTTGTGCTACATATGATCTGCGACTTCAGTTACCATTCAAGCTCTTTGGAATACAGACACTTCTCATCAAAAGATCTGCTCTTCCTGGCGGTAAGAATATAGAATTGGAGACTTATGCAGATCAGACTGCTGGCTACATGTAAGGTGCACGGACGCTGACTGGCTCTTGCAGGGCTCAGCCTTCTCCAACTGTTTCTGCCTTGTCTATCCTGTTCTTTAACTTTAGGCATCTCTTTACCTTTTTCTGCGCCGTCTAGCTTTCCAGACTGTTCTACGCCTAGGTTGTTTCGCTTGTCCCTCGTTGCAACTCTTCGCAAAATGCGCCACTCTGTTAAGTTGATCACAGCGTAGAATGCCCAGCCCAACCTTGTTGGAACGTTGATACAGTGCATTCGGTCACCCCACCCTTAAATTCTGAGGTTTGCAGCCTGCTGGAATGAGCTAGACTGTTATCGACTACAGCTTTGACATCGTTCTTCTATTTCCCATAACTCTATTTGTATTGAACGGCATCCATCTTTTCTCCTACAACTACCACCAGAACGGGGACAACGAAAGCAATGTTTAAACCCCCACTCATTGCCAGCACACCCAACCCAACATGTTCGACCGCACAAAAGACAACGCCAGATACCTCTGGGAAGACAGCCGACTACTCCGGTTCTGCGTAAAGGGCCTAAGCTGCACATTCTGCATCATCCACTCATGGGGCTGGATGTGTATGCAAGAGCCCGGGATGAACAAACAAGCCAAGCGCGACGCGACATTGACAGAGATAAACCAGCGTCGCCGTGAACGGCAGCTCAAGAAGCGAAAGCGCAGCGTTTCCGTTGATGTGGACCCGTGGGGGAGGAAGGCCATGGGGGAGCAGCACCAGTCGCTGTTTTTCTGTAAACTGCCCGCGGAGCTCAGATTGAGGGTTTATGAGATGTTGTTGTTGGAGTCCGGGGATGAGGCTTCTATTGACGCCACCACCAACGATAACGACGACGAGATGTGTTGCATCACACCAAACGCAGTTGAGAAGAATTTCCTGAGATTGAGAGCGAAAATACCACGCCCCGTGGCACTGTTACGGACGTGTAAGAGAATGCATGTACACCATCCTTCCACACCCATCCCACCAGCGGCTTCGAAAGCATTCCTCACGTACGACCAGAATAGTCATGCTGACTTGACTTTTCTGCGCAACCAGCTACCGCGAAGCCATCGACCTCATCTACTCGCACGGCACATTCGCTTTCCCATCGTACAAATGTTTCTTCGCCTTCTCGCGCGCGGTCCCCTTCCAGCGCCTGGAGCGCCTCAAGCGCATCACCATTGACTTCTCGATACGCTGGGACAACAAAGTCTTTGACAAACACCCCTTCTACCGCGGAGCGTACGAGCACTCTGATTTCATCGCCGTGATTGCATCGATGCCTGCTCTGCGTGCTGTGCACCTCGTGAGTGGCGTTCACGAGGAGGACTACTTGGCCTCCCCTTGGTGGCAGGATTTAAATTTGTTTGTTGCGATTGAGGCCACGTCGGAAGTGCTGCCTTGTCCGGTTTCTTACATGATTGCGATGTGTGGTCCGCATCAGGTTCTGGACCCGTTGTGGTGGACGGATGATCCGCGTACTGGGAGGACGATGTTGGTTGAGAAGTGGGCTGTGAATGAAGTTGTTAGACTGCGGTGAATAGGGTGGTGATGGTAGTGTGGACCAGCAAAAGATATGAAACGAAGAAACTAAGAAAGGCGTAAATCGAGTTTTTGAACTTACAGGAAGTGACTTCCAGGATTTTCCAAAATTCAAACTACAGATCCATCATCTCTCCGATATCATCTCCTGAAAGACCAATCATTTTTTTGACGCACAGAAACACTAGGAATATAATGGTGTTGTAGTGCTACCATCACTTCAAAGCCTCACCTATCGTCAGTCAACACCACACCACTACACCATACCACATCAAGCAGGGTGAATTCCCCTTTGCCAATCGCCGCACATACTGTAGGCCTATATAATCGACCTTCTCTAAAGGTTAACCCAGCAACCTCCAAGCCTTGCGTCGCTACACCGCGTCTATAAAAACACTCCAACCCCCAAACCGAGCACCACGCCCAAGTAAACTATACAGTCCCCCAATCCGATCCCAAACCAAACAACTTCCATCCCTCCGCTCTGAACATTATCCACTGCAGACACACACACACACCAGACAAACAATCCACAGTACAAAGCCGCCCGGCCCTCCGATCCGGTTAACCACCGCCCTATTTAACGCGCAATCGCTGTCTCTAGATCGTCCGTGTCCGCTGCATTGTCCCGAATCAGGTAAACTTCCTTACGTCGACCATCGCCGCGATAAACATCATGACTAATGCCTTCTATTCCATCCCGACATGAGAACATTACCGCATCGACAAGCTCCTATCGTGGGCCTGAACATGGACATGAACATGGACATGAACAAGAGCCTAAACAGGACACATCCTCCCATGCCACCACACCCCCATGCCACATCCCCCGACGTCAAGCTTCAAAGTCAAGTAGCCAGTAGAAAGGGTAAGAGGACATCAAGAAACACAGCAGCACGCCCTCGATGCTCACGCAAACAAGCAGGCAAGCAAGCAAGTCCACAAAGACTAGTTAGTGAATAGAATACATATTATTACTTCATCGCTGCTTATATATATTACGGCACCAACACCCATCAGCAGTGCCTCTTTATCCCACCCCCAGCGCTAAAGCGCATCTCTATGTACCCTCGAATCAAAGCCCCAACATGCCATCTCTAGCAATTGATGAGAAAAAAAACGCCGTGCGGATATCGTCCATCATAACAGCGTATCCGCTCTATGCCGTATCGCGTACAAGCCACAAACAAACAAACCCCACAAACGCAAACGCAAGCGATGAGGATTAGAAAACAAAAAACGTCGTAGCACACTCAGAGGACCAGCGCGGCGCCGAGGATGGCCATGACGGCAGCAAGGCTCGCTCCCGTGTACATACGCGACGTCACGCCGGCGCCTGCGCTCGCAGCCGGGGCGGCGGAGTTCTGCGCGGAAGAAGTGGACGAAGTACCCGAGGCGGTGGATCCAGCGGACGACGCGGTAGCGGAGGAGTGCTTGGTGGACGAGGCTCCCGACGCGGACGTGCTGTCCCCGCTGGCTGTGGATGACGCGCTGCCGGTGGCCGACGCACTGCTGTCTGAAATGGTCGATGTGCTGGAACCGGACGAATCGACGTAGGCGGCTTGGATGCGGATCTCGACGCACTGGTCGCCGATCCATTGGTCGTAGAGGTTGTAGAAGGCGCCGCTGGAGCACTTCCACCATTGCGTTGTGCCGCCGATGGCGAGCGAGTCGTTGCCGCAGACGGAGAAGCCGCCCGTGTAGATGGCGCCTGCTTGCGGGGGGCCGTCGAATTGGAATTGTTGGTTAGCTACGATGGAGCCCACGCGGCCGTGCTGGTCTTTGAGAACACCATCCGTCAGGTGGCAAATAAGAGCGCCGTCAACAGCCTGCGGGAGATGTGTTAGCACACTATAGCAATAAAATACCATGGAAGACTTTAAGGGCTACGCACCTGTTCCGCCGTCGCTACAACATCAGCCCGCTTCGCAAAGTCCCGCAGAACACCAATCGTGAAGTTCCCGTCCGAAGTCGTCACGCACCCATCTGGCGCACTCGCGTCGGGCGCAATCCCCTCAGCGACCTGAGCCAGAGCCCCCGACGCAGCGAACAGCACGGCAAAAAAGTCTGAAGCGCGCATTGTCGATTTTGGTATCCAGCAAGACAAACGAGTCGATGAACCTCGGCAGCCCGTACACGGTAGCACCTACACAACAAGGACAAGAATAATGCTGGGGGGAGAGAGGGGGCGTAGGAATAGCGCGACGACACAGCAATAAGCTCGACGAGTATTAACGAATCCAAAAAATGCGGAGAAGTAGTGAAGACAACGACGACGACGATGATGGAGAAGGAAAAAACCCAGCGGAGGAAACAAGCCCCAACAATAGGAGGAAGGCTGGGGTAAGATAGGCCCAGGCACAAGGTACGCGTCCCCCAAAACTTGCTGGGCGTGCAAAGCACGACGTGTCAAAGCAGGGAAAGCGCGCCCCAGGATCAGGTTGTACCACAGGGTCGCCAGACGACAATGGGGATCACGTGGTTGATGGCCTGAGCGCGAACACCAGAATCTTAAGATGTTTAACACTATAATAGGGGATTTGTGTATAGGTAGATAATTTAACAACTACACTAAATTTATTATATAAAATAAGAAGCTAAGGCTGCTCTAACCTTCCTTTAACTATTTATACTATTATTATTACTATCTGCGTATTCTTTTTATATAGTTAAGCTAATATTACTTATAAACTTAATATTAACCTTAATACTATTTAAGCGTTTTATTAGCGTATAGCCTAGCTTACTAATAGCTTACATAAGTTTTAGAATCTTATAGAATATATTAAAGCTTCTTAACGTCCTTATCTTACCCTAATTACTGCTCTAGGCAGCGCTCTATTATATAAAATACGTACTAGCGTACTTTCTTATAAGACCTAGTAGTAAACTAATATAGTTAACTTTAACTACTTAAAGATTAAGTAAGAACTACTAAAAGACTTAGTAATCTAGCATATATATTTTAATAAACGCTATGCTAATACTAACCTAAAGCACCTAAAGCTTATAAAATAACTATACTGCCCTATAAAGCCTACTCTTAATGCTAATAACTACTATAACTGCCTATAATATACTAAGGATTTAGAGAAGATTATAGGTAGCTTACTTAAGTAGGTAGAGTACTAGAGGTAGGCTCTCTATATATAGGTAGTCTTTATTAGTGTAGATATACTAGTAAATAGGTTTGGGGTACCTACGCTAGTAAATAGGTTTAGGGTACCTAATAATAGGTTAGAGTTAGGTTAGGGTTATACAGACTCTAGGTTAGAGTTAGGTTAGAGTAGACTATACATTAGGTTAGGGTTAGGTTAGAGTAGACTGTATATTAGGTTAGAGTTAGGTTAGAGTAGACTATACGTTAGGTTAGAGTTAGGTAGAGGTTAGCAGAGGTATAGCTAATTAGGTATATAATAATAAGCTATAGTAGAGTCCTCTAACTAGCTAGAGCCTACCTAACCTCTACTTAAGGTCTGTATAACTCTAACTCTACTCTAACCTAATACTAGCATAAAAAACTTAGGTTAGAGTTAGGTTAGGGTAGACTATACATTAGGTATAGGTTAGGTTAAAGTTAGGTTATACTTATATAAGACTTAACCTCTACCTAACCCTAACCTATTTACTAGCGTAGAGGTACCTAATAACAGGTTAGAGTTAGGTTAGAGTTGTATAGACTCTAGGTTAGAGTTAGGTTAGAGTAGACTATATATTAGGTTAGGGTTAAGTTAGGGTAGACTATATATTAGGTTAGAGTTAGGTTAGAGTAGACTGTATATTAGGTTAGAGTTAGGTAGGAGTTAGTAGAGGTATAGCTAATTAGGTATATAATAATAAGCTATAGTAAAGTTCTCTAACTAGCTAGAGCCTACCTAACCTCTACCTAAGGTCTGTGTAACTCTAACTCTACCTTAACCTAATACTAGTGTAAAAAACTTAGGTTAGAGTTAGGTTAGAGTAGACTGTACGTTAGGTATAGGTTAGGTTAGAGTTAGGTTATACTTATATAAGACCTAACCTCTACCTAACTCTAACCTATTTACTAGTGTAAGCGTAGATAAGTACTCTCTTAGTTTTAGTAGTACTAGTACTAAGCTTATAAGCGCACTGTAAGGTAGTAATATATATAAGAATTCTTAGAACGTACTACTAGTATATTTTAAGCTTATATAGTAGGCTGCTATAAGCTCTATCTTTATACTAACTTATATAAGGCCTTAAGTTATATAGAAGAAGGAGAGTAATATACTTATACTAAAGCTTACTAATAAGCTTAAAGCTTAGGTTAAGAAGCTTAATAACGTAGTTATAAAGTAGTATAAGAATACTCTTATCTCTAGTATAATTAAGGCAAAATACCTAGCTTAGGAGAATACTTAAATATAAAAGTTTAATAAAGCTCTACTCTGCTACTGCTAGCATAATAAGCTAAAATAGATAACGCCTAAGAGGCTTTATAAATATAAAAAGTATAAGCAGGATTATACTTATAGTAGTATTAACTTTATATAGTATACTTTTAAAATCTATAAGAGACTTCTATTTCCTTACTATTACTATATAAAATAGAGATTTCTTAGACAACGTATAGTTATTATAGAAGATAGTGCTAGTTACTATATTAAAGCTTATTATCTCTTTTAAGCTAAGATTAATTTAGAGGGTATTAAGTTTATTAACTAGCTACTAAACTTACTTAATCTCTACCTAATTAAAGATGTTTAAAACAGCTATAAGAAGCTTCTTAAATAACTACAATTTACTACTAATTTAGTAGCTAAATTAGTTAAAGAATACTGTAAAGCTAAAATATAGTATATATAGTAAGAAAACTCTAAATTTAAGAAGATTGTACTTAAAATAATAATGCTAGGTAACTATATAAGGCTAGTAAAGCTCTATTATAATTATAAAGGAGATAACTTATTTAAGGTATAATAGTCTAAGATTTATACTATATTTTATTATATTTATAGCCTACAGAGAATGTATAAAGTTGTAATTTATACTAAAATATTAGTAGTGCTGTATTCTTAGTGTTTTGGTGGATTACGTAATCCCTATTGTCGTCTGGCGACCCTGTGGTACCTGCAGCGCCGCCAGCCTGCTTCAAGCATAGCGAGGGCTGGCCGCGAACGCTAAACGCCGTTACCCTAGGCGCCACCAACGCGTAGATTGGGCGCTGGCTGCGTCGTGGTTGGCGAGGCGTTTCATGGGGAGCGATAAGGTCGGGGAATCTGGACGAGCGTTTCCGATGGTCATGCGTGTAGGTCGATGATTGCTGTGGGGAGGTTTGTTACGTCGGTCGTGCCAGGGTGCGAGTCATAAGGTTGCCCGTCCCGCGTGCGTCGTATCTACTGCGGGATCTGCGTCAACAATAACAACAATAATCACCACCTTCAGAAGTTATGCAGAATGAAGCATTGCATACTCTCCCACCTGTATTTTGTTCTTTGTTCGCACTCCTCCTGAGAATGCAAAGGGCTGCACCGTATCAGTGGTTGACTGCTGGGTTTAGGGGTCGAAACATAAAATATCAAAACGTGAGCGTGTGTGTGCACGGTCCAATAGGATGGTATTGGCACAAGAGCGTCAGACAAAACTTGCTTCTCCTACACCAAACCCATTCTCAGGTCCAGACTCGTCTTATCTCCTAATACCATCTACCATCTTAACAACTATGACGCTAGATCGAGACTCCATCTGAAGTGCTTACAATCTCATCGTAGTGTCTTCGACAGACTGAAACTACATCGATCTGCTACCGACTGCCAAACCCAAAGGATTGAGCATGAGCATCCGGATCAGCCATCATCGCATTCTTCGTCTCACTGCAGACGCGCATAATAGCCGTAGTCTGTATTTCCCCCGCGCGCGCATGGAGCGCCGGAGACTCCGTCTTCTCACGTTTGCCGAGATCAGGGTGGTTCAGCACACCCGGCCTATACGAGTCCGAGCAGTGGGTTTGCAGCAGCTTGTCGATACTGTCGGGCTCATGCATGATCTCGAGGAAGAAAAACTTGTACCAGCCTGCGCGATTGAGAGCCGGCATGTACGATGGGTAGGTTGTTGATGGCGACGATATTTCTGTGGTTAGCTTGAGATCCTGCGCGTGCGTGTGTTGGTTGTAGGTCCAGAGTGGGTTCAAGGCGGGTTGGCAGGGCACCATGAAATGCGGTATTCCCTCCAGAGTCCACATTTTGGCGAACGCACTGTATGATTTGTAAGTGTAGAGACCTGGAAAACAGTGAGCTTGGGTCGAACATCATGCACATTGCGTTTTTTTTTCACTCACGAGAAGCATCGTCCGTCAATTCTACCCAACTCCCCAACACCTTCGGAGCTTCCAGCATACCCGTGTTCCGCGGCTCGAACTTCCTGTCGAGCGTTTCGAATACCAAGTCTGCCAAGGCGTAAAACTCGCGCGTTGGGAGTTCAGTGACCGGATCGGCGAATCTCCACGGATCGGCGAAAGGAACGTTGGTTATGCTGACAGCCCTTCGAGGGATCGAATGTCTAGGCGATGGCGATCCAGCATGCGCCGAAGAAGGCTGGAAGGCCTGATATGGCATGGCTTGTCCAGATGCACTTGATCCGTGAGGGTTGGTTTTCATGAGGCTCAATTCGCCCATGTCAGCGGGCAACTCCGCAATGAACTCAGATATCGATGGCTGTGAGGCCGAATGCTGCGATGCGGGTCTCGGGGGTTGAGGCTGCTGAGGAGATGCGGCTAATGGTGACTGAGGCTTGGATTTGATGTGCAGTGGAGGGGGTGGGCTGACAGATGTAGGGCGAAACTGATCCAGTTGTTGACCCTGGAAGCTCAACGGAGGCGTAGGGTTCCAGTGTTCTTGTTGTTGGGGTTCCTGTTTTACCGAAGTAGATGGTACTGGATGGTTTGGTTGCGGAGATGCCGTTGGGTGAGGAGACTGCTGTTGAGGAGCAGTTGGAGGAGTCTGCTCATGACCCGGATGAGGGTGGCCAAATTGCGGCTGCACTGGTTGTGAAGTCTGCTGTGGAGGAGGCTGAGGCGGATAGCCATACGGAGACTGCGGTTTTGACTGAGCTGGAATCGCTGGAGAGCCATCTGGAACGTGGGCCGACTGCACGTATTGAGGCGGACCCGGAGCCTGCGAGCCTCCTATCACACCTGTCTGCTGTCCATCAGAGCCACTCTGCAGCAGCTGATTCTGATACTGGCCCTGAGGCTGACCCTGCCCGTACTGTCCCTGCTGCGCTTGCGTCTGAGCATACAATCCGCTGTTCCCTGCCTGCACAGGCTGGGCCAACCCGTACCCTGTCGGGTTGGGAGGTTGCTGTGGTGTCTGAGACACCTGTGGATACGGCGACTGAGGCATCTGCGGCGGAAAATAGTTGCTCTGTCCCGAATAACCGGATACTGGAGTTGCATAGTTTGAGTGCTGGTACGGGGACTGTTGCTGTGATGGAGGATACGTGCCCGGCACTTGTGGCTGCTGCCACGGCTGCTGTTGCGGTTGAGGGCTGAACGCCTGGCCCTGTTGCTGGTAACCTGGGTTCTGACTTGGTTGTGCAAGTTGATTTTGATAGTTTGGGTAGCTCTGCTGATGCTGGGCCAGTCCTGTAGACGGTTTGTTGCCAAGCTTTGAGGTGATTGTCTTGGAGAGTTTGTCGAACATGGGCTTTCCTGTTGTAACAGCCTGGTTCATCATCTGCCCGAATGCGCCGCCGGGCTTATGCGATTGCTGGAAGCCATGTTGCTGTTGGCCCTGATTTGGAGTGCCTTGGCCTGGCGGTACGTAGGTGCCCGGTGGGGCATTCGATCCATACTGTGACATGATCTGTGATTCCTGTACTCGATATATCACTCTTCTCAGGTGAGGGGAATCCAGGAACAAAGGGTTTTGGGCGGCTGGAGCTAGATTAAAGACACGGCTCGTCGCGTCAGCCGCACCTTAACCTATTCTTAGCATAGTAGTTTTCAGCCTTGTTCAGTCATTATTAATGCAATCAGAATCAAGCAGTAGATCGCCCAAGTTTCTTAAAGGGTGTCTCAAAGAGAGAATAGCTTTGGATGACCTAGCATGATGATATGTTGTAGGACCCTGTCGAAGATCCGAGGCCTTGAGCTCGTGTCTGTGCACGATTCACGTAGCGGGGACTCCAGTATTGATTTGCCAATTCCACCCCTTGCATGTTACTCGGTCAAATCTCTACCGAGGCAATCAATCGTGCGACACACAAACAGCACACCGCGCATCATGCATCAACAGACCACGTGGAATGGTGTGTTTTAGAAGAAATTATTGCCATTGCAAGAGTGAAAAGGCCTCCGTGGTATCATCCATGGTACGCCCGTGAACTGCAACCTAACTCCATACCGACCCGTATTCATGCCCGACTTTTAAGACAACACATTTGATGTCTCAGTAACGCCACTACCGAGAGAAACCCAGCTGAGAAAAGAAGGTACCATACATCCAGACGTCTTTAAAATCGTGGAAGGGATCAAACTAACGTATAACCAGGGTCTTAACCACGTTGGTGTCAATATCGTGCAACTCAGGCGGAAACTTGCACGCCTCGCCAAAAATACAAGTTTTGGTGCCCTTGACGTGATGCTTGTTTGAAGGTGCCGGGCAACGGTGACCATATATACACTTTATGTCCTGGCAGCCACTTCCGTTCTGGCAAGGAGCCATACGTGCGACAAGGCGGAGGGTGCTTATCTCCTCTTTCGTGGGTTTGTATTGATGAAGGTGCGTACACTGCTCATCATATGGGCATTCTCGCCTGAGAAAATGGACGTTGCACATCTTGATCTTCTTGATACGATCGACTTCAACCTTGTCGTAATCCTTGCAGGGAGGGTCAACACGCTGGCCAATTCGATTGCGCGCGATTACTTCCTCACGGTTCGCTGGCTTATACACAGGCGACTCGGAGCCAGGAGGCGGCGGAGCTGCAGCCTTCGCAGCCCAGCTATTGACGCTGGGAGCTGGCTTCAAAGCTGGATATCCATCGGAAGCCAGGGTTGACGAAGACGGTGTCCTAGGTAGATTCATTAGAGAAGCCTTGGCGGGAATGGGACTATCCATCAGCGACGACATTGGCCCCCGTACAGGTGCGGGAAAGCGAGATGGCAGTCCACTTAGCATGTTGAAAGTCTTCATCCCAGGCGATGGCGAGTCGACGGGAGTGCCAGGCCCAGCAGGAAAAAACGTGTTGGATGCACCCCAAACGACGAGCTTGGAGTCCCGGAAAAGGCCTGGAAATTTCTTCGTGGTATATGGCAGGGGTACCAGCTCTTTTTCGAACGGAACGCCCTCCAGGAGCACCACCTTGCTGAGGAGCTCTAGCTTGTCGGAGCTCTCCTCAAGTACGCGAGCATAGCCATTGTCATGCGAGCAACCGAAAAGAAGTCGACGGCAATGGTAATCTTGCGAGAAGAGCTTGAACGACTCTGTTGATGGTCAGTTGAGCTCGAAGGCCTGCATCGCACCATCAGACACATACCAATGATCTTCTCATCTGCACGATCTTTGCCGGAGCCAACGTCAATGAAGTCAAAGAGGGTCTTGCCTCGTGTAAAACCGCGCATGAAGTCTTCAAATTGTCCGACATATTCAACGGCGCCAGTCTTCACAAGCACATCGCCGAGTCCGCGAACGTTGGCGTAAACACGACAGACGATACGAGCGCCGAGAGGAATATCAGTGGTCTCAGTCTCGATGTACTCCTGAACTGCAGCATAGAGTTGAGAGGCAGCTCGACGGCCACCCCTCTCGCCATCGCTGACAAACTCCTCGCGAAACTAGCATCGTAGTCAGCAGAAGAAAGTACAGTGAGAAGAGGTAAGCGCTCACAATCATTCCATCGCCATCAATCAGCACCATGACAAAGGGGTTATCGGCCTGTTCATATCAGTGACTCGATTCGTCGCGTCAACGCCCTTGTAGTCGCCTGACTGAGGGGTGGGCTCACCATTGCACGCTGCATGTTCTTCATATACTTTTCGTACTGCTGCTTTTCGGCTTGCCACGCCACCACCCAATCGTGCTCACGATTGCGTTCCGATAATAGGGCCTCATATCGCTGGCTAAGGTATTCGTAGCGTGCAACAAGTTCCTGTCGATGTGAGCCGTGATCAGTGCCACAGTAGGCGATACTCACGTTTACAAACTTGGCCTTTTCCTTGTCATACTGCTCGAATTGTTCGTGACGCTTAATCACGGTGGCCAAGTCAGACTCTGGACTTGCAACAGCAGAGGCGGATTCGTAATTGTGGCCATTATTTGTGGGCGTGCTGGGCGCACTGGGCGAGAGCGTGTGGCCCAAACCGTTGAGGAACACAGCAGGCGACATCCTGGCTATGTCCCAAAAGAGAAATTCAAATGGTGGATTTGGCTGCCTGGGGCGCTTCAGTGCACGACGTCACCAGAAAAAAGATCGAAGTGAGGGTCAGTGTAGGTTGGGTGTTGCGCGTTTGCGTCAGTGTGCGGCGAAAATTGTAGAAATGCAAGAGAGGCGAGGTCGTTCCAGAATCGAAGCGAAAGACGAACCAGAGAAATGATGGAACTGCGGGTGAAGGTGAGACTTGTATTGTACCGTCAGTTAGTGGAAGCGAAAAAATATATATCAATCTGACCCAGACTGTGCGACCATGCAGGCAGGCGCGATGCTTGGGATGGCGTCGGCGAAACACTTCAGCAGCAGGCGGCGGTGAGGACTGCAAATTGCAGCAAACGGTGTCAACTTGCAGAACCTCGCGGCGGTGACAAGTCTTTTGGTCTTTCCTTTGTCTTGTGAGGGAACTGCGTGATCGCGGAGCGTGCGTCGTCGTCGTTAATTGGCGAGGTGTGTGCCCGATCGGGACGGGTTCACTTCAGCCCTGCCGGTGGTCGCTTGCGGCCTACGAGGAAAGAGGGAAGGCGCGCTCGGACGTCATTTCCAGAAGACACGTTCCGAGTTGCGGGTTGCCTATTCCCTCGCCCATTCTTCTCTGTGCTCTCTTCATCTCATCGTCTCCTGTGTAGCATTCAATATGGTCGCCTGGAAGCTCTCGTCCCTGCTGCTGCTCTCTCTGCGCGCCCTCAATGCCTTTGCGGTTGAGGTGAGTTCTCGCGTGCTTGACGAGACATGACATCAGCCCGCTGACGTCGTTGTTTCAGGTGAAGGAAGTGAACGAGGAGCCGCAAACACCCAACCTCAAGGTCGCCGTATCGGTTTCGTTCCCCCAGTCCGAAATCTTTGGTATCAAGCTCGTCAATGGCCATGCCACCGAAGCCCGCCTCTCCATCAAGAATGAGGAGCCCTTGCCCATCAAGGTCTCCGTTGTGGGTGGCTCGCTCGTGCAGGTCGTCAAGGACCAGTCCCAGATTCTGCGCAACCTCACTGGCCAGAAGTACTCGCTGGAGATCCCTGCCGGCACTGAGGAGACGGTTCCCTACAGCTTCAAGACCGACATGCACCCCCAGGACCTCCGCCTGCAGCTTGTTGCAGTGCTGAAGGACTCCAAGGGTGCTTCGTACACGGTTCCTGTCTACAACGAGACTGTTAGCATTGTTGAGGCGCCCACCAGCGTTTTCGACCCGCAGATGTAAGTACCTGGAGTCTCACGCACCACTTCCCCTATCACTTCCACTGCCCCACATTGCCCCACACCGCCCCTCTATCTGGTCGTCCAGCAAACTGACGTGTGTCACAGCATCTTCCTGTACCTCGTCCTCCTTGGCGTTTTCGGTGGAACCGCCTACTTCGTCTACAACACCTGGATCACCACCTTTTTCCCCCAGAAGAAGGGTCGCGGCAAGGGTGGTGAGCGCGCCAAGAGGTCCTCCGGTGGCACCAAGGCGGTTGATCCCGCCGACCAGATCGCCGTTGTTGGTGCTGATGGCCCTGCTGTCACATCTGGTGCGAAGGCGTACGATGAGAGCTGGATCCCCGCTTCTCACTTGCAGCGCCCCGAGGCCAAGCGTGTCCGCAGCGGTGTTTCCAAGACCCGAGCGAAGGCTTAAATGTTCTCCTCGCAGTTGGGGGGACGGTTATTTAATGGACGTTGGTTGGATAATCTTGTGATCGCGACGTGTAGGATATCAGCCGGTTGTCGTCTTATTCTGGTCTCGGTACCTATGTGGATCGAGACGATGGCATCATGACTCAAAAGTTGGTTAGTGTTGTATATTGAAAGGGATAGAAGATAATCGTTAAAATTATTATCTGCATTTTTATCTAACGCGTGTTCAAGCCGACTATCGTTCACTCCTTCTTCCACACCTCAAACTCCTCATCCATATGCGCCTTTAACTTCGCAAACTTATTCCCAAACCCCTTCCCACACCTCCAACACTTCATCTCCCAGTTCGGCCAATCCCCCGGATGAAACCTCTTACTCCCCTCCTCCAGCGGAAACTCATCCATTTCCACGAGAAAGCCCGTATTGAAGCTGAGGTAATGTTTCTTATGCTTCATCCACGGGGACTGCATATCCCGACTCAGGATGTGAATGTGCAGATGGTTCATCGAGGGGTGTGTATGCACGCCTGCTTTTATATCGGCCAGCCAGTCGCGGCCGGGCGGGAGGAGGGATGCGCGTTCCGAGGGAGTTGGGGGAGAAGACGAGGACATGAGGTCCTCCAGCGCGGTCTGGTAGGGCGCGTCGGTCGCGCTTAGGTGGCCATACTGGCGACGCAGTTCGCTGGCCGCGAGGGCTTTGATGCGGGTGACGCGTTCGCGGACGTCGGCGAGGAAAGCTGTGTCTTCTGAGAGCAGGGAGAGGGGGTGCTGGAAGTAGAGGGCTGGGTTGCGCGGGATGAGCAGGAGGTGCACGCTGGGGCTTTGTTAGGGGGTGCGTTTGGAGGGGTGGAGGGGAGGGGTAGCGTGTACCTTGCTTTCGGGAACTTGTCGTTTATGACGACGAAGTCGTCGTCGTAGTCTACTACTCGCCCTTCGGGGTTGGTCTCGGGGTGCTCAAGGTATACGCCTAGGCCGTTGCGGGGGTCGAAACTTCGCGCTATCTTTTTTGCTTTGTCGAGCGTGCTTGGGGGTGGGGTGGGGGGCTTGGGCTTCTTGGACCCGGACATGAGTTCTGTGACTGCGTTGTGAGTTTAGGTCTTGCTGTGGTGGCGTGCGTAGGTGGGTGTTGACGTACACGCATTGGGGCGCTTTTGCGACGAGGCGTCTGTTGTTGGAGCTGGTGTGTTTGGGGACTCGACGCCTGTTATCTCCTCGGCGGTGATGGCATCGTTATGGGTCGTTGGAGGCATGTTTGGTATTCGCTGTTTCCGTCGTGATGGGCGTCGGGTGTGGAGTGTTCTGCATGTGGAGAGGTCGGATGGTCGCAGGGCGGTTGAAGTAAGAGTTTTCGGGATATAGAAAGAGCCTTGGCGCGTGATTTCACGAACGGCATAGGCAAGCATTCGACGTTCGTTGGAGGTGAAGAGGAACGGTCGATGATGCGACTCGGAATGACGCTGCCAAGATTCGGAATCGATCACGGAGGTGTCAGGCACTAGGTACTTTTGCGTGGTCGATAAGGACAACTGCCATAGAAACTACCCTACAGCCTCCCATCTGCATATATATGATTCCGAGGAGCATTAGTGATCAGTGAGATTTGCCCATATGCCAGCGAGACGGCCCTTTGTCGCCTACAAACCATCACCTACGTAGCGAATATATTTTCCCGACACACTCTAGCCGTCCTCGATGGATTTCTGCAGACTCCCGATCGTGACCTCGACCTGGAACCATGCCCAAGAATGCGCATCCGCCGCGCGGTAAAGCCGTGAAGAAGGCTGCTCCTGTTCCGCCCGAGGAAGACAGCAGCTTCATCGTCTTCGGCGACGCCAAACCCAAGAAGAAGAAGCCCGAGAGCTCTGCGAATGGAGCCGCTGTCGCGACGCAGAACGATGGAAAGGGCAAGGGGAAAGCTCCTGCTGGGCAGCCTGAAGATGCGCCGAAGAAGCCGGATACCAGGACGTTGATTGCTGGGGCGTCGTGGACAGGCAAGCTGCCCGTCAATCTGCTCGCGGAACACTTTCAGAAGCAGCAGTGGGCCAAACCAGACTACCGCATTGTGAGTTGACTTGTAGTATACAAAGCCAATTCACTACTAACACCACCCAGCGCAAAGATGGCGATGCGCACTTTGCCTATGCCGTGGTCCTGTCCAAGACCAACACAAAGACACGCGAAACCATGACGCTCCCCCCGTTCAGAATCCCGCCCGAGCTCGAAGAAAAGGCACACCAGCCTTCCGCCGTGGAAGCGCGCAACTTTGCTGCAGCATACACGCTCTTCCGCGTTGCCAGTGCGAAGAATCTGCACATGATGCTGCCGCCCACGTACAAGGATCTCTGGAAGGGCGAGTTCACCGAGCTGAAGAAGGCCGACGAGAGACAAGGCAAGGCCTGGCTGTACGAGGCGGACCCCTTCTTTGGCCACGCCGAGCGGGAGAAGGCTAGAGAGGTGGCAGCAAAGGAACGCGAGAAGAAGCAGAAGCAGCGCGACGAGGCCCAGAAGGCACACAATCTCCAGCCGGGAATGCCCATGGCGGCTTCCAACGGCTCGTCTCAGGGGAGGAGTCTGCTCAAGGGGTGGGAGCGAGTCCCAAAGATCGAGCTGGGGAAGAGGACGCGAAAAGAGGCTGAACGCCTCATTCGACGAGATGCCCTCTGGAATCCGAATGGCATTCAGATGAGTCCTGCCGTCAAGTCCAAACTCGTAGAGGAGGTTACTGAGCTCGGCTTCCGTCGTAGCCATGTCGAGGAGGCTGCCGAGATATGCAAAGATCGCGAGGAAGTCATCGAGTGGCTGCTCATCCACGTTCCTGAGGACGATCTACCGTCGTGGAGTTTGCCCGAGGGATATGTTGCTGGTGTGAGCATGGCTAGTTCTAGCCTCAAACGAGAGGGCGCCGTCAAGCGCCTGGCCGCTGCTGGATACGCTATGGATCTGTGTGAAGAAGCATACGACAGCCAGGGTGGAGACGAACGAAAAGCAGCAGCTCTTCTACAAGCCCGACTTCTACGACCGAACGACGACGAGAAAGATATTGCGCAAGAACTTGCAGATGTTACGATTTCGGATACACCTGAAGAGCCATGGGAAGATGACCCATGGGAAACTGAAATGTCGTCACTGGAAGCTATATACGACAAACTTTTCTCCCGGCTCTCTCCTGAGATGTGCCGCATCGAACTCGATATCAAGCAGCAGGGAAAGCGCCTTATCCTACAAGTCAGGAAACCCTTTGGCCCATACCCTGCAGTCGTTCCCATCATCACGTTTGAAGCCGCTATTCCCGCCTACATTCGACTGAGTATCATCAGGCAAGCGCTTCTCCATGCCGAGGAAAACTGTATCGGAATGCCTATGATTTACGATGTCATAGACTGGCTGCAACAGAACTCTGGCGAGATTTTCAAGAACCCAGGGCCACTATCCGACGTCTCGTCCGGCCTTGCTGCAGCAGACCATTCGACAGCACAGCAAAGTCATAAGAAGACTAACAAGGCCAGAGCTCGGAGACCGATCGAATGGAAATCAGCGACACCCGCTAGTCAGAAGATTTTTTCGGAATGGCAGGCTAGACAGGGAAGCCCCGCTCAGCAGAAGATGATGAACGGTCGACAATCGCTTCCAGCATGGAGATTAAGGGACGATATCGTCAGGACTGTCAACGACTGTAAAGTGACTATCATCTCCGGCGAGACTGGTTCAGGAAAGTCCACTCAGTCCGTTCAGTTCGTCCTCGATGACCTCATTCAGCGACAGCTTGGTGCTGTGGCGAACATCATTTGCACACAGCCTCGCAGGATTTCGGCGTTAGGTCTGGCTGACCGCGTAGCCGATGAACGATGCTCCCGAGTTGGTGACGAAATTGGATACACGATTCGAGGCGAGTCGAAGCAGAAACCCGGTGTGACGAAGATTACTTTTGTCACTACTGGTGTTCTGCTTAGACGACTTCAAACATCTGGCGGCGATGCAGATGATGTTGTTGCGTCGCTCGCCGATGTCAGCCATGTGGTTGTTGACGAGGTTCACGAACGCAGTTTGGACACGGATTTCCTCCTGGTCCTGCTCCGTCAGATTCTGCGAACACGACATGATCTCAAAGTCATCTTGATGAGTGCTACGCTTGATGCTGAGGTCTTTGAAGCATACTTCAGGGACGTTGGTCCGGTTGGTCGTGTCGAGATCGAGGGTCGAACACATCCAGTGACAGACTTCTATGTTGACGATGTTGTGCACTTCACCGGTTTCAACGGCAATGGAATAGGTGACGACGATGATGGCGGTGACAAGTCAGTTTCTGCCAACCTCCGAAGCATTGGATTCGGCATCAATTACGACCTCATTGCGGAAACTGTCCGCCATATCGATCGCCAGCTTGGATCCAAGGATGGGGGTATCTTGATCTTCCTCCCCGGTACCATGGAGATTGACCGCACCCTCCAAGCGCTCAGTCACTTCTCTAATCTCCATGCTCTGCCGCTTCATGCTTCGCTGCTCCCGGTCGACCAGAAACGTGTATTCCCTCTACCACCTCCCGGTAAGCGGAAAGTCATCGCGGCTACCAACGTTGCCGAAACGTCGATTACAATCGAGGACATCGTAGCAGTAATCGACACTGGGCGCGTCAAAGAGACAAGTTATGATCCCCAGAACAACATGGTGCGGTTAGCCGAGACGTGGGCTTCTCGAGCGGCGTGCAAGCAACGGCGAGGACGAGCAGGTCGCGTTCGATCTGGCGAGTGCTTCAAGCTATACACACGAAACGCCGAAGCGAAGATGATGGAGCGACCAGAGCCAGAGATCAGACGTGTGCCTCTCGAGCAGATGTGCTTATCCATCAAAGCAATGGGCGTACAAGACATCTCAGGCTTTCTCGCCTCAGCACTTACTCCCCCAGAGAGCACCGCAGTCGAAGGCGCCATCAGATTGCTATCCCAAATGGGCGCCATCACCGACAACGAGCTCACCGCCCTCGGCCGCCACCTCTCCATGATCCCCGCCGACCTCCGCCTAGGCAAACTCCTCGTCTACGGCGCAACATTCGGCTGTCTCGAAGCCGCACTCACCATAGCCTCCGTCCTCACAGCCCGCAGCCCCTTCCTCTCCCCGCGCGAACGCGACCAACAAACCCGGGACGAATTCAACCGCATCCGCGCCTCCTTCAGCACCAACCAAGGCGACCTGCTCGTCGACCTGCGCGCCTACGAGCAATGGGCCGCCCTACGCTCCAAAGGCCTACCCACCCGCGACCTCCGCTCCTGGTGCCAAGACAACCGCCTCTCCTCGCAAACCCTCTTCGACATCGCCTCAAACCGCTCACAGTACCTCTCCTCCCTCAAGGAAATCAGCTTCATCCCTTACTCCTACTCTCCCACTACCACGCCCCAGTACAACGAACACGCCGCCAACGACGCCCTGCTCCGCGCCCTCATCGCAGCCTCATTCAATCCCCAGATCGCCCGCATCCAACTCCCGGACAAGAAATTCGCCGCCGGCATCGCAGGCGCAGTCGAACTCGACCCCGAGGCCCGCGCGATAAAGTACTTCAACCACGAGAACGGGCGCGTGTTCGTGCACCCCTCCTCCACACTCTTCTCGAGCCAGACATTCCCGTCCAACGCGGCGTTCATCGCGTACTTTAATAAGATGGCGACGAGTAAAGTGTTTATTCGTGATATTACGCCGCTTAATGCGTATAGTTTGTTGATGTTTGCGGGCGGTATTCAGGTCGATACGCTGGGGCGGGGGTTGGTGGTTGATGAGTGGATTCGATTGAGGGGGTGGGCGCGGATTGGTGTTCTGGTTAGTCGGTTGAGGGGTATGTTGGATGGGGTGCTGGAGGGGATGGTTAGGGAGCCGGGGAGGGGGATGGGGGCGCGGGAGAGGGAGGTTGTGGGGGTTGTTAGAAGGTTGGTTGAGAGGGATGGACTGGATGCTTAGGTTTGGAATTGTGATATCGATTAGATTGTACTTTCTGCTCGCTTTGTTGCTCTGCTATGGCGTTCTCGAATGCTGCTCGTGATTTCTACTATCAGTCCCCTGCTGATGTCATGCCCTTCAATGTCCTAGCATCTTCAATCGCTCACTGCATGAGTAAGCCTCCGATGTACAATACATACTACCTCGTACAAACCACCCCGTACAACCATCTACCAAACCTCAAACAACCCATGAAACCCAACACGTCAGACTTGCCGCAGCCCCACCACCCACCAATATGCCGTGTATGCCAAACAAAACATGCCGAAGCAGCATCACTTATGACGCACATAAATGCGCCGGCCCGACTAGCGGATGGGAAAACGCCACATGTGACTAGTGATATGTAATTTGTAGTTATAGATGTAGATGTAGTTATAGATATAGATGTACAGTACGATGCGATCCCCAACGCTGCCGAACCACGAATACTGCGTGTTTTTTAATGTACAAAGCGTAGTTCGCAACACAAAGGGGCCGATGAATCCAACATGTTGCTGTTCTCCTGAAACGCGCGCGTAAATGCTCATACACATGACGACGCTTCTGTCCGCTGATGATGTGGTAGTGCATGACGAATAACAAGAGAAAGACGTTGCGCAAAAATCACAGACGGGAGATTTTATTTTCACAACGCCGCGTTCTGGCGGCCCATGTCCAGGATCTCAGACGGCACCATGCTCCTAGTACTGAATCTGACTTCGTTGCCGGGGTGGTGTTTGAAGATCGGGGCTGTCGTCGTCGTGGCATGAGACTCATTGCGTACATGTCTTGTATTTGTCTCTGGTTGGTCGCGCGGCTCAGTGTAGCCCTTGGGCACGGCGGGCATAGCGGGGACCTCGTCGCCGTGGTCGTCGGCCGAGTATGTCGAGCTGCGTGTCATGCGGAACTGCTGTTTGAGTTTCTGAGCGTCCACGCGGTTGGACTGCTGGTTGACCCAGGAGTCTATTGTGCGGAAGCGGGGGACCTCCGAGGCTTGGGTCATGTAGCTGTCGCGGCCTCTGGGCTGGCTGGCGCCGTCGTTGTAGGGGTCGTGCGGTGTTTGCGGGGCTTGCGAGTTTGTCCAACTGAATCTGCTTGGTATGACGCCGCCGAGACCGGTGCGCTGCGATATGGATGGCCGGTTGGACATGAATTGTTTGAAAGTGGGTGGGGGTGGTCGCGGGGGGTCCGTGTATGTCAGTTCTGAATCGTTGTCGTCTATAGATCTGGTGTTGCGTGTTGAGGCGCTGCGTCGTTGGTTGTCGCCTGGGAGAATGTGAGATGATGGCGTTGCACTGTTGTTGCGAAGGTGTGGATTCGCACGAGCAATGCCATTATTAAAGGAACCTGGTTCACCAGGGGCGCTCCTCCCAAGTTCGTATTGATTGGAGCTGAATGATATTAGTCAGAAAGTGATTGAGTACACACGAAACCAACAAGCTCAAGTGAGTGCAGGCACAAGAACTTTGATTATATGACAGGTCGTGTTAGAAAGCAAATTGACGTACCTGTTGCTACGCACAAGAGGCTGTGTGGGAGGTCTTGACGAAGAAGAGCCTGACCTAACGCTCTTGTTTGTTGACCCGAAATCATCTTCAAACGTCTGCTTGTTCTCCCAGTCATCTCGAGAAGGTGCCCGAGTCGAGTCTTCGTTACGTTTATTGACAACCATCTTAAATGAGATGCCCCGCTTTCGCATAGTGTAGATTGCGAAAATGACCATGACCACAACTATGGTTGCACCTGCAATCTATTAGCCAAAAATCAACAACCATCGCGAGGTTTTCACTCACCAATTGATCCAGCAGCAATGAGCAGGTGCTCGGTTGTCTGAGAGATCCCAGTCTCGTGATGTGGTTTTGGAGGTGGTGGTCCCAAACTCACAACAACGGTCTCCATAGGCTGGGTGGCCGCTTGAGCACCTATAGTGGATTTACTATCGTCCGCAGCCATAGCTAATGTGATCAGAGTCTAGTGTCGTTAGCTGGAGTTCTCTCCTTGTCGACGCTGCACCTCGCTTACCGGTGCAGATCCTGTATAAGTCGTGTTCAAGATCTCAGTCGTAGTCGTAGGATCATTCGTAGATGTAGGCTCCTTGCGTTTTGTGTGCGAACGTCGGAGAATTCGATCTATGATCAAAACTGGATTTGTCGCCTCGATGCCACCGGATTGATTGTTGTCTTCCATATGACCTCTTTTCATACCGGCATGATTCACTCCATTACGAAACGCACGAGACCTCGACATTGGCATTCTGTTCGATATGCGATGGCGTCAGATAGGATGTGCCCCTATCAATCTTGCTGCCGATCCAGTACTCTGCCAAGACACATCTGCAAGTCACCCAGGGCGATGTTGATATGGAAAGTAGTAGTCTGTAGTAAGCAACAGTCCAAGCCTGCTGGGACCGCGACGAAGATGACTCGAAAGAAATAATGGAATTGAATGACAGTATAAGAAAGTAATTCGCAAAACAGTCCGCCTGCGGAACGACAGAGGAAAAAAGCAAACCAGAACGGACGGAAGGCTGGGCGAACCCTCTGGGCGAGAAGTGTTCATGCAATGGCCTAAGGAATGCTTTTGAAGGAGCGCATGAACGACGCTAGTAGAAGGCTCACTCTGGTTCAATGTAAGTTTGAGGAGCACGGCGAGACAAATGCTTGCTTGAGATCACATGGGAGTATTTGGTAAGTAACGCGCTCGAAATTACCCTAAGTGGCACGTTTGGATGGCCTGGAGCCCCCTAAATCGACCATGTCTAGTAGAGCCGAGGACAAGATGAAGCAAATTGATGATCCAGCCCCAGTAGAGTACTCGATCATGTAGCGAAAGTTATCACCTACCGAAAGACTAGTAACCACCACCAAAATCACGATTTTTCGCAGTTAAATAACTTGCTTAATTCTTAACTAAATTGTCTAAAAATTAGATTATAAGTAGCGCAATACTTGAAAGATTATTATATTACAATTAAAGAGCTTGCATCTTACTGCTAGAATAATTACACTGTAAAATGTTAAATACGCTAAAAAAACTCTTGTAATCTGTTAAAATCTCCTAACAAACACAAAAAACTTCAGCTATTTAGCAGGTAGAGAAATAGAATTTTAATAGGATTTAAAGTATAGTAATACAAACTACTATCTTAAATTTTAAACAACTTACTCTAAGATTGAGCGTGTTATCTAACTGCAAAAAATCGTGATTTTGGTGGTGGTTACTAGCATTTCGGTAGGTGATAACTTTCGCTACATGATCGCTTACTCTAAGGCTTTTTTTGAATTGTCTCAGGGCGCAATGGTCGTGTTTCGACGTTCGCTTCCGACAGCGCTAGAGGTAGATCAGCGCCATGGATGTCATCGTGAGACGTGCGACCACTCTGCAGTTATTGCGCAAATCTGTGGAAGCAGTACGTTATGTTTCCCCAACATCCTATGCTATATAGGCAACGCCCTTGGAATAATTGCGGGAAGACAGCCTCGCGGTGTGACGACTTTAATAGCGATTGAGCTGCCATACTTGGATGATTTTAGCAAGTGAAGGGGGCACAGCAGTAGACGCTTGGGTGCGCGACGTCGGAGACCTGCGAAGAACCGCCGAGGCATTAGAGTGTTGCATGCTGTTGAGCCGAATCAAGCCCAGAGGCGTGGGAGATTTGCAGAGAGAAGCCAAGCCCGGAAAGCTCGGAAGATGTTGTTCCCCGAGTATTATTTTAGTAATCGTTCTCTAGTAGTTGCCACTAAGCAGTAGTAGGATGGGAACATGACGCATGCTGAGAAAGACAAAGAGGCGCTGATTCCTTGAAGCGAACAGGCCGTTGTAGCCGGAGAGCTTGCGTTTGATCTTTTGGTTGGCTGTGAGGCTGAGTTCAGCTCGAAGGTTCCTCGCTCGCTTGCTGCGCCCCACGATAGGGTGGCTGAGTGTAGTCATCAGGTCGGATGAGGTCGCGGCAATCGGCAGGTGAGGTGTATAAGAATTGATGTTCTTCCTCGAGTGTTCCATCCCATCAACCATCAACACTAATCCGTCTGACGTCAATCACACCTTCCGCATTCTCCGTTCCCCGCAAACCACCCCTCATCGTATCGACACAAGAACATAGACAACAAACTTCACACATCAGCCCTAAAGATCCACCACACTACCTTCACAATGTCAGGCCCCTACGATCAGTACAACCAGGGATACCAGCAACATCAACAACACCAGCAATATCCTCAGTCGCAAAGCCCATACCCGCAGCAGAGCTACGACCAGGGCGGCTACCAACAGCCCGGTTACCCGCCCCAGCAGCCACCACAGTCGCAGGACTACTACGGCGGGCAGCAAAACTACAACTCCCAGTACGGTCCCCCGGCGCAAGGAGGCTTCCAACATGGTCAAGCACAGCAGTACGGTGGTGACGCTTACCAGCAGCAACATCAAGGGTAGGCTATCACCACGTGTTCATAACTATAAATATCTCTAACACATTGTAGACAATACAACCAACAAGGCAACTACCCTGGCGCACAACCCCATAACCAATTCCCACAGCAAGGCGCCTACGCCCAAGATCAGTACCCACAAGGCCAGCACCAGCAGTACGGCCAGCAGCAATACGGCTCCACAGACCCAAACATGCAAGCCGAGGGTGACCGAGGCCTGATGGGCGCGCTTGCCGGTGGTGCCGCGGGGTCATTTGGCGGTAACAAGATGGGCGGGCATGGCATCCTTGGAGCCATAGCAGGCGCTGTCCTCGGTAGCAAGGCTGAAGACGCGATGAAGAACAAGAACAAGAAGCCCCACCAGGGTGGGTACTATAACTAGGTGGCGAATTAAGCAGTGGGAATGATGGCGTTTTGGTTTCTCGATGCAAAAGCATGGTACTGCTGCGTTGGGTTTATGACTGGGCTGGATGGTATTATTATGACTCAATGACCGAATAGTTCCAATTTCACATATGATCACTCAACTCTCGAGGCTTGTTCAACTTACAGCTAACCGTGTTCTTCCTCCAGCCAATGTTCAAAGCTCTCAAAACAAGCAAAATCTTTCAATCTTACGTATGTCGATCTAGCTAGACGTCGAGTCCCACCGTGCGCAGAAAAGCAAAAATTGCTTGAAGGGGACCTTAGAGTATCTCTCAACTGAACTCCAGGTACTTTGATCAAATCAGGACATCAGTTGCCAGGAAGCGAGAAGATTCAAGACGAAGGAAGAAGGCTCCGAGTAAGTAGGAATGGATGATGAGCTGGTTGGTACATGTGTTTTACACGATCCCGATACATTAATTAACCGGCTCACAAATTCCGTCATCACATACACTCACTCGTATTTCATAGCGCCCTCTTTTACAAGTCTAGAGGCGTGGTGATATGTGCGTATTCGACCTCATCTAATCCACCGCCAGGGTGATAGTATTGATCAATCTAAGTCTTGCTTTTGGCGCGGAGCTGTGTCCCGGTATGAAACAAGCAACATCTTTCCACGGTATATACGCGTAATAGATTTCCAGCCTGCGGAGGTGTCTACGCTGTGTTCGAAGCATTCTAGTCTTGTCTCGCTCTTCCATTACGTTCATACCAACTCGATCCTAGTCTCGTCCTCTTCGGCGACCACGTCACATGGGAACGCGCACTGCATCATCCGTTGCTGTAATCTGTTAGCATGTTGTATGTTGCTTGTGATGATTCGAAAAACTTACTCGAGGGTTTACACTCCCTTCATCCCCGCATGTCTCCCATCTGGCATCCCACACCGAGACGTCACACCATGCATCGCCGTTCCTGTCTTCTGACGACCATTTCCAGGCGGCGTACTCAAATGTGACTTCGTCTTTGCCATCTTCACCCTTTACTATCAGACTTGTGTTGTCCAACAATCCCTCAATCGCGAATACGCTTTTCGGCGATACCTCGGTGTAGCTGTTGAACGCTTCTTTCGGGCGATGCAGCGCGACGTCAACTGTAATATCGTTGGTGTGGTCGTAGATGGTGTTGATTTGGATGTAGTTTTTTTGTGTCTGTGTGAAAGAAGAGCAGAGTTGCTTGTGGAACAGCGTGAAAGTGCACATATTGTTCGTCGAGAACGGAGATTGAGATGGAGCTTTAGAAGGGGGCACAGCATAAGCAGCAGCCAAGGTCGAGAGGTGCAGAATAGACAACATGCTGTACAAGACAGTAGCGAGCGAGGTGCGTGTGATAGACATGATGATATGTGAGGTCGACGGCTTAACTAAGTAATGAAAGAGAACAAATGCAGAACAAATGAACAACACGAGAATGAATGAACACGAGAATGAGATGGTGCTATCAAAGGAGACCTTCTCGCTACACTTATAGGCGTCCCGGGTTCATCTGCACGTAAATGGGAGGCTCACTGTGCCGCCTCTCTACGCGCGGTGTTGTGTTGGACTTTCTATTCCTGCCGGCGATCATTGCGAGGTTCGGCGTTTGCGCATGCGGGGTTGCGGCGTGCTTCAGGTTGAATGAATCCAGGCGGCAACACAGCGGGGCTTTGTACTCAACGGCGCGAACGGAAAGTTTGCAATGCTCGGGATAAAACTTTATGTAGGAGTTAATTTTATGCGAACGACGGGATGGGCGCCGAAGTGTGGAGCTTTCCTGCGGATGCCAAGCGTGCGGTTCGTTTTGTACGCGCCGAAGTGGAGGCAGCAGGTCGCTCTCACCACTCACCATGTTTCCTAAAAATATAGGTGCTTAACGAAATACCCGCTCTACACATGATGTGTGTAGAAACATGCTACAGTTCAGGCTATGAGGCCAAATGTAGCACAGCTTGAAAACCTTTAGAAGTTTCCACAGTCAGCCGCGCGCGCTGCTGCCTAGCCATTGCCTGGTGGCTGCCGCCTTTGGCTCTTGCCTTTCCTGCCATTTTCATCAATCACTAGAGTAGTTTCTCGCCATCTCGTATTGCGGTCGACTGGGACGTCGCATAGCTTGTAATAGCTGTACTCAAGCCCTAGCTCTATCAAACACCTCCATTTACTCACTATTAAATGTCTGCATTCCATATCCGCGACGAGGCGCTCCCAGAGGATGCAGATTTCATACTCGAGGCGTTTGATTCGGCTCTTCCGCACCTAGCGAGCACCGGTAGTGGGATGCAATGGGGTTCAGAGCCACGCTCGACGCAAGAGACCTATGTTAAGCGCACACGGGTGGCAGTGGAGAAGGCTCGATCTGGCACCAACGACAATGATGCTGTTTTCGTAGCCGAAGTGCCCGTTGACGACAGCCTCGACCCTGTGGCCGGGAGAACAAGAAGAGACAAAGCCAATCAGCAAATGCTCCAAGTTGCAGCCGCAATGACCACGGGGTCGTTCCCCTCGTACGTTGCGGAACAGCAAAATTTGGACGCATATGTACGAACGGCTATTGAGCGCGCTGACTATATCTATTTGTCCACCATGGTCAGCGATTTTCGCGCGGGTGCTCTGCGCAAAGGAGCTGGAGCGACATTGGTACAGCGAGTGAGGCAGTACGCTCTAGAAAAAGGAAAGGCGGCGGTCTACTGTGACTGTTGGGCAGGGAACGGGGAAAGACTTGTGGGGTATGTGTTAAATATGCACAAAGTCTTGTTGTCTACTGCGTCTAATGCTTGACAGGTTCTACATATCGCAGGGTTTTGTGCCAGTGGATGATTTTCATGCGAAAAAGGATGATGGTTCCATATGGCATGGTAAACTCTTGCGGATGGACATTGACAAGAATCTTAATATAAAGAACTAGCTAACATGCCACTTTACACACACACGTAGAGATAGTACAGCGCAGACAAACGCTTATGGTATTGCTTGTCATTGCAGAAAACACATAAGACAGCGGTTGAAAACGGCTTGATCAGGTCACGCGTCTTTCTACCCTCTTCCATGTGCGATTGGCAGCAACCTGGATGGGTTGAGACTAATTCCATTCTCATGTTGCGTGACTGTAGATGCGCAGCTTTACAAGAGCCCACTAGGCTATCTTCACTGATGGTGTTCACCGGTTCTCGTCCTAAGGCGCTTGTTTTCAGATCTCTAGCGTTCGTTGGCCTATGAAATTGCGTGTCAGCCTTGCTGCAATCATGCATGGAAGTGGGCTGTGCAAGGCAGTGAGGGTTCAACCTCTGATTTACTGTCTCCATACCTTCTACACTCCTCTCCAGAGCAAGCCAGTTGACATTCGATACCAATTCTTCCCTCATGGGGAGACAACACCCCCATACTCGATTCGCTTCGCGAACATCGCCTTACTCGCCTAAACCACTGAAAGGAACGGAGATCCGCCTGATACAACTGGCACCAGGCCGATTCGACGATCTCATCAACATTCGGCTCCAACGCGGCACGCTCTCCGAGAAGCTCCAATATGAAGCCCTTTCGTATACCTGGGGAACAGAGACTAGCCCGTTCCAAGCACGCGTCAACGGCATGGGCATGTGGATCACCGCAAACCTCGACTGTGCACTTCGTCACCTTCGGTTCGAGACTGGCTATAGGACCTTGTGGGTCGATGCTTTGTGCATAAATCAAAACAATATCAGGGAACGCAATCATCAAGTTCAACTCATGAAGGGAATTTACTCCGGGGCGCGCGAGGTCCTTGTGTGGCTCGGTCTTGTCAGCCTTGGCCATATCTATGTCATCAACGAACGCAGGTTGGGAGGAATCTCTAACTTTTTTTCTCGGTCGATTGGGCAGTTCTCTCCCAAAGATAAAACGGTAGCCATACACACAGCCTCAAGGCCGGGTTTGACATTCTTAGATAGTGATGACTGGCCTCAGGCATTCGATTATATCAAAGACGGCAAAATTCCGGACTCGCTCGCCGGTCGGACGATGATGTTACACAGTCTTGTTGACATGTGCTGTCGGCCATATTTTAAACGAGTTTGGGTTGTCCAGGAACTTGCGATGGCAAAAAACGATCCAATTATGCACTTAGGCAAGAATACCGTGCTCTGGTCTCAGCTGGCCACTTTCGTGGATAAGGTACTTGAGAGTATGGAAGAAGCTTGGATAAACAACTCACAAGGAATGGTGGAGGATTCTGAGAACATAGAGGATGATGTAACAGGCCATCTAGTTCCAAATTCTGGGGATGTGAAGCAGGTATCAAGCGATATGCCGGAGGACTCTGACCAAAACAGCTGGCCATTGAGTACATGGTTCGGCTGTGGGAATTTCGATGGTGCAAGACATGTTCAGCAATTACAAGAGATCAGAAAGCTGTATTTCCAGGGTGACTTGGATTTGGTTTACTGTGTGTGCTTGTCACACCACCTGTGTGCAACTGATCCGCGAGACAAAATATATGGATTTCTAGGTGTAGCCAACACCCCAAGGTTATTCGTAACACCAGATTATTCCAAGACTGTTCAACAAGTTTTTTGCGAGATCACGGCCACCATGATACTTGAAAGCTTTGTTACGGTATACGCACAGTCATTGCATGATTCGTATTTGGGCGACGAGTCATTCTCAAAAAAGCTATCTGACTTACCTTCTTGGGTCCCTGACTGGAGCATAACTATCCAAGATAATGGGGATTCGACGACGTTACATAAGTGGATCTCTTCACCAAAGTTTAACCCGGCGTTTTATAAACTTCTCCATTTCAGATTCTTCAATGAGTATACACCAGTTGCGAGGTTTTGTTGTGACTACAAAACTTTGTATACAACCGGAATGCATATGGGTACCATAGATGTAACTTCCGCATGCTATCTCATGCAAATCCGACGCGACGAATCTGGACGATCCCATTATCTTTCAGCAACTTCATTGCTTCAGTTCTACAACACTGTCGCGAAACTTAAGAGTATAGCGCCAGAACTACTGTTCTCGTTGATGGTAGGAGAGGCAATCCCTTTACAGGAAGTTCAGGAAGCAGCCGACACGCAGCAGTCAAACAACACATACATACACGAAGGCCCTTTCTTACGCGAAGAAGGGTGGTTCAGGCTTCAACCAAGAACAGCATGCTATACCTTGTTCATGACAGAAGATGGTCAAATTGGTGAAGTCTATCATCCAGATCGTATCAACGGCATTCGCTCAGGTGATCAACTCGTCGGTTTGTTTGGCATCAATATGCCTTTCATTCTGCGACCAGGTCCACGGGGCTACGAAATGATCAACATGGCACATCTTCCCCAACTCGAAAAGTTAGGACATGAATTCATGGAGAACGCAACCCCAGAAGCAACATGGAGAGATCTCGAAAAATACGGCATGAAGGAGTACGTCATCGTCTGAAATGCAGGATACTGGAATGCAGAAGATTACACAGTACTAAAGAATATTTCACTCTGTATGTATCGCTTCCATTGAGAGGTCCAAAATGCTGACAATCCAAGGCTCTTCTATAATACACAAACGCAACATGTTTCTCTTCAACGATTGCCAAATCGCCACGCATCTCTCTCTTCAAACGACCCACATCCATCGATCCTCTTATAACACCGTCCGCATCGTATCTCCCTTGTTTCATCCACACAGTGACAGAGATCTCGCTCTTCCTTCTCTAATGGCTGCATCATGCGCTCTTCCAACCACCTCGCCAACTCAGGCTCCACACTACCACACACCCTAGCGATGCGAACCCCATGAACGCCCAAAAACAGCTTCAAAACCGATGAATCGCAGGCATCGAACGTGGATTGCCACACACGGATCTCAACGTACTCAGCGTTCGAGAAAGCGGATGTGGCTTGCTGCATTGTAAAGCGCGGATCGGTGTCGAGTCGAAGTGTGAGTTGCCAACGCTGGATCTTCTCAATGCCGCTTTTACATAAGACTGGGCTTCCAGAAGGTGTGAGATGCGGGAGTGAGGTCAGAAGCGAGGGATGTGCGTGGAAGAAGTGTGATGTGTATAGTAGATCGGTAGCTTCCTCGTGGACCCTCCGACATGTTGATAGAATGGCTGGGTAGAGTGGTTCTTGGCCGCTTGTTGGCACTTTCGTGTCATGAGTCAGGTCTTTCGATTGTAGGGTGTTGGGGCAGAGGAGGGCTTCGTAGACCTGATTCCGTAGTTCGGCTGGTAGACGGAAAAAGATCGAGTCTTCTTGCTTATCCATTGTCCCGTTCGAAGCGTTAGACTGGCGTTGGGTGATAGATGTGATGTCTTCGGTCTTCGCTGGTACTGTAGGGAGTTGCGGTACTTGAGGCTGAACGGTCGGCAAGGGATGTACCCATGTGTTGTTGAAGGATTGGTTATGGATCGGGTGGGTCATGTGGGAATTGAAGTGTGCGGCGTAGTAGAAGGAGGTACCCATAGCTGCTTTGGCTCCCTGTAATCCTTCCGAGGCAGATGGACTTGGGTCGTTTAGGTCTTTGGGCGGCCCTCGTATTAATGGGACCAACTCTGACAAATGCAGGAAGATATAGAGATATACAATGGTACTCCACACCGCTTGATGTTGACGAATTTAAAAGTCGAAACCTAATCGGGTGATGTTGTTCGATATCGGGTAAGCGCGTAGGTTGATAAATGTAAGTATTGCTGATGCTTTTGGGAATATTGCGGATGATGTGAACACACTCCGCGATCTCGCCTGAACTTATATAATGTTCGACAAGAAGGACGTACAGAAATCACGTTGTTCGAGTTGAGCTCAAGGAGCAGCAATCGAATGTCGTCAGTGACCAATAGCAGCGTTGGTCCGATTGGGTCGTCTGATAACGCTCAGATGCATACATGAGGTCGCGCCACATTTCTGGGCGCATCACTCCATCTCTTGTCCCAACATGTCTGAGAAATTTCTCTGTGCACCGCCAACCTTGCCTCTTGTTTTTTGTTCACCGCCAGAACTGATGTCTGGATTAGTCGCGTGTGCCGATGTTGTCGTGGAGACAATTTGAGCTGCGGGGTCGGTCATTGAAGGCATGTCCACTCCAAGTGTCGTTTTGAGTATGGTTACTTACCAACTTCACATCCACCTTGCATCTCAACCATCAAACGCTTTCTCCGTTCACACAGTCCGATGTTGTTCTCTTCGTCTATCAGTTTATCTCATGCAGCTGCGATGCGGTGGTGTGATAATCGCTATTTTCGTCTCCACGCATCAAGCTCGAACAAAGATGGCTCAAACAGGGGCATGAAAGCTTTGCAAGTGTCGCCATATTCCGAGCATGGAGCAATCTCGGATTTGCTGTCTAACTGATGCATCAACAGTGTCACCTTCGGTAAGCCATGCTTCATCAGGAAGAAGTGGGATCATGCAAGAAAGCTCTGGAATGATTCTATTCGTGTTCGAGAAAGATCGATCTTTTTCGTGCTGTTTGTTTTCGTATCGCTGTTGTACAAGCTGGTATATCGTGTAACCATCGCTCATCATCTTGCATTCTTTAACCCAATTAAGCATTGCCCGGGATGCGCCTAAAGTTTCTCCATCTTTCTTTTCATGTGAATTTTCTGTCCGATTTCTGTTCTTCAGTCTCCGCTATCGTGCGCTAGTGATGCGTTGTCTTAAATCTCTACGTCGAGTCGTGTCTCAGCTTATACCACCATACCTGCAACTCCAACGCCCACGACAGCAGCGACACCTCTCAACCAGCCTGGCGGATGTGTAGGTGCTGCACCCATCACAGCCGTCTTCGTCAGCGTCCCCATGCCGATCTCTCCTTTTCCTGGTAGAGGAGCTTGTGTCACGTACTCGTGGTATTTATACGTGATTGTCTTTGGTATCCATGTCCGAGATGTGCCGATTCGAGACTCCACCCACTGAACGCTTACGAAGTCTCTATTGACGCTTGGCGAAGCCGGTGGGGTAGTGGTCGTAGTGATGACAGGAGGCATCGCAGGTGCGATTGGGTTGACCACAGAAGGTACTGCAGGCACAATGGGGTTGACCACAGGAGGTACTGCAGGCACAGTGGGATTGGCAGCAGGAGGAACGACGGGTACGACGGGATTGACAGCGGGAGGAATGGCGGGAGCAACCGGGTTTGCTGAAGGAAGACCAGGCGTAATCGAATTGACCGGAAGAACGGTATTACTAGGCAACTTTGGAGCGGGAATTGCTGGATCCGCAGGAGCTCCAGGCACGGGAACGGTTGTGTCAACAGGGATTGCGGGCACAGGGATGACTGGGTTCGCGGGAACCGCTGGATTCGCAACGACAGGGTGAGCACCATGTGCCGCCCTAATCAAGACCACATCTGGTGCTCGACGCAGCCTGAGAGACGTCAGCATGCGGGAACTATGTCACAATCCGGGATTTCGACTCACTCCAAGCCATCCAACACAAGCAGACCGGGCGTCGGTGTTGGTGTAGGGGAGCTTGGCGTCGGTACTGAGGCAGGACGCGCACTCGTCGTGATCGTTGTCGGTAGTGCATGGCTATTGAAGAGATTGCCCACCGCTAGGGCTGGGAAGAGAAGCGTGACAAGAGTGGGAGTATGCATTTCGTGAAGTAACAGAAGCCGTCACGTTGGTTGTGGTAGGTGCGCTTCAATCTCGCAGCAATTGAGTAGAAAACGCGAGACAAGCCTGTCAGTGGAATATCTGTTCTGAATACCGCGTCACGTTGTGTGAGTGAAAGCGATGCTTCGAGGCAGTGAACGGTCTCGGAGCCGAAAATCTCAATGTCGAATGGTATAGAGAACAGTAAGATTTACGAAAGGGTGACTTAAGGTTACGAGGTACAATGTTCCCAAGACGAAGTCCAAAAAGTGACGCGCTACAAGACCAAGAGCAAGTGAATCGGAAATACGGTATGGAAGTAGAACGTGTAATGGATGACGAGAGAAGACCAAGTTTGCCATGAGATAAGATGGAATCCATGAAAGGGAAGAGCATCTCTACCAAACATACAGAGACAGAGAGGAAGGAATCGAATGTTTGGCTCTGTTTACGACGATGACAAGGAAAGAGCATCTCTCTAAACGCGCGCACCTGAACACATCACGAACACAGCTCTTCTCTCTAAAATGTAAGTGTAAGTTGACGAGTATCCGGGTACCTGGTTCTTTACGATGCAGCACATAACGGTACCGTCTGAGACCTACCTTCGTTCCTCGTCTTTTGGACTTGTGGAGGGTTGGGAGCAATGCTCATTCAATATTTCGTATCTTATCAATCTGCCAGAACGATCTGCAATGGCGATACGAATATGGTCTTGTACTTCCAAGATTCATTCCAGCAGATCTTTCCCGCACGTCAACCAGCATATCTATCTGAGCGCTTCATTATTACTCATGCATTTGATTGCAATCAACCGGCCCTTCCCCTTTCTCTCCTCCAAATACTGATCAGCCCTCTGCATCCTTGTGCCATCTAGCCTCCCAGCAGAACCTGATACCGACAAATGAGGTCACTCGCTGGATAAACAACACTGCCTAACATCGCACATAGTAGACATTGTTTTTCTCTGTACCCCAAGGACTTCCCTGAGCTCTACATATACATGCCTGTAGTTCTTGTAACGCATTCTGCTTTTTCATTACCTTGGTATCGTACGTTATTGACATACTCCTCACATCCCACGTCTCGGTATTTCCACCATCCGCGAGCCAGTCCACATACGCCTTAGGCCCCCCAAAAACGGTGCTTTTTCTCGGTTCCAAGTTCTGGGCACAGTATCGCCGACTACACCGCCGAGTCCTGAGTCTCCTGCTTAGATGAGCAAAAAAGTAACCCCTTCAAGTCGTCTATCCATTCCTTACACACCAACCAAGACACAGCCTGCCGAGCCTATTCCACAAGAGCATTGCGATCGTCAGGACCGCAATCAAGCCTTTCTACACGACCCCTGATACGACGAGGCGTGCGCTAGAAAAGCTTGTGCAATCAATAGCGTCTTGGTAGTCGCACAAGAATAGCATGGGTCTAATGCATACGTGCCGTGTACCTGCCGAATGGTAAGTATTGCTGGCAGGATCAGTAGCCAATCAAAGTACTCAGGAGCATAGAGACCATCGTAGTTTTTAGTCACTGCGGCGCAGTGTAGATTGAGCAATTTTCAACTGTATGTCCAAGCGTGAAATACCTAGACAACGAAGAGCTTGCTTGATATGACGTGATGCAATCAATGTAGGTACCTAGTATACACCCAGACAGATAGAAAAACACGACCAAGCCAGTCAACCAGCGATCAATCAGGAGTAAACAGACCCGCGCAAGATAATTCCTTCCGCACAGATACTCCCACCCCCCATGTCCAGCCAAAGCAGATCATCTCACCCAACAACCGACGATCCCAATCCACCACTTCGGTAGATCTCACTATTACACACACGCGACGCCGGTACTTTGCCTGTCACATACGTCCACATCGAAAGATCGCCTGCATGACAGCCACCGAGCGACCGGCCCCTCGCGATTCATTATCTCCGAATGTGTCAGCCACCGCCGGGGTGTGGGAAGTAGACATCACCTGACTTTCTGGAAATGGGACGACAGTGCTACCTACACCGACTCATCTCTTCTTACCAGGGCAAGTATGCCACCATCGCTTTCTCCGCAGCACGAACAGAGCGGTTGCCCGGTAGTTTACGTTTACGTTTACACACGACGGGCTCGCTTGGAAGGAAATGACGCACGCGCGCACGCACACTAGCTGCCTTGTTCGTGAAATTCTGCCTCCTCCTACCTACTACTCCTGCGCAAGACATTATTATGCCACATTATGCCATGTTATGCTCTCTATGCGGCGACAAGTCCGTTAAACTCAAAGTCCCCTCACCATACATAGTAGGTAGTATCGTCGTGTCACCAGCCGCCATCGCGCAAGGCAAGCGCCCGTAACCGTGTCCAGTCCGGGGCTGTGCACGGCTAAAAGGAAAAAGATTACGAGCGAGCTACACTCACACGATGCTACTCTATCCCGTACAGCACTAAAATACTCATCCGTCGTATTTGTCTGGTTGCTTATGTTTCCATCTATGGACGCACGTGTACGGAGCCTTGTTTCCTGACTCGGTCTGCCTAGCCTTGTGTACTAAGAAAAATACCGGAGCTGAGGCTGGGGCTGAGGCTGAGGATGGGGCAAGCGAGAAAATCTAACGCGGAGCTGAGGGGAGAGCTGAGGGCTGAGGGCTGGGACGTTGTGATGACCGACGCGCACAACGGCCGCGTGGCATCGAAGCGTGGCGGGAATCACGAGATGTGGTGCCCAGAACTGGGAATTTCGACGCGTCGGACCAAGCCGGAGGGGGCTTTAGTCCAGAAGCTCGATACGAGGTAGGATTATGCAGGATAATCCCGAGAGTGCGCCGCGGGGAGTAGGTGGAGATAGGGAGTGGGGAACCAAAACAACAATGACAACAAAGAAGGAGAAGAACAAAGAACGAAATGACCAAAATCTTGTTTTTAAACTTTGTATTTGTGTAGTGTAGTTTTGTCTAACCGCGACGCTGGTCGTGAGATAGTTCTAGCAGGTAGGTAGAGTAAAAGTGTTCGTATGTAGGATAAGGTAGTAGGGACAGCGTGGGAGAAGATGTAACAAAAAGAGCGCAGGCGGCCGTAGCAGGCAGAGCAAGTGATCCAAACAGCAGCAGCAAGACAGCAGACAGACAGACAGATGGTATCAACCCATCTCAGACCCGAAACACAAACCCAGCCCAGCGGGTGGAAAAAACAACAACAACATCCTCCTCTTTCCTCTCCAACCTCATGATAAGGGGCTCCAAAAGCCCCAACCCCAAGAAACTAAAAGCGCGTATGCGGAGTGTGCAAAAAACTGCTGGATATCGAAGAAGAACGAAAAAGACAATAGCGCTAGCGGTGTACAGCAAAAAAGGTATATACAAAAAAGGGTGTAAAAAAGGTAGACACTTCGTAGAAGTGCGAAAGAGTGACCAGCAAGAAAGAGAAAAAAACAGGTCCAGCAGTGGCGCGCGTCCGGATTGGCGTGGTCCCGGGCGGGAAGGTAAATGGCAAGTGTCTTGAGTCGGTGCGCTGGGGTGCCTGAAAAATGTCGCAAATGAGTGTGATGCTAAGATCTATCCGAAAAACAAAACGCCGTCGCCTAATTTCATGCGCTCGTAAAGCCCGACTCGAACGTTGTTTTGGTATCGTGAGTCTAGGGTATGGGGGGTGTATGTTCGCGACAGAGAGGGAGAAAATGTGTGTGTGTGGAATGGGACCATGTAGTATGGCATGTTTGGTGAATTCATTAAGCTAGCGACCAACTGAACAACGCGACCAGTAATGGGCCGATTATCGAGATTGTCGGTACGCTGAAGGGGCTTGCGGCGTTGTAGACGGTCTGATCAACCGCCTTGTTGCCCGAGTCCGTCGAGAAGAAGTACGTCTTGGCTCCGTCTGTGCCGGTAGACGCATCGGGGGCGGATGTTTGCGCGGGAATCTGGCAGACCTTGGAAGCGTCGAACTTGGGGCACCGTTTCTTGTAGTCGTCTTGCGATCGTTCGGTGTCGGTCGAGTTGAAGTAGGCTTTGACGTAGGAGACGGTCATGACGGCGTCGCTTTCGGGGGGACCGGCAGACCACTTGGGGTCGCCATTGCTCCAGTGGTTGAAGAACATGCCGCCGCCCTCGTTGGGAATGTTCTCGGTCATTTCGTGCAGGTACTCGCCGTCGACGTAGAAGGCTACACGGTCTGCGGTCCAGTCAAAGCGGTACTCGTGGAACTTGCCGTCAGGGCGGAAGGGCAAAGGTTGGACCTCGAATCCAGGTGTGCCGGAAGCGTCGTAGCCGTGGACAACGGACTCGGGGGTTTGCAGTACAAGGTTGACGGAGCCTCCGGATGAGTTGAACTGTGTCGATAGGAACTCCATGTCGATTTCTTGCGAGTTGTTGTGGTACTGCAGGTTGTTAGCCATATTCATCAAGATGCACGTGGTGTTTGCATACGAAAAAGAATGCGCCGCAGGTTCCAGACGCATTCGACATCTTCATGCCCACACGGAAGCTCCCAAGCAGCGCGTCGTCCCTGACCGATACCACTTCTGCCCCTTGCACGTAGCCGCCCGTCGTGTTGCTCGACACCCACAACTCCAGACCAGCATCGCCTCCATGTTTCGAGTTCCCCGACCAGGCATTGTCGTCCTTGAGTGGGTTGATGACGATGTTGTCGAGTTCAAACTTCTTGCCAAAGGGCCCCCGTGAACTCTCAGTCGAGACGTTGTACACCTGCGGCCGCCATCCATACTGTGTCAAATTCTTCGTGTCCGTGTGCAGGAAATCATTTTCTAATAGTTCTGTGAAGACGGCATGTTCTGCGTCTGTTGTGCTGTTGAGCGAATAGCCGCATTCGCAGGCGGCGTTGGCTACAAGACACGGCTGGTCAGTTCACGTTCGCGACAACAGCAAGAAGCGCCATCCCAGCACGGAGCTGAAACAGCGACAGGTACGCACCGAAACGCGAAACGGCGAATAGCAGCCAGGGCAGCGCGCCCAAGGTATTACGGAACATTATTCTGGCTGGTTTGCTGTAGAGAGCGACTATGGGTGAGGTTTAGCGAATGTGTAAAAAGACCAACAGCAAGTCCAAGAGAGGCGGGAATCAACAGTAACAAGTATGCCCGGCGCAGGGCAGCAATTAGAAGAAGCCACTCGCGAGTGGTCAGAGCGCTGCCGTCTTTCCCAAAGGGCGATTCGTCAGGACGCGCCGAAATAAAGACACGAGCTTTAGTGGGGAGCCTAGCAGCTCTTGGAATTGCACCGGTGCTGAATCGGGTCACCTGTCAACATCCGGGATCCAGCAGCAGCGTGGGAACGCCCTCAAGCCACCGCCTCGCTCTTATCAACCTGGGAACGCGCAAAACGCAGCGCAGCACATGCAAGAGCGCCCCCCCACATTAGCGCGCTCGGGAGCCGCGACGCTGCACCTGGTGGAAGCTGTCCTGCACCGCCAATTCGATCGACTCTAATACCCCCAATGCCCGTTCAGCACCCCTCACGCTCGTACCCGTTAGGTTCAGGCGCGGAATGCACAGAGAGTGGTGGTGACCGCCTCTCACAATGACGATCCGCACGACCTCTGACCTGCTTGATTGGCTCTGGGGCCAGGGCAGCTGTCAAGGAACCCCCTTGGCTGTCAAATTGGGGGGCACGAGGGCAACGGCAAGCACAGTTGTTTTCTGGGGAAAAAGGGCAGGAAAGCAATCTCGAGCGAAATTTTGCGCCTTGCAAACTTCGAAACACACAGCATCTCCTCCATCATGCAAGACTGCGCACGCCCTGCAACCACAGATATGACACCAAAAACGCCTCTGCCGCGCACCGCCAGCATGCAACGGCTGTTGGTGTAAGGGTTGCACAACCTACGCGTGCTCAGGGGTGACGACAGAGACTTTTTGAAATTGTCCTCGAAAGTGAAGCGAATCAGAAGGCCGGCAGGGACTGCGCTAGTGATGGCATGGCTCGGCAACTTCTCGCTCCAGAGCAGGAATGTATCACGATCACCATGGCAGCTGGGCGTGAAGAATAATCATGTGCGTCGACTACTCATGTCCGTGACCTCGTGCACAATGCGCGCAGACCAGAAAATCAAACAGAGTTATAAAGGGCCGTTCAGTCGGCCACTACCAACCTCCAGCGTCGCATCGCGTCGTCTAGAGAACGGTTCAGACGTGTATATTGAGCCAGATAGAATATGCTACCAGAGGTCAGAGCCTACAGCCCGTGCTGTATTTCCAAGCACAATCCAAGCAGCGCCAATCCCTACGCAGAAATGCTGCAGAACAAAGTAGCCTACGCCGAATAAGAACAGCGTCTTGATCTCATTACCATAGCATAGCCAAGAGTGACCCAACGCCGGGGCAATCAGTGAACATGGATCGATCAAACGCATCGTGGGGGTATCATCACAAGAATCCAGACTCGGAGAGAAGTCTACCCATCAACTCATTAGCAATCCCACTGGCTTGAGGATAGAGGTGGTGTACCTTGCAATCTTCTCGTCTTCGCGCTCGCGCGGCTCAATTGTCAGACTCATCTCGTACATTTCGTGCACATCGCCAGCCGATTGCATATTGCTGAGAATGTACACTTGCAATTCCGGCACGGGCTGCAGTGGGTACGGCACGTTCTGGTACTGCTGAATGTCGCGGATCACTTCAGCCGTCTTTGCCCGCTTGGCGAAATTGATAAGATTTGTCCTTTTCACAAGGGACGGGATGCCGTCCTCGATAAAGGTAAGGTCGGTGAGATAGACACCTGGGTTTGTCAGCAACAAGACGCACCGTTTGCTATTTATACGCACCAAAGAAGGGAATGCATGGCGGATTCGCTCTGTGCAGTGTATCTCGGTATTCCGCAAAGTTCCTGGTGCTACCCATAAGTTTGCGCATGCTCTCTAAAACACCCATTGACCGTTGGTTGACAGCAGTCCATGTTCTGTTCAAACGGTGGATAGGTGCTGTCCCCAGCGCAGAGATGATAGATGTGAGTGTCGAGAAGTTGTTCAATTGACGGCATTTCTACAGCGCATTAGTCACATGAGCAGCGAGTGTGAGTAGGATTGGCTTACATCAGCAACGTTGACAAAATGCTTGATGACAATCACTCTTCGCTTGACATCCTGTTGAGTTAGAATCATCTGTGCCACCCAGTTTGTCAACTGATTAGAATGAAGAATCAAAGCCTTCAGGTTAGAAGCAGGATCCGGCTCGCCAGGAATGAGTTTCTTCTGCCATGTCTTGTTGAGACACTCTGTCGGTCGAATCTTGCCGTACAGTCTGGATTCGATGATGGTAAGCTGGCGCGCGAACTCAGTCGCGTCGATATCCAAGAATTTGAGTTTCTTCATATGCTTTGGAAGAATCGGCTGAGGTGTCGAGGCGCTCAGAGTAAGAACCAGACGTTTCGTTGGCATATCTGGACCACGCGATCGTTGCTCGACAGAGGTCATGAGAGGAGCCGCACCAGGTGTGCTTGTAGTTGCGACGTGATCCTTGGCAAAGTTGTACACTCTTTGAATGAGTATCCTGGCTTCCTCGTCATTACCCTCCATCCAATAGTTGTCGAACCAACTCTTCAAAATATTGACGACGCGGAACCGGATAGGCTTTTGCTTCTTGTCCACCCAAGTCTGGTAGTCTTCTTTTGCAAGGCCATGAGGAGGCTGAATGCTCCATCTCTTGACCAGCATCTCAAAGAGTTCAGGCGCCGTAGTGAAAGACCGATATGTGAGGAGGAAAGTGTTGTTGAATGCTGGATCTAGGCGATCGTGACGAGTGAGTTGCTCCACGAGTCCTGCGAGGGTACCACCCCGTAGTTGAGGTGGGTCGGCCTTGTGGTCGTAGGAGATTTCGCCTTCATGATCGAGCTTCAGGTACTCGGGAGTCTCTTCTACAGCTGTTTGTGGTATCACTGGAACCTCGCCAAAGAAATCCTTGATCTTCTTGTTGCTGTTCGCAGATCGAATTGGCTCCACCACGTCCAAAGCGGTGCCTTCACTATACGTGTGAGCTTGTGGTAGGTCCTTGAGTAGTGGTCTAAGGGTTCCAGATGGTCCTCGAGCATGAGAGTTTGGCAGTTCAGTGTCTGTGTTTCTCCGAGGGTCGGTACGTGGAATGATGGAGTCTGTTCGCGAACTGATGTCTGCCATAGGTACCGCATCCGACAAGTACTGTAGATGCCCGTATTGACTCGAGATGTTCCCTTCCAGATCTCGCAGGACGGCTCGTACGGCGTTGATTCGATCTTCCAGAGAGTCTCCGCGTAGTTCTGCCCACTCATCCCCTAAAGGTGCTGCTACTCCTTGGCATGCAATCACAAGCTCGGAAGCCAGATCGTATGTCTTCTGTTTCTGGACGCTGAACTCAATCAGCTGTAGCCCTTGAGACGGCGAGTTGATCGAATTGAGATTGATCGATTCGATTGTGGACGTCCAAGGTCGGCAAACTTCGAGTAGCTTCATTGCCGTGGTACATATGTGATCACCGATTGCTTGATGCCTCTGGTGAGTGACGACCTTGTCTCTGACGACCAGTTGCTCGTCTAATCGTCGAACGGCTGTTACGATGAGTCTTTTGATGTCTTCTAATCGCTCTAGAATACGAGAATCTAGCTTCACAGTGGGTTCGATAGATGGTTCAAAGTCTTCCTGGTCTATGAAGGACATGGATGTCGAAGTATCCCGTGTATCTGACCCGTTATTGTGCCAGTTCCCACCAATGTTGCTGCCAAACACGAAGCCGGGCACGAGGCGAGGAATTTCTTCTCCGCGCTGTTGGCGCGCGACTTCGACGAAGCCATATACTCCGTTCAAAACTCCATCCGCTTCTTTGAGACACTTTGAATATGAGTCTGGAGGAGGGAAGTCAGAGGCCGCGATATGTGAAGATAGAACCAGCTTGGAGAATCTCGACATGGTTTCTCGAAAATGGGGATATAGGGCCTTGTTGGTAGAGATGATAGAAGGGTTGCCAGAGTGGTTATCTGTTGTTCCTGAACCTGCAGCAAGCAACAATCGTAGGTGGTCAGAGATGTCTTCAGCCCTCGAGACGAATTCAGAGCGGTCGCTGTTGTTTATGGCCTGTCGGTAGCGCTCGATCGCTCGGCGCATATCGTCTACCATCCTATTCCAGGTTAGAGGTACGGGATTCATGTCGTCGTAGAAACGTCGTGACTGGGCAGAGGTCGGTGGTGGGCCGCTGAGAGCGTTGTTCGCGAACGAGGTAGCTGTAGTACCATTGGGAGGCATTGCAGCACCCGAAAAGCTCGTGCCGTTCGCGTCGTAGGACCTCGCAGCAAGACCCGTGTTCATAGACTCCATTGACGTCGCTGGTGATACACCGTCGGACAGGCGTTTTCTGCCATACTGCAATTTTCAAGTCAGCACAGTTCCGTCTGGCGGTGACGGCGTACTTACCTTGGAGCCGTATGAGCCCTTGACCCCGTATCCCTCAAAGTCCGAAGCCGACGTTTCATCGTCGGTGTCTTCGGCGTTGTATCTGGAGCCTAGCAGGTCGGCGGGCGGCCGTGACGATTCTGGGATGAAGACGTTCACGCGGTCCCGTGGGCCGTTTTCGTTCGCAGAGGGCGACTCCAGCGGCAGTTCCATGGTGCTTACGCCTGTCAGAGTGTTGAAGTAGAAGAGCCTCCCGTCCGGCGTGGCCTGGGGTATCCAGAAAGCCGCCTCTTCCTCCTTGCTGTTCTCGTTGCGCTCCATGGGCAGGATGGTGTCGTTTCCGCTCAATGACTCCGTGTCCGAGTTGGTGTAGTCGGTTCCGCCCACCGAATGCGCGTCGTGTTCGTCGTCGCCCAGGCCTCCATTGCGGTCATTCTCCACGTCGTCGCTCGGGCGCTGCACCACGGCGCAGTAGTTGCTCGGGAACCAGCCACGGACGCCATTGATCACTCCGTCCCACCAGCCGCTCTCCAGCTGCGTAATGACCTGGATTATCTCGCCTTGGCGGAAGCTCAAACTGGTGCGATCGTCGGCATCGTAGTCGTAGAGCGCTTTCACATACATGCCGCCTGGCGACACGGTGCCGTTGAAGCCGTTCATGGTGGAAGGTGCGAGCCTCTGGTAGCGGCGGGGATCCAAGGCAGACGCGGCCCCTCAAGTCTGCACGCGCACTTCTTCTGTGCGTGCTGCAGCCGGAAGACGGAGACGGGTGCGATCCAGCAGTGGGCTGTCGAGTCTCACGATATGCCCGACCGACTCCAGAAGTTCAGACGTTTCGCGTATTATGGCTGGGGTGGATGGAGGGGATGCAATTGGGCTAAAGGCGCACCGGCTTGCGAATCAGAACCCTCACATTCGCGCCTTGGAGAACGACGCAGCGAATAGGATCTCCGCAACGGGCTCTCTGGTATAGCTACAGACGAAAACGAGAGGGCTTGTGGTGAGAAGAAACTGCAACACCAGGGCGGGTCGCTGAGGCGTCGTGTAGTGTGGACACCCTACCCTGGCTCTGCTCATGTAACCTTGGAAGCTAAGCACGTGAGTTGCAGCATGCAATAGCCAACGATGAATCGTACAAAGACCAGGTCCGTCGTGCAGAAATTAGGGTAAATGTTGCTTGGACTGCCCATTACGCACGCACGCTCTGATTTGCACGTCTGCAATTACACGATCAAATCATATGCATATCGCGCAATCTATCAGACGGCAGGCGCCCCGTGCTGAGGCCGTTTTAGTGACCCTGTCCAGGACCACTGGCACCTAACTTGGGCGAAAATCTGCCTCTGTTGTGCTGTTTCCCCTCAACCCAGCTTACAGATAGACGGGCCGTTATTGTGAAGAAAAGCCCTGGTTGTGTTGATGCAGCGGGTCGTGGTGGGGGATTGCACGGTTCATGCACAGGCATACGAAGAGGACGGGGGACGTGAGGCATTCAGGTGCCAATCTAGAACATTGCTCGACTCGCTCATCTCGTTGATCTTGAGACCTTGAAACAGGGCCCTGGAATATATCAAGCATACCTTCCTGAATGGTGGTGAAGCCGAACCGTGATTGTCGAGGACATGTACAATTGTCTGTATGTCATGCATGTTGCTCGTACGACGACAACAATCCTCGACTCTCAGTGTTACGCGTGCTGCGCCTGTCACCGCTCTTGTCTCAGTCCTCGAAGAAGGTTTAACGAATGCTCGCAGCAAGTATCAAGGGTCTGGGGCTTCGTGATTGTTCTTTGATTGGCGCATGCTGTCTTGAAGTGAGTCTGACGTTATAACTGTTCATGTTCAATCGCACACACACAAGTCGTTCACTTTTGTCAGGAAATGAGACTTTCCAGCCAGGTGAGCTTCCAGTGCACGATTCGACAGCAGACAAGAAGCTTTCATCAGAAAAGGCCCGATGGAAGCTCGGAGAGAAAGCTGAAGACGTTAATGACTAGTGGCATTCATGACTTGAAGATGCATGGATTGTGTCGCGTGGAAGCGGGCACATTCATTCTGCGACGCTGGTGTGCTGGGGTCGGAATAGGTTCCCGACTCAACAGCAACTGAATCGTCAAGAGAAACCACGCCGCTGATGGACAACACGCGTTTTTCCGTGACAAGGCACTCGAGTCAATATCGAAAAAGAGAACGCAGAAAAGCTGTATGTTGTGTCTGAGGATGTTAATGCAGCACTGGTCCAAATGTCATCACTGTTACATGGAGGAGTCGAAACAAGTAAAGGTTCAGCAAATGCAACGTCTACCGACGGGATCATGAAATTATGTGGACATGATCCGAGCCTTCGGCGAACGGCAACATCCCGTGGTGTCTTAAGAAGAAAGCCTCCAATTCGTTATGAAACCACGAGTTAGAAGGCGGCTCTTTCCTTCCAGAGCATTGCAGAAAGCGCTCTAGCGCGGGGGTCTCTGGAAGAACTGCCCCTCCCGACGATAAGCAAGAGGGGGAGGGGCTTGAGGATGGGTTGTTGAACACCTCGAGGTGTCTCATGAAGAAGACGGTGAGGGGCGACGAGTTGTCAAATTACCGACACCGTGCCTGGAACAGTGTTTAGCTCTTACATGGACTGCGGGCCACGCCATGCGTCCGGACCAAACAGAGACTGGCGGGGCATCTGGCGGGCTGTCTGATTTGAAGCGGGTAACGGTGAGGGTTTTCTTCGCCGAGGTGAGAAGCTCTCGACTTTGCGATCCAACTGCCTGGACTTTGTGCAATGTCCAGAGCACCCAGAGAAGTACCCCACTCGTGAAGCTGTGTAGGTAAGGTGCAGGCAGCTTCTGCATGTGTCTGGCAGTCTACTGCACATGTGGACCCGGTACTCAGCAGTCGCGAAGTGGGTCGCGGGGGACGGGATGCTAGCCCGAGGGTATGGATGGGCTTCCAGGAACGAGTAAATGCGGCCGGCGATCGCGTCGTCTCGAGATTGCTTGTAAACGCAGCGCCCGTTGGTGAAAGTTAGAGGGTGTTGTTTGCGTCATTGTACTTGTTTTTAACGAACGAAGCGGCCCCTTTTCATTTGAAAGGTCGTCATCAATTATTGATACAGGCCATGGCGAAATCAAACAGGTCTTGTTCGTATCGTTGAGATGCTGTGTAAGTATTCTATGGCGCTTGCTCCAATCGCTGAATCGTGAGGCGGTGAGCCTCGCTTTGCATCCGATGCGTTTGTAAATGGCGCCCGTACGAACTACACCTCGAAGAGGCAAAAGTTGGCTGACGTCTCTTACCGCTTGTTCTTGATAGCGTGCAACAACTGGCTACTGGGAGTGTCGACTCCGCTAACAGCATGTCGTACGGCGCAACCTTTCTCAAAGAGGTTCCTGCAGGAAGAACCGTTGGACAGCAAGCTGCCATGTTGCAGGCGGGCGCGGCAGTATCGTGGTTCCAGGCGGTCTAACACGTTGAGCCCTTGCAATGGAGGTGAGTGAGGGTGGCATGTTGGAGATGTTTGGATTGCATGGTGGGAGACGGAGACGGGTAGAGGACGAGGAACAGGAAGCTCGAGTCTTGCAATGGGGAACATCAACATCAACATCAACGGCAAGGGCAACTCGAGCGCATGGTGAGACGGCTACGTGGATGTCACTCTGGTGTAAAACTGTATTTGACCGTGTGGAATGCGCGTCAATTAGCGTAGTCATGCCCGTAATAATCCAAGATGCAAGATTCAAGAGTCCAGCCACCTGGGTCACGTGGCGACTGATTTCGAGAGGGGTCATTCGCGCACGCTGTCTCCTTATTCCGCCGTCGCGCGCAGTCGTTCCAGCATCCATTCATCCCATCGCCTCCCACATTGCTCCATTGCGCACGCGACTGTCAGGCGCCGTCGCTCCCCCCTCTCTATTTATCACCGGCTCTCCCGGTGTTGTATTGTCTCGTGTGTGCACTTTTCGCGGAATGAAAGAAGAGCACAGCTATTTCACCCTGCCCACCAACACGCTTTAACGCCCACGCGCGCCCGGCCATCGATACCACTCGATCGCAGAGGCCCGAGACGACTGTAGACTGCCCCTCGTTCGCGTGCCCGCAGCCATGGTGTCCAGTGCAACCCCCGCCGCCGCGCGGAAAACAGGCCAGCCCGAGAAGAAGTACAAGTGCCAGTTCTGCAACCGCGCCTTCAGCAGGAGCGAGCACCGCAGCCGCCACGAGCGCTCTCGTAAGTGACTTTTTGTTGTTCCGAGATGGAGCTCGATGTTTGGAGGCGGGGTAGCTGTTTACTGATGCGGGATTTCGCGTGGTGGTCGCGCTGCGGGGAAGATGGAGACAGTGTTGCTAACTGCCCCTCACCGACAGACACCAAGGAGCGCCCGTTCAAGTGCCTCAAATGCCGCAGCACCTTTGTCCGCCGCGACCTGCTGCTGCGCCACGACCGCACCGTCCACGCCAAAGACGGCGGCGTGCCCCTGCCCAGCGAGCAAAAGCGCCGCACCAACAACAAGGCGGCTGAGGCGACGCCCGGCCCCTCGAAGACGGCCGCCACGCCCACGCCCTTCGATGCCTCGACGCTCGAGCAGATCGAGGCCAGCAGCGACGAGATGGTCGACATCGAGGCCGCCGCCATGCTGATGACCGACTTCCACCACAAGGCCATGGCCAGCCAGGAGCCCGAGATGGTGCCCGAGCACCACGAGCCCGTCATGTCGCCCATCGGCCCCTCCATCATGGACCAGCCGCCCGTGCCCTACACCGCCCCGGGCCAGAACATGCTGCCGCAGATGCCGTGGCGCGACTCGATGGTCCCGCAGCCCGAGTCCAAGACGTCGGCCTTCAACGGCGCCGCCCTCAACACGCACGCCCACCAGCTGCCGCCGCTCATGGAGCGCACCATGTCGGGCAGCGAGACCCTGGCCCCGACCTTCCCGTCGATGAACGGCGGCAACCTCGGCACGCCAGGCGCCCTGTCGCCCTATCCGTCCATGCTCGGTCCCGTGTCGCCCGTCGACTACCGCAAGTCGCCTGGTCCCAGCCAAGCTCTGACCATGACGAGGGCCCCGCAGCTCGAGTCGGAGGAGCAGTGCGCCAGGATATACGACAACATCAAGCAGTACGACAGCGAGAACGCGCTGCTGGAGACGTTCCATCTGCCCAGCCTGAACACACTCAACCGTCTGCTCAAGACCTACTTCGACCTGTTCCACCACCACCTCCCCTTCCTGCACCCAGCGACCTTCAACCCCACTGAGGTGTCGGCGCCTCTGCTCCTGGCAGTGCTGTCGATAGGTGCCCTGTACATCTTCGACCAGGACCAGGCCTACATGCTTCACATCGGGTCCAAGGTACTCGTCAACCAGTTCCTGCAGAACAAGGAGAACTTCAGTTCCCGAAAGTGCCCTTTGTGGACCATGCAGAGCACCCTGCTCAACATGATCTTCTCCAGCTGGAGTGGTGACCCCAAGGGTCTCGAGTGGGCCTGCTCGATCAAAAGTCTCCTCGCCAATGTAAGTGCATCCTTCCATCGTTGACATCCCCAACTCACACGTTACAGATGGTAGCAGGAAACCGCTATGAGCTCAAAATCCGCACAGAAGCCCGTGAGGGTGCTCAGCCCAGCCATGAGGAGTGGGTAGTTGACGAGCAATGTCGACGAACATACTATGCCGTGTACATCTTCTTTGGGCTCCTAACTTTGACGTACAATCATACGCCAGCTATGGGATTTAATGAGTTCGACACGCTGGAACTACCGTCATCAGAAACTCTCTGGACTATGGAGTTCATCGACGATGAGTCATGGTGCGAGAGTCTGGCGGCGTCGAAGATCATCACCTTCCGCCAGGCACACGACAACCTCTTCCAAGGAGAGACCGCTCGTTACAGCGCCTTCGCGACTCGAGTTATGATCAACGCCTTGTTCCTAGAGGTCTGGTATCACAAGCGGAGTCCCGAGGCCCTCCAGGACGTCGTCACCGAGTACAAGCTCAGACTCGCCTTGGAGACTTGGGAGAAGTCGCTTGAGCTATGCGAGCCAGAGACAGTTGTGGTTCAATTGAGCGCTCCCCACAAAGGGCATCCTTTGATCTTCAACGCCATGGCGCTTTACAGAAACACCAGGGCTCGTCTTGTTGTTGATCTGAAATCTATCCAGGAAGCTCTACGTTACCACGACTCGTACGAAGTCGCTGCAGCCATGACTAATGCTCGCGACAAGGTTCAACGATCGCAGGAGATGATCAAGGTTATCCAGGAGTGCTTTGACTGCATTGAGGTCGCAGCTGTACAAGGCATTCGATGGGTCGCACGGACATCAGCGACCAACTGGAGTATCGAGCACCCTCTTACCGGGATGGACCTGATGGTCATCCTTACGCTTTGGCTCTACCGCCTGGAGCATGACGAAGAGCCTGCCAATGAGGAGGAACTCGCCATGTACAACAAGCTGCGCAACCTGTTTGATGACGATTCTGTCGATGTTTACGGTGCCAAACTGAGCTCCACAGTGGCACGACTGTGGGGTAGCATGATTGATGAAGTTGTTGTCTGGGGGTATGTGTATACAATCCATCTTCAACGGCACTCGATGCTAACGTTACATAGTATCACCAAACTTATGGGAGAATCCTTCAAACTCCACTCTCAAGCCCTCGTCGGCTACGAAGACGCAATGTCGTCCAGGTCTGGATCTGCCACACCCTCAATGACTACTGGCGGTGTTCAAGTCCTCGAAATGCAGATGGCTTATTAGGGAGTAGGCCTCTCTAGTACGCTGCTGTTGAAATTTCGCCATCTTTCCTATCTCGTCATCTCATCTTTCCTAGACTGTGGGCCTGGTTTCTCTTTTATTCCTGGTCATCTCTTTGGAGCATGGCTCGGAGTTCAGTGTCTCTTTTTCTGGTGCATACTGCGTGCGTTGAATCTGTTGTTTGTTTTGGTTTTTCAAGATTTGGGTGACACGGCGCATCGGGGCAGTCTGGTCCAGTCTCCATACACCTCTCTGGGCTTAGGCTCTTGACGTTTTTGCATTCTTCTAATATCTTTCCTCTCGTTCATACCCATTGATTCTGCTGAACAAGTTTTGGAGGCTGGCCCCAAGCGCGTTTTGCCTTCGGCTCGGCTCACCGCAGGCTGCGACTTGCCGTTTTCCGATAATGCTTGTTTGGTCTGTTATTGTTTTTCCTACACTTTTGGGATGGGACTGTTTCCTTCTGCATATACCAAGTATCTGATTTCTTCGCGGCGACGGAGAAGTCGAAGTTCGGCTGGTAATCCATTGATGATGATAATGCAGGAGTGAACGGGCACCTAGAATAGTCAATGTATAAGCATACTTTACTGGAGATACAGTCCGGATTCTGCACATATAGTGTTTGTGATGTCCATACTCTGCTTGAACATGATCTTCGTTTATAGCGTGCAGCACGCTCACACAAGTCCTATCAGCAGCTTTAGCATGTGCAGATATAAACGATCAGTATGGGGTATGGTCGTTCATGCGTAGAGAACGCGGCGCACGAGATGCCAAGCATGTGCACGGACGCGGCGTCGAAATTTCACTCGCCGAAAAAGTTCGATGGAGCTCTCGAGCACGGCATCACAGCTCAACACAGCTTTCCACAACACAGCCACTCGCTATATCACCAATCATATACAGTTTCTGCCATTGCCATTGAGCATTGAAGTTCCACTAATACACAATGGCCAAAGAAATCAAGGAGAAGAAGGAGAAGAAGGAAAAGAAGGACAAGAAGGAAAAGCGCGCCGAGACCGAGGGTGTGTCAAAGAGCAAGAAGGAGAAGAAGGACAAGAAGAAGGTTACTGCCGAGCTCGAGGATGCGCTCATGACAGGTGTTGAAGAAGCGACCGAGGTGTCGCTCATCCAGGCGGACAACGGCGACGGCGACGAGGAGCCGCGAGGCGCGCTTGTGCCTTTCGCATTCCCGCTGTCGGACGATGCGAAGGAGGTCAAGAAGATCCTGAAGACGGTCAAGAAATGTACGTTGACAATCTTCTCTCTCCCAACCTCCCCCACGCACCCAACTAACCCTCCTCCCCAGCCGCCAAGACCAAGACGCTCCGCCGCGGTGTAAAAGAAGTCGTCAAGGCGCTCCGCAAGTCAGGCCCCGCGACAAGCGGCTCCGACTCTTCGTCTATTGTCGTCATCGCCGCCGACATCTCACCCATGGATGTCATCTCGCACATCCCCGTTCTCTGCGAAGACCACAACGTGCCCTACATCTACATCAAGTCGCGCGCGGCGCTCGGCGAGGCCAGCGCCACCAAGAGGCCCACCAGCGTCGTCATGATCGGCAAGGACAGGACGAGCAAGAAGAGCAAGGACGTCAAGGACGACGACGCGAAAGAATTCGACGAGGCATACGCCGAGCTGCACAAGCTCGTCACCAAGGCGGCGAAGACGGTGCGCAAATAGGCTGCCCGATGAGCTACTTTGTCCAAATTATGTATGCCTGTATGTTGGATTTCTACCGTGCAAAAGGGAATGGGGAGTCTGGCGTTTTCGTGTCTGTTTGCGCATCGTGTCGCATACGGATTCACATTTTCTGTTTAGCTGAAATGGGCGGTTGGGGACGCCTCTGTGCGTCTGTTTGATCAAACGTCAATGTCAATGTCAATGCCGATCCAGAGGGGCTGCAATGAGAAAATTTCAAAAAACACTTGCTCTTTCTTTCTTCTGTTGATGTGCTCACGATGTCGCAGGTTTATATAGATGTTATATTTGTAAATGTTCACGTCTTTTAGCTTTTAAACTAAGCTACACGTCAATACCAAAGACATATTGTTTAGTTCTCATTCTCCACTTCCTCAAAGGGAAACAAGTGCGTATGCGTATCGGTATCTATTCACCCATCTATCTATATACCCTACATACCTATCCCATTTCATCCGCTTTGTCGCATACACGTGCATCGTCTAATCCAGTGATTCAAAACTAAGACGAGATATTCCCATTGATTGCAAAGAGGTAGTTACCCCGGTTGGAGCATAACACCCACACTCGACACTCAAGACAAGATAGCCAGGTCAAAGAGGACTGTCCGCACAGAAAGAAGTAGATCGCTACACCAAGTAGAAGACGCTGGGTGTCACTCTATTATTCTACCCATCGAACACGCGTATGTCTATCAGAAATGATTCCATCGTTCTGTTGGCAAAGCACCTGTGTTATTTCGTTTCTGTTTTCGTTCTCGTTCGAATGCTGAGGCCTGGGAGCTGGGGCGTGGGTTGCATGGTCTTTGTGGAAGTCGGGAGATTTGTCTGTATGTTTGAGTTTAATCGTGTTGGAGGGATGGGAGTGTGTGAGTGTTTGGTTGGCTTGGTGGGCTGTGGTAGATTATGTATCTACCGTGTATTGGTTCAACTCTTTTACTTGGTTGCTCCGTTCAGGACTCAATATTGGAAACAACTGCTCGATCATCTGTTCCGTTTGTTGCACGAAGTAAAGAGTTATGGGCAGGATTGGACGGGATAACTCTCCACTTCACAGTGTTCTAGGAAAACACGAAATCATTCAGTGACTGGCATGAGAGTATGTATACCAGGGGCGGATCCTTTACGGCCGGTTGCCCGACAGCGGAGAAGTATAGGCTGGTTTAAAGGGTATACAGATCCCGACTCCTTCCACTCGTTCGAGAGCTGGAAGTATATAAAGCGGCGAACAGAGTACCCGGAAACGTCGAGTGGCGGCTGCTGTTAGTGTAATCTGGGTGATGTATGATGTTGTGTTGACGGACACCCGTCCTGACAGTTTTTCAAGTCGGTTAGGAATATCTGATTAGCCTGATACATTCCATACCAATGCGAAAAGACGTTGCGTAGGAAGACAAACGCAGACGAGACAGATGGCAAGAAAAAGAGAGTGCCATGAACCCACGTCACCCCAGACTCCAGAGCAAAAACTCCTATGTCTCTTATACCACTTCGCGTGAGCCACAACCAGCCAGCCAACCAACCAACCGACCATCCCCATACACCCATACATTACCCACCACATCCACACACCCCAGCCCCAAACATTCAACTCCCCACCTCCCCACCCTCCTTCTCCCTCTCCCCCGTCTTCGCAAACGCCGCCCCAAAAAGATGCAGCGGATTCCCCAACCTCGAAGCCATAAGATACAGCACCGTCAACCCCGTAACCACAATCTCATCCCTTTCCTCCTCGCTGACCACCCTCTGGAAATACATCATACCAACCTGTTTCAGAGCCCAGAAATTCACACTAAACTTCGCAACCGGCAGCTGCGCGGCGTCCAGACACACAAAATCCCACGTCTTCATGCTGCTGTTTGCTATCCAGGACATGGTAACGGGCTCCGTGGAGTGCACGTTCGAGGTGTACCCGTATGCTGTTTTCCAGCGCGAGAGGGGCGTGAGGGGGAGGGAGCGGCCGTGCAGCGTGCATGAGGGCGTGATGGAGATGCTGGGGATGGTTGCTGTGGCTATGGGGGTGTTGGATGGGGCGGAGTCGAAGCGCAGTTGGGGTTTTAGCGTGCGGAAGTGTTGGGTGTAGAGGGGTTGGAGGGTGGTGTCAGTCTTTAGGCTGACGCGGTTTTGGAAGGCGGTCCATGAGAAGTCTATTTGGAGGGTGGGGGGTTCGGAGGCCATGGGTGGGGAGTCGGGGGGTTGAGACATGGTGGGTTGGGGGTGCGAGGGAGGGGGAGGGGGTGGTTGTGTACTGTTGGATTGATCGGCTGATTGGGTTGTAGCAAGTACTTAACCTTACACAGGTTGCTTGGCGAACATACTGAATGGGGGGTCTGATCGTCACGGTGGGTATACTAAGTGAGTACTGTAGTCTGGTGATGTGGGGAGGATCGGAAAGAGCTCATGCAAGGGGGTGGCATGTACAGGTTGAAATACGACACCCTATCCTATCATTGATCGCAGGAGGTTCTTGAATCCTCTACTAATCTATACCTAACAAGCTTTTTATTGGATTTTCGCGTAGACGCGATACTAAACAAATTGTAATGTTGCCGATGTAAGAAACATACATAGCTTACTATCGCATTATCTAAACTTCAGTTCATCTCTCCAATCAGCCGTGGGGCTGCTCGTATTTCAACCCGCACATGCTGCCCCCTTGTACATGTTGGAGGTTACTCTTGCTTCATATTTCTCGGCTTCGAATACACATTCCTGTAGTCTTGCTGTGTTGTTGCGAGTCTCGGGAATTGTCTTATATCTAGCTCATTTTGTGCAAGAGCGTGACGCTTAAAGACGGACCCATTGCCACCCATCGATGCTGATAGGATTTCCGAAGGCAGACTAGATGCATCTTGTTAGCAGCTTGAGCAGACACATATATACAAGACCATTTGATACATACCATACAACTTGACTTGTAATTTCGATGTGAAACCACAACTGGATATCATAGAATTGTAAATGCTCCATCGAGATATCAATTGCCAACTGTCATTCATTTTCGAACTCACATCTTGAATTCGATAAATAGAAAGTCGACCATCCCATAAACTGCTTAATATGCGCATTATCGATGTGACGTAAAATGAGGTCGAGAAAGTCGAGCGTGGTGTGGAATGTTGCATACTTCACCTCCCAAAGCCTCCATCCAACGACCTACCTCCACACTCAACACCCCAACCCCCCCATCCACCACGCAACAAACCCATCTCTCAACCTCCTCACGCCGTCATCTTCGTCCTCCAAGTCCCCGTCGCGAAGTCAAAAACCCCCTGCCCCTCCGGCAGCCGTCGACTCCCATTAATAACACTCTCCCTCGCCGCATCCGGTTTCAGCCCCAGCACAGCAGTCTTCTTCCTCGCCGCACCCTTGACGCGATGAAGTCCGATCTGGCACCCCGGGCGCCCGGCAAACCGCTTGCAGCACCCCCAGCGGAAGCCGTCGGGGTGTTTTTCCCGGTTGGCGGGCGTGTCTTTTTTGCCGTGGAAGCGCTGGTCGTAGTCCCACCAGGCGGGTGATTTTGTGTCGATTTTCAGGGTTTCTGGGGATGTGGTTGGTGGTGTTTGGGGGATGATATGCGGGGGCAGGGAAGGACTTACTGGTGTGCACTAAACAGCTCGTTGGACCGTTTGTCAACGCATCGAATTCTTGTTCGCAATCGATGCATGGTTCGAATCGGTGCGCAACGTAGTCTTCTCTTTTCCGCTTCAGGGGCCTGGCTTCTTTGCCTTTTTCAACGGGCTCTTTCGCTGCATTCTCGTCCTCGTCAAGCGAGATTGCGTGGGAGGCTTCAGTTCCTTTCTTTGCTGCTTCTTTAGTCGCCTCTTTTGCTCTTTCGTTGGCGGCTTTGAGATCTGCTGATGTGACGAGGAGTTCGTCAGATGCGACGTCTAGCGCATCGGGAACTTGGGCACATATTTTCTCGAGGGTGGCGCGGATGCGTTTCTCTGATGCTGAGTTTAGGGCGGATAAGAGGAGGTCGGGAAGTGTGGTGTCAGACATATTGTAGGTGGATGGCGGAGTGATGCTTGGGGATGCGTTCAGGGATGGTGGAGGTTGGAAGCGAGATTAGTCTGCTGGAGGTTAGTCCACAGCTTACGGTGTGAACGTCTACTCACGACACATTCTCCAAATTATTGATTGAGTTATATATTTGTCCTACTTCAAATTGATGCTTTTCATAGCGTTTCTCAAACCAACATGAAAATCTCTGCATTTGTGCCCCCCGCATCCTACAACCACCTACCCCTCAACCAAACCTCAGTTTCTTCGATTTGTCTAGGTTCGGCCCCACTCGATGCGGTCCTTGCTGGCACCCCTCGTCACCCTCATCCCCTCTAACCTCACAGCAACTCCAAATAAATCCCTCGGGAAACTCCTCTTTATTGGCATCCGTGTTCGTTGGTCCAAAAGTCTCCTCTTCCGTGTCAGCCCAAAACTCTTCATCGACCTCCATTTCCCCTGCAATATTTTAGCTCAACTTTCATACCAACACTGGCTGACGAGTGGGTTTTACCATCATGCCATTGACAGCTCTCCGGTCCATTCTCAGTCACATCGAACTCCGAAAAACAGCGTCCGCATGTCGCAAAGCGGGGGCCGGAGTATTCTGGACCATCCCGTTTTCGCTTTCCACGTGCAGATGTAGAATTCGTTTCCTCTGTTTTGGCAAGTAGAAGCTCGTTACAAACCGAAGCGTGGGTGACGTCAGACTTCGAGCAGAGAGTTTTCAGTATATCTCTTAGTCGATTGACAGATGCGTTATCGATTGCTTCGTTCAAAAGTTTCGTAGAGGACATTGTGTGTAGTGTGGTGTTAGTGGTTCGGGGAATTAGAGAACCACGTAGAAGAGAACAGGGTCGCGTCCGTCAGGAACAGGCACTTTGGTATGACGTAGGTGATCAACCTCAAGAGCTTCCAAACTTGTAGTTAGTGCCCCTAAGAGGAGGAATAAGTTGTACTGTCTTTAGATTTAGCGACATGGCCCTGTAAATTGAATTCACCAAGGTATGGGCTGATGGAAGGGTATCAAATGTACAGTGATCAATTGCCCAGAACGATCTATGCCATGCCCTACTGTACAGCGTACCTGTCGTATGCCACGCTCAAATTTGTACTAAAAGAATCCATCCATCTCATTTTCATCCGGTATCATTCGCTTATGGCCTGACAACTCGCAGACCGTCTTTGGGGGGTGTGGCTGCCCGCTTGAATGACTGTAATATTGTCAGTATGCGCTTCCTGATTTGTAAAGGTAGTGTGCGTACGTTGTCACACTCTTCCCACGCTCGTCCAGCACCGAATCCGAGGCCAACCGTTGCGGGCCATGCGCGGCGCTTGAAGAGGAGCACGGAGAAGACGACACCAAAAGAGAGGCCGAGACCGGAGCGGATGAGCATCGAAGAGAGACAGCGGTCCCACTGCAAGTCGTTGTGTTAGCGCAACGATTCTCTAGCGAGCAAAGCAGCCTATCTGCGCATATTGTGTTCATGAGGGCAAGAGTCGCGTGAGACTGGGAGAAGCTGCAATTGAGTGCAGCAAATCCCGTGACATGCAAGGCAATATGCCAACGCATTTCTCCCAGCTCTCAATTCAATGCCATAGTCGCTACCGGGTTGGGAGATGTACCTTCTCGTTAAGCAGGGCTTCGCTCATGGGGCGGGTGGTTCGCGGGATGGGCGCAACAGGCTGGGGTGTTCCGTCGGCCATGGCGGGCGTGTGTGTGGGAGCAATTGATCGGGTCGAGGTGGATAGAGGTGGTGAGGTGCGGCGGGCGGTAGTGATGATGATCCTCGGACAGCGGCAGCGACAGCGGAAGTTTGCTCAGCATCGCCGGCCTTGGCGCATGCAACTTCTGGGTCCGAGCGTAACTTTTTTCGAGGAAGCTGTTCCACCGTCTTGCTCTGGCAGTCACAATTCAAGGTGACTGAACAATATGGCTCCAATGAAGCCAGTATGTCATTTTACTCTGTACACGTTTCCTGGCTCTGCTAATCCATGACAGACTTCCGAGAATGGGCTTGCGCCAACACGCCCTCGCCTACAGGCTGTCAACCAGAATTTCTCAGACCTGAATGAACAGATCCGCCAAGTCGCGCATATAATAGGCCTCCCTGACAGCTGGGCGACTGTAGAAGATGAAGGCGCTCGGTCAGACATGGTACGGCAACTTGTCCGCGCAAGAGCAGAATGGGTTTTGCGCTGGGTGCTCGACAAGCTGAAAGACGAGGCCGAAGCTGGACACACGGCGCGGGCAAACACGACGGCATGGAAGCTCTTGGACTGGATGATACACGTCCTGCCCGTCTCGCGCAGCGCACCGCATCTGCGAGACGCGGCCTTCACCACCATCTTGGAGAGAACTCTGGTGGAAATGGTCGACAAGGACGCTGCCGTTCACTCAGTACCCATTTCCGACGACGTCCACATGGCCGACATGTCAGAGTCGAGCGAAACTGTTGGCGACGACTCGCAGCCGTCGCGGAAACGAAAGCGAGGAGCCGCCGACTCGACCTCTCCCTCGAAGAGAGCAGCAGTCGCATCCATCGACCTCGAGCAGCTATTCAGTGTAATTGCGACTGCAGTCAGGTCCATCACAGGACTTGCTGCCACTCACAACAAGACGGATGACTCCTCACAGCGAGAGCTCATGAAGATGGTGTTGAGAACCGAGAGTGCACAAGCATCTCGCATACTAAAGTTCTGGCTCACCTGTGTTCAGAAACTTGCTGGTGTCGCGTTATCTTCAGGACTGCATGCACCAAATCTCGATAGATATCTTGACCTTTCCCTAGCTCTGGAAGTCTGGGAACTGCGAACTGTCGATTCGGGCGATGAGATGGGATCCTCCGCTGACGAGTTCACCACGGAGTGTCTCGTTCCTGCCCTAACGCTCCTCGACGCCCTTAAAAGCACACACAACCTTGAATTCATCCCGTCTTCTACCCGTTCGATCAATCGCACCACACAGGCAATCGAAAAACTCCTGGCTCGACACCTGCTTGCGCCATCACGCGCTGCTTTCTTCGCCGAGACTCTTGCGGAGTCTGCGAATCCCGAACCCAGCCCTCTCGAGGCGAAGCAGCTAGCAGACAGTCTGCAACCACTGCGAGCAAAGTTACTCCAAGCAGCACAGATTGAGGATGCAGGCGAAGCTGTCCCGGCTGACGTGGCCTGCTTGTCCAACGCCGTCTCGCATCTGCTCGATCTAGCTATACGTGCATCTCCATCGAAGACGCCAAGGAGCAGGATTGCAGAAAAACCGTGGATCCAAGCAGTCTTCGTGACACTTGTTGAATGCGCCGGATGCTCACTCAAAGAGCCGCCTGAGTTTGTCACGTCAAACACCGCTGTTACTGCCCTTGGAAGTGCTGTTCGCGTGCTCCAGATCCATAACATAAGCATCAAATCGGATGTCTTGAAGAACATCTTTTGGTACCACTCTGGCGTAAAGTACCCAAAAAATCAGGAGAAGGAGGTGCATTGGTCGTTGATTGCTGCATTGATCGAGCTCGACCCCACGGTCTTTGTAGCAGAACCAAAGTCCATATCCGGGGCTACTAGGGAGCAGCATACCGGTCTGGCTCAGTTCATCTTCGAGCAAATATCGAATACTGAGTTCAAGAGCCCAGGATTTGCCAATGACGATCGCGACGCTGATGGCTTAGACAACAGCCATACCGGCCACCGCGCGCAGACTGCGCCTCGGGTTCAACGGACACTAATATTGAAACGTATTGTTGTTCCAATCATGTCGGCTTTCGCGCGCAACCGAAATCTATTGGGCTTCCTCGGACGGTGGGACAACCAACTAGTCAAGAGCTACAGATTTGAGAATCGGCAAAACTTGAAAGAGCGCAAGGATCTCATCTGGGAAGATCGCACTTTGAACAAGGCCTTGGTGGAGCTGTTTGAGCAGAGTCTGACGCAAGGTCAGATAGCAAAGCTACTCCAGGATCATGCGAAACGTATGGATGATCTAGGTGATGCTATAGCGTCTGCATCTAAAGACGGTGTTAAGGTTCAAAAGCTCGCCGCCTATAAGAATGCGCTCAGCAGTGCTATTATCATCCCAGCCATCTTGCAATCAATCGGATCCGACGAGATCATCGGGGCACTCAAGCCACAGCTCCGCTCCCTCCTCAGATCTTACACCGCGTGGGTACAGGACGACCAGTACAGCGTTTACTCAAAGCTCGCCCTCTCATGGTTCACGTTATGTCAACTGCTGACAAAGTTGTGGCCCATCGAGTTACATGCCTCTGCGCAGATCCAAGAAGAGCTGCTTCACCCACTTGTCAAACAAGCTACAGTGGACATGTCTTCCACACGGAAAGATCAAAACGGCAGACGTGTAGACTCATTCACACGAGCAGCGGCTATGTTGTTTCTGCTTGATGCTTGCGACTACCTCCAAACCGTGCCCGGCTCTACGGACCTCATACAAACAAGCCTGCAAAAGACAATGGAGAGTCTTTCCGCTAGCCGAATCGACCTCTCAGACTTCACAAAGTTGGTTGAGTATTTTTGTGCCGACTTCGTGCAACTGTTTGGACACTTGGAGGCTGAAGCTTGCCAAAAGTTGTTGCTGACCTTGCTTTCGAAGCTATCAAACTTCGATAGCGAAGTTGGCGAGCACATCAGTCACTCGCTTTCCCAGACTATCTTCCAGCAGGGAAGCTCTTCGTTGCAGGATACGTATTCCTCGGCACTTTTACAGACCCTCGAAAAAAACGAAGATAATCGTGCCCATGCTATCGCGGTCAAGTCATTCTTGCACATGAGTCCTTTGGCGCTTTCGCGAGAGAGGCGAGAGGCAATACTGGACCGCATAACCGAGCTTCTTGCTTCAGGGTCAAAGGATTCTGCAGCGTTGCTAAGCATTGTGGCGCATCTCATGGAGGTTTCCAACGCAACCGCGAAGATCTCGACCGAGGGTGGCCTGGCTTTCAAGATTGCCGAAACTTTGCATAAGCAGGGCCTTGAGTCGCCTGCGTCCCTTCAATCACTTCAGCACCTTGTTCAACTGACACTTGGTCATATCTTCCCAAACCAAGGCCAGCCTCAGAACCAGGTTTTCCTTGGCGAGTTTAGGATTCAGGTCGGATCGGTCACCAAGAAGAAAGCACAATGCTCTGCAGCCCAACTGGTGATACTCCGTGCAGCTGTTTCTGTCCAGAAACAAAACGCGCTGATCGATCTCGAGCGCTATGTGGCCGTGCTGAAGCAGTGCCTTGCCGATGACAGTGGTAGTAGCGCGTCCCTCCAAGATGTGCTAGATGCGTTGAACGAGTTGTCTCCGCTTGCCCTCCAGGAAGCCAAGCTCTTCGATACAACGCAAGCTTGGTTGCGCACATGGATCAACGACAATGCCGACTTGGAGTCTTATATCACCTCCGAAGGAGAAAGCCCAGCCGAATTGGCCGAATACGTCGCACGACTGCAAACGGCAATGGCAAGATATAGTCTGCATCCGAACGCGACCTGGCTGGTCAAACTTACCTTCAAACTTGTCCGCGAGCCGATCGCCGATGAAATGAAGGAGACCGCGTTTGAGACAGTTAAACACGCCCTCGCACCTCTCCCAATCCCCGAGAAGCTGGACTTGATCCCTGTCTTGGCCGATGTCCAAGATCCCCTGAACCACGCTGCATCATACCGTCTCCTTAATATCCTCATCTCGACCTTAGACGACAAGTTAGAAATGGACCCTCAGCTTCGACACAAGCAACTCGCTCTGCTACCGAAGATATGCGTTCTCCTCGCCTCATGCGCCGACCACCCATCCTCCAACGCACTCCTCACCAGCATCAACACAATCCTCGACTCAAAGCCCTCCCTCGCATCCCAACACAGCATCGAAACCGTACTCAGCGTCCTAGTAAAACTCTCATCACGCAGCAGCCCCGCCCTCCCAGCCACACACGCACCCCTCATCTACTCACGCCTCTGCGAAACAAGCCGTCTAATCCTCCTCCTACACCGCGGACGTCTAGGCGGCCGCTTCCACCTAGTCCTCCCCCTCCTCCAAAGCCTCCTCTTCTGCCTCTTCACGCCCAACCACGGCCGCACCGGCGCACTGCCCCCCTGGCTACGCTCCGCATCCCTCCCGCCCACCAGCGCAACGCAATACTCGCGCATCCTCCTCACACTGTGCAACCCCCCGCAATCATCCGTCAAAGCGGCACATCACCCCAAGAAATCAAAAGATCTTAACGACCCTGTTAAGGCGGCGAGGGAATACACGTCCCACTTCTTGTACCCGCTGCTCGCGGCGTTTTGCAAATTCCAGCTCGGAGGGCGCCTGGAGGCGGGCGTGAGGGAGAAGCTTATGCCTGGTGTGTGGGAGGCGGTTGGTACGGCGGGTGTGCATAGGGAGGGGCTGGATGCGATGTTTGCGGGGATGGGACGTAGTGAGAAGGATGTTTGGAGGGGGGTTTGGAGTGAGTGGGAGGGGGTGCATGGGAGGAAGAGGGTTGTTGGTGAGGAAGCTTAGATTGGTGGTGTGGTTCAGTTCAGGTGGGGTAGGTGGATGGAATGTAGTTGAAGTGGAGTGAGTGAGTTGTATGTACATGTTGGGAAGATTTGTAGATACATATACGCATACCTCTAATTTACAGGTTTGTTTGACAGCTAAGCTGATATTCTTTTCTGCTTGAGATGTATGGTAGACTTCCTTGCTTACTCACTGTATCTCGCATCTTCCCTTTCCTCCCCTTTCCTTTCCTTCCTATATCTTACCCCAAGTAACGCCACACAAACACATACCACCCTGGCCACTGCATCTACGAAAAACCAACCAGTCCTTGGGTTGATTGGACGAGGAATGGGCCTGCACTGTAATCCCCTCCCTAAGTTCAAACCATTCGCCACCTCAAGGTATTCCCAGCGCGCTCACAGATTGATCGAAATATCTTGGTCGCTGATCCTGACGCGTTCGAAAATAGCACGTAAAGGACGTGTAGAGCGAGTGCTTGTCAATCGATCGATGCGGACGTCATCTGGTTCCTCTTCCGAGACACGTCAAGCGCGTACTGCACTTTTTGGGTGGTGGTTGGCTGTTGTGAAGAGTGCGACGTATGTGGAAGTACGGCACGATGCCATATCACAAGAGTAGATCTGTTGATTAGCTTGGTTGTTCGCCAATTGAAGATACTCGATTAGCGAATGAGGCTTATGACCGTATTCCCGTATATTCCCATCTCATTGCATTTGCTCTGAGTCGCTACTCTTTGCAGATAGATAGATAGATACCCAACGCTTGACGGAGGACGTGTGTAGTCGGAGGCGACCGGGAGGCGCTGTTCCCACCTTATCGCGCGCGTGTTCTGGAACGACAGATGAAAGAAAAAATTGTCCTTCTCGAAGGCGTTGCGGATTTGGTACCGACTGGAAGCTAAGACGTCTCCGAGGTGGGATCATGACGCTTTAATCGGCCACCAACGTCGGGGACCGACTAGCAGATCTGGGGATAATCTAGGCTTGGATGGGATCTTCGATGCTCGGGGTTTCTGTCGATAACGGTAGGTTTGGCGTGCGTCGAGTTGGCTGCGTCATTTGGGCGTGATAACAAAAAAACTACTATGCGATGCATGTGTTAGATAGACGTTCTATGCTACGACTTCCTCGCTTAACGTTGGGTGGTGGCAATTGTGATAAAGGCAGGGAAGAATACATGCATAGTAGGTAGCTGCAGTGTATATTCGCCTTCAAGTTAAACCAACAACGGCAATTGCACGCGTGAAGCACGGGCCCGACTAAGCAGATTGTGCATGAAAAAGCTTCGGTTGACGTGATAGGTCAAGTGCAGTACGTGAGGCCGACGTTGACTCGATATGATATTGTACAAGAATACACCGCGCAGCATCTAACTGGCTCCACGGACATCCCGTCGTACCCCACAATACTTTATCTCCCGGCTGTAGCACTGCAGCACCGCTACGCCGTAAGCGTAGCTTGGCTGGAATCCATCCGTCAAGCGGGAGCCCGAGCACCTGGAGATGTAACCTTTGAACAGAATACCAAGAGATATGAACACCTCCGGACTGGAAAAGCGCCGTGACATGATCCTATCGAGTCAAAAACCGCAGCAAAACATCTCCGATCCGAGCGCGTATCGCGAACGCAGCGCTGCAGGGCATCTTGAAGATCGCACGCGAGCAAGTGCGATTCACATGCCGTCATTCGCGACTATGCTGCAGCCGTGAGAACCAACCAGACTCGAAATCTGCCGCATCGATCGCGTTTCCAAATGCGATGCATGCCGAATGCGCGGTGGAAATTCTGCAGCGCGTGGTGGGTTCCATGTCGTCGAACGCGTGGGCGCGCTATTGCAGCGATAAGGGAACGGACCAGCTCTAGCAAAACCGTTCCCCAACACATCCGCATATCGGACCCTGGCGGGGAGTGGATCTTGGTCGCTTTGTACGGACCTTGGCCTGGCTTCTTAAATATGCATCTGTTTCCCTTGTGTTGCTGCATTCAAGACCGAGGAGTTCCACCTTGGACTTGAACACCAAGACTCCGCGATTGCATTCATATCTCAATATATATTTTGGTAGTGGCTTCGAGCAACAGCCAATACCCGGGATCCTGAACGTACACCACTGCAAAGATCAGGTGCACCTGGACCTTTGATTACCCCGAAAAGCCCCCACGTCATTCCTGCGGGGATCAGCAATCCTCCCAAGCAACACCCTCGAACTTAAACTTCATAAGACTTGTTGCAATCCCGTCTTTTACTTCAGCGACCAAGCATCTTTTTTACAACAACACCATGGAGCGAGTCAAGCGTTCAAAGGGTGCCCATTGGAGCAATAAGCTCGCAGTGGAGAATGACCCCAACCTCACCACTGCACAGCTTATGCTTTACAACCACGATCTCAAACCTGTAGGTTCACTTCTCGAGGGTGTCAATGCTTCTATCCTAACATATCATAGGTTGAACCTGCGCGTCGACAATGGACTGCCTGGAACTTTGTTGGTTTCTGGGTTGCTGACTCTTTTAACATCAACACGTGGATGATTTCATCCTCAAACATCGTCGAGGGTCTTTCTTGGTGGCAATCATGGCTCTGCGTCTGGGTAAGTAAACTAAGTGTTGTTGAGGCTACTATAGCTAACGCGAACACAGGTCGGCTACTCCATTGCGGCTTGTTTCATCTGCTTGACCGGTCGAATCGGTGCAACTTACCATATTTCTTTCCCTGTCGTCAACCGTGCTTCGTTCGGTGTCTGGGGAGCGTTATGGCCCGTTTTCAACCGTGCTGCAATGGCTTGCGTCTGGTATGGTGTACAAGCATGGATTGGAGGCACATGCGTGTATCTGATGATCCGCGCTATCTGGAATAATTGGCGCGAGGTATGTCTACACTTCCAAGGTCTTGGGAATCTTCTAACATCCTTCAGGCCGACCCATTGAACCCAGGTGCAGGTGGTATCACCAACACCATGTCCTCATCCGGCACCCACACTATCCACTTCGTGTCCTTCTTCCTCTTCTGGGCGGGCTCGCTTCCCTTCATTTACCCCCCAGTTCACAAGATCCGACATCTGTTCACTGTAAAAGCATATGTTGTCCCCTCTTGTGGTATCGCCTTCTTCATCTGGGCAGTCGTGCGAGCCAAGGGTATCGGCCCTATCGTCCACCAGTCCGGTAAAGCGAAGGGCTCTGAGCTTGGTTGGTTGATGGTCAGAGGCATTATGAGCTCGATTGCCAACTTCGCGACTTTGATTGTCAACGACCCTGATTTCGCCCGTTTTGCACGCAAGCCTTCCGACGCCTTCTTGCCACAACTCATCACCATCCCCGTGGGTTTTGCCATCACCTCCTTCATCGGAATCATAGTCTCCTCTTCGTCCTCCGTCATCTTCGGCGAGGCAATCTGGAATCCTCTGGATCTGCTTGAAAGTTTTCTCCAGGAAGACGCTGGCCACGGTCAACGATTCGGAGTCTTTGTCATCGCGGCCGGCTTCACGCTTGCCCAGCTCGGAACCAACATCGCAGCCAACTCCATCTCCGCCGGTACCGATATGACCGCTCTCGCTCCCCGCTGGATCAGCATCCGCCGCGGTGGATACATCTGCGCGCTCGTCGGCCTCGTCATGTGCCCCTGGAACCTCCTCAAATCGACAAACAGCTTCACCACCTACCTATCCGCCTACTCCGTCTTCCTATCCTCCATCGCCGGCGTCATGATCTCCGACTACTACCTCGTCCGCAAGGGCTACTTCCAGATCAAGGACCTGTACTCGGGCAAGAAGACCGGCGCATACTACTACAGCTTCGGCTTCCACTGGCGCGGATACGCCGCCTACATTTCCGGCATCGCCATCAACGTCGTCGGCTTCGCAGGCGCAGTCGGTGCCACTGTCCCCGCTGGTGCGCAACGCATCTACGACCTCAACTTCTTCTGCGGCTTCATCGTCGCGTCTGGCATGTACTGGCTGCTGTGCACCGTCTTCCCTATCCCCGCTACGAGCAAAGTGTGGATGGAGGTCGGCGACGAGATCACGGATATGTCGGTCGCGTACACGGATAGCGATAACGAGCGCTACGACGAGGAGGTCATGCACGGCAGCAAGGGAAAAGAGCAGTCCATCGGGGAAGCGAAGAACTACTAGTTGGGTAGTTGACGATATGATGGGTCGAATTTGCACGATTTAGAGTCTCGCTAAAAGACGGTGATGATGATGGTTTATGACAGCGTTTTGTTTATTTTATTTTGTATATCGATTTTTACGGCAGAGCGTTTCATGGTAGATGGATGGATCGATGGAAAAGGAAGGGGGTTCCTTGTACGGGAAGTTGTTGTTGTTGTTGTTGTTGTTGTTGTTGTTGGGAGATATACCAGGCCTTCTCTCAGGCCAACGATTCAATCAATCGCTTTTTGCTAAAATTATTTTCACATTTCCACCACAACTCCTTCACATTCCCACAACTCGTTCGCGCGTTTTCCACATTTGAGGCTGCTCCGCGGCGTACGCCCTTATCTCCACAATGCGCATTGATGTCACGCCGCGTCTGCGTTGTGTATCTCGCGTGTAGATCTCATGCGAGATCGTTGGGAAATCATGGGTCGCTAAGCGAGCTGGAGTAGTAGGATGTTCGCCACTGTAATACGGGGATGCGTGGGGGCTAGGCACCTTTTCTCGCTTTCCTCATTGGGGTTGTGAGTGAGTGGTCGTCTTCGTGGTGATCGTCGATGGGGACTACGCCGTCCTTTCACCTCATGCACGATCGATTGAACTGATTATCAGTAAAGCAGTTGGGAAAAAGACGTTAGGCAAATAATATGGAGGTATTATACTCGCAACCATAATCGCAACCACAACTACAATCGTATCCGTAAGCCTCGACCAGCCATCCGTTGGAAAACTCGCGCAAAAACACCTGACCGAGTCCACGCAGAGTATAAAACACCCACATTCTTCTCTCTCCTCATCAGTCTTCTCCCTACTTTTCCATCTTTGCAAACGAAAAAAACCTCCTGTTCAATTTCATGTCCTGCCTCTTCTTCTCTTCTCTAAAACATTGCTATACTGTACGGATGGCCTCTATGTGAAAAACGTGTGCCCACTGTGTGATGTCCTCTGTCTAGTCTCCGGGCTCAGTCAATACTCACTTGCTCGTTTGAAGCAAACCTACGCACATTATGTCCATGTCTCCTTCTTCTGGTTCCACACATCCTTTATACAAAGTTTGTCGGACCACGGAAATCGAGTCAATTTGGATGTATGGTGTCTCGTATGAGAACACTTTTAACACCTAAGTCTGTTTGTTGCATCTGTATATGCTAGGCGAAAATTTGTTACGAAACGAAAGGAAAAGTGTGGATAACATATGGATGTCGCGTTTCTTGCGCTATGACGGTGTACCTACAAGTGCTCAAGTTGTTGATTAACCAACTTGTTTGCTCGAATTGCGCTGGAGGAATTGCGATGTTTTGGAGTGTTTTAATGTATTAGTTGAAATGTTTTGAAGCATAACAAATAATACCAGTGCACGAAAGAGAACGAAGTCGGAACACTACAGCCTACATAACACATATCCCAAGAGCCAGCTAGCCGTCACCTCATCCTATGGCATATCCATCACGGCGGCTAAGACGTTTCAAGAAATCGAAAACTTAATATGGCAAACACAGGTCTGCAATCCATAGCCGGATACTCTCGCCGCGCTTCATGGAGGCGAAAGTGTTGCGGGGTTGGCAAAGTCGAAAAGTCGACACATAAAACTTGTGCATGTAGTTTTGTTTATATCCAGCCAGCCAGCCGGAACGCTAGCGAAAGAAGGTGAATGAGAGAGGGAAAGCTTTCAGGAAGTGATTTAATAGGTAGACTTGAAGTCACATGGAATATGTTGAAGTACGCTGTTACTTCTCAGACCGCGGCCATGAATTAATTGTATGGATTTAGAATTAAGAGTCATTACTTGTGTACAGTCCGGCCTAGTCTGAAATTGAATATCTACAAGCCACATGTTTTTGAATGTTTCCCATTGTTGCATATCGTCAAAACTGTTGGCAGATACCAATTCTTTCCCATACATAGAGATTATGTTGTATGTTTTTCTGTGGTAGTTCACGGCAAATCGTGGTCATAGGTCGGGCGTGTTTGACTTTTGGAAAGGAGAAGCCCAAGACATGCGTTGCCAAATAATCATTTTCCAAGATGACTGCTTGGAAAGTTGACATAGAACTGTTCTTCTTGTATGTCTGTTATCGACAAATTGGAATCGAGACATTAAAGCTGGTCCAATTGGTTTTTAAAGAAACAACTTGAACCTTCTGGAATTATACAATGAAAACCCGCAGACTCAGCCACAGACATTCACTAAGTATTTTATGAAATCAGAAACAGAGACACAGGCCATGAAGCCTGCTATGAGGACTTTTGATATAGAGGGTTTACAGCGAGGAAGACCGAGAAGAAGCCATTCCAACGTAGGCGGTCGCTTTTTGTAATTCTTTCCAGCCCGCCGGCACAACAGCACAACAGCATGACAGAATGGTATGGGTTTTTCAGTCCACCACACTGACCTTATGAATTGAATGGATACATCCATAGTTGAGATAGTAGAAGTGTAAACATCCTCTGTTTATTAAATTTCTGGACCTGTGGGCTCGCCCATATATTGACAGTGTTGACTTTTTTGTACAGCCGAATGTGCCTAGACAAGAAAATACAGAGAATGGTGTATCCAGATCCGAAACACGGCTTTAGAAGCGACAGAAGAGAACACATACATCGGCTGGTATAGTTTTCGTTTCAAAAGGGCGGAGGGTTTCATGCCTGTCGATATCAGACTTCTTCAAGAACAAGATATTCAACTCTTGGGGAGTAATCGCGCCCGTGCATGTCGCAAAACAGCGAGGCAGCAGACATACCACCCTCGTAGTGGGGATTTCTTTCCAAAGGAGGCGTGGCTGTAGTCTTGCTTCTCATATGCGTTTTTGATATAGTTTTCATGTCCGTTCATTTCCCTCCTTTTTCCAAATTTGAGTTCCAGAGTGCAAGCGCCGCACATGCAGTTCTCTTGAGACGTTTCTTAGATTGTCCACTCCAGACCCATTCCATGATAGCCTGCGTGTTTTGAAGAAGCTAGGGTTTGAAGTCAAGAAGAAGGAGAAGAGCATGGTGCAAGCAAAACTCGGTTTTAGAGGGGAGGAGGACAGTCCATTTCCTTTCCTATCTACCCTTCTGTTTTCCGAGGAACCGAGGAAGAAGACACATGGACCTTACACGCCTTCAGTTCAGAGACGAGCAGAGAAACAGAGCCATGCGACATACTGCATACAGTTTCTGATAATCTTTCTGTATAGGAGTTGACGAAGAAAGACACTCCAGAACACTATCCATCTCGATAAGATTTCGAAGGAGCAAAGAAAGAGAAGAAGCACATTCGAGAATCGCAATGAACTTTGAAATAAAGCAGAGAACAAACGATAACCCATTGAATGATGAATTTTAAGCAAAGTATGCTTGATCCTAGGCATGGAACGTAGATTGTATGATTTTGGGGGGGCGAGGGAAGAAGACGGGCATGTAATTTCTCTGCTCACTTTTAGAAACGAGAGAGCCATGGACCATTGCCATTGTTTTTTTGTATAGAGGTGAAAGAGGGTAAGTCCAGGACATTTGATCGTCGTCAACCTGTGGTTTTTGGAGGAGCGGAGGAAAAGACTCATAAGCGCTGAACATTCTCGTTTTAGAGGGAAGAAGACTGGCCCAGACATTGGTGAAAGTGTTGACACTTTCAGAAGAACGGAGAGCGAGAGCCATAGAGCGTTAGGTTATTTTGTTTGTTTTCGAGTAGAAGGAGACTCGTCCCAGACATTCCGCTCTTTATTGCTGCTTTTAGGGTAAGACAGGAGAGAGACATAGATACGTGTGCTACGCGGCTTTTGAATGAGAAGAAGTAGAAGAAGGAGTCAGAAACCCCACGACATATGAATTTTGTCGATTAGTTTTGTTACAGAAAAACCCACACAGAGACACACATCCGTTGTTGCCATTGTCTTTTCGAAAGAGCAGAAGGAGGACAAGTCGGACATTGCTCTTTGATATGTCCCTTTTGGAGGAACACAGGGAAACCTTCACATTGATGGCTGTGTTTGCCTTTTGTAGAGAGGAGGAGGCGCACACCAGAACATGTACATATATTTTCTGAATTTAGAGAAAAGCAACATACCACTTAGTCTCATCAATTCCAATTTTAGCGTTTTTTCAAGGTGTATGACTCCTTCTCCTCTGCCCAGGACATGCCTCCATAGATGGTACCTTTCAGAGGGTGGGCGGAGAACAAAGAGAGAGGCATAAACAATTTTTTTGTTCTTTTCAGGAGAAAGCAGAGGGAGAGACATCATCTTTCCACATTCCTTTTTCTAGAGACAAAAAAGAATGGAGAAGGCAGTACAGGACATCCTTCGTCTGTCCGTGTGTTTTCGATGGACCAGCGGAAGGCGGGGCGAAAGACATAAATGGTCTTTTGAGATGGTTTTGGAAGACCGGAGAAAAACAGAGCGAGAGACATAGGCGATTTCGACAACGTCTTTGTTGAGGGGGAGAAAAGCCAGTCCAGAATATTTAGAACGGATGGCGACTTTTCGGGAGCGGGAGAAGAGAAGGAGACAGACATACTCTGTATCTATCAAGATTTTGTTTATGAGACGAAACGAGCCATAGAACCACGACATTCAGTCTTTGAAAATAGGGAAGTAGACGTAAAAAGATAGATACAGGAAGAAGGAGAACACAGTATGAGAACCAGCGACTTTTATATCTCCCCAACGTATCACGTGCCCTGCACATCTATCGTCATTCCATTTTATCCCAATACAACCACCGTTCACCACAGCCACTCTACCGTTTCAGCGTCTTCTGCTTCTCCGCATCCCTAACCAACACCTCCCTCACAAGCAGCCCCTTCCTCCGCCTAACCCTATCCATATACCGCCTAGCGACATTCTCGCGATCCGCCAACTCACCCAGATCCTCCAGCTCGTCCTCAGTAAACGGCACCCAGAAGGGATCTTCATTCAGCATTTCGAAACCCGCGAAGCGCAGCTGCGGCGACGCAGAGCCCGAACTGCGTTTGCGGATCTCGTCGCTGAAGCCAAAGGACTCTGCAACAGGGAGCAGCGCGCTGATAGTGAATGTTTGATTTCCCGTCGTCGACGCGCTGGAAGAGGACATTGTCTCGCTGAGAATTGTGCCGCGACGGCGTGTCAGAACGGCGTATACCCTGCCCAGAACGTCGGTGGAGGCTTGGATCTCGCAGCTGTACATGGCGAGGAGCATTCTGGGGGACCAGTCGAGGAAGCCTTGGTGGATGGAGGAGCGCACGGCTTTGATGACTTCGCCGGTAAGACGACCGCGGTCTTGGGCGAGGAAGTTCTCTTCGCCTTCGGGGATGCTGATGTTCACGTCTTCGAGGAAGACGGCGATACCTTGGACGGGCTCGGCGCAGCACGGTCCTTGAGCGGTGGCGAGCTGGAAGGCGTATGTTATGGTTGAGGCGAAGGTGTGGGCGGTTGTAGAGCGATCGGGGGTGGCGTCGGCGTCTGGAGAGGCGGATTCGCGTAGCCTGCGTTGAACGTTAGCGTGATGTTGCAGTGAAGGGTCAACAAGAACTTACGCCTTGCCGCATATACCGGCACTGGTGGTGTCGACTAAGATATTTGGTCCTATTCTCCGTGGTCCGAAGGCTGTGATCTTCTCAATGACGTCTGTCCATATCTCTTTCTGACCCTTTGCTTCGGCGAAAGCATCGTTCAATTGCTTCTTGAAGTCGACGAGACTCAGCGATTGTCCAATCTCTCGTTGCTCCGCTTCCTCCATTCCATCTTGTTCGCCGCCAGCGACCTCTGGATGAGGATCTGCATCTGTCCTGGCCTCAGAATACAGCCTCTTGATAGCACCCGCGTTCTTGCTCAAGAACTCTGTCACGCTTGGAGGTAGAGGTCGTACCCGCAGACGGACCGAGACGTGCTTGCTTGCAGTGACGCCGATGACGGTACCTCGTGGCAGATTCGGGTCTTTGGGGGCGTTCATCTCCTCAGCCGCTACTGTCGACTCCCTATAAGGTACAATGGGTTCGCCAGCCTGTATCTCACACTTGGCGAAACGTTCCTTAAGGTCCTTTATGCATCGCTCAAGATGCAACTCGCCTGCTGTCAAAATGACGTGTTCTCCACTCGGGAGTTGCTCGTACTCGGCGCAAGGGTCGCTTTGCACAAGCAGCTTCAGACCCTTGATCATCTTGTCCAAATCGTATGGATTCTCAGGTTCGAGCGCAACACGAACGATGGGTTGGGTGCCCATTTGAACACCAGCGAGGTTGATCGATCCGGGCAACTGTGAACAGAGCGTTCCCGACTTGAGTATGTGACCTTCAAGTCCACCAATACCAAAAACAACACCAGCAGGAACCGTAGTCAGAGGCTCCAGACCGCGGCCCATCATAAGATACAACGCGGTAATCTTGACCTTCTTAGGCTCTGGAGCGGCGTGTGGATTTGCGGGTGTGAACTTTGGGTTCAGGACATACACTTCGTCGCCGACGTTTAAGGTGCCCGAGAAGATTCGAGCAAAACCTATGAGATGCTCCGCGTCTTCGTTCGTCTGAGGTGTCTGTTCCTCGGGAGTTTCGGTTTCACCAATAGCAGCAGAGCTGAGGGCATCAGTGATACTACCAACATCGGGATTCTCACCATTTGCGATGGCTTGCTGACGGGCTATCTCAGCGCGTTTCTTCCGTCCAAGTTCTCTAGCCTCTTCAGCGGTAAGTGCACCACCTCGTCGTTTGTTCTGCGGCAATTCGCTCTCAGGTACCGAGATCATCTTGCTGACATAGGCCACCATAGGAACGTCCTTGGATGTGTTGAAAGTCGTCATCGCATCCCGTACCTCTGGGGCGACGTAATCAGCACCAGGAGAACTGTCAATGAGTTCGGGCATCCTCTCAGCTTGTGCTTTGGATGGCGGAGGCAGGTACTCAGTGACGGATACCAGAAGAGCGGTTGAGAGGGGTAGCCAAGCTGCAAAAAGCGCTGTCAGGAGGGCGCGAGGGTCGCGCGACCGTAGAATATGAGGAGGGAGTTTGATATGGAGAGACTTTGTAATCTTTTCGACCATGGCAGGATCTCTGTTTTGAAGCGAATGAGTATATTGACTAAAGTACGTACAAAAATGCATGCAAAAGCATCAGCGAAGAAGGAAAGGAAATCCACGCACCCCTTCCCGTTGTTACCTCCAGTAGTAGCCTCATACAGAGCCCAGATGTTCTCCAAGACTAGTTGTACGAACATGGGTTTGAGATGGCGTCCTTTGAGATGCTTGGATCCGAGCACTCGTTTTGTCTTTGGGTCTAGGTAGAAGTCGCCCCATAGCACCTTCTCAAGGACGGAGCGTTTGATACCTAGCTTGCGCTCATACAGCCCAGCGAACTGCTTTACTGTGAAGGCCCAGCCGTCAATGGCACTGCCAAAGATGACATTGTTGTTCTCTGGAGCAAAATAAATGTCTTCATCATCTTTCTCCTCGTATTCTGCTGGAGTGTTGGTAGTGTCAATGCTGTCGCCATCCTCTAATACAGAAGATGAGTTTGTGTTAGTCTTTTCGGCAGCTGCTGCATTTAGACGTTCTTCCATCTTCTCGCGCCACCGGAGATCGTCCTCCATACGCTCTCCTTGGTAGAAGCTGCCCATGACGGCGTTTACTTGTTCGAGCAACTTGCTCAGATGTGTGTATGCCTCACCTGGACTCATCTTTAGTTCCGTGATTAGCCTGTCCATTTTATTGATCACGAGTAGAGGCTTGAGTTTCTCGATCCAGGACTGCCGCAGAACCGTGACGGTCTGACTGCAGACACCTTCTACCGCGTCTACAAGCACGACGGCGCCATCGCAGAGACGCGATGCTGTTGAGACTTCATAGCTGAAATCAATGTGTCCTGGCGAGTCGATCAGGTTGATCAAAAACTCTTTTTGTTCTGGCTGTGCCTCAGGCGCGGACCGCCGCAGCAGCGAAAAGTATAGCGAGATGGCGGATGACTCCATAGTGATACCGCGCAGCTGCTCATCTGGTCTCGAGTCGAGGTATCTTATCTTGCCGGCGAGCTTGGGCGAAATGATACCGTTTGTGGCGATGAGCGCATCCGTGAGGCTCGTCTTGCCATGGTCTACGTGAGCTAAGATGCAGATCGAGGAGAGAGTCAGCGGAGAGTCCAGCTTGAGGCGTTCGCGGGGGCTCGAGTACATTTCTTACGCCCTCGGCTGCCTGCTGCAGTGAGACCAGCTTCTCTGGTTGGACCACGACCATCGTGGATGATGCCTGTGCTTAGGCTTCAAACAAGGCGAATGCTGGTTGAGTAGCAGTGGGTGGCGTGGGCCGTCGACGTGCGTGTACCAAATGCGGTAAAATGAAAGGAAGGTGCGTGTGAGAGGGCAAGAGGCAGTTGCGATTCACTGGTCGCGGGCAAACTGAATTTTTGTGTGAGATCAGAAACATGTCTCACACAGCGGCTCGACCCCGCCAGGAGCTGTGCACTGTTCATACGTCAACATGTCACAGTAGCTCCCGCGCAGGGGTGCTCACCAAACTGTCTTTGCGTAAAAAGACCCGGGCAACTACCGTGCAGCAACAACTAGCCCTCGGTCGCTCCTTCCCTTGAGACATTGCTGTCCATGCATCCCGCTAGCCTGTCGCACCTGCACATCCCCCATAGCGCCTGCGGATAGCGACCAGACACCCCAGCCCGGCCATTGCCCTTGCTTTTATCCACGGCGCCATTGCTCGGTGTGAATGTATGACACGCAATGGCAGCGACCATGGCTGGCGCACAACAACCGCAAACGCCCTCCCCCACGTCGTCCTCCAAACCGATCCCCATCCGCACCGCTGGCATGAAGCTGGACACCTTCTCGCCGCTCGTGCAGCACCGAACCAACCCCGGCAAGGCCGCCAACCTGATCATGTCGCCCGTCAACCAGAACGGCTGCTTCGAGTTTGACCGCATCATCAAGGCCGGCAATGTCGTGAAGCGCACGCGAAAGACCAAAGTGAGTAGCCGCGTCTGGCTGTTGCGACATGCCCTAACACCTCCCAGTCGTGGAAGCCCATCCACATAGTCCTGCGCCCGAACTGCCTCTCTATCTACAAGGACAAGGACGAGACGAAGCTGCGTCACCAAATAAACCTCGCTGAAATCACAGCCGTTGCGCGCCAGAAGGACTCGAAGAAGAAGATGGACCACGTCTTCGGTATCTTCTCGCCTGCGCGCAACTTCCACCTCGGCACGTCCTCCGAGAAAGAGGCCCAGGAGTGGGTCGACCTAATACGCGCAGAGGCGCACATCGACGACGACGAGGACGACATGGTCCTCATGAGCCCAAATGGCGGTAAGAGAACCTTTACAGGCTTTGACAGGACCAAGAGGGAGAATATTGGCTCTAGCTCCTCAGAAGCAGAACTACGGCAGTCGACCTCCAAAACGCCAGCGACCATGTACAGCGCCCGTCGTCCCTCGCACACCCTCAACTACTCGGGCAACGAGCGCGGCTCCCTCTCCGACCTCGACTTCTCAGATACGGGATTCCCAGGCTCTGCCGTCTCGCTGCCCCGGCAAGCTGTACCGCGAAACCGCAATGTCAGCCAGCAGAGCAACATCGGTACCACACCCGACGAAGAGCGCGTAGTTTACCACGGCTGGCTGTATGTGCTCAAGTCAAAGGGCGGCGTACGACAGTGGAAAAAACTTTGGATTGTTCTGCGAGCCAAATCGTTAGCATTCTACAAAAACGACCAAGAGTACTCCGCAATCCTGATCATCCCCTTCTCAAGCATCATTGATGCTGTGGACATCGATCCGGTCTCAAGAAGCAAGCAGTACTGTATGCAGGTCCTGTCTGAAGAGAAGAATTTCAGGTTCTGCGCAACAGGCGAAGATTCGCTTGCGAAGTGGCTGGGCGCCTTCAAGAGCCTGCTAATCAAGAGGAAGGAAGCTGAGCAAAAGCGTGTGCATCAGACTTCAACGAACACAGGCAACGCACAAGCTTCACAAAAACCAATCGCGATACCGAACATGCCTCCACCATCACAATCTCTTGGCACCAAATGAACGGTGCTCCACTGTAACAACGACTCACCAATGCTCACGTCAACCCAGATCCTTGTACATACTTTGACACCGACTTTTTCTTCTGTTGTTGTAACCCCTACTACCAGCTTATCCAAGCGAGCCAATATCCAGTTCGCCATACGCGCTCGTAGTGTCGTATTTGCCTTTCACGACTATTACGATTTACGAATTTCTTATCTCGTCTGTCCTTCGAGGACTCGTTGCTTTATACCTTGTTGGGTATTTGCAGGTTTCCGATACTATACTTTTCGAATTGACCTTCTGCCTGTAAGCTAGTTAGTTGTGTAGTACAGCTTGTAATGCCGCCCTTGAGCTGGGTTTGATTGTAGAATTCTATATGTTGATAACATCAACCATGATCCCAAGGCTGTGCGCATGTTCTGACTCTGAAGACACAGCCACATGTTCTCGCCTTCGTCCGCGGCTCACCGGCGCTTATATCAGCCATCCGCTGCAGGCTGCAAGGCACTCTTCGGAGCCAACCCCGACGAAATCCGCGAACTGTCTAGCACCCCGCATGGGGGCCGTCTCCTCGGACCTGCACCGACATGAACTCCCAACGAACGCTTGACAATGCTGGGATTAAAAATGCTCACACCCGCTCCTCTCGTCGCTGCCGAGAAACGTCAGATCCAAATCCGTGAACAGCTACAATATTTCACCGCGATTTCCGCAATGCAACCCTGTCACCGACATCATCTTACGGCTGCGCCGTCAGCTCAGCTCTTGTGACGCCAGACGTGAAAATTACAACCCTTCTGCCTGACGGGACTCCGAGGCCGCTATCCTACGCCGAATCGGTTACCGAAACAAGCGACGCAGTCGACCTGTCAGTGGGCGTCAATATGCCATTGGCTAGGCGAGGCGAAGGCGAAGGCGATGTGAGGGCGTTAGGCTTGAGGCTTAGAGCATTTGCCGCATTGGGAAGTTTGATGCCTGGTGGATGAGGTGTGGTGAGGGACTTGTCTGTCGGTGAGTAATTCTTACTCTTGCTGCGGTTGTTGAGGGCTGCTCTGTTCTTAAGATGGTTGGGAATTCGCTGTTATTTTGTTCTGGTTTGTATTCATTTTTTTGTTGCTGAGTGTAGAGTTGTTCTTTTTGAATTGATTTACTAGAACATATCTTGGGCAAGAGCTGGAACATTGTATCTTGGTAACATTAGTTGTTCGATATACTTCGCCTGTTCTTGCGGCTGGTACTATGGCTTCGAACGAGCGGGTACCGTTGTTGGACGAAAAGTCTCAACACGCCGATCAGGTTGGCAGTCAAGACAGTGCGGCGATACCTCACTCCAGCCATGGACATAGGAGGCACAGCAGACTAGCGTGGGCGATACTCCTGCCGTTGTTCTGCATTGCTACTATCCTCGGCATCTCCAGTCTATACACCATCCAACACTCACGGTCCTCCAACTGGAGTGGATCTAGACATACTCCAGTTGATGAGCGCCCAGCTACAACATCCAATTACACATGCGTTCCAGGACAGACATGTTGGCCGTCGACTAGCCAATGGAGCGCCTTCAATCAGAGCATCAACGGACATCTCAGGCTCACCATACCCTGGGCCGCACCGTGTTACTCCAACTCAACTAGCAAAGAATGTCAAGAGGTCTCAAAAGACTACATGGATGGCACACCACGAAGTGCGCACTACGGCTCGATGGAGTTCCTAGACTGGGAGACGTGCGGACAGTCAAACTGCCAACTCAATTCTTTCTCCCCGTCGTCGCCTGTGTCGGGAACGTGTTCGCTGGGAAGACTGTCGACGTATCATGTCGAGGCTCACACATCGGATGACATTGGCAAGACATTGGACTTTGTTCGAAAGCATGGTATCCGCGTCTCAATCAAGAACACCGGACATGACTACTTTGGGAGGTCGAATGCTGCCAATTCGCTCGCCATCTGGACACACAAGATGAAGGATGCAAAGTATCACAAGAAGTTCCAACCTCGAGGATGCAAGACGCGCTATGAGAATATTGGAGAAATTGGTGCGGGTATACAGGCGCAAGAAGCGTGGGAGTTCTTCGAGCCCCTCGACATGATGGTCACCGTCGGTGCTGTGGGCTCGGTGGGCATTGCTGGAGGTTTTGGTCAGGGAGGAGGTCACGGTCCGCTTGGTCCCAAGTACGGCATGATGGTGGACCAAGCGGTCGAGTTCGACGTCGTTACTGCCGATGGCAAGCATCGCACTATCAACGAGTGTTCCGACCCGGATCTCTTCTGGGCCATGCGAGGAGGCGGAGGAGGCAACTACGCCGTCCTGACATCCTACAAATTCCAGCTACACCCCGCGGTACCTCTCAACGTCTACAGCTTCCAGGCGAATTTCCCCACACCAGATGGCGATCTCGACATCACCGAGTCCAAAGTCCACCGTGACATCGTCCAGGCCCTAGCCTCGAACCAAACCCTCTTCTCCCAACATGGAATGGCAGGCTACAACTTCCTCCTCCCAGACCACATGGTCTCACTGCAAATCCTCCCCTCAACAAACACATCCGCAATCCGCGCCCTAACCGCCCAATGGCACGACTTCCTCACCACCTACCCAGGCCTAAACATAACCGAAAACAAATACCACACCTTCCCCAAATTCTCCACCTGGCACACCTTCACCCAACGCCCCTCAATCTCGCGCAACGGCCCCGTCGGCCTCGGACTCTTCGAATCCGGCCGCCTCCTCCCCGCCCCGCTCTTCCAAACGCCCTCATCAATAGACACCCTCGTCTCCGCAGTCGTAACCGCGATGCAATTCTCGCTCACAAACCGCAGCGGCGGCGGCGTCCAACTCTACGCCACCGGCCCAGCCACACACCCCGACAACAGCAAGACCGGCCTCAACCCCGCGTGGCGCTCCGCCCTCTGGCACGTCGTCATGGGCGCCGTGTGGACAACCGCCACGCCGCCGCAGGTCCGCGCGCAGATGCAGAATACGGTTTCGGCGGCGATACAGCCGTTCAAGGCGTTGACGCCGGGGGGTGGGTGCTATGTGAATGAGGGGGATTGGACGGAGGAGAATTGGCAGCAGGCGTTTTTTGGGAGTAATTACGATAGGTTACTTGGTGTGAAGAGGAGGTATGATTCTACGGGGCTGTTTAGCTGCTGGAAGTGTGTGGGTTGGACGGGGTATGAGGAGTAAGTCTTTTTTCGTTTTCCGCGGCTTTGGAGAGAGAGGCTAATCTTTTGGGCAGTCCGATGTACTCGTGTTACTCGCAGAGTGGGAGGGAGCCGCGGCCGTCGGTGCCGCTTGGTCCGGTTGGTTGAAGTCATTTGGGTGCTTTGTATATGGGATGTGTGGGTTCTCTAGGCGTTTGCGTTATAGAGGGCTGGTCTCTTCTGGGTTTGGTTTGGTTTGGGTTGGTTTGGGGTTGTCTTAGACGTATCGCTGATGGTCCATGGCTTGCATGTATACTACTGTCTTCATAACATGTCGTCTTGGTTCGTACATCTCGTTCCACACTTCTTCCCTACTCTCTCTCTTCCCACTGTCTCCACTTCTACTCCAAGCATATACGCACTGACATTGACACTCCTCCTCACGTCTCTGCTCAATCAACCTGTCATCCATCTGTCATCCCGGTACACACACACACGCACACCACTTCCAAATTATAGTAGTTATACTCTCCCACACCATCACATCCAGCGGTATAATCGCTAACATCTTCCAAACTCACTGCGTCAACCGGTTCCACAGAAAGTTCCGTAGCTGCCCAATGGCGCCGTCGTTAAGCGTCTGGTCGCACGAATTCGACTCAATATGCTGGAACAGACTCGACAGCTGGGGTAGTCTAATCCCACACTCCGGGCAGTGGAACGGATCGACCTTACCGTAGCGGTACTCTAGATCCCAGCCACCCAGCATCTCAGAGTGGTAGTCCTGGTCTATAAAGGCACGCCATCTATGGCATTCTGCAGCGAGCATGTATAGATCAATTCGGTCAGAATTGCTACAGACGCCGCGCTCCGCGTGGATGATCTAGTGTTGTTAACACTGAATAGATTGCCTTGAAGAACAGAAGTCCCGGGAAAACCTGCCATGCCACCGTATGTTTTGAACATTTGCGGGCAGTAGAAACATTCGTAGTTCGCCGCGCGGTGTGTCAGTTCATGCTAACCCAACCAGTCAATAAACAGACTACAAACATGCACCCACAGCTGGAAACGCCCCATACCTGGAAAAGATTGTCTGGTGTGCCAAAGTGGCGCTCGCACTGTGTGCACACGTTGTGGTCATCGACATGTTCCCAGTACCCGTCTGAATTGGACCCCCAGAGAGATCCACTTCCATCGTCGCAGCCTTGGCAGACTTCTCGGCAACTGGTTTGACGACAGTGTTGGAGTAGATCTTCCCACGATTCACCATCAAAGTCGCACGCTGGGCATTCGTGATGGCGCGGGGAATTGCGGAGGTGTTGATGGAATGCATGGTAGGTCTGATACGACCTGTTGCAGCGATCGCACCACCTGCGGTTGTGAATACTTGACGGACGCCAGAATAGGGGGGGTTTACGCACACCTCCATTGCATCTGCGCTCTGGCTCCAAGTCAAGTCGTGGTATAGTGAAGAGTGGATAGCGAATAGATCAGCGAGAGTTAAGAAAGGTGGAGTGGGTAGAGAAAGAGTGTTCAAGTGATTAGTGGCAGGGTCCACGATGGCTAGAGTGAAATCACGTGGCCAGCTCTTGTGCTTAAGAAGAGTGGTGGACTGGGTGACCAATTGTAAACTTCTCAATACGTCGATTGTTTTCGTCCGTTCTTACTAGTTATTGTATCAACTATTCAAGGTTGGGAAGACGCGTTAAGAAATAGAAGAGGCTGGGGAGACCAAGCAGGGGTCAACTGAGTCTTATCTCCCAACATCAGCATCACAAGAGGAATAGGAGAAATAGTATTCTTTTGTTTTGATACCATTTTGAAAAGCCTTTTAAGAATGATGCAGCGTACCTGGTTATCTGGAGTGTTCGGATGGCTGTAGATATACCTCTTGCCGCATCAATGCCGTTTGACGGGGCAACCATAGTGATGAGGACGACTCCGGCGTAAGCGCGATAAGTATGTCGTGACGTCGTAAGTGAGGCTGGAAAGAAGGTCGGCAACATAATGTCTAAATCATTCCAGATACAGCTAGATCCAAACATGCCAAATATGTATGTTCTTGATTTTTGAAGTAGCAGACAGGTCTACTGCTTGTCAGCTACAAGATGCGGATTCCTCTTGGTCTGCAGATGATAGGATAGGTACACCATGCCAAAGACAAAGGGACCGGGATACGAGATACTATACGAGCTTGGCCGGATGATTACAATCGCCGTGTGAGGTTTGGACTCATGTAACTCTTTCTTGTAGTCCCTTTTATAAGACGCAGTAAGTCGCCGTTCGATATGGCGGGATCAGGCTTCGCATTTCCGTTCGGAGTATTTACATTGTCTACGATCTTGGTAGTACAGGAAGGAATTGCATGGCGAGAGGTCTCCCACGATAGGGTGAATCTCCAGATCAAGTCAATCGTGATATCTCCAGTTCTCATCCGAGGGGTTAGTTGAGCTCTAGGGCAAGATGGAGTGGCAGAATCTCGTTAGGTATTGTGATAGACTACACTATCAATTTTGTGACCTTTACTTACCTGTGTTATCGCCTCTCTTGAGTAGCATGAGTCAGGTCTTGTCAGTGGCAATTGTGAGGCTGCAGCAAGCTCTAGCAGACGTGGAGGCAACTTCAAAAGGCTACGCAAAGCGTCATCGTTGGTTCTTGTCGAAACATCTGCAGCCATGCGAGAGAGTCCATAACACAAAGGAACACGATGTCGAGATTGAGGTCTTCCATCGCGTTTGTCCGGATTGGCGATCTCTCGTCTGTTGCATTCCATTGTATTCGATGGTGTTGTAGGTCCCGCACGAGCCATCCTGGCTGCGGCAACCTAGCTTCACCTTCGTCACTCCCCAACGTTACTTAAAACCACCACGCCCGCTCTCAGTCGGCTTCATCTCTCCATCTCCCCCCACATCCAATCACCCCCAACTCAACCACGCAGCAGCTCTTACATTCACTCTCTTTACAAGAATCTCTCCCAGCTGCAACGCGTACACCGCTAGACTCTCAGTATGTCGGCCGAACCAGACTACAAGGCTCCCAAGCCAGATCTCTCAAAGTACGTTTGTTTGCCACCAACTTCAGAACAAGATGCAGCTACTAACAAGCTGCAGGGACCCCTCAGGTGCTGAGCGCAAAGATGTACTTATCACCAGCTAGCTCTCCAAGTCCCCGCTTACTGACACGCCACAGGCCGATGAGACAGCAACGGCCATTCTCAAGAAGAAGAAGAAGCCCAACTCGCTGATGTGAGTGCACGGCGAGAATCAAGCCTGGGTCCGCACACTGACAAATCGCAGCGTCACGGATGCCGTCAACGATGACAACTCGATTATCGCCCTCTCAAACAACACCATGGAGACGCTGCAGCTCTTCCGCGGTGACACTGTCCTCGTCAAGGGCAAGAAGCGCAAGGACACAGTACTCATCGTACTTGCCGATGACGACCTCGATGATGGGTCAGCGCGGATAAACCGAGTTGTTCGCCACAACCTGCGGGTGAAGCACGGCGATGTTATCACCATCCACCCTTGCCCGGACATCAAATACGTACGTGTCATCGACAGAACCCGCTTCTAGCTCAAAGCTGACTAGGTCATACAGGCCAAGCGCATTGCAGTTCTCCCTATCGCAGACACAGTCGAGGGCATCACCGGCTCGTTATTCGACGTCTTCCTCGCCCCATACTTCCGCGAAGCATACCGACCTGTGCGTCAAGGCGACACCTTCACAGCGCGTGGTGGCATGCGACAGGTCGAGTTTAAGGTCGTGGAGGTCGACCCACCAGAGTTCGGTATCGTTGCGCAGGACACAGTCATCCACTGCGAGGGCGAGCCGATTCTGCGTGAAGACGAGGAGGGCAACCTCAACGAGGTCGGCTATGACGACATCGGTGGTTGCCGAAAGCAGATGGCACAGATCCGCGAGCTCGTCGAGCTGCCGCTGAGACATCCTCAGCTCTTCAAGTCCATCGGTATCAAGCCCCCACGTGGTATTCTCATGTACGGGCCTCCTGGTACTGGTAAGACGCTGATGGCCCGTGCCGTCGCCAACGAGACCGGTGCTTTCTTCTTCCTGATCAACGGCCCCGAGATCATGTCGAAGATGGCTGGTGAGTCGGAATCCAACCTGCGAAAGGCCTTTGAGGAGGCAGAGAAGAACTCTCCCGCGATCATCTTCATCGACGAGATCGACTCGATCGCACCCAAGCGTGACAAGACCAACGGAGAGGTCGAGCGCCGCGTTGTCTCCCAGTTGCTCACCCTCATGGACGGCATGAAGGCCCGCTCGAACGTTGTCGTCATGGCCGCCACCAACCGACCGAACTCGATCGACCCTGCCCTTCGTCGTTTCGGCCGATTCGATCGCGAGGTCGATATCGGTATCCCCGACCCAACTGGGCGTCTGGAGATTATGCAGATCCACACCAAGAACATGAAGCTCGGCGACGATGTCGACCTTCAGACAATCGCTGCTGAGACGCACGGTTACGTCGGTTCCGATTTGGCGTCCCTTTGCTCCGAGGCTGCCATGCAGCAGATTCGTGAGAAGATGGACCTGATCGATTTGGATGAGGACACCATCGATGCCGAGGTTCTCGACTCGCTCGGTGTCACAATGGAGAACTTCCGCTTCGCTCTCGGTATCTCCAACCCCTCAGCTCTCCGTGAGGTCGCTGTTGTCGAGGTTCCCAACGTCCGATGGGAGGATATTGGTGGTCTTGAGGAAGTCAAGCGCGAGCTCATCGAGAGCGTGCAGTACCCCGTGGATCACCCCGAGAAGTTCCTCAAGTTCGGCATGTCTCCTTCGCGAGGTGTGCTCTTCTACGGTCCTCCCGGTACGGGTAAGACGCTGCTCGCCAAGGCTGTTGCCAACGAGTGCGCCGCCAACTTCATCTCGATCAAGGGCCCTGAACTGCTCTCTATGTGGTTCGGTGAGTCTGAGAGCAACATTCGCGATATCTTCGATAAGGCCCGTGCCGCTGCACCTTGCGTTGTCTTCCTCGACGAGCTGGATTCCATTGCCAAGTCTCGTGGTGGGTCTCAAGGCGACGCTGGCGGTGCTTCCGACCGTGTTGTCAACCAGCTTCTCACTGAGATGGATGGTATGACATCGAAGAAGAATGTTTTCGTCATCGGTGCCACCAACAGACCCGAGCAGCTCGACAACGCTTTGTGCCGACCAGGTCGTCTCGACACCCTTGTCTACGTCCCTCTGCCCGACCAGGCTTCCCGTATCAGCATCTTGAAGGCTCAGCTCCGCAAGACACCTGTTGCTGACGACATCAACATTGAGTACATTGCGTCCAACACGCACGGCTTCTCCGGTGCCGATCTGGGCTTTGTTACCCAGCGTGCCGTCAAGCTCGCCATCAAGCAGTCCATCTCGCTGGACATTGAGCGAAGGAAGGAGCGTGAAGCCGCTGGCGAGGATGTTGAGATGGAGGAGGACATTGAGGATCCCGTCCCCATGCTCACCAAGGCCCACTTCGAGGAGGCGATGCGCTCAGCACGCCGATCCGTGACGGACGTTGAGATCCGCCGCTACGAGGCGTTCGCACAGTCGATGAAGAACTCTGGCGGCTCGAGCTTCTTCCGCTTCCCCGACGCGGAACAGGCGGCTGCGGGTGAGGCGAACACATTCGGCAATGCTGGAGAGGACGAGGATCTGTACAACTAGGTGGGGCAGAGTTGGATTCTTTAGTGCATATGAGATTCACGAAAGCATGGCTTGGTTTGGCGCTTTTTCCATGCCCCAGGCTATGCTGCCTGCTTGCTCTTTCGGGTTAGATGGAAGAGTAATTGCGGGCTGGCGCTTTATGGGGGCAGCCTGACGGGTGATGGGTATGGGTAGTTTACGAATATGAGAAAGTTTATGAGAATTTATTCTGAAATCATTGTTTTTTACAGCTGTGTGCATTTATCTTGTTGATGAGTCCTTCTTAAGAAGACATGGATAGTTAAAATAGTCAATTGAGAAAGATATTGACACTTTGATTTCAATGTATACATGTCATGTCATGTCATGTATTCATTTTACTCGACCTATACTTGTAATGTTCTTCTTTTATTTTTAGTTTAACACAGAGTAGTTTTGATGTCTAGCTAAATCTAACCTAGAACGTGCAATGCAACGTGAATAGTCAAGTTGCAGAGAATATACTCATTACTTACTAAGAACAGGTGTGTATTCTATCCAGATTAGGTAATCAGCATCAGCATCAGTATCAGTATCAGTTTCACGCTATATATATGAGAGGAAGGAAGGAAGGAAGGAAGGGGGGTAGGGTATGGATTGCGGATTGGGATTGGGATTGTTGTGGTGTGGTGTGGATGGGGAAAGTAGGTAAGTAGGTAGGTAAGGTAAGGTAACGTGACTACGCGTATCGCCAGCATCGATCACGGAGAACAACACGCACATACGCGGAGGGGGGGGGGGGGGGGTCAAAATCTCAGCAATTCTCAATTTGCTCGTGTTTGAATTTCCTTACTCCCTGTCCAAAGACGGTGGAAGAGAGGCGCATCTACACGCTAATCGTCTTGAACACACTGTACACACAATTAGCATAACATACAATCGACTTTTAAAATATTAGACTCACCCAAAGCCCGACCCCCCCGTCGCCATAACGGCGCCAGGAATCTGCGGATGCCAATGCGCCTCCTTGATCTGCTCCATGTAGTGCACAAACAGCAGCTGGGGGGGCACATCCTGGACGCCCGCCGTATCCCTGCTCTCCTCGTCGTCGAGCTCGACGGCCAGATCCCAGAGCGTGAGTGTGCTGTCGCCGGCGCAGACAAGCACGATGCTGTCATCTGTGGGGTGCCATTCGACGGAGGTGATTTGTTCCTTGTGGAAGGTGAAGTTCGCGACGGGGGAGGGACGTGGTTCGCTAGCGAGGGAGGTGGAGGGTTTCCACTGGCGCAAGTCCCAGACAGCCCACTCGCCGTTGTCGGCGCCCGAGGCGAGGAGGTGGGCGGTTTGGTGCGACCAGCTGAGGACGTTTACGTCTGTGTCTGAGACCTGGATGCTGACGGCTGGTTTGCGTGATTTGGAGCGGGCGTCCCAGATCTTGACTGTGCCGTCGTTGGAGGAGGAGGCGAAGACGTGTTTTTCTGTCGGCGACCATTGTAGCTCTTCGACTGTGCCGCGGTGGCCCGTGTAGGGCGTTGTGTCGGTCACGAAGCCGCCGCCTTGGGTGCGTGTTGTGGCGAAGATGTTGCCTGTGATGTCGCCGGTTAGGAGCTTGCCTTCGGGGACGAGGGGCGACCAGTCCAGCGCGTAGCCTTCGTTGGACTTGTGTGCGCGGATTGTGCAGGCGGGCTTGTTCTGGGTGGGGGAGATTGTGGTGCCGGGGGTGTCGAAGGCAGTGAGGTGTGGGGTGACGTCGTAGATGAGGACCTGGCCGGACTCTGTCATGGCGGCGGCGAGGGTGGTGGGGGGTTTCGCGGCCGTTGTCTGCGGGGTCTGGTGTGCGCGTATGCGGTTTGTGCAGCTTGTCAGCGGGATTGATTTTGTCTCGAGGATGGGGTCGGAGCCCTCGTCGTCTGAATCGTCGTCGTCGTCCTCTTCGTCTTCGCGCTCCATGCGCGACAGACTGCTCATCTTCATGACCATGATCTGGTTCTCCTTGTCTCTCCCGCGCGCCGCCTGTGTGCCTGCCACTGCGTATACGGTTGCGGGGTATGTCTTGCGGTCTGCGCCCAGGCTGTCTGGCAGGATGTCGCACGTCAGACACGGCCACGGCGCCTCGAGTGTGTGCAGCATCTCGTATGTGGAGAGGTCGGGGTTGAGGGTTTCGCCGGGCGAGAGCTTGTGGCGGCCGGGTATAAAGGTGCCCTGGTCGACTTCCATGGCGTCTGTTTGGGCTGGTGAGCGCAGGTCTGGGTGTGTACTGCCATGAACATACTCTCTCGCTCCTCGGCCTCGCGCTCTTCGTCTGGCCGCCCATCCACGCCGGCCTCGAGGATCTCGTCGTCGCTCTCAAACTCGTCCTCGAACTCGTCCTCGAACTCGCCCACCTCGTCCTGGTCGACTTCCATGGGGCGTTCTCCATTCTTGATGGCGTCGCGCTCGTGCTCCTGGTCTGCGTCGGCGGGTCGCTTCGACATTGTGCGTGTGGTGTGGTGTGGTGTGGTGTGTTGTGTGTGGATTGTATGCTGTATGCGGTGCTGTATGTTCTATGCGACTCAAAAAAATAATTTGGGGAATTTGGTGGGATGGTCCCAATGGCAGGCTAGCGCGGGCGCACTGTTCAGCTCCCGCCTGGATTCGGCGCATCCCAGCAACACCCTGTCAACACCCAACTCGCACAAACAACACCCCCGCGCTGTCGTCAGAGCCTCCTGCGCCGCTGCACCCTCCCCCCGACGCGCGCCCACGTCCCCGACACGCCCGCGACGCTGCTCGACACGCCTGACGCGTGCGCCACTGCCTCCCCTCATAGCGGGGCCTCGTGCGCCTAGTGCTGTGTCCTGCGCGCACCGGCATTTCAGCCTCTCCTATTCGCTCATCGCCCGCATCCCAGACACGTCGAGTCAAGAGCGCAGACGAGCAGCCGTATCTTGCCCATGGAGGGCATGGAGCCGCAGCCCGAGCACCTGGCCGCCCACACGCCCGCCCCCGTCCTGGAGCAGCCACCCGCAGAGGGCCTCGACGCGCAGAAGCACATGGACCAGACCATGGACGCCGACGACAGCATGACCACCATCACCGCCCCGACGAGCCCGCCCATCGCGAGTCCGCCCATGGCCAGCCCGCTGCCCGACTACCACCAGAACCACAGTGCCTACACGTCGCCCGAGCCCCACCGGCCCTCGACCTCGTACTCGGACACGGCCTACCAGTACGCCGCCCCGAATGGCTCGCGCTTCAACACGTCCTCGGACGCAGACACACCGCCGCGCCAGCCCTACCACGACAACCCCAAGGAGACACACATGGGCCAGGCCCAGTCACACTCGCGCCCGAGCTCGCAGCTGGGCCGCTACTCGAGCTCAGAGGGCGGTGCGCGCTCGGCTGCCTACCAAGAACAGAACCAGCGCGGCGCGCAACCACCGCCCGAAGCCGCCAACAAGAACGCCAGCGTCGTCATCAAGGTCGGCATGGTGGGGGACGCCCAGATTGGAAAGACCAGCCTGATGGTCAAGTACGTCGAGGGCAGCTGGGATGAAGACTACATCCAGACGCTGGGTGTGTACATCACAACAAGCCCAACACGTGCACTTGCTGACTGGCGCAGGTGTCAACTTCATGGAGAAGACCATATCCATCCGGAACACGGAGATCACCTTCTCCATCTGGGATCTAGGGGGCCAGCGCGAGTTCGTCAACATGTTGCCGCTCGTGTGCAACGACGCCGTGGCCATACTCTTCATGTTCGACTTGACCCGCAAAAGCACGCTCAACTCCATCAAGGAGTGGTACAGGCAAGGGCGCGGCTTCAACAAGACCGCCATCCCGTTCCTGGTCGGCACAAAGTACGACCACTTTGTCAACTTTCCCCGCGAGGAGCAAGAAGAGATCTCGAATCAGGTTCGTAGTCTGACATGGAGCGTGTTACCCAAGCTGATAAGAATCCCAGGCCAAGCGATTCGCGCGGGCAATGAAGGCCAGTCTCATCTTCAGCAGTACCAGCCACAGTATCAACGTTCAAAAGGTGCGTTTCCTCCATCCCTGACACACCACCGACCACCCCGTTCTAACACGTGCCAGATCTTCAAAATCGTCCTCTCCAAAGCCTTCGACCTAAAGTGCACAATCCCCGAGATTGAAAACGTCGGCGAGCCGCTTCTCCTCTACCAGGCCGTCTAGTCGCCGGACCGCAGAGTCAAGCCCAGAACCGAAGGCCCGCCACGCATCAGCCTTGGAAAAGGACACATGGGGCGCGCCGCCTTCTACCGGGGCAATGTTACAATGAGCGAATGACCTTGATGATACTCCTATAATTTTCTCTCGCGTGGGAATATGCATGATATCGGCGACTGGAGCAAACGTGCTACTACTACTACAACTATTACCAGTACATTGGGAAAGGGAAGGGAAAGGGAAGGGAGCAAAATCGGCGTTTATCTTGTTGGATTATGCGCGTCTTTTTACTACTACTTCTACTACTACTATGCATTCTGCCGTGCTGGCCGCGTTTGCGATGCCCCCTCTGCGTTTGTCGTCTCTTAGCTACGGTAGTGTCTTATCAAATATTACATATTGAAGAATTGAACTTTGACGTTATTGGTGTGGTGGTGTGGAATGTGAGGCTCTGTGACGCAATGGCAGGTTTACCCGCATGACGCAAGATTAGGCGAGGCGGACCCCAAAAAGTTCCAAGCTGCTTGCATGCGACACGACCGACACTACAACTACACCACACCAAACCACAACCCACAGCTGGCCTTTACCGATCTAACTCGAACCCGCCATTCCAACAAACCAAAGCAACCCCACAAAATCCCGCCGTCACATCCACCACAATGGCCCTCCCCTCCCTCGCCCTCCCGGGCCAACTCCTCGGCGCAGCAGACACCTACCTCCCCGGTCCAGGAACCCACATCCACGCGCAAAAAATCTACGCCTCGATCGCCGGCCCCGTCACCTCCACACCCTCCACACCCTCCACAACAACCCCAACAACAACCCCAACGCCCCTCCTATCCATAACCCGCCCCCCCACCCTCTCCCCCGGCATCCTCGGCCCCTCAAGCGGCTCCGGCATCCCGCTCCTCCCCACCCTCTCCTCCGTCGTCCTAGCACGCATAACCCGCCTAACCCCGCGCTCCGCCTCCTGCCTAATCCTCGCCATCGACTCGACCCCCTGCCGCGAACCCTTCAGCGCCCAAATCCGACGCGAGGACATACGCGCGACGGAGAAAGACAAGATCGTTGTTAGCGAGAGTTTCCGCGTCGGGGATTTGGTGCGCGGGACGGTTATTAGTCTGGGGGATCAGGCGAGCTATTATGTTAGTACGAGTGAGAATGCGTATGGGGTTGTTGTGGCGAGGGGGGAAAGCGGGAGGGTGTTGTATCCGGTTAGTTGGCGGGAGGTGAGGGATCCGGTTAGTGGGGTTGGGGAGCGGAGGAAGGTTGCTAAACCTTTTTAGATGGGAGGGGGGGGGGAGGGGGGATGTATGATAGGATGTGGTGTAATGCATGGTAAAAGGTGATGTGATGTTATGTTACTATTCCCTTCCCTTCTCTGTATCTCTCTTTCTACTCATCTACACACTCAGACTTATACCCCCTCAACTCAACTAGAATCAAATACACACAATATCGTTTCAAGATCCCCCCTTCATACCCTTCCATGCACGCAACAAACCAATCCCAATCCAACTCCCATCATGAAAAAGCGCCATACGCGAACCCCAAACCCGCACAGTAAAACCCCCAGCCCCAAACGAAGTGAAGTGAAATGAAGTGAAGTGCAAAAAACCCCCAACCAAGTGATGAAGTAGCTGGTGTGCGCCGAACGCCGGGTAGATGATACGAACCAGATCAAGCGGGCTACGAGTCCCTGTGGGCCGAACTTCCCAAGCCGACACGAAACCATCTTAGTAGATAGATAGCCGTGTCGAAGTATATCGCTGCGTCGTAGTGAATGTACTGGCACTGGCGGCGGGGCAAGCCTGTATATCCACACCTCGTTTGAGAGAGAGAGAGAGAGTAGTGTTTGTACGCTTCCACACAACGACATGGAAATGCCAGGCCGACCACAGCATGCAGAAACACATTGCGATGCCCTCCGCCGCGCACTCCGCAGTATCGGGCGTAGGGTTAGAGGAGAGTGTATTTACAACACCCCCCCCGGCAACGGCGTCCCGCGACTCTGATTATTATCCCATCCAAACCCACCCCCACCACCACCAGAATTCGCATTAGAATTGACACTCCTTATATCATTGCCGCCCACTGTACTAACATGCCCCTGCTCAGGCGCCGCATGTTTACGCAGCATAAACATGGGCTTCCTCCCCTCTTTATCAAGCTGCTTGAATAAGATGAGGGGCCGCTCGTTGAGGCCGAGACAGCGCTCCTGGTCGCCGTGTACGATGTAGAGGGCGTATTGGCGCCAGTCGGCTGTGATGTTGTATTTCTTCAGCGCGACGGGGAGGACTTTGTGGCAGGGGTCGTCGATGGAAACGCGGAAGGATTTGAAGATTTCGACTTGTGGGTTGGAAGAGGGGGGTGGTTGTTGCTGCTGTTGTTGTTGTTGCTGTTGTTGTTGTTGGGAGGGGTTTGGTGTTGAGGCGTTGAGGGTGCTGGAGCCGCCGGATAAGGGCGGGTCGCGGTCGCGGTCGCGGTCGTCGGGGAGGGGGGTGAGGATGGGGTTGTTGCGGAGCATGCGGGATGAGAGCGGCGCGGGGGTGACGCGGGGATCGCGGTTCGAGTTCGAGTCCGTGTTCCATGTGCCGGGCTGCGACCAGTTGTTGTCGTGCTCGGTGTGTGCGCTGCGAGGGATGTCGCGGGTGTATTGGCGGGCCTGGGCTTGGGAGTAGGCCGGCGATGTGGGCGAGGGTTGTGCGAGGGACTTGGGTGATAGCTGGGGGCCACCGCCAAGAGAGGCTGTGAGGTGTGAGGAGGCTGCGACGGCTGCTGCAGAGGGGTCCAGGGACGAGTGGTCGACGACACGGTGCTCCTGGATTGTTGGAGAGGGGTTCTTGGGGGCCGAGCCGAGGAAGAGCTTCTTGGTGGAGAACTTGCGCGACAGGCTGCTCCCACCGGATCGCTCTTGGGTTGGTGGGGATGTCACGGAGTGGTCGTGGGGGGTGGGCAGAGGGTGCTGGCTGTCCTTGAGCATGCGCACTATTGGCAGGATCTCGTCGCGCAGCCGCTTGTTCTCGTCCAGTACCCTGGTCAGATCTTCTCTGAGGTGCCGCAGCTCCGACTCGGCTGTGTGTATCCGCTCATCTCGCGCCTGGATGACGTGTATCACCCTCGCAAAGTCGTCCTGTGTTGGTGGTGCTTCTTGCGTGGATGTGTCTGCGGCTGGAGGGGTTGTTAGCATACTGAGTGTAGGAGTTGCTAGCACACAGAGTATAGGAGTCTGCCAGCATACGGATTGCTAGACAAGGCTGGACACGTACACAGTGGGACATAGTCGTCCGGGTCTATGGGCACATTCTGCTTGACCTTGATCTCGTAGACAGCCTTGAGGATGGTCAGACGGTGGCCCACGCTCCCTATACCCATCTCCTTCAGTTCGGAATGCTGCAGTGCTGCCAGGACGTCGCCTGTGATACCCTCGTCTGTCACCGGCCTAGTCAGTTACTGCTACACACCCGCACAAGGCTACGTACCGACAAAAGTATCCGCATACTGCTCCAGCCCCACGTCGGACACAAAGTCGGCAGCCTGCTCAGCCGTCCAGTCGGTCAGCAAACCCGTGGGGCTGCTGCGGCTGTCTCGCGAGTGTGTAAAGGTCGTGGGGGTGTGCTCGGTGCTCAGCGGCCCCGAGCTCGTCGGCGAGCTGTCGTACTCGACGGGCAGGCCGGGGCTCTGCATGCTGCGCTCAAACTCGTCGTCGGCGTCCGAGTCCTCCTGGTATCGAGACATGTACGCCATGGCCTATGACGTTGCGCGCCGAGGAAACGGCTCCGCGAGGCAGCAGAGAGAGCGTTACACGGTCTGCCGCCAAGGCCTGGGAAGCAGCTCGTCGAGGGCACCGTCCCCGTGTCGCGGCTGGAGCAGCGCTGGACTCGAGGCGTGGCGTGGTGCGTCGGGGCGCTGTCTGCGGGACGGGCGAGGCGAGAATTGGGCCGTGTCGACGCTTCCCTCGAGCTTTTTCCGAGACTGCAAACGGGGTTACGAGGTGACGGGGGCGGGGTGCGCGGGTGTCGTCTGAAGGTGCGCCGGACGTTAAGCGCTTTGTCGATGCGGCGGAATGGGGGGAAGCGCGCGGCGCGGGACACCAACGACGACAGTGGCTGCTGGCTAGGGCGAGGCGCTGAAGGGCTGCCGACTGGCTCTGTACACGGCCGTACACACTGACTCGGACGATGCAACACTGAGCGCGCGAGGGACGGCGGGAGGTGTGCAGTGAAGGCCAGACGACAACGGCGCCCCATGTGCCAATGCACTGCCCTGTCCTGTCCTGTCCTGTCCTGGTCTGTCGTGCCCTGCCCTGCCATGCAATCCCGGCACAAGACAAACCGACGTCCACTTCCATCCAGTCCCCGTCCAGATGTGGCGGCAGGTGGATATGCACTATGCGCCCGTGCATCCTAGCCTGATGGATCCAGGAACTGATCTTCGATTCTCTATGCACATGCACGCGTCTCTCTCACTCGCACATCAACTTCGCCCGTCCGCCAAACCTTTGATTGCTCCTCGATTGGCCCGTCACTCCACTGCACTACAAACATCCTATCCTCGCATCTGCACCCGCAACGGAACATTGTCTCCCCCCGACATTCCACTCACGAGAAAAAGCACCAAACATCACGAGGCCACTACCCCTTCAACTAATCTCCAACCCCACTGCGAAAACGACAAAAGTAACCTCACCCCCATCATGTCCGCCAAACCAGTCACCATGACAACATCCCAAGCCCAAAGCACCATCCCGCCCACGACGCGCAACCAAATCTACACAGCCCTGCTCTCGGGCGACGGCATCCGCAACATCGAAAGCACCATGACGCACGAGCTGCAAGCGTCGGGCTTCATGGACCAGCTCAAAGACTACATTACCGATTTATTCCGCTCGGGCCAGGCCACCACCATGGAGCAGGCGCGTACCATGGCCATGGATAAGATCAAGCAGCAGCAGCGTGGCGCGAAATCAGCCAATGGCGCGAATGGGAGTGCGAGTGAGGCTGTGGAGTATGATCTCAAGGTTCCGCAGAAGGCGGTTGCGGCGGGCGCTAAGACGGTGCAGAGGGAGTTGGAGAAGGTGTGCGATGTTACGGCTGAGGATGATAAGTGAATTGGGGGAAATTGATGTGAAGATTACCGATGATATGGCTTCAGTCGACTTACAGATGCTACCGGGATGCATCAGCCAAGCCAGCAGTAGATATGCATCGCTCCATGCCCCAACCCAATCGCCGCAACAACGACATCCAGCTACCTGCACGGCACACACACCCCACCATCGCAAGGAAAGCGCATCCAGACACGCGCTGCCACTAGATGCCGACGGGGAAAGTCCTCTCTACAACGCCACGGCAGAATCACGGCCAGAAACTCAAATTCAACCCAGTTCAATCCAATTCTCACGAAGACTAAGCAGATGAGCGTGTCTAGGTCAGGTTTCACTCAAGGAAAGCAAAAGGGAAGGGGGGGGAAAGGACGTATACTACAGTGTGTAGTCCCCCCACGCGCGAGGAACAAAAACAGGCACCGCCAAATGCTAGATTGTCACTACAACAAGGTTGGATTTGGCTAAATAGTAAAATTACACTGTGTTAAACTAAAGATACAATAAAAATATAATAGTACAAGATGATATCTTAATAGTAAAAATAAAGAGATTGTAATATTGTTAAGATCTTACTTTTAAGTTATGAAGTAGTTTTATACTGCATTATTATAGTAGCCTTTTTAAAGTATAACCTTCAGCAGTGCCAGTTTTCGTTCCTCTCGCATGATGCTGTACATCTCGCATGCACCCAAGCATACCATATCATGTCATACCATAATCTTAACAACGCTAGTCGTCACACACAGATAGGTATAAGAATAGTAGATGGAACGATTAAATATGTGCACGGGCAATCCTTCCTCTCAGAAAACATCAGTATGTGAAAGAGCTAATTGTGACACGTCTTCATGTGGTAATCATTCGACATGCAGGAAACTTCTGAAGAATATAAAGACTGAAGAAACCCCTCCCCCCCCCTCCCCCCCAAGACTAAAAATCTTCTTTCGACGTCAGCAAAAGGCAAAACGGGGCGTGTATATACCTAACCCACACCACCACCCCGATTCACACAGACCTCTGCACAGGTCTAGGCGGCACCTCCCTCTCCCTCCCCTTTTCCTCTTCAGATGCAGGAAACAACCCCACCCCCGTCCCCCCCTCGCTCATCTCACGAATCTTCTTGATCAAATTACTGCCTCACCGTTAGCGCCTATCCTCACCCCATTCCCCCTACCCCTCACCCTTCCACAAAAAAAACCGAAATCAAAAAAACTCACCTAACAGGCAACCTAAGCCTCTCCTGCTCCCTCCACAGCACACCCACCACCTTCTCCCTCCCCTTAGCATGATCCTCCATATGCTCCGTGATAAGGCGCCGCCCAACATCTTTACTGCACCCGTAGATGCGCTGGGCGCAGCCGTCGAAGGTGCAGAGCCAGGAGTCGCGGGGGGCGTTGGGTGTGTATGTGGGGAGGGGGGTGGAGACGAGGGGGGCGGTGAGGGGGGGGGATGTGTTTTGTGTGGGTGTGGGGCGGTGGCGGAGGGGGATGGGCGCGTTGGGGTCGTTTGTATCCGCGTCGGAGTCGGAGTCGGAAGATGTGGCGGTTGTTGGTGGGGGGGAGGAGAGGGTTAGGGAGGTGCTGGTTGTGCGTTTTCGGCGGTCGGGGTGCGGGTCTGAGGTCGTGTCTGTTTCGTCGAGTTTGCGCTTGTCGCGGCTGGGGGAGAGGATTTGGGTAGGTGTGTTGGAGTCGGTTTCGGCTGCGGTCTCGCTTTGGTCGGCTGAGGATGAGGAGGATTCATCGTCTGATGGGTCGGACTCTAAGACGGGCTTTTTGCCTCTACGTTTCCCACCCGGCATGATTTTTGCTTTGCTCTTGCCGGTGAATTTGGCGCTTGTTGGTCGCAAGACGGAGAGTCTGCCTTTCTTTCGCCTGCCGGGTGGTCGGCGTGCAGGTGTTGCTAATAGGTCTTGTTCCTCATCTGAAGTATCTGATGATTCGCTCTCCTCCTCCTTGAGTGTGCCATGGTCTCTCCTAGGTCTTAGCTCCACGCCTTCTGCTCTTCTTTGCTCCGCCGCGGAGAGATCATGGCCAGCCGCCAACTCTTGATATATCGGTTCATCGGCGAAGAATCGTACGCTTTTTCGCCGCGGGTTGTCCATCATCCAACATAGGTTCCGAGCATGCACCAGGAGCACACTCTGCGCCACTTCCAGTTCCTCAATTTCGTAGCGTTTGACAATGAGTTGAGCAACCTTCTCCAGTGTTATGTGGTTATGACCTGGCCGTAGAGCTCTGTGATTGACAGCTTTTTGCATGAATTCGAACAAGGCCGCTGCCTCCCACCAGTTGTCGTCTTTCTTGGGCGCTTCTTCCGTGCGTCGCGTAGCGGTCTTCCCTCGGCCCTGTCGCGAATCTCGAGATGACTCTGTGCACTTCGACACTGGCGCAGAGGAGGACTTTGACTTTTGCGCTTGCGCTTGCTTTTCAACCTGGATTTGAGAGTAGCGGCCCTCTTTTCGCGCTTTGCATGTATCAAAGTCTTTCTATTTAGGAAGTCAGAAACTCGTTTCATCCTAAGCGTGAATAATCATACTGGATATTGCCGCCTGAACTGCTGGTAGATAGGTGTATTGCTCCAACCAACGCCTTGCGCTCGATTGAGAAAGCACATCGTCAGGAAGATACGATGCTTATTAAATATCTTCTCCGCATCTGCTGGATCTGTGCATGGAAATCGGTCGTCTTCTGCATACTTTAAACAGTCAGCACTTGATCTTGAACATGTCCTCAAAGCCTCATGAACTTCATAGTACTGTACGCATCGCGCGCACTCACCTCTTTGTATATCAGCTGTGCATTGGGGCCGCCGCCCTTCTTTCGTGGTTCGTTATAGATATCGGTAACGAAGTAGAGAAGCTGAACCGCTTCGCGCATATCCTCATAGATGGGCTTGTACTGCGCTGTGGGCTGGATCTCAAACCAGCCTGCTGCACCTTGCGCCCAGATAACATATTCGCCGTCCGTCGTCTCGCCATAAGAGAATTTGGTGACATTTCGTATTTGAATATCGACGGGCTTGTAGGGCTTGTTGACGACTGGTTCCTGGTCAGTGGACTGTATATACTTCTACGATGCCTCGTGAAAGACATACGATACTTTAATTGCGCGCGGCCTGGAGCCTCGAGGCGCCCCTCCACCCTCAGCGGTGTGTCGGCATATGCGGCGAGGAGACTCGCAGGCTTCCCATTGCTTTCGTACACGACATGCGCGTCCCTCAGTACAAAGATCTCCCAGAGGTCCGAGTCAGTGATCGAAGGGTCGAGCGGCAAGAGCACATCAGCTTCGGGAACTAGCATGCTGGTTTTCTATATGGGGCGTAATCGCATGTTGCGGTGGTATCATGCACGTAGCCGGAGATGTGGCATGCAATCTTGAAGCGTGAGGGGGTCTTGATGGGTGAGAGACCAAATGCGGGCACGCGGCGGGCAGCGACGAAACGGGGAAGCGCGTCGGTGAATGGACACTTACGTGTGTGATTGGCTCGAGGGTTCGATGTACTCTATTAGCGTGTCCATCACGAATAGACATCAAAATACCTCTATCACTTCATGTTTCATGCTTCAAGTCACTCAGAATCACTCTATCTTGACTCCTTGGATTCTCCTTACACTAAATCTTATGGAACCTCTCTACCATCTCTGACTTCCAGTTGTTCACTCCATCGAGACATTGGAATCTCTCTCACCTTAACGGCAATGGACGTGCTTTCCCCTCCAAACATCTCCCACGAGTCACCATATCGCATAAGTTTGTAGTCATGATCGTTACATTCTTTTCTTTCGCCGCCTCGCCAGACGCTGAACGCCGCCCGTCTAATGCCTGCCGTGCTAAAGTACATGATGAACGACATTCGTGAAGCGGAGAGCAGGAGATGATACATGTCCAACACAAATATGGTACAGGGAAGCCTCCCAGGTCTTCCAATCAAAAATTCGTCGATGCGCACATGTCCATGCCGGGTATCAGACTTACTCGAGCACACGTGTTACCAAACCGGTAGCAACTGTGCGGCCACCCTCACGCATGTTGAAGCGCTGCCCTGTCTCGAGAACGTGCGGCTGGTGCAACTCGCAGACCATCTCAACGTTGTCGCCGGGCATGATCTGCTTGTCCTTCTCAACACCCTCAGGCCAGGTGAGCGCGCACGACTCGTCGGCTGTGCGGATGAACATCTGTGGCCTGTAGTTCTCGCCGAAACCTGTGTGGCGACCGCCCTCGTCCTTGCTCAGGACATACATGGAGACGAGGAACTTCCTGTGCGCCTTGACCTTGCCGGGAACGGAGACGACCATGCCACGCCTGACGTCCTCACGCTTGACACCACGGAGAAGAAGACCGGAGTTGTCGCCTGCGCGGGACTCGTCGCAGGACTTCTTGAAGGTCTCGATGTCGGTGACCTTTGTCTTGATGGGCGTAGTGCCCTTGCCGACGAGCTCGACTTCAGAATCCTTCCTCAGGATACCACGCTCGACACGGCCAGAAACAACGGTACCACGTCCAGCGATGGAGAAGACATCCTCAATGGCCATGAGGAAAGGCTTCTCGGTTTCACGGATGGGGGTAGGGATCCAGGTGTCGACGGCCTCGAGAAGCTCATCGATCTTCTGCTCGCCAAGCTCTGGTCGGCGACCCTCGAGGGCGCACAGGGCAGAGCCCATGATAATGGGTGTCTCGTCGCCCTCGAATCCGTAGCTGCTGAGCAGCTCGCGCATCTCCATCTCGACAAGCTCCAACATCTCTGGGTCCTCAAGAGCGTCGACCTTGTTGACGAAGACGACAATCTTCTGGACACCGACCTGGCGGGCGAGCAGCAAATGCTCACGAGTCTGGGGCCTAGGATGCGTCAGATTTTGCCTCAAATTCAAGGCGTCTTTGGTATGGGGATACGCACATCTGACCATCCGAAGCAGCCACGACAATGATGGCACCGTCCATGTTGGCCGCACCCGTGATCATGTTCTTGATGTAATCGGCGTGACCAGGGCAGTCGACGTGGGCGTAGTGGCGGTTGTCGGTCGAGTACTCAATGTGGGCGGTCGCGATGGTGATACCACGCTTGCGCTCCTCGGGGGCCTTGTCGATGGAGCCATACTCGAGGAACTTTGCGTAGCCCTTCTCGGCCTGTCGCTTGGTGATGGCGGCTGTGAGGGTGGTCTATATGCGATCAGTCTCGATGGCGTGGCGGAGGGGTCGGGGGCGAAGGCGGCGCTGAAGTACCTTTCCGTGATCGACGTGGCCAATAGTTCCTGCACTGACTTAGACCGGCATTGTATACAGGAATATTGTGGTAACATACCGACGTTGACGTGGGGCTTGTCACGGGTGAAGGCCGCATAGTTCCTGACGCCGGTCACATATCTGCTGGTGCCCTGCAGACCGAGAGCATTCTGGACTGGGTTGACGCCCCGCTGGTACTGGAGAGCACTGCGTGATGTGCGCAGGAACACTCTTGAAAAGGCCGACATTATGGTATCAAGCAGAATGAGAGCAGGGCAATTGACGGAGGTGGAGGTGGCAGTTGTCGTCCGATGTCGAGGTCCAAATATTTCCTTAGCTCAAAATGATTCTCGCCCAATCACGTGTGCCCATGTCTAAGCTTCAATGTGGGAGTTTGCGACGCGATGCGGGCAGCAGTTTTGGATTGACTTTACATATCTCCAGACTTGCTCAGGCTTAAGTTTGACATTTACTGCTCTTCCTCGAGTTTAGTTCATCCCCCAGTGCCCCAAAACCATCCAGTCAGCAGATTGCGGACACCCGAGGTTCCTGTCGGCATAGCGCTCACAAAAGTTGCATCATCTTCGATCTCGACCTAGATAGCACACATGTCTCTCTGCGCATCCCTCAGACGGACAACAGCGCCGCTGAGCTGGGCCTCGCGGACACACACAGCAATTGCCATGCCGCTGCGCGCAAAAGTCACGAATCCCGCCTGGATGAGCGGGACAAGGAGGGTAATTGTACTCGACTCTGTGATTTCTCCAAGCAGCATCTGACGACTTCAGTATGCTACACCCACAGCAGACGTTCTCAAGGCGCAGCAAGACGACGACCCTGACGATGTCATCTTCACCAACAACTACGGCGTGCGCAGCATCGAGCTCAACCGTCCAAAAAAGCTCAACTCACTCAATGGCTCCATGGCCCGCAAGATCATCCCCCGGTTGCAGGAGTGGGCCAAGTCGGAAATGGCAGGTGTCGTCATCATCAAGGGTGCGGGTCGAGCCTTTTGCGCCGGAGGAGACGTCGCAGCACTCGCAAACTGGAACAGAGAAGGGCCTAAGGGACAGCAGAGGAGCTCGGATTACTTTGGACTGGAATACAAGCTGGATCATCTGATCGCCACATACACAAAGCCCTATGTCGCTTTCATGGACGGCATCACTATGGGTGGAGGCGTCGGACTATCCATCCACGCGCCCTTCCGAATCGCGACCGAGAACACCCTCTTCGCCATGCCCGAGACGACCATAGGCTTCTTCCCAGACGTAGGCGCATCTTTCTTTCTCCCCCGGATGGAGGGCTCGCTAGGCGTGTACCTCGCCCTCACCTCTGAGCAGCTCAAAGGTATCGACGCCTTCTACCACGGTGTCGCAACTCACTACATCCATTCCTCCACCCTCCAGCAACTAGAGTCCCGTCTCGCAGAATTGCAATTCCCCGACTATATGGAACTCAACGACCGCTTCAAGATCATAAACGCAACCATCGAAGAATACAGCACCGGTCTCCCCGCCGACAAGCCCACCATCTCTGGGGAACTCCGTAAGACAATCGACCGCGTATTCCACCAGGACCAACCAAACATCAAGGCTATTCTCACATCCCTCGAGCAAGTCCGCGACAACGCACCGACGCCCGAGCTGCAGACATGGGCCACCAAGACGCTCGACACGATCCAGACCCGCTCCCCCATCTCCGTCGCAGTCACTCTCCAGCAAATGCGCGTCGGTCGCCAATGGTCTATTGCCCAGACCTTCCAGAAAGAGTACGAAATCGCCTCGCAGTTCATGGCGCATCCCGATTTCGTCGAGGGCGTGACAGCGCGTCTCATCGAGCGCAAGAAGGAGCGTCCAAACTGGGCGCCCAACACTCTCGACGACGTCAAGGGGAGGGATGTTGATGAATTCTTCGTTGGTAGCGCTAGTGGACAGAGCTTGCCGCTCATCAGCGATGCCGATTACAACGAGTACCCACATGCATGGATTGGGCTGCCCAGGGACGATGAGATTCTCCGGGAGGCGGGCGGCAAGAAGAGCGAGGATGTTGTGGCGAGTTTGTTGGAGAAGTACGAGGGGAAGCAGGGCGTGAGGGAGAAGATCAAGGAGGTTCTGGATAGGTATGCTGCGTAGGCATAGCAAATATCTAGTCGTTGTCGCTGTGCTGTCACCAGCAGTGAGGTGTGGGCTGAAGCTATATGCATCATTTGTGAGCGGCATGTTGAAATGTGAAGTATACTAAGCCTATTCCCTTATCTTTCTTTTTACCACTATCTTACAACCTCGCCCTTCTGAACATCATACCCGAACCTCCCTTCATCATCTTTCTCACAAACAAAGCTATTTCTTCAACCCCTCATACCCAACCGACTCACTTCACTCCACCCCATCTCACACCACCGTATCACAGCAAGCTCGTCCCTCTCACTTAGAAAAAACATACACACTCCGCCTCATACACCCAGCCCAACAGCAACCCACCGTACAACACTTCTAGACTCTCGCCACACTGCACAGAGCAAGCTGGAATAAGTCCTAAAGCCCAGCAGCTACAACCTCATAAGATAACGAAAAGAAAAGCTCGACAAAACGTTACTAAAGCAATACCCGTGATGTAGTCCGAGCTATTGGTATGCCTGTTCTTCTCTGAGCAATGGGGATGGCTTGTCCATGTGGTGTCGATGCATATGACAGAAATGGTACGAACTAAATTAGTATGCTGTGTGGAAATGGGAAGCAGGGACGGTATGTATGCGAATGAACACTGTATGATGAGATGAAATGCGCTGGTAGAGGGTTGAGGGAGGTTGTGTGGAGTTCATTATTATACACACTGCTTTCCTAGCTGTGAAACAATTTGCAAATAGAGGGTATTGAAATGGATATACCTCAATCAACGCGCAGCAGGAGTGGTCGATCACTTTGGCATGTTCAACAGAGGGAAGGTCTAGAAGACATGTTAATCTTTTTGTTTGGCCTGGTGTATTCATTCTGCGTTGTTGTAGCTGTCGGGGTGGCTATCGGTACGATCATAACTATGATGACGGGATATTATTTATAGGAGACTGGAGACTTCGCTAAGTTGTGTACGTTGTGTGGAGGTAGGGGGAGAGGCGAAGCTGGGCGGAGAAGGATATGTTGGGCTGATGGATATTCTACAACGTTTATCCAAGACGTCCCACACTGTTGGTATGAAGCAGACCATGGACTGATTCAAATACAACTGCTCTCTAGGAGAGCAGAATAACTCGTACAGTTTTCTGATCGGATTCCAGGGTCGGCGAGCATCTTGTTGCCACATTGGAAGAATAATTAGAGTAGAGGTCGAATCGTCAGCGTCAGAAACACTAGGCCAACTGCTGTATACTGTGGTACCCCCTAAGTTCAAGCCATTCTCCACATTATGTGCAGATCTCTAGTTCATTAGAATTGGCGATTAGGACAGTGTTGGCCAACCCGTGAGCGTTCTGACGAGTACTTTGAAGTGGCGAATGGCTTGAACTTAGGGGGGTACCACAGTATGTGAGTCCGCGGACACAGGTGAGTGGGGTAGGCGCAGGAGCGTCGAAACAAGGGTGCGCGTCCATCATGCGGGTTGGTATGCAGTTTATCGCCACTTTATCCCGGCGTCAGTCAGGATAGTGCCTATTTTAGCGGGTGGTCCGCCTGACAGCGGACCAAGGAAGAGTGGCCCGAAGAACCAACCAAGGATCTTCAGTGAGATGACTAGGGATGCGATTGGAAGATTAGTAGAGTGATACGGTGCCATCACTTGATTCATCGGTGAGGTAAACCTGGTGAAACTGAACGATCTAGGGCCTTGGATGAAGGTGGATTGCACCCATGTGAGGATCGTACAGAAGTACATGGTGGAGATGTTCATCAACTTCCGAGATTAAGCCAACTGACTAGTTTTTCTGGATAGCCTTTACTGTCCCAACCTACAATATCGTCTTGTGTCGCATTGTGAGCTAGGACATGCAACTCTTACTCTCTTGGGACCTGAATTTCTTCCGTGTGCCCTCTTTAGTGCTGACTCCACTAACATCCGCACAGCATCAACGTTCTTGATGTTGAACTTTGTAGGATTTCTTGCATTCGTGCCGCACTGTTCCTTGGATTGCAGCCTGTCGAATCATGGAACGATCTGCACATCTCGAGAGCGAAACCTTATTTCTAGTCTGTGACAAAGAACTCCACTAGAGCGTACTTTAACGCACGCTCTATTCACCTTTGGGTATTATGCATATTCATGTACAGCCTTCGGGCCTTCAACCCCATGATAGCCTCCAAGACAAGTACGCGAGGTTGCGTGTTGTGGACCATCGTTCGCGGTGGACGGGACGTCCCGTTGTACCCGGGATCCACAGGCCCGAGTAGTAAGATGTTCAAAGCACATTCTCATTGATGCGTAGCTCAATGCTTGTTGAAGCCCGCGATTAGTGATCCACAGTGTCGTGTGGTCAGAAATGCACAAGGGCGAGAAAAGGTGCATTCGGAATTTGGGAATGGTACAGGGTTGGCTCTTCGAGACCCAAATAGTCTATGCACAATTCTGTACGACAAACGCCTTGTTGTCTTTCTTTTGCAAACTCGTGTGTATACGGTGCTAGTGTTGGCGTGGTATTTGAGTGAATAAGGCATAGCGTGGTTCCACCCTGGTAATCTTGTACCCTTGTTCCCTGGTACGAACAGATTGTCACATCAGATCACACCTCGCATTCGCTTTCTCTCTCAAGCAACCGGATCAACACAACCACTTCGCGTCCCAGCCCGCAGATACTTTCGGCCTATCCCGAGGGTGAAAGCTCATCCCTGAACTATTGCATCGGGTGCGCTGGACCTTCGAGCGACCTTAGCACCTCCAATGCCACGGCTGGGCCACAAAAAGTACGTAAAGCTACAACGGTATCCCCGCTTCCGCCGAGACATTTCTTTCGCATACCGCAACAACCAAAAGCATCATACTCTGATTCAGACTTGGTGTCCTCATTAAACTTACAAGCAAATTTAACCCTTGCTTTTTAGGTCAAGATTAGGCTGTAGACAATGTAAGGCCCGTCACGTGAAGGTTTGTTACTCCACCATGCTGCAATCGTCTCATCTACAAGTCCGATTTTTGTCGGAGTTAAGTGCTGATTCAGAACAGTGTGACGAGAACAAGCCATGTTCGAACTGCACCCGCCATGGCGTATCGTGTAGTCTCATGTCGTGGGACCCCAATACTTCTCACACCCCAACCTCTTCGGCAAGCGGAAGTGGTGCAATAGAGCGTGAGAAGAAACCATTGGTCGAGAGGTCTGGATCTGTAAGCTTCTCTTTCGGAAATAGTTGAATATTACTAACAGGTGAACAGAAATCTTCGTCGGTACCCTCGCCTTCGCTGCTGATCGACCATGTTCTTAACCCACCTGCCATACCTCGTGAAGACGAAAACTCAGAGACGAGTTCACCAAGATCGGACCAATATCCTTTCCTTACCAAGTTTTTATACAACCTCAACGTTGTCGAACCAGACCTGTGGGTGCGTGACATGGAGCTAATGTACGTTTATCAAAGATTGTTGAAAGCCGTATCTAATACCGCTTAGGCATCACTGGACCGTTGAAACATTCGATGGATTATCACAGCAGGAGGATATGCGTCACACTTGGAGAGTTGAAGCCCCAAGACAAGCGGTCAACCATTTATTTCTAATGCACGAGATGTTGGCCTTTGCAGCATTCCACAAGGCTTACCAACAACCCGACAGGCAGCATGACTACTACACTATCGGAACTCATCATCAGGATCGTGCAATCAAGGGTATACGGTTGAGACTTGCGAACATTACTCGACAGGAAGCCGCGGCTGTAGTCGCCACCTCTACGTTGCTTACGTTGAGTATCTTCGCCTCATCTGGCCTCGAGGCCAAACATCATGCAACTGATGGCACATGGTCTGCCATTGACAACATCTTGAATATATTTTCCGTCATGCAAGGCATGGGGAGTGTGTTGGCATTGGCACGTGTTCACGTCCTGGACTCCTGGCTTGGGCCGATGTTCAAAAGCCCTCTTGAGCCTACTCCTTCCCAGCCCATGGTGCAAGGGATCATCGACCATATCCCCACGCTGACGGCCTTCATTGAATCCAAACCCGATCTCTCGGACAAAGAGCGGAAAGAATATCTTGATGTGATTGGATACCTGAAATCAGTACTCTATCTGGCAATGCCCCCTTGTCTAGATTATCGAGAGCTGAGGTTCTTGTTTTACTGGCCGTTATATCTAGGACCGGATTTCATGACGTTCCTTCGGGAGAAGCGTTCAGGTGCACTTGTACTCCTGATGTACTATGCCACTATGTTGTTCGCGGCTGGAACACAGCACTGGTTCATCGACGATTGGGGTCATCGACTCATGACAGCCTGTCATGAGGAAGTCGAACGTGATTGGCTACCGGCAGTACAATGGCCAATGGCTTTTCTTAACCTTACCCCGACCTGGAATCTAATCTCACGCGAAACACCTCATGAACAGTCTCCTGGCTTAACAGCAGCTCAGACACATGAGCAAGAAGCAAGTGCTTCACCGTATTCACAGCAGGCGCCACGCGAAATTTCATATCGACAGTCCGGTTATACACCTCTTACATCGCACGAACGAGAGCTAGATCCACATGCACCATGGTACATACGTTCAACGGCCAATGCAAAGCCTACGCCAGCTGCCACATTACCTCAAGAGTCGCAGAAGAGCGCCGTGTCGGGTGCCGGTTATGTTGCTCCTCCTGCAGAAGATGCCGGCTAAGAACAATTTCTGGAATCGGTTCTGCTCCTACTTACCTTGTGCTAGTCATGCCGTAATTTGTGGCGCATTTGACAATGGAACCCATGGAGATATCCTCCAATCCATTCTACCCTCACGGACGGACACGGTTACCATCTGGAAAACCAAATGATCTACAGGGTGGTTCTTCGGTGGCAGAACCGTTCGAGTGCACGCATTGATACCGGCTGTACAGCTTGGTAGATCACCTCCAAGGTGGCAAATGTTTGCCGTGGCACAGTTGCATCGAGATTCCAACGCATTCTGACAGGGGTTCATAAATAGAGCCTACCGGTACTCTTCGTCCTGGGAGGTGAAGCCTTGAGTCTATCTACTCCTTGCGAATAACCTCGAAATACCTTTGCTAGGAATGGACTTAGCACCTATAAGGTCTTCCCACGCAAATTGTACAAGACAACGCGTCGAGGGTCGCATGGAAGGACTGCATGGCCCACGGAAGGTTTAAGTACACAGTAGAACACACGTTACAACCGTCAACCTTTTGCATATCAGTAATCGAATTCCTTTGTTCGATTCATACACTAGTGACGGACACACGGCTCTTCTTCCGCTCTATCCAGCCCCCATCTCTTTTGTGCCGTGTCCTGGCATGCATGATGAATCTTATCCAACGACTAAACTGGGTTCATGCATGGTCTCAATTGCCAAGACTCGACCAGAAATAAGCACGTACTCGGGATTCGTTGCTAGGAACACAGCGCTAGAGAATGGGTACCTTGGCTGATTGATCAACGCTACCAAGGGCACGAGCAGCGAGTCATGCTAAACGCGTAATGCAAGTAAGAGGACCTGACACGGGGGGCTGAAAATTAGTCTCTCGGGAGCTAAACATGTGCCCAGTGCACCTGCTTATGATGCGGGAGAATGTGAGGAAGCAATGCTCAGCCGTGTAACGGTCCGATTGCGCAACTCACAAGCACCGGCTCAATGTCAGAAAACGTGGTAGCGTGATAGCTTATTGTAGCGAGCGTATTAGGTGGGTATCATTCGATCGAGCATCACGCCTTGTCCCAAAAGCTTCTAGAGAGAAGCATGTGTGTGCACCAAATCCCATCGCTGATATCAGCCACGAGGATGAGAAAGCCATAAAAAGACACGTTCCTCATTCGTAAATCCATCAGACTGTGCTCCGGCTCAACTTTTCCTCACCTCCTCAACAGGGGACATGGGTCGATCATCTGCGCTCATCGTTTCCCAGCGCTCAAGTTCCTCGGGCGTTGGCTGAGAGACAGCTGTGCTGTCGCTCTGAACCGTGACGTCGCTCAATCCTCTGTTATGCGAGGGCCGGCGGTCCAATTCATGATGAGGTTGAGACTCGCTACCCTCAACTGTAGCCTCGCCAGGTTCAGCGGCTTGCTTCAGCTCTTCAGAACTTTTGCCTGATTTGGTTTCCTGCCTACTCTCTGCCAGTATGCCATCGATGTTGCTTGAGAGCGAAACATTGCTAGGTCCTCGACTGTGCTTTAGGTCTTGAACTGGACCCACATTATCGAGTTGACGTATGGAGACGGGAAGCTTGATTCCATCTCCAGGTAGTTCCGCTATTGGAGTTCTTGGAGTGTTTTGACCTGACGACTCTCTATCTCTCTGCGCGCCGCGCCGGCGTACCCTACTGCCAGCAGCGAAGTAGTCGTAGCCATCTCTACCTCCTTCATTTCCCGGCAGTGGACTATAGAGCTCCGAAGGAGGACTTTCCGGAGACAGCTCACTGATAGGCGGAATTAACTTGTGATCGCTACCGTAGTAGCCTCCCATTGAGGGTTTCGGCGAATGAGGAACATCCGAACCCGTAAGCTCTGAAACATTTCGGCGCCTGAACTGATTGCCTGCAGCCGTTGTATCAATTTCAGAGGTAGCAACATTTTGCTGTAGTCTCTCCTGCCTTGTGTTTCTTTTCTTCTTCCAAAAGAAGAAAGCGCCGAGCCCTGCGAGCAAGAAAACCAGAACAACGCCTACTACAATGCCAGCAATTGCGCCTGGAGACATTCCATCGTTCGAATTATGGGGAGTTGGCAATACTGTAGGTAGAACAAATGTCTTGTTGAAGATAGTTTCGAGCTCTTCGTCCGGCATGGGCTGAGAGAAACGAGCTGGTGCAACAGTGAAGTTGGCGCGTTCGTAATCGACAATGATGTAAGCCTCTTGGAGGAATGTGCGGCCTAGGATGTTGACGTTGTTCTCTGACCTCTTGATAGGAAAGTAATTGCGCGCGTCTTCGTATATGGGAAAGCTAGCCTGGAGATCGAAGGCTGCGTATGGGAGAGTTATGGTGGCAAATTCGGCGCTGTCCATCGGAGCGTCTGCGATCTTGAAAGACACTGTAGCGTTTTTTTGAATGTTTGAGTTGTGTGCGGTTGAATTGACTGTGTACAGGTTGGTGTCATTGTTATACTCCAGCCCGAACTCCTCTTTGAATTTGTCGCAGATATTGACTGGAAGCATCAAATATGGGAGAGTTGAGTCGATGGTTGCTTTGAATGCTTCCTGGGTGAAAGATAAAGTGTTTACCTCAACATCTCGATCGGGCTCATACATGATGGATATAACGTCAACGATGAGTGCATTGTCTTTCTCATTAGCCATACTGATAGACGTGCCTTGTCGTGTTAATCGTGATTTGTCGTAGCCTCCAAGAACCAGGTTGCCTAGAACACCTTTTCCGTTGTTTCCTTGGATAGTCAGCCCCCGTCACATGTGTAGATCCAAGGTGAAAGTGCCGAGTTAAAGTTGGATGGATCAACGTCCATAACAGAGTTTGTGAACGTATGCGACGGTAGTGATCGAGTATGCGATAAGAGATTACTTACTGTAGTGGGCACCTGCCGTGTAACCATATGAGCTACTTGCGATTTGATTAGAATTGGCGAATTCGCTCAGGAAGGTTGGCTTGCTCCCACCATTTGGGCCGACCTCTCCCACTGTCAGTCCAAAGGAGCCCAAGAAGAAATCCTCGAATATGTACTTGACAACATATCGTTCAGCAAGGATCAAACTCTCTTTCGAACTAAGACCAAGTCCTACGTTGTCCAGTCCCCAATTTCCGGCGAGGGAGTCGTTCGACCACGAATCAGTGTCGGGGATGACATATGTGCCAGCCTTTTGCCAGTACTGCGAGTCTTCCGCGCCTAGCGGTTGCTGGTTGTTATAGAGAAGGATTCCTCGGTCTTTTGCGCAGTCATTGTTGCACCAGTCCGTTTGCTGAGGCACCAGAGTCAGTGGAGAAGATGTCGAAATAAGGACCTTGAAGTTCTGCCCGTTGCCGTCGTTGTCTGAGCCGATGTTGATTAAGAACGTTGACCATTTTCCGTCATTGCCATCAAACGACCCACTTGGACTCACAACAACTGGCTTCGGTGGCAGTTGAATTGTCGCGTTTGTATCGGCACGCTTACTGAAGTACATGACGAAATTTGAGCATGCTGTGAGGAGGAGAGACAACGCAAAACGTTCAAGCGGTAAAAAGAATCTACAAATAGGAATGGGCGCTGTCGATAAAGCAAGCTAAATCAATCCTGGATCAACCTGTGGATTCTGAGGACAACTTGAGCCGTTACGACAGGCAGGCAAGCCGTGGCTTGAGTAGACGGGAGTCTTCCAACAAGATGGGGGCCATCGTCAACCGGCTGCTCCAGGCTATTCGCCTAGGAGCTTTATTTTAAGCATTCTCAGTTCCAGGGACGGGACATGTTATCGTTTGAACGCCACCGAGCAATGCATAAACACCTGCAGGAATATCGACGAACCACACGACCACGTCTGACCGGTGAAGATGTAGTAGCCGGTAGGGCGTCGCCTATTGGGGGATAATTGAAGGCGATCAAAACACGGCAGGATTACTGGGGCGTAGCACCTGGTGGCGCATCTCGATGATGGGATGTATATTATTGGGGTTGCAGAACTGCCCAGACGATCGATAGTGCTGTTGTATCTTACTCAGCAACAAGAAAACGGCATTTAGCCGCTAAGCGGCTCGATTCGTGTTAGTCTCCAATCTAGTACTCACACTTATACCGTTCATCGAAACGACAACTACACAGTGGTGTGTAGATGATGAGCCGTTGTTGCATTCTGACAGCTCAGCTAGATGACTTGCAGCTGTACCGACACTGTTCAACCTAGGGCAACCCTTACACTTCCACCACATCTTCCAGTCCCCACCCCTGGAGGACCATGCAGGCGTGCCACACACCCTTGGAAATCCGACAAAACATGCGTCTGTTGACAATGACAGGATGCAGTGCTCTAGCCCATGACATGCAGCTCGCTAGCTGGATCTGACGTTTGTGTTGTCCGTGCCAGCAATCGTTGCGGATGGGCTTCACGGATGATCATCTAACGTTTTGTTCCGAGGGTCTTACGACTGTCCGGCTCTGTTTGTTCGCAGAGCAAGATGCAAATCCTATATATCTCACTTATCTCGAAGTTACTGATTTACTCTTTTTCATTACCTTGTCTCGCATTTCGATACGAGTCATACCATCGACAGTATACATATTACGCTCAGGTCATGGTAAGACCTTTTGTACTACCTGGTCACTGTGGCTATGCCTGAGTGGCCAGGTCTTTTTCTTCCTGCATAACCCCTGTCTAGACCATTATGTTGACTATCCCTGGGGAACGAGATTATTGGAGAAGCACGAAAAAGTCCAGCCCCGTCAGCCCGATACTTGACTGTAGTATAGATGAACTCGGCCTTCTATTCATGTCTTCGTCTTATAGTTCATTGGTATTGCCAATCCACCTTTCTAGGTTTCCTGCCTAGAGCTTCACTCTCCCGCCTTGTGGTTTCTTGCAAGGCATATGATGTTTATTCAGTAATCCCTTCATCGGTTATTTGGACTTTCCGGTTGATTTGAACTATCCTGACTCCTTCAATTCCCTGCAGCTCTGCTTCACTGGGCTCAGCGCTCTTAGTGTACCGCATGTACCTGCATACAAGATCCCCCTCGCAGCTACATCGTAGCCGCCACGCAGAGTGCTGACTCGCGAAGCCTTAGGCTGTATATCATTCGTTCGGCCAGCATATCAGTCGCTCCTTTTCAAGATGCGCAACTTCTTCCTTCTTTTGGTCATGGCTGGTATCACCATTGCGCAGAACAACAGTACTGTTCTCGCGTTGAGTCAACGAACTAAGCCTGCGCCATCTCCATCGCCCACATCGGAAGATAATCCGTATGAGATCCAAGGAGGGGGAGGAAAAGACAAGACCTGCCACACTGTCATTACCAAGCCCACCGAAACCATCACATCTACGTGCTACGAGACGATATACAAATCTTTGACAACTACGTTGACGTTGTGGAAAACGACAGTAAACAGACTCCAGTGTCCTTTGAGTAGTGAGCACGAATGCTGATAACCGCAGAACGACATCAGGACCGTCACTAATGTTCAAAATTCTACCATCGTAGAGAAAACCACACAAACAAAGGTATGGCGTCGAGCTACGCCGTCCGTTGTAGACGATGCTGATTGCTGAAGACTCATACTGACACTGTTGTCTCGACGTCAGTATCAACGTCAACAACCACGACTGAAGTCAAAATACCTGTCACCTTCAACGTAACCCAAACCACAGTATGTATGAAGGTTGATCCAAACTCGGTCATGTCGTATGCTCACAAGTGACCAGACCTCTGCTTTCACACAAACTTTGACATCAGTTTCGACGACCACTGAGGAAGTGAAAATCCCTGTCACTTTGAACATAACTCAGACAACGGTATGGAATTTGCGTTCTTCTTCCTTTGTTCAAGTAACATACTCACTACGATTAGACATCTACGACAACAGAGAAAACCGAAGTCCCTGGTCCAACCATCACATTCAACACCACGGTGACTCAACTTCTTGGGGTCCCTGTCACGATCAACAACACTATTACATCGCTGGTAGAAGTTCCGGGGCCAACTGTCACGTTGAGTACCACAATAACTCATCCGATCGAAATCCCAGGGCCAACTATCACTTTGAACAATACCATAACTCAACCAGTCGAAGTTCCAGGACCTACTATCACCTTGAACAATACCGTTACTGTGCCACTCGAAGTTCCGGGGCCTACGGTCACCTTTGACGAAACGATCACTCGGTCCGTCGAAGTTCCAGGATCGACTGTCACCATCAACAACACGGTAACGGAGTCGATCGAAGTACTAGGACCCACAGTTACGCTCAACAACACCATCACAGAGTACACAACTTCCGTAAGTTCTCCATACATTATCTGTATGCATTCGCTAATATTCCAGACCTACACTTTGACTGCCATTTCTGTAAGTCTCATCTTCAGATTTCATTCACCTACCTCCTAGATTCTCTCATTCCTTTGGTACATTGCTGATATGTATTCCAGCTTGTTCCCACCACTGAAGTAAGTACACTCCATACAACTGACGTCAGTACCTTCCGTACGACGGACGTGAGCACCTTCCGTACGACGGACGTGAGCACCTTGCGTACAACAGACTGGAGTACATATACGAGTACTTACATCACAACCACAACATACAATGTAAGCTGGGCGTTGGGCCGAACGCTATGTGAGAGTTATACTGAATAATCTAGGTTTCTTACACGGAATATATCACGGAATTTATCCCAGTCACAATAACTCGTAAGTTGATCGCCGTGAGACCGACAGCAAGGCAGCTAATGCTGAATAGTGCCTGCTTCGACCATTACGTCTTGGAGCACATCAATTGTTGAGGTTGTACGAACAACTGTTTCCACAGAAACGCTATTAGTGACGCGGACACTCCAAACGCCAGGCCCTACCGCGACCATCGAGATTCCAGGACCTACTCAGACGTTCGAACGGACGGAAACCTTTGACCGAACACGTACCCTCGAGCGTACACAAACACTCGAACGCACGCAAACAATTGAACGAACCCAAACCTTCGAGGAGACACAAACACTTGAGCGTACACAAACCCTCGAACGGACCCTCACTCTGACGATCGACCAGACGGTCACCTCGACGTCTCTGAGCATAGCCACGCAAATATCCACAATAGTTTTGCCCCCTCAGACAGTTGCTACGACCATAACAGCACCCGGATCAACTCAGGTAATAACAACACAGATGCCCCCAGTAACGAATGTGGTTACTCGAACTTCCTGGTCGACGCTGCCTCAAGTTACTGCAACCTCTATCAGCATTGCCCCCCCACAAACTATTGTGTCGACTTTGACGTTGTCGCCCAGCACTATCTTCTCGACCATCAGCCTCCCGGGTGTGACTTCCATCATAACCACACAATTGCCAGCTAGTACCGTGATTTCAACAGTCGTATCATCTGGAAGTACAGAGACAACAACAATTCAATTTCCAGCAAGCACAATATTTTCTACCATCAGTCTACCCGGCACTACTCAAGTTATCACCACACAATTGCCAGTCAGTACTGTGCTCTCAACAATCACGATTCCTGGGGGTGTTCAAACCATAACTACCCAACTGCCGGCTAGTACTGTCTCCACGACGTTGCTATCGACCATCACACTGCCGGGAGAGCTGGTCGCTAGCACGTTGACTCTTCCGCCTTTGACACAAATCATCACATCTCAAATTCCAGCTAGTACCATACTTTCAACAATCCTCTCCACAGCATTGTTGACCGTTACGGAAATTGTTCCTACGACTATCTTCCGAACGATAATTTCAGGCCCAAGCTCAGCGGTATCCTCAAGTTCGAGTTCAGCAGCAACGTCGAGTCTTGTTTTGAGTTCAGAAATATCATTAAATCCAAGTTCGACTGCAATTCCAAGCTTGAGTCCTACAATAACTCCAAGCCCCAGTGTAACCCCCACCGCGGTAATTTCCTGCACATCAAACTGCCAGATTGATGTAACAGCCACGGAATTGGCCTATCCCGGTATCGTGGTCGTTACTACAGAGTTTTTGCCTGTTGTGACTTTGGATGTATTTACGGATACAGCTGGGAATACTGTCAGAACCTCACTTTACACCGAGACACTGCCGCCTCCCGAACAGACATTAACCTGGGAATTTGAAGGCGTTACATTGACCTACCCGACTATTTACGCTGCGTATGCGACTTTCAGTCATATATCCGTTGAGCCAATTGGGTCTGTATGTGTCAGCGAAACACGCACTCTGACATTACCATCGCCGACGAGCTACACGCGCCTGATTGTTCCTGAAGCCGATATTCCCAATACTTCGCTGGTTCCCCCTACTGTAGTCGCGTACCTCAACAGTCTGCCCACTGTTCTGGCGCAGCTTGGTCAACCGATCGGTCCGAGTGCTTGTGACCCTATCGTCCCAACCAGAGTATCATCGAGCACTTTATCACTTGGTAGCGTTACGTCTGTCTTGACGACAATGGATATTGGAGCCACCAAGACCCGCAGGCTCCCAGTTCCTGTCGGATCTCTTGTCAATCCCACACTCACTGAGGTGACTGAGAATCCTGCTCCCACATCTACAAAAGTACCCCAGCCGCCACCGGCGTCGAGTGCACCACCACCTCCACCTCCATCCTCAAGCGTTAATCTCGCTCCTCCTCCTAGCGCAGCCCCAGGACCCAGCAGCGAGACCTCTGTCCAAACGAGTATCCCCGTACCTCCTCCTACGAGTGATGCGATTGATTCTAGTTCCGCAGCTCCACCCTCGCCTCCTGTTCCCTCTGTGCCCTCGCCATCTTCCGTGACATCTCCTCTTCCAGGTAGTTCCCAGGAGGTCAGCACGTCCGAGATTAGGACATCGCAGATCAGCGGCTCCCAAGTTGGCACATCTGAGCTCAGCACCTCCGATAATGGAGCACTGTCCTCCACTACACCTCTTCTGCCACAATCCTCGCGATCCACGCCAACGAGAGTAACAGAGACCTTGGATGGCACATCTATAATTCCCCAATCGCTATCGAGGTCGAGCATTAGGTCGAGCGCATCCGAGTTCGCCGGTGCCGCGGCGCTTCCAACAGGGAGTTTTGGGGGCTGGCTGCTCGGTGCGGCGGGCGTTGGCTTCGGTCTGTTATGATAGATTCTTTTTTGTATGAATAGCCTTTGTCTTGAGGTTTATGCGATGATAATTGCATTGATGTATGCATGTGTAATGTGTTGATCGGTCAATGGTCGTTTTTGACGTGATTGTTCGATCGCACTGTCTCTTGTGACGTTGTAGGCATCCACATGCGAATCTAGTCCTACCTGTCATTTACTCTTGTGCCTGTTACGCAGTGTCTCTGCAAATTGTGTTTGGGTTTAAACTCAATGTTGAGACGAGCGTGTAAACTCGACGTCAAGACAAGCTCTTTGCGGCCCGAATGGCATATTGTCAAATAACGGTGACAACATGCCTCAGATACCACCAGAAAGACCGAGACGAAAACAATGTTGAGAGTTATGGATGTGTCGCCCAACTGTTTCCGAATCACTTCTTTGTACAAGGATCAATGTGAGATGTGGGGACGTCGAAAGATGTGAATAGCAGTAGGAGCAAGTCAAACTGTATTGTGTTGTCGCGTAAATTACCACTCTTTATGAAACTCTCATGAAAGGTGAGGGAATGGTCGTTGGCCTCGACAGCATAACAGGGCCATGCGTTGTGAACCCTGACTCGTGTGACAGCCCAGTTTATGTTCGAAGGGTGACCTTGTCGTACGTCGATCATCTTCGATCCCGCATTAAGCGCACATCGTTGTCCCCGGTTAAAGCCCTCGCCTAAGGTCCCACCTGATCTTCAGCTATGGTTGTTCTGTTCTGTAAGGGTGTATTGGCGTTCTGAAGGAAATCCCAACGGGTGGTCCAACTCGGAAAGCGGTGTGCTTGCAGTATCCGCGGTCCTAGAACACAGCCTATCATAATGCCTACAGAAAAGTCGATGATGCGCAACGGAGGGTGGGGCTTGCTCACGTTGCTCTAACGCAGCAGAGCCTCGTAGCGAGTTGATAGGTACCGGTAAAGCCTGCCTTCCGAAGCTTCGATCAGCTCATGTGTAACAAATCTTAACAGGTGCCAAAGCTTGCATGGAGAATTGAACTTCCATGTAACACTTTTAACATGTTTCCATCGGACGTATTCTCCAATCTGCACTGGCTGCCCCGCGGCGAAAGGCTAGTCCATCTCACAACAGACATTTTCATCTAGCAGTAGTAAGAACCAAGGTGTGAGGCATATGTTCGTCTTCTTGTGTAGCAATGTCTTGGTCCTGAGCGCATGACCACTGGGCAGCAAGGCTTTCGGAACGGCGGGAGAGCGCCACGCCATCACAGACCAGGGATACGTGAGTATAGCGAATCAGATAGCATGTCGGAACGAAAGAGGCGTTAAAAAGAAGATGGACGGCGTCATAGTGACTACGGAGACGTGTCCAGCGGCAAGGGATACGTAGTGTTTCCACTAGCCACAGACTAGCCACAGCTTATTGAGAGGAGCTTGCCGATAAACCTTGCTCGTCGCAAGGCTCTGCAGCAGGTAGGCGAATGCAGTGTAGAGATGTCAAATGAGATCAGATCGCAGTGAGAACACCACTAGAGGCGTTTGGAGAAGACAGTATTTCGAGCGTCCCCATCACGTTGTGTCAGCGAGGTCCCAAACGTGCATGACGCACAAGAATCAAGAATCCCAGCCGATGATCACCAACCTCAGGCGTTGGGCATCCAGCGGGAAACCGAAACCTCTTTTCGGCATAACTAGTCCTACGTTGGTGAAGGCGACCATAAACGGGCGAGCAGAGGCGCATCATTAGGGCAATCGATCGATGGTGCGAATCATCGTTTTGCCCGGTTCGCAAGGTCAAAGCAAGCAAGACAAACGGGGTCTAGATTTTCGCGGGCGACGCGGAGATGACGTAGGGTGCAACTTCCTACTTTACTGAGCCCCTCATGCCACGGCAACTACCTCCCACCACAACTAATAAAGCCCGTCTGCCCTCCCTCGCCTCACCCGCATCAACCAAATACCCAAACATTGCGCAATCATTGTTCTATCCAAGCGTCTGTTTATTTGATACCCCTCCTTGATACCCACAGACGCAAACACAGCGTCTGACGACATTACATCATGGTCTCTTCAACAGCAGTCAACCGTACGTGCCCCTCATATGGAACTTTGAGTGATCACTACTAACATTTACAGGACCGGTGGACCTGAAGCAAAAGGAGGCCGATGTCAACAACAAGCTCCAGCTGTTCGGCATCTTCCAAGGTATGTGCACACACGATGATGTATCTCAATCTTCGTGCTCCGTGTGGCATGTCAACAAGTGTTAACTGTAGTCCAGCGTTCTCAAACGGCAAGGTCCCATCTAACAAGCAGATTGACATTGCGCTCAACACCGCCATTTCACACAAGGCTCTTGGTACGCCATCAAAGAAGCTCTCTAGCGAGGGCCAGACCCTTGTCCATGACCTGAGGAGAGTCATCGAGCAGGCCAAGATCTTGCTGTTGACTAAGAACGAGGGCAATCTCCTCCAGGACTTCATCTGGCAAGCCGAACAGATCAGTGGTGGCAACGCTTCTCTACCCAACGCACCTGTCGACAAGGATTCGGCTCGTCGTGAGGGCAATGAGGCGCTCCAAGGGTTCCGTACCTTGGGTACGCTCATCCTCTCCAACGGTCAATTCCGGAAACTCCTCTCGGATGCTTCGGTCCTATTGCGAGATATCGCTGGCGATGCCGCGCAGAACACAGCCAACAAGGTCAAGCCCTCGGAAGACCGACTCAACCGCTTGGACGAGCCCGCTGAGGACAACACCTGGCATGATGTCCCCAGCAGGGGTGATCTCCGAGACAGGGCGAAGCAAAATCTGCCCAACATCGGAAAGCAGGATATGAAGAGGGCTGCCGGCGACGTCAACCAGGCTGCGTCGGGCTCTCGTGATCCTCGTGATACAGCGGAGCGTGCGGGCCATGAGGGACGAACCGGCGATTCCACTGGTATGGATGCTCGCTCAGGCGCCCACGAGGCTAAGCAAAAGCTCCGAGAGAACATCCCGGAAGAAAACAAGGAGCAAGCTCGTGCTCGCAAGGACCAGCTGAGCAACTACCTGGGTAAGAAGATGCCCGAAGAGCGCCGTGATCAGACCATCTGGCGTCTCAAGAAGATGGTTGTCGAGATCCAGGGACACCAGGACTACCAACAAGCTATCGAGACTCTCCTTACTCTCGCCGAGAAGTATGCCAACCACGGCAAGAACGTTGGCCAACAGGGCATGGGATCCGTTCAAGGTGCGCATCAGGACGATTCGCTCCGAATCGCTGAAGCTGATCTGAAGGTATGTGACAGGATTCTATTCCGAAAATGAACATTGGCTGACAAACATCAAGACCTTGTTGGAGCGATTTGCCAACAGCACCTCGTTCGATGACCTCATTGAGTCCATCGGCGACATCTACAAGGCTGCTGACCGGGATCCCGAGCTCAGGCGCTGGTTCACGCGCCTAGATTCTTTCATTCGCAGGTCTCTCCAGCGACAAGGCTTCATCTTGGAGGATCAGTGGAATGAAGAGTGGAGCAGTATTTATGACGAGGGCCACAACCTGCTTCGCGGCCGCTACCGTGGTCTCACTGACCGCGTTACCGACGAGTTCCAGTACATTGGCGAGCAATTCGACGCAGATGAGCAGAACACTGCTTTCGCCAACTCCGTCAACAAGCTCTTCGCCGATCTTGGTCAAGATGAGAACGGCCAGACCACCTTCAAGCCCCACCTCTTGAAGGATGTCACCGAAGTCATTCTTCCAGGGTTCTTCGAGAGCGTTCAGTACATCCCTATCCCACGTATTGAGTACAGCGACAACATGGTCGACGCTATTGTTGAGAACCTTGTCATTGAGGGTGACAACCTTACTCCCAACTCCATCGAGTTTGGCTCGGACAACTTCTGGCGCTGGGGCCGCAAGACAGTTTCAAGCACGAGCAAGAACAAGATGATGCTCTCTGTGTCTGGTGTGCAGATGGACCTGAGGGATGTCTCGTACTATGTCAAGCGTAAGCAGGGTTTCCCCTCCATCACTGATATGGGTGTCATGGACATCTTTATGGGTGGTTCCGGATTCAGCTTCAAGGTTGAGATGGAGACTGCCGACAGGGCTCGTGAAAACCACGCACAGACCCACTTCTTCAAGGTCACCAAGGTTGATACCGATGTCAGCAATCTGTCCGTCAAGATCAAGAAGAGCAACCACAAGCTCCTCTTCAGCATGTTCAAGCCCTTGCTCCTCAAGGTTATGCGCCCCGTCATCCAGCGCGTATTGGAGAAGCAGATTAAGGACTCCGTCAACCAGCTTGATGGTATGCTTTACGACGTCAAGGTTGAGGCCGATCGCGCTGAGGCTGAGGCCAAGCGTAACCCTGACCCTCAGAACCTCCAAAACATGTACCAGCGATACGCTTCTGCTGTCCAGAAGCGCGTCATGCAGGGCAAGCAGAAGAAGGAGCAGATGAAGGAGAAGACCAAGGATACCCAGGTCAATGTGGCCATGACCCAACACGACTCCATGTTCAAGAACATCTCGCTGCCTGGTGGCATCTCTACCAAGGCTACCGAGTACAAGGAGCTCGCGGCGAAGGGTGATAAGTGGGAGAGCCCCATCTTCTCCATCGGCTCGGGCAGGGAATCGTCAAGTTTGCCCAAGCTTGCTCACGTCTCTCGCAAGCCCCACGGACGCGCTGGAGGCTACGGTCCCCGTCCTGATCAGCAAGGCTCTTCCGGCGTTGGAAACAACCAGTATGACAACACCAGCCGTGGTCAGTACGATGATACCAGCCGTGGCCAGTACGACGATACTAGCCGTGGGCAATATGATGGCACCAGCCAAGGCTACGGTTCCCACCCTAGCGAACTCAGCGGTACCAACCAAGGCCTCGGTGGAATCGGTAGCACTGGCCAGGGTCTTGGTGGATCTGGTCTCCCTGGCACTCATCACTCTGGCCAGGGCCTCACTGGCCAAGGTCTTGACGGTCAGGGTTACGGCGGACAGGGTGTTACTGGTCATGATTACGCTGGTCAGGGACTTACCGGCCAAGGATACGGCCAAGGCCAGGGTCTTACCGGTCAGGGACTCACTGGTCAGGGACATGCTGGACAGGGTCTTGCTGGTCAGATGGACCACGCATTCAACCCTAACACCCCCGGCGGCATTGGCGGTACCACTGGTTCCACTGGCCTTCCTGGCGCTACTGGCACTTCTCCTACTCAGGGCACAGGGCACTACAACACTGCATTTGGCGACCAGAACCCGGTATTCCAAGGCCGTGTCTAGATTCTCTCCGACTGTGATTTTGGGAAGGAAGATGGCGGATCATGATTACGACTTTTCTTCATTGCTTCATATCTCTTGAACCTGGATGATACCACGACTGCGCGTGACGCATAAAGACACGGTAAAGAGTTTTCTTTTTTTTTTAGCGGGTAATGGGACTGTAATGCGGAGGATTTGGGCGGACGGGTGATGGTTGTCAATTGATGGCACTACCGCTCAGTCAAATACAAAAGAATGTTCATTAGTATTGTTTTTGATAACTTGCACTGTGATGTTTTCGTGTTCAACGTGAATAGATATGCTAGGAACCTTACAATAAGTTCGGAATATGGGAATTCAAGTTTGAAGACGATGTTGATGCTTCGAAACTGCATAGGTACTGAGATGTGTGTTGTTTATTGGCTATGTGATGTGATGTAGTTAGATACATGCACATCTTACCCTTTTTTTAACCACGACAAAGGTTTTCCAAGAATAAACCAAATTTTCCTGTTTTTCATGTACATAGCAACAAGATAAGAAATGCGGCATGAACTTTTTTTTATGGTATGTCTAATCACAATATGCTTGTTTGCGTATGGGTGGAATGTAATGTGGTGTTGTGAGCTGGAGACTGGAGACTGAGGGGAGCGTCGGTGTTTGTTAGTGGCAGGAGGGTTGATTAGACGAAATTGTTTGTTTTAAGACAAGCAGCAAAGTGCTTGCGAGGAAGTCGAGTACCACAAGTGGTTGTACAAAGATACACGTCTATGAACGAAAAGGATAAACCTCCCTACATTCTCACTTCTTCTCCTGCGCCCGCTCTTGCTGCACCTGCTGCATCTCCAGCTCACCCGCCCTCTTCCGAAACCCCTCGATCCGATCATCAATCATAGCAATCTCCGCCTCGACCTTAAGAACCTTCTCCTGCATCATCCTAACATACTCCTCATCGCTAAGCACGCTCATAGGACTCCACTTGCTCTTCGCAAACCTATGCACAAGCGTCTCCCTCGGCCTATCCTCACCCCGTTCCTTCATCTGCGCCTGCTGCTCCAAACCACGCGAGTTCCTCATATCGAGAAAATTATACCCGTGCTGGCCCGCCCAGCCATACAGTGTGAACATGATAGTCCCCGGGATGACGTTGCGCGGGCCGCGGAACAGGAAGCCGAGGTTGAAGCCTGTGAGTGCGCCGGAGATGGTGGAGGCGCGCACTTTGTCTGAGGGCGAGGGGTGTAGGTCTGAGCGGGTGAGGAGCGGGGCGCCGCGCGTCGAGTACCACCAGTTTTGCAGGCCGGTGCGGTTTAGGAGGGCGGTGCGGATCCCCCAGAAGGTGCTGCCGATTGCGAACCATTGTGCGCCGGAGACGATGGCGAAGAGGGCGGGGGTTTGGGTGCGGAGGGTGCCGTAGAAGGCGCCGTATGCGGTGCCGGGGATGGCTGGGGGAAGTTAGATGGGATGGTGTGATTGTTCAGGTGATGTTTTGTGGAGAGGAGATGAAAGCATGGGAATGGGGTTTGAGGAGATCAATCATCCTCACAGCCATAGGCTTGGGGTCGGTTGCATCTTCTTGAAATTGATGCATCGGATATGACACGTGCTATGGCTTGGCAGTGTGGTTGGGAGTTGTCTCGAGAATGGCTGACTAATAACAAAAAATAGATAAATGAAAGTGCAAGAAAAGAGACAGAAATTTGAGAGACCAAGACATGTAAATGGTGAGTAGTGAGACTGAGTACGTACCGGAGACTCCTCCAATCACGGCTGCCTCCTGTGCTACATTGAGAGGATAGGTGACCTGGTCAGGGTCATGTTTGCTCGTCATGGCTGTTTCATGAATGCAGTCGTCGACAGCATCAATGCTGTGCTGTTCTGTGCTGTGCTGACGTCGAAGGCGCGGGACGTTTGATGCTACTGCTAGCGCGGAAAGAAATGATGTCGACGACCGCACGGGCCCCGCGCGCACTTGCATTATTTCTCGGGAAACTGGTGGACCGCAGACGCACCAACGACACCCCCACAATCAACCACACACGCACACTCGAAGGCAGACACAGTCTTCGCTACCCCTCCAACAACACACCGCGCGGACTCTCGACTGCGCGCTGCCCCTAGACCGCAATCATGGGTATGCAGCCTTCCTCCGGGGCGGACAGCGCAGACGTCGCCCGCTAGGCGGCGTTTTTGCCCCGCTCTGTACAGCGTCAAAATTGAGGGCTCGCCTGCTAACACACTGCCCGCAGCGCCCAAGAAGAAGGGCCAGACACTGTCGCTGGGAGAGTTCCTGGGCGACCAAGGTATGCGCCACCCGTCGTGGCTCGCGCGCGCACGAGACTGACGGCCGGTAGCTCTGGGATCATGGGCCGACGAGATGGAGGACATGCCAATGCCTGGTAAGACACGCCCCCCGCACCACGCACGCCGCCGCGAGCACTGACCCGCGCCGGTGGACGTGGACCCCGACATGGCGTGTGCTGACCATGTCCCAGCTGGCGGTAGTTCTTCTGCGTATGGCCGCGACCGACCAACGTTCGGCTCCGGCGGCGGTGCTGGAGGATTTGGCGGCGCCGACCGCGGCAGCTATGGTGCGTCTCTCCCGCCCGCCCTCCTCTGCATAGGCTGACATGGCGTCCCAGCCGACCGTGGGTTTGCTACGCGCGAAGAGCTGCCCCTCCCCTCCAAGCCCCCCTACACGGCCCATCTGGGCAACCTGTCCTTCGACGCCACAGAGGGCGACGTGAACGACTTCTTCGCCGACTGCGAGGTCACCAACGTGCGCATCGTCGAGGACAAGCTGGACCGCAAGCCCAAGGGCTTCGGCTACGTCGAGTTTGGCAGCGTCGACGGCCTGAAGAAGGCTCTCGCCCTGTCTGGCACGCAGTTCCAGGGCAGAAATGTCCGCGTCAGCGTCGCCGAGCCCCGTACGTAAAGCACCATTCGCTGTCACAACGCACGCTGACCATGCCACAGCCAAGGACCGCCCCGAGCAACGCGACATCTCCGACTGGACCCGAAAGGGACCTCTCCCCGACCTCCCCGGCCAGCGTCGCCCGGCGGAACGCAGTGCTGGTGGTGGCTTCAGCCGTGGCTTCGACGCAGGAGCATCGGATGCCGGCAGCGACCGTGGTGAACGCCGTCGCGCACCCGCCTTTGAAAGGGAGGGAGGAGGCACGCGCGATTTTGGCAACTGGGAGCGCAGGGGCCCTCTATCCCCCTCTGCTGCCCCTCCATCCGGTGGCGAGTCATTGAAAGAAGGCGGCAGGCAACCCAGCTTTGCCGGAGGAGCCCGTGAGCGTAGGCCAGATGCCGCCTGGGGCGAGCCTCGCGCAGCCGACGACCCGCGTGGGCCGCGTCGCGAGTTCCAGCCACAGGCCGAGAAGGCACAGTTCAACAGAGAGCCCACTGCTCCCGAGCTTGACAACCAGTGGCGATCCAAGATGCGCGCCGATGCCGCCTCTCCTACCTCGACACCTGACGCGAGCGTCCCCTCCTCGCCCGCCCCTCCCCAGTCCTCTGCGCCTGCTTCGCGTCCCAGGCTAAACCTTGCGAAGCGAACAGTCTCCGAAGCACAGCCAAACGCAGAAGCAGCCTCTTCTGATAAGCCAAATCCGTTTGGCGCGGCACGCCCCATCGACACTGCTACCCGCGAGAAAGAGATTGAAGAGAAGAGGCAGCTCGCAGTGCGCGAGAAGAAGGAGGCAGACGACAAGGCCCGCGCGGAAAAGAGGGCAAAGGAAGCAGCAGAGAAGCCCGCACCCAAGGAGGAGGAAAAGCCTGCCCCAGCCACCGAGGCTAAGGAGGACGTTGTCGAAGAGAAAGAGGCTGAAGAAGAGGCCCCGCCCAACGGCGAGGACGAGGATGTTGACGGCGAGATCGTCGAAGACAAGGCCGTCAAGCCGCAGGAGATCGTTCGCGATCCTCCCAAACCCGCAGGAGGGTCATGGAGAAAGAAGTCCGACACCCCTGCTTCGCCGCCAGCTGGTACCACAACCGAGACTCTTGACGAGGACGGCTGGAGTACCGTCACCAAGCCCGTCAAGAGCACCAAGAACACGCGCCGTGGAGGAGCCCCAGCTCGCGCCATTGCGTCGTAGTGTGAAAGCGTCCATCTTCGCTATCCTCGACCTTCTGGCTCTTTTGTTTCATTTTAGCGTTCTGGGATGATCGCAACGCCCCGCACATGTTCCGGCGTGGTGGAGTAGTCTTCTTGGGGCTTTCGTGTCTGTTCTGTTCCTGAACAGTCGTGTCGATCACGACAGCACTCTTCTGCCAGTCCTTCCGCTCACACGAGAATCGATGGGCTGCCTCCCGAATCTGAGCTCGCCTGTTTCCTCTTTGCCGCCTCTGTTCATCAAAAGTTATGAGTTCCTTTTTGCAGTATCATCTCGTTCTGCATGCATGGGCCTCGGAAAATATTGGGCTTGCCATCTTCTCGAATATCTCCTCTTTACGAGTGTTGCTCGAATACTGAGACTTTGTCACGATCACGAGCGCGAGTTCGGAACTAATGACGACCATGAAGGTTCCTTATACATAGACGACATGAGTGCTCGGACATGTATGTATGTAGTTGCAAGCTAGAATGTCAAAATGGGTTATCCACTCCAAGAGTATATGCTTTGGTGTGTTTGTGCTTGACTGGGAGTGTTTGGTTTGGTTTTCATGCTTCACCTTTATGGCTGGAGGTTACTAATAGGTAATAGATGTAGCTTGAAGCGTGCAAAGTGGTATCCCTGCTATTTGACATTTGCCCGTGTTCGACAACCAGGGCCTGATCACCATGAACCCTGCTCATTCGCCCCCCATACGTCAGCTCTCGTCCGACCTTGAGATCTTGTTTAAACCACGAAGCACCTGCCTTTCTCCTCCATTCGCAAATCGTCCACTTTTCCCCATATCGTCCTTGACACGTTGATTAGCCAATTATATATTACGCGTTGAAGCTTTATTTTACAGCCATCGCAGCTCTTCTCACTCTCACAAACGCTTGGAAACAGCTCATGGACAGTCAGTCTAGACTTGACTTGACCATCACGCACGCAAGATAAAACACGATGGTGTCGAAACCGCAGTCCCCAGGTCCGAATTCGACTTCGACTCCAACCCCAGCAGCAGCAGCAGCTGCTGCCCCCAAACAATCCAACCCAAAAAAGCAAACCCCGTCGACGCAGTCACAACAACCCATACGCACAAAACCAAGCACGGAGAAACCACAACCCGCGAAACCTCTGCCCCAGACTACTTCCTCAACACCCACACCCACACCCACATCCACAGCCGACAAGCCCCGCCGAAAGCCCAGAAAACTCACAGTCCCGTCGACAGCAACGCCGCCAGCAGCATCTACATCCACACCCACGCCCACACCCTCCGCGGCAGCCACACCCGCCGCAGCCGACGACCTCGAAGCGCTAAAATCGCGCGTCCGCGGCCTCGAAGCAAAAGTCGAAGAGCTGATAAAACACGGCACCGCAGCGACAGGAGCAGGTGGTGTATCGCGGTCCCCGCGCCGCAGAGGAAAACCGCGAAAAGCGTCTTCCACGGCAACGACACTGCCCACGCTCGCGAGCACGCGGCAGGAAAGCGATGTCAGTGAGAAGAAAGACCACCAAGAAGAAGAAGCAGACGAGGAGCTACAACGCCTCGAAGGCGAACTCGCAGGCGCGCGCCGCGAATTAGCTCTCTTCGACCCCCCCGCCGCCAGCAGAAGGGGAAATAGACGCCGCCACCATCCGCGCGGGGACGTCGCACCCGGGGACGACGACGCAGAAGAAGACGTAGAAGACATCCCCCGCCCCTCCCCCAACCCCAGCACAGCCGAACAGAACAGAAGCGTCACCCTCTCGGGCAGCTACCGCATCCCCCTCCCCTCCAGCGTCAGCATGTCCGACGTCGCTACGATTCAAAGCGGGGTTAGTGCTGCGCAGAGCGTGGCGAGGCGCGTGTTGGAGCAACGGCGTGCTGCTGCGGCGGCGGGGGGGGAGATCGATGGTGGGGAGGGGGCGGGGAGGAAAGGGTGGGGGGATTGGATTGGGGGGTATAGTGTTGCGATTTCGAGGGCGGTGAGGAGTGTGGAGTGCGAGGCGGGGGTTGAGAGTGTAGGGGGGAATGGGGGAGGGGGAGGGGCGAGGAAGAAGAGGCCGGGGAATAAGACGAGACTTAGTGGGGAGCAGGTGCAGGGGCTTATGAGTTAGCTGGCGTGTTATCTTTGAGGATATGGTTTTCTGGGACGGTGGTGGTGTATTTTACTTTGTTGTAGCATGTATGTATTTATCTTGATTGGAAGGGGAAGTCACTCTTGTTGGTGTGTAACGCATATCTGACGTACTCGGGCTTACCTACGTCCTTCTACCTGCTCATCACGCTTGAATACGAGCATGACCATCCTCGATCGGCGCAGCGGCTTCTCCAGCTGCAGCAGCCACTCCCCCATCATTCTCCGCCACCACATCACCACCCACCTCAAGCCCCCTAGCCACACTCCCAGAACTAGACCCCCCACTCCTACTCCCACCTCCCGACCCTTCACTTCCCTCAAACCTATCCGCATACGCCCTCCCAGCCCTCACCCCAAACACCGCCCTCCCCACCAGCCCACCCATCCTCCTCTCGGGCCTCTGCTGCCTCCACGCCCTGACCGAAACCGGCGGCCCCCTCCCGCCCGCAAGCCAAAACAGCGCTGGGGGGAGAGTATCTCTATCATGCAGCGTTGACGGCGATCCCGCACCACCGCGGAGATGCGGGGACGCAGCAGGAGCATGCTCGGCCGTGACTTCGGGTTCGACAAACGCAACATCAGGCACGCAAAGAACAGGTTCAGGATCAGACGAAGATCGTGGTGCGTCCCCAAGCGGCGGCGGACACGTCTGCCGCGATATATGCGCCGGCAGCCGCGCGATGCCACACGCGCGCTGACGTGCTCGGGCAACCCGTGCTGGCGATACGATGCGTGGCGGGGGCAGCTCGGCGTCGCTGTCGGTCTCGCTGTCGTGGCCGCAGGGGCCGCGGCAGGTGAGGATCCAGCGCTTGAGTTTGAAACTGAAGGGGATGGGGGTGGGGGTGGGTTCGGGGTCTCCGCTGCCGCCGCGGAGGGTAGGGGGTGCGTTGAGTGGGGGTGAGGTGTTTGCGGCTGGAGAGCGTGTTGTGTATGTGTTACCGCTTTCTGGATCGAAGGTGAAGGATTCAGATCGGCCACTCCGCACTTCTTCATCATCATCAAAAGCGACGAATAGTCTGTCCGCTTCGACTCGCCCCACCAACACCGACGGAGGTTTCAACAGCGAGGGAGAATGCGAGCGGGGGCGACGATCAGGAGAACGTCGAAACGGCACAGGCGAGGAGCCGCGACCATAATACACTGTTTCCGCAAAGTCATGGCGTTGCCGGCTAGGATTCACTACACGTCTTGTTCTTTCGACCTTGTTCCGCAGTGGGCTCGGGGAGCCTTCACGCAGGGCGGCTAGATGCGAGTCTACCTCTCGCTTGTGGACGAAGGGGTGGTCCTTTGCATGTGGTAAGCCATGGATGTGATGGAGTTTAGGGGCTGTGGGGTTTCTCACTCTTGGAAGGGGTTCCTCTGCACTGTTTGACTCGCGTGAGATACGGCTGTTACTCGTTGAATGATCAGGTGTACTCGATGTAGACGGTCTGGCTGCTGCATCATGCACAGGGTCCCTCATGCGTAAGTATTCCTCCTCGACATGACTTCCCCGGCGAGAACCCTGCCCACTATCCACCACAGAAGCGGACACCGCCAATCCAACAACCGGCTCCCGCATATTCTCCCGCACCCTCAACGCGCCTCCCCGCACAATACCAGGAGGAAGCGCCGCCCTCCTCGGCGGATTCCCAATCCTCTTCGCCGCGATATGCGGCGGAACAATCCTGGGGCACTCTTCAACCGGCGACGCACTCTCCACACGCGCAGAGCTCCCCTCAGCAGCCGAGCCCCTACTGCTCCTATTCCGCGTCCGTCGAAAAGCGAAAGAGAGATGCGAAAACGCACCTCCAGTTGTACACTCAGTGCACGATTCACTCGCAGTAGATGGCCTTATCTTGGGCGGTCGCATGCCGCAGAAGTCGCATCTGTGTTTTTCGAAGGTGGGGAAGGAGTGGTATGTCATTGGATCGTAGGGGCAGCCGTGGGCGAGCATGCTTGGGGTTGAGAGTATTGGGATTCCGAGGTCTGGGGCGGGGGGGAATGGGGGTAGGGGGGCGTATGGCCTGTTCTTCCAAAAGTCCCGGCTGTGTGTGGCTCTTTTGCTGGTAGGTTCTCGACGTGGATTTGGTGCGGTGGCAGGGCGGTTTGGGGGGTTTTGCTTGGGTGTAGATTTGGGAAGGGGGATGCTTGATATAATAGAAGATACGCTTGAGGAGACACGTTGTAACAGTGTTTGTGGCCGATGGGGTGTTGATTGTGACGCCGGTTGTGATGATGGTGCCGGTTCTTGAATTTCTGGCAAAGGATGCTTGTGTTTGTCTTTCTTTAGAGGAGCCATGATGAAGAGCGTAGAATTCACCGGTGAGACGATTGCGCAGAGAATGATTTGACCAGAAGATGACCCCACGGATATGCATACACCGTGCAAAAAAGCTGTACGCTGTATGTATTGGAAGTTGTGCGCTGTAGAGATCTGAATCTGGATTTCAGATAGGGTTTTATACTCCACGGGTTGCGTATACAAGACGAACGATGAACACGACGTGGTGAACAGATGGCCTGAAATACGAACGCCTATCTGGGGAATCTTAACACCAAACGGCAACATGAGAGGCAATGGTGAAGATAAGGCCTGACAAAATACGCCATGTGTGAAAATTATGTGAACGTATATCGTGGAGAGCGGACCATCATGGATAACCGCCGTGGCCCAAACGAAGCTGTGGGTAGGCTTCGTGGCTGCTGGCCTGCTTTCGCGAACTTTGTGACTGTAGACAGACGTTGTTAAAAGACAACAGTGTGAAGTAGACGTTAAAACGGACTAGACGCCGTGTAAGTCTGCGTGCTCTCATACTGAATGGTGTCTTCCAAATAAGCAAACTCGTGTTTTGCACCTTGTCGCCAAATGTGCGCAAAGCTTGTTAGCACAGAGTACCACTGTGAAGTCCGAGAGAATATCGTGTAGAATTCCAGGTATTCGATCTTACCTGTGGACCTCCCGCGGATTCAGCATAGCTCGTGAAGTTTGCCAAACAGCGGTGATCGTGTGCCTGAGGTGGTACTAGCCATCTGCTGCACGGCTTACTCAGGTTTTCGTCGCACTCCTTTGTGGCCCTCATAGACGTAAGTGTCCACGTTAGTGACCTATGCGCTGGTTTCAGGAGCAAGGACATTGCCAAGTGAAGACAGCCTGAAGATCGACACAGCGTAACTTGAAAGGTAAACACCGCAAGAGAAGTGGCGATGTAAGAATACGTTCTCCCATCTTCCCCCAACCCACCTCAAAGCGTCTTCTCCTTCTTCAAATCATTAATCACCATATACCTCGCCATACCAATCCACCCCCACCGAAACCACCTCATCTGACTCTCATGCGCACTCGTCATAGCCTTCTGCGCAGTCCTATACCCCAACGGCGAGCTGACAAAAAGCAGAGGCGTAGGAAAGTCACCCATCGCCTTCTTGCTCAGAATAGCGCCTACAATCGTCGCCGGCGCATCCAGTAAATGCACGTACTTCCGCAATATCGACGTCGTAGTCAGCGTGTAAAGTTTGACCGGACATTCCCAGCCGCTATGCCGGTGCATAAGCGCTTTGAGAAACGAGTGCGCGCCGTGGTAGAGCGATTTGTGGTTGGGATGCGAGGAGATGCCGTGGGCGTCGAAGGTCAGGATTGCGTCGATGGTCGCGAGGGGGGCTTCTTTGGCGGATACGGAGGCCATTTTGGGGGCGAAGGCCGAGGTTAGGAGGTTGGAGATTAGGCGTGGGTGCCATGTTACTGTCATGGAGTCGGGGAAGTTCCTGGGCGGATTAGCGGAGGGGATGGATCGGCTGGGTGGGGGATTGGTACTTGTCTTCTATGATGAGGATATCGTCTTTGCTGCCGATGCCGAGCTGTAGACCGCTTTTTATCAGCTCTTTCTTGCGGGTCTCGCCTAGACCGTCAGCGTCGCCTGGAGTGCTTGTTATTAGTTACTATATCGATTGACAGTAGGATATGACGTACCGCTGCTTAGACATAGGATTTTGATGTGATTCCCAAGTTCTGGACGCGTCAAAGCGAGCAAAGTCGGCGCAAAGAACATGGCCTCGTCATCTGGATGGGCTATGAGCAGCAAGATGCGCTTGTTCTGTAGTGTGGGGAAGGATGCGCTCAGGGTGCTGGTATAGAGCCAGAACCCGAGGAAGACGAGGGGCGCAGAGGCCCAAACAATCCAGTTCATCGCGAGAAACCCGAGAGAGAGAAATCGGCAGCTACAGATTCATACCAAGCGTGTAGTACTGGTGAGGAGTCGTGGTTGCGCTCGGGGAGCTCCAGGCCCCTGCGTCATCCAGGGTCCACGCTCACGACCTCCGCAGAGCCGCACAACATTTCCAACACCGCTCCCTCCATCCACTCATCCATCCACCCGGCACACCTCCAGCCCTCCCACCCCACCATGGCAGTCGGCAACCGCAAAGAGCGGCGCGCCCAAGCCTCCAAACCCGCCATCCAACCCACCACCGAGCTCTCCGAAGAATCCGTAAACATCCTTCTCCAGCACCCCGACCGCTCAGGCCCCAAAGGCAAAACGCTCTTCGAGCTCGCCGAAGAACGCCAGCGCGAACTCGACGCGCAGAACGGACGAGTCCGTCCCCCCACCGTCAGCGACACGGCTACAACAACAGCCACCGACGCGGCAGACGTCGTATCCATAGGCCCGCTCGGCGACGCAATACTGTACTCTATATCCATGGCTGCGCTGCACTTCACCCTCGATGTCATCGTGTACAACCAGTACCGCGAGGCGCTGGTGTGGAATGAGATCGTGTCCCGTGCGGGCACGGCTTGGCCCATATTCGGCTTGTTGGTGTATCTGATGCATGTGGATTTGTCGTATAAGTTTCCTGTGTTGAGGAACGTGGGGTTTTTGGCGGGGAGTGTGGTGGCGGGGTGTTATTTGGTGTTTTCGGGGAACCAGAATGGGTATTTTTATGTTATGAAGGCTGCGCCGCCGCTGGGCGTGCTGTGGATTTGGAGTGTGGTGGAGATGGAATTGCCGTATGCGGTTGCTAGTATGGCGGTTGTGTGCGGGTATGTGTGGTGGAATGGGTTTCAGGTGTTTTAGAGGTATGGCGGGAATACTATAAAGTGGAACAGATATCGTACACGACCCTGCTCTGCTCATTCTCACGCTCGTGTGATTTTCACATCTGCCTTGCCATCCACAAGATCAACAACCCACCCACCTCTCTCCGTCTTCGCGCCAGCAACAGTAAACCCAGCTGTATCCGACCCCACCTTCTTCAACCAAAGAACAGCCGAAGAAGCCTTCAACGCGCCCTCCGTAACGCTATCAACAACGCTCAACGTAACACTCTGCGCCGACTTATCAAAATCCACCTTCTGCAGTGCCCCCGCACTGATCTCCATCTTCAGCCCCAACTGCGCAATGAAGACCCTCTTCCTCACCGCATCCCTAGGCGCAACAACAATCGCAGTAGCGCTCGATTTCTCCACGTCACCACCAAACGCCACGTCGCCATACCGCGCATCGCTGACCACGTACACAGTCTGCCCAAGACTCATGCCTAGGAAACCCTGCCCGTAGTCTCCCGAATATGCATCCCACTTCAACAGCTCGGGGTACGAATGGAAGGCGGCAGAGGCAAAGCCCTGTTGATCGATATTCGTGAGCGGTGCCGTGTTTCCCGCGAATCCCACACGGAGGGTGTAGAGATTGTTAGCAGGATCTGATTCGTACGAGTCGAGCAGCGGTAGCGAGTTCAGGCCCGATCCGTAGTGATGGATCTGCCTCTCTACTTGCTGGAGCTTCGCGCCGTAGACGAAATCCCAGTAACGTCTGGCATTGCCGTTCCAGCCCCAGTGCGCAACGGTCGGCATGTATGCCAAGATGCTGTTTAGTGTTTTGGAGGGTGTGTTGGGGAGGTTGAAGTACCTAAACACACCGCCGTCAGTAAGTGACAAATTTCGAGGGAGAACAATGAAGGGAATCGTACTTGGTCCAGAAAAACACTCCTTCCTGCCCCGTGCTGTCCCACGCCATTTCGCTGCCAAACGGAATCGGTTGCGTCTCCCAGAGCTCCGCACGGTATCGCATGGTAGTTTCCATGGCCGAGACTTCGGCCGCCATACCCTCTCTCTTCAAGTCCTCCAGCAGCTCACCGAGCACCCACTCGCCCATCAGCCCAACAAGGCCATAATCGCAGTTCGCCGATTCATCAGCGAGACAGTACTGCGTGGTGTTGAACGCGCGACCCAAGTACCAAGACCAATCGGCTCGAAGTTTCTGATCCGGGTAATTCCTGGCGACTCGGTACATGGACCAGTACGTTGCGACAGGATGGACGTAGTTGTAGGCGCGACGCGTCGTGTAAGCTCTTTCGCGGTTCCACGAAGTCCAAGATCCCCAGTCAAACGCTGGATTGTACGTGTAATTGACGGCGCCGGGCTCGTAGAAGAAGGCACTGGCTACAACGCCGAATGTGCCGTTCTGTTGCAGTGTTCCAACTATTGTGTCGTGTACGAAATCGTCCAGAGCAGCTACTTCTCTTGCAACAGGCTGGGCAAACTGTTTCATCGCCGTGGCTAGGTAGGCGCCGGTACCGCCCTCGTCGCTGAGCCCGGCAATCCAGACGCGAGGATCTTGGTCAACGATAGCGTTCACTTCGCGATCATAAGTCATGATTGACGGCGCACGATTGAAAGGATCTTCAGTGTTGTTATAGTATGCGGCAGTTGTGAAGAAATGACCGAGATCAGCCAACGCTGAGGGCGCAGACTTTGTGATGAAATAATGCACGGTTTGGGTTTTACCGTCCTGGTATGATATCGTCACGCGGGTTCTTCCCCATGCTGAGCCGGCTGGTGTCAACGTGTACGGACCACCAGACGACGACGGTGCCGATATGGTAAAGGCACCTCCAGCGTCCACGGTCTCAACAGGCGACGAGTAGTTCAGATACAACCGTGCTGTTGAGTCAGATGGCACCACATATCCCGGTATGCCTACTGCAAGCGGAGTTCCAGTCCGCACTACAGTATCTTCAATCCGCTGAATGTCTTCAGCCAGCGAAAAACGGAGACCGACAGAGTACACTTCTCCCGGTTGCAGAATTTTCGATGTCGGTGTGTTCCAAGGTTTGCTGCTCTTCCACTCGTTTTGTGCCCACGCAAGGCTGTGCACCTGCCATTCGTAGTTTCCCTCAAATGTCTGTGACTGGTATCCAAAGTTTCCGTTTGGCTCGCTGAGAAATCTCCACGCCTCGAATCGAGTCGATCCTAGTGGTGTGACAACCAAGGCGTTTCCAGTGCCTTGCAAGTGCGAGACTCGCACGTAGCCTGCGTCAAGGCCAATGTATGGGTCGGCAAGCGAGCACCTATCTTGAGTCTGCTCTGCGGTCCGGTCGGAAAAGATGTTGTTGATGCTGATTGGGAGTCCGAGACTTCCCAATTCGATATTCGAGTTCGCCGTGTTCGTAATGTTGATACGCATAGCAAGATCATCTTCATAGTGTACCCATTCCCTAGTGACTTTCAGTGGCAGCCTACGAGGAAGGGTAGGCGCCAGGTCGGCACCAGCGATGACATTTGCCCCAAGCTCACTCAGCGCTGTGACTGGACTCCTAGAGCTGGCAGAATCGACGCTCGTCCATCTACCGTTGGAAGTCCGATACCGAAACGTGACATCGCCGAGATGGTGCGCGCCGTTGAAGGCAAGTCGAGACAGGAGGTCGAAGGGTAGGAAATTGAAGTCTGTTCGACTGGAGTTCAACGAAGCAAGCGTCTGAGACGAACGAACGATGTTGCCTTTGAGGCTCCCGGCTTCGAAGGTGGTGTACCCATTGCTGAGCCCAAGATTGTCCTGGCCATTGACAATTGCCAGAGTAGTGACAAGAACTGACAGTATTTTGTTGCGTATGAACATTGCGATTGAAGTGAAAGAGAGGACTGTCCTACAACATAATCGAGACACTTGCTAGCCGACTCTTCTACCAACTGTCATCCTTTTATGAATTGACTCGATCATTTCCTACTTCTGCTTCGGCGAGCGGGGTTTTCTCGCCCGGCATTTACATGATGATCGCCATATGTAAAGAGGGGTTGTGGGTTAGCGAATATCCTGACATCTCCAGCGGTTCCTGATCCCATGTCATTCTCCACGAATGGCGCCGCTGAAACTAGTGCTGGGGATGAAACTGCATGCTCGGGTAGGAAGGTAGCTGGGGCCAATCGTCAAAAGCAGCATCTTCGTAATTACCTTTGTATACATATAAGTGGGCTCAACAACACTTAATCTGTTTATTTCCTGCGTGGTATGATCGTTGACTTCCATCTTTCTTGAGAACTACAATACGTTTATGTAATTGGTAAAGCGGACGAGAGAACGGCTCTTCGCCGTATCGCGGTAATACTCGAAGCACTCGCATCGCACTTCTATGCAAAGTATTCCAATCAAAATTCAGATTGCCGGCTGACGGCATGACCGCGCTTATTGAATCGGAGTATGATCGCTGAAAAATTAAGCATCGGGGATCCCCTGCCTGCATTAGAGGGCGCAGCACAGCAAGAACCATGCATGCGCCCGCCGGCCTGTGAGGGAATCTTGCATGCCGTATCGATACGAGAATCGATGAGGTTGTTGGTGATGGTGTTGGTGCGTCAACACATTCTCAGCTCCAACATCGCGGAAAGGTTGTTTTAAGGCGCCAAGCCGCTTACCGTCGCCAATGAGGCAGGCACGGCAGGCTGCCGCAGTGACATTTCCGGCTAGGACGAGATCTAGCTTCAGCGCCTTTGGACCATATGGTTTAGCTAGATAGATGAGGGTATCTCTCATCGTCTATTGGATTACAACGAGTCGGGCGGTGACCGCGTTCAGCTGGTGGCCCTTCCAGCCTCGTATGGCGTCGTTCCGTCGCGATTCAGCATGTCTCCTTCTTTGCTGACCTGGCCTTGTATTTTTATGAGTTGCTGTTCATGTTTCGTCGCGTAGTCAGATGGAGGACAACATACACCCTATAGAGGCGTTGCGACCTGCATCGCAAGGTGGTTCAGCTCAGGAGCGCGGAGTGAGCACCGACTTGGCCCCCAATGAGTCCGGCCACGATACAAAAGAGGAAAACACGAGCACAGAGCCCCGCAAAAAAGATGAAAACGAGTCCAAGGACAAGCACCAGGATAAGACGATTATCTTCAAAAATCATCTCGGCGACCGCTATGTTTGGCCGTTCGAGTATTGCCGATCTTTTGACGTGCGTTCATCTAGATGAAGAAGCTGTATGGGCTCTAACTTCAACAGTCCATCAAACCCCTTCTGGAGGAAATCTATACCCGCGTAGCTGACCAAGATCTAGTAGAGGAGGTCGAAAAAGGGAGGTATGATATCCAGACCGATGATGGGGCTACCATATTGCCGACAGTCTGGAATTTTATCGTCAAGCCCTACTCAACGATCAAGATTTTCTTTCCGTCAAGGAATTTAGCATCGCGAAGGCCCTCGCCGATCGCTCAAAGTTATCCAGAGAGTCGACGTTCTCCGAGTCCAGGCGGGGCAAGACTCCAGGATGGCCTCGATGAGGTTGAAGTTGTGATCGATCGCTCGCACCCGCTATATATCAGCCCAATAAGGTCGGAAATCGAAGCAGGAGAAAGCGATAGTGATGCAGAGTCACTAACGCTGACGGAGAGTGAGGATGAGGTACCTGAACAACCCCCGCTGCCTGAACCTCCTCGTGATGTTGTCCCTCCAATCGATGCGGAGGGCAACAAGCTCTCATTCAAAACCAACACAGCATACGCGAGACCATGGCAACAACGTAAGCCGGGAGGCAACAAAGACACTGCAGAGAAGCCCAAAGGTCAGAAAGCCGTCCGCAAAATCAATTCTGAGGGCTTGAGAATCACCAAGGCAATGGCGGTTGAAGATGAGGGTAAAAGCATGGTCAAAATCTACACTCTTCCCGATCCGGAAAGCGCTACGACGTGTGAGAACATTGGCATAAGATGGTACCATCTGCATTCCGAGCAACTAAGTTTTCCACACTTTATGGAAACGTGCTTGGCTGTTCCAGGTCTTTCTGAACGATCTAAGATGCTGATCAGGAAAACTTTTAGCAAAATCGAGAAAGAGAAGGCTAGGATGGCGTTGGACGGTATGTTCATCGAACCTGGGACTGTGCTGCGAGGAGACGAAGACTGCCAGTCAGACCCGCACTCAGTCATCTTCTGTTGCGTGCCATATTTCGATCTTCAACCTGCGCTGAAGAAAGCACCGAATGGGCATGCAGATCGACTCTGCGCTCCAAAGACTTTGATACAGGCTTACTACCCGTACGAGCCTGTTCGTGAAAGAGACTTAGAGCAGGCCTATAGAAAGTTCGGTGATGATCATTCAAATCGTCTCATTCACGTACCAAATTTGTGGGTCATGAATATTGGTTCTCACGCTGTTGTAACCTGCGGACATCAGCCGCTGACGAAAGAGTTTGTCAAGTCGATTGAAGTCGTGCCTGAGGATTTACAACCGCTACGACTAGAAGCCACCACGGGAGGTACCGATAGGATTAGATTAAAAGACTGGGACGGTCGTATGCTTCATTTCTCGCTCGAGGAGTGTAGGTCATTCTTCCAGATGGAGCAGAGGCTGAGAGAAGTGAAATATTCCTTGAATGGAAAAGTGAACAAAAGAGATTTGGAGTTAGGTTGGATCACGACAGGGGGCGAAAAGAAGGTCACTCCCTTGATCTGGACTGACATCATTAAACAAAATGGCTCAATGTTCATCGACCTTACTGTGTCAGACAAGGATAAGACGAAAAAGGTGGACAACAAGCACATTATCATACCGCTTCCGCAACTGTTGGCATCGTCTACACTATCGAGCTCAGTACCACCTTTCTTCCACTGGCCACAAACAACAGAGGACTGTAATCAAATAAATCAACCACAGACCCCTCAAGGTTTGATTCTCCCCGACGTGAAGAGGGCAATACACTGCTTGGAACAGGTCGACAAGGCCATGATGTCAGAGACACTGAACCGTCGTGAAGCTGATAACGCAGTGGGCTCCACATTCACGTCCACGAGCTTTTATCAAGGCCTCCAAGAAGACACGTCTGAGAATGTTAGATCTATTATGGCATCTTTGTTGCGTTTGGCCCAGGAGAACACAGAACATGACGAGTCTAAGCTTACGCATCACCAATTTGTCATCTACAGTCAATGCGCGAAGATTGCGAAGATGGCGTCTGAGTTTTTCCAAATTGTAAATGCAACGTTCAAACTGTTTGTGGAAGATGTCGACAAAAGCACCGTTTTACGCAAGGTGTGGGGTGCTATGGCGAGCATGTATGTGCTGGTTGTTAAAAGTTGTCAATTAGGTGATCTGGGCGATGATCCAGCGGAGTACTCTGATCCAAACCAGACTCATGCCGAGTTGACGAAAGCCCGATGGTTCATTCGTCCTTTCTCGAACGATCCATTCTCCCCTGATCCAGAAGCTGACGAGAAGCTCAAGCAATCGCTCAGGAGGTGCAGACCTTGCAGACATCTTCATGCTTATCGTACACCACAAGCTGCGTTGGAACACTTGCAGAAACATCTCGAACCAGCTTCTCTACTTGAACAGGAAGAGGACCTTTCTAGAACGCATCGTTCTCCCAACCTACCGGCTGAATGGGTAGCGCACTCAGGCACAGGGTCAGACGATCATCAACGCAGACACTTGCCCATGCAGTCTACACAACGGGACATTCTTGATGGAGAGAAGGCTGAATATTCAACATCAAGCACAGAACTACCTCGACGATCTCCTCCGGCCGTTAAGGAAGCAAACCAGAACCTCAAGGATCGAATACTCAGCCTTGCACAGCTCAAACGCGAGCAGATGGACGCCAGTTCGCTCAGAACACTCCATCGTGCCTGCCAAACTGCAAGAGAGTTATTCATTCAAGCAAGGGAACTTGCTGAAGGTGTGATGAACGAGGATAAGACTATGTCTGAACTATATCATCTCCCAAACCAATTGCTCGAAGCCTTCCGCCAAATTGTAGTCTTTTATCTTGCTGTAGAACGAGCATTGTTCTATACAGAAGCCTCTTTCCTCGGGGATGGACCACAGAGCGATCCCTATTCGTGGCCATACCAACCTGAGCAAGGTCTAACCGTCGTGGAACGGTTTGGCGACGGAGCGTGGTGCTCCTTGGCTGATACTCGCCGCGAACTCTGCAAAATGGTTATGTCAAAACCACCAAGAGATGTTTTTAAGAGACTGTCTCTAGGTCCAGAGTATTTGTGCAGTTGGTTTATGAGAAGGCTACTTGTCAAGCCACTCGAGAAAAGCATGACAGTAGCTGATATGTATCGGGAATATCTTTCCACAATTGTAAGCACGCATCTATTCTCCAAATTTTTGTTTAAACTGATAGGTTCGCAGCAATTCCAAGTCAATCACCGCCCAGGCAAACGTCTCCTGCGCTCTATCACTCTCCTCCACGAAGAACTCCTGATTCTCAGAAAAGTCAACTCCTGGCAAACCAAGGCTATCACAAATTATATGTTCGTCCTGGACGACGCCACGTACGAGAAGGACATTCCCTCCCGCCGCGGAATGTTCCCATACGAACGCATGCTGCTGAATTCCTGCCTTGAAAGTCTTGCTCTCGCAAATGAGGAATACGTCGACCAGATCAATCGGTGTGGCCCGTTGTCAGAAACCACAAAACAGAGTCTCGAGATCAACGAAGAAGACCACGGGAAAGCCATCATGGTCTTTACGATCGTGACAATCATCTTTCTGCCACTATCATTTGTCACGTCGTACTTCGGGATGAATAGTTCCGATCTGCGGGATATGGAGAGTGGTCAATCTCTATTCTGGATTGTCGCTGTTCCGCTTACAGTCTTCACCATGTCGTCTATTATGTTGATTGGGTATAATGGCGACGAATTGCGCGATCTCATCACCTCTATCTATCGCACGCTGACAGGCAAGCATCGTGGTACATCAGCGCGCGGGATCAGCGTTGCACAACGCAAAGACGCGCACCTGATACAAGGCGACTCGAGCAGTATGGTTGATCGCGAGAGCTATGCTGATTCTGCTGAGTTTGCCAGTCCTCGTCCAGAGTACTACGCAGAGGAATACTCGCGCCCGACATTCGAGCCCGAACCCATAACCACGAAGATCGCCACCGCAAGCTACTCCGCACCAGCAAGCAGGCCTGTAGGATACAGTGTCCGTTCCAAACCCCCGATACATTACAATACCAGCATGAATACACGCCGAGAAACGAGGTATAATGTTGAAGAGCTGCGTCTTCTGCCACCGATGGTACGAATGGCTGAACCGTGGGCGGAGGAGAGCAGCGATGAGGAGCGTAGAAATGAGTATACATGGGAAAAGAAGCATCGAAAGGGAGCATCAGCGAGGATAGCGTCGCTCATGTATGCGGAAAAGGAGAATACGAGGACTAGGGAGAGGTTTTCGAGCCGTAGAGGGTATTGATGGGCAACGGCGATGCCAGCATCTCCAATAGGATGCGACATACTCATAGCCATATAAACATGGCCTTCTGAACGTATCTATGATTGTTATATCAGTACCACAGGATGTGCTACTCCATGTTCTGGTACTCACACGAGAGCTCTTTGCGCAAATCCAGATCACTTCGGCACCGATACCATATTTCAGACAGTTGCGGTGCGCTGAGTGTGCTTGGTTTGTTTTGAAAAGACTGTATGGATAAGTATAGTCCTGAAAACAGTTTGTTGGAAACCAATAGTAACGCAATCTTTGATAGGTGCACACATTAGTCTATTTATCAATGATGTTACACCTTCATACTTAACCTCCTCTTCCTTGTGATCGCCGAGCAGCAGCAACAAATCCACGACATCATCGCCGGACGAAACGAACACTCCCAACGGTGTCGAACATGCCTTCAAAAGAACATGTAGAAGTTGAAAGACGAGGATAAACTTGATGAATGTATTGAGGCTGTCCGGAAGCTATTAGAGGTAAAGCATGCTGTATTATCCTCTTATGAAGGTACTCACGCCGATTGCCTCGACAGTTGGCAACTTAAACAAAGTAGAGGACTACCCTCTGAGCCTACCTGAGTACATCCCGTCACGTCCCACTTTGTCAGGCTTGGATTGCCCCTTATCACCCTTGTCATTCCTTCCTGCCAACAACATCCCTCGACCGTCGTCCAATCACTTGAATGTTTGCAAGACAAACCATTCGTTCAAGAATATGTACATGAATATCATTCTTCCAGAGAGTTCGCAAATTTCCTCAATTCCTCCACTAAAACCATCAGTCGGTCTCAGGCTCCCAACTTCACGATGAACGTCTATGAGAAGCCAAATGAGACATACCGTCAAGATGCCGATAGCAGGTCTACCTCTTCCGCCTCTAATATCGATCTCAGCAGCCCTCCAGCCATTCAAGTTACGCGCAAGAAGTCTCTCGCTTTCCATCTTACTTTTGTCGCTGTTCCTATCAATCTCTTCCTCTACGCTCTTTATGCGACCATGCTGGCAGTATCCACCTCATTAAGTCAACTTCGTCCCTCTTAATCCTTCTGGCTACCTAGGAATGATCTGTTGACTGGTGTGCCTTCTTCCTGCCAGACTATTGCAGCCGACCTTGGAGGTACTTCTTTGGAGTCGTTCTGAGCCTCCATCTCATACCTGCCACATACACCTTGTCCTTTGCCGGATCAGTAGTCTTTGCCCTGGTTCACAACATGTGTATCACCATTCTAGGTCACGTTCTCCTTGGAATCTCTTCCCCACCGACCGCCTTTTTTCTCCACCTTCGACCACTGGACCACTCGCGGCTGTCGCAACTGTGACGCTTGGACTGGATTGGCGTGCATTTTTTTACCATCGGTACCGTTCTCTTCGATTTCCTTCTGAGCTGGGCAGGAAACTTGTACGCCTGGGGCTCGTTCCGTACCCTGCTTCCTCTCATGCTTGGAGTCGCCATACTGTCGGCTTTCACCTTCTACGAGAGTAAAGCAGCAGCTCCAATCATGCCACATCGTATCTCCAGCTCCAGGACAGCCTCCACGACACTAGCTAGAGTTTTCCTTCATGGCATGTCGTTATATTCGCTACTACAATGGCTGCCACTATTCTACCAAGTTGTCATGGTCAAAACAGTGCTCCAATCGGCTGTGTTGCTCTTACCTACAAGCGCTGTGAGCGTGATAGCGCCAACTGGCGGAGTCATCCTTGTCGGACTGGCCAAGGTAGGGTATCGATGGAGCATCCGAATCTCTTGGGCGTTGACAGCTGCGGGAACAGGGGTCCTCGTGCTGCTCGACACTGACTCATCGTCCCAGTTTCCCACGGACTTCCAGTTCACTGGGGGCGGGAATCGGTATGTTGCAGCCAATGAGTCTGTGGTGGCAGTTGGGTTGCGTATCCTCCAATACATCGTAATGCAGCCACAAGATGCAAAACGCTTTCGAATTGGTTGCGGAGAGTAGTAAAGAAGCTGGCGGTTTATGGCGGAAAGATATCCATACCAGATTGAAAGCAAACAACATGTTTCTGTCGGATATCTTCATACCCTTCGATGGTATGATATTTTCGTAAGCCATCGAAACGCCCACCTCACGTGGTTACTGTACTTGACCCAACGGCACTGAAGTTTGTGTGTAACAATCCAAGCTTCTAGTTTCCTCAGCTTTCTTTGGACAGATCCACGAACTCCATTGGGTGAGCGAAGCCGTCATCATAATATGACGAGAACGAAAGCATATAGAAGAAGGATCCGAAGTAAGGCGAGCGCAACAGAGAGATTGGGAGAAGGGAGACCTGCAATACCCGATCTTCGAACGATGAGACCAGATCGCTGCCTTTCCGAATTTTGCACAACCCAGCTGTGAAAACGACATGTTTGAGAGATAACAATTTCATACTGGTTATCGCGTGTAGCATTCCGTTCGGATGAGTTCGAAGAGTCTCTCGTTGTTGTTGGTGAGCTTGCCAGAATCTTCTGTTCCTTCCAGTCCTGCTGGCGCCTCTGTAAAGGATGTTGCATTTTCTTCTGATATGTTCGAAATCTTCAAAAGCGTCAAGTATACCTTGACCTTGGAATCTGGAGTAGGTATTGTTCTCGGAAGCAATGAAGCGCAAATCCAAATCGAGCAGTATATATGTCCAATTGTCATAGCACCAAGGATAGAAGTGACATGACGATAAGAACCCGATATCCGTGGTAAAGATATCATAAATCGACTTCCTCTTACAACACCCAGCTATAAGTGCTGAAGCGTCATAATCAAGATCGTTCACGTCCGAGAAACGATCCACAATTTGCCCAATCGAAGGACGTAATAGCCGATCAGATGCCAGCATAGAGCGTACCATAGGGACTATTATGTCAAAGTGGAGGGCATGCATGTCCAATCCATCGTACCAAGTGTTCGTCGCCTCCATGTTACGTGCGAAGCTAGATTGACCGTTGCCGGTTCGTTTCCAGTGATCTTTTACTTCCGAGAGATTGTAGCCGCAAAGAGCTGAAAGCATCTCCGTGAGAATACAACCGAGGGAGAATATGTCGGTTACCCTATTACGTGGCTCATGCTCTAGCACTTCGGGTGCCGCGTACCGAATTGTCCAAGCGGAAGGGTGACCTGTGGTAGTCGAAACGTCGTCCTCCGAAAAGTCGAGACTTGGAGAAAATAAGATTACGAGCCTCTTAATAACAGGTGTGTGCTTACCTGAAACCAAAATCGGTGAGCAGGATGTTATCTCCATGTACGAGTACGTTTTGGGGTTTAAGGTCTTCGTGTCTGTAATCGATCAGTTCTGGAAACAATGGTGATGATATATTTGGTGAGTCGGGTGCATGTTTCAGTGATGTTGAACCTTACGATCATTTGTGACCTCAAGAGACATGAGACACTAACAGACAAAACTCACCGAATCCTATTCTGATGAAGATAGTTCCTAGTGGATACAGTCAGCTTCTTTGCAAGGACGAGAAACTATTCTCTAAATGAACAGTGGCACTCGGTAATGAACAACCGGGGGTGGAACCATATCAAGAATACAGTTGTTCAGCCATAGAGACTGTATGTACAGTATAAATCGGATTGAAAATTGACTCACAGCGCGTTACAAAGGCAGTGCATGCCTTGGAGTAAAATCTGTTCTTGCTTTTTAGTCAGACTTGGCTGATCCATAAAAACGGCAAGGTCCATATCTGCCACAGGAAGAGAAAGTATATTAACTGAATCTGAGTCCGTATAACTCTTTACGAAGCGCACGCAATGTTGATAAGTCACTTGGCGCATAACGCCAATCTCACGAGCAAAGGCGGTCATAATCCTTTTGTGAGCGTTGAGCTGCTTTGGTCTTCCGATCTTCTTTCGTACGCATATTAGAGGACAAGGAGTTGTTGGTATCGACACTTCTTCAACAGTTCCATAACCTCCGTCGCCCAACGATCTGCGCACCGACACAACGGTATCATCGTCTTCAAAGATGGCGTGGAATGGGCGTAGTGTATTTCTACGTTCAAGAGAGTTGTAATGTGTCAGGTCTACGTCAAGTATATCGTGTTGGAGCTGCTCGAATCTGTTTTGATCCTGGGGATGTTCAAGAAACTTTCGAAGCGTCTGTTTCGGGAGGGGAAGCCATAAGTCTGTAATCCCATGAGTTTCGAAGACTGCTCGTACTGTGAGATCCCCCAGCCTCGAAACAATGTGGTCTAGTTTCGCGGTTGTTGATACGGGATATCGATAAAGCTGTGAATGTTCGGGGAAGGCTTCGGATAGTGTGCCCATTGTCTGCTGGCGACCTGGTTGCCTCTCGCTGATTCCAACTCTCCTAGGGAATAGCGTATGCAGTGGCGGTAATCTTACGGCGTTGACATGCTCGCTGCTTAGAGGCGGTAGGTCCATGTTTGGGTCCGGGATATTCATCGAGCGCGAGATTTAGTGAAGTAGCGAAGTTACGAAGACGTGTAGAAGGCATTATGCAATGTCACTCAGCAGTCAGGCTGAGGTTGCTCTTTAGATTGGTGAGTGTTTCGCTTAGTTACGCTAGTTACCAAATCACGTGTACTTAGCCTAATCGCGTTATCGTTAAGAGTACTATGCAGCCCCAACATCCTTCCCCGCAATCACAATGGCTAAACATATGTTTTCTTCGCGCTCGAGCAATATCACAAGTACTAGCGTGCCACCTAAAAATAGCATTGTCGGCGCAACATAGCATATCTAATCGCCTCCTTGCACCTCAATCATCGTCAGACGAGCCAATCCCACAATGCCTATTGAGGTAACTCGCATGACAGAGGCCGATATAGACGGCGCAATAGACACAATCCAGCAAGCCTTCGCAGATGACCCATACAACAGATGGGTATATCCTGATCGCTCAAAGGTACTTCTGTCACTTCATCGCCTCAATCCCTACCACTGACCACCTCCAGATCTCACTAACCCGCAACCGCGTCTCTCTTACTCTCCGCTGCCATTGGGGCATCCGTCATGGCCTCTTCCATGTCGCGCGCGACCCCACCTCCTCCACGCCTACCAAAGTTCTCGGATGCGCAATGTGGCTCCCACCGCACCCTCCTTCCGAGCCCGAATCTTGGCCGCTCTACCTTTCCTCCTGGACTCTCTGGCTTTCGCAAATCCGGATGAACCTATGGTACGGCCGTGGTGGGTTAAGCACAACGCGATACTGGATATGGAAGGCGCGGCAGGCAGAAGCGCAAAAGGAGCTTTGGACGAGCGAGAAGGGATACTATTTCTGTAATATCGTTACGGTGCTCCCAAAGTGTCAGGGAAAGGGCGTGGGGAGAAAGTTGATAGAGGAGGTGCTGGGTATGGCAGATAGGGAAGGAATCAGCTGTTATTTGGAAAGCAGTAGGAAGGAGCCGAATGTGGAGATTTATGAGAAATTTGGATTCAGGCTTGTGAGGGAGATGGAGTGTAGAGATGGGGAAGGGGAGCAAGATGCGATTAAGCTCTATTGTATGGTGAGGGATCCTCAGGGTGGCGGTGACGGGAATATAAAGAAGACGCAGAGTATAGATGACACTGTTGGCGCAACATCCGAGATTGCCTCATGAACGCAGGTACATGAAGTTCAGACCAATATCTCAGATATTTCCTCGAGACCCAGATCGAGATCCAGATCCGGGTCCTCAAACAATCTCATATCCCACTCGTCCGCCCTCACAGGCCCTTCGTTCCAGTCCACGCCCTCCCATCCTCCAAACACAGTCTCCGCTGCCTTCTCCCTTCCCTCCCTGTCGAATATTTCCACAATCCTTTCCGCACCCTCAATCGCCTCACTTAGCAACTCTTCACCCTCCCTCCTCACACGCCTCCCCACCGCCCCCACAACCTGCCGTACTGGCTCACCAACCCACCATCCCTTTGGCGTCCAACCCGCAAGGGCAAACCACCACGCAACCAGCACCAGCGCCTTTGGCTCCTTGTCTTTGACCAGTTTTAGAAAGTCCGGCATCAGAAACGAGCAGAAGACGTGTATGCGGACGAAGAAATCCGGGCTCAGGTGGTAGTAATACAATGACAGGAAGATCGGGGAGAGGGCATGAAAGACCGGGACTAAGATGTCGTGGTGTTCCGAGTTGGGTGCGAGGAGGGCCATGAGAGACGGGGGAAGAAACAGAGGTGCGGAGTTGGGATGTGTAAAGAAGTATGTTGACGCTGGATTGGGGTGGTCGGGAGTTGCGCCGACAGGACCTGCCTGAGTGTGATGAGAAGAGGTGTTCATGTTGGGTGGCGGTGGGAGGGTTCGCAATTCGCGGAGAATGAGGGGATAGATGGAGAGCTTTTCGATGCCTGCGGACCAGCGGAGGGACGCGAGGATGCGTAGGCCCTCGCTCATCTTCAGAATTGTGTACATCCAGTCCAGATACTCTTCTGAGGTGGAGGACTCTGGTAGAGGGACCAGAGACAGCAGAAACGTTCCTGTCAGAATAACACTTTCGTAATTCTCTGTTGTTATGTCCTGCAGTGCTTGGGTGTATGCTGAGAACGTCTTTTGCCGGTATATCAACGCCTGCTTTTCAAGGTCTTTGCGTGGACGTAGAGAGTTGCTGTGTGATGCTGCCATACTCAAAACTGCGTAGAGAAGGTAATTCTTCGAGAGGCTCATTTGGGGCACTAGCTCTCTGTGTACTATACCGACACTTTCGTCTTCGCGAGCTGGAAGGCAGCGCCATGTTGCTGTTTTATAGTGGTGGAGGAGCTCAAGGTCGATTGATGAAAGGTATCCAGATGATGTGTGTACCACCGGCACTAGCCAGGATTGTATTGAAAACTCATTGAAGTCGACTGCATCGAATGGACTCGTACTCTTGGGAGAGGCTTTGCTGGATGGTGATGATGAAGATGATGATACCGACAACGGCGCATTCGATAAGGCTTCTTGAGGATATTCGCAATTTAGTCTCCTCAGTGAGCAGTATCCACAGGCTGGCTGATCCTCGTCGCACTGCACTCTGTTATCACATACCACGTTTGATTGTATGGAAATGCATACCTTCACCTTCTTTCGCTTGCACGTCAGGCAACCGCCTCTTGACTTTCGATGTGCACGTTTACTTACGAAACCAGCGCTGCGACGTACCATCTTGGAAACAGATGTAGTGGGCTCACATTAGCTGTTTGCATTGTTGTTGAGTCAGATGAGATGGGCGCATTAGGCCTCCACTGGGAACATTGGTGCATGAGGATATGCTTGGTTAGATCGGTTGGAACAGTCACTTACGTCATGATATTGAGTAACGTACCCATGTTCTTGAGAGACAGTTCACTATTCACATGATTGAGCCTAACTCCTACTGAGGAAATATGAGAATACCCTTTTCCCTAGCAATATTAAAAGTTTGCATAAGCATAACATGCATAGATCTGTCACTGACTCTGCGCGACTCCCACCTCCTCATCACTCCCGTGCTCTTTCTTGCTGTCACTTTGCGGGACATACTTTGACGGCTGCAGAACCAGCAGCAGCATCAACACCAAGAACATCGGTACAGCATCAAATGCATACAGCGCCCACTCATGCGCGATCAGATAGCCGGAGTTACCCATAGCATACTCGATCAAGCGAAGAGTACAGCGGAAGAGAATGAGCGTGCTGACGCTATACAAAATCCAAAGCATCTTTCTCCAGTTGTTCGAGAGATCTTCGGTGGCCGTGTAGTTGTTGACTTTGCGATTCATGCGGATCTGGAAATCGACGGACGCGACGAGGAAGACAACGAAGGTGAAGACTTGGAGAGCGAGACCAGCGATGACTACTTTCTCGCCTGCGATTGCGAGATTCAATTTCATGGTGCCCATGATGCTGGCACCTATGCAGTGTTAACAGGAACTTAACTTCTCTGTTGATTGATGGGCGAACTCACCAAGGCCTTGAATGATGAGAGTGCTAACATCTGCTGCGACAAAGATGCGAGTGTACCATTTTGGTTTGATGAGAGAGACATCTTCTCCCCCAGCGAGTAGGATGGTTCTTCCGAGCATCATATAAGTTGTCGCGGCATAGAATAGGGGTCCAACGAGGAGTAGAACACCCTGAATGATGTATGCTGCCCATTCTTCGTTGTCGTAGTGGGATCCAATTCGAGCTGCAAACCCTCCAACCTCGCCTAACGTGAATGGTAAATGACTTGTTCGAGTCTTGCGGTAGAGGATATCTTACACATAGCTCCTATGACCACAAAGATGACAATATAGTTCCGAAGCTTTAGGAACTGCCAGAAATGCAATAGAGCCATTATAAGGAAGATGATCATAGCAATTATTGCGCCGACAAGGGACGGGACGTAACGGTACATCTTCCAGTCAAAATATTTGCTGCTGGGAGGATTGGCCATCTTGCAGCTTGAATAGTACCAAAGACTAGGAACGGTGGAGAGTGTATGAAACACTAAAGATCAAGTGTAGAAGTAGTGGATACAGTACGTCGTCAGGAAGAGAAGCTGTGCATGGAAAGTAAGGAGGTGAGAAAGCATCTTAAATACATTCCAACGATGGAGTAGACAAAGTCTGACAATCTCGCATTGGTTGTTTCTACATTCGCATTCGTCTATCTTACCTTTTCCGGAGTCTCATGTTCATGGTCGATATCAGAGTGTATGACGGAGTTTGGTAAACGGCGCTAAATTCGCATTCGACAATCGTCACTTTTGACGCTAAATTCGCATTCGTGAGCCAATGGGAGGAGGGGGCGATCTGCAAGGAACACAACAACATGCTAAGATCTCATCTTGAAAACGATCAAACGGAGGCTTGTCAAGGATATGAATAACAACGTGGATTGTGTGGCTGCAAGAACTTGAGCCGTTTCATTACCGGGATAATAGAATGATAGTTTAGCAAGGTATAGAAACTTGACGACGGCTGGCAATATCGTCTACAAAGAAATGGAAGCTACAGCCATACATTCCTGGCCTTCAAGAAGCTTCGCAGGGCTGAAGACAGCGTGGCCTTTGCGAAATTGAAGGAAATTGTGGAGGGAGATAGCTTCCATCTCTAAGATGGGACGGGTCTTGGCGAGCACAGACCAATTTCGCCGTCGAACACGTTGCGAGAAAGGTCGACGCTACCCCCTCTCACCACCCAACTCCACGTTGCTCGCAACTACTTCTTCTTCACTTCGTTTTGTCTCTTTTCCTTCTTTCCAGGCCATAGACTCGCAATCATGAGCGGCCGTAAGTGCTCCTCTCAGCTGCAATTGCGACGCGACGGATGGTCGCAAAATAATTGGGAGCAGCGCATAGCTAACATATCAATTGCTTGTAGTACGGTTCCTCGACCTCGTTAAGCCTTTTGTTCCTCTGGTCCCTGAGATTCAGCTGCCAGAGAGCAAGGTTCCATTCAACAACCGACTAGTATGGACTGGTCTGACGCTCCTGGTCTTCCTGGTGATGAGCCAGATGCCGCTGTACGGAATTGTGTCGTCTGATACTTCGGATCCGCTATACTGGCTGCGCATGATGATGGCGAGTAACAGGGGAACGCTGATGGAGCTCGGTATCACACCAATCATCACTTCCGGCATGGTCTTCCAGCTCCTCGCGGGTACCCACTTGATCGATGTCAACCTCGACTTGAAGTCGGATCGTGAGCTCTACCAGACTGCTCAGAAGCTACTCGCCATCTTGTTGTCCTTCGGCCAGGCCGTCGTCTACGTCATCTCGGGTCTCTACGGACAGCCGTCTGATCTCGGTGCCGGTATCTGCGTTCTCCTCGTCATTCAGCTCATGATCGCCGGTTTGATCGTTATTCTCCTCGATGAGCTGCTCCAGAAGGGCTACGGTCTTGGAAGCGGTATCTCTCTCTTCATTGCGACCAACATCTGCGAGTCCATCATGTGGAAGGCTTTCTCGCCCACCACTATCAACACTGGCCGTGGTCCTGAGTTTGAGGGTGCCATCATCGCCCTTGTGCACCTGCTCTTCACCTGGCCCAACAAGACTGTCGCTCTCAAGGAGGCTTTCTACCGCCAGAACCTCCCCAACGTCATGAACTTGATCTCCACGGTCATTGTCTTCGGCGCTGTCATCTACCTCCAGGGCTTCCGTGTCGAGATTCCCGTCAAGTCTGCCCGCCAGCGTGGTGTCCGCGGCTCATACCCCGTCCGCCTGTTCTACACCTCCAACATGCCCATCATGCTGCAGTCGGCTTTGTCTTCCAACGTCTTCTTGATCAGCCAAATGCTGTTCAGCCGCTTCTCTGATAACCTCCTTGTCCGTCTTCTCGGTGTCTGGGAGCCCAAGGAAGGATCTGCTCAGCTTTTCGCTACCTCTGGCATTGCTTACTACATGTACGTCCAAAAGTCGCCTCGACACACTTTCAATATCTAACATAAATCAGGTCCCCTCCTCTCAGCATCTCCGAGGCTCTCTCTGACCCCTTGAAGACCGCTGTCTTCATCACCTACATGCTCGTCGCCTGCGCCGTCTTCTCGAAGACCTGGATCGAAGTCTCTGGTTCATCCCCCCGCGATGTCGCTAAGCAGCTCAAGGAGCAGGGTCTTGTGATGGCTGGTCACCGTGAGGAGTCCATGTACAAGGAGCTCAAGCGCGTCATTCCTACTGCTGCTGCTTTTGGTGGTGCTTGTATTGGTGCTCTCTCCGTTGGCAGTGATCTTCTCGGCGCTTTGGGCAGTGGTACCGGTATCCTGCTTGCTGTTACTATCATCTACGGATACTTTGAAATCGCCGCCAAGGAGGGCGACATGGCTGGCCTTAAGGGTATGGTCATGGGATAAATGGCTTCCACACTTAGGAGAAGTGGAGGATTGGAATGCGTTTGAATGTTACACATCTTCTTATTGGATTGGAGTTGATGACCATGGCTTAGATGCTGCAGAGCATCATGTATACTACGAAGGGCAAGACACCAAAAGTAAGCATCGTATGTTGGAAGGCCCAAAAGTCATAACGTCTTATTCGCGTGGCGTTTGCCATCTTGCCGTTTTGGGCAGCTTGTATGTGTACATGGTCTGTCTAGAGTAATGTACAATTACGATGTGTATGCTTTGTCCGAAACTGAACCTCCTGGTCTGGCGCCATGTGCTTTTTATTCCTTGCCCCATCCATCTCGAGCAGCTCCTTCATTGGGGTCGAGTGGAGGAGTTGCGAGCTCACAGACATATTACTGTTGTTGCTGTGCCTCTAAACGATGGCTTTGAATGGTCGGATGCCTGTTGCTTATATGGGCTTTGCCTTGCGGAGAGGTCTCCAGGGAATGTAAACTAGGTTGTTAAGGCATGCAATGAAAACTAGGCATGAGACTGTGTAGATTGTTTAAAATCCAATTTCTACCTTTTACATCTCGTGGTATCAATGCAGAAATACAACACCCATGCACAATAACCAACATCACTACTCTTCCTCCCACCCCTCAGGCAGCGTTCCAATAGCCCTAGGTTTCCACAACCCCACCACCTTCTGCGGCCCTTTGATTTTCTCCTTTACTTCCTTTTTCTCTTCCCTATCCTCCTCCACAGGCAGGCCCGTTTCGGTATTCTCGACGTCCATGTCATCCACATCTACATCCACGCGCGCCTTTTCCCTACTCTCAGATACCACAATTTCTTCACCTCCCGCAGCCGCCAAAACAGCTATCCACATCTCGCGACCCGCCACCGTCTCATCCTGCAATATCCTCCCCGCAAGCTTCAGATTCCAAAACGTCGGGTCCGAGAAACACCGCATGAGTATATCTTCACGAATCTGATCCGTCGGGCGCGCGACCTTCCATTCCTCCGAGCAGAGCATGTGCGAGATCCATTCGTACATGCCCTCGCGGACGGGGTCCACCTCGACATGTGTCCCGGCCGAGGCATTCATCGCGTCCATCATGTGCGTGAGCAGAAGTTGTCGTAAAGGCGGGAAATGGGAGCAGAAAGTGAGGAGCAGTGGTGTCCAGACGAGGAATGCGCCGGACATGCTGGACCCATATTTTTTGTCTGCGGGGAGTACCATTTTCTCGCCAACAAGAAGTTCAACGAGGAGTGTCTGCGTGTGCGCAGGCGAGTGCGAGGTGCTGCTCGGCGCGAAACGGAGGGTGTAGTTCGACAGTGCGTTTTCAGCGGCTTTGGACGCCTCACCATCCTTCCGGCGCGTTTTGATCTCTGTCTTTCGCTTCTTCACGTACGCTTTTAGAATGCCCATCAGCATGTCGCTGACGCCCTCTTGCTCCTGTCCGGAGGGCTTGGTGAGGGAGAAGGCGTGGTCGAGTTGCGCCCAGTACCATTCCCAGAGCCAGTCGAGGGACGTTGCTGCGGCGCGTTTGAGCTCGGCGAGAGAGGGGAGGTGGCGGTGCACGATTCGGTGGCGGATTTCAAGGAGGGAGGTGGGTAGTTGGAGGGATTTTCCGGGTGGGAACCAGGAGGGTCGGTCGCGGGTGAGCTCTATTTGGGTGTCTGCGAGGCCGGTGATGAATCTGGGGGTTATTAGAACGATTGTTGATGATGGGATTTGAGGATTCGACGATGACAGAAGAACATGTGAACGCTTGGATGGAAGGAATACATAGGAGAAATTTGTGAAAAGTGAAATATGGAGACTGGATTAGAGAAGTAGGGACAGTGAATATCGAAAATGGAGATTGACATTTTAGGAACGATGTGAAATTGGAGAGGAACGAGAAAGATGGTTTAGGAGAAGTGCATATTGGAGGCCCATAAGATAGAAGAAAGTAAATAGACAAGACAAACACCGAACGAGTAACAATACATCAACGCTGATATGCACGCACCTTGAAATGGCAGTAGCATACAATAACCGTAGCGCATTATGCGCCAGCAGTCCTCTCTCATCCTGGAGCACTACATCGACAATGTCTGCAGTAGAGTCCAACAGTAGCGGCAGGTCAGGTTTCCGCGACCGCCATGCCAATACCTATATCTGAACATCAGCCCAACATCTCTTCTCAACATCTCAAAATGCTGCAAGTGAAACACAGAGCAGTAGAACAAAGTACACATACCTTGTTAATCGCTTTCTCCCTTCTGTCGCTCTCACCCCGACTGTAAAAATCACATCGCACCTGCAGCAACTCCTCGCTACTACGCCACGGCGTGACAACAAAGTCCGAATCCAAATCCATACGCGTCAAAGACCTCGTCTGATGCGATTGGCCAGGTTAGGTCCCTTGCTCCAGCTTGGTATGATGTGAGAATCAGCGTCTGCACGTGAGTTCGCGTACGCTTGAAAATTTCGCCATGCCAAGTCAACTCAGATCATGCACCCATTTGACGCAACACTATTAAAATTCACATCACAGCCCACCAATCAACCAATATCATGAAAGAAAGACCTCGCTAGTGAATCAGCCTAGATAAGTGTGAATGGTCGGTTTGTCGGAATTGTACATCGATCTGTGCAAACTGTACACTACGATCAGTTGCCCCACAGGAAGTGGGATCTAACCTACCAATGTAGTAAGGCTCACAAGTCATTGACTACCTCGCATTCTGTCGTACCATGAAGTACGATTCTAGAATGGTGCAGCCGCGTGTCAAGAGATGATGTTCCGCACCAACCGCGCTTAGCAATTAGGGTCTGTAGGGCGGCGCAACGTGCGCAGTCGAGTTTCGCGCTAGAAAGGGTTGTGTACCTACTGGTTGAGAAAGGAAGGTGCGGCGGCTTCGCCGAGACTGCGCGAGGTCGAGTTTGTACCGTGACTCCGGGTACGATATGCGTTGCAAGCGCGGTGTCGCTAGTCGGTGCTGAGTCGATTGAGTATGAGGTGCTGACTTGACCCGTGGGTGCCGGTAGGATTGAGCATGGTTCGTTGTCGGGCCTTTGGTAAGACCAGGTAGGCAATGTCTGAGGTGCTTGGCAGAAGGTGACACCACCGGAAAGATGACGCCAGTGGATTGGGTTTGGTAGGTTGCGGTGTGGGCTACCACTAAAGATTGACATAGTAGTGTACGAGGCGGCTTGTGGAGTCAAGGATATACCAGGCTAGATATGCTGATCAATTCACGGCAGTTGCGAAACGGGAGATTTTTTTAAAAGGCACCATGTTATTATGGAAACGCCTTGTATGGCGTCTCGACTGACAAGTTCAAGTTTCATCTATCTTTACGCCAATCGATGTACTAGCTTAGTGAGCTATTCAGCCAATGAAGGCGAAGGGTATTTGTAACAGTCCTTTTCCCAATGCTCCATCCCAAGAAGATATGCCAAAACGCCTCGCTGTACAAAAGCAATATAATAAAAATGACGTGGTGTTGGAACAATTCAACATCCCATATGAAACTCTATCCACATTCAAAGCCAGCCATACCCTAGCCCAACGTCCTGCACGGGCATCGAGGGTTGCTTCGCCTGCTGGTACCACCACTCCTTGGACGCCGTCTCATCCTCATCAAAGAAAAAGCTCCGACCGTCCATGTTTCCTGGGGTCTGAGCTTTAACGTGAACCGGCATCTGTAATTGCTGGGACTGTTGATTCATCGATGCAAATGGCGGTGACGGCTCCTCAATGCTGGCGTCTGAGCTCGCGTCATCGTCATCTTCATCCTCATCATCGTCCTCCGGTGGTTGCCAGGTCTCTTCCAGCTTCAGGCCTTTGCCTGTTGCCTCCATGAGCCCGTCCCAAGATGGAGATGCCTCTGGTCGGTCGTAAAGACCTAAGCCGACAAGCTCTTTCCCATCATCTTCTTCCATCTCTTCATCCTGTTTAATGGATTGGTGAAAATGGGGGAAGTCGTTGGAGCCATTTTGTGACATTGCATTGATCTGGTCTTGGTTCTTCTGAGCCCATTGTTGTAAGTACCACGGCAGTGGTTCAGTGGTCGGAGTGGACAAGGCAGAGTGGGCGTAGTTGGGTGTTTGCTGGAGAACGTTTTGCCAGCTGCTATCAGACTCATCTGAACCACGGTGAACACCGTGCACTACGGGGCTGGTAAAGTAACTCGGCCTTGGTTCGTATATGGAATCGCGAGTTGAGATCGAGTAATAGTCGGATCCATGAGCAGAGGCTCGTGAAGACACAGGGTGTTGTCGTGACCAATCTTGTTGATATGTCGACTCTGCATATGGCGAGGATTGAGAGGCGTAGAACTGTGCAGAAGATGGGTGCCAGCTGACTGGTCTACTGGGTTGTGGACGAGTCTCGATGACCTCCTCGGATCCCGTGATTCCGAACATCATTTTGTAGTGGTCGTCCAATGTTGCGTAGATCTTGGGTTCGGTGGTTGTTTTTCTCCTTTCCATCATTCTCGGGCTGTTGTGGTGACTCCTGGGCTTCTCGATACGGGATGAACGGCATGTTGACTGCGTGCCAGAACACCGAGAGGTGCGTCGTGGAAGCTGTGAGTTGTGCATTTGAGAAGACATGGTGAGTATGTCATATGCTGGGAAGGAGGACGTCATTTTGAATGGCCTCGAGGAAACTGATATATCCAAATGGGTTGTGTTGTGAAGGCTATTGGGCGGCAATATGAATCAATCAAAAGCGTGCCGACCTGGGGGTAACTGCATAGGTATAAGAAATGCCAAGAGATATGGACAAACTGGGAAGAGATGATGGGGAAATTGAGAAAGAGCGACATTGCGGCACGAAAAGAGTCATGGTACAAGGAATGTCAGGGCTAAGCTAGTGCAAACTCAAGGACAACTAAAGGTGGGATACCTAGTTGCAGACAGGGAACAGAAAGTTATCGACTATACGATGCCATACAAGGGATAGCTTGGTGAGTGAGCTGTGACGACTAGGCGGGAGTGGCACGGCTGGAACGATCAACGAAAGAGCATGGGACGCAGACGACGAAAATGAACGCCAGGAATGACCAAATCACAGGACAGGGACGGTAGACAACAACCAGGGCGGGTACCGATGTATCGTGGCGCGACGGAGCTTCCGTGCAGCGGAGGTTGGCCGGCTCATTGTGACAAAAGCAAGGGAAAGCACCACGTCCACAAAGATGATGGCAGAATGCGGTAGTGCGACTAGCCTCTGGGACAGTCGAACCTCAAGTACGACTCAGCTGCGCTCCGTGCCGGGGTCAAGAGTCGTGTGCATGGAGGCGGTAGGCGGTCAGCTAGCCTTGTAGAGGTTGACTGATGGCGGACGAGGGCATGGGTACTCGGCAGCTTTGAAGGTTTAGCCGCTCCAACGACGAGGCATAATTAGTGGGAGGAGGCCGGGGATGCTACGATACTGGGAGAAAGGGACGAGCCAATCGTCAGGCGACCAGTGTGATGGACGAAATTGTTGATGGGGGTTGACCTGTGGGAGGGGCGGTGCATGCTGCAAAGTCCGGACGCGTTGCCAGGCGCCAGCAGCAATCGTCAGATCAGGGCCCGATCAAGGCCAAACTCTGGTTGGTGCAGTAGTTTCGGAAAGAGTGGAAAGCAAGTTCGGGCTCGCTGCGCTAGACATGTTTTCACGGCTGGGTAGAGTACGAATCACCGTCTAGCAAAGCAAGGGAGTCTTCTCCACCACCGCCCGTTCTTAGCGCCTCCTGCAGGTCGCGCAAACCAAGCAGCTGGCACATGGATATCCAAGCGCGATCTGGGGTGCTCGCAGTCCCGTAGTGGTGATTGGCGTATTCGCAACCGACTGTCTTCCAGAAATCGACATGCAGCCCGCCTTCCCTGCAAGAGCCCACCTGTAACGGGCACGGTGAGCCCGTGACATGGGCTTTTCCAGGGTAGATCCGGATCGGAATGAATGTGGCATCAGACATCTGCATCGCCGGTTGGAGGTCACACACGCAACGGCAGCACCCTGACGGAAATTGCAGCAGTTGGGGACATTGCAGCCACTCGGCACTGAGGCAAATCTGGCAGCCTCACGACTATCGGATGCCCCCCTAAGCTAAGAGCAGTCCGAGCACATAGCAGCCGTCTGCGCCCCCGGGGCCTCCACCCACGCTGAGGGGCGTGGGAGTGTGCCGTCACCACGGATGCCTCAAGTAGCCCGTATGCACCCGCCGAGTTTGATAACCCCGTTGCGTTAGACATGACCAGAAAAAGCACAGTGACATTTCACCGGGCCCGTCTTCGAAACCACACCCATGACTAACGTCGAACATCACCATTAGACGACCAAGCCACCGGCGCTCACTGTCCAGGATACGAATGCACAACGCACAAATGGAGAACCCACCCCGAAATTGAATTGAGGCACAGCACATGATGACAATGATCGTGTTACAATGATATCAGCACCTGGGCGGAAACGGGCATACGCGCGTCCATGTGAAGGGATGTTATTTTTCGAGATCATCCTCATTCGAGCACACAACTCGTACCTACCTAGGCAACTCGAGCGTACGAAGGACCTCGCCGCGCTGTAGCATAAGTGGGTTGTTGACTAGATTACGCATGCTACCTCTCCATGTAGGCCATTACAGTTTTTCGATCCCACGCGTTGGGTTCAAACGCAACTAACATGCCACCTAGGTAGACTACGTACTCGTATTGATACGCCTGTAAACTCAACCGCCTCCAACTATTAATGAATTCTTCCGCTACCATCAGGTATATAACAAGACCACCAATCAGGAAGTGAAGATGCCTCCATGAAGGTGACGAGGTTAGGCAACGATCGTGACCTTCCCACCCCACAGATACCATACTTAGAGCGGCAACACCGTTCGATAACGAGAAATCCCCGGGCATGGCTTGTGGTTCAGCCGAAGCGCCGATAATCCTAGTTATGTCTCGCCTAAATGATCGGCAGCGGTACAACGCGGACACATGGATGCTTTTGGCGATTCAATGCACCGGATCATGTCAAGGGGCTTGCATCAGTGTCTTGTCGCCGTAAGAAAGTGTGTGGCATTTATACGCATGGACCAGCCATCGACATCTGCTTCGCGGCAACACGGCGCCATCCACCTCCTTGTGCAAAGTTCCTCGTGCTGACGCATGAAACTGTGGAGACGGATACTTGTGTCTGGCCGCTGGGCGCAAGAGGGGACTAATTTTGCTAGCAGGCAAATTCTCCCAACATCGCTGTCCTGGCATGCCGGCAGGCCGCCGTATACACGAAAACTGGCTACAGACGTACGTGTATCAGCATCGCAATTGGTCTGCTCGGTTGTTTCACGAATGAGATGCGCTGTACTCCACATTTCAGCGCATCCCACGTATCTATCACGCTCGGCATAACTGCAAGCCTCGGGTGCTTTGATGACACTTTGAATCCCAGCCCGTCTTGTGCATCACGAGACAGGCAATGTGCAAGCGCCAACCTACAAACCATGTCTATCGGTACCATGTGCAAGATTGTTGAAGGATCATATCTGCAAATCCTGCGAACCGGTGTCGGATCGAGATGTTGGATATTGACCTGCGTCAGTTTGAGGTCGTTGGCTGGAAAAACTCTTCAAAGCTCTGGTGTGCGACCATCTAGGTACGCCTGCTAGTTATGGTGTGGTTTACTGATCTGGTATTCGTCAAGCGCGGCGGTCCCAAGCAGTCCGTGTCGGCTGGACTCTCGCATCGTGAGACTGGACGCGAGGTCTTGCTTCTTGAGTGTGTCCGCCTGGGCAAGCGCCGCCTATCTCTGACAGCCTCCGCCAGCAATCTGTGACGCGGGAACAAAACCTTTGATGACGTACACCTTAGGCAGTCCACGAGACGGGTGGACCCAGACGTGGCGTTGCATCGTTGAAAAGCGGTGGGCAAAAGAAAATGTTCCAACTTGCAGCATGAGCGGCGCCAACCTGCACGGATAAATGTTCCCGATGGACATGGCTGCCGCTGCATCAGTCCGTTCGTTACAGTTTTGCGGCAAGGAAAACTCCTCCAAGTGGAACAAGTTGTTTTGCATGGTTGACCACAGGATTCCTACCATGTCTCCATCAAGGGGTTTCGTAGCACGCAAGGATGGTTCGTAAGCACCGTCGGAAAGGACCCTCCGATCTTGCCCCGGCACAAGACAAGCCTGACCAGAGAAGATGCGTGAGATGGACAGGTTGCATGAAGAAGATTTATTTGGCGGACTAGGGTGTACTTGTGGACAGCGGCGATCTTAAATGTGCTCTAGCGAGTCCGACTGACGCATGTTCTAGACTCTATTTAGGGCGGCATTGATACACCAAGAGGTCATTGCGCGGCAGCCAGGCAGATGCTCGGGTGGGCTTCCCCATGTTCGTCGCCAAGGTGGTCTTGTCCCATGTTTTCCGGCAGCGGTTAACCACCACCCACATAAGTATTAATTACCACCCACATAAGTCACCCTTTTCTAGACCCAGAAACTCATCAATTCTGGGCCAATTTTTGATTTCTGAAACTCAGAATCATCAGAAGTTTACCATTTCAGTCAGTCTATCTAAAAAGATTGACACTTTTCTACCCGAGTATGGGTAGAAAATAGGAGGAGAAGAGCTTGTTCGTGAACGGAGGAGATGATGCTAAGGAGTCTCTACTATTTTAGGAGGTGGGTCTTTCTTGGCGCGTTCTCGTTGGCTGAAACAGCCACCAGAAAGTCTTAAGTGGGTGGTAATTAATACTTATGTGGGTGGTGGTTAACCGCTGCCATGTTTTCCGTGTGCTGTCGCCCTATTTTGGACCTCATTCGAGTAACACATGTCGGGTTTCTCCGTCACTTCGACAACGTGCGATCATATGCGGGTGCAGCTATCCATCCATATTCTGCCGATCGCTAGTATGTCGCCAAAAACAATCACCCCTTCTCCAGACTCGGCATGTGCCAACGCAAATGTGGAGAAGGAGGATATTGGAGTTTAGTGCATAAATCCCAGCAACATGTAGGTTCTCATAAGGCTCGAAAGTAGCTTTGGGCCAGTCGGCAGACGCAACAGCAGCGACTTCGCTTATTTGGGCGTGCGGAAGACCCGCATTTCGTCTCACCAGTCATGCTTTTATATGGAACTTTCCTACAAAGTCATGGACTCCAATAAGCCTCTTCATCAAGGATGCTCAACGCCTCTGCCACTCTCACCGCCCTGGTCCAGTGCGCGGTGCTTCCCCTTGATGGACCGAAAGTGACTTATTGCAAAGGCAGGTCGTTTCGGCTCTTGCAACAGAGGACTGATTCAAGACCAAGTACAACTAGTGGCTGAGATGGTTGTCTTGTTGTTTGTTTTCCCTGCTTCATAGCTGCTCTCTTTACATGGTTGCTGCTTGTATCCGCAGTGGCAGCCTAGCACTAGGTACCTGTGAGATCCTAATCCCGAGAATCAATCCAACGTGTCTATCGCCGATTCAATCCTCGGCATAACAACTCAGCCTCAGGGTGAGGCGCTTGGTAGCGCAATCTCCGAGAGGATAGTAACTTCCATAGGATCGACTTGTTCCGTGACATTTCAAGATCAGACATAGAGCTACACCACGCTTACTCGATACGGCTACGTCACTGTGACAGCTTGTAATACTAAGCCCCAATCCGGAAATTGTATTCCACAAGGACAAAGTTTGTTTTACTCATCAACTCGTACCACACTCGCAGTACACAAAGCACCACATCCCTGTCGAGTGTAAGATTTAATTGAATCACACGTCGCTGTGGACTTTAACCGATCATGCGCACTGCGTCCGACGATGCGTTAACTTCGATCTCAGGCTCATTAGTCGCGGCTGATGAGGTGCGCCATGGGCTAAAACAGCCACTACCGAGCGCCATCTAAATCAAAGCAAGATTCATGCAAAACCTGCTCATAATAACAGTCACCTTCCAACTTTTGTCGACGGATCTACACGTCCTGGAAGAGGCATCCACATGTGATATCTCTACAGGATAAATTTCTTCTTGTACTGCACAGGGGTGTAGTACGATGTCCATGTTTTACGTTTTACTAAGAGTATAGCCTAGGTATCTTGCCAGGCCTCACTTGATGGCAACGCTCAGTACGACGCTGCATAGTCAACCTGCGGGTATACCTCCATCTAATGTATGACGATTAAATCTATCCGAGAGATGCACGCGCGTATAACGCCCCAACATTCAACACCAAGCCAATCGCTAGCATGCATACAATGCAGCCTAGGTAGGCAACCCACACGACGGGCTGATGCGGCGATTACAGTCTTACGAGTAACCTATTTTATATGCCCTTGGGACGCCCAAGACCGCTCACCTGCATGAGTTTCAAGCAACGGGCCAAGCGGTGTGCTTCCGACTGCGACGCATTGCGTCTTTCTGCCCGACCTGCCCGCTAATCCAAGCTCTACAACCTAGCATCATGCTGTTTGATGACTACTGCAGTCATCACACTAAAAGCCTTGCACACCAAACGTGCCGCTCCGTCAGCCCTCGCATACCCCCTCCGTTCTAGGAAGCTCCTAGGCGATCAACAAAACCTGGATCGTTCCAAACACACAGCCAAAAACAACGTGCGCGACACCACAAGGTTGATACCTTTTAGAGCCCCTCGTTTGACTTGCAACTTGTGGTTCGTTTTCGTCTGATCTTCCCAGGCCGATCAGCATGCGCGTCGTTTTTACGTTACCGTGTTACTGCCGCTTGTGTTTCGTCACCGCACTTGGACATCTCATCTACCGGGTGCGAGAAATGCAATATGCCGTTACAGCGAAGAGTTAGACAACAACCACCAGGGAGCCGTAAGATGATTCATGATCGGTTGAGCACTGTCAGCAGTCAGCCATCTGCCGTGTCTTCGCATTTACCCGAATATAGACATGGGAACAAGACTCAGGCGTAGGCTGTCCATCCTAAAGCAATAGTCCTTCAAACGGCGTCGACAGCTCTACAAGGCAATTCTAATCCAGATGCCACTCTTGGGAATTTCGCGGATGACTGCTCGTTACGACCTGCAGCAAACTTCCATGGCGTTCGGAACTGTGTTCCCTCGTTGGACCGGAATTTATAGCCGCACGCAGGAAGCATAGCAGTACAGACGCTTACCACGATGCAAAAAAAAGGCCATGGGCCAAGTCCCATCATAATCCAACCATGCTTCCCAACATTCTCGATCGGTATGAAGAAGACGACACGTTATGCGACGTGATATCATCGAACTAGTACCGTAATCATCTCGTCGTCGCACTGATTGTAGATAGGCGGTTAGTTCCTCGGACCACACACGTACCTACCTACCTACATGATAGCCCTCCCTCCCATCACGATTACCGCGTACAAAGAACCCTGAACACCATACATACACACAACCGACAAACGTTTCATCGCTGCAACCTAGCGGCGCTCCCCAACCGGTCTGTGGTCTATATATGTATGTATATGTGTATGGATGGATGGGATGATGGAGCTGCCAACGCAGACTTGGTCATCCGCATCTGCATTTGCATCCGCCTCAACATCCGCCTCAGCATCAGCGGGAAGAGGGGATATGGTTCCGCGCGCTGCTGCACATACATACCGGTAGACGATGGACGTGCATACACGCATGCGTATATGCACGCATGCACGAACTTGTCAGTCGCAGGCCCGTCTGTCGATCACCCGGGGGTTTCGTAATGCGGACTTGTCCGCTGTGCTTAGCTAGCTGGCTGGCTGGGTACCTTTTTGTCCGGCCGCTCGCTCGCTCGCAGATTTGTCGACGTCTTCGGCGTTGGGACGGAATGGGGAAGTAGGGTATAAAGTATAACGACGAATGTGTAAAGTATAATGTATAAACAGTAGAGTTTGACCTCGCGTTTAGACCGGGGGTGGCTGTACTGTTGATGGTAAGCGAGCATGCAGTGGCTCGGCTCGTGGAACACTGTTTGAACGAAAACGGCGGCTGTACTTCTCCTACTACGAGGACTTTTCAACTCTATTCCTTCTGGCTACCCTTTCCGACAGACGGATGAATTGTCGATACTCTACACCTTCTAAATCTATCATAAACCCCTCACCCTCATCCTTTCTACACCCCTTCCAAAGCGTGTGAGGAAATGAGCCCCTACTCCTACTCCTCCCATTTACATACATTACCTAAAACCACACCTCTATTCCTACCCTACATAACTTGGCAAGCACACATCCTTTAGCAAGACATGAAAAGAACATAAACAGCCCCACAACACCCACCCATCCCTTCAATTCAATTCAATTCAATTCTCTTCCATCAAGCAAAAAGCCCCACAAACCCCCATCAAGCAACGAACACGCGTGCTCGCAGCAGTGTATAGACCAGCTACTCAGTTCGTAGGAGAAGGTTGCTTGGCTAGTACTTGCACTATGTGGTTTTATGAGTCGTTATGGGTTTAGCTTTTTTGCTGTGTTGGGGTAGGTGTGCTGTGATGCTTTCATAACAAGTACAAAAGCTGGGGACTGGGGACTGGAGGGATGGTGGAAGGGAAGGGGAGTGTGTGTGTAGGCTAGTTACCCCATCCGTCGATCGATGTTGTATCGAACAATCCACTTCATCGCCTTCCTTCCCTATCTTTATTCTCTCTCTCTGTCACGGTTCACAACCCAAAGCCAAACCAAACTTCGATCACTGCCTGGGCTCTCGAACACGCGTCCGCATTGGTACATTTAGCAGCCAGTTGTCAAGAAACGGTTAATCAGCTCCCTGTTGCTATTACTGTGTACTCTCACTAATGTTTACTATGTGCAAAGGGGCTAGGTATCAGCTTCTACACTAAGTTACTATACTAGATCCTTACTGTGTTGCATCTATCTGCTGGTACAATAAGCATGAATACGCTATAATCCTGAAATAATTCTCTCTCTGTATGCTAGCCTCGCATACGTCTCCCAACATCCGGCACGCTCCTCGCTTTCTATCTATGTATCTATCCATTTACCCGTCTGTCCGTGTATCTGTCTATGGATGGCTCGCTGGTACGCTGGGTTTAGATTTGAAGGATAGGTATTGGCTTGGAATACAACACACCCGGCATATCTATCAGTATTATATCTTCGATGGACCCGTTTGTTCATATACATGGTACGATTTTGTCTCGTGGTATGCTAATCTACCCAACCAGCCAGTAGATCAGAAGAGAAAAGAACAACCCTTGCTCTGTGGGATTGTTTACGAGTTCCCACCTTCTCGCTCCAAGGTGAGAAGGACATACTCGTCTACCTTTCTACTTACCTAGCCGACTAGACAAGACAAGAGTATCTATCGAATTATCACGATAGAAGTGGATCTGCATGTTGATACTGAAAACAAAGTCTTCCATGTGCAGGTTTTATGTTCGGTGTACATCACAATACAATAACGTTCACATAGATTTATACAATTGCATGGTTTGTACATGGTCGGGTTGTATATTATGTATGTATATATGCACATGGTGGATAAGATAGATCCTGGTATCCACATTCATTGTTCCCAAGGCTCCTGTCTCCCCTCCACTCCTCTCTGCTACACGAGAGCTGCACACATACCGTGATGTGCTATCCTGTTTGTATGTACATGTGCATGATGGTTTGGAGATGTGACTCGTACCATCTACTCCAATGCTGAATTCCACGCTGTATCTACGTGAGACTTTGGTCTCCCGTTTCCGATGTCGCAAAGCGTGGTTTTGGGGTTGATGTTGTTTCCTCGGTTGGTACTTCTTCCGCACCTTGGCCTTGTTCTCGTCGCTCGATAGGCACTGTTGGTACAGACCCATACCTCGACACTTGTCACGTCATTGTGTAGGTCTCCTCGTAGAGATGCGCCCTCACAACATCAAATCCGAATCGGGCTGCCACAGCAAAAAGTCCTTGTCGGCAGACGCCAGCAGATTTGTCCGCGGGTTGTAGCCCACGACAGCCGCCTTGCCGTGTCCCGGCAGCTTCTCCACCGGCTCGAGAATGTTGTTGGGTGCGGGCGGTTGGGCAATATCCCAGACCAGCAGTCCGTCCTCGCTGCTGCCTCCCAGCAGATACTGTCCGTCAGGCGTGACACACACATCGCCCTGGCCTACCGGCTGCCTGGTCCCATTCGCGGTTGCGCCGGGGGCAAGACGGCCCGAGGAGCCTGCCTTGCGGTAGCAGAAGTGGGTGATGTCGCCTGAGAAGGCGTCGAGGACGAAATGACCACTTCCATTTGTGGCGACGACGAGGCTCTTGCCGTCGTTTGTGAACTCGAGCTTGGTCCAGTCGGCCTTTTGAGTGCCCATGAAGCGCTGCTCGAGCTCGAGCAGGTCGAAGCTGGCAAAGGGCGGCTTGTCGTAGTTGCGCACGTCGTACAGCAGGACCGAGTGGGTCGGGGGCGAGGCGACGGCGATGACGGTGGCCGAGGGGTCGTAGACGGCGAGGTAGGGGGCGTGCAGGTTCAGCAGGCCGTGGTAGTTGGGCGACGAGAGGTTCCACAGGCGGACCGTGTTGTCGCGCGAGCACGACAGGAAGGTGTCGGACGAGGGGCACAGGGCGATGGAGGTGACGGTGTCGGTGTGGCCCTTGAAGTAGCGGATGTACGAGTTGTCGTGCGAGGACAGGAAGCGCAGGGCGTCGTCGACCATGGTGCTGGCGTAGATGATGCTCTGGGCATGGTGGGAGAAGCGGGCGAGGTGGACGCCGTACTTCTGGCTCTTGAGCTCCTTTGCGTGCTTGCCCTCCTTGCAGTTGTAGATCTGGAGCGTGTCGTCGTCGCGGGCCACGAGGGCTAGCTCGCCCGTGTCGTCGAAGTCGAGTGACGTGACCGACGTGGTCGGGCTGGGCGTCTTGAAGCGCTGGGGGGATGGTCAGCGTCAACACGGCTATGCCGGACACGACAATCTCACTCTCGACGGGCGGAAGCTCGCCATGACGTCGCCCACTTTCTGCGTCGGCGGGCCTGCAGGCGGCGGAGGCGCGCCGGGGGTTTGCGAGCCCGTCGCCATGTTGAAGCTCTACTGAAGCTCTACTGAAGCTCTACTCTCTGCCGCGTCTTGTCTGGCTATGTTGCAGCATCTCCCCCAAGAGACGCGTCGTAGTCGCGGTTGGTTGGGTGGAGCGCGTCGCAGTCGTGGTCTGAACCGACGGAATGCGCAAAAAGATGGAGCTCAGACACTGACTGACGCATTCGGCACTAAATCGTCATCCGGCTTCGGAGCAGCGCCAGACATTCTTCAGAGCCAGCATTCACCGTGATTTACAGCACCATGCGACCCTGACCTCAGCTTACCGTCCTCTCTTTGCTTTTCGCACCTTCTTCTTCCTTGTTTCCATCCATCAGGACATCACTCGTTGTACCATACGGCGTCGAATACTCGTTTCCCTAGATTCTCCAACTTGTCGCAAGACGAGCGAACATGTCTACGACGCTTGGGTAGGCCTTCCTGGTGACATACAACATGTGCAATCCCTGACAATCTACCCAGGTCCTTCATCGCCGGCGGCATTGCAGCGTGCGGCGCCGTCACAGTCACCCACGGCTTCGAGACGGTCAAGATCCGGTGCGCAGCCACGCCCAACACGCGCCCAGCACGCCATTGACAAGCACGCAGACTGCAGTTACAAGGCGAGCTCCAGGCCAAGAAAGACGCAGTGCGCCAGTACAAGGGCGTCTTCCACGGCGTCGGCGTCATCATCAAGAATGACGGCCCCAAAGGCCTCTTCCGCGGGATAGGCTGCGCGTACTTCTACCAGATGGTCCTCAACGGCTGCCGTCTGAGCTTCTACGAGCCGCTGCGCAAAAACCTCACACACGCCCTGTACAGCGATGCGACCAAGCAGTCTTTCAGCATAAACCTCTTCTCTGGCGCTGCCAGCGGCATCCTCGGCGCCGCAGCGGGCTCGCCCTTCTTCCTCATAAAAACACGACTACAGTCCTACTCGCCCCTCCTGCCCGTCGGAACACAACACAACTACGCTGGTGCCGTCGACGGCTTCCGGAGCATCTACCGCAACGAAGGCATCAAGGGTCTGTACCGGGGCGTTGGGCCCGCCATGGTGCGCACAGGGTTCGGCTCCTCCGTACAACTGCCCACGTACTTTTTCGCAAAGCGCCGCCTAGTCAAGCATCTTGGTATGGAGGAGGGCATGCCGCTGCACATTGCGAGTAGCACCGCCAGTGGCTTTGTCGTATGCTGCGTCATGCATCCCCCGGACACCGTCATGTCGAGGATGTACAACCAGACGGGGAATCTGTACACGTCGGCCTTTGACTGTCTGTACCGGACTGTCAAGACGGAGGGCTTGTTGGCCGTGTACAAGGGCTTCTTTGCACATTTGGCTCGCATCCTGCCACATACTGTACGTCTTCCCCTTTCTCCAAATAATGTTACATGGGAATATAATTCTAACACATCCCCCCTTCACAGATCCTGACCCTCACTCTCGCCGAGCAAACAAACAAACTCATGCGCAGATTCGAAGACCGTGTCCTCTCCCCTGAAACAAAAGCCTGGATATAACACAACACGTCTTGAACTCGAATGCGCTGTATTGTATTCTTAGACATCTTGTATAACGCTTTTCCCTTGCTCGTCGCGTATCCGTTTTGGACATGTGCTTGGATTTCTGCACTTCTCGCGGCGTATCAATATCGACGGATAGAATGGTGTGGGATGGGATTCGGAAGGAGGGAGGGATAGGATTGGAAAGCTATAGCGGGCGCAGTGGGGACAGACCTCGCCATGAATCTAGGGAAAGGCATGTCGCGTGTAAAACAATGTCATCTGTTCTGTGGGTTTGATACCAGTATTGACGAGCAAACTAGACAATGAGGAGAAGAAAAATAGTGTCAACGCACGTCTAGCTATCCAGCTCCTCGAGATGTCTGATTCGGTGCTTTTTCATGGTCGAGTAGAGCAAAGAAAACCCTTCCTATCGTCAAGATCTGCAAATCGATTGACATGCATCTTTCCAGTCAAAGAATACTGAGCTAATGTGTCTGTTCTTCCTCATCTGTTCTCTGTTCTCTGTTCTTCTGTGGGCGCGGGTGTAGATGTAGATACACACATCCCTATCCATATTCTTATTCTGTACGCACTCCCTCTCCTCCCTCTCCTCCCACCCCAGTCCAAATATCCCCGGCATCACCAGTACGGACCCCAGTGAAGCAACAACAGCACAGCAGACAATTAGCCTATACCCAACCATACACAGTAAACATACTCTCCGTGCAAGGTAGACGTAGCGAATAAACGAACAGCCTACTCCAGAGCAGGGGGCTAATGAATGTATACCGCGTTGAAGGCTATGCGCTGATTAGGAGTACTTCTTCTGTGTACTATTAGAGTCCTTCACCTACTTTTTTCAAGACCAGACCATCAATAGTGTACACAGTCATGTAGCGCGTAAGACGGTTCCCGCGCCTCAGTGTCAGACATCACTCTACTAAATCAATACGAACAACACTCGCAACAAATACCCAGCAAATCGCAACATCACTTCCTTTTCCCGGTCCCGTCCCGTTCCCCTAATATGTAACGTACCCCATCGCTACCCAATTCCAGCATAGCATAGTTCGTACACACTGAATAAGATTTAGTCACGCCCGAAAGTAGTAATAGACGGACGTTATTCAGCGCGACTATCCATCTACGTCGAGCTACCGTGTAGAAAATCGTTAAACATAGCACAAACACGTGCAACGCACGCGAAGCCCACACGTAAAGAAAAAACATGGTTGGACGCGACGGAATGCGGAGTGCAGTGCGGAGTGCAGCAGCCAAACTGACAGGCATACCGTCCATGTTCGTTCGAATACCTACGTGTGCGGTATTTTTCTTCGCAGAGCGCCGGGTTCCGCGTAGGATCTGTAGGATCTGTAGGGCTGTAGGATCGAAGTGATTTGCAATGGCAGTTCTTCGGGGGGGTGAGGAGGGGTTTTTCGGGTTGGGCATGGTCATGGGCTTTCTTGTGTGCTTGCCTTCAAGTGCACAGCCGGGCGATTGGATTTTGGGTCTTTGTATGGAATGTATGCAATGCTGCAATGGAACGGAATGCATCCATGATTTCACGAAATCCCCAGATCTGCAGATCTGCAGGGTCGAGCTCGAGTCACTCCCTCATGCCATGCATGCACACACATACACACACACACATCCAGCCACTGCCAGCTCAGGAAGAACGAGACAAGACCCGCGGACAAGCGACGAGCCGAGCCGAGCCAAGCCGAATATGTCAATTTGAAATCTCATCATGACTCTTGCGTTGTTTGTTGTCCTGCTGTTGTAGGAGTGAGAGAAAAAAAAGTTTTGCGTGTGTTGGTCAGCCTTTTTTTTTTTTGGCTCCCTCGCGAGCGATTTCCTCGCCTGGACAGCAGCCATGCAGGGGATACCCTTAATCCCGGGCCTTGTCTCACTTCCACACGCAGATTCGCCTCCCACTTTTCCCATCGCACCCCGTGCAACGTTCTTCTCCGCCCCTGGAGTCATCATGCCGTGTTGCTTTTTTCCGAGGCGAAGTTTTTGTTCCACGGCCGGCCTGGCTCTGTCTTTTGTAATCTTCTCATTTGCCTTGCTTGCAAAGAAGCTCAGGTCTGGGATCTTTTTACAGGGAATAGGAGTCCTATAGCCTCGTCTTCTTACATGCCCATGTTCCAGACGGGTCGAGTGTTGATATTGTGGCGGACGCCGCGCAGCCCAATTACGACGGCTGGAGGACCATCCGATGTACAATCTGCAATTCTGAGGCTAGAGCTTCTCCGCATTTTGTGACCATAGCGGCGGGTCGGCTGATCGTAAAGAAAGTTGTTCTTTTTTGGCGTCAAGCTTCACTACAGGCGATTTGATTTTCTCTTTCTTCCCCCTTTTTTTTTCGCCTTTCGTCGCAGCCGCGTCTTGGGTAGTTCTGGGATTTCGATTGCGCTATTTCACACACACGCTTCGACGAAGCTGACATATACGTACGCGCCTTCTGGACGCCGGTTTCGAGGGGGCGATAAAAAAAAAGGGCTAGACTTGGCTTGCTCGAAATATGACCTGGATCTGGTTCCGCTCGTAACGCAAACGGCTCCGCATGACCTAGTACACATTGAAACATTGTCGCAGACCTCACTGACTGGATTTGCAATACTTTTGCAAACTGCACTGGAATAACATCGGGATACACACCATCGAAAAGGAGAACTTGCTTCGACACGTTGCGCGATTATGCTTGGCCCTTCTTCCTCTTTATGCACACAGTACATGGAGTTGGGCAACGGAGGATGATGCAGGTCGATATTAAGCAATCAACCCATCCAACCACACCACCGGCGCACCAGCAGCAGCAGCAGCAACTCGACATCACAATCTCAACACAAGAGACAGTTCCGTTCGTATTTTCCTTTGCCACGCCACCCCCGCCCAGGATGGGTCTTACTTTCCTACCGCGGTCCCCTCCAGGATCGCTCAAGCGAGGCCGAGCAGCTGCAGATATCGATGGCGAGCACTCGAACCTGCAGAAGAAGAAACGCAGACTTCGCCTCTTCCTCATCACTTCTCGCCTCTCGCCACAGTTCTCACACCCAGCAACCAATATTGTCGATAGGGGCAGCTCCAAGATCGCCGTGTGGGCGAAGCAGAAGTCTCTTGGGCGAAACCTGCTCCGCAAAGCTGCCATATTGAACCGCGTCCGACGGGGGGCCGTCTCGGCGAAAGAAGCGCAACAGGGCCGTGGAAGGGTGCTCGTCGAGCAGGAAAGAGAGCAGGAGCAGCTTAGACTGGCGAAGCTGACGTTCAAGTATGGGAGCGTGGATACATATACCCATCCTGTGGTTGCGCAAGCATCGTCAATGTCATCGGCTGGTGCGGTGAAGAACGGGGGTCACTTTGTAGTATCGCGCTCTCCATCTACATCTAGGAGCCCTTCGCCTTCGTCGCCCTCACCCTCACCACCACAGTCCGAGGCAGGCAGTTCGGGATATTGCTCGCCTAATGAAGCGTACTCATACTCGATGCCACGCGCTCAGATACCCAAAAGAGACTACCTCCCACTCGGACCATCGCCGCTAGGACTATCCAACTACGACGCGTTTGACATGGACGAGGACATTCCAGACCCATACTCACACCTCGACGACGACAACGACGAGGAAGACGGCTACACATCCTCATTCCCATTCGACACCTCCGACGACGACGACGAATGCCCCTTCTCGCCCGCCGCCCTAACAGCAGACAAACCAACACCCTGGCTCCCCGACCCCCCACCAACAGACCCAATACACGCAAGCCACAGCACGACCGACACAACCTGGCCCGCACCCCCCTCCCCCGCCCTCTTCACCGCCGCAAAAACACACCAACACCAACACCTCCCCCCCATCCCCCCCCACCTACAACCCCTCCAACCCCCAATGTCCCCAAACTTCCCCGCACCATCACCGACCCTCACTCCCCTACCATCCCTCCGCCTCTCCCCCTCCGCGCCGGAAACATATCCTTCTACATCCCCATCGACATCCACATCGACGACTCCATCGCCGAACTCAGCCCCCCTTGATGATGCTACTGCGGCGAGGACGCCGCAGGGTAAGGATGCGCGTGTGGATTCTTTTACGAGGAAGGATGGCGCGGGCGAGCAGGAGAGGTTTAGGCAGCGGAATTTGATATTTACGCGGTTTGGGGGGTAGGGGTGGGGATATATGCATGTAGGCTGGAAGCAGGGGGGGGGTGGACTTGCAGGTTGATGTGGAGGGGTTCGCTTTTGTATATGTAATATGAGTTCTAGGAGATGATTCACAAAAGATGTGGTGTTTTTTGTTTGCTGTGTATAGCACAGCACCATACTCATGTATGTTCATAATGAAATGGAAAAGTCGTCGGGTTGGTCATGGCATTACGACGGTAGCGGCGGCGGCAGGGGGGTTGCTTTTCATTGCATTTCACCGCACCAACAACGGTGCATACAACATAAAAGTCGGATTACGGCAATGGGGCTGGGAGGCAAGACATGTGTACTGGCCGGCGCATTTTTTGCCTAAGATGGGAAGGAAGGGGTCAAATGTACGATTTACTTACCTACTTATTTGCACCATGTACGATAACCGACACGTCACGTCACGTAGCATATCTAGCATAATCCAAGGACAACGAAAAAGGATCAACTCACATTGAGTAGAATTTATACATCTAGCATACCATCTTGCTGTGCGTGTATAAACCGCGATGAATGTACATAACTGTGAAGTTTCAAAAACGTTTGGTCTATACTACACACATCTCAGAAGAAGAAAGAAGAAAGAATCTCATTGCTCAAACCCTCGCCAGAAAAACTTCCAGTCACTCAACTTCCCACCTGCTCTCCATCTCCCCCGGACCACCAAGAACAGAACAGAACAGAACAGAACAGAAGAAAGAAGCTAAATCTGCACCGCCCGCGGCATTAAGTATTACGCAATTCCCTCCAAACCAACCATTCAAACCAACCATCTATCAGCACACAAGCTCACCAAAAAAAAAGATATTTCATATACAGTCTTCCTTCCTTCTCATACCAATCCAATCCACCCAATCCATCCATCGCATACCAATCCATGCATTCTCTCTTTCAGCGCACCATCTCAGCCCCGCCAAAAAAGGTAGAAGGGGGGGGGGGGGGGGGGGGGGGGGGGCGGGGGGTATGTATTGTGAGAAAAGCGAGCATTCGAACGCCTCGAAAAAAACCAGATTGTTTACAAGCTAGGAAAAGAAAACGGAGCGATGTAGTTCCGAAAAGGCCATTTTATATCCAAGAAAACACACACAAGGGAAGAAAAAAGACGGCCAAGGTCGTGCGGTCGTGACAAAAGGGAAGCGGCGGGGGGTGTTTGCCTAAGTGAGGGTGTGTATAGGTATAGGTACAGGTATTTGTGGTAGAAAAGGCGACGAAACAAGGTGGGTGGCGTGTTTTTTGTAAAGGGAACATATGAGAGGTGATGACTTGTTGGCGAGGCTATGCTGCCTGTGTGTATGCGAGCCAAGCGTCGTGGGCTTCTCTTAGGACTGTATATCTTATTAGGGGATGCTCGATGGCGGGAGAAAGGTGCCTGGGGTACATACTCTGTAGGACCTGTGCTTGCGCTGTGTAGGTCTCGCAAGCGCACTGCAGGGTCCTGCCGTCGATGAAGTCTAGCACCACGCTGTTGGGGAGCTCTTGTCGGTCTTGATCAGGAGGGTATGGCGTTTCGAACTCGCTGAGGTGGAATCGCTTTACGGCGCCCTTCTGTGTATTGTGAGTTGTGGTTCGTCTCGAGAGATGGGAAAGTATGTACCTGATTCGACTTGGAAGGACTTAGGACAAGGTTGCCCGCTGCGTCGATTTCGACCCATCTTCGCTTCCAGAGCTGCGCGAACATTAGCGACTAAACAAATTCCACCGTATTGAATCAAACTCACCAATGTGTCCGGAAACTGGATGTTAAGATCGCCAACATGAACGGGCGGCGGAGGTTCGCGCGTAGAAACCAGGGATGTGCCTTGAAGATCTTCTTCTGACAGCGGTGAACTAGTGTTTGAGTTCTTCCAGGGCATTGCAGACATGGATGATGACATGCGCTTGAGCAGTTTGCTCGTGCGCGTCTCTTTCTCCTTCTTCTTGTCGTCCTTTTTCTTTTCGTCCTTCTTCTCGTCACGGCTTTCCTGGCTGTGGACAGACTTCGATTCGCTCATACGACGACCGAATGCCTTCCAGCTGCTCTCAGACGATGATCGTGGAAGATTGGGGACCTGATCGCGTGAATGCGATGAAGAGGGTGCCTTGGGAGATGTGGGTTCTGAGGCAGTACGGGGAGGGCTCTTCGGTGTAAATACCGGCTTCTGATGATCGATGATGAGGGGGCTCTGGTGAAGCTCCAATGGGGTGTTCTGGGTTGGCATCACCAGTGCGGGCTGCGTCGTACGCTCATCTCGGACAATGCGAGCAGTGACCTGAACAGACTCTGGCTTCTCGGCTTTCTGCACGTTGTATACAGTCGCCTTTGGAGTTGGCTGTAACACAGGCTTCTTGTCAGGCACCGTCGTAGCAGGCGTTTTCAAGAATGAAGGATTTCCTAGACGCTGGATTGCCCGCGCGTTCGAAGACCCCTCAACAGCTGGTGGTGTTGCGAAGAAGGAAGACTTCCTTTGTACAAGGTTAGAGCTTGGTGAGTCTGAAGCACCAAGTAATGCCGAGTCCCGGTTGGACTTCTCTGCGAGTGCCTTGATCCTTTGCGAGATACCAGAAGACACATTGGTCTTCTTAGCCATTACTACTGTATCGGTATTCGCATGTTTAGGGGGCCAAGGACCTGAAGCCTTGCGCCCCATCTGTTCTGGTGACAAACGGCTAACTCTGTTGTACTGCTGTGATGCTGACCTCACAGGAGTAGTTGCTTCGCCTGGGAATCGGCCAAAGACAGGCGTGATCGGAGACTTGGAGACTGACATGTGCTTCGCTTCTTGCAGCGTTGCACTTTGTATCTCTTCCATGAACGATTCATCTGACATGTATTCAGTTTCCGAGTTCTCTCCATCGACTTGTAGAGCCCCATGCTTCGCCCGGCGTTTCTCCTTTGATTCGTACCAACTTTGTCTTTTTGACGTTGACATGATCATGGACTCTCTATTACGCCTCTTGGATTGGGTGCCGTTCTGCTGGGAGGGCTCACCGGATGGCATGAAGATGATAGACTCACGTTTTGAACTTCGCTTCGAGGGCGCCTCGTCTTCAAGACTTGAAGGTAGAAGTGTTGTGACACGGTCATCTTCAGTAACGAAGGGGTCGTCATTTGACTGTACGCGCAAGTGGATTGAAGGAATGGGAGTCCTGCTTTCGGGGACTACTGTTGGTGAGCTGCCCACTGACAGCTGTTCATCGAGTGGATCCATAGTGCTGGTCTCGTTGGGATCCATAGTGCTGGTCTCGTTGAGATCCATAGTGCTGTGCTCGTCTTCCGACTTGTGGTGGTCGTCCTCGGACATGGATGATGGACGAGTCGAAGGCGCAACCGACGATCCGTGGGTTAGAGCTGACACAGGAGACGATATTGACGTTGTGGAATTCAGATCGTCTCTCTCCACCTGGCTAGCTGCGAAGACCATACCAGAAATATCCAGGGTGGAAACAGATGGTATGTCCTCTCCAAAAGACGTATCCTTGTCGGTATCAGACTCTTCAGTATCTCCAACGGTAAATGACACACCCGAGTCGAGTTCAGGGCTGAGATCGTTGCTTAGATTGTCAGACGCTGTAGCATCAACCTCCTCAGGTTCAGCGTCCTTGGCTTGTTCCACAATCTCCACTTCCGCCGTACTTGCTTGCTTCTCCTGTTGAGCTTTTATTTGCTTCTTTCGCAGCTCCACAGCCTTCATCAATCTGACTTTGTCCTGTGTGATGCCTGTAGATCTGCGGTGGCTGTTGTATCCGGAGACTGGCATAGACCGAACGCTGGCAGGGCTTCTGGATGTGAAGGTGATGGAGATGGGCGAGACTGGAAGATTGGGTGTTGATGGTGTTGGGGGAAGAGGAATTGAGATGGTGGAGGCGGATGTCACGTCTCCAGTTTTTTTCTGCTCGGTGGCTTTGCGGGTCGCAGAGCGGAGGTTAGAGGGCAAACTCGAGACGGTCTTCGCAACGATTTGCGAGGCGCTGCCCGAGGTGTGTGGTCTCTTGCTTTCCTGCGATGCTCGTGGCCGGGGCCCCAAGTTTACTTTTGGCTTTGTGTACTGGGCCAGGTAGTGCTCGTACAGCTCGTTGTAGTCGGGCCGGGCCGTCTGCGAGGAGCTTCGCGGTTCAGAGCCGGCGTCGAACAGCCTGTCGTAGCTCTTGAGCGTCTCGTGGATGTCGGTCAGGTCGGAGTCGGGAGAGGCTAGCGTCTCGGTTACGGTCCCGATGGTGACGTGGGAAATCTCCGGCGGCGGCTTGGACTCGACCGTCTTCTCTTCGACGCGAATAGGGGAGGGCTCGTGCTCGGGCTCGGGCGCCTGCGAGGTGATGGAGCTGTTGCGCGAGGGCGGTTCCTCGTCGCCGGCAGCGGGCTCGTGGATGGTGGGTATCAAGGGGGCGCGGGTGGCGGTGTGGGCGGTGGTGTCGTCGGGGCCGGCCTGGCTGCCCACCTCTGATTCTTCGCGGATCCAGCTCAGTTTCTGCTGGCGCGAGGAGCCGCTGGAAGACGAGCTCGAGGGCGCGGCGGTGTGCAGGGTGCAGGCCGATGCAAGGGCGGCATCGCTTAGCTCATCCGGTGTGGAGATGGAGAGGACCAGGTCGTGCGGAGCGAACTTTTCCGTGACGGCGATGAAGTGCACCGCGACGCGGGCTGCAGGGCGTGTTAGCAAGACGGAGGGTGCCAAGCGGGAGCGTCGACGTGCCTTGCAGCAGGCGCGAGGTCCCCTCGGGCACGTAGCGGACGAGCACCTTGCGGCGGCGGTACAGCAGCAGGCCGTATAGCGGCGACGTCTCGTCGTATTGGGCGACGGCGGTGCGTGCTTCTCCGACTCCACCGGATCCGCGCGTAAGGACCTCGACGGCATCCCTGGACGTGTACTTGAGCAGGAACCTACATGCCAAACATTAGCTGCGCGTCGAGATTGCACTCGCACCCAGGGCGACGCACCATCCACCGGCCTCGGCCAGAGCCCCCTGGTAGGCCTGTGTGACCTGCACCGCGTCGAGCCCGTTGAGAGACATGATTGTGCAGCCAGCGTCGGGGGGGAGCAGACGGGCGCGCTGGTCGGCGTGGAGAGGAGAGGGAGGCCAAGGGGCCGGGCGTGCGACGGAGATGTGCTGCGAGAGTCAAACGCGGATCCAACGCGCCATTGGCTCTGCTGGGCGACGCTGAGATGCACTTCACGACATGACATGTATCCTGCACTGCTGCACTGGCGCCAGGCACCGCAAAAAGAAAGGGGACCGCTACCGCGCTTCCTACGAGCGTTTCACCTTCACCAACAGACTCGCAGACGTGGCCCGTGTCGACGCCGCGAACGACTTGCCCTCCCCTTCGATTCGTGCATCCGTGGCGCTATCTGCTTCGCGTCGACCCGTCGTGACTACATGTGCCTAGGGCATCCAGCTTGCAGACAATGGAGCTTGTACATGCAAGCATATCAAGCAAGCTCTCCCCAACGCCAGGACACAGGAACGCTGCACGAGGTGGTCCCGCTTTGCAAGATTACACTGATCTGCTCTCATTAGAGCTACGACCGAGATACCAGCGTCTTTCATCGAAAGGTGTCTGTCAGAGAGTCATGGCTTCCTGTCACGGCTGTCATAACTTTAGTGTGTCTGACCCCAGACCATCCTCACACCCACTGCGTTTCCCTGCACCCATTCGCTGCTCATTCTTATGCTCTTCATTGGTCCATGCTCGCTCACTGTAACGCATCTGGTCGAGCACACCACATGACTGCCCGACCATCGCAGCAACAAAAGCATTGAACGCGTCAAATCTAATCACCATCCTGCCAGCACCCCAAAGAAGCTAAACAGCCACAAACCCTACCATACATAACAATGTAATTTTGCTGAAGTTCAAAAAACGACACATCAACAGCGTACCTGACTACGCCACCATGATGCTGGAACATGCCCCTCGTTTTCCCCGCCCCCTTGCAGCATGCATGACGGCCCACCAGCTCGCTCACGGTAGTGAACCAGATGATTCTTCGCGTGGCCCTAGACCTGCAGCGGAGGCGGCAATCGGTCGGTAGCGGCCGGACATATATATCTCTGCAAGCATATCATCAATCGACGTTCCATGCCCTGAACTTGAAGTCCAATCCACGCCAACAACTCCTCGCCCACCAGAAACCAGACACCAACGCGCAAATAACATAACCAAAAGGAGACACGCCAAAAACTAAATCCCAGAAAACAACCCCAACAACCCCTCGCAATGACATCACTCCCCCCCGCGCCCACCCTCCCCCACAGCCCCGACCCAACCCTCACAAAAGTCCTAGACCTCCTCTTCGAGCCCTCGCCGCCCCTACACACCCTGACCCTCCCCATCCTGCGCTCAACCCCCTTCCCCGACTACGCCACCCTCATCGTCGCCGTCAGCGCGCAGCTCAACGCTCTGGCAAGCTCCTCCACCCGCGAAGACACAGCCACGCTCTCCGAGATCCTGTGCGCGCACCCGCGCCTGGGCGAGAAGAAGGTCGACAGCGAGCAGAGCCGTAAGGAGCAGGCGCAGCTGCAGGGTGGGGGGGAGGGGGAGGGGGAGAAGTTGGAGGTGTTAAATCGGGAGTATGAGGAGAGGTTTCCGGGGCTGAGATATGTGTAAGTGGTTGTGTGAATGCGTGGGTGTGTTTCTGTGTGCTTGTTTGGATGTGGCTGATCTTCTTTGTTTCTTTCTTTCTGTCTGCTTCCCGCCGTGGTGATGCAACGAGACATGCCTCCGAGTCCGCGCATACTAATCAACCCGCGCAGCGTCTTCGTAAACGGGCGTTCCCGTCCCGCCGTCATGGAGAATATGCGCGCCCGCATCGACCGCGGCGATATTAAGGCTGAGCGGCAAGAAGCTATACAGGTACGACTCACACCCTCTCCATCCCTATCGCATCTCCGTTTTTGTCAGCGAGTTCGGTATAAGAAAGGAGGCACTGACTCTGTTGTGGCACAGGCAATGTGCGATATAGCAGCCGATCGGGCGTCGAAACTGCAGGCGTGATGGAGTGGTTCTCGTGTTTGATTGCTTTTTTAAGAGTGAGACGGGGAATGCGTTTATGTTGAACACGATACGATACGATGTGGATGTCTTATGATTGATGAACTGGATTGAATTGTACAACAACTCCCTCTGGACTACGGATAGTAGGTAGGTATATAACATATGTCTGCCAACACACAGCTCTGACGTAAAGCATCTACTGGAAACTGAGTATCATGAATGCATAACACAGCATACACGCAAAAAAATGCGTTAGGCAAACCGTCAAACGACGCAACAACATTGGCTCGCTATGCAGGATGCGAGACGACCACCGACGGGAAAAAAAGTCGTCAAAATCTCTCAGGATAAACCCCCCAACATAATCACCGCAACACCAACCTCCCCAACACGCCCCTCAACCCATCCGCCCCCTCTCTCCCCGCATCCCCCAACTCGCGCTCCACCTTACCCACACACTCCTCGCACTTCCCCCTCAGCTCCTCGATCACCCCGCGACTATATTCGAAGCTGCCCTTGCTCTCCATGTACCTGAGCGCATAGCGCTTGACCTCCTCATCCGTCGTCTTCTGCTTGAGGATGTTGATCAGGATCTGATTTGTGGGGTCGGCGCGGATAGCGTGGATGACGGGGAAGGAGAATTTGCCTTCTGTCAGGTCTTCGCAGAGGCCTTTGAGGGAGGTGTAGGAGCTGGTGGGGAGGAGGTTGAGGTGGTCGTCGAGGATTTGGAAGAGTAGGCCGATTGTGGAGACTAGGGGGGAGCAGTCGCTGGGTTGAATTAGCTGGGTTGGTTGATTGATTGAATGTGTAGAGGGGAAACGTACATGTCCACTGTACTCTCTGCCTGCATCAGCTTGATTGCCAGTCTGAACAGTCCCCCTGTTTTGTTCCCCACCATCTCTAGATAGTCTGCTTCGCTCGGACATGTCAGGCTGTCGCGCCAGTACAAGTCCATGCCCTGCCCGCGATGCAGATTCAGCAGCTCTTCTGTGAATATCTCAACGAGTTTCGGGTTATTCATGAGGAGCAGATCTTGCAAGGCCTTGAAGTAGACGTAGTTTGCCGAGTTGATTGTTTGCGCCACGCCGAAGATGCTATTAGCGACTGGGATTCCGCGGCGCAAAACCGACGAGTCTTCCACGTCGTCGACACTATCCTGCGAATCAGCTTCAGCTCGCGAAAGGGTGGATGACTGTGGGGCAGCACGTACAGCAACGACGCAGTATGCAGCATGCCCACCACCCGCGTGATGACCTCCAACCTCTCCCCGGGCACCTGCAGCCACTTGTTGAAGGCCGCAATACACTGACTCCGGATATCTTTCCCGGGGTGCCCAAACAGATAGTCATACGGCCCCAGTAGTATGCGCTCCTTCTCCTCGGTCCATGCAACCCCGTTGCCCAATATCAGGTCCTCGCCTACGCCCTTCGACTCGGACGGCGGACTCAGCGGCGTAGGGTAGTTGGTGCTGACCTCCAAACTCGCCGTCGCGCGTGCATCTGTCGCCATGGCGTCGGGCGAGAAGTTGGGGTTGTGCGATGTCTTGCTCTTCTTGCTCTGGCCCATCCAATCGAGTTCGCTGAGCGGGCGCAGCACAGAGGGACGCGGGTGTATGGTGGAGTGTGGTGTGCCGACGATACCGGTCGAGCTTGTGCGGGGTGGGATAGCGTTGGGGCTGGCGAAAGGATGGGGAGCGACGCTCATGGTGGTCTGGAGGCAGATATAGATGCCTGCTGCGCACGAGGCCGGCTGATGGCGGATGGCGGATGACGGAAGCCGCGACTATGCACGGGAGTAGACGCGTTTCACGAGGCGGAGCCCGCGGGGAGAGATGCGACGGTGCTTTTGGGGTGGTAGCTTGTGGAGCTTCGGGGAGCGCGGAGGCCGTGTCAGATGGGCAGCACGAGAGCAGAGTGGGAGAGGATACATGTCAGTGCAAAAGGAACACGTTAGCTCGAGGCTCTGCAGCATCTTCTGCGGCTCACATCCATTGCTGGAGCTGTCCGCAGATCGTAAAATGCACGACGTAGTCGCCAACCAAATGTTCGGGATGCCGCTTAACCGAGTTTAGCTCGACATCTCGACACGATTCATGCACGCTGCGCGCGTCAAAACCTGAATGTACTTGAAAAAGGAACTATGGTGAAGGCAATGTATCATGCGTATTTGGGAAGTGCTTCTTGTATGTATAGGGGACGCCACAATAACAACCGTGAACTGGCTAGCAGCCTTCCGACAATACGTACGAGCATTAATCGTCCTCTGCCAACCGTAAAAGCAGGATGTAAGCTGCACCGACAAGCCAGCAAACCACACCAATGAGATTTACACAAGTGTACGCAAGGCGTTTGCTGCTAGTCCAATCGGCAAGAGGCTCTTATACTCACCGTCGATGTAGTTGTCGAGCTGTTGCATGATTTGTTGCACCTTGATATGCTAATTTTAACTTGCTACAACTACATATATCAAATACCTTGTAAGAAGCACATTCTCCAAAAACAGCCATTGCACTGTCGAATTCCTCGACAAAGAATCATAATCCGCCCGTCCATGCTCAGAGTTCTGTTGGAGCCGTGCTCTTCCTCTTCTTCGTTACAACTGTCGCCATCACCCGTTTTCGTTGAGCTTCAAGAATCGTCCTCAAATGGTCGCCAATCTCTTTCGTAACCTCTTCCACATCGCTATTGGTCGACACGAATCGATAACTGTCCTCACTCAAGTCAAGGATATCGACCGCAGCATCCACCTTGCCCTGCGCCATACCAACAGCCTCCAGCCACGGGAACGCATCGCGGTAGATCCGCTCAGCAACCTTTTTCGTTGAACGATGATAGCCCATATGCGTATCGATGGAAACTTTGGAGAGGTTGGTTGCCCAGACGAGTACCGCGAAGCATGCGTGATTGTATGGCTTAGTCCCACGACCATCTCCCCACCCCAGCAGTCTGATCCTCTTCAAGAGCGACGCTCCAGTAGGTCCGAGGTTAACTAGGAGATTATAGAGTGCGCTTGTGTCCATGAAGGTGAACTCGTTGGAGTACAGAATGCTACGGCCTTCGTGAAGAATCTGCTTGTTCACTGCAAGAAGCGAAGGCACGAGCACAGCAGGCTCCTCCGTGTTGGCTTTGATTTTGTAATTGATAACAACAGAGCCATTGTAACCTCTTAGGTCTTCCATCAGTTTGGCAGTCACGCGTTTGACGGTGCGGCGCTTGTGTTTGTTCACAGAGACGAGGTTGATGCCCGAGGGATCTGCAAGGACGTAGTGGTATATCTCGTTGCGAATTTCCGCCGGAAGCTCAAGAAAAGGGAAGGTCTTGTGCTTGGGGAGAGGCCTAGAGGTTCGTGTAGCTTTGCGCTTCTGTATGTATTCAGTATTGAATTGCAAAACGCGACGGTCAATGAACCTTCAGTTGCGGAGTTTCATAATCAGACTCGGAATCATCAACCTCCAATTCTTCGAGGCAGTAAACGACTTGTGTCCTCTTGCGTTTGGAGTAGCGTCCTGAGGCGAAGGTAACCTCGTCGGCTGTGGATTGAGACATGACGAATTGACAGAACAGAGACTGGATGATAGAGAAGAGAGGAGAAGTTGGATTGAGACGCGATGTAGAAACACGAAAAGAACACGCTTGCATGCGACTTTATGAGTAAAAGACCGTGACAGTAGAGTGAGCGTTAGCGTAGGCAGCAATTCGGGCTACGCAGGGGTTAGTAAGGCATCAACCTGCGCAATCCCAGGAGCCTCGAAAGGCGATTGGAAAACTGATCGTTATGCGGTCACTGGCATCTCCAGATTGAGCGCTCGTGATTATTTCGCGAACTCTGATGATGGGGTGAAGAGTGAAGAGTAGACTACTGGCAGCAGGCGCGACGAAGGTAGTATTGCTTAGTCACGTTAATCGCTAACCGCATTCAGTTGTTGGAAATCTGCGACACCACTCGCCTCGAAACAACATGCCTTCAATTGAGTATCTGCAGTCTCTTACGCTCGACCTACCGCCGAGCTGCATCGAGTTCTGGCCTCGCAACTCACAGTACGCTGTTATTGGGACGTACAATCTCGAGAAACAGGATGAGTCGAAACCATCAGAACCTGCACAAGAGGAGGGGCAGAAGAATGGCCAGCAACGTAATGGTAGCTTGATATTAGTCCGGACCAGAGACGATCTTGTGTATGTGCATATTACGTGTCTCTGATTTGGAATCCTGATCTGACCTGGTGTAGGGAGATCATTGGAACACTGTCAACATCTTCAGCTGTCTTGGACGTCCATTTCATACCAAGTGAGGATCTGGGCTCGATATTTGGTGTAGCAACATCAACAGGATCAATCGGTATTTACGAGATTGTACAGTCCCATGGGCAACTACCCATGATCGAACACGTCAAAACCATTCAATACTTCCCGGAAAATGTGCTCATTACCGCGTTCTCGTGGCATCCCGAGACTCCTGCAGTCGGCATGACTCTTTCGACCGGCAAAGTTTGTCTGGGAATCGTGGATCTAGGAGAGGAGATAGAGTCCCCATCGCACATCGACATTGGTGGTCACGAACTCGAAGCCTGGACGCTTGCGTTCCTTCCAAACGGATCAGGACTGTATTCTGGGGGTGACGATAGCGCTCTGAAATTTCTGGAAGTATCCGACAACCCTACAAGTGTTCATGAGGGAACTCCCACGCCTTCTGGGAGGATGCCATGGACGGACAAAAAGATACACGGAGCAGGTGTCACTGCAATCCTTCCCATCGCTTTGGACGACACAAGAAGTCTGATCGTCACTGGCAGCTACGACGATCATATTCGACTTGTTCAAGTTTCTAACGCTGGACATCGTCAGGTTCTCACCGAGATGAACCTTGGCGGAGGCGTTTGGAGATTGAAGATGCTCGAAAGGAAGCCAGTACTGCCGGCAGATTGGGACTCTTCAAAACCTATCCCATGTCCAGACGAGATCACTCTTCTCGTGAGCTGCATGCATGCTGGTACTCGCATCATAAAGCTTGTTCGCAGCGGGGAGGATTGGCAGTTTGAAGTTCTCGGAATGTTTCAGAGACACAAGAGTATGAACTATGGCAGCGATTGCCGGCCAGAGTTTAACGCGAAGGGTCAACGGACATTCATCACGACGAGTTTCTATGATCGGCTAGTGTGTCTTTGGAGATTCTGAAAGAGGAGCTTGGATGAAAAACTGATGAGGTAGCGGAATTTGTATAGCGTTGACTATCACAACACAACGCACCATGCAAATGGAGCGCTTTGGTTCACCTATATCTGAGAGTTATCAGCCCATCATCAGCTAAGCAACAGTATACATGGCTCACTTTTTACCAGAGTAACAATCAAAACTGCCTGTGATCGAATTGGCGAACACGCTCGAACTACTGTGCTGCTACCTTTCTCCAAATACACGATATTAGCTAGCAGAAAAATAATATCACGTACTTAGTTAGCGACACAGCTAACTTAAGTAGTAAAAAATCTGAGGATAAAAAGATGCAAAAACATACAACAGCGGGAATTCGCTAGTTGTCTCCAACCCAGCTACTAATCCGCCGGTACACTGCTTGAGTACAGCTGAGCGAACGGGAAGCTCTATTTTCAGCGTCCTATGGTCGTATGTGACAGTTCAAGCAAGCTTTTGTTACATATCCGCATCGATCATTGTGAATGTGAAGGAAAACACACAACAACGGCGCAAATTTCGAGAGGCATCGAGGTGGCGATAAAATACCGCACTAAGCATAACAACGTAGAGTTGCGAACAGTCATCATCAACAAGGCAACGAGGGTTAAGCACATTTAAAAAAAACCTTGATAGGCGATTACTCTAAAGGAAGATACAGATCAAAAATATTATACACTCCATCTGACTGCACTCCACCCACGACGTCCTATGTTTGCAGATATTTGGGCCTAAATTACGAATGTGGGGGATGAAACGAGGTTGAAACCAAGGAAATAAAGGTATGGTGTGTGGTGAGGAGTATCAATATTACTGCAATAGAGCGCGATGAATATGTTGAGTGTTGAGCCTACATGTTCTTGGGAAGAAGGTTTCATTCCATCCTATGTCGAATTCCTTTCCATGACAAATAGTGACCTTGGTGATGCGTTTGCACATATGACGGGTCCCTTGTCACTTCTTAGAAGGAATAAGATGTATTGAATGTGTTTTTTCATCTGCAAAGCAAGTCACAATATTGCTAGAAGACTATCTGCTGGATGTTACACAACTCCCACATAGTTGTGAATACATGCTTGATCGTAGGGCTGAGCTAGCCGAACCTTAAATAGATTTGCGCAGCGTGTCATGCAGGGTCGCGTCGATCTCTGAAACACCCTGGCTTTGTCCGCGACATTCCTAAGACACTCCGCGACACAATAACTTCAACCCCACAAACTGTCCTTACTCTCAACACTGATTCCTGCACTAAGGCGATTCACACATAACTTGAGTTCGAGTGCCAGAAAACATACTTAGGCAATGGCATCATCGATTGAAGAGGAAAGTCCACCACCCGTACCCCCGAAACCCACACAACACGTCGCCAGTGAGGCAGAAAGCTGCCCTACATGTGGCGACAGTGTGCCCTCAGATATCCACGATCTTGAAGACGCGAAGAGGAGGATTATGGAGCTGGAGGCGCAGGTGCAGTTCCTGAAGGAGAAGGCGACTGCTGCTGGTATGTTGCCTGAGACATACACGCGACACTACCGTATGACGTGCTAAGACACACGACTCAGACTGACAGAGTATAGTATACAAATATGCCGACTATGAAGATCAGATACGAGCCCTCAAAGGCGTCTCGACCCCTATGAAGCTCCCGCGCTCCTACACAGCTCCAACCCTCGAACTTTCACAACCCTCGACCGATGATCCACGCCCTACAACCCCCAGCTCAGGAGCACAGGCACAGTCACGCTTCTCCTTCTTCACTAACCGTCGTCCCTTGACCAATAACGCGATGCCGCTACTTTCCTCTCCGCCACCCGACACCGACCTCCTGAATGAGTTGGAACGCGAACGTGCGCTACGCACAAAGGCAGAAGACAGGGCACGCACAATCGACCTGGAGATTGAGGAGCTGAGCGTGACGCTATTCTCGCAGGCGAATGAAATGGTGGCTGAAGAGCGTAGAGCGAGGGCGAAACTGGAAGAGAGAATCGAGATGTTGGAGAAAAAGGATAAAGACAAGGCGGGAAGGTTGGAGCGCTTAGAGAAGGCTGTTGCCAGAGTCGCACGCGTAAAGGTCATACTGGAAGAGCCAGATAAGACCGTGTCTAACACGTCGGATGTGATGTCTACTATTTTGGCTCCACCGATACAGGTATGACGACTTGCCAATATGTTTCTCCCCTGGCAGGGTAATCTGGGATCCGCTATTTGTTATTTGTTTTTCTTTTCGTCTCGCAATTTCCCTTCTTGAGATACCCCTATTTTGTGTTTTTATATTTCTTCTGCATTGGGACAGGCGCAAGTCATGGGTTGACAGCATTTGAGTCGGTATCTGTTGTATTTTGGAACTATATGAAGTCGAATTTGCATTGTTTTATCATGCGACATGGGCTTGCACGTCAGTTAGAAGATCTAGACATGTGTAACGTATAAATGCAGCAGAATAGAAGATGAGTGTCTTTCAGCCGCGAAGCCCCCATTCGCTTCGACATAATGAGTTAATCACTCGACGACTTCTGCCCTTTCGATAACCGACCAAACATTGCCTAGTAAGCGGAGCTGGATTCAGAGTTTAAGACTACCGTTCCCAATACGTACCGAAGAGAAGCACTTGTACGAGGCAGACACGCTGGATTGCATTATACGTAAAATAGTACGAAATGCTATGAGACATTACTCAAATCTAACACGACTATCGCCTATTTTTGATAATATACGCAGCCTTCTCGCCCACAGCGTACATAGTCGATTGAATATGCTGACTCGGCACGAGGGGCACAATCGAGGCATCGACAATCGACAACTTGTTCACTCCATAAAACAATAACTCATCGCTTACACATCCGCCCTGCTCCTCCGGCATCATAGCACAAGACCCGGTCGGGTGCGAAAGCGACGGTACGAAACTCTTCAAGTCGATCATCTTGTTGATCAGCTCCTCGTCGCTTGTGTACTGCGTTCCAGGAGACGTCTCGACAGGCGAGAACTTCTCAAGCTCGGGACGCGCCCAAAGAGTACGGATGTAGCGCACACAGGCAGCCATGACGGACTTGTCAATAGGATTTGTGAGCGTGCTGTAGACGATTCTCGGAGGCCCTTGGGGGTTGGTCGGGTTGAGTGTAATGGTTCCACGTGAGAGGGGCTTTTGGATGGAAACCATGACGAAAGCACCTGACCCTGGAATGGGGTACTCGACGATACCCGCCTTGGGGTTCTGGAACAGGCCGGCGAGGACTTCACGCTGTGCTTGCACTCCCTTGAGAAGCTTGGTGCTGTTTTTATACAGCGCGGGCAGGTAGGCGTCGTTAGCCTGGTTCCGAACTTGTGTGGCAAGGTCGTTGAAGGTCTCGGGGGCGACTTGAGGCAGAGGAATGAAGGCGATGCTGTTCCCACGCGCCTGGGTCAGTGGACCTGTCTTGTTGGTGGTGTACTCTTCCCATGCCGACGCATTGAATGCTGGGTCTGACCATGAGTTTGGGTTGGGTACGCTCATATTCGAGATGGTAAAGGACATGCTGCCGTAAGGGTGGTCCTGGAAGTTGGCTCCAACACCATCGTGAGCAAGCTTGACTTTGATACCAGCAGCTTCGAGGACCGACTTGGGGCCAATACCGCTGAGCTGTAGGAGTTTGGCTGTGTTGACAGCGCCGGCTGCTAGGATGACCTCTTTACTCGCGTATACCGTCTTCGTTATGCCGGTCTTGTCCGAAATCTTTACGCCACGGGCAGTGAGCTTCCTGCCATTATCGAACACAAGTTCAGTTGCGATCGTCTCCAACAAGACGTGGAGGTTTGAACGCGAAGAGACCGGATCGTAGTACGAGTTCCTGGCATGGGTTCTCTCTCCCTTCGCAGGATCAAAGGTCTCCGGGTACCATGATGCACCATAGGACTCCCCGTTGTTACCATCGTGGGCCATATGTGTACCCGCGCCCGCATACGCCGCAAAGTAATCTTTCACATCCGGAAACTGGAAGTCCGAGAAACCGACTTTCAAAGGCCCATCTCCATACACATCTGGATTCCAGGTGATCCCATACTTATCTACAGTCTCCTGCGTAGGCGCAACGAACTTCGTTCCCTTCTTGAAGAATGGGTACATGCCCGCCCAGCCCCAGCCCTTATTGCCTAACGCCTCCCAGGCATCGTAGTCGGCGGCAGACCCACGATCATACGCCATGCCGTTGATGACCGAACCACCGCCGAGGACGTGGGCAACGCGCGTGTTCCAGGTCAGGTTGTTGAGCCCGGGCTCCGGTTCCGAGACGTAGTTTTGCCATAAGAGGGTTTGATTGAGGGTGTAGGTTGCGCCGTACGGCATGCGTATTGCAGCATTGTCGTCTGCACGTCCAGCTTCAATGACGAGGACGTTGTCTAGCAAGCACCGTCTTAGCAACTATACTATCGAGGTTTCAGGCACAACAAGGGTGCAAACTTACTGTGCTTGTCCTCGGTGAGCCTATTAGCGACAATCAGGCCAGTGACTCCACCTCCAATAATCACATGGGTATAATCACTCGGCGAAGCAACAGTCAAACCTAAAAGCTGAAGAGCAATTGCAAAAGAAGTGGATGAGCGCATCTTCATAACACAATCTCAACCAATTTAAAGAATGAATAGCGGAGTTAGATGAAAAACCGACAGATTCAAGGCTCTGCGTACTCTTTAAATCAGATCTCATTTCCAGCACACTGTAGTCTTTGTACGCATCACAAATCGCCCCTTACAAAAATATCACGCACCGCTAACATATCTCGCCGTATCGGCCAGGAACATGACGAGCATGTGCCAATCTCTTCTTCTCTGTTCGGAGTTCTTCTAGAACCCTGCTACGCAGGATGGATGGAGCATACCAGACCACAATCTCGGAAGAAAGGGTAGTCTGGCGAAATTGCGATACTCACTTCTGCTCCACAACGGCTCGGTCCTGCGCACCCGTTGGGCGTTTTGGGTGGGTCTTGAACATTTGCCGGAGGGTGTGGGTCAGGCGTGACTCGGAGTTTTTCTGCTGCAGGGTTCTGTGAAGAGACGACATTGGTTATGAACAATCCCAAATGGACCTTGCACGAGTTGCAGCAGGGGATGCGCGTGGGAATTTTCAGCCTGCGTGTCAATCCGGATGGCGTATCGTTCTATCTATGCCCCAGGTCAAGCGATCCGACCGAAATACTGGGAAGGAATGAACAGCTTCAATTGACTGCGAGTGGTTTTGAAGCGTGATATCAAGGCAGTCAGTCTTCGTCGGAAACACACCGCATACTTTCACAAGGAAAATGCACTTATCGGGCTACCAACATCCGGAAGTTGCAGCTCCACCGTCAGGATTCGGCGGCGATAAGTTCCATAACGTCTTTGGAGATTACCGGAAATCTAGAATACGGTATGTGGCGACCGTCTGTCATCTCCAAACAGGAATAATGCCAGGAGTTTATCGACGACTTCCATGACTTGAGGTGCTCTGGACATGACAGGTCGCGATAGAGCAACATACAAGCGTGTTTTATAGAATTCTGGTGGCGAGACAGTCGACCCATGAGGGTGGGGTTGTAGAAAATTAGAGTTTGCATGGAACATTACACACGACGGACAAGGCCTACAGAATCTGCCTACCGATAGAGCTCGTGCGGGCATTGCGAAACTGAATCCCTACATGGTAGTTTGTGCCTCGGGTGACTGTGGCAATGATAATTTGGAGGTACACGTGGGAGATACGAGGAAGAAGAGTTATGAAATTTGCTACTCATCGTCTCGTCTGTTAGGAGTTGGTTTTGATTTTGTACATTTGCAGCCTCACAATGGCAGATACACAAGGAGAATGGCCGAATCGCAGGTCCGACATTCTTTTTGCGACAGTTCCTATCAGTGCTCTCGCTACCATCTTTCTTATTTGGAGAATTGTGTATGGACTGGTGAGCAGGCGGAGCCTATTGCTATGTGACTACTTACTTATCATCGCTGGAGTAAGTTATTCACCATCATTGGTATTCAAACTCCACAATTGCTTACGAATAGAACAGATGATGAACGTAACCACAACCGCAATACGCTTCAAGACAACTTACCACGGGCAGGGCAGACATATGAACGATCCAAGCATCAAGGTCCCAGAGGATATCCTTGCGTACAGTTATTTCTTGTGGATCGGGCAGGTCATCAATCTGATGGCTGTGGCAGTTCTCAAGTACTCCATTTGCACATGGCTCTTGATCCTGAAGTTTTCCAGAATATACACCAGTATCGTCTGGGTGTCTATTCTGTTAGTAACTGTTTTCACCTTCATCTTACCGACACTGGGAGTATTCTCGTGCACGCCTTTTGAGTCGAACTGGAACAGAACTATCGAGGGGAAATGTTTTTTTCGGGGAAATTTGCAATTGGCATATGCGCAGGTTGGTCGCATCCGACTCCACTAAGAAAATTCCTACTGATTTGGCTAGGGAGTTACCAATGTGGTCACAGACCTTGTGTACGTCGTGGCTCCCCTACTCTACCTTTCCACGGTCCAGTTACCGAGTCGTACACAATGGGGCTTGCGGTTTGTCTTCTGTCTTGGTCTCGTGTAAGCTGACCCCCCATCTTAACGACATATTGCGCGTACTGACACTCCGCTAGAGCAACAGCATGTTCAGTCGTCAAGACCTTCGAGATGAACGCCCTCCTCAAGACACATGATCCAACATGGGACGGTGTAAACCTCTCCATCTGGAGTGGAACCGAACTCTCAGTCGGCATCCTGGTCGCCAGTCTACCGCCACTGCGCAAGCAGATCGACACGATTCTCCGCACGATGCTTCCATCAACGTTCATGACAAAGACGAGAATCCCAGCCAGTTTGCCCATGTTCAATGTCAACAAGACAAATGAGCGAACCGGGAACAACGATGACGGAGATAGTGACCGGCACATGCTTTCTGGGGAGGAGGACGGGAGGATTAGGAAGACGGTAGTACATGAAGTCACGAGTGTAGAACGCGGTGATAAAACACAGACTTCGAGCAGGACTCTTAGTGTCTATGGGAAGATCGATGGGTGAAGTACAGGCAGGGCAAGTACTTCGAAGAGAATGTTGAACTGTTCGAAATTTGAATTGGTGCTTTGTTTTCGCCTAGATGGTGATGTAGCTTGGGAATCTCTTATGTTTGTTTTCAGTTTCAGTGGTGTGCATCTATCATCTGTCAGCAAATATAGCTTTGTGACTTTTACTTGAAGTCTCAAGGCTTTGATCTTCGAATTCGTCGAACGATATGACCTGTATGCTAGACTGAGGATGACCGGCCTTGGAACATAAAAAGGTAATTGAGACGACGAAATCTAAATGGAGTTCACAAGATAGCACACATATCAATAACACATGTTATGAGTCTTCAAGTAATCGACTATAAAAATTGAGATAGTTTGCTCCTACATGCGAATGTGCTACATTAAAATTTACACTTTATCTTGGAGCGGACATCGAGACAGAATCAGAGCTTGGCATGTTCGACATGCATTCCTTCGTTCTTCTCGAAGCCTGAGACCGTGGCCGTGACCTCGTCAATGTCAACACGGGCAACTTCAGCGTCCTCGCCATCGAAAATCTTGGCAACTTCTTCCAGGGTAGGACCGCGAGTCTCAACGTAGAAGACGCAAACGAATATGAGCTCGATGAAGATCCAGACCTATTTGCGTTAGATTATAGTCGAGAAAGCGAAATCGAAGATGGCTTACAGCGTAGATAGTGTAAAACTTCCAGGTAGGCTTCAAATACTCGAATCCATAGGGGTTGACGTATTGGTTGATAGTCAAGGCCACCTGAATGAATAGGTTCATGATCATGAGACCCTTGGCACGAATCTTGAATGGCAAGATTTCGACGGTGTAAGCGACAAGAAGACCAGACCACGCAAGCGCGTAAGCGATGTTGAAGAGCCAGATCATGGCAATGACGCCTGAGCCCGCAGCTTTGCTCTTTGTGGCCTCCTGTTGCGAAGAACATATTGTCCAAACGACGAACACACCGCACATGGACGCAGTGGCAGCGATAAATAGCGGACGACGACCGACCTAAAAACTGTAAGTTACTTCTCATGACAAAGGTCTGGAATTAACATACACGGTCAATCAGTAGCGCACAAGAGACGGAGACGATAAGGGAGAGGATCGTCTGGCCACCGTTGAGGCCGAGCTGGGTATCTGCGTCTGTAATGCCGATGCTCTTATATACGTCGGTCTAGGAACCGTTAGCCACTTCTTATCATGTAGAATCAGAATCAACATACCGCATAGTACGATACAAGACCGTTTCCGGACCACTGAGAGAACAGACCAAGGGAGGCGAGCAACATAAGCCTGTACCTGTTGCCCCTTGTCTTGAAGAAGTCAAGGTAGGATGACGTCTTCTTGTACAGGAATTCCAAGCGTAGTGTTTCCTTGATTTCGGCATATTCGAATTGAACAGTCGGATTGTTGATGTCACCGTTGGCGTGATATTTCCCGAGAATAGCCAGAGCTTCCTCGTTCCTCTCCTTCGAGATCAACCAACGAGGGGACTCAGGAATAAACCAGATGAAAGACAGCTGGATTATGGAGGGAGCGGCTTGAGTCAGGGCAGGAATACGCCAGCACCAGTCGCTGTCGATGCGCTTGGTACCGAAGGTCAACCAGGTACATATGATAGCACCGACATTCCACAGACAGTTGTAAACGGCAGTGACACGAGCGCGATGCTGGGGGTGGCACAGCTCAGTAAGCAGTAGGGGTGAGGAAAGCTGTGCAAGCGAGTTTCCGAAACCCATTAGAAAGCGCCCACCCATGAAGTAGCTAAGATTTTTGGCAGCACCCTGAATGGCAGCACCGACAATCATGATAACGCATCCGACCACGATGGCAGCTCTTCGTCCATAGCGGTCGGCAATCAAGGGAGCGATCGGGAGAGAAGCGATTGAACCGATTGAGTAAAGCGCGGTCAGTAGACCAAGAGTCGATTCTTTGGGATCGTGGAAGTAGTCGGTCCAATATTTGAGGATTCGCAGGTTGTTCAACATCGATCTACCACAGTCAGTATTTCATCCCGACAAATAGGCCTAATAGGCTGCATACCCATCGTAGCCCGTTGTAGCAGAGGCAATACAGATGATAACTGCATAAAAGTACAGCTTCCTGAGGCCGGGATCGGACCTCCAGTGGACAGGTGTTAGGTGAGGTGCCTCAGCCTGGGCAATTTCAACGTCGGCGCCTTTCGACGCAACAGCGCCCATCTTGGGCTTAAAGATATTCTTGACCATGATGGTCTTCTGTTCCTGGTATCTTCTCGAAGAGGTAACGAAAAGCAAAAGGTAACTTCGAAACACACGGATACACCGCAATCAACGATATATAAGTAAACAACCTTGAGTAGTATTGATTGGAGGCTGAATGCAACAAGGTCTGGATAGATTGGCAATGCTGGTAACCTATATTATATACTTCCGACACTGTTCTGATTCGATGTCTTGGCTCCAGGGTAACGGTCCAGCGGACCGGATAAAATCAGTAGAGGTCGTGTGGCTCACATGCATACTGCATGAAATACCCGCTGTTTGGGGTAGAACGGGCGGCAAAACATCCCAAAAGGTCAAATGATTAAATCCTTTGTCTGCTGGCCTGACAGCGGCGTTGTTTTTGGGTTGGTGGCCCTTACTCTCGGGTTCGCGGGACGAGTATCCGTAACACCTGACGGAAAACGTATTGCTCATGTAACCGTGGAATTTGATGAATTTAGAGTAACATACATGAACAAGATGTGTTCTAAAATGACCAGTCTCGTGTATAAACTAAAAGCCCAAGAAGTATGTATTATGTATGGCCTCGCACCGGCACGATGATACCGACGATCTCATACTGCGTTGCATTGTTTTACCAGTTTGCAATATCGCCACTTACCCCAGCGAGACATGTTGGAGATATTGAGGCTGCCAGAACACCACGAGGCGGGGAAGATCGGTTTTGGTTGATGGTTGGTGGAGGATTGGAGGCCCGACAACCCCACACCTTCCCCAGATGTGGGGATCCAACCTAACCGAACACCGTTGCCACGTGATAGCGCTTGTGTTCTTAGCTTCATTGTTTTGGTGCGACTCTATCTTGCAACATCAGACACCTATGTTTTTACTGCCATCATGCTCAAGCCATATGTATATTTCTGGTCATGGCGGCTCCTGCATTACCCGAGTCGTTCATCAGGTTCGAAGCAATTGACACAAAATAGTCACGACCTTTTCGCTGGCCGGTACATGAAACCGCAGATTACCGTATGCAACGTATCTATGGCTCTAGGTCAACGCCACTCCGGACCTGTCCACCCAGTTGCCAAGCTACAACGTTGCTTCGGGTGCATAAGACGGGTGGCTGAACCAACCTTCCCTCTAGTCGCAACACCCTCGCCTTGGCCATCGGCCACTCAGCTTGAACATGATATTTGGAATGCATTCTCACCAATCCGGATAGGCGCTCCCAAATTCTGGAATACTACGTCTAATTATACCACGTGGCATTCGGGGGCGATACCCGCTGCGTTGTGTGCTATTGCATCCTGTCAAACATGGATGTACAGATAGCCGTCTGACATACTTCAGGAAAGCTTGTTCGTGACCAAGAATGGAATATGTTGCTTAGTGCATTCCCAGTTTTCATCAAGTTGTGCGATTGTATGTTGAAAGCATCATATGGCAAGTCAGCGCGTCCATCATCAACAGGCCGACTCACAAAGATATCTCCCCACATCGGAGAGCATTTTCGGCTTTGTCCTAAAAAGATGAAGAAACGCTTGTTTTGGGATTAACGCACGACAACAGCTAATTCGACATGTCTGATTGGTGAGGGCAATTCGCACCGACTGGTATTATAACAAGTGTATTCACCCGCACCCAAAGAATGCAGCGATCTGGTGTGCATGATGGAGAGAATGTAGATCGTTGATCTTGCCCGGGCGAGTAACATTCCCTCAACTCTTCCATGTGTCCGGTTCAAACTTCGCGTATGCATAATTGATTGTTTATGGAGTCCCATCGGGATCCTTGTACAGATGTCCGATCCGTGCATTCTCAACGATTGCAATCCTGGTTTCCCCGCAATCTGTATTTGGCCACCTGAATTTAGCCTAAATCGAAATTATCCAGGTCATATGATACCGTGTCGGCACAAACTTCACCTACCAAACATTCTCTATGGTGTCATTGATACACTCGAGAGTCATTGAAATTGTGCCGTTCGAAGCGAAGCGAAGTCGAGGCTGGGCCACTACTTATTAAAGTCAACTACCAGTACACAGCTAGTATAAAGTCAAATTTAATTATTTTGTTCTGGTCTGCTGATGTTAGTTTTGTTGCGGGTCAAGAACCTATCTTCTTTCATCATCTACGAGCTTTTCCATACCCAGAGCTCATGCGATAAATGAACCCGAGCATTTACAATACCTCTCTATCGGTTTACAGGACAAAGAATGAGAGTGAGGAGTTAACTTTCAAGATCTTGAACAATACCCGTGTCTCGTAATAGGAAACAGTGTTTAATTCTCCAAGGACATGGTCAAGTTGGTGACTTGAAGAGCGATATCGAAGGACCCTCGGTTAACGTTAGGTCGGGGATCTAGAAAAGTCATTCGTATCAGAAGTGATTGGTCGTTATGAATGTACCGATTCACAATGTATACATCTATCTGGATATGCGTAGCTTTCTAACTAACGATGATGAGTTGCATTCATTAGCCGCCTCAAATCACGCAAATATACGACTCAAACGGCGTACTGTCATACTTGAATCGAATTGCCATCATAGTTCTTGACGTTGACTTGCCTCACGCCCAGATTGATAGTAGGAATGCGATATCTGTCTCGTCGAGCACAAAGTCTGCGCTTTGCCTCCTCCACCCCTGGCATCCAGATATTTTGAATTGCAAGGAATGTGGCAAAACAAACCCTCCATCGGAGCCAATGGCCCATATAACAAATCAGATGCAGTTCATATTCATGAATTAATGAACCCTGCTGCAAAGCAGTGTACGAAAGCATTGGTAGCCGAATTCACTTTATCAGCAACGTGTTTTCATCTCAGTATCTTGAGCATTTTGCGGTGAGTTAATACGAGGGATAAGGAGTGGTGAAGCATGGGTCTTGACGGTGGGAACGCGTTCTGAGAGGTTGTCGTCGTATGCAAGTGACCTAATATGCAACTTGAACGATCGCTTGCGACAAGGGTACGGTAGTTAGTCGCGATTCCGATCTAGAGCTTTTATATTGCAAAGCCCCAGATCCAGACAGCTGGGATAGTTAAACCTCGATCGAGGGTTTTCACGAGTATCTCGACGAATAGAAGATGTCCCCTTCACTCAACAAGTACGCATCAACACATCCACATGCAGCAATATACTTCTACCAGATCCACAGAGTAGATTCCAGATACCCGAGTCGGAATTTTCCAATGATGCACGAGAAAAGCGGCAGACATCGATGCAAGGCTTTCACCCCTGTCTATTTCCCGTCCCAGCATGACGTCAGCGTACTATTCATCCCGTGTCCATCTCACACATACCCCTCACATTACCCAAATATACGCATAATCATAGCACAACTAATGTCTAATTCTCTCTTCACCCACCCTACCACCTCGTTAGCCAACCACCCCATCAGCCACCATGGGCATCCCCTACTCCCGCGAGATCAACGCCGCGTTTGACCAAGTCACGCCTCTCGTGGCCGCGGGCTTCGAAGTGCTCCAGACGACAAAAAACATCTCCATCCTCCTCGCAGTCATACAAGTCTTGACTGTGTTCTTCCTGGCTCTGATTCTGCTGGCGTTGATTGTGCTGTTGTATTGTGTGAATCCCGATTTGGAGGTACGTCTTTTGCGCCTCTTAAAATAAACCAGATGATCTGGTGCATCGGGTGGTGAAGTCACAAATCTAACCTCATACCCGCTAGCATGAGCGTCAGGCTCTTATCACGCCCACACTGCGCTACATCGCCAACATAACGGTGTGGGGCCTGGTCCGCAGCATGGTGTCTTTGACGGTGTTGTTTGTAGGATCGGGTTGGATAGCATGGCGTCTCTTCTTGCTTGAGAGATGGATTGAGGATGTGGAGTATGAGGGGAATGTTGATGTGGACAAAGCGTTGGAGGACCTTGACGATGCGAAGGGGAAGGCGGATGTGGATAAGGGGGTGAATAAAGCGAAAGCAAAAGAGAAAGGGAAGAAGAAATGAGCGAGTTGAATCTGAGGAGAATGATGATAGCGTGGAGAAAAAGCGAGTAGTGGCTATAAGAATATATGACAAAAAGAATAAACTCTCAGCATACTAAACAGCGAAACTCAAATCCAAACCGCAAAAGCGACACAAACCAACACCAAAGAGAGCCCTAGATCGCGTTCGTATACCCCTGTAACGCCAACAGCGCAAACATACCCCCCATCACCGGTCTAGCTTTGAACTCAACCCCCCCTGGATACCTCCCATCACTCGTCTCAAACAAATCCGTCAACGGCTTACTCGTCGGCGTCTCATTGATCCACCTCACAAGATCACTGATAAACATATTCCTCGTGTCCTCGCTCGCAACAGCAGCGCAGAAGATCTCCCAATCAGCCTTTGTGTAGTACCGATTGCGCGTGTCGAGCGGGACCCCGTAGTTCTCCTTGACAGTAGGGTAGAAGGCTGATTGCATATCGTAGATTTCCTGTGGAACAAGATCCGTGTTAACAAGTTTGTCGTTGTAGAGATTGTACAGCAGACCGTGTGTGCTGGCGTTGTTGTAATTAAGCATTGCGTGCGGAGGATCATCCGCTTTGTTGATGCCAAGGTCTTCCCATTTAGTGATGTAGTCATGGGCGATGGTGGTGTAGTTCTGTGCGTCTGCGTCTTCGCCGATGAGCTTGGACATTTGGGACATTGCTTCTAGCCCGATGATGCCTTTCAGAGCGAGGTTTGTCTGGTTGACGAGGTGGCCGGCGAAATCATCGGTTGAGAGTTGCTCAGCGGGTAAAAGACTATCTTCTACCAGGTATTCGACCCATTGCTTCAGGATGGGATAGTGCTGCTTGATGTAGTCTGTGTTTCCGGAACGCTGAACGTAGGCTAGAACCATTATCATGTGGTTTCCACATTCTTCGAGAGGCATCTGTTCGTCATTCCCATCTGGATGGCCAGTCGCATTAGGATAGTGTGCCCCCAGATCGTGGATAGCATATCTATTCGGATAGTGACCACTTTCTTGGTTTTCGAAGTGCGGGTCCAACAGTAACTTGATAAGCTCTGGATTCGTGTAGAAAAAGATGGGCGACGCAGGATAAATGACATCGACGGTCTGAGTATTACCGTTCGAAGAAATCTCCTTGAGAAAGAGATAATGCTTGTCCTGGGTACCCACGAGCTGTGTAGCCGCGAAAGCCTGACGAGCGGCCAAAGATGTCAGTATAGCATAGTTCTCCCCGGCTGCAGCCACGGAGTCGTTCCAGATTTGGTCATCTAGCTGCATTGACAGCTTACTCGACTCAGAGTAATCCTTGTGAAAGAATGAGAGCTATAGAGAGTCAGCTCGATTCTGCTTGGTAATCTCTGGTAAGTGGGTTGCGCAACGAGAACCAATACTTACAGCAGCAGTATCATCGTCAAAGTAGTCCTTCCAAAGGGAAGGTAGCGTAGTCAGCCCATCCGCACCAAGGAACTGAATAGCCTCATCCTGACACAATCCAATCGTAAACAACTGCGACACCGGCACAGTTCCCACAGAACCGAAATCCACAGCATACCCGAACACGGGCCACTTGTCATTGATAGCACGAAAGTCGCCATCTGTAGAATTATCAAGTTTCCCACTGTCCACAAAAGCCCCACGAACATCCACATCAGCGCCCGATTGAGAAGTGACAGTGTCGTTTAAATCCGTGGCATAGTACTAAGCACATGAGCATGACGTTGAACCTACAGGATGAGAATATATACTAACAAAGTTTCCCCATTCAGCTCGATCGCTGCTCTCGGAAAAGAGTTGTTGGTTCTGCTTCCACACTTTGTGATATGTAAGGTCATCTGCGACACCAGACTCCCACTGCGCGGTGGCTGAAGTATTGCCCGAGACCCATTCTGCCAGCACGTCAGCACGGCAATATCGTACGACAAGAGGCGCAACAGCTTACCTGCACTGATGTCGGTGTATATCTGTACATCATGGGTCGTGCCATTTAGAGAAGACACTTCAACTTCCATGTACGAGAAGATCAAAGATTGGCGCTTGAAATCGTTTGGTGTAAGGGGCGACAAGAAGGTGATCTTCACGGTGACCTTGTCGTCCGCCTCGATGGTGAAGATACTTCTGGTGGATGTGTACTCATAGGCTACTTGGCTGGCAACGTCGATATCGTTCGGTGTGCCCATCCATGTAAACGTCTTGCCATCTACACGGATTAAACCAGTCCAGCCAAGCCATTGGCCCCTGGTTCATGTCAGTGATATTCTGCCACAAATGTAGATGGAGTATGTTTTACGTCCAGAATTGGGGCCATTGTCCGGGGAGATAGCCTCCGTTGCCGCCATCGCTACCGGCAGGAAGCCAAGTGCTTAGGTAAGGGTTCTTTACTGCTAGAGGTAGCGACGGTGGGCGTGCCGGGGTAAACGTTGACTCGGCAGCCGTGGTAAGAAGAAGTCCGCCTAACGTACTGAGTACAGAAAGATACATCGTTAAAGATAAATGTGGCTGGCAGCAGATTGAGCTTGACTGATGTATGTGTTTTGCGAAACACTATAAGCACCCCAGATATGGGATAGTGCTGACGCAAACACGTCACAATTTATAGAAGTTCTGCAAAATTCAGTATATATACCGAGTAGACGCAAAAGAAAAGAGAAAAATGTATCCAACACTACATTGTACATTATTGCGACAAGTACGTACTCAAGATATAAACAAACCCACCAACATTTAATCTTTTAGCATTCAGCCCCCAACAACCATTCTATTTCAGGGGTGCGGGCCTACATAGTGTTTCATGCGTGCGAAAGGTTGCTTGGCGGTCGTTCTTCCGTCGACGTCCTATCGTACCACCGGGTAGAAAGTCAGGCGTCCCCCATAGCCCAGACGCTGGAAGAACGCCTAACTATCCGGCACCACATAACCAGAACCACAAAACGAGCCGCCTAACAGCACATAGCGGTGTATAAACTCCGTGGCTCAAGACGAGAACCTTTAACCCGTGCAACGTTCCCCGCAACGTACTCAAACAAAAAGCACGACAACCACGTGGTGGTGTGTTGATGGAATCTTGAGGATACATGGGGTAGGTCCACGAGATGCAGGCGTAGCCTGTTACACTCAGGTTGGGGCGATCGAGTCCAGAGGAGAAGGGATAGTTCAAGGTGGCAGAGCACACAAGCATGGGTCGCACCGAGACCGGCGCGCTGGGTGCCTGAGCACATGATGACGTTAGGATGGGAGACTTGAGTGAAAAGTTGCGAAGTTTGTTTGCTACTGATCAACGAGAGGGTTTCTGGAGTGGAGAGGAGAGGAGAGGTTGCGGGCGGGTTTCTAGGCGAGGTATGGCTTCCGTGATGGTTGAGGTTGTGAGAGATGGTTGGCGTGACAAGTGGTATGGAATCCCACCTGACAGTTTTATCTCGAAAATATTGGCATGATACTAAATATTGTGAGGATTGATATTCATTACTATCCTAAAATTCGCGCAACCACGATCCATTCGCGGGTCCATCCCACATCCAGTCCATCCTTACACATCACTCATGTTACACCATATACCCAACGCCGTTGCTCCAAGGATGAGGTATCAAAGCAAGCTTCCCGCCTGGCCCCAAAAATGCAGAAAGAACAGATGCGTAGTGACAAAAAAGGGTATCCAGTACCCAAGGTATACCGCGACAAGATGGTGTCCATATGACAAGAGACGTTCAAAGCAAGAGAAAAGAAGAAAGCGAGGGATGGTACATCTAGAAGTCCTCGTCGAAAGCGAAGTCACCTGATTGACCCTTCGCCTCTGCAACGGTGACTGATGACCCATCCTCGTTCACTTCGTGCTTCTTTGTGCTAGCCATGACACCTGCCTTTTGGTAGTCACCGACGCGCTTCTCGAAGAAGTTTGTCTTGCCAGCAAGCGAGATGTTCTCCATGAAGTCGAAGGGGTTGGTTGCGTTGTAGACCTTGGGGTTGCCAAGTGCCAACAACAGGCGGTCGGCAACGAACTCGATGTATTGGCACATGAGGGCGGAGTTCATGCCGAGCAGAGCGCAGGGCAGAGCATCAGACAAGAACTCTTGCTCGATCTCAACAGCCTCGGTGATGATGGCAGCGACAGACTCTTTGCTGGGGCGGTTGTTCAAGAGAGAAAAGAGCAGGCAGGCGAAATCAGTGTGCATACCCTCGTCACGGGAGATGAGCTCGTTGGAGAAAGTAAGACCTGGCATGAGGCCACGCTTCTTGAGCCAGAAGATGGAAGCGAAGGAACCGCTGAAGAAGATACCCTCGACGGCGGCGAAGGCAACGAGACGGTTGGCAAAAGTGGAGTTCTTGTCAGAGATCCATTTGAGGGCCCAGTCAGCCTTCTTGCGGATGCATGGAACTATGACGTGTTAGAAATGTCTTCTGACACCATTGCAAGGAATGACTTACTGTTGTCGATGGCGTTGAAAAGGTATGTGCGCTGCCTGGGCTCGCTGATGTATGTGTCGATGAGCAGAGAGTATGTCTCTGAGTGAACATTCTCCATCATGATCTGGAAGCCGTAGAAGCATCGTGCCTCAGGTATTTGTACTTCGCCGGAGAATCGCTCGACCAAGTTCTCGTTGACGATGCCATCAGAGGCTGCGAAAAAGGCGAGAACGTGGGAGATGAAGAAACGCTCGTCATCATTCAATCGCTTGTTCCAGTCGTGAAGATCCTTGGAGAGATCAATCTCTTCAGCGGTCCAGAACGAGGCTTCCGCCTTCTTGTACATTTGCCAAACCTAGAAGGAGGGGTAACGTTAGCCAGGGTCCAAGTGCCTACGAATAGACGCGTCTTCTCACGCGTCGGACGCGTTGGGATGTAAAGTGGACTTACATCATGGTACTTGATGGGGAAAAGCACAAAACGTTGGGCGTTCTCTTGGAGGAGGGGCTCGTTTGCCTCCTCAGGCTTGATTGTGGATGCAACACTGAGCTTCTTCTCCGACGCGTCCTCCTCTGGCAGGTCTGGAATGCCGACAATGGGCTTGAAAACGTTTTCCTTATCCGCCGACGCGAAGTTGAGCTTCTTTGCAGGTGAGTCGTTCATCTTGAGCACGTCCATTGCCATTGCCGCCTATATACGCGTTAATATGTGCATACTATATGGGATGGTATCCTGACGCGTACCTGCTTGGATGGTGTGAACTGGAGGGCCGACATTGTGAGGCAAAAAAGATATTATAGCACCAGAGTATTGATTGTACACGTTCAGATGTGTTGAAGATGTACGAATGCAGTGATGGTGGGCAAGTAAAGTGGGATGCTTGTGAGTGTCGAATGAACAAGAGACGACGCGCCGTTCTTAAGTCGGGAAAAACACTTTTCACGTGATCTGGCGGGAACGCGCTTCCCAGCCCGCATGGCGCGAGCTATGACGATCTTGACGCGCCCCTCCGATCAGGGCATACCTCGACCCCTCCGATGGCGGGCTTGCTATATTGACGCGTCCGGCCAATAGAACCGGACATACGCACTCAAATGGTACCGAATTCATAGCTTCTCTTCTGTGCATGTGTCCAGTAATTGCCCATCGAGTTCTTCTGAGCATGCCCAAAACCGTCCGTGCGAGTGCGATGCTTGTCACAGCAACGCGACAACGACCCACTATCATGACCAATCCGGCGTCTCGAAGCACCACTCTATGGCATGTGCTTTGATCTGATAAGATTTCGCTCCTGATTGACGCCATTCCAGCCCCACTAAATCCATCACATCATAGTGCCACGGGAAAAGACTGTTGCTGGGCCAGCGCGTCCGGATACGCGTTGTGATGCATCTAGACGCGTTGAGGGGGGCTGGGAGCTCTGATATCATGACTCTCTCTACGCTTTGACTCCAGTAAATGCAATATCAAACGCCGATCGCCATGCCCTTCTTTCCCTCGTGGCCATGAATCCATGATCCAAGCTTTTCACCCAAGCATCTCATTCCAGTCGGGCACGACGACGAACTTTCCTTTGACGCGTCCGAAAGAGACCGCTTCGCCGGCGTCTTCTTCAACCACTCGATCTTTTTCGGGAACAACATTAATAGATACCACCTCCTGCAAAAACCCCGCTTTGTTTCCTGGCGTCAGTTCGTAGCTGGTACCTCCCCAGTCCAGCGTCGTGCGACCAGATTGCCGAACGCGTAGTTTTCCAACTAGACCGCTGGCGAAACGAGGTCCGTCTGAGGCCTTGGCGGAGGGGTCTGAGAAGCCTTCTTCCACTTTGATTTTGACGCCCTCAGCCTTGACTGGTGGGGCTGGAGAGTCTGACGCATCCTTTTTGTCGTCAGGGAGGAGCAGTTCTGGCATGAGCGGCGGGATCTGGAAGAGGTAAACGTTATTGTCGCGCACACTGGCCTTTTTGGCGTCAGCCGCAGCGTCCGCCATGTTCACATCGCCAGTCCCATCTGCTGCAGCTATCTCGTCAGGTCCCAGTTCAGCTCTGATATGACGTAAATTCGACTGGAAGCGCGCCCATTCTGCGCGGTCTTCGTCTGTTTGCAGGACTGGCTCTGAGATGTTCTGCAGTCGTGTCTTCGGTTTTCTGTCCGTGTCTGGTGGGGGTTCTGATTTCTCGACCGGCTCTACAATGCCGATTTGCTCTGCATCTGCCATGTTCTCGTCGTCACTGACGGGTTCTGCCTTCACTATCCTATCATCTGCATCCTGCCAGACTCCTTTGAAAGGTTTTCGTGAGCCTGTAATCTCAACGTCCTTCGCCTTGCCCTTGCCCTTGCCTGAGGAGCGCCCTGATGTGCTTGCCGTGGATGCTCTGCCGCCTGTCTCCGCTTCTTCCAGTATTTTTGCTGATGCTTCGGTACTTGCGTCTGTGTTGATTCCAAAAGCGCGTTCTTGATGTTCTTTCCTGCCGATTCGAACAGGCAATGTTGACCTCCCTGGACGCTCCGTTGGCGCAGCATCGTTTTCGTCGGAGGAAATCTCGATGAGATCGATATCTCTGCGGGGGAATTCGGCGTCTTCTTCATCCTCAGAGCTGACATAACCTCCATCTTCCCTCTTGATCGATGGACCTCCGCCTCCTCCTCCTCCGCTTCCCCCTCCCCCTCCAGAAGATCTAAAGCCTGAGCTTCCTCCTCCATGATCGCCGTCCTCGTTCTTTACGCGTTCCGCTCGCGAGCCTGATCCGGCACCGAAGCCTGAGAAGTTGCGATTGTTCGTTTTCCGATCTGTTGTCGAAGTCAGCGTAGAAGGCCATTGTATGGGCAGTTTCAAACATGCCTTCTCTGGAGCTGCCGAGCGAGAAAGGACCACTCATCGCCCCGCTATAACCGCCTCTTCCTCTAGTAGCTCGCTTTGCTTCTCTCTCCGCATCTCGTGCAGCTTTCTTCTCCTTCTTCATGATTGCCTGATCGCGCTCCCTAGTTCTCTCCTTCTCGCGCTCCAGAGCTTCCTTCTCCAGGGCTATCCGCTCTTCCTTGCTTCGACGACCTGTAAAAGTGGGCTTGGGCATGGCCTTTTTGCCTCGAACAGAGCCGCCACGGCGTATAGACGGCGAGGCGGATCGAGAGGGAGGTTCCAAGCTTTGCAGGTCACCGAGACGTTGCACTGGTGGGCGACTGCTGATCTCTGTGCCATGCTGCGGTGTCGAGACTGAACTATGATATGTAGTTAGCCTTGCCGCACAAGCTCTGCGAGAAGTAAGAGAGCTTACGATGCGGCAACCGAAGGCAGTGCTTGCGATTTAACAGTTGTTGAAACATGGTCGCTTGTGCTTGACTGGTTTGCATCGTTGCTGTTCTCCTGCTTTGGTATCATTGACGGCTGAAAAGCCTCGGGCGCTTCTGGTGTGCTGCTGTCCTGCGGGGTTATATCTTCTATGGCTTCACTGGCGCCGACAGTAGATCGACCGGCGGTTGCACCCCCCCTTCCTCCCGCGCGGGCACGCGTACTCCCGCGTCCTCTTGGTTTTGGTGGCATTGGTAGTCGGGTGCTCGAGCAATTTGTTGTAAGATTGAGAGGTGTCTGGAGCTGTCGCAAAAATCATGCTTTATCGATAAGGTAGATGCGCGACGTCACGTGAGAGCATCACGTCCAAAAAGTCATATACTTCGTAATGATGTTTGGTGAGGTTGCAATGTAGGCTAATAGTAAAGGAAGGTCACTCTGCGGAACACCAAACTTGATTCACATTCAATTCCCAACTATGTAACAAGGTCGATTGCAGCTCTCCAAGCCTCACACCTCTAATGATTACAACCTCTTCGAGTAATAACGGTCAACGAAAGCGATAACAAAGGTGGTGTGCTGGTAAGTGAAAAGGACTTGCTCCGCCCATGCTCGCTAGAAATATCGCAATAACCTGTTCCTGAACGCCGTTCGCATTAGATCTGATCGGGGAGAGGATTTTAACGTAAACGCATACGTAGAGTAAAGCAACAAGATAAGTAAGAGGTGAATGATAAGCAGTCGATTAAGCTGGGTATCAAGGGCAATTCAATCGTCTACCCTTCGACAAGGGTCTTAGGGCTCTTGCCCATGAGCTCGAGGCACCGGCGGGCGAGAGTGACCACCTCGCCCTCGCCGTCCTCATTGTCTTCGTCGTCAGACTCGATGTTGCGCTCAGCGATCTCGGTGACCATGTGGACAATCTCGTTTGAGCTCGAGATGCGCTCCAACAGTTGGGCGTCTTCGGACTCGAGAAGCTGAAGAAGAGTCCATATAGCGATATGCTGGAAAGTGGGATCTCCACTGGCCAAGAAGCGGCGGAGATAGCCGTGGATGCCGCCTGCGGGCTCCGTCCAGTTCTGAAGGAATATGGTGTAGTCGCCCACTATGAATGTTAGCTGGAGCTGATGGTCAGGTCAAGGTAACTCACCCTTGGAAGACAAATTGCCCAGAGCAGCAGCACTGTTTCCTTGGACCTCAATACTGTCAGACTCGGTGAGGGGGATGAGGACATCGAAGACGCCAAGACTGAGAAGGTGGGGCTTCAGTTCCTCGCTCAGGGCAAGTACGGCAATGGCTGCGGTCATCTCAGACTGCACTGGAAGTCGTACGTTGAGGACCAGCTGCTTGCACTTCTGCACGGCACCTGCTTCCAGAACAAGTTGCTTGTTCTTGTCCGAGCTTGCCGCAAGATTACGGAGGGTCGAGATTGCATGGCACTGAATCTCGTCGTTGTCAGTCGAGCCAAGCAGGTCCACCAATGGTCGAAGGAAGCCAGCTTCGATGATGGGAGACTCGTTCGCAGGGTGGATGGAAATGTTTCGTATGCATGCGACAGCGGAGAGGATAAGTGGGAGGTAAGATGATTGTAGAAGACGAAGAAGAGACGAGAGGCCGCGGGCGCGCACAATCTCAAGCTGGTATCGCTCGTCGGATGCGAGATTTCGCAGGGCGAGGGCAGCCTGGCATTGCACCTTGGGCGACGACGACTCCATGAGGTGGACCAGCGATCCAACCAACCGGCTCTCCGTCTGAGCCAGCTTGGCGCGGTTGCTGGCATCGACAGCAATGTTGCTGAGGGCGGTTGTGCAGTAGTACTGCACGTCGACGTCTGGAGAGCTGAGCAGCTGGACGAGGACGGGGATGGCGCCAGCGTTGACGAGCTGCTGGCGGTTGTCATCTAGCGGGTGTCAGTACTGCTTTTGGCTGTGCGGCAACCTGTCGCTCCTACCTGAATGCGTCATGTTGAGCAGGGCGCCGGTCGCATTCCTCTGCACGCGCATGTCTTTGGACTTGGCCAGTCGTGTGAGGGGCTGCAGTGCTCCCGAGCGTGCTATCTTGGCCTTGTTGTCCTCGTGTGTAGCAAGGTTCGTTATGCACCCGACGGCGTTGCATTGCACCTCGACGTTGGGCGAGTTCATCTGCTTGATCAGCGGCGCAAGGCCACCCAGTGCGACAATGGCGACCTTGTTCTCGGCTGCAGGGAGTCAGCAGATGCTCGTGGTGTGCATGGTGCGGATGTGTACGTACTGTTCACGGCCAGGTTGCCGAGGGCGGCGCTGGCAGCGCGCTGCACCTCGATGTCGGGGTTCTGGAGCAGGAACAGGATGGGCTCCAGGGTGTCGCGGTCGACCTCTCGCACATCTGTGGCAGCATCGTCAGACGTCATGCGCGTGCGCGGCAGCGGACGCACGTACCTCTCTCTGTGATCTCGGCAAAGGTCAAGCTGGCCGACCTCTGCAAATCGATGTTGTCGGAATATACAAGCGTACTCAATGCGCGGAGGGGCTCGCCCGTGAAGAAGTCGGTCTCGGCTCGCTGCATGTGTTAGCGCGGGTCGTGGGTGCAGAGCAGGCACGTGAACGCACGTTCTCGAGGAAGCCCAGCAGGTCAGCAACAGCTTCCCGCTCGCTGTCAGCCAGGACGGGGTCGTAGATGCTGTCCCGGGAGCGCCCTGTGTCATTGTCCGTCAGCGGGGGGGCATTGAGCAAGCATCGCGGCCGTCACGTACCGCCGCAGCAGCAGAAAATCTTGGAGAGAAAGCCCATGGCGAACAGCGGTCAGGGCGAGGCGCGGCGTCGTCTGTCGGCGGGCAGTCTCGAGGAGCTGCGGGTGGGGAGAGTGGCAGCGGCAGACGCGAGACAGACTCGATACTGGACGCGGGGCGCGAGCTGTCGACGGCGAGGGGACGGCGGGCGGTGCTGGCGATGGCGGGAGTCGTTAGTCGACGTGTTGATGGCGCTCGTCACTCGCTTCCTGTGGGTCTCGTCCGACGAGCACAACCTGCTTGGCTGCACCGGTTGGGTTTAGCTCCGCAGAGCTGCATGGGAAGGCGCATGTTGGCAGCTCGACAGATAGATTAACGTGACATGGCGAATGTCTTCTCTGCTGCTAATCAACGGGCCCACATGCAGCGCATCATGGCTACGGTTGCGCCCTCTGCTCTGACATGTACTTGGCCTGTACTCGAAGCACTTGGCCAGCACAGCACGGCAGAGTCATGTGCCCTTTCGTCTCTCGCGGTTAAGCTGTAAACGCCGGACGCAGGCAGCGTTATTTTCAGCACATAAGCGCAGTACAGACAGACGCTGGAACAATTAATCACTGCAAAAATTGCTTGAGACGACTGCATAGGTATTACAATCGACGCGCACAAGCTTCGATCGACTCTGCATGTGGTCGTCTGGATATTGCGAGCTGCTGCCAGCTTCGACGCTTGGCCGAGAACGTACGCGCCAGTGCACAGTGGAGCAGTGGAATCTTGACCAGCCAGCCTCCCCTCCCGTATCGGCCCTGCATGAACTACACCAAGGCCGACCCCACGCTTACATACTGTGCTTTGTGTCACCCTCCGCTCCAACTGGCAGGCCGGACGGCTGCAAAGACGTCCAGTAGCCTCAGCGCGGGGAAGCACGTCGCTGACTGGCCCACAGCCGCTGTGTTTCGCTCAGCATACGTCAGAAACCCAAACCCCTTGGACGCTGCGCCTAGCCAAAGTACGTAAATCCGCCAACATGGCTTACTCTGCGTCCGCCTCCCATAGGTGCAGCGCGCTCATGTGTCGCGAAACAATGCCTTGCACCCCGCCCGGCGCTCGCCTCGACGTGGGGTGAAAGAAAACACCACACGCTGATGTCTGCTCGCCTCCCGACACACCCCTTCAAGACAACTTCATTTCGCAGCAAATACTGCCTCCGCATTACTACGCACAACCTGCACTCGTACTGTCCTCTCTCCACCCCCGCCACTTAATCAACCACGAGCAGCCGTGTCAGGCGCGACTGCCAATTTACACTCGCCGCTAGCAGAAACAAGCAATCCGCTGCCTGAACTCAATTCTATTGCCTTTGCTCTCCTGTCGCATCACCACACCCCACACTGAACTATTAATACCTGGTGCCTGGTCGTTTTCTGAGGTTTGCATCCACCGTGAATCGATTAAATGGCCTCGAATGCGCCATCCTCACACAATTTCCAGAAGCTCACGCTCGATACCTCATCCCCGTACAGGCAGATTGCCTCAACCTTTGCCGCGTTTCCGCGCCACGACTCTGCACGCAACGGCCATGACCGCTCGCACCGGCAATCCGACTTCACCAGTGCAGAGCTGTCAGACTATTCCAATGGCGCATCTCGGCCATGCGAACAGAACGGCGCAACCCCTCAATCGGGTTCGTACGTAGGCAGGCCAATCGCCCCAGGCAGGAGCGGGAGTGAAGAGCAGGGTATTGAAGCGCGCTTCAAGAAGCGCACGACGTCCATTACCTTCGACAATGAAGTTACGCTTGACACTGGCGCCCGTCACGCCCTCGAGGTTCCTGTGCCCAAGCCAATATCACGCCATTCGCAACCGCATAGTGAGCGATCCAGCTTCTCGGACCATTCCGAGTACTTGGAAATGCCCTTCAACCAGCAAAGACACATGCAGCATCGCGTTGGCCAGTCGAGATACCCGCTCCTGCAAACCACCGTCGACGACCTCGCAAACGACCAAGAGTACAATGACCAGGTTGCATCCCTGACCTCGGATGCTACTGCCTCGCCACTCGAAGAGGCACGAACGCCACTGGAGATGCCATCAGAGTACATGCTCTCTCCGCTGCCTGTCGCTACCTCACCAATCGAATTTCCTGGCTTCTCGCCGCGCATGCGTGGGCCACCGAGAACCAAGAGCTTTCGATCCGAGATAGGTGAAGACGGCAGTCTACGGAGAACCAGTCGGCGCAGCTCGGTACGCTCCGGGCGATCTCTTTCTTCCATGTCCCCTGCTGCATCCTTCCTTGCACGATACAGAACCTCCGAAGCTGCCATAAAACCGAGCGAGCCAGATGACGAAGGTCAAGGTGTAGGGTATGAGGGCGAGTACATCATCGGAAAGCAAATCGGATATGGTGGGTTCAGTATTGTCAAAGAGGTCACGAGCATAGAGCATGGGAAGCCTGTGGTCCATGCTGTCAAGATTGTGCGCAAACTTCAGCAGCATAAGTCGGAGCTGGAAAACGAAGAAATCCAGACGCAATTTGATCACGAGGTGGAGATCTGGCGGTTCCTGCGACACCCCTATATTCTACCTCTGTTGCGAGTCTACACCACCGACTTTGCGACCTTCTGCATTACCAAGCTGAACAAGGGCGGAACACTGTTCGACCTGGTGCGTGACACACGCCGAAAGAAGCACTTAGGCCTACCCCGGCACCTGGTCAAGCGCTATGCGTACCAGTTGGCCTCGGCCCTGCGCTATCTGCACAATGATGTCCAGGTCGTCCATCGCGACGTCAAGCTAGAGAACTGCCTCGTCGATATGACCATACCCAACGCCGAGCGCGATGGCGGCGATGTCCTACTCTGCGATTTTGGTATGGCCGACTACGTTGTGAGCGACCAGCGCGATGGCCCAGAGCCTCATTCAATTGGCGTAAACCAGAATATCGGTCCTGCCGATACTAGTACTTGCGTTGCCGGCAGTTTGCAATATGCTGCGCCAGAGCTGTTCGATGCGCCAGGTCCTGTCTTCTCTACGGCAGCAGATATGTGGGCATTTGGCGTGTGCATATATGCACTTCTCACCGCGACTCTACCGTTCAACGAGGGCCTTGATGTGAAGACTACAATGAAGATCATGAAGGGCGAGTGGGATGCAGAGCTTATTCGCAGCGCAGAGGCTGTCAAAGAAGGCGGTGTTGAGGATGCGCTGGCGTTGATCGCTGGCTGTCTTGAGATGGACGTCGAGAAGCGCTGGACCGTACACGACGTCTTAGAGTGTGCATGGTTGCGAGACTGCGAGCAGTGCTACGAGAACGTGGCTCGTCCCTGGCTTAACGGATCCTAGTTGGATCGTCAGTCATAATCATGGTGCGCTCAGAGTTGGTGTTTGGTTTGGGTTTGGATGGTTTTGGACTCTCACAATCACGTCTGGATACCCTGTTTCATTTTGCTTGTCGCTTTTCTTATCGTTATTCAAGTTCCGTCGTCTGGTGTTGTCTTTACACTAGGCGTTGTGCGATACCCTTTTTCTCTGCTTCCGCTCAATTGTATGGTCTTTGGCTTGGGTCGGCGGTTGGCAGGGCGTCTACACGTGGGTTTTTGGTATTCCGTGTCGGCGCAACGTTTGTCTATATAAAGAGAACCCGCTGTTTGCGCGTATACAGGGAAAAGCCTGGATATGATAGTAATTGTGATAGCAGATGATAAAATATACATTTGTTCTCATGACTTCGTCTTTCCAAGATACAATGCTACAAGCTAGGGTCCTTTCCAGTCTCATCATGAATTCGCATCCGTTCAAGTAAATATTTCCAATATCTTAAATCTTGTCCAGATCCATGCATTACACAAAACAACAAAAACGCCCATCAAAGCGCGTATCCAACAACCTCCACGTAATCGTTGCCCGCAAACCACTCCATCAAGACTCTACTAAACCTCACTCCCACACCTCCCACAAGACAAATACTTCTCCCCCGCCCCCCGAACACTGACCCTAAAATCCTCAGCACCGCACTTCCTGCACCTAACCCCCGATCTATCCTCCTCAAGCTCATCTTCATCCCCACCCGTCAACCGACTCATCAAACTCGCACTATCCATATTGGCCCCAAACAGGGGCCTGGAGAGCTCCGACGGATCGACAGAAGGATCCGTTTTCTCCGAGCTTAGCGTATCGATGGTCTGCACGGCTCCCAATTGCAGCGGGTCGGCAGAATGCAGACTTAGCCCCGCCACGGATTTCGGCCGCGACGTGCTGCGCGCGCGACTCCGGCGCACAGAGCTATTGCTCGAGTCGATGCTGCCGTGGGATATGCCCTGGCGCCAGTTCATGATGCGGTCGTTGGGCGGCTGGGTGGAAACGGACTCCCGTCTTGAGCGGCTGGTGCGCGAGAGGATGCTGCTTGGTCGTCCGACGCCGCGTTTGGAGAATAAGGAGGAGGTTTCTAGGGCGTCGATCAGGCGGAGTCGCTTGGCGTATGCGCAGTCTTGTCTGAAGACTTTGAGGGAGCCGGTGTAGTCTGCTGTGACGATGATGGTGCCGCCGGGGTGGGCGGAGCGTGCTATGTAGGCTGGGCTCACGGGGACCTTCTTGAGGGTTGTGTCTGCTGACGTGGGGCGTGCGGATTCGGCTTCCGTGGTGGGTTTGGAGGAGATGATAGATTCTGCGCGCGAGACTAGCGTGACTGGCGGGGGGTTGCATAGATCGTATATGGGATCTTCGGAAGCGCTGAGCAGTTGTCTGGTCTGAACTGGGGCGATGACGGTACACGTTGTGATGGAGTTGTGAGCTTCGAACATCTCCACCGGCCGCTGCTGTCGCTTGTCGCCTTCCGGCGTTGCTGTTGACCAAATGTATGCCTTTCGATCTTCACTTCCGCAGATGATATGGCCAGTGCTGTCGTCAAATGTAGCTCGGATTTGACTGCAGTTGTTCTCGTGGCCCCGAAACTTCATCTCCAAACTCTTGTCTTTCAAGTTGTAGACTCTGATCCTGGAGTCGTTACTCGTAATCAGCAGCTTGACCTCGCTACTCTCACTATCCGGAGGCCAATGTGTCGCTTGGATACCAGTGATCTTGCTTCCTTTCGCATTCTGTCCCCGCGTCGATTTGGCGTGGAGTTGCGCCTGCCACTTGAGCCCTTCGGTGTCGTAAAACATACAAAGACCGTTTAGCGTTCCAGCTATACAGGTTTTTCCATCGGGTGTGAAGGATACGGCCGTGATCATATCCGGTACTGTGACAGCGAACGCGACGCTCTTATCAGGTATACTCCAAAGTCGCAGCTTCGTATCCAAGGAGCCAGCAAGAAAGAATCGATCATCCGTGGGATGAAATTGGATGGATGGCACAAAATCTGAGTGTTTGAACGTGCAGAGGTTCTCATCACGACTGACATGCCATAACCGTACAGTCTTGTCCATGGACGAGGATAGCAAAAAGTTGTTCTGAATTGTCAATCACTGTCTCTCAAATGTTGAGCGCGCAGAAACGTACCTTACTCCAACTTAGATCCAGGATAGTAGATGTATGCCCATGGTATTCACGAAAAAGCTTCTGTTGGAAGACAGGCGCACTGAGGTATCCAGGTTCGTTTTCAGCCTCATGTGGATCGCTCTCGTCTTTCTCCTGTGATTTGCGTTCTTCAGGACTTGAAACAACTGCCCAGACCCTGACAACTCTGTCTTGTCCACCAGCAGCTAGATACCTCCCGTCCTTGCTAAATTCCACGGCCCAGATAGGATTATGCGCAGCCGCTGATCCAGACTGGGGCACCGAGTTTGACCCAGCAGCTGGTGGACTCTTCTTGTCCGATCCTGATCGAAGTTCTTGCGCCAAAAAGACACGGTCGAATTCCTTGTCTTTCTTGAACTTGGCCCGCACCTTAATGTATGCTGGTGGTTGCGGATATTTGGGGTGGAAACTAAGGTTGTTGACATACAATTGCGCGTCCATACCCTCATTGCGCAGGTCTTCGGCCTCGTCACCATTGTCGCTTGTAACATCGAGGACATCTTTCTTTTTGTTATTGCCGATGAAGCGACTAAGGAATGAGGCGCCCTTCCTGTGGTGGGTCAGAATTCTGCCTTGAGCATGATCCGCCTCGGAAAGTCACAGCACAAGGCTACCATAGGCTAATCGCAACAAGTAGTGTAGACGCAACAGTGTGAGGTGTGATACGCGTATTCGTATCATATGAATACGAGGATGCGCTAAACTTGTTTCCATGGGAAACCCAACCGTTCTGGATGATGCAAGGAAAAAACGACGTATAAAAGGGTGCTCACTTTTTGTCTGCTTTGGATGCTGAGCCGATGTCCCGCGACGTTTCCCCGCTGTGCTTCTTATCCATATGACTTTCATTGGGTGACGCTGGCGATTGTATCAACGGAGGTTCTACATTGTGTGACCATAGTCTCTGGGCGCCCACCGACGTGGTAGTCCTTCGAATGATTTGCTATACTCGTCAATTTCTACACCAGAGCTTCCCCGGTATACGTACTTGCGACAGAGGATCTATGGCGGCCTCCGATGATCCCATCCGATCACTGCCGTTGCCATTTTGCGTCTCGTTCGGCGGTGTAGAAGGCGTTGTCGGAGTACGAAGCTTCGCGATAAGTTTTCCGTTCGTCAACGGTCCTATGGGGTTCAGAGTGAGCATTGCATGTGTCGGCGTGCTGACAGGTGACGTACCGTCTCCTTTGGTTGTGTATTTGCCAGTATCTTGCCTTTCTATGGGGGTTGCCGCCCTGGCAAGTGGGTCTGCAACCTTAATCTTAGGCAAGACGTCTTGCATGTTGGATGTTGGGCATGAAGTGTCATGGGTGGACCCTAGTCACAACGCTGGCAGGTCTCGCGGCAGCCGTGGAGGGGCAACTGCCAGACAGATGGACTCAAAGAGAGTGAAGTTCAAGGTCGCGCTGCAGGCAGAAATGTGAACAAACGAATATTCCAGACAGGTTGTGCGGTTGTTGCTCCTATGGCGTCCAGATGCAAGTAAATAACGTTTTCCTATCCTAGATCCAGATTGATACGAGGTGTTCTTTCAATGCTACCAGCGCACGCAGCACTTCCATCTCAGCTGTAACGTATGTCTACCCATATACGAAGGACATTGAGAGCAGCCGGGCGAGAAACAATCGACACAATGACGCAATGCGACCAGAATGTGTGACCTGATGTTGACGACTCAGGGATTTTTGCACGAGCCACCGATACCGATAACGTGTTTTATCAGCCTGTGCACGCCATCAGCTTGTGCACGCAGAACACTATTTTATCTAATCTTTTTAACCCTACACAATACTACTAAAATAGGTAATATAAAAGCTATGCTTAATAATTTATAATACCTAAAGCTAAAAGAATCCTTTAATTATACTAAAGTAGCTAAGAAATATAGTATTAACTAATCTACGTTATCTTAAAGGTATTATAAGGTAACTATAATATATAATAAATATATAATTAATAGCTAATATCTAAACTTTATATAAAAGTATAAGCTTTTATAGTATATTAATAGGCTTTATAAAAAAGGTTTACTACCTATAAAATAAATAATTTAGAATTTTATATTAAAAATAGCTAGTAAACTAGTAAAAAAATACTAGGTTAATTACTATATTATATATTATAGTATTTACCTAATTTTATATTAAATAACTAAAATTAACGCTAATTACTATAAAGCTAATTCTACCTTTAAATATACTTTATATTTTAAGTAACTATATTATAAAATTAAGTAGTAAAGTATTAAGCTATATTATATATATAATATAACTATAAAAAAGGCTTTCTTATTAAAGTACTTTTAAGATTAAAGAAGATTTTTAGTAAAAAGTAATATAAATATTAAAAGATTAAGGTAGTTCTTAAAAATAATAATAAAGGGTAGATTACGTTATTAATATATATTTATACTAATAGATTAGCTCTTACTTTAGTACTTATTTATTAAGCTACCTTTAAAAATATTTAAAATACTTAGTTATAAGATTTTAATTTTTTTATCTCTTAAGCTTTCTTTACTCTATTACTTACTAGATAAATAAGTAATATTATAGGCCTAGCCTAGCTTAAATAAGTATTTAATTAGAAAACTTAAAAGAAGGCTTAATACTTATATTAACTACTTATTATTAATAGTTATAGCTTTTATATTACTATAAATTTTATTAAGTACTATAATAAAAATAAAATTTTACTTATAGTACTTTTACTTTACTTAACTTATATACTTTTACTTTTTTAATATAGTTATATTTAAGCTTTTATTAATAGCTTACTTAGCTAGGCTTTTAAACTTTATAAATAAGTACTAAAAACTTTTATTTATTATTAAGTATAACTTCTTTTAGCTTTTTTATTATACTTAAAATAGCTTATTTAAGCTTTAAACTATTTAAAAAGCCTTTAGTACTACTAGTATTTTACTTATAAATTCTAATATAATTTTTTATAAATTCTAGTTAAATAACTTTTATTTATTATTAAGTTTCTTTATAAGCTTAGTTTTAAATACCTTAAACTAAAGAAAGATTAAAAGACTTTTAAAAAAAATAGTAATTAATATAAGCCTAAATTAAACTTAGTAACTTAATTAAACTATTTATATAGTTTTAGTTAAAAAAATACTTTTAAAATATAAAAATAGTTAGCTTAAAAAAGCTTTTTTAAATAAAAAGAAGTATAGGTAGTATAGTAAAGTAATACTACTTTAGCTACTAGCTTAATATAATAAAAAAGCTATTTTTTAGTTTCTTTAAAAAGTTACTACTACTTATAATTACTAAAAGTAAAAAAACCTTAAATAAAAGTAGTTATAATATTAAAAAAGTAAAGTAATTAACCTTTAAAATAAATAAAAGTAACTTAAGGTAAATCTTTTTAAAAAGAGGTATTAAAATTAAGTAGTAATAAAAAAGGTAAAAGTTATAAAAAAAGTAAAAAAATAAGCTTAATAAAAAAAAAAAAAGCTTATATATTAGGCTAATAAATAACTTTAGAAAGATATTAAACTATTTAAAAAAAGTAAGAGGTAAAGCCTTAAGCTTATAAAAGCTTTAGCTATTAATTTAGTAGTTAAAGATAAAGTAAGTATATTAGTTAATAATAAGCTAACTCTTCTACCTTAGTTCTACTATAGCTATAAAATTAACCTTTTAAGCTAATTTAAAAAGTATAAAAGAATAATAATACTTTATTAATTACTACCTTAAAAAATCTTATAATAATTTTATTTATATATAGCGTTGCAGCTTTAAAAGTATAGCTTAAAAAATAGTATTCTGTGTGCACAAGCTGATGGCGTGCACAGGCTGATAAAACACGTTACCTGATGAGTAAGCACAATGACCAATTATCTTTCTTAATTCCACTTACATGCATAACTTCTCTGCATCAATCTATCCTTCTTTCCCAATCTGCTCACGTTCAAACTCACTTTCATATTTCGCTGGATTGAGAAAAAGGAGACAGTATATTAGAATACATTAGATGATTTCGTGCGCGTTCTTGGTGGCTCCTAGAAGCTGCGAAACCACACCAATTGAATTCACAAAAGTGCATGCTAGACGTATATGCTTGGTAATTAGGCACGAGATTCATATACTGACCTTACGTGTAGTGGTCAACCTGTTGTGAGATTTCGCTACACTCTTTATTTCTTCCCTCCCTTCCTGCCCTTCTTCGTCTCTTTGAAGGTAAACTCTTGCAACGGCTGTGAACCCCTCAGCTCGTCCTTGAGAGCTCGTAGAGTTTTCTTTCGCGCTTCAAGGAGCTTGTCCAATTCTTTACCCTTCACCTCTGCCTCCTTCGTCTTAGCCCTCAGTTCGTCGATGTAGTCGTTCTTTGCCTTACACTCTGTTTGAAAATGCTCTTCTGCCGGGTTCTGCGTCTGCATGGAGAGGTGTGTAGTCACCAGTTCTTTGTTCAAACCATCAATGTGAGTTTGGCAAGCCTGATTGTCATCTCCAGCGTCTGTTTCGTATTCGTGATTCTCTCGCTCAAATTGCTTGGTCGTGGTGCTGAAGTGGGGTTGCAAAGCCTGGGTGACACTTCCCAGCTCATTGCTGTATTTTGGTTTCTGTTTCGCTTCGGAGTCCAGGATATTGAGACGGCTTTGCAAAGTTTCGTTAACACTCTCAAGCTCTGCGAGTCGCACCCTCTGTTTTTCCATGGATTCTTTGTGAGTGGTGATGTAGTCCTGCCAGCATTGCTGTTTGGACATTGCTTTCCTTTCCTGCCTCAACTCTGCCTCCTTGCGATTGATCAGATCAGTATGGTACTGGTTGTCGTGCTCTAGGTCTTCCAATCTGCTCAGCAGACCAGTACAATAGGCCCGCCATTGCCGATCGGCATCTTCAAGGTCCCGGGCGCATCGTTCTTCCAGCTGTCGCAGTTCCACCTCCGTAGCGTTCTCGCGTTCTTTCAACGTTTGAATGACCTCATTCAGCTTCTCTGTCTCCGCCCTTATAGCGTCGATCTGGGCTTGCCAGGCCTGGTTGGCGTCCTGGAGATCGTTTTCATGTATCCTCCTCTCAAGCGCGAAAAGTCCATTTATATCGGAGCACATGTGGCAGTTGCCTTGATGGTCTTTCAAACTGTTGAGCACGCGACCTGTATTAACACAGATCCCACATGTGATCGTCGTACCGATCATAAGGCATTTCGGCTTGTCGAATGCTGCTGTATCGCGTTCTGCCAGGTTCTCACCATACATCTGAATTGGTAGAGTTCTTCCTGTGGTACTTATTAACATTTTTTACGTAAGAGCTCAAGGATCAAACATACCCGAAGTCTGGTCTTTTTGGTTGTTTACTAGCGTGTCGACGTTACTCCGGGGCTGAGCTGCAGTATGCCGTGGCGTCAACGTAGATCCATCTGAGGCTGCGTGTCTTGAGGCATCCAGTTCTTCTGCCACGGGAACCTCGGCTTCCATTCCCGTAAATGCAGCCACCGATGTACGCACATCTGCTGAAGGGCGAGTGTGAGAGTCACCACTGCTATCTCCGTTCTGTGGGTTGTGCGACATGTCTTTTGTAATATGGCGGCTGAATTTGTTCAATTTAAAGTTGAGATCATGGGTTGTGTGCGTATCATCGGCTGAAGGATTAGGTTACGTAGAAGTTGTTGGGTCCACCCAATCTTGACGTCCAGTGAAAGCGGATGTTTGTCAATATGGAAACAACACATCAGACTCATGGCTTTCACCAGCTGAGGGGATCGAAGTTTTGAGCACGCGCCAAAAGGAAAACATGTCACAGTACTCGACTGCGGCCCTTACATCGTAACTTTCCCTTTTTGTAGGCGATATCTTCACTTGAGCCGTTTAACGCTATATAACCAGTGACCTTCGTTGAATCACAATCTCTCGAATCGCTCTCGGCCTCAATCCACTCAACTGAAAAAGCTAGACAACTATCCCGTTCGGTTGCGCGCTCGGTTCTGTCCAAAGCTAAAAGCGCTTTCGAATGGGCGGAAACAAATCCAAAGTAGTCATGACTGGCACGTTTCACGATGAACGGGACGACTCCGATACGCAAGACTCGCGTCTGAGCTCGCTCGTGGCAGACCCACTGGCCTCCAATATGTTCGCGCAACAGCCGAACTCGCATACTAGTCAACAGAATGGGAGTGTAGAAGTGGCGCAGCGGGCTGTACCTATAGCGACTGTGGGACATGCTCAAAAACGGAGCGCCTCTGAATGCGTTCAAGTGGTCCAAACCTCTTCAAAGTACGTTGCAGTTCATATGTTGCGAATCTCCAGGGTTTAACAAACTCACAGGACTTCTCAAGCTTCCAAGATATCTGCGTCGCAAAACACATATACCTTCACGAAGACGTCGCAAGATGCACCAACATTGCCTAGCAAGGAGCAGAATCAGCCAACCACTTTCCAGAAGTGCATTCCAAAAGTGTCTCTTAGCGCAACGAATTCCGCTCGATTAAGAACCTTGATGGACGAGATCGATGCGAACCAATTCGCGTACTCGAGGGCCTCCATCGATGTAATCATTGAAGCGCTCGACGAGCTTCTCCTGGGTGCAGTGACCAAAGAGCTGCTCCCCGAGTACATTCCCACGATCAACGCTCTACGGTATCACTCGGACCCTACGATAAAGGAGAAAGCAACTAGCCTGATCACACAATGGCGCCTACTCATCACTGATCTACCAGGTAATACGTCTCCACATGGGAAACCCGTTTCGCAAGAGAGTACTCTCGCCTTCCACTGTCATTCGACTGAAAAAGACTCGGTACAAAAAATTGGGAATCTCGCCCCTTCAAGCGGTTTACCCCCAGGTCTGGTAGGGGAATTACCCGCTATTACGCCTAACACCTTTGTACCGAAGCTATCTTTCTCCTTTCTTGGAGGAAAACCATCGATATTTGAAGCAACTCAACACGACACACTCTCCAGCAGAACGCAACCCAACGGCATGTTTTTGAATAAAACGAGACCCAGTGATTCAACGTCTAGTGTAATGCAACCTAGCAACACACCCTTTGGAGTAGCACTGCACGAACCTGCACTCCGCAAAGCAAGACAACCCGACACTAATTTCACCGCACAACCGCTGGGCAAGCTTCCTTTTAAGTTCTCTGGTGGTACAGGCTCAAGTTCGAAAGAGTCAAAAACGATTCCACAGTCACCTGCTTCCGTTTCCGCCAACCTGCCAGATCTGGCAGGGTCGATTGTTTCGTCAATATCTGCTCATGTACCCACCGCTCGAGCTTTGGGGACATTTTCTCCAACTTTGAAACGCCCGGCTGAGCAGTCTCTCACTGCTGAAATTCCCCCTGAGGATACTCTGTCTACAAAGCGTCATACGGGCCCTTACTTGTCCACAGCCTCAAAAGAGGCTATCAGGGTCCCTTCCTTGGCCCCGCCACCAGCAAACAACAACTTACAAACAGAGTCTTCTTCTGAAGTTGAAACTACTACTCCATCGTTTGAACCCGTAGTTGCTCAACTTGGGAGCCAATCTGGCACGTCTCTTCTGGCTGATCAGCATCCCGAGTCTTCGAATCCATGTCTCCCAGCGTTTCGTCTCGGCAGCCCAGGGAAAACATCCGCGCCTATCGGCTTCGCAAAACTACAACCTCAAAACCCTACTTTGACTGTCCTTAGTCCGTCAAACGTCACTCCAATACCCACAATTTTAAGTTTTGAGTGGTACATCTCTTGGGTTGAAGAATACTTAGGATCAAGCATCACTATGTCAGATCCGTTCAAGACGAGTTTGGGGGCTTTGTACGCCTCCGTATCTTCTTTTTCTGGTCGTCTTATCCGACTCGCAAGAGATTTGTCGGACTTGAAGACTGCTATGTCGCTGCGAGAAGCTGCGATCAAGCAGTTGGAGAACGACATCTCCAAATCGGCTGGTGGTTCACGTATTCTGGTTCCAGCTTGGGACGAGAGGTTCTCAAAGCGTCAGACACTTCAGGCAAACGTGTTACAGATAGCCACTGAATTGGAATCCAAGGGGAATGCATTCAACCGCTTGACGGCCGAGCTTTTGCAGAAACTACCCATACCGCTGCAGGATTTGGTAAACAGCGAGATCGACCCCAAAGTCGGCATGGAAAAGTACACCAAAATGCAGACGAGCCTGAGACATGCTGGAACAAGTCTCAAGAACGAAAAAGAAAAGGTGGCATCGCTCGAAAAAGTGATAGAGCAGAAGGATATCGCATTCAATGCACGCAGTGATATGCTAACTATAGTAAAGGAAGAGGTGAACAAGATAAGAAACGAACAGGCGCAAGACAAATCAATCATCAATCATCTTACGACTACCTTGGAGACTGCAAATTCTGATGCTGCTACGCAAAAGAAAGATTTTGAGAACGAACTTCGAAGGATTGGAGGCAGATACTCTCACGATGTGCAAAAACGTGTTGATCAGGCAAGGCTGGAGCTTGCAGAGCAGATCAAGAAGACTGAAACCACTGAACATCAATACAAGGTTGCTATGAGTGAGCTCGAAGTATCCAGAAAGAATAGCGAACTTCTTAACAAGGAAAGGGATCATCTTGAGTCCACTGTTTCTGACTGGAAGGGTATGCATAAGGTACTCCAAAACGAGGTCAAGGTGTACAAACAGGGTTACGATCAGTTCAGGAAGAGTAACGTAGCGCTCGAAGAAGGCAAGACTCAGCTTCAAGCCGAGTTTGAAACACTGAAACAGGAATACGACGACTTATCAAAGACTGTGCATTCAGCACAGCCTATATCGAGAACAACTGCCCCCTCGGTACCAATCGCTGGACAGGTTCGATCTGTCACTTTGGTAGCCAACAACGGATATACCACCGATCTGAAGAGTCTAGACGGTCCGATCAAACACTGGGAACACAAACTCGAACTCGCACACGACCCGGTGACGAGGAAGGAAGCAGCTGTGACTGAACTCGACAAAGAAATTGCCAATATCACACACCAGCTTCAAGAACTCAAGCGCCCAAAACCTCGACAAGCCATGCTGTCAAAGTCTCCACATGCTCACACTGCTAACGATGATGAGCTTGGATCAGTTCGTACGGATGACAATGCAAAAAACGACCATAGAGACCTCAGAAATCATCTGGAGGTTTCTGACTCTCAGCAAGTTGCAGCTCAAGACCCTCCCTCATCGACGAAAGCAATCAAGGTACGAGCTGCTTCGGCAACCCCTACAAGAGTTTCTAGCCTCCGCATTGCTGCATCGAAAGTAAGCGTGGACAAGTCAAACCTCCAGAGTTCACCTTGGAAACGTAAAGATTGAGAATGTGTGGATGTATGTAGTGTTTTGGTTTGGCTTGTTGCTTATGCTCCGTTAGTCCTCTTATCTTCTTGTGTACTTGATTGTTTGCTGAAAGAAATGAAACTTGCAACAAGAGCGTTGATATGCATTGCCTGATTTTAGGTGCATGTTATTGTGTTCCAAATTCAATTTCCCTTTTGTGCAATAGCCATGTGGAAAAAACCATGATCCATTCCCAATTCATGTAGTCGTCTCGCCTGTCTATGCTACTCAAAGACTCGAAGTGTTGTATCCGGGGAGCTTCACTTTTAAACAAAATGGAATGAACAGATGAAGATATGAATCATGGCTCAGTATTGCGGTACAGACAGTCAAACGATCATTGTTTGTTGAGTCATGTTACTGTAGTTACACGGAGTGTGAACAACTCCTTCGCGACGACCATCTATGATTCCTCGATCGACCTTTTGTGTACGGACAAATGGTCCGGCTGAATCAAATTTAGTGAAAGAGTTTGAAGTTCTCCATATCTTGCAAAGTAAGTTTCTACCTGTTATCGCACCGATCATAAACCTCAATCTACATAAATGGATGTACTTAAACATGCAGGCTCGTGTGTAGATGGCACTGCCCAGGTCTTCAGTAGATCCTGAAGCCTATCGCGCTCCCTTATCGATCGCCTGACCAGTCATAACCCCACATCATCTTCAGATGCGCCAACCTGTCCGTTTATCCTCCCTCTCGAACCCTTCCCTCGCCCTCTTGAACACTTCATCATCATACACGATCTTGACCTCCCACATCGTGTCTCCACTGAACGCCAGCAGCACGCCTCCACTTTTATCCTTACTGCCCCAGTGTTCTGCGACCTCCAGCCCCTGGACCAACTCCTGCATAGCCTCTGTCGCTGCTGCCTTAGCGTCCGCGCGTTCAACAAATGAACCTACAAGCCTACTCGTGCTCGCATATCCCTTCGCCTTCACACTAGCGTTAGTCAATGGACCGTGGGCCGTGACTGTGTACACAGCCGCTGGCAGAACTTCATGCACAACCTGGTTCTTTTCGGTGAGAATACGCAGCACAGTATATATGCCGCGCTGCCCATCGACCACGAACGTTCGAAACCCCTTCTCAAACCCCACGTTTGGCTCACGCTCGCCCCAGACGTCTTCCACCCAGCGCAAGTCATCGAGCTTATCGATTGCGCTCGGCGAGTTCGACACAATTTCTTCGATCTTAGGGAGGAGATGAAGAAACGAGGTTACTGGGCCGTGAACAGTATAGTTGTCTGTGTGCGGCGCGATAATGCCGAGGTAGTAGATGGTATTGGTTGACGCAGACGGGGACCTGAAGTCATCTTTTGGTTTCTTGGTGAATGCGTCTGGAGGAGTTGCGTGGGTTTTCCCCGTGCTTGTTGTAGTTCTAGATCGGGCGGTTGACGCATACGGATCAGGTTCGAAGAAGACTTCGTCGGAGGACATGGTGAGGGCTGGAGGAATTCGGTGGCTGAAAGGGTGGTGAGTGAGATGTTGTGAGTGGTTGTGGTCTTTAGAATGGGCGGTTGAGGGTTTATATAGTGTGGCAGAATAGGTTAAGGTGTTAGCGAGGGAAAGTCCTTCTCACTCAATACAGCGTTTGCGCGCTAGTATCGGAGTGAAAGCATGGCTGTTGAGAGACACTGTTGCCTCTACCTCAAGGCCCCCATGTTCCACTATATCTTGTTGAACGACTATCGCCTATGTTCGTGAGAATACCAGACCATCACTTCGCTGGTAGTTTCGTCCTACTTGGGTTCGATGTAGTCCCCAGACTGGCTCATGACGTTGGCAAAAATGAGGATACTGGCAGACACGACAGTGATTGAAGCAGTATACATTGGTATCTTAGAACCATACGGAGCACGATCAACTCAGTACATTACACAGTTGGAACACAACCGCGCTTTTATTCTTTTCCCATAAACGCCAAAGCGCCGTGTGCATGCACCCACTGTCACCATCCTTCATCACGCAACAGGATTGTCTTAACGATTCTTCGCCCTCTTGTCCTTGCCCGGTCGCTTGCTTGAACCACCAGTCTTGCCCTTCATCTTTCTTGCTGAGAAGCCACGGCCGTCGGCGCTCGACTCAGCATCGTTGCTCTTGGCGTGTCGCTTCTTTCCGCCAAATCCGAACTTCTCGTTCTTCTTCTGGCGCTTAGCACCAGACTTGCCGTCACCCCGGCGAGATTCTGAAGGCTTAGCATCGTGGTCGAGCTCAATGTCGAAGAGGTTCTCCTCGTTCGTGGCGGTAATGTCTGCGCCTTGTCGCTCTGTATCACAGTTAGCACTCAAATCTAGCGGACAGGCATGAACGGGCACGTACTCCTCTTCATGACGTTGATCTTCTCAATCGTATCCTTCTTCTCCTTGGCACGCTCCTGAAGTTTCGCGACCTGGACTTGTTTGCCAAACTTCTTCAAGTCCCTCTGTTTGCGCGCTTCAGCAGCGGCCTTCTTGCCCGCGGCCGCGTCAATCAGCTTCTGCTTGATCTTGCCCATGTGCTCGTCGCTCTTGACCATCTCAGCGAAGTAGTCGGCCGGGCGCGAAAACGACACGCCCTCCTTCTTCAGCCTGCCGCGCGCATCCTTGACCGAGGACAGACACTGCTTGTAGAATGCGAGCTCGCGGTTGAGGTCGTCTTCGATATCGGCAATCTCAACAGGTTCAGTTGTGGTGACGGCCTGGTATTCCGAGAAGGCGAGCTTGGAGTAGGGGAGTTGTATGCGGTGCAGGGCGGCGGTGAGTGCGGCCGTGTTGTTGATGGTGAGGCGTTGGAAGGGGATGATGTCGCCCTTGTCTTCTGAAGCGACCGACTCGAGGTCAGAGAGCGGGATGTCTTCCTCGTCCTCATCCTCGTCTGCGTCCTCGTCCTCGCCAACAACATCGTCATCACCGCTGACGTCGCTCTCGCTGTCATCGAGGAGCGCCAGGTCTATGGTGCGCCCCGGCGTGTCATCGTCGTCATCGTCGTCTTCATCATCGTCGCTTCCATCCGTTTCCCATTCAGGTTCCTCAGCAGCGACAGGCTGCGCGCCGTTCTTCTTCGGCTTGCTCGCCTTGCTCGCCTTGCCGTTGGCCACCACACCAGCCTCTACTACCTCAGGCAGCTTCACACCTCCCTCCTCCTCGCCATCCGTCCCATCGGTTTGCGCCTGATTCTTCTCTTTCCGTTGCCTCGCAGCCTTTTCCTTCTTGCGCTGCTTCTCTAGCGGGAAGTTGCGTCCCTTGTGGTGGTCGAGCGCGGACTTGAGCTTACTTTTCGCCATGGCAGATGTGTTCGGGAGATATTCGTGCTGATAGGAAAAGCACGAGTTGGTTGCGCAATGTCGCGTCAAAGCTCCCAAAAATTATCGTCCAGGTCCAACGAAATCTTGGCGCAGAAACATTTAGCGTTAGCACTAGCTGCTCACCGCCCATGCTTTGGGGAAGAAGCCGCGGCGCTTTAGCATTCACTCTGCCGGGCGTGCCCCACATCTGCCCTGACCTCTCTGTTGTTGACATCAGCTGCTTTGAAGCCTCTGTTTCGGGTATTGGAACCTGGTATTTCTCATCATGGCGACGCAGCAATCCATACCAGAGCGTACGACAAGCGATCCAAACGTACGAGAGCCCTAGCATCTCTATCCAACCCTACTGACCTTGCCAGTCTTTGAACAACACCGACAGCTCGTCCGAACTTGCAGCCGTTGTCGACGATCTGCTCAACCAGCTGAGCACAAAGTTTAGCACCATCAGCGGCGAGTTGCTGTCTAAAAGTAAGCGGCCAACGAAGTGTATTACTTGCTCAGAATGGAATGAAAGCTGATTACGATAGTGGACGACATGTCTCGTCGACTTGACAACCTCGAAGCCACGATTCAAACTGGAGAGAAGGGGAATGGCTCGGGGAAGTGAGTTGAGGGGATTATTGGACTAGGCGTGAAGCACTTCCACTTGAATCAGCGGTGAGACGTTGTATGTCTTTGCTGTTCATAGAAGAAGTTGCATAGTATTGGGCGTTCAGGATATCACGACTACGAATGGGCACCCAAGCTGTCTAGAAGATAGATACGTTGTGACGGCAAACATAATGTCATTTCTAAGATCATTCCAAGTCATACAGAAGGTACCCGCGACACACTCTTCCTTCGCTTCCATCATCCTTCCTCATCAGACACCAATTGTGAACATGATCCTAAACACTAAAGCGCGACATCTCAAGTCAAGTCAGAATAGACAAGGGTCTACAACTCGTTCTTCTCCTGGTTGGTACCCAGGAACTTGGACAAGATGTTGCTCCTGCTCATCAGATCATCCAACTTCTCTGGCGCCAAGTTACCCTTTCCAATCAGGCCCTGCAGACGCTTGTACTCCTTCTCAGCGTACCCCTGGTTAGCGCCAGTCTTCTCAAAAACCTTGACGTAGTACTGCGCGTACTTGTCCTTGAGGTCTGCAGCAATCTTCTTGGCCTCCTCAGCACCATCGCCGTAAGCAGACTGGAATTTGGAGATAACGGTATCGAAGGCTGCGATGGTGCCACCGGTAGCGTCGAGACCGCCGCCAACAGCGCGGTGAGTGCCGGCATTTGTGTTGAGATAATCGACAAAGTCCTTCTCAGAGCGACCGCCCTCGTAGGGGGTGGGCGTGGTCGAGCCCTTCTTGAAGTACTTGATGGTGGGATAGGAGCTGACGCCCTGTTCTTGAGCGAGGGCCTTTGCGTTTTCGGCTTCGGCGTCGACCTTGGCGACCAAGACAGTGGGTTCGTTGACAAAGTCGGTGGCGAGGGTCTCCCAGATGGGGGCGAGGGTCTTGCAGTCTGTGGGTTTGTTAGCCATGATTGCTCGGGGTGCCATCAGTCGATGGAATAGTACGTACGTCCGCACCATGGTGCAGTAAATGCGACGAGCACATCCTGGTCCTTTCCAATCTTCTCTCCGAAGCTCTTGTTGTCGAGCATAACCACCTGGCTGGGTAGCTTGCCCTTGATCTTAGGTTTGATGCTCGTCTTCTCGGTGATGAACTTGGTCAGACTCTCCAAGTCACGGCCGCCCTTGTAGTCCTCAGGCTTGTCGCTTTTCCCATCGAACCACTTGAGGGTGGGGAAGCCCTGGACGCCGAACCTCTTGCCCAACGACTTGTGGTTGTCTGCATCGACCTTTGCGACTGTGACCTTGGAGCCGGCATGCTTGTACACTGTGGCGAGCTCTTCCCAAACAGGAGCGAGGTTCTTGCAGTGGCCGCACCAAGGGGCGAAGAACTCTACAAGGGCGGGCTTGCCGGACTTGAGGACAATGTCATCGAATGTCTGGGGCTCGAGATCGATAACGTCGGATGCGGAAACGAGGACAGGCAACAGCGCGATTGCCGCGGGTATCAGGCGACTGAACAGCATATTGTAGGATTTCCGGAGCTTCAATTAATGTTTGAAGCTTTGGGTGAGTTTGTGGAGGGAGGAGTGATATGACGGTGAACTGCAAAGGGTACTCACTGGTTGTGGCGTTGTCGTCTTGGCGACCGTGTCCTCAGCTTTACAAATCCAACATGAATTTGCATAATCATTGGATGTCTGACGAAAGAACTCTTAAGGACAAATAACTGAAGCAAGAGAATGTTCTAAACGTCTAAAAGATACATATCACAGCTGAAATAGACCCATATCCCTTGAAATCTAAAGTTCAACCTAGATCCAGCTCTCTTCCTTCCACCAGGACAACTAACACCACTACATCTTCCACCTGCAAGATGGTTACTGAAATCTCCGCCCCCCTCCATTTCCGCACTCTCCTAAACTCGCATACCTACCTAGTTGCCGACTTCTACGCAACATGGTGTCCGCCCTGCAAGACGATTGCGCCCATTTACAGTCAGCTTTCCACGACGCACTCCACGCCCGGAAAGATTGCATTCGTCAAAGTCAACGTAGATGAACAGAGAGAAATCGCTGCGCAACAAGGAGTTACTGCTATGCCGACGTTTATGGTATTCAAAAACGGGACAAAGGTGGATGAGTTGGAGATCAAAGGAGCGGATGTGAGGGGGTTGAAGGGTGTTGTCGAGAAGATTGTTGGGGAGGTGGGGAGGACAACAGCACCGACAATGCCAGCGAGTGGGGCAAAAGCACCCGAGGAAAAGAAGACGAATGGCGAAGAGAAAACGATTAGTGGGAGTTATGGGATGACGGGTGGCAATAGTTGGAAGATGTCGCTGCACTAGGAAGTGGAGTTTAAAGATTATGTGACTTGGGCGTATGCTCTTTGAGCTATTCACATGTTCACGTATTGGAGCTTTGTCTTTACTTTGTTTTGCCCTCAAAGGTTCCAAGAAATGTAGTAGACTCCTGGGCGCCTGGCTATCCATGCATGCATTTCATCGTGAAGCGTTATAACATCTGTCTTACTAGATATTATTCCATATCTTTGTCAACCACCGCCCCTACCCAATATTTCCTCCCTCTCCAGCACTTCTGGCTTGAACTTGATCAGGTATACCGTCTTCCCTGGCCACATGCCCTTCCCGTCCTTCCCCTCGTCCTGCTCACCCACACTATGCGCCGTGACACCCTCCGTCGGAAACCCTGCACCGTCGCACATGCCCTCAATGATGCCTGCCACAAAAGCCGCGCAGTTCAGACTTGACAGCTCCTTCGGTAACGATATGTACTGGTTGACCATGGGCTCGTTGTCGAAGATCATGTATTGGCCTGGGTCTGTGCCTGAGCGTTCTAACGCGTCTGCCGGCCGTCCGAAAAGATGTCTGTAGAGCGTTTGCGCGATGAATTGAAGGAGGGAGAGGATTCGAGTGGGGCGGATGCTGGCGAGTGGGTTGGAGGAGCGGGAGAGGAGGAGGTCGAGAAGACGTAGGCCAAGGGGGTAGCCTTGGGAATTCAATCTGCCTAGTATCAGCATCCAAGCCTTGCAAGCAGCGTATACACGAGGACAGGCCAGCCGTTGCCATACCTTTGCTCCAGATCCCCCACATCCTTGGCGCCCTTCTGCGCGTATGCGATCATCTCGATGAACAGATACGCAAAGGCCGCCCGGCTCAGCTCCGCATTCTTGCTCCTATTGAGATTTCTGTCGTAGATGCTCTTCTTGTTCGACGGATACCGCAGGCCCGATCCTTGACTTGGAGTCCCGCTCATGGCTATGTTCTGTTCTCGTGCACCTGGCAATTACCCTTTTTGCTGGGATTGCGCCGGCCGCCAAGGTGGATATACAGGTGCAGCTTGTTTGGAGCGTGCAGGCAGCGAGAGAGGGAGGGTCAGCGAGGCGGATTTGGGGCTCGGAGGTGTCGCGGGATGATGGTGGACATGACATCGACCTGCGGTTGCCGTTTAGTGGAGCACTGTGGATCCTGGAGCGCGTGCGTCGAACTTGCATGCTTTGAGGCTCATTGTGCCAAGGACCTTGAACGACACATCATGCTTCACCATCATAGCATGAGAGACAATCATGTTACTGCATCTTCGTATCTACGTACGAGTCCTCCGGGTACTTGGTAGCCAGTTCAGAGTCTGATTGACCGCCATCATGTCTTGTTTGAGCATGAGCAGCTCTACCAAAAGCCATCTGAACCCCTTCATGAAAGTTACAGCTCGCATTTAGGCGTTGTGACGAGCAAGGGCATGCCTACTAATAGCCTCTAGCCCACGCTTAGAGCGCCATCCATCGTGCTCGGCCCCAGTCTGCGGATGTCCTGGGCCTTCATCCATGTCCTCGAACAAGTCGACCGCTATCTTCTTCTTCTCATCTCGAACGTAGACTGCACCAACGACTTGCAATTCCTCCTCATCTCTAGACTCCTTCCACGATTCATACAACTCTCTTGTTCTGTCTGTCATGGTTTTCTGGCTAGATTCGAACGTTGTCAATAATACCCTGAACTCTTCCCGCCGAATCAAGAGTTCGATAGGGATCACAGCAGTGACTTCATCTGCAGTCGTTTCTCTAACCCGTAGGTGTGGACGGCTCGAGCACTCAATTTCCAGCTCCGCACGCAGATTGTCGTTGATCTTTTTCTGTTCTTCGCAAGCGGCCAACGCGTCGTTGCGCTCTTTCTTCATCTTTCGTTCAGACGACGCACGCTGCTGCTTGTCATGTACAGCAGTCTTCGCCTTGGCCTCTTCTTTCCCAGCAACGTCTTTCGCGTTCCTCGTTTTCTTATTGGCGCCTTTCAATCTTCTTGTTTGTCCCACATTCTCATCGCATAGATTGGTGTTCTCACACTCAGCGGCCTTGAGATTGTCTTTCAAGTGTAAAACTTCGGACTGGAGGCGGGAGTTGTCGCTTTGAAGCCGGTTCAAACGGCGTACAACGTCTAATGAGTGGCCTGTCTTAGGGGGCAACTTGTCGTAGAAACGCCGCTCGGAGTCCAGGTTGGTCTTCATCATCTCCTCTGCGCGCGCCTGCCACTGGTCCCGGTCCCGAATCAAAGAGCGGATGATTTCTTCTGTGTGTGGGTTGGGTTGGCTCACTGCCAGGGCCGCCTCGGTGATGTTCGCGACATCCAAACAAGCATCAGACAGAGCCAAGGACGTAACAGGAGGAGGAAACACCTCGAGGCGCTCCTGGAACAGGGCGTCAAGATCGAAGCTCATCTGCGCGATGTAAGTATGATAACATCCTTTGTTCATTGAAGGACATGTACCTTGTGCGGTTGCAACAGCTCAGCGCACCGGATGTTGCAACGCTACCAATATCCAGGCAAACAGCGTGTGTGGTTAGGTCGCCAACGTCGTCGCAGTAACGGCTGTAGAGACTTATAAGTAGAACGGATAGAGCGCAGAGAAGGAAACTGTAGGAGCACACAAGTTTTGAATCGTGTTGGAATGAATGGCGGTGAGGTGAAAGTGAATACCCCACGGAGATACACGCTAGCACATGAAAACACCTCCCTCCTTACCTGGTCGGCTAAGTGTATCCAAAATCGACTGTTCAGGTGGTCCCTATTCTACAGTAGTCTAGTAGGTAACCTTATGACAAAAGACTCACTCCTGAAAGAACAGTCAATGACTAAATATGGAGTAAAGCAGAACAAGACGATTTGCACGTTCTCGATTATCTGTACAATGATGACTTTCGTCGCGACTGATATTTAATATTTGCGAGCTACCTTACCTCTAAATGAACACATTAGAAGAAATTGCCACGTTTTTAGACCGGGCAAAAAGCATTTGTTTAAGGATCAAAGTCGTTTCCATGCGCCAAAGTGTAATAACTGCAAGACTCTGGAATTCTGCTCAGACGACTAGTGGAATCTACGAAATTAATTCCCTTGCAGGACCTTATTGTGATGCCAATAATCTCCAGAATTCCATGCCCGTCAGTGTCAATATTGTCGTCGTGCCAAAGAGACGCGTCTTGATTCAGATCTTCCTGCGACTAAAAGCCCAATAAGCCTTCCATGGCAACGTCCAATCCCCCGTCCTCAAACTCCCATCGAAAACATCAAAGTCTTTTTTCTCAAGTCGGTCCAGCCACGCCTGTGTCGTCACACTGGGCATGAATACGCCAAACGCTTGCTCTACCTCGGCAAGCTTTGTCTCAACACCTGCATCCATCTGCTGTGCACTATACGCATGTTCCTCCTCATTCTGATGCTCGAATTCATGCCCCAGAGTTCCTTCGGAACGCAGCTTAGCCAGCATTTCGCGCGCGGTGATAAGGTGATCGTTTGCACGTGTGGCAACTGTGAAGACGGCGTCGCGAAGACCGGAGGCAGAGGCACCTTGGCGGAAAATATCCTCCTCTTTCAGGTTGGCTTCGGCCATGACGTCCAGAGGTATGAGGACTGCACCTTGCGTAGGACCCGATTGGCCAGTAACATGACCACTTGTGCCCATGGGCTGTTGAGCGGGGAAGGCGATGAGCGGGATGCCACGGAGGACGGCGGTGATACCCATTGCTTTACCGATGTGGGAGGCGATATGGTCTGTAGTGAGTGAAGCCTGAGCCAGGGTTTGTAATGTGAGATACAGCATCGTCGAGTAGGTGTTCTCTGCGTAGCTCTCCAGTGCGCTGAGCGTGGGGTAGGGAGGGTTTCCAAGGTGTTGTTCTCGCGTGTTGATGATGCGGTGGAACCAATTCTTGCTCAATCGTGCCTTCCCTCCAGAGCGTTCAGCCAGGTCCTCGGCTGCTTTGGCCAGCAGGATAGCCACTGGTTCTTTTGGAGGCGTGCCTGCGAGTGCCTTGGTCACCGTGTCCCGCCAGAACTGCATGCGCATCATGCCAATTGTGGGTGTGCTTGTTGTGTCGGCGACGCGGGCGACATCGACGTTGAAGGCGCGGATTGCGAGGTATGCATCGCGCGAGGACTGGGGTATAAAGGTCTGAAGGATGTGTGATGGGGCGTCATACGTTCTGGGGGGCGTGTTGGTGTTGCGCATCAACTTCAATGTGAGTGTGAAGCATACCTCACGAGATTGGCGCAGTACGCTCTTGCGCGGTCAATCTCAGCCTGCGAGGGTCGCGCCGCATCTTGGAGAGATGGCGAAGCGTGGAACTGCCTCTGATGAAGTCTCGACGACAGACATGTGCGCCGGATGAGCCTTGACGGTTGCATTGAAGTCTCGGGAAAAACAGAATATTAAGACACAGAAGCTGCAGCCATGGCAAGTACTTGGTGAGTATTAGACGAACTCTCGAGTCACCCGAACAATGCTCGGGAGGCCATGTCAATCGCAAAGACGATGTTATGTCATCTCCACAAAAAATGAGTTGCGGTTGGCTGGATGACGCTATCATGCCAATCACTCGGTCGGCGGGCGCGACCGCGAAAGCGCGTCGTGCGGGACGCGTCTGTCTTGATCACTGTGGCGCACCAGAACATCAACCACTCCACCACAACACCATGGAGGCTTCGCACCCGGAAGAGCGGCCGCACAAGAAGCGCCGTTTCTTCGCCGAGGACTCGTCGCCCGCCCAGGTGCAGCCTGTTCGCCACTATTCGCCCGCACAGTCTGCATCGCCGGAGCCCTCAAGCCCGGCACCAGTACGCGAGAAGGAGACTGACACGCAAGATGCAGTGGCCATGGAGGGATTCGACGTGGAGATGCTGCAGGCTGTTGTGGGAGAACTGTCTCTTGCCACAATGCAGAAGCTCAAGGACGTAAGCGGCAACAACGTCCAGCAGGGTATGTATAGAGGCATGCCGAGTTCAAGAGCACCTACTGACTCTGGGTAGCTATAAACCTGTATCTCGACGGCTCATGGAACTCTGCGCCACCGCGAGCAACCCCGACCGTTCCTACTCCAATCCATCCCAAGCCAATCCAGATGACGATAGCGAGCACACTGAAGCGCACCGAGTCTGAAGTGTCAATTGCGTCCACACCCGGCTCAGGTACCTCGACACCCATGGCGCCTATACTCAGGGACATGCCGTCGAAACGCTATGTTGGCTCGTTCGGCGCCATTGGATGGGCAACCAAAAGCGGCTCAAACCTGCTCAAGCATAACGAAAAGGTGGCTATCGAGCGCACCAAGATACAACCGCAGCAAGGCAAAGCCAAGAGAGTTGTTCACCTCAAGAAGCAGGATGTCGTTGTGAGGTTCATCAACGACCGAGGAGAAGAGGTGGGTCGATTGGAGAACGACTCCGCAGCGTGGATATCATCCTTGGTGGACCAAAAAGTGTGTTCGTTTGAGGGTTCCATTGTATACACTCCAGACAGAATACGCACAGGCGACACTATATATCTGCAGCTCCGCGCATATTTCCTGCGCAGCGCCTTCGATAAAAGAAAATTTGCGAAACCAGACAACAACCGCGAAATCAGTCTCTTCGAGGCGAAAGAAACCGCCGACGAGCGAGATCTCCGCCTACGGCAGCTCGGACTTGTGAAGCTCTTCGAGTCAATCAATCTCTACCCGTCACGGCAGAACGAGACAACCGAGAAGCACAAGCGACAGGGACTTTTGCAAGCAGCAGAAGATAAGAATGACAAGAAAAAGGCCCAGGCTGGAACGCCCGCCGAGGTCGCTTCCTCGCCGCCATCAGACGACGCGGAAGAAGGCGAGGAGCTGGAACAGGACCAGCTAGATTCGTTGTACAAAAAAGCGCAATCCTTTGACTTCGATACCCCCACTTTGGAGCCTGCAGACACGTTCGTTATGGATCTCCGGAAGTACCAGAAACAGGCTTTGTTCTGGATGGTAGGCAAGGAGAAAGACGAGTCAGTCGACCACAAGGAAACATCCATGCATCCGCTGTGGGAGGAATATCAATGGCCAACTCAGGACGCTGACAATGAGCCTGTACCTGCTATAGACGATCAGATGATGTTCTATGTCAATCCCTATTCTGGCGAACTTTCGCTCGAGTTCCCCAAACAAGAGCAAAACTGCCTGGGAGGCATACTCGCAGACGGTAAGCCTCTGTAGAATAACTATCGAGGAGAAGTGCTAACACAGTCTACAGAAATGGGTCTCGGCAAGACCATTGAAATGCTCAGCTTGATACATACTCACAGGACTGAGCTCGAAAAGAGTGAGGCGTCAAATACCCTCAAGACCCTCCCACGTCTGCAGAAGACCAGTGCGGCTGTTGAGCCCGCGCCGTATACTACTCTCGTTGTAGCGCCCATGTCACTACTGGCGCAGTGGCAGAGTGAGGCAGAAAAGGCGTCTAAGGACGGCACTCTAAAGGTCATGGTCTACTACGGATCAGAGAAAGCCGCTAATCTGCAGAAACTTTGCTCTGCGTCTAACGGTACCAATGCTCCAAATGTCCTCATCACGAGTTATGGAACTATATTGTCCGAATTCAATCAGGTGGCAGCCCAGGATGGGAATCGCGGCTCGCATGGCGGCATCTTCTCACTGGAGTACTTCCGAATCATCCTTGATGAAGCACACTATATCAAGAACAGACAGTCAAAAACAGCGAAGGCGTGCTATGAGCTCAGTGCCAAGCATCGATGGGTTCTTACTGGAACACCTATCGTAAATCGACTCGAAGACCTTTTCAGTCTTGTGCGGTTTTTGAAAGTCGAGCCATGGAGCAACTTTTCCTTCTGGAAAACATTCATTACAGTACCGTTCGAGTCGGGAGACTTCATCCGCGCTTTGGATGTCGTGCAGACTGTGTTAGAACCGCTTGTGCTCCGACGAACGAAAGACATGAAGACGCCAAATGGTGAAGCTCTTGTGCCGTTGCCACCACGAACCATCGTCGTCGAGCAGATTGTGCTCTCACAAGATGAGCGAGATGTCTATGATCACATCTACATGCGCGCGAAGAATGTTTTCAACGCCAACGCAGAAGCTGGGACGTTGTTGAAATCATACACCACTATCTTTGCACAGATTCTGCGCCTCCGCCAATCCTGCTGCCATCCCGTACTCACACGAAAGGCCAATATCGTTGCGGATGAAGATGACGCAGGGTTAGCATCAGACCTCGCCAACGGACTTGCAGACGATATGGACCTCACGAGTCTAATTGAGCGATTCACTACTGAAGGGGACCAGGATGTCAACAAATTCGGTGCCCACGTCCTAAAGCAGATCCAACTCGAGGCTGAATCCGAGTGCCCGATTTGCTCGGAAGAGCCAATGATTGACCAAGCAGTCACCGGATGTTGGCACTCTGCATGCAAAGAATGTCTGTTGAACTACATCAATCATCAGCGCGACAAGGGCGAAATACCACGTTGCTTCAACTGCCGCGAACCCATCAATGCCCGCGATATCTTCGAAGTCGTCCGCCACGACCACGTCCCCGACTCGCCTACTCACGACTTCAAACCTGCCGAAACCTCTCCTCCAGCCACACAAGCCCCACGTATCAGCCTCCGCCGTATCGGTCTCTCTGGATCCGCAAAAACTCAAGCCCTCCTTACTCACCTCAAAACCATCCGTCGCAACGACCCCACCGCAAAGTCTGTCGTTTTCTCTCAGTTCACGTCCTTTCTCGACCTAATCGAGCCCGCTATAACCCGTGACCACATCCCTTTTCTACGTTTTGATGGCTCGATGAGCCAAAAGGCCCGAGCAATCATACTCACAGAGTTTACATCCTCCCCAAAGCCGTACATCTTATTATTGAGTTTGAGGGCAGGAGGAGTGGGGTTGAACTTGACGTGTGCAAGTAACGTGTTCATGATGGATCCGTGGTGGAGTTTCGCGGTAGAGGCTCAGGCTATTGATCGGGTGCATCGAATGGGCCAGGAGAAACCAGTGAAAGTAGTGAGGTTTGTGGTCGAGGGGAGCATCGAGGAGAAGATGTTAAGGATTCAGGATAGGAAGAAGTTCATTGCCAGCAGTCTCGGCATGATGAGTGATGAGGAAAAGAGGGTGCAAAGGATTGAAGATATCAAGGAGTTGCTGAGTTAGTGTTGAGGTTGCGACAGCCGTGTAAGATATTTGGTTGTGGTATGCCGTGGTTCGACACAGTGCGATATGATGCATTTTCTGGGAAGCATACTTCGGCGCAAATAAAAATGCATGTGACCTGTATGGTCGGACTTAACAGAATATGTTTGCTTTGACATACATGATTGTTTCGGCAGCTAGATTCATTGCTGGTTTTTCCAATGAGGCTGAGTCCTCACTGGCTAGAGGTCAGGTGGTTGAGGAGAGGCGAATTCAAGTATCGCTGTCATCTTTTTGCTATCACAGATCAGTGGACAGAAAGAAGACGTGGAAGCTGCAGTGTGAGCCAGTGGAACAAAGTAACGTCTCACCAAATAGCATACTAAGCAAGACTACAAAAGTGCATCTGCACTTGACTAGAAAATAGCAATAGCTCCTGGTGGACTTCCAATTCCACCTTTGACATGTAACGGCGCACTCGTCAAGAAGAATGTGTACCGTCCCAACTGCTGGGCCTTTTGACTGAGCTTCTCCAGATCCCACATCTCACCGATGGGCGTTCCCCAACGCACGAGCAACCACTCATGCAAGCACCATCCATCATCGAACTTGGGCGGCCAAGCTTCGAAAGCTACAGTGTCGCCAACAACCGCGGCTAGATGTTGATCGTACAACCAGCGGATCGTCTTCTCGTTTGCTTGTACGCCAATGGCGATGCCATTCTCTTGTGTTCCGGATTTGCGTTCAGGCTCGGTGGCATGGCTGGGCAGTTAGTCGCGTAGTTCAGTCAGCGTTTTTTTGAGGAGCGGTGATGCGTACTTGTGCCATCGCACGTATCCACTTCGGATCAGAAGAACATCACCTTGTTGCAATGTTGTTCGTTGCCACTTCAAGGTTTTCTGGATTTCTTCGACGGGAATCTCATGTCTAGAGACGGGGCTGGGCGCTTTCCCAGTCGTTTCTTCATACCATCTCACCCAATCGCAAAGAACGCCTCTTCCCACAATGCCTCCTCTCTCGCACCAGTTATGAGTACCATTTGTGTCACTACTCACTGCCTCTTCATGAGTGAGACCGTTGTAGTACGTGCCAGTCGGTTGATGAGCGAAGTGCTTTAGACTGTCCCATTGTGAGCCAGACTGAGTATTGATGTAGAGCTCATCGTCCATGCCCTTGAAGCCAATCGAACCAAGGTCGATCCTTTTCTGGTGAAACTCCTTGCGGCCAAATCCAGGGAATTGTACGTTCTGTAGTGGCCAATCAAGCTGAATGTGTTCTCCAGTACTTATCTCGCGCGAGGCAGCTTGCACAACTGCTGAGGTAAGGAGGTTGATGGCTGTGATGTATTAGTTTCTGTTCAACAGACCTTAGTTTCACTGCAGATAGACTTGCATCCGACCTCATCTTTCTTTCCATCTTTGTCATACAATCCCCATATAGATCCATCCGGCATACCGCCCTTCTTCGGCAAATCATCAAAAGCAGGGAATATGTGTCCATCCGTTGGTAGCGCTTTTGTAAGCGTTTGCGCAACAGCCGAGAGGCGCTCTTGGGCAGTTTTGATCGCGTCAGACATGTTGCTCCGTATTTCTTCTTTCCCTTTTTGTGTGTTGCGCTCAAGTTATCGTCTCTTATACCACCGGATGGTTGGTGCCTATATGTCATAGATCTACAGCTTCCCCGCGCTGGGACGGAGATCCCGAGGGCCGCTCATCCGACGGTATCGAGGTGAGCGTGCGGAATAGTTCCAGAGAGTTGTACGTCTTTATGACGTTTTGAACCAAGCCTAATAGTTTCGTAGTCCTGTGGTTGGCCTCTGCCAGATGCTGGACAATGATCCCGTTTCCAGTGCGTGCATATTTATGCTGAAGGCGATATGATGAAGACAATTCGTAGTAATCATTGCGGTTACAGTTACTCGAAATCAGATTATTTATCCCTCATCTTAGCAAAGAACATAACTTGAATACTTGTGCGCATGACCTGTTGTGCGCGTGGCTGCTATGTTTAGAAGCAATGAACGCAAGATATAGCTTTGGAAAAAGTGAAGAGTCGTCTATTATTCCGTCAAAGCTTTGGCTCTGGCTTTCTTTCAACAATGATATATTCCGTGGTTCTTTACCTTATTGCGTTACTCGGGGTTGGATTTATTTTGCACCAAGAAGGTTGCTTTGGTATTGACAACGGGTTTTCTAATCCGGTTCCGGTACATGCGTTCATGGAATCCGGGCTGGCAGAGGAAATTTAAAATAGTCTCCAAAAGTAGAGGTATGTCTGTAGGCAACTCACAGGTTGATGTTAATAGGTTGTTGCTTTGTAAAATCGATATTCTTACAGAGATGCGATGACCGATTCATAGTGTGGAAGCTTATGTAAGATGACGCACGAGCCTCATCCGAACTCCTTCCCGACACGACTGCCATCAACATTCACTACGCACGCTCGTTTCGCCGTTGATGCGATCTGTGCATGATTTGCGCAGCTTAGCAGCCAAACGACCTTCCGTTCGTGCATGGTCTTTAGCACTCTCACGGCCTGTATCTTCGGCAGGGTTCTCGTCTACGATGGATCTTTCTTCAGATCCCACTGAGCGCGTTCGTATGTCACGCTTTTCCAGCGGGACGGGTCAGGCTGACATGGCTCCCAGAAGGGCTCCGTACATCATGACACTCATGCCACACCACCAAACTTCATCCAAAAAGAGCATTGGCGGTATCAGAGCATGCGAAAAGCTGATCTCGAGACCGATCCAAATGTGTATGATCTGAACCAGCGTCAGGACTTTACCGAAGCACAAAAAGACATCTGGAAGCTCGCTGGTAGTATCCCCGCATCACAGATTGAAACAGCATGCCAAGCGTATGCGGGCGGGAAACCGCTCTCCGTGCCAGCAAAAGATGTGCCAATATTCGAGCACCGGGACTTTCCTGGGCTGCAAGTACTTTCTGGTCTACTGCCTCCAGAAACCCAGGTTCTATTCACGTCATGTCTAATGCATCGGGACCTGGCGGACCCAGCCCATAAGATCAATCTTCAGGCGGATTATGAGATTCCGTACCCAGCGAAATCTACGCCAAAGTGCCAGCGCTTCGATAGCACTTTCTTCACTCGTGAGCGAGCGGCGATAGAAGATCACTTGATACCAAAGGTGCCCGAGAAATTGAAGCCTTTGAACAGTGAGCAATTCTTGCATACCAAACTCCGCTGGTTGACTCTCGGCGAACAATATGACTGGCCGACCCGCAGCTACGCAAAGCATGCGACGCCGTTTCCTGAAGATCTGTCCACCCTGGTCACAGGCCTCTTCCCGCACATTCATCCCGAGTCTGGAGTTGTACTTATGTATTCTGCCAAGGACTTTATGCCTGTGCATCGCGACGTGAGCGAACAGTGCCAGCGATCTCTCGCGAGCTTCAGCGTCGGCTGCGACGGCATCTTCATTATGGCTCGAGGAGACGATGATGGAGAAGGCGACAATGCGCCCAGGACTGTTGCGATTAGAGTCCACAGCGGTGACTGTGTGCACTTGTCTCGCGACGCACGATGGGCATGGCACGCAATGGCGCGCACAATCCCCAGCACCTGCCCGCCACATCTAGCGAGTTGGCCAGTTGGCACACCTGGGGCGACGCGAGAGGAAGAGAGGGCGTACAAGAAGTGGAAGGGATACATGGGTACCAAACGCATCAACGTCAGTTGTCGGCAAGTCTGGGACTAGCTAGGGTCAAATGCAACAAGCTGTTAAGAGAAGGTAGATGCCATTCTTTGTATGAAATGGCCAGGACTTGGAGATGGCAAAAGCTGTTTGTGGGTGAGATTTGTCGATTGATAGAGAAGTAGCTACAAAGCAGAGAGCAAAAAGACAGGCGAATGAGACTCTGAGAGAACCATCACACACAAGAATTGCGTGAGAGCACAGTCATGTGATGCTCTTGGCACATAACGCACGGACCGTATATCCAGTTTTGCGCACAGAAAACTTCACGGAACAAAAACCAAAAGACAAAAACATACAACAGCGGGGATTCGCTAGTTGTCTCCAACCCAGCTACTAATCCGCCGGTACACTGCTTGAGTACAGCTGAGCGAACGGGAAGCTCTGTTTTCAGCGTCCTATGGTCGTATGTGAAAGGCTTGATCAGAATGCATGATAATAATCCGAGCAACAAAAAGATCTCGGACTCCGCAACTCCATGAATCGACTGCAGTCTTTTGCATCTTTCTCGTCACGCACCTCGCTTCATCGTCCCTTTCAACGCCTACTATCGTCCATTACATCCTTCGCTATGGTCTTAGTCTTAGTCTTACTCCTCGATCGCTACGTGATGGATCCACTCATTCACCGTCTGAACGGATAGGCTCGTTGACCGTTGAAATTTTGGAGTGCAATATAACTGTAGCGTACATTCTTTGTCACATAGAGGAACATGGAGAGACTCAAGTGAGAAAGGGTAAATATATAGCTTCACGTTCGTTATCTGATCTTGCCTTTGCCATGAAGTCGTGAAAGTAGGAATCCATCAAATTATACAAACAGTCCTCACTTTCCACTTCTGGTCCCGAACTTTCTGAAACGCTCTATGCTCGATGATGCCCACTATTCTCAAGGAATCGTCGGGAGCTTCCTTATTTACCCCGTCAATACCATCTTGTTTCTTCGCGTCCTCCGTGGATTCAGCCTCACGTAAGGATACTTGTCCTACTCGACGATACAAGTTCGCGCCTCTAGAATCAGACTCTAGGAACAGAAGCTCTATCGCGGGCTTCATCCTATCATCTCTAAATGGCACATCCCTCTGATACTTCACAAGCTGCAGCACTGCGAAGTGCTGACCAAGATACGGTTTATGCTGTTGCCGGTATTCGTAGGCAAACCTCGAGCGCGGGTGCCCAAAGATGTAGTTGATGAATCGTTGAAAGTTCCCGTGATTTCCTGTTTTACGGAGAGTACGTAGACGGAAGTAGGGAGCAGTCATCTCCAGTCTGGCTGACTGTATACGTCCATAGATGTCGCCGGAGTGATCTGGAATGATGTGCACTTTCTTGATAGTGGCCAGCTCTATGGCCTGTGCATTTCTCCCTTTCGTTGAAGCCTTGAAGCGGATATATCCGACGACACTAACCCAGCTCCAGGACGGTCCTATATACACCGATGGGGCTTCAGTGTCGGATCCAGAACGGACGTGTGGATCGACAAACCACAAGAGGTCTGTCACGAGATCCTCTCGCCATAGACCGGCGCAGTAACAATCCCTCACTGGTAGGGTGTCATGCATTCGTTTCGCGAATCCTGCAATGGCGGGGAGTTTATCTGTTATATAAGTAAGGTTTCGCCTGGAATACACTTGCACAATGATGTGCCACCAGTCATACAACGTCGTCCCGTTTGCTCGATTCATGTCATCCGGCGCCGAGTCGCGCAGTGAGTCGAGCCATCTGGATTGCGTGAACGTGCCACCCCACTCCGTGCCGACGCGGGTACTTCCAGATTCTACGGTCCACATGCTTCTGCATTGCCAGATCATCTGCGTTGAAGTGAAGGACAAGGTTCGCGAAGAGAGGAGGTTTTCCTGTAATGTCCAGCCTCGAGTCTCCCAATGAGAATCTTTGTCAACGATATGATCCCAAGGATTTCGTGCGCTGCAGACTTGGATCTGGATGTTAGGCAGTTCTTGATGATGGCAAACTTCAGCTTGATCTAATAGAGGAATCTGGGGGATCTTCCAAGGCAATGTGGCCGAAGCTGGAACGACTCGTTTGTGCAAGATTCCGGATGTTACGGCAGGAGAGGCTCTGGCTTCAATTGTGACAATAGCATCGCGGTAGATTCGTGCCATTTTCGGAGCTTCCGTGGTCCAGTCGACCTTCGAAGTCTGGTCTATGTCCGACTCATCGTGTTGGAGAATGCATAGTGCATCTACCCAAAGATACCGCTGTCCAAGTGCGCGCGTTACTATGATCGCATCGCGTATGGTGTTCGGAAAATCTTCCAATGGAAATCCACACTGGAATTCGGTCAAGCGGCTCTGTGTCAAGGTGAAGCTTGATGCGCCTCCCCAGCAGTAGCTTAATGCTACCCATGAGCCGACAATTCGCTCACTGGGAACGTATAAGAAAGGACGAATTGTGTCTGTGCCGACATCTATTACCCGTTTGGGCAGATATGATGACCTTTTGTGTTCCAAGGCACAGTCAGCATGACTGCTGCAACAGGTGTTGAGCCATTCCGCAGCGAGAGACAGACAGGCTGTAGATAAGGGGTTCTCGAAACTATCTCTAGTCACTAGAGCTAGAACATCCTTCCTATCGATAGGCACTTCATCTGTGAAGTGTGATTAGCTATGTGAGAGGTTTCGTCACGATGCCATCACAAACCTCTTCTTGCATACACATCTAGGCTACAGATAAATCGCTTCCTTGCTTCTCGATTGCCATGTTCGTTGACACAAGGTATCACTTGAACCATTAAACTAGGGTAGTATCCTCCGTTTATGGCTTTCTCGTGCCAAGTGTCAGTACCAATGAATAGTTGCCCGCGATAAATGCAGGCGAACTCCTCGTCACTGGTATGTGTTTGCCGTTGTTTCCATTTCTTTCTAATCTCATCCCAGATGATGATACATAACTGACACCCGCTTTCTGCAGCGGCTTGGACTGCAAAAACATCATTGTGGTATTTCGCGGTGTCGGGCAGCTCTTCGTGAAGAATATCCATGGCGTCATCTCCAACCTTTGTCTTGCATTCTATTGACGAGAGAAGTACGTTTCGAATATCGATTGTTTGGCAAACAGAACAAAGCATGTTTGAGGAAATCGGTGTCTGTCCAAACTCGCACTTCAGCAGGTACAAATGTTGTTACCTAGCATAGCCCGTGTGACCCACTTATGTTCTAGTGCCAATCTAGCTAGTCAATTGTGCGAGACTTTCCTGCGTCAACAAGCCCACCAAGGCTGTACACACTCTCTCACAAACATTCTAAAAAAAGCAATAAATATAGTATTGTCCAGATCAATATAGCCTACTACCTTGCAACCCAACGAACCAATCACAGTCTGTTACATGTCTTCCGTGACGCGCCTTACCGGTCTCCACATTGACATTTCTCTCCATGTAGACGATACCACTGAACTTCCATTCACCAGTTCGTGTCGGCATTGATCGTCAACGAACATGTCTGGCCCTACATTCGCACGAGCTGCTGCGATTACGCAAGTCTTGGGTCAGTCAGGCCGTCGTTATGCCGTCGAACGGATCCTCCAGGACAAACCTGGGAAACAAGGACGTGTGTATCTTGCGACGTGAGTATACCTGATATTGTGAGAGGTTTTCATCGTACAAACACCAACATATCGTTTCTAGGTCAAGAAACCGAAAATACGTCTTGAAAGGTGTTGCGCCACATGACTTCAAGTACTTTAAGGACATGTTCGAAGACCTTCGGAGCTCACCCTACGTACGCGTGTCCGATGATATCGTCCCCGAAGAATCCATGTTTGCATATAAGTACCTCCGAGACCACTTACTATCTTTCGTCCAACAAAATATTCCGCTTCCTACAACGAAGCGAGTTCTCCGGGATGCCCTGCGTGGGATTGCTGTTCTGCACGACAAGGGGATCGTCCATACCGATATCAAGGCGGACAACATTTTGGTAGACTGGAAACAGCAGAACAGTGAGATAGTTGTTGAGCAGGTGCAGGTTGCTGACATCGAGGATGCGGCCTATGTACCAGAAAATTGTGCCATTAAGGGAAGACAGGTTGGAAATTGGATGTGGCGAAGCCCAGAGGCACACGCCTCCGCTCAAGTGCATACGCCATCGGACATGTTCTCTTTTGGTATTGTGGTAAGTCTCGCCCTGGTTTCAGACAGTTTGCGACCTAAACAGTGAACTTGCAGTGTATCTATGCCATCACGAAGCGAGTGATATTCGCAGTAGACGAAGAAGAGGTCCCAGAGGGAATCGAGATTCTGGACATCGTTCTCGAACGTCAGATTTCATACTTCGCTGATCTGGAGGGTATAGGTGGCTTTATTCGATACCTTAGCGACAGTCCTTGGGCTCAACTCATCGCCATGGTAGCTGCGGACTTCAATGCAGATAATCCGAGGCGACCGTTTGGAATGTGGCAGGATCTCGACCCAGTCTTCAAGGATCTTGTGGTACGAATGATGAACGTGGACCCTACGCGACGACTCACAGCCAAAGAGGCATTGGCACATGTTTGGTTCGCAGACGTTCTGTGACGGACCGGACCGTGATTGGCTTTGTGGATGATAAACAATGGAATGGTGGTTTGCATGTAGATTAGTGACACCGAAATTGAGGCGGGTGTGAGCAATTATTTTAACGGTATTGTGATTGTATCTGAAAGATGTGCTGGAGGGGCTCGCAGTAGAAACCTGGCGCTAGGAACCTCCAGATGTCTGTTCAGCACCATGGATACAAGATTTTGGGCGATCTAGTTGTCGCTGATGTACGAGTTATGTTGCAGAAGGACGTCTGCCTTCTCATACCGCTACAAGTTCACCAAACCTTCTCCATGATCGGTCTGGAACAACGCCACTTTGCGCCTCCCATGCGGCTAGCGCCGACGGCACAAGCAAGCCGTACCAGCCCCATTTCTTCTACCGCAATGTCCAATCGCACGCATCGATGTTACGACTTCTCTTGAACCTTATGCATGCAACCTTCAGCCGCACGCCTAATAAGGGTTAACATTCATCATTGCTACGAAACAGGATGCGGCGCGATGGCTGCCTTTTACCGGCGAGCTAATATATAGTTAATTCCTCGACCGCTTCGAGGTACTTGGACACCATTTCCGAGTATCGGCAGCGATATTGTTAAAATTGCTAGGGAATGAACAACGTTCTGTATGTGCCTGTTTCGGGAAGAAACGCTTCCAAGTATGTCTTTCTCTATTACATCCTTTCGAGATGAATGAACACTAAAGCTTCATTAGGCATGATACTGCGTATTATACGGTTGGGTTCGATGGCCAGGATGATTACGACGATGGCGATCAGCAGACAGAGAGAAGCACGACTGCGCGCATATTGAAGCGGTTCAACGTCTCTACAGGGTGGCGTCGCGGCATTTTTTACTGCGTTATCACAGGCCTCGTCGTGCTACTTAGTGTTCTTTCTTTTGCAGGCTGGGCGATGACTCGTCACCAACCTAGCAAAGGTATTGCGGTTGTCTTTCAAGGTGCCTGCAGCAAGTCGAAAATCATCTCGGCAACCTCGCACATTGTGATCAACGTGTTGAGTACACTCTTACTCGGCGCTAGCAATTATTGCATGCAGTAAGTGCCATCGAATACAGCATTTGCGACATACATGTTAATTTCTTATCTTTTGCTTCAGCATTCTGAGTGCTCCATCGCGACGCGACATTGATCGGATGCACGCTCGCAAAGTTGTCCTCGACATCGGGCTCAACAGCGTTAGCAATATATCCAAACTATCATGGAACCGCAGCCTGCTCTGGTGTCTTCTCGGCCTGAGTTCGATACCATTACATCTCATGTACGTTCTACGACTTGGCGATTGCATCATGTACTAACCACGGAAGTGCCAACTCTGTAGTGTATGCATCCACTACGGCGTACATGTACACGGCAGCACTGGTGACCCCAGGTTTCCTAGACGGCGATGCTTGGAATACGAACAACAATCCCTCCCTAGTTTGGAGCGGTGTATCTGGCAGCCCACAACCGCCCACCAGCTGGCTGGAGCAGGTGCAAAAAGGCGAGCTGCAACTAGCTCCGCTTGATAAGAATGCCTGCATCGAAACCTACGATCAGTTCTTCATGACACGCAACGCGAATCTAATCCTTGTTACGGAGAACAACAATTCCCAAGTAGCAGACTGTTTCGACAGCTCCGTGTTGGCAACATACCTTGGAGCTTACAACTACAGTGATCCCAATGTAGACAGAACCTACATGAGTTACAGCTGGTTGTGCCGCAACGACGGCGAAGGTGCCGGTATGCCACGCGCCTGTGCAAGTTATTTATCCGGGTCGTTACCGTTCACCCAATATGTCGAACTCGAGGGCTCTGATTATCTCCCCAGTTGCAATCTTACCTACGGTCGCTCACTTATCGTCGGAATAGACAGATGTCTGACTCAACAGGTCGAGGAAAAGTGCACTGTTGAAGCGAACATGTACCTGCTCTATACAGTCATAGCTTTCGTCACTTGTAAGATCATAGGTATGATTTGGATACTGCAATTCTTCAGAGAAAAGCCACTGGCAGTCCTCGGAGATGCTATCGCATCATTTGTAACCAAATCAGATTCGGTCACGTTTGGGGCTTGTCTCGGACCTCCACAAATGTTTCAAGAACATGGCAACTGGCAAGGGGCGCGAAAGTGGCAGCCGCGGTCTCGGAGATGGGCAGCTGCAGCAAGCGTCTCACAATGGCTTGTTTGTCTTGGACTGTGAGTTGTGATCGACACAAGTATTCTGATGTTTTCTGAGTTTGTTTTAGATGCTTTTCTGCTATCGGGGGAGCAATTGCTCTGCTGGTAACCGCGATTGGTGACGTACCTGAAGGCGCTCTTGGGCGTTCAGCTTTCGGGACTATCAGTGAGTGAACATGGACAACATGTAAAGGGATCCCCAACTAACCTTTTGTTTCTATTTACCAGACCCGGCATTCATGCTGATGAACGTCGTGAAGGGGAAGGGCAACTCCGCCTCTTCAATAGTGTCCGCTATCCTTCTCGCTAATACACCCCAGCTCATAATCAGCTTGATCTACATCTCGTACAACTCTGTTTGGACGTCAATGCTGATGAGCCTCGAATGGAGCCAGTACGCCCACACACGTCGTCCACTGCGCGTAAGTTATCCATCGGGCGCACAACGGTCAACATACCGCCTACAGATACCATATCGATACGGAGTTCCTCTCATGACCCTCATTGGCTCCATCCATTGGCTCATCTCTCAGAGTATCTTCTTGGTCCGAATACGAGTTTTCAGCGCGGAAGGCGTGGAGGATGTGGACGATAGCATAACCACGTGTGGATATTCTTTGAAAGCATTGATAGCTACTATTGTTGTCGGTGGAGTCGCAGCTTTAGCTATTATAATGTTTGGCTGCCGAGGTTACAGACCAGGAATGACTTTAGTCAGGTCTAACAGTGCTGCTATCAGCGCTGCTTGCCACACACAATCTGGGGAGGATGACGACGAGGGAGCAGCCTTGCAGCCTTTACTTTGGGGCGATGTGCTATCTACTTCTGAAGTAGGTCACTGTTGCTTCAGCAAGGCTGAGGTTTCAATGCCGAAAAAAGTTAGGTTATATGCGTAGGATCCTTATACATGAAGCGACGACTGTTGCCAAGTGTCGCCACGAGAACAGAATTCATGTTTGAACCGTGTTGCAGAACAGTGTTTACCTTGTATGGTTTGATCTTATATGGCGTGATGAAATTCACTTTAATGGACTCAGAATTGGAGAGGCAGCTTTCGATTCCAACACACAAACCCTGAACAACATTTCGACACAGGCCGTTGTGGTATCCCTTGCAGTTCATGAAGCCTTGTTAATCTCCATGGATAACACATGGCCATGCTCCGATCAGTGACGAACTCAGTCCTAGGGTGGACACACCTAGGCGTCTTGGAACTCGAATCTGACGAGCAGCGTACACGTAGTCTCATGACCTCCTAGATCGAGCATACGTATAAAGCTCCATCCGGGAATTGCGTACATCAATCTTACCGCTGCTACTGCGAATACAGGATTTCGGGAATAGCTATCGTCGCTCTTGACGAGTAGCCGGAGAAATACGAGCTCGTTGTCCTCGTACTCCCATTCCAGAACTTCATTCCAGATAGGATCATTGGCAGGCGAAGTTTCCTTACGTGTGAAACTGGTAAGCTTACGAGATTTGTAAACCGTGGTTTTGCGTTTGGGTGGTATATTGTTCATATCGTTGGGATGCACAAGCGTACATGTGAGATATGGTTTGATATCGTCGTGTTCGCGGTTAGTAGGTATTGGTATGTCTGTAGCGCCTGCGGCATGTAGCCTGAGTCTCCTTCGTTTGCCAGTATTAAGATTGCCATCTCCCCCAGCACGGAGTGCGGCAGGCTTGAGTACGTAGCCGCCTGAGCCAGCAAAGAGTGCTTCATTGATTTGGGAGCTGGCACCAAAAGTCTGCCAGTTCAGCGCGCAAATTTGAGCCCCAATACCCCAGAATGGGACTGGAGCAAGGTTTCTCGACGAGATACGAGTCCCTTTTGGATAGACTCTCATGAGATGATGCGAATTGTGGCGTGCAACCTTTGCACTGTTGATGGGCAGATGTTTCTTCAGTCCCGACTCCGAGACGTTGATCAGTTGGTGGTGCGGCGCATTATCCAGATCGGCTTCAAACCATGAATTATTCACTGGTTTGACGGACTGCGCATACACTCCGAGTTCCGCCAGCTCTGGAATGATCAAACCGGCATTTGTCGCTTTTCTCTTCTCATTATATTGCTGGTGCGCTTGTCGTTCAGCCTCATCTTCTGAGCTCGAGTCACTGTCGCTGCTCTCTTCTTCGTCGGGGAGATGATACTCCACGATCACAACAATCTTGTTGCCTAGCTCCGCGAGAGTGACGTGCTCACCAGTACCCTCCTGCTCTCGAGCGCCTTTTTCACGCATCGCTTTACTGAGCAGTCGGGAACCAAAAACTTCGCACATGATCTGCGCAAGGTACTTTTGGCCGAGTGCGTCGCAATGGTTCTCCAGCGATATCATGATAGGTGCGGCGTTCCTCTCATCAGCGGCCTCTCTGTCGACGACATCGCGAATCGTCTCACACACTGTACGGAAGGGTATGTTCGATACTAGTGTGAATCCATGCGTGACTTTGGGCTCAGTTCTGTTGTCGTCATTATCCCAGGCATCAATCTCAACGCATCTTGATCCCGTCTGCAGAGCTATCTCATACGCCGAAGCATGAGACTCGCCGAACAGTTGATGAGCCATTAGGTACGTATTGTGACTTGAGCTGATAAAATATTCAGGTAGTGGATAGCGTCTGTCGATACATTGGGGCGGAACCTTGATATGGCTTTTGTCTAGCAGCTCTCTGAGTGCCATCGTTGTCTCTTGCATATTCAACCCCACTTCTGGCTCTCCCAAAATTCCTTCTTGCACGATGAACGTCTTCAACGTCTGGCTCACGCGCAGTTTGTCTTTTGTGATATGCGACCGGCGGGATGCATGGCCGCCGCCTGCTACGGTCGTTGCATCGATGGCTTCGCCCTTATCGTCATCGTCGACTGCGGACTTCCTGGAAAACGGATTGAGTTTTGCAATACCTGAGATGAGGTCGGCCATTGCTAGGGATTTGGCGTGTAACGTTAGGGATGCGTTGGGGTTGTACGTCATGTCCCGAGGGATCAAACCAGCGGGGTAAGCTAGTTCCAAGTGAGCCTCGGTTGCTTCGCTTGATGGGCATACGCCTGTTCAAGGGTTGGCCTCAGCTGTTTATGCTTTGCATGAGGAGTCTATATTATCGTCAGTAACTTTGCAAAGGCTGGTCTCATTCTAGCCGACAAGTCGCTTGAGCGAAAGTGATCATGGCCTTCCTTTTAACAACTGGGAGGCGAAAGTAGTGGTTGCTATAACGATAAACGCACTAATATGTTTCCCTCAGGTCGAATGATAGCGAAGACCGTCACCGCGAAGAACGGCTTTGAATCTTAGTGACGTGAGTTGTGACTAAATCTATGTTTCAATAAAGAAATCTTGGCTGTCAAATTGGCAGCAGTTTGTCGATTTCTTAGGACCTCGTGCTCCGCATCTCGCCCGAAATTTGACTATGATACTTAACGACAAAGTGAAGATAAGCCACACTCTCTACGCTTATCTCCACTTAGAAATTGAAAAGTTACGAGGGAACACACTGGGGCTTGAGTAAGCCTGGCTATATTCCTCAAACATAGGCAGGCGTTTGCTGTCCCTTTGCTAGTATAGCTCTATGTTGTTTGCATCATCCCGACTTGTAGATAACTGAGCCATATCATCACTACAAGATAGTTGCATGGGGTGATACAACACTGAATGTCGGAGCTACCTATAATAGCATTTAATCCATACAATATATGTTTTAAGTGAGTTCGAGATAGCAAGGTGGACAAGTAGCGCACATATTACATTGTCTATTCGCCGTCGAGCAATATGATATGGCTCTTCTTGAGACAAACCGGCAAAGTAACACCCAGTCTCGATATAAATGTGTGAGTTCGAGGGTGAGGGTTGTGTTGATCTGACCCGAGCTATTGTTTAGGTATGTATTGATGTACGACACCGCCATCCCTAAGCACAAGTTGATAATAACAAGAATGAACGACTGGTCACTCGACTGTATTATATACTAAGATAATGTAAATCTTGAATAACGACGAAATCGATACTTCTCCACTAACTCCAGGGATTCAGCAACGCTCCAACAAACGCAAGTACAGGAATCTTTTATAAAGTAATTTTCTAGCGTTTCTTGTGATCACACTCATGCACTAGCGACACGATCGTTCCTTGCTGCCGCATTTCCCCCTTTCTGAACCTCCGATACCATCATCGCATCAGCACTATGAGCTGCAGGCGGCCTGCCATTTCGACCAAGACCTGGAAGGCTAAAGGGAAGTTCGGAAAGTGGTGCGTTGGCAAACCTATCGAGCGGGTGTACAGCATTGGCTGAGGAGATTTGTTGAGGATGAAGTACGAAGACTGCCCGGTGGCACGAACAGACGACAGTGAGACCTGTCGAGCAGAGACAGACTGTGGATGGTCAGCATCGCATTGGCCGAGTGTGTCCATATCTTTGTACCTTGTTCATTCTCTACAGCCACAACCGATGGCTCTTCACTCGTAGAAGCTGGGCTCCAGGCTCCCACATGACTGATGATCTCTTGTATTTGTTGTGAGATGTACGCGATGTCTTGGAAGGGTATATTCCCATTAGAGCTCCCGTCGTTACCATTTCTAGACCAAGAACAAGAAATGTTAGAGTCTTGATGGGAGACATATGTTTGCTACTAACCTGTCTACCTTCTTGACTCCGTCATCAATCGGATACGGGGTCGAAGACATGACAGATAGTCAATGTGAGGAGTCAGACGTTGATGCTAAAATGAGAATTGTGAGATGCTCGAACTGTCCGATGTGGTCATCTATTTGGCAAGTCATGACTTAATAAAGGTGCGATCGATGAGCAATGTGCTGAGAAAACTGATCAATGTGTCCAGAAGTCAAATGTGTGCCTCCAAGCGGTACATATTAGCGAATGTGGCGTCAGGGCAGCAGTGTAGTGGACGCGCATGAGCGTATTCAGATCGTACAGTATGCCATGCAGAGCCGAAAGAGCATTCATCGACAGGATCGTTGGCCGTGGAGTAGACAAACTTGTGCTCCGCGTCGAGCTGTAGAATTTCCAGTGAGATGAACGAGGTGAGCATGGGCTAGTGCAATCTGTCGGTGAGATAAATCGGAATTACTTGTCCCAGCCACCTACTTTTCCATCCAGCAGGACGCCATCATCAGACCAGCTCGTCATAAGATCTCTAGGCAACAGTCTGAGCTACTCTCAAATACCTGGTGTGTGTCGAATGTGGACGATGCGTCTAAACTAAGGGTTCTTTTACTTCAACAGGCACATGTCGAGACGAATAACGCCTGGATGTTTCAGACAGTTTGGTAGAAACTTAGATACTGACAAGCGGTCAGTGATTTAATCAAACGTGCGACTTTCGTCACGTTGGCCCCGAATCGCTACACATGTGATAGAGCTTTCTGCCTTGATAAGATATGACAATGCGTGATATCGGACTAAAGTGGTGAGTGAACCATTACAGCACACGTCGCAACACATTCTCGTTGCTCTCAGCTCCCCAAAGATCTTTGTTGGTTATGCCTCAGAAGCTTTGGGTTTCGGAGACTACGTAGCACACCACTCAGATGACTGTAATGAGTCCCAAAGATGATAAGAAACCACCACAAGCGCGACTCGTCGTTTGTTTCGCTATGAACCCTGTCGGATACTTTACTATGCTTAAAATAGAGAGCAAGGGTGGAAAGCTCGATCATAGCTTTTTAAAGGGGCAACGACAACTCAACTCTCTCTGGCACAACAAAACGCCTTCATAATTCGGGCAGTGCTTGTTTTGGTGCGGGATGAACACCCGCGATGGCGAAATCCAATCGCTACAGAAACCTTTACGAGTATTAGATGAGCCATGTTTTCGCCCATGACCAGACATCCCAAATGAAGAAGGCGCGCGGAGGCTAACGATGTTCCCCGACAGTTGTTTGATTTTTGTAGTTCACCGGTCCGCTTTCGTTATCTATACAGACGCGAGTTTGATGAACTCGTTCTGCACGGGATTTGGCAGGACGGAGCTTGATCAGGTGGCATAGTCCGGCATCGTGAGCCGCTACCGTAGTGACGACTTTACAGGACCAGCATGTGGCGGCGAAGGCTACAGAGACTTCAGTACGTGTTCTGTCAACGCTGACTATTTCATGCCCTCAAAGTCTGCAGGGTCAATTCTGGAGATTGATCTTGGTTGATTACCATGATGTGGAGGCGCGGACCTGCCGTGCGCCATAGGGTATGCATTGTCAGGCTTGCATGTTTTCTCCACATTCACGGTTTCCTCCGTGTTGGAGCCATTCAGCGTCTCAGATGCCCCTACAAATCGCTCTGTTCGTTTTGTCGGATTAGTGGGTTGGCGGATCATTTGTCATTGGTCAAATATCGCACAAAGGATAAGCTTAGCCTTGCGTGTTTGATGTCACTGCTACTTCTGCCACTCCTCGAAAAGTTGTACCAAGGCGCTCGAAACCCCAGGAGGGTTCTAGATTCCCGGAACGATGTAACCGCCTCCGTCTATGGTAGATATCCTTCATGAGTGTAAACAAACACATCGTGTAACCAGGGTTACCCATGACTCATGTCAATGTCATGCGGCGAATTTTCCAAGGAGACAAGGGTGTAACGAAATAGGTTTGCCTGGTTTTGCCTTACTGTTTAGCGTCACTAGATTGCATATCATCCGTGTCCCGGCCCTTGCTTGCCCATCGAACTGGTGTCCAGATCATGGGTTTAGTTCAGTACAGAGCCCAGTAGGTCAAGATCACATCTGTACTGATCTAGTTATAGCCAGTCGTACTTCTGGACAGATTTTGTTTGCGAAACCGTGTTTAAGAACACCGTAACGATCTCTAGCGCTTACGTTACACATGCCATCCATAAAAGTTTGGTGTTTAGATTGTTTAATCAGGGTGACGATTGATTGGATCAAGAACCTCCTATTTCGAAACGCCAGAAGGACCTCGACGACATGTTCCGTGCGGGTCCTTGCTTGGCATACCGTGCCACAACCCTCAACTAACACCTGGCGGTGAGAGGGTGCCCAGTGTCACATAATTCTCGAATATGTGTGGCACCAAATTTCGAGTCTCGTTGGTGATCGATTCGATGCGCGCGTTAGGAGACAAGCCCGATCATGATTAGAAACTGTATAATCTTCCGGACTTCAAAGTGTAGCGCTCTGCGTCAGCCTTTCTCAGCACCCGCGTGTTTATGCGTGACGCTATCGGTCACGTGTGTTCGAACGATTCCACATCCTCCTTCCGAACGTTTGATGCCAATTGACTCAATCCATTCGCTGATCACGATGACAACTCTTGTTCCGCCCGGTCATTGAACGTTTGAATTGTTACCTATTCCAAAAAGATGCTCCAACAAGTTCCTAGCATAGAAGGCGGAAGACTCTTTCCATAACGGGATGGCGTTGCCTATTCGTTAGCGAGGATAGCAAGGATCGCCTGAACGGTGGGAGTACGTAGCGCATTCGAATGTTTTGAAGTTGTCATGGACGTGCAGACTCTCGAGTGACATTGGTGATGAAGTTTGGGACATGGTTTGCGCTATGCTAGTGCCCTCTCGGTTAATCATCAAGTAAGATGCATAGAAGCACAATTATACGACGAAACAATAGCGAAAAGTACGGGATGAAGCAGACAAGACAGGTTATCTAACATTTGAGGCCTATAGTTTGGAAGTTACGTTTCAAGACTATCGTTTAGAAATTACAAGACCTCACTGCAGCTCAGTTCCGGCTTTACATAGGGCCGAGCATCACTGCAAGTACAGAGGACTATTAGCAGGTATAGTAACAAAATTAATATATACTAATTAATTTATTATATAATTATTATTAGAAAGAACTATGTTAAAATTAGTAATAAATCTACTTTAAAAATAGTATTAAATACCTTAAGTTTAACCTTAGTAGGCAGTAACCTCTAAATTTACTTAGTACCTTAATAAGCTATAAATAACTAAGAATACTAAGTATAAATATAGTTTATATTATAATTAATTATTAATAATATTCTTAGGTAATACTACTATAATATAATTTCCTCCTTTAGTTATATAATAAAAAAACTAATATATTATAAGTTAAATAAAGGGCAGTGTATAACCTTCTAGCTTTAGATATCTTAGCTTAGGCTAAAGTAATTTAAGTATACTAAGTTTAAAGTAGTAGACTTAGCTATATTAATACTATCTTAATTAATAGTAGAGGTATTATAAACTATATTATAAGAATCTTATAATATATAAAATAGTTATATAACTAATAAAATAGGCCTATATAGCTTATTCTTTAGGTACTAAACCTAAGCTATTTACTTACTATATAAGCCTTTAGGGTTTCTAAAGTAGATTATATAGTAACTATAAGTAAAAAGATTATAAAGCTTATTACTTCTATACTACTATATAATAAGGTTAGCTTAAGTAGTAAAGTAATATTAATATTAAAAAAAGAGTATTTACTAAAGTAAAAGATTAGAAAAATAAAGAAATAGTTAATACTAAGTAAAGAGAAAAGAAAGTAAAAAAAAGAAAAAAGAAAAGAAAAAAAGGCTTATATAATAAAAAATTTAATAAAAAAAGTAAAAAAATACTTTTTTTATTTTCTTTTTTTCTTTTTTTTTACTTACTTTAAATTCTTTTTTTTAATCTAGATATTCCTTTTCTTAATCTAGATATTCTTTTTTTTAATTTAAAACTTTTTTTAGAACTTATATATCTAAGTATATCTAATATATTATATATATTCTCTCTTATATAGTAACTTATTTCTTATATATATATTTATAGATATATATTCTTACTTATATAATAACTTATCTCTTATATATATATATTTATATATATATATCTTTGCTTATATAACTACTTATCTCTTATATATATATCTATATATATATATATCTTTACTTATATAACAACTTATCTCTTATATATATATATATCTATATATCTAATATAATATATATATTCTTTTAAATAGAAATAGATAGTTTTCTTTAAAACTTTTTTTTTATTAATATATTACTTATATTTTTTAGAGATTCTTCTTTATATAATAAAATATATTTCCTATCTATAAGGTCTACTTTTTAGAATATAAACTATATAGTATATTAATAGTAGATATATTAGTATTAGTATCTTTAGAAGATAGTAACTTTTAAATATTTAAAAGTTAAAAAATTATATACTTTCTCTTATATAAATATTCTTTCTTAATACTATATTCTTATTTAATCTTTTTTTTTTTAATAGGTAAAAGATATAGCTTTTTATCTTTTTCTTTAATCTCTTTTTTAACTAGCTTTTTTAAAAAAATAAGTAGCTTTATAAAAGATAAAGTAGGTTTCTATATATATAATATATCTTTCTTTAGCTTAAGATTAAAGATTAGAAATATTAAAGTAATACTTTAGTTACTTTTTTTAAAATAGCTACTCTTTAGTAGCTTTTTTACTATATAAATATCCTTTATACTTTTTAAAAGAAGTATAATACTATCTTTTTTAATATTAAAAATAATATATAGTAGTATAAGTCTAATCTTTTTAAGTTTAATTTATATAAGTTTAAGAAGAAGAATAGTTATAATAAGATCTTTTAGCTCTTTAATTAGGCTATTATAAAATTAGATATTAATCTTAACTATTATATATAAGAATAAAATAATAGGTAATTATTATATTACTTATAAAGAACCTTAAAGTTTAAAAACTTATACTTAAACTAACTTTCTTTATTTATAACCTAATATTATATAAAGTAAGCTTATAAGAGTAAATATAGTTTTAAAAGCTTTTAGTTTATAAGCTAAAAAGTTATATAAATTAACTACTAGTAAGTACTTTCTACTACTATATAAGCTAGAGCTTTTACTATAAAAATAAAAATTACTCTTTTTAAATTAAAGCTATTATTTAAGATAATAGTATCTTTACTTTTTACCTTTTATATAGGTATTAATAGCTAAAGTTTAGTATAGCAGCTTAGGTAAAATAAATAGTTTAAAGAAAGTTTAAAGTAAGCTTACCTAGTCTTAAGGTAGTACTTAAAAAAGAATATAGTATTTATTATATTATATAATATAAACTAAAGTATAAAGATAAAGGTAAAAAGAAAGAATATTAAAAAAGTAAAAGATAATATATAAAATAAAAGAGTAGTATATATAAGTTAGTTATTATATATAAGTAAATAATAATTATATTATTTTAAAATTTACTAGTACTTTATCTTTTTATATATTAGTTTCTAAGTTTATAGCTTAAACTATAGTAGAGCTAGGCTAAAAATATAATTAGTTTAGAAACTAAAATCTATTATATATAGTACTTACCTACTAGTTTCTTATACTAACTAAAGCTTTTAGAAGAAATAGTATTAAGTATAGCTAGTACTAAAAGTAAAACTATACTTTTTTTTATAGTTATAAGTAAACTTTAAAATAAGAGCTTATATAACTAGTATTTTAAAGTTTAGTTACTATAGATTTACTATTAAACCTAAAAAACTAAAGTACTTACTTATACTAGTTAAGTATCTTTATAAAAAGAAAGGTATTAATATTTTACTTACTAACTTTTACCTTTATTATATAAAGCTAGTTAAGATTAAAAAAAACTTTCTAGTTTTATATATAACTACTTAGGTAGTAGTAAAGTATAAATAGCTTTCTAATAATAGTATTTAGGTAGTTTTTTTACTTATAAATTAAATATATATTCTAAAGTTATATAAAATTATAAAGCTACTCTTAAAGAATTAGAAGGTATATTATATATAAATAAATTCTATCTATAAGCTAGTTAACTAAGAATAGTCTCTTCTTCTAAAGTTATCTAAAGAAATTTTATAGTATATTAAATAATATAGTTTATTATTAATTTAAGAACTTATATACTAATAAAATAAAAGCTCTTTTAAAAGCTATATCTACTATACCTTAATATACTAATTTAAAGTACTTATACTATATAGATAGTAGTTTTAGAACTTAAAGTCTAATTTATATAATATTTAAAAGTTATAGTAAGTATTTACTAGTATAACTATTTTAGTTCTTTTATTTAATTATATAAAATATAGCTAGATCTTAACTTCTTCTAATATCTAAAAGAACTAATATATATAGCTAATAATAGTTAAAGCTAATATTTTAATATAAATCTAAATAATATACCTTAAGTAGGTATTAATATAAGTATATATTTTAATACTATATAAATAAAGTTTATAGTATTTATTAATAAACTAGATAAAATTAGAGCTAGAAATAATATACTTTTTATAATACCTTTAAAAGTTACGTTTATACTACTTAACTACTTTAGAATTTATTATATAATAAGCCTAAAATAACTAATTTCTTATAATAATATAGCTATACTGCCTAAAGTATATATAAAGGTACTTTTATTTATAGCTATTAATTACTTCTTTCTTAAGCTCTTTAGCTATAAGCTATTATATAAGCTAGTTTACTTTCTAATACTACTTAACTTTTTATATATAGTATTATAAGTTAAGCTTAAAATAAAGTTATATAAAAGTATACTTTTTAATTTAGAAACCTTCTTTTTATAATATAGTAAGTATCTTTATATTCTTAAGCTTAACTTTAAAGAATAGTACTTATATTTACCTTTTAATATTATTTTAAACTTTAGTAGAAAGCCTATGCTATAAACCTTATATTTTAAAGTATTACTTTAGTATATAAATATTTATAGTAATATTATAAGTCTTTAAAAGAAAGATAGCTATTTACTTATATATAAGACTTTTATAAAAAAGCCTATAAAGCTTAACCTAATATAGAGAAAGATTAATTTAAGGGTAACTAGCTTTATATGTTAGTAATAGCGTAATATAATATATTTATACTTACTAGGTATAATAAGAAGTTAGTAAGCTATATATATAATAGTTATATTATTATTAGAAAAAGAAGAAGGTGCTAGGTTAAAAAGTTAGTGTGTAGGGAAATATTTAATTTTGTTACTACACCTACTAACCGGCCTCTGTAGCAAGGGTCCAGACGCGCTAAACAAAACATTGGTCGCCGCGAATATCCAGTCGTCTCAACAATCATCACTGGGTTTTAACGGCAGCAAATATGAGTAACACGAAGGAGTCGCGTGGGCATAATGACCACAGCGACATCGATGAGATCAATGGCACGTCTGCAGGCTCAAAACTCCTCTGGAGACACGCATCTCCAAAATCGACGCCAATGTACAAATTCCTGCGCAATGTGAACGAAACACATGGATTGGATTTGGCGACATATGCAGAGCTGCATAAATGGAGTGTTGACAATACGGATCAGTTCTGGCGAAGAGTGTGGGAGTTTGTTGGTGTCCGAGCGCGAGGAGAGGCACCGGTGGTGAGGGGTGAAGGTCATGTGAAGAAGCGTCACGAGCTGATGGTAGACAGGCAGTTGATCCCACAGCGCCCATGTTTCCTCGCCCATCGTTTTTCCAGGGTGCGAGCCTCAACTTTGCTGAGAACCTGCTATTCCCTACACAGGAAGTGGATGAAGACTCCATTGCCATAGTCGCCGCCACCGAGACGTCCCGCGAGACTGTGACATGGAGCGAGTTGAGGGAACGTGTGAAGGATTGTCAGGCTGGAATGATGGCGATCGGTGTGAAGGCAGGCGATCGTATTGCTGGCTATGTTGCGAACCACACAAACGCCGTGGTGGCGATGCTGGCAGCGACGTCACTGGGCGGAATATGGACTGCTGTCAGCCCAGACACGGGCGTGCATGCTGTCTTGGAGCGACTGCGCCAGATTGATCCCGTTCTTCTCCTCGCAGACAATGCCTCATTTTATAATGGCCGTAGCCATCCTGTCCTGCCCAAGGTTGCCGAGATTGCCAGCGGACTACCGACCCTACAGGCCGTGGTCGTGTTCCCTACCATCCCCTCGGTACAGGTCGATGCTAGCTCCATACATGATAAGGCCTACGACTATGCCACTTTCAAATCGCTGAAGAGGACTACAGAACTGACATTCACCTATCTATCACCAGACCACCCCGTCTATATCCTCTATTCCAGCGGAACTACGGGAGCACCGAAATGCATCGTCCATGGTGCCATTGGCACGCTCCTCCAACACAAGAAAGAGCATGTTCTCCATTGCTCTGTAACCCCTAGCTCGCGCTTCTTCTATTTCACGACGTGCACTTGGATGATGTGGCACTGGTTGGTCTCTGGCCTCGCATCAGGCGCAACGCTCGTTCTGTACGACGGCTCACCCTTCCGCTACATTGACCCTAGCGACCCCTCGACCTCTGTCGCTGACGACCTCGCCATGCACCGCCTCATTGACGAATTCGACATTACGCACTTTGGCACCTCTGCGAAATACCTCTCGATTCTCGAGCAGAAGTCAGTGGATCCGACATCAGCCGGCCTCACGTTCAAGCACTTGGAAGCGATATACTCAACTGGCTCGCCCCTCGCCCCGTCAACCTTCTCGTACGTCTACTCGGCCTTCCCTTCCACAATCAACCTAGGCAGCATCACCGGAGGTACCGACATTATCTCCCTCTTCGGCGCACCCAATCCCCTACTGCCCGTATACGAAGGCGAGATCCAGGGCCCAGGGCTAGGCATGGCCATCGCCGCACACGACTACACGGGCGCAGACATATCGTCCACCGGTGAGGCAGGAGATCTCGTGTGCACACAACCATTCATCTGCCAACCCGTCGCTTTCTGGGGCACAGACGGGCACAAAAAGTACCACGGCTCGTATTTCGACAAATTCGTCAACGAAAATGGCCATGCCATATGGCACCACGGCGATTTCGTGCGCTTCAACCCCAAGACGGGCGGGTTGTGGATGCTTGGACGCAGTGACGGCATTCTCAAGCCTGCTGGGGTGCGCTTTGGGTCTGCGGAGATTTACAACGTGCTGCTCGAGCACTTTGGCGAGGAGGTGTCGGATGCACTGTGCATTGGGCGGCGACGAGAGACGGATACTGACGAGACGGTTGTGCTGTTTGTCAAGATGGCAGAGGGACATGCACTGACGGAAGATCTGGTTGGTAGGATCAAAGTCACGATCAAGCAGGCGCTCAGTGCGAGACACGTGCCTGCTGTGGTGGATGAGTGCCCGGAGATTCCAGTCACCACTAATGGGAAGAAGTAAGTCGTTATTCACCATGAGCAAGGATTGATATGCTGACGAAATGTAGGATTGAGGGTGCGGTTAAGCAGATTCTGTGCGGTATGAATGTCAAGACCAGTGCAAGTGTTGCCAACGCAGAATGTTTGGACTGGTACCGCGAATGGGCAAGTAAGCATTGAGGGTAATAGAACCAATCATGGAGGACGAGGTGATTGCGATTATATATACAGATTTCTGATTGAATTGATTGAGCAATTGCTGGTGCTCCCTGATCCCATAAAACTGTAGCAGCGATTATCTTTGCTGATATGTACAGAAAAAGAAACGAACCATAGCTCAGGTACAAAGTTTAATATTACAAACATGATTTGGACAAAGTCAAGTCGTTGTCTCCATCAACCAAGACAGACAACATGCAGACAGCCCATATAACGCAAGCACTCACCTCCCCTCCTTGATCTTGACACATGGTGCGAACATTGGGAATGTGTTTCGGAAATTGGGACCCAGGGTCCAATTGTTCAAGTCTCGGAGGTGACTCTCGAAGGCTGGATTGATGACCCACTGCTCCTCCTCCTTTGGCAACACTCCCAGCGACGGAGCACCAGGCGTACCGACCCGAGACTGGGGGAGTGGTGGCCCGGCAGGCGATGGGGCGTTGACGTGTGCAGAGTACGGGGAGGAGGCATGGACGCTGGAGGACGAGGAAAGGGCTGTGGGGTGGACTTTTGAGGCGGGGAGGAGGCAGTCGCGGGGCTCGTAGGGCCAGTTCAGCGAGACGGAGGTTGTGAAGGGGATGAAGAAGGTGTCGAAGGAGATGAAGGGCTGGGTTGCGATGATCTTGTCGCGGAGCTTTGGCCTGGTCTGGGTTAGTCGTGTCTTTTTGGAGGGGGCGTATGGCTGTGCAAGATGCGGAGCTTACCAGGGCAGGTGGTCGAACCAGCAAGGGTGGGCGATGAACAGCTGCGAGGCGCGTGGCGTGACCCAGTGCGGCAGGCGGTCGTAGTTTTCCTGCGTGGGCTCGATCTGCCAGCGCATGATCAGGAACATGACGAAGACGATGGCGACCTGCTCGGGCACGCCGCAGATGTCGGGGAAGGTGCGCAGGATGTCGGTGAAGAGCTTGGACAGCGGATGCGACTCGACGTTGCGGTCCGGGTAGACGAGCGAGGTGAAGTGCGGGTACAGGGGCCCGACGAGGGTGCGGATGGGGTGGCCCTCTGCAGCGCGCGCCTGGCGGTCCGAGAGGAAGTCGAGCATGATGGTGTCGAGCGGGCACGTGGCGGGGCTGTTGCGCGGCAGCGTCAGGTGGGGGACCAGGGCCGGGGCGTACTGGGCCTGCTGGCTGGTGCTGACGTTGCTGGGCGGCGGCTGGTGCGGCGGCGGCAGGTCCGGGTCGACGACTCTGCGCTGGCCGTGATCGAGCAGGAAGTCGACGCCCAGGCGCTCGTCGAAGGGCGCGTCGGGCGGCAGGTGGGGCGGCGAGTACCTGCGGAGGTGGCTGGTGGGCGCGTCGCCGGGGAACAGCCACGGGCGGCCGCCTTCTGTGGTGTTGGGCGAGTGCACGTGCGAGTGCACGCCCGAATGGCTTCCATTCTGCGGCGGCGTGGCGGCCAGGTCGTGCAGGCCCGGGGGGAAGGAGCGAGGCGGCTCGGGAGTGTGGTCGTGGCCGTGGCCGTGGCCGTGGCCGTGGCCGTTCGCGTCGGCGGCGTGTGGGTGTCGCGGGGGCAGTGGCAGCGGGGATCGCGCGGCGGCGGCGGCCAGCTCTGCACACACTCTCAGCGTCCGTGTCTGTGTGGGCATATAGCCACGCGTGTCGACGTACCGTTCAGCCCGTCCGAGGCGCGCACCATGGGCTGCAGCACGCCCAGCACATGCTCCAGCCGCTTCCTGATGTCGGCATTCTCCGCCTGGACGGCCTCCTTGTCGCGCAGCACCAGCTGCAGGTCGTGGTACGGCTGCTGGCTCTCCAGCTCCCTGATGCGCCGGTTCAGCGCGTCAATCTGGTTCTTGGTCCTCTCGCGGATCGCGCGCTGGGCCTCGCGGTCGTTGGCGCGCTTCCGCGCGAGCTGGTCGGCCGTCAGGTTGGCCACCCCGCGCGGCCCGCCGGTGCGCCGCTTCTTCGACGGCTGGCTGCCGTCGCCCTGCTCATCCTCGCGGTGGGCAGACGACGGGGTGCATGGAGAGGCAGACTCGGCCATTGGGGGGATATGCGCACTGCGATTCGCGAGAGGTCGTGGCGAGTCAAGCGACATGGGAAAACCTTTCGGATCTCGCCCATCTGACTCATGACGCCGCTGCACCACGTGAGCCCGCTAGCCCTGTCCTGACCTCGGCAATCTTTTGCAATTCCTGCCATCGACCCGCAAATCTTCTGCTCGGCGCATGTCCAAACTCTATCCGCAGATGCAACTTCGCACAACTAGCGTGCGTGCGAGAGAGACTGTGACGTTGAAACAGATACTGCCACGCTGGTAGTCCCTCACGAACCAATAAACTATATCACCAGCCCAGCAGATACGAAAGGAAGATTCTCGTGTAGACAGCAGAATAGCAGTCGACTAAGACGGATCCATGTCGTCAAGGTCGCTAGAACCAATCGTACTTATATTTAGATGTTGGCGTTGCTTGACCGACAGGCACTGTCAACTCCAAGGTTTACGCTTGTTACTCCGTACGAGCAGAACACGAGAACTGCGTCATGATCGAAGCAAACCATTCAGACACTAACAAACCTAGTCCCAAACTGACCGTCTGCTTGGTATCTCCGACTGCTTTAGGCAATTCGGATCCTATTCTCTAACTCTTCTCGCCAAATACGTTGGATCTTACCATGGTACTTCGTTCGGATCTTCGCCGCCGGCCACGAGAGGACTACCTTGGCTTTCCTTGACCGTGACAACCTAACCCGTTTCTGACTTGAGCACCAAAAACTATCCGAGTATTGCATTGCAATTGCAACTCAGCAACCGTCATAGACAACAACAAAACGAACATCTATTTTTACCTCGTGGAATTGACCTTGACAGAAGATATATAAGAGTTTGAGCCACCCCTTCTCAATCCATATCAATCCACACAACTACCATCCACATCTACACACAGCACACTCGCCCACAACATCCAAACGACCACCCACAAAACCCTCAAACATCAAAATGATTTCCAAGAACCTGGCCATCGCCTTCGCTCTCAGCTCTGCTGCCGCTGCTGCTCCAGCCAGCAGTTCTAGCATTCCGGGTGGTTGCAATCCCGCCCATCCTGGATCATGCCCTGATTCCTACTTCTCAACCAGTGCTTCGGCGCCCGTTCCAACCAGCATTCCTGGTGGCTGCAACCCCGCCCACCCCGGCTCATGCCCTTCCTCCTACTTCTCGACGCTGGTCACTGTGCCTGTTCCAACCAGTATTCCCGGCGGCTGCAATCCTGCTCACCCAGGCTCTTGCCCTACGCCCACTACCGCCCCAGCACCACCAGCCTCAACTCCCACCAAGGCTGCCGATAAGACTTGGTCCATAACTGGCCTATCCCGTTACTGCGGCGACGACAACACAGGCTGCGACTACAACTTTGCTATCGAGGCCAACGGCAAGACCGAACGGTGCACCATCATCCGCATGCCCGGTTCCAACGCTGCCACCGAGAGCTGGTCTAATCAGCCATGCTCCACCGGATCTGAATTTTCCGTTTCTTGGGGATATGTTGCCAACCCAGCTCCTGCCTTTGCTGTCATCACTGTTACCAGTGGCAAGGAGATTTCTTGGTTCGGCGTCTCCAATGTCAATGGCCAGGCCGTCACCCCTAGCAACCCCTTCGGTTCTGGCAGCTTCGGTGACCTAGGTCCAAAGGAGGTCTACACCAACTAATGAGTTGGTTTGGAATACGCGCAGAAAAGAAAACTAGCTGGTGCAGGGAGTTTCCGACTAGAGAGAGATTTGTATATAGAATAGATCTTAATGTAATGAAACATCGTCAAGGCCAAGCCACTTTTTGTTTCCAAATTTGAGAATGTGGGATAAAAGACCGTTACTCAATGACGATCAAAGCCCATACTAACCTCATCACCAATGTTCAGTCAGCGTGGGATTGGCAAGATCTGCAGATCGTGTGCTCGAGGTGATGTCGTATAGCAATGAAAGCCAGAATGCCAGTAAGTTCCCAGGTCAGCACTAAGGGTGGTATTCCCTTCCGGTGCACTAGGAACGTTGGATTGACAGCTGGCTCAAATTTGCCAGGTTCCTACGCATTTTCGACATTGATCCTGAGGCTTTCATGGGAATATGCATAGCTGTAATAGCCACGTCCTGAAATGTGCGTGCAATTCCTGATGGTTGCACGACACTGACTCGAAGAGTTGTTTCTTGCTACAACGCCCGGTAAGAGTGGCCGGGATAATAGTGAATCTGACTTTAACAGTCCGACCGCTTCCCCATCTCGACTATCCATTCCCACGTATAAGATTGGGATGACGGGCTGCAGAGCCGTGGATTTACAGCGATCAAGGGAAATATGACGAGCGAATACGAGGCAGAGAAGGTTTACCTCGATTCTAAATGAGCCTCCTCCTCCGTCGAGCGAGAGTGGCAGACAGCCTTGGAGGCCGAAATTAGTGCCACCGTTCCACCCGATTGTACATCATCTTGAAATAGCGCAAGTCTTAGAAGTCTCTCATAACTAGTATTTCGTGTATTGCTGAGTATTGGAACATTGAAACTTTTCTATGTGTGACAGCAAAGTCCACTTAAGCTTCAAGAGGCACAGCTTGCAAAACCTCAGGCTTTCCTATAATGAATCGAGGTGGTGTATAGCAAATCACGGAGATAAAGAACGATATGGCGAGGATCATCAAGAGGAAGATCGAGTATCGCAACACATTGTACTGGTTGAATTGTATGGGCATCTCGTGTCGTGGGTGTTAAGACGAATCTTCAAGTCTTCGTAGTGATTAGTCTACTCCTCTATAGTAGTTAATTTAGTGAAAGTTACACCAGCTCTCCAAAAGTCCTTCTGACAAGGTGATTATAGAGTAGCTAGTTGTTACATAGACAAACTACAGGGCTGAGTGAAGGTTCAGAAAAGCTATCACGTGAAGGGCAATAGGCTAGTAAGGTTGACGAACAAATATCTTGAAACAAAAAGTAATACTTATTTTACTCAGTTACTGATCGAGAATAATGACTTGAGCTGATGCGTCAAATCAATAAATTTCGGTAAAAAGCACCAATTACGAGGTTTAAAGTGACAAACTTATAATGGACGATGCCTGGCGATCCGATACCATGTTTGTGATGCTCAGACGTGCTTTGCAATGATGAGATTCCTCCATGTACCACTTCTGCCAGGTCGTTCAGCCGCTCAGAGGCTCTTCTTCCTAATCAAACCAGGACTCAAACAAGCGGGTCGTTACACTCAAGCCACAAACCCCCCGCGAAGACCAACAATCGAGGTTCGAAGATAGTAAAAGTCCTCGTCAAGACGCTTGCGAATTTCTCCTGTTGCCAACTCCTCGACATCCCACGAACACCAAACAAAGCGACCGTGGAGGAATGCAGCTTCCTTGCTAGCTGCCCAAACTGCGAATGCGCCAGTGAGCTCTTCTATTTGGATGTATTAGCTTTGACACGGGTCAACTGTATCGCTTTTCAGATGCGAACAGGGACAATGTTCGGCTTACCTGAATCGAAATCCTCTGGCTTGAGATCCAAAGATTTCCAATAATCATTGTAGATGAGTCCGGGATGGAAGCTGATTATCTGCATCTCCTCATGTGGATGGTCTTGAGCAAGCAGCTGAAACAAGAGTGTCCCGGAGAGTTTGGACAGCGTGTATGCCGGGCGTATCTTGACCTCAGGCTCGGTTGTAGAATGGATCGATGCTGTTGAGATGTTCAAAATGAACTACACGTCAAGATGGTGAGAAAGAGTTATTTTGATAACAAAGCGTACCGGATGGAGACTGTAAGGGTCACGTACCTTCTGCTTTCCGCTTGCTTGTTTATAGAACCTTTCAGTGAAGTACAAAGGAGACTTCATATTCGTCTCGACCTGCGACCAGACTTCTTCGGCCCCGAGTTCCAAGATCGGCTTAACCTCCGTGAACTTCGCGGCATTCGCGATATAGACATCAACGGCGATGCCCTGTTCGTCGAGCTCTTTCCAAAGTGCGTCAACCTCAGTTTGGTTGACCACGTCGCAAGTAATAGCAACAATTTTCGTACCTCCGCCAACCAAATTTGCCTCCTGCTCAAGCCTTGACCGAGCGGCATCGAGTACATTACCACGTCGGGAGGTAATGATGATTGTGGAAGCTGAAGCGCGGATGAAAGCTTGCGCCATGGCAAAACCTGCACCTGTGCCGCCACCCGTAATCAGAATAACCTTTCCGGCTTGACTGAGGCCTGGTCTTGTAGGCGATATTGCGGCGTACGGTTCCCGGTGGGTTGTCTTGGTGACATTAGTCCTCCTGAGCTTTGCAAGCGTTTCGATCAAAGACATGGTATAGACAAAAAGGTCAAGTTAGATAGAGTATTTTGCCTGAATAGTCGGAATCGCAAGTACTTGTGGGTATGAGGTGTGATTTTCAGTAAGTTGAGTGTAACGATCTGGAAAGGCTAACACAACCCATTTATAACTTTTTTGAATGCGTGCTAACTGCTGCTGTACACAGAGTTCGTCCATATTGTGACCGCAGCATTTGTAAGCATGGTTCGCTCTACAGCCAAGACTGCTTCTACATCTCGAGTTATATGGATACGGCGTGGATTCAAGACACTAGCATACGCCGATCATAGTACCTATTGAGAAGGTTTCCACGGCGGTTGCGGACACTAACCCAAAGAACATAGCTCCCGCCTCACATGTCGGTCATGAATCACGCATGACATCTTACCCCCTACCAACACGTTATTGAATTTGCTGTGACCATCTCCATCATCATGGAATCCAGAGCCTGTACCGCATGCGCAAAAGCGCGGAGAAGTTGTGATAAGCACAAGCCACACTGTCTTCGTTGTCGAACGCGCGGAAACCGCTGCGAATACCCCCCCTCAAAGCCGACTTCATTCGTTAGATTGAGAGAGCAAGCTCCTGAGTTGGCCTATACTCCGCTATCAGGATCGACTACATCCTTTGGGCCGATGTTCTCACTTTTCTCAAGCACCCAAGTACACTCTTGGTGGTTTGCATCACCAGAAACGTGGACGATCGACCAGGTCCCGCCTAACTTGCTGTCGGCCCCCCACCGCTTTTCCTCTGCGGACTTGGATCGTCATCTAAGAACGATGATTCTATGGTTAGCTGAATGGGTGACGCAGGGTAGCAATCCGTTCATCCATCAACAATTGTACCGCCACCGATTGCCGCGTTGTATTCAGAGTGCCTATACGGCACTTTCAGCTTATCTGAATAAGACAGCTTCAAACGAGCAAATGATATGCCGCATCATTGAAGATCAAGTCGTGCTGTTGGTAGGCGAAGGCGTGCCGCGGTCGGAGTCCGTGCTTGGGGCCGCAAACTCTTCCGAACGCAAACTTGATATACTTGAATACCTCGCTAGAGTTCAAGCATTGCTTGTGTATCAATGCATTGGCTTTTTTGACGGTAACCATCGACTACGTCACCTTGCCGAAAAGCATATCCCCATACTTCAAAGCTGGTTAGTCGACCTCCTCGAGTATACCCGGCAAGCAGAGTGCTGCGGCGAGTCACTCATGTCATCTCCCAACGGCCAGGCCACTTTCAATATCGACACAGCTAGCGAGAGTCCCAATGAAAATCTCCTCTGGTACTCTTGGGTTTTGATTGAAAGCACTCGACGCACCTGGCTTATTGCCTCCGGCATCCAAGGAATGTACCAGCTCATACAAAGGCGAATGGCGGCATGCATGGGCGGTACGATCTTCACAAGTCGCCAGGGCTTTTGGGAGGCACCAACAGCTCTAGTATGGGAGAAGCGATGTTCTGAAGTATACGCGGGATTGGTACGGCTTACAGAGATAGAAAAGCTCTTTGCGATGGTGCCAAAGAGAGAGATAAACGAGTTTGCAAAGTTGGTTCTAGAATGCCCATATGGAGATGAGCAGGTAGAGAGGTGGGGTCTCGACACATAGTTCGAAATGTGCGCATATACAATAGCAGACTAAGCAAAACACGAACAAAATAGGGAAAATAATATACTACTTACTATTTTATAATTCGCTACCTATAACCCGCGTTTGACAGCCTAGCTATTATCTAGTTAGATTGTGTTAGCAAGTTAGTGTTATGCCGCCAGAGCGCCTTGCACGGCAACGAGGGCGAGCCCAAAAAATACGCTAGTGTTTAGAAGCGTGCTATTTTCGACTCTTGTATCCCATAAACCGGTACACTGAACCCGCGGATTTCGGGCCAACTATTAGTTAATTAGATTATGTTAGCAAGTTAGTGTTTGTGCCCCTCGCTAGATCTTTAGGTATATAGGGTTTTGATTTTAATGTTCTTAAGATCTTACGCTACGCGATTCTATTAGTCAAAATCCGCAGGTTCAGTGTACCGGTTTGTAGGATAGTTACCTTAAGGAAAGAAGAACAAGTCTTTTAAAAGAGCTATTATATATATATAGTCTTAGGTAGGTCTACTAAACAAAATACGGCTATAATTATTAAGTCTATAACTTAATCTTTACTCTAGATATATATTTCAAGATAACTACCTTAAGTACTATAAGTGTGTATTATATTAAATACTAAATAATATATATTTATCTAACTTTCTAGAAGCTAAAAATCAAGATTATTAAACTCTTACTTAACTTCTTATTACTATAGACCTTAGCTAATATATTACCTACTTTAGGTAAAGTAGTTATTAGTTACCTAGTTAAGATTCTTAAGGTAGTTCTAGATATTACTATTTCTTTATAGACTTATTATCTAATAGGGGTAACTAATAGAGCTTAGATCTTATACTTTCTAGTATTTATATCTAAGGCTTAAAAGGTAGTAATTACTAACTTAACTATAGTTTAAATTAAGATAAAGTTTTTATAGACTAAACTGTTTTACTATAGCTATATAATTTCTACTAATAACTACTAAGAATTTCTATTTCTAGATTTATACCTACTTTAGTTATAATTATAATAATTATTAGAGCTGTAAATCTCTACGCTAATTAAGAAGAGTTCTAACTATATATTCTAAAGATTATTATTAGAATATTAAAGTTATTTTACTTTCTACTATAATTCTCTAGTCTAGTAATATAAGGAAAAAAAGAGTATTTAGTAAAGTTATTTTAGTAACTATAGGCTTTTTTAAAACTCTTATGTACTAATAATAAGAGCTGTATAAATACTTATTAGATAAGATAGAAAATTATATCTTTTTCTTAGAATAATATAGAGAGCTTTTCGAATATATATTTAACTCTATATAAAAGTAAATTTTAAGTATTTAAAGTACTTTTAGTACCTTTAAATTTAAAGCTATTATTAAACTAATAGCTATTATTAATAGTTAATATATTTAGTAAATACTAAATAAAAGTATAAAAGTAATAACAAGTTCTTTTTATAGTAAGCTACTTATATCTAAGAATAACAAGAATGTATTCTTATTAAAGCTAGATAATTTTAATATTATACTTATCTTTATACTATATTTTAATTTATAATAATTACTCCTAAATATTTAAAGAAAATAAGCCTAGCTCTACTTATATTAGTCTTTTAGCTTTAATATAACTATAGATTATATAAATAAGATAGTAAGTATATACCTTACCTAGGTATATAGAACCTAAAAAGAAAGTTATTTTAAAGAAATTAATTATAATACTCCTTTAAATAGTTTAGTATATTAATAGAGGAAAATCTATAACACCTACCTTATAGCCTATTTAATTAATAGTTAATATATTCTTTTAATAAATCCTTTAAGCTAATATTATTACTATAAGATTAGGTACCTATTTATAGTTATTCTAATGTAACCTTTAACTTTTCTTACTAGTATAGTGTAAGAGTACTCTATATAGGTAATTAAGATATAAGATAGATATAAATTAATTAGAAGGTTAGATAAAAAACTAAAGTTTAAGCTCTAGAAATTTATAAGTACTTTTTACTAAAGCTCTATAGGTATTATACCTTTAGCCTAGTAGTTTACTAAGAATAGGCCAATAAGAGCTAAGATAAGAATACCTATAATTATACTCTTTTTCTTCTTATAGTTTCTCTTTAACTACTAGATTCTTTAAGTAAATTAATAACTATTTAACTTATATAACGACCTTATTAAACTTTAGAAAAATATTTTATAATATAAATTTAGTTTAAAAGAAACTATGTACTAGAATTATTTATATTCTTTTCTTAGGCTACTGTTTAAATATAGCTAAGAGGCTTACTATATAAAGCCTATATATCTATTACTAAATCTTTATAACTCTAGGTAGTATAGCCTAATTTATTATAAGTAACTATTAGGCCTTTATAAAAAGTTTTAATTACTAATATTTCTAAATTATTACATTCTAGAATTATAGTAATACTTACTATATATTAATTTTAATAGCTTTTATCTATAAATTTCTCTTTATTAGGTACCTATTAACTATATAAATAGTTTAATATACTTTATTACTTTTCTAGATCTATCTTAGAAGCTTTTTAATTTATAATTATATAAAGTCAAGACTTAAAATAAAGTCTCTTAGTTAAAAATATTAAATATATTTAGATTTTATTATTCTTACTAGTGTTTATACTTACTTATAGAATTACTTATCCTATCGTGTAGTAGATTAGACCCGCGGATTTTTGGGCTAATTAGAGCGAGGCTTAGTATTAGTAAGTTAGCGTTTTACACCCTCTGCACGAACTTTAAAGATTTTAAAGTTCTTAATATATAGCGCTATAACGCGATTCTATTAGCTAAAAATCTGCGGGTCTAATTTACTACACAATAGGATAGGCTAGTATTACTCTTATAGGGTATACTACTAGTAGCCTCTTAAGAATTTTATCTTATAAAAGTAGTACTTACTTTAATATTAGTACTTAATTTACCTTTTATAAAGTTTTAAATTTTCTTTTATTTATAAAAGTATTTAAGCTCTATATAAGTAGTAAACTAGCTATAAGTATAGTATTTTAAGTATGTTATATTATTTATTAACAGTATAATTAATTTTTTTTAGTTATTAGTATATATAATATAAAGTTAAGTAGTATATAATTATAGTAGTTCTAGAAGGTCTTTATATATATAATAAATAAGTAAAAAATACTGTTATAATACTTATATACTTTAACTATTACTTTACTAACCTTCTTTTTATTAGCTTACTATACTTCTACCTTTTTATTTTAGTAATATACTTCTATTTAAGTAGATTTACTAGTTCTTTATTCGTAAAGCCTTTAAGCTTACCTTTACTTACTTTTAGTATATAAGCTATATTTACTTTTATACTATTACTTTTATAATATACTTTTTTTAATAGTACTATTATTTTATTTTTAAGGTTAAAGTATACTAATATACTATAATATAGGTAAGAGGCTTGCTAAGATATATATAGGAAATACTTTTATAATTAAACTAAAGGTTATACTAAAGTAAGTTTATTAAGTTTATTTAAACTTTACTTATTACTAATTCTAATAGATTTTACCTAAGTTCTCTTATATTATTAATATACTTAACTACTACTTTAAGTATACTTAATATAAGATATAGAGTTTACTAGCTTTCTTTTTACTAATAATACTAAGATATATCTTGTTAATAATATAGTTTAAACTTACTAGGTAAATATATATACTTATACTAAAGCTTATAACAAAAGCTTTTCTAAGTAGAACTTTACAAAGTAATAAATTATTACTAATAGTAGTCTTATAATTATAGCTTCTACTTAAGCTTATTAGGTTTCTACTTTATTTTATATAAATTAGTATAAAGTTAGTTAACTATTATCTTCGTAATTCTATTTTACTTATTAATTCTCTTAATACCTTAGTACTATAAGTTTAGACTAATTTAAATACATTATAATTAATACCTTTATTATAGCTAAATTTAAATATAATAGTACTTATAAGATTATTAATTTGTATTTTTAGTACTATAGTATAAATATTTTTATTACTTAAGAAAAAAAGGTGTGTTTTTATTTAGTAGTATCCTATACTTCTTATTTAAACATAGCTAGTAGTACTCTAAAAAGAGCTTTTATTATAAGGTTATTTAGTTTATTAATAGTTATGTATTAATTTAATAGTCTTTACTTTACTTAATAGTATTTTAATAAGAAATTATAAAAGTTCTCTTAGTAATTATATATTTTACATTTTATAAATAGTATAAACAGGAATACTAATTATAATATCTTATTTTTCCTAAAGCCTATTTTGATTTATATTAGCGTTTAATTCTTAGTTTTTAAAATAATTATTATCTTATAGCTTTAGTTTTATTTTCTTTTTCTTTTTCTAAATATTTATTTTAAGATAAGTTAATTTGTACTCTAGTAGATTACTTACTTTTAGATTTAGTAGAGGCTATACTTTCTATATATATATTCTAAGTAGCCTATAAGTACTTTAAAATATATTTTATAAGTCTACTAGGTAGTTTTAAGGGATCTTATTATAGTAATTCTAATTCTTAAGAGGTTTCTAGTTAGTATATATATTAGACTAACTTAGCTTCCTTACTTTATACTTCTACTTTTAAGTAGTAGTATTATAGTATATAAACTAAGAATTTATATTATACTTATTCTAAAGTAGAGTATTCTTTTTAGGTTATATAAGCTCTAGTTAAAAGCTTTTTTTAGTAGACGTTTTCTACTATAGTTTAAGGAATTATATATTAAATACTAAATATTTATACTTTATAAAAATAGTAATACTAGTTTATAAGCTAAATTTCTAATATACTTTATAATTTTATAAAGCTTAAAATACTTAGTATTAAATATTTAAAAAAATTACTTAGTAGTAAAACCTTTTACCTAAAAAAGTACGTTCTTACTTTTAGTATTATATAACTAGCCAAGATAGACCTGCGGATTTTAGCCAACAGAATTGCGTTATAGCGCTATATCT